AAAAACTTAACATTTTTTGTGTGAGTGTTAGTACACATATCTTGACAAGAAAACTAAAAAAAAAAACAGAAAAATTTAACAACTTCTTGTGTGTGTTAATACACAAATCTTGGCAAGAAAATTAAAAAACTCAAAAATTTAACATTTTTTGTGTGAGTGTTAGTACACATATCTTGACAACAAAATTTTAAAAATAAACTCAAAAATTTAACAATTTCTTTTGTGTGTTAATACACACATCTTGACAAGAAAATTAAAAAACTCGAAAATTTAACATTTTCTTGTGTGTGTTAATACACACATCTTGACAAGAAATTAGAAAAACTTAAAAATTTAACATTTTCTTATGTGTGTTAGTACAAACATATTGGCAAAAAAATAAAAAAAACTACAAAATTTAGTATTTTTTATATGTATGTTAATACACATATCTTGATAAGAAAATTAAAAAAACTCAAAAATTTAACATTTTCTTGTTTGTGTTAGTACACACATCTTGGCAAAAAAATAAAAAAACAAGAAAATTTAACATTTTGTGAGTGTGTGATAGTACGCATATATTCACAAGTTTTAAACTAGGTTCTCTCAGGGAATTTCCCCCTCAAGTTTGTAGGGAAATTCTTTTGTGTTTTAATACACATTTCTTGCCAAAAAGATTAGAAAACCTCAAAAATATAACATTTTCTTATGTTTGTGTTAATACGCACATCTATACAAGAAAATAAAAAAACTTTAAAATTTAATATTTTTTGTGTGTGTGTTAATACTCATATCTTGGCAAGAAGATGAAAAAACCTCTAAAATATAACATTTTCTTGTGTGTGTGTTAATACACACATTTTGGCAAGAAATTTTTAAAATTCGCAAATCTAACATTTTTGTGTGTGTGTGTGTGTGTGTTAATACACACATCTTGGCAAGAAAATAAAAAAATTTGAAAATTTAATATTTTTTGTGTGTGTGTTAATACACACATTTTGGCAAGAAAATAAAAAAAAATTTACAAATTTAACATTTTTTGTGTGTGTGTTAATACACACATTTTGGCAAGAAAATAAAAAAACTTGAAAATTTAACATTTTTTGTGTGTGTTAATACATGTATCTTGACTAGAAAAATAAAATAAAAACTTAAAAATTTAACATTTTCTTGTGTGTTTGTTAATGCACACATCTTGGAAAACAATATTCAAAAACTAAAAAAATTAACATTTTTTTGTGTGTTAGTACACATATCTTGACAAAACAATTAAAAAAAAAACTCGAAAATTTAACATTTTCTTGTGTGTAAGTTAATATACATATCATGACAGGAAAATTAAAAAAAATTTAAAAATTTAATATTTTCTCGTGTGTGTGTGCAATACACACATCTTCACAAGAAAATAAAAGAATTTTCCTACAAACTTGTGAGGGAAATTTCCTGAAAGAACTTCAAAAATTTAATCGTTTTTTTGTGTGTGTATTAATACACATATCTTGATAAGAGAATTAAAAAAAAACTTAAAAATTTAATATTTCCTCGTGTGTGAGTTAATATACATATCATCACAAAAAAAATTATAAAAAAAACTCCAAAATTTTACATTTTCTTGTGTGTGTGTTAATTCACACATTTTGGCAAGAAAATCAAAAAAATCAAAAAATTTACATTTTCTTGTGTGTGTGTGTGTGTGTGTGTGTGTTAATAGACATATCTTGGCAAGAAAATTAAAAAACAAATTTCAAAAATATAAGATTTTCTTGTGTGTGTGTTAATACACACATCACGACAAGAAAATTTTAAAACACGCAAATTTAACATTTTTTTGTTTATGTATACACATATATTGACAAAAAAATTAAATACTCAAAAATTTAACATTTTTTGTGTGTTTGTTAATACACACATCTTGACAAAAAAATAAAAAAATTAGTCTGCAAACTTAGGAAAGAAAAATTCACAGAAAGAAACCCGAAAATTTAATATTTTCTTGTGTGTGTCTTAATACACACATCTTAGAAACAAAATAAAAAACTATAAAATTTAGTATTTTTTTGTATGTGTGTTAATACAGATATCTTGACAAGAAGATTAAAAAAAACTCGAAAATATTACATTTTTTGTGTGTGTTAATGTACACATCTTGGCAAAAAAAAATAAAATAATTAGCAAATTTAACTTTTTTTGTGTGTGTTAATATACATATCTTGACCAAAAAAATTAAAAACTCAGAAATTGAACATTTTCTTATGTGTGTTAATACAAACATCTTGACAAGAAAAATTTTTAAAAAAATCAAAAGTATAAAATTTTCTGGTGTCTGTTAATACACACATCTTGACAAGAAAAACTAAAAAAATTGTAACATTTTCTTTGTGTGTTAATACACATATCTTGACAAGAAAATTATAATTAAAAACTCGAAAATTTAACACTTTTTTGTGTGTGTGTTAATACACATATCTTGACAAGAAAATAAAAAAAAAACTCAAAATTTAACATTTTCTTTTGTGTGTGTTAATATACATTTCTTGACAATTAAATTAAAAAAAACTCAAAAATTTAACATTTTCTTGTGTGTTTGTTAATACACACATCTTTACAAGAAAATAAAAAAAATTAGTCTTACAAACTTTAGAAGGAAAAATTCACAGAAGGAACTCGTAAAATTTAACATTTTCTTGTGTGTGTCTTGATACACACATCTTGGAAAGAAAATAAAAAAAAACTATAAAATTTAGTATTTTTTGTATGTGTGTTAATACACATATCTTGACAAGAAGATTAAAAAACTCATTAATATTACATTTTTTTGCGTGTGTTAATACACACATCTTAGCAAGAAAAAATAAAAAATTAGCAAATTTAACTTTTTGTGTGTGTTAATACACATATCTTGACAAAAAAATTTAAAAACACAGAAATTAAACATTTTTGTGTGTGTGTTAATACAAACATCTTGACAAGAAAATTTAAAAAAAAACCAAAAGTATAAAATTTTCTGGTGTGTGTTAATACACATATCTTGGCAACAAAAATTAAAAAATTCGTATTATTTTTTTTTGTGTTAATACACATATCTTGGCAAGAAAATAAAAAACTTGAAAATTGAACATTTTTTGTGTGTGTTAATACATGTATCTTGACTAGAAAAATAAAATAAATACACAAAAATTTAACATTTTCTTTTGTGTGTGTTAATACACACATTTTGGCAAGAAAATTAAAAAATTCGTAAATTTAACATTTGTGTGTGTGTGTTAACACACATCTTGGCAAGAAAATAAAAAAATCTTCAAAATTTAACATTTTTGGTATGTGTTAATACACATATCTTGATTAGAAAAATAAAATAAAAACTCAAAAAATTAGCAAACAAAATTTTTTTGTGTATTTATTTTGATCTAGACATATCTTAGCTGCGAATTTTTGTGTATTTATTTTGAGCAGCCTCTTTGAGCTAGACATATCTTAACATGTTATGTCCAGCAAACAAAAAAAAAATTGTGTATTTATTTTGAACAAGAAAATCAAGAGGCTGCTTAGAGCCGCCTAGACTCTCTCTCTCGGGCTCTCCCTAACTCACCGGCGTCGATCTCCTACCTTCCTATCAACCTGGTTCTCGATCTACTAAGTGCTAGCTTATTTTTTTGGTTAAAGCTTTTGCTTTAATGTAGATGCAGATCTAACTATCGGGTCTAAGTTTTTTGAGCTGTAACCCCAAGGAGAATCTTTGTAACAGTTTTTTCTAATGGAAAGTTCTTTAAAAAAAAAAAAAAACTTGCTAACTGTATATTTATACATACAACATCAAAGAGTGTATTATCTTGTTTTATCAGATATTACAAGTACCGATAGCATATATATACTATAAACGTAATTATAGACATCAACACAATATTTGTTATAAAAGTGAATGATGAGACAATTAAATGTTAGCTGAACCATTACAGAACTAGTTATGAAGATTATTCCTCAGTCTATGGGCTTTTTAGTGCCTTTAGGATCAAGTACTATTGGCTTAGAAAAAAACTGCATTCCATTTATTCATACATAAAGATATGAAGAAAGATGAGATTCAAAATTGTCTACTTGAAGGATTCCATTATTTAAAGTCTAATAAATTTATTAAAAGCAAAGATGAGAAGCATTCAAAATCAAAAAGAGTTCGGAGATGGTGAATATGCAAATGGTCATCATCGTGATTATTCTAATCTTCAATCCTGCTTTAATATTTTCTGTGATGAGTCAGTCTTCTGAAGAGACTCAACTAGGCTGTGTAGATGATAGAAAAATCTTGAACAATCGCTACAAAGAAGAAGAATTAGAACCAAACAATTGGGCCTGAAATCAACATCCAAAATGAGCTTTTTTACTGGGTCATAAACGAAGGATTTTGGCATGTTTCATCCCGAGAGAGACTAATCTGTTAGCTGACTCGCTTGCAAAAAAAGCCCTTTGGGCTTGCACCGGCCCAGCCTAAACTGATTTATAAAATATGAATTTGCACAAAAAAAAAGACGAAGGATTTTGGCAGCTACAGACAAACAAATCAAAATCTCAAAAAGACTTCATAAACCAGTTCTTTTTACATTATTTAAATTCCCACAATATACAACTTACAGTAGATTTCCAAAACTTGACCAACTCGTAACTTCTTGATGATCTCAACGTGAAAAATAGCTATAGAGAGAGTCATGCCTCCTGTTGGATGGAATATATCCCAAAGATGCACAGCTTTCATCATCTTGTAGAAAAGCTCGTTACGATTTGAGTGCGAGTTGCTGTTGGGAAAAGGAGAAGAGAGAAAGGGGGATTAGGAAAGACCATTATTGTTGACACTTGACAGTTGATGTGATCAGGTTGAGCCGTGCGTACCTGATTAAATGTCCCCCCTATCTATATTATTTTCCTGTGTTCTAGTCTATGAAGAAAACTCAACAACACCACAAGTGCTACTGAGGAGTCTCTCTTCTTCCAATACATCCTAAACGCAAGAGAAACTATGAATGTGATAATCAATATTTGATAAGAGCAGGAAGTGATGCATGAAGTTCTGACAAACACTGGAACATCCAGTTCAGTAACTGTTCTCTTGGTAGCTCCAACAGAAGTTCCGCCTGCACATATCATATAAAGCCCTTGAGTTAATCTTATGCGTGGCATTAAATCGACTATGCAAATCAAGGCAGACCTCAAACACTACTAATTTACTCATAAATGTACCATTATTTGATCTCCTTCGTATCTCAAAGAGCTTCGGTAAACGTCGCAAGTCATGGAATCTGTTATCAGATTGAACACCTTCTTACTCATATTTGTTTTCATGACAACCATCTTTCCTGATGCATAAATTCTGTTTACTCCAAGATCAGCCGCCATGCGTCTCACATACAGCTTCTTTAAAATAATCTCCATGGAGTAAGGTTCTTTCCCATATTGGCGACGCAGGTTCTCTGTGAAATGCATTAGACTCCACATATCTGTCTCAGCAGCTTTTTCAGCTTCATTGATGATCTCCATCGGATTTTCCAGGTAATTTACATACTCCGACGGAAGACGAGGGTTTATATGTATGTCAATCTCGAATACAGAACAGAAAAAGGAATTACAAGGTTAATTGCTACGGTTTGAGGCATAACAGCTACATACAAATTTGAACTTGTCTAACTATCATATCTGGTCTTGATTTTACACTTGAAAACATTCTGATCTAGTGTTTATAATCTAAAGCAGCACCTTTCTTACAACTTTAAAATGGAATATACCTTCACCAGGTTGTATGGAACCGAAAATATACGGAGTTCCTCAACCTAGAAACAACCAAAAAGATTGACTCACAAGTCAATAACCAAGCCCAACTTTTAAAAAAATAAGGAAAAACAAAAGGCTCATCAATGTCATAGCCAGAGAGAATGTACAAGGAGATTTTAAGCATAAAATACCTTGGACAGGCTCTCAAAAAGCATTTCAAAAAAGAGATCAATGCCGACGTTTCCAACATCCCCTGTCTGTTGTTCACCAAAGATTGTCCCAAAACCTCTTATACCCATATCCCGCTCCGCAAGTTGGAAGCCTTGTCCAAGCTCACAGCACTCTTCAAGAGCACTAAGCCTTTCCTGCATATTTTAGCTTGTACATTACATGCCAAAGTCTGCCAAGTGAAGAGAACGAATAAAAACACCCCCAATACCAGTGCTTGATCAGAGAGCAGCGATTTATCAGGATAAAACAGGTAGGCATGAGCTTCCTTATCAGCCCGGCCAACCCTTCCACGCAACTGTTGACAGCAACAAGAGGAAGATATCTAAGAAGCTACTCACCTTTCTTAGCCAGGGCTAACTACAATAGCGATGATGAAAAGATAAAGCAAGCAATTAACTTTGGCACCTGGTACAACTGAGCGAGCCCAAACTGTTGAACATCCTGAATGATTATGGTATTCGCATTTTGAATGTCAAGTCCGCTTTCAACAATATTGGTGCATATGAGGATTTTTATCTTTCCTTGCGCAAATCTCTCCATGGTTTCCTCCAGTTGTTTCGAGTATTGCTGTGAATACATCAATGTAGCAGAATAATCAAAAACAATAGGGAAACAGCATTGCTTAGGAGGATTCCATTAGATGTGCTATATCTTATGAATGAACGAACATCCAAATGTTTAGTACTGCTAAGAAAGGCCACGACATACCTTTCCATGTGCCATAGCAATGTCAATATCTGGAAATGCTTCTTCAAGAAAATCCATCACTTCCTCTAGTCCTGATAAGAATAATAAAGTAGCAATCGATGATGGAAAAATGAAAATGCTTGGCAAAGAACCAAAACAAAAATATTATAGATATATATAGATCTTGTCAAGAAGTTTCTGATTCTACGTTAATGAAGACCAGGGGTAGTCATATTAAGGGATAATACAGAGAAAGACAGAGATTATAGTGCATTCTACCCTTAATCCGAGGCAAGACATAGAAAACTTGGCCACCACGAGCCAGCTCATTTTTTATTGCTTCGATCACCTTTTCCTTACGGAATGACGAAAGATGGGTTTTTATTGGAATCCTCTCCGGAGGTGGTGTGGAGATCAGACTAAACAAGGGGGAAACGAAGGGTCATTAGTCTCATCAAATTCTATCAGTGAGCATATGATCTGGAACACATCATGTCGCAACCTGGCATCCCGGAATCCAGTCAGAGCTAAGTATAGTGTCCTTGGTATTGGTGTTGCGGATAGGGTAAGCACATCCACTGATGTTTTGAAAGATGCAATCTTTTCTTTCTGCTTGACCCCAAACCTCTGTAATGTAAAAGAGAGGCTTTCATTAACTAATCCAAGTATCTTTCAGAGACCATGGCATAAATAACTACTTTTAAACGAACTAGAACACAACCTGTTCCTCATCGACCACAAGAAGGCCTAGATTACTGTACACAACACGGCTTCCGAGGAGTGAGTGAGTACCTACAATGATATTGAGATGTCCTTTTTTTATCATTTCCAAATACTCCTCCTTCTCTGCTTTTGTCTGCATGGTGTTGAAAGTGTGTCTGTGGTCAATTCCAGGTAAAATCATGAACAACTTGCACTCAGCAGATAGCAGAGGGTTTATATGTAACCCATAGCCACCAAAATACATTCTAGTGTTGTGTATTGAGCTGTATAGCATTTACCGGTTTGCATAGGGGCAAAGTCATAGAAGAATTTATTGACAGAGGAAACAGTGATATCAATACCTGAAACCGACTTAAAAGGCCGACTTTAATTTGTGGATACAAGGAAAAGCGCTCTGAGATTACATCGTAATGTTGCTTCGCCAATACAATTGTCGGTGCTAATACCATAGCTTGTTTTCCAGCTGAGACCACACAAAAGATGGCCCGTAGAGCAACCTCTGTTTTACCAAACCCAACGTCTCCACATATCAACCGATCCATTGGTGTTTCTCTCTCTGTCAAATCCTTCTCAACATCAAGGAAAGCCTGCAAGGAGAAGTCAGATTGAGTGAAAGAATATGAATGATGAAAACTAAGAGATAGCAGCAACACCTGCTTCTGGTCGGGTGTAGCGTTATAAGGAAACTGAGCCGCAAAATCAACCATGATGGGGCTCTTTGGATAGGGATATCTCTTCTGTCTAAGCCTATGAAGATATAACTCCATCAAGTCAACGACCATTTTCTGAATTGCGACTTTTCCTTTGGTCTTTCTTCTTTCCCAAACACTGGTGTCACTCAGCCGGCTCAAAGTCCGAGGCCGTTTGGTCTCATTTGGACTGGAACAACATGAACAAATATGACATCAACATACAACAAGAGACATAGGATAGGGACGCGAATGAGGAAACAAACACATTACACAAGCAGGTCAACATTTGCGAGTTGGAGAGAAAAAAAAAAACAAAAAGGTTGCAACTTGCAAGAGAGGACTTACAGATTGTATCGGTAGAGGAGACGCGAGGCCTGCTTGAGGGGAAGCTTGGCCATGCCGTCTGCATACTCGATAAAGACATATTCGAGGGGCTCTGAAGAATCCTTGGGGACATCAAACTTTATCCCAACAAAACGGCCAATCCCAACTTTCTTGTGCACCACATAATCACCGGAAAGGAGACTGTAAGGGTCAACCTTGTAGCTAAAACCACCGCCGGAACCAGCCGACGTCCCTTGCCTAACTCCTTTGAGCTTCTGCAGACCCCTCTCTTGCTGCTCCTTCACCATCTGAATGTACTTATCGGCCTCCTCAGAGCCCATGGCCGGCCTAGCGGTCTCTCTCTTGCCGAGGTCGCGCCGAATCCTCTCGTTGAGGAGGGAAATTGAATCGTTCTCCGCTAACTCCTGCTTCTCTCTCCATCTGGTAGGTTTTGCGGCAGTTGCGGAGAGAGAGGAAACGGCGACTAGTGGAAGAGATGATGAGATTCGGGAGAAGGAAGAGGGCCTGAGAGAGAAAAGCCTCCATGGCGGAGGAAAGGAGCAGAGCTTGAAGACGAGGGGTGTAGAAGTAATCAGGTCGGGATTTGGGAGCAAAAATGTCATCTTTAACAAGACTCCCAGAGAAAGACAAGGGGATAATGAAGAGAGAGAGAGGGAGAGAGATGACGCTTAAGACTTAAGCGTGGTTTACACTTTACATGAGGGGAGGAGCCTCAAGTTGTCTATACGGAACTCGGGTGTGGGGTCCACTTTAAGTGTGGTATTGCGACGGCAGTTTCCTTATGGTCAGACCGACGGGAGTTTCTACGTCGGAGTGTCGGGCAAAGAGCAGAATCCCAGTCGGGGCAATTTTGATTGGCAACCACAATGACAAGTGTTTCTATGGGTATGTTGTTGATTTGAGTGAATGTGTGGTTTGCATTTGTCGCAGGATCCCGGTTCTGCCTTCTCAGTCAAAATAAAACAAATATGACTGCATTTGATTCACCATAAGAGTTTATTACAAAGAGACGAACTTGAAGAACATGTATACAATCAATCTTCTATAAGCATACACCATGTCGCATCATCGTTGAAGAGAACAAATCCCCCTATGATGCTACACATACACGACCCTTTTTAGGCTTAAACAGAGTAAATCATGCCAACTTCAATGAGGCTGATGTGAGGAATGTTGAGCGCAACAGCTGGTCCTCGGCAGTTCTTCCTCAGAAACGAGTAGCCCAAATCAATTGTCAGCTTCTTCAACCAGGACGAGGATTTCCTCGATTTCACATACGAGTGACCCATTACATATGCAACACCTGCCTCTTTGGCCCCTATCAGATCCATCAGCTCTTCCCTCACAGAGGGCTCCATTCCACGACTTGGAGTTAACCGGAACCTCACACGCCTCCTCCTCACTTGCCCTTGCGGATACTCATCCTCGTACACTGAACGCAAGCTCTGCAGGGTCATGGATTTACTGCTTTGTATCGTTGGGTCAGCAAAATCATCCTCTGAAACCGTCATGATCGAGTTGGTGAGACTCTTCTGGCTACTTAACACCGCCATTCTCCCATCATAAGATTGACACTCCGAAGCCGAGGACTGGAGGTCGCTTGCTTCCATCTGGATGAACTCTGCTATGCTCTGTATCAGCTGATTCTCAAAGTCCCCGTCCTCCCGTTGAATGTCCTTGTACCCATACCTCACTATGCACCTGTACATACGGTAAGGCTTTGGGCAAACACGGCCAATGAGGAAGCGTTCCTCAGGGATAACATGAGGCACTGGAACTGATTTCACACAAACAAACACCACAACTTTATGAAATGCCGGGATGTTGGTGACAAAGTGAGAGAAAATTGCAGGAACTCCAGTTGCAAGTTCTGAGTATACAAGCCCTATTCCAGGCACACGCACAATGCCAAGACTAGGCCCTAGTCCCAGCAACCACTTCAGTGAAACTTTGTTATGAAGATCAAAGCTGTACTTCCTGCGAGTACCATAGTGCCACACATACATGGCGGTCATAAATACGAACGCGAGCACCAAAGGCACCCACCCACCCTGGGGAACTTTCATGAGCGCCGCTGAGAGGTAGACACCTTCGATTATCCATAGAGTTCCAAGGAACAAAGCCGCCACAAAACAACTCTTCTGCCAAACCACGACTATGACTAGAGCCATGAGAAACGTTGTGATGAACATTACTATCATGCAGGCGAGTCCTGTGAGTAGCAAAAGCAATCAGATCCTGGAGAGGGAAAAATATATTCCAATGAATGAATAGAGAAGTTACCATAGGCATTTCCAATCATAGTCGTGTCCCGAAAGCCTATAGCTATTGCAAGAGTCAGGATCATCAGGATCCAGTTGATCTCTGGGATATACATCTGTCCATATAAATGTTTCGAAGTATGGACTACTTTGACGCGTGGGAAGCATCCAAGAGCATGGCATTGTTTGATTATTGAGAACGTAGCGGTTATCACAGCCTGGCTGCCAACAATGGCTGCAAGTGTGGCAATGACAAAGACGGGCCAGAAAACAGGATCTGCATAAAGGACTAGAATCATATAAGATTGTCATCAGGTGAATTGTAACCACTGGTGTATCAGATTAAACAAACCTGGGACTGAACTATAAAAACTGTTGGGAATAGACCCGAGGTTCTTTGACAAGAAAGCTGCCTGGCCCATGTATTGTACAACCAGACAAGGGTACACAACAACGGCGAAAGCAAGCTGCACAGAAGAAAAAGAAGTAACATGTAACCAAAAAAGCTGAGCAACCAGCATGGATATATGTTGAAGAATAACCAGCAAGGCTGTAGAGAAGCTCATGGGTAAAAGAACTGATGTACACCACTAGACATGAAACCTCGACTTACTCTGATTGAGACCGAGGTGAAATGGCCAAGATCTGCAAACATAGCTTCAGTGCCTGATGAGACAGTGATCATCACTCCAAGGTTAAAAGAATAAGACGATAGAAAATACAGGATTTTAAACAAACAGAAAATAAATAGTTTTATGTTTATGTCTTGAAAGGACTACCTGTTACAGAAAGAAGAACCCCTCCAAGGGAAATCCAGCCATCCTGACCAGTCACTCTGAAGAATTTGATGATATAAAGCGGGGAAACAGCGTTCACTATCTTTGGATTCCAGTGTATGATGTTGAATAAACCGATGAAGAGTATTGAAAAAAGCCATATGATCACAATTGGTGCAAACATAAAAGCCACCCTGTGAGTACCACAGTGTTGCAAAGCAAACATTCCAACCAATATGACACAGGCAAGAAACAAGAGTTCACCTGCAGTTGTTTAAGAGAGGACCTTCAGATATTCCTCCAAAACAAAGCAAAAAAACAAAACAAAAGTCCAAAAGAGGTAATCAAGCAACAATCAGAACTTGAAAGAAGCACACGGTGGAAGCAAAAAGCATTAGATACCATCAGTCAGTTTCTTCTCTGTAGCTTGCAAACCTGACATGGAAGACAGAACTACAAGAAAGCAGGAGTAGTTTAGAGTCTCAGTCAAAAAAAACATAGTGATGAATGTAAATAGAAGAATGGTCTCGGAGAAAGCGGTTTCAACTTTCAAGAAAAAGAAACAAAAAGAACAACTTTCAAAGGATCACAGTGAACAACTCCAACTCTGGATATTATATGTAGGAGGTGGGAATGGTTAACCTGATATTGCTGGAGTCAAAACCCCGTCTCCTATGACCATAGCAGCTCCAAAAAGTACAACAACCAGCAACGCGGTCCTCAGCGTTTTGTGCTTTTCAAGGATTCTTTTAAAGGGGGATGAAGTTGCAGTATCCGTGGACGGACCACACTTGTAACCTGAGAGCTCCTCATCAGCAGCTTGCTGGTTAGGAAGTAAGCTAAGCTTCGCATGCCTACAGAGCAGCGAGTAGAGAGCAAATGTTCCGCCTGGAGACGCAAAAACAAAAAATATTCTTTATCATCCCGAGGCTCTTGAAAATGGCAGAAGAGGAAAGATATAAATTAGCACCTTCTCCATTGTCATGGGCGCTCAGTAATACAAGAAGGTACTTGAGAAGGGGAATCAGCGTGAGGGTCCAGAAAATCAAAGAGAATGCACCAAATACGGCTTCCTCGTTCTGATGCTTGTGCAACTTGCCGATAAATGTGCTAGGATACACATAGAGAGGAGATGTACAGAGGTCACCGTAGACTACACCAAAGCTCTGGTAGGCCAAGATCAAATTCTTGGAGAGACTCACCCACGAAAGCTGAAAAAGGGGATATTTTCAAGAAAACAGTAAGCCGGAAAACAGAGAAACGTAATGAATTATGGATGCAGAAAAACAAAAGTCGGAGGAAGAAGTCCCAAGTGAGCTGGTTCTACATACCGTAAGCAGTGCACAACAAAAGTAAAGTTTTTTTCTTTGGATTAAGGAAGATTTTAAGCACAAGCGAGAGAAGATGTGACTAGAAATAGAGAAAGTATAACAACGCCTGAGATGAACAAAAACTCGGCTATCCAGGAAGAAGGAGACACGCTATTTAGGGTTTATTTCCGGATTCCATCTAGTAAGGAGACACACAGACACAAACACAAAAATTGCTACCAACAGTTGAAGTGAGGAGAAGGGAGCTAACTTGAGAAGGATTCCGAGATGGGGAGACTCCAGATTCCGCCGCCGCCATCGCCGTTGTCGAAAGAAGAATCAGGTTCGAGCTTTTGTGACACCTTAAACGCAACTCATCTTATCTCTAATGAATCTATTTTGTCTCTCGCCCATCTCTATCCGACCTACTCTTATCTACTCGTACTAAACGCTGCTACTATTTGAACTCCTTAATCATCCGTTTTTCATCAAGAGTCTCTCTATCTCTCTCCCTCGATGTCCTCCCTCTAATCAAGCGATTGTTTTTGCCTCGGGAAGTGAAGCAGTGAGCAAAACAAAAACTCGTGTTTCCTCACGTTCTCTCGGGTTTGGGCCCACCTGCAACAAATCAAAATTGTGTGTTTCGTTTTTCTATATGTATGTACAACAAGGTCATGGGATGAAATGTGTTGCGTACTTTAATTGATTTGGCATAAATACACAACATGGAGAGACTTTATCTTAATTTGGCACATAAATACATGGTTAACGTGAACATTCGCAATCGCAATTATAGAACATGCGATGCGAGACAAGTCAATGATAAGGAAACGTGCATCTAAGTCTAACGGAGGAGTTGTTGAAGGAGAACCCAAAGATGACATTGTGGTTTTGGAAATCTCTAAGCTTGGGAAAGAGGCAGGTCACAGTAAGTAGTTGGGTCAACCCAAGTCACGTAGTTTTCCGCCTTTGCGATGAGAGTATCAAAAGACAAGAATACACAAGAAGCTTTATTTTTTTCTTTTCAAAACGCAAAGGATATTTGTATTTTGGACTGGAGGGCCGATCCGTCGCCCGCCTTCCTTGTTATTAATTTGTCTCTGATATTGAGGTAAATGGCGGTCCGAGTATGATTGGGTTTAGGGACAAGTACAAGTGTGGATCAAAGCCGATTCCTTTGGCCATCATTCTCAGATTATCAGACCCAACTCTGAGGCTTTACATTCATGAATCAAGTTCATCGTCATCGCCCATCTCCCCCTTTTAGATGCCTCACTGTCTGTCCTTCAACACAGCCTCGCCGGAGGCCATTCTCGGCGACGACCCTTTCCCCCATCCGTCCCTAGGTATGTGCGCGCGTCTCCTCTTTCCTTTTCTCTGCTTCTGCCCACCACGTGTTTGTTGAAATGTCTTTCACTCGATTTTCACAGAGGGCGTGGCTTCCTCTTCCAGAAACGCCTCCAATCCGTCGCCCACCTTTAACCTCAGCCGCGAGTTGGCTCACGCTTTTCAGACCCCCTCGTACCAGGACATAGTCCACGTGGTTGACCCAACCCAACATCATCTGCACATCCAACCGGACATCGGTGATCGCACCGAGCTGCTTCTCTCTCAGGTTCTCCAACCAAACAAGGAATGCGTCCAAGAAGCTCTTGGCCACGCCAAGCCTACTTCTCTCACCCATCTCATCTCCACTTACTTCCAACACAGCGAAAACGCCACGCGCCTTTGCTTGGATCTTTACCAAAGCGTCCACAGCGCTCGCCACCTCTACACACCCCTCTTTGACCTCTTCCACATCCTCCCCGTTGATTCCCACGCCATCGACGAACCCCTCTGTAACTTGGCGTTCGACGTTTTCCTCAAGCTCGACACTTTTGATAACCCTTTCTCATCTCCTGAATCTCACAGCTTTCGAGACACTCAATTATGCTTCTCCCAGCTGAAGCACAAGCTGGACACCCGTCTCCGCAAGTCTAGGTCACGGGTCCGCCTCCTCCACCATGCCACAGCTGGTTATGCCTTATCTCTTGTTGCTGCTCTTGTTTGCTTTGCTGTTGTTTGCCTGCCTCTCTCTCATCCACTTCCCTTGCCGTTGCAGGTCCCCTGTGCAGCCCCTATCTCCCTCACAGTTTCAAGAAGAAGGAGTTAACTAACATTTCTCAGCTCAATGCTGCTGCCAAGGGAACATTTGTGCTCAACAAGGATCTCGACACCATTGACCGTCTTGTCTCCCGCCTGCACACTGGGATTGAGTACGACAAGCTTTTCATTCGGCTTGGATTGGAGAGGGGGAGGGACGTGTATTCAATTCAGGAGATTCTGAAACAGCTTCGCAAGAGCCACCATAACCTCACCCATCAACTCAAGGATCTTGAGGACCATATCTGCCTTTGGTTCACCAACGTTAACAAAGCTAGATCGTTGCTCCTTCAAGAAATCCACCTACCCCGAATGTAAGCTCCACAACCTTTCCTACCAGTTTTTCCAATGCTTGTTAGTTGCTCACTACCTAACTTTTACGCTGGCCAGCCATAGTAATCCGTAGAGGGAACAATTTACTGCCATCTCTTGTCAAAAAACAATCAAGATTACAAGGTCAGTGCCTTTTGCAAAACCATAAAAACATGTCTGGATAATTGGTGCTGGAGTCTATATATGCCTTTGTTTTAATCAAATGAGGCCAATGCTTGTTGTGTTAATTGACGGTATGGCATGTGTGTTCTCAGTCAGACCGCGAGGTTGGTTAGTTGCACTAGTTTAAGAGACGGTCTACTCTATTTGTTTTTTGGGATATTTGACTTAATTTGTTTTTGGTTCTTACAGTAGTCTGAGCTTATGGGGGAGGACAACAGGACCAAGGTGGTATACACATAGACGTTGAGCTTATCTATAGCACAGGGAATAGAGACCGTTTCTGGTCTAACTTAGAAATTGTTCATAGACGACTTGTTTGAGAAGTAGTTCAATGTTGGATGTTGTATTGGTTCACATCATCATATCGGACAATTCTTCCCGCAATTGGATTTTGTAACAACCGACTACAGAACAGTAACTTAAGAGTCTTGATGAAATGAGAAGAAGAGATCAAATGTCGAAAAGAAGAGGAGAAGGTAAATTCAAGAAGGGGTGACACCCTGTTTGGCCTTGAGGACAAGCTCCTCCGTCGTGGTCCCTATGATCTCGTTGGCCCGCTTCAACCCCATACAGTAGTACCTTCCAATGGTGTCCCGAGCAACGATCCCCAGCTTCTCTAGCTTCTGGACTGCATCGTCCACATCAAAGTTACACCTTTCACCAAACTCTTCCTTTATCAGTTCCTCGCACCTCAGATCCAGATCCTATCTCCCAAACATTCCAACCAACTCAAGTCAGCACTCGCTAATGATAACAGACAATACCAAAGAGTAAATGATGTACCTCCAAGGTAGCTTTCCCCTGCTCCATGAGTATGTAGAAGGAAATCATCACCTCTTTTACCTGCGCATGCAACCCAAATGAGCCGTTTGTTCCTCCTATTCCAGAGGGATTCACACCCATGTGTATATTAGATTCATGAAGGAACTTACTTCTTGCTGAATTACATCATCACACAAGTGTAGCAGCGTACCCTTCCCGCTGTCTAGTTGTTTATCATACATTGACTGCGTTATCAAGTTCTGGTATGTAGCCATGTTCTGCTGGAAACTGAAGTAAAACAACTTGCGATAAGTAACTATTGGCTAAACAACGAAGAATGAAGGCATGGAAATATAGAAAGCACTTAACGTGAAGTATGTTTTAGCACAATAACCAACCACTGTGGAGAGAATGGCAATAATTACCCATGGATCTGCTTTCGGCATCTCAACCGACGTAAGCACGGCAACCTGTAGTGTAGAGAAAGTACATGAGAACCAAGAAAGACATGTAAAACATGAACAGCAACACACACACAGAAAAAAGTAGAATATGCTAAGGAGACTAACCAGACCAACTACGGCAGATATCAGAAATTTGACCCAGTCCATTGGAGTCAGTCCAGGATTTCTTTTCTCAGGCTGCACAAGAGGTTAATGTTATTGCAGCTAGTTTGCGTTTTTGCTACAGAATCCACCATGCAAAGAGAAAAAGGCAAGAGCAGAAACTTACAAGCACAATCTCCATGTCGGCCATAGGAATGTTTTTGAAATGCTTGACGTAGATTCCTCTTTCTAGATTTGTTTTAGAGCTAGCTCGCCTGCAACATCATCAACACGTGCTTGAACCACAAGTTCACAAAGGAACAAATAAGTGAGACAAGACATACATAAACCTTACCTATAAACAACAATCATTCTATCGAATGTAGGCTCCTGTATTGTGAGCTTGCTCAAGAAACTCTTGAAGCTGAATTCATCAAGAGAAAAGCCATTATTATATATGTAAATCTAAAGTTTTCCAGAATAACCAAGTTGGGCTTGAAAGAAAATCACAACAGGCAAGGGATACCGAGGACAACCTCAATCGTGTATTCTCAAGGCGAATGCGCTCCACATACAAGTCCTCATTATCTGCTTCAGGGTTTGTCTCATCATCTTTTTGGGGATCTTTCTTGTGAAGTCTGCTTGACCTATTAGCACGTAACTTGTCTAACCTGTGATCCAATGCGGTGGTAAACATTGAAAAGAAGAAGGATGTTGGAACCCAAGAAGCATCATTTTAGAAAACTATGATCTTTAAGAAAGGCTACACTGGGAAAGCTGTGCTTACCTAGTGATTCTCAGGAGAGCGGACCAAAAACGTGATATGATCACATCCAGTTTCTCCATGAAAAAGAAATCTGTGGTTCTATCCATTCCAATACCACGTCTGAAGATGACATACTATAAAATCGGGTAAAATAAAATTAGTCTTATCAGCAAGAAAGTAGTTAAAAAGCTATAATCTTGAAATGGTTATCTACAAACTCAAACCGTACATTATCAGAAAAGTCTGGAAGATTTTCATGTGGGTGCTCCTCAAAATATCTCTTGAGTAGTTTCTTGTCAAGCTTCATCCGCCAAAGCAAAAGTTGTTTAGAAAAATTACAAGTGTGGAGGGGTGAGTAAAAACGTCAAGTGCTCTTTGATTAAACCTTTGACTCGTCAACTTTGATGGGAAGATTGAGAAGATACTGCCCAGAGTGTGCAACCTCGATCTCTTCATCTGTTGTTATTTTAAAGTTGCTCTTCTCCATAACCTTTTTGAAGGAAAAGGAAAAAAAAAACACACACACTCAAGAACACTGACATACATAAGATAAGGGCGAAATAAGCAAATCAGGTGACTACCTGAAACAAGTAAGCGAGGAAATTTTGTTCAAGCACGTCAATTTCGTGAGAAGTAAGGTTCTGCTGCTGGAGTTTCTGGGCGCCGTGTACAGGATCAAAAAGAGAGTATAGTTGCTGCAGACACAAAAGAGATGAGAAGAAAAGCAAACGAGTTTATAAGAAAAAAACAGGAGCAGGGGGGAAGAGGTAAACACCATCAAATCTTCAAACTGAAGATTATACCAAGCTCGGACAGTGTATTCAATTCTCTTGCAGAGCTTGAGAAACTCTTGCCTGTCATTGCTATGTTCTGCAAAATACGAGCCAGTTGATCTAACCACAGTTGCAACCAAACAAACAATAAGGGGGCAGAAGAGTGGAGCGATTTGTGCAAGTCGAGGCACGAACTTGGGGGGGGGAAATCATTAACTGGCGATCGAATTTAACAATATCTAATGAAACCCTAAAAGAAAGTGTTGTCCAATCTCCGAGTATGGGGGAAGACCTAGCCAAATAGTGAAAGGAAGAGAAAAAAGAAAAAAGGAGGAACTGACCAATGAGATTAGCCAAGGTCATGATGAGCTTGGGTTTGAGGATAGGGATGACAGATTCAGGCTCCAGGCGAATCGTTTCCTTTTTCCCTTCCGCCATTTCTTGGAAGCCAAAATACAGCGCCGGGGAAGAGGGAAGACGAGGAGAGGAAGAATGGGTGAAGAGGAAGCGAAACGGCCCTGAGATGGAGCAAGACAGCCACAAGTCAGAATTAAAAACTGAAGCGTTCCTGAATTTATGTCGTTTGGGTTGAGTAGTATATAACTCGACCAACAACGGATCTGCCCTGCCTTTGGCTTTTTCGGTTTCTGCTTTGGATTTTATTACTTCTTTTCTTCCGGAATCGGAATAAAGTAACACAAAATTGCAGATGACATTTTCATTTACCGGTAAAGACTATTTCCTTGCAAAAAGATTAATACAATGTCATCCAAAAACCGATGATGTGTGCAGGTGGAAATGCAAAATATATGTTAAGAAGATGAAGGTGGGTCGGTCCTATGTCTAAAAGCAAACAGTGTTGCTGTCTCAAAATGAAACCAGCGTCTTCTTTCCTAAGATAGGCCCGTAGAGTTTGATGGGCTTTTAAAAGTGGATGGGAATTCAAACCCAGAGGGCTTAATTAAGATTGGGATTGGGCTTGCCCTGAAGCCTTATTCCTCTCTTTTCTTTAGATTTGGACAATTTAATTTATTGGAAGCAAGTCTTTTTCTCATTATTTAATTGTTTTACAAACTGTTTTTACAAACCACGTTGATTGGAAGCAAGTCTTACTAGATGAATCACACAAATTAGACATGTGTCAGAATGTATAATCAACGTGGTTAAGAGATGGAAGAAATCCCAAAACAAATATAATTAAAAAATGTTACAGTATATGGGAATTGGACATACACGTATGTTGCTGAAGTTAGTTAATTAACAGATGGGAGGAGGAAAGACGGGGCACATAATCTAAGCACTGACGTATGCTAAATGTAGAGAGAGAGAGAGAAGATGGAGTAGGAAAGGGAGGATAATATGCTCTGGAATATTCGGAAATGCTTTCAGATTTCATAGTCTTGTACTACAAGGAACATCGATGGCTGCTTACTTTGTCCAATTTAGGCAGCCAGAGAAGGAAGAAAGGCCCTTTGAGAATATCCGAAAGGGATAATTTGACTGTTATTAGGAACCCAATGATGACGTGGCGATCCTCAGAATATTCCAAAATCCCTTCTTCTTCTTCTTCTTTTAACACCCCCAAAATCCATTCTTGAACCCACCCCTCACAAAGCTTGTTTAGGAGCGATATAATGCATAAAATCTCTGACGTATATTTGGTATAATCTCTCTAACTTAGGAAATTACATTCTCTGACTTGTGTATTATAAAGGCTGTACACATCGATTTCTTCCTCTACAGAGCTAATCAATTCTCATTAGAAATGTCTCTGAAAGCAATTCATGTATCGGAGGTACCGAGCCTCGACCACTTCCCTGAGAACCCCTCCCTCTGCCCCTCTCGTTTCAAGATCCCCAAGTTTTTGGTGGTTGGGCATAGAGGACACGGCATGAACATGTTGCAGTCGCCGGATCCAAGGTTCACTGCTCTCAAGGAAAACTCCATCCTCTCCTTCAATGCCGCTTCTAAACTCCCTCTAGACTTTATCGAGTTTGATGTTCAGGTTCCTTTCTTTCTTTTCCATCTTCATTCATGTTCGGTGTCGGTTCGCTGCTTTTTTGGGTTTGGTTCCACTTCCACCACGTGTGTGTTAATTCGTTGACCTTTTTTTTTCCTCTAAAAAAAATGTACTTTCTGATTATACGCAGGTCACCCGAGATGGCTGCCCAGTCATTTTCCACGACGACTTCATCTACTCGGAAGACAACGTAAGTCGCCGTTTATGAATTATGGAATCTTGATGCTAATGTTGGATTAAAAGGAACCTGATGAATGGAACAGGGAGTGGTGTACGAGAAGAGGGTCACGGAGGTTAGCTTGTCGGAGTTCATGTCCTACGGGCCACAGAAGGACACAGGGAAGATAGGGAAACCACTGTTAAGAAAGTCAAAGGAAGGGACGATCCTCAAGTGGAGCGTCCAAGGAGACGACTCTCTCTGTACTCTCCAGGAGGCTTTTGAGAAGGTGGAGCCCAAGCTGGGTTTCAACATCGAGCTCAAGCTTGATGACAACCTCGTGTACCCATCCGATCGTCTCTCCCGTCTTCTTCTCCCAATCTTGCAGGTACCACAACACAGACTGTGATTAGGTTCCTTGCTTGGCATCAAAAAAATGCAATTGCCTGATTGGGTTTGTATGACATGACAGGTGGTGTGTGATTATGGAAAAGACAGACCCATCATCTTCTCCAGCTTCCACCCCGATGCTGCCCTTCTCGTCAGGAAGTTTCAGAGCACCTATCCCGTAAGTACCCTTCACCTCTGTTCCCAAAAGCTAAGCTACGCACTTTCCCACTTAACTTCTCCTCCGTGGAATGAAAAACAGGTCTTCTTCTTGACAAACGGAGGAACAGAGTTGTACTGCGACGTGAGAAGGAATTCGCTGGAGGAAGCAATCAAAGTATGCCTAGAGGGAGGCCTTCAAGGGATTGTGTCGGAGGTGAAGGGCTTGTTCCGGAACCCAGCCGCAGTCAACAGGATAAAAGAATCAAAGCTCTCGCTCATGACATACGGCAAGCTCAACAATGTGGCTGAGGCCGTGTATATGCAGCATTTGATGGGAATAGACGGAGTCATAGTGGATCATGTGGAGGAGATGACAGAGGCTGTGAGGGAGATGATGAAGCCACCCAACAGAGATGCTCATGATACTAAGCTAAAGCCAAACTTCTCTGAGAGAGAGCTCTCCTTTCTTCTCAAGCTCATTCCTGAGCTGATACAGCACTAAACTAGCTCTTTCTCCTTTAGTTAGGATCTCTAGTTTTTTTGGTGTTTGACCATATAGGAAAAATTTGACAACTATGTGGCTGCGGCTGGTATCATGATTTGTGCCCAAAATATTATGCAAAATGAGTAAATGCAATCACCAAAATGCTCTTGGATTGATGAATCCATTTAATTGTGTAAAGGTATTCAAAAGTGGAAAGTGGGGACTTGAGTGCGGAGACCGTACTGCAGGTGATAGTGAAGTCGGGACAAGAGAGGTCTGTAAGGATCCTCCTCCCTTCTCTGCTTCACGAATTCTATGCATCTCTCAACCTCCTTCTTCACCTCTGCGTACACCTCCTTTGCCTTCTCCCTGTCCCTCAACTCTTGCTCTCCCGTCTTTATCTCCTTCCCAAAGTAGTAATAGTATCTCCCTGGCCACTTTGGTATCACTCCTGGCATGTGCATGGCTTGGTTTCCTTCTTCTCCTTCCACACTTCCCCTTGGCAACACAAACCATGTCACATGTCACACACCAACATCCATTTCCACAATCAATATTACCAACGTACGCTGCTCTCTATTCACATTACCTTACCTCCGGGCCTTCCGCTGTCACTCCTTTTAGCACCTCTTTGACAATCGGAACCTTTATCTGGTCATTGTAGTCCACAACAACCTGCATTCGTTACACACGGTCACATCACCTATATATTACAAATGGTTGGATACCACAAAAAAAAAGAAAAATGTGCTTACTTTTAAGAAATCATCTTCTCCAACCCCACAAAAGGGTACTATTTTGGCTCCAAATTTGGCTGCCGCTCTCACAAACTCCGCTTTCTCTGGCCACATCAGCTTGTATTCTTCTCCCTGTTATCGAGTAAATTGTGATGACTTGTTTTCAATACCAAAGCAATACAACACAATGATGATGACTTGACATCCTGATGTATAACACGCATATTCAAAGTATCTGCTGCCATTTGTGAGACTCCACTCCGGATAACTACTCACCTTGCGGTGTAGAGCTTCGCGGATGCCTCCTGGAAACAACAGAATATGGGATTTTGCAGCCAAGAGTTTATGGAGGTGAGTGGCTGAGATGGGGACCGACCCCATCATCCTGAGCGTGTCGTAAACAGACACATCAGGTAAAAATCCGTCTCTCAGTCTCGTAAACATCATGGGATGCACGAGAGGCCGCAAATTGATGTTCCTCTCGTGAACAAATTGACCTGGGAGTGATATTTTATCACTCGCCAGTAGCATATGATTGCCCACCAACAGCACAGGCCCTTCCGATGGTATTCCCCCAAGCCCTCTCACCAATTTCCCATCTTCTGTAGTCGACAGAAACACAGGTCCCATGATCACCTCAAGGAGCCTATACCGTTACAAAAGAATCCAAGATCAATCAATCAGTTTCTTTACTACTGACTGCAGTAATCATGCAAGACATTTTGGGACATGATGTGTATGTCTAGTAACCTGTTGAACCCATAACATTTGTTAAACTCGGAGAAGGTTGGTGGGATGTAGTCGGAGATGTAGTCCTGATGAGACCCACGCCGGTAAAAAGAAGTGGCCTTTATGATACTGACCAGATCAATGCCGTCCTCCTATCGCAAGCAAAAGGAGATGTTTATCAGACTACATATTTGAATGAGATGAAACTCAGTGTTTGGCCATTGGACCGGAGAGAACCGAGATAGACGTATATACCAGAAAAAGGCAATGACCGTTGTCTTTGAATGAACGGACTTCACATTTAGGCAGTTTTTTGCGAAGTCGTCTGCCTTCACATTTACTGGGTAGTATTTGGTCATTTCCGCTGTAATTGACAAACAAGTTAGCATACCTACTTGCTATACCCAGGTGGAAATGGTGGATACCACGAACCTGGATAGAATTAGAGTACGGGCTTGTACTAGATGAAGATGTGCATTGGCAAACAGAGCAGCGGCATCAAGCAACTTGAGCTTCCACAGAAGTGTTTCTCTCCGAAATGTATCAGCTAGGATCTGCATAGTCATCAGATTCTTAACCAAATGTGACAACATTGCAAAAGTAACGACCTACCATACCATAAATGAGGTTGTCACCTACAGAAGTGAATGTCGACGTTGTCACCAAATCTTGGTAAATGTTTGCAGCTGTTTCATTCTCCGGAAGTCCCCTGACCCAGTGAGCAATCATCCTTTTTAATGGGCCACCTTAAAATTCCAACAGAGCTTAAGAAGCATGCCTTACATCACCAAAACTCGCATGTGAACCAAAATATGTGAAGGGATAAATTTAAGCTGACCTGGAATCAAGCTTAACATGGAAGGAAATGCAAGATCAAGTTGGTCCGGCAAGAGCTTAAGCAGGGGAGGCAGGTGTTGCAGCGAAGAATATCCAAATGATGTAGCTGCAAATGCAACACTAGTCTTTAGATCAAACCAGAAGAGGTGGTGAGACTTGTGCTCAAGGTATTGGGAATAACAAAGGCCTTTCCTTCATTTATTGGCATAAACTGGGGACACCATCAGCCGCTAAATGCCAAAGTCCTACTAACAAATGAAGATATATTAAGACAAGATCACCGTCACCTGGGTTTGAAAGAATCAAGACAAGATCAATGTCAGGGTTGCAGGCGGCAACGGCGAGTGCTATGCAGGCGCCGAGAGATTCCCCAACAAGATATATGGGTCCACCGGGTGACCGCTGGCTTTCAGATTTGACAGTTGTTTCAACCATCCCTACTAGATCTAAAGCATTGCGCATGTGTTAGAGGAATCACATAAATGATCTCTGTACCAGAAACAGAACAGATACTACCTGGGAATGCAGTACGATTACTCGGTGGAATGTGAAGGCACCAGATATCAAACATCCTTGAGACGCATGAAAAAGCAAAGCATATGATGCCTCAGAAAAATCAACCATCGCAAATTCAAAAACTTGTGGATTGAGATACTCACTGTCCAAGTTTATGGTGCTGCCTTATAAGCCCGAGTCCATTTCCGTCGATACCTACGCAGGTCATCAAAATGGTTTATGAGTGTGTTTGTCACTGATAACTCAATGAAACAGGGAAGACTAACCGGGTAGGAAAAGGAGGAGCGGGGCGCGGTCACATGGAGCCTTGCTTCTCAGGGGAGAGAACCAGCGAGACGGGCTGTTGTCTTCCGGTCTGATGAAATCCCTAGCCGACTCGAGGTAGTCCCACAAGCTCTTGGAGGATCGCTGATCGTAGTCCATAAGCCTCCGCTGCTCCGAGCTAAAAGCGGTGACAGAAACGGAGGATCGGCGGCGTGCCGGGGGCAGGGCTACTCCAAGGGAGTGATTGCGTAAGCCGACGGCAGAGAGCAAGTGAAATGCGGTGGCGGCCATGGAGGGAAGAAGATGAAACTGGTTCAGGTGGTGCGTGAGCGTCCGCCATCAAGGAAGGAAAATTTAAAGATGGCTTCTTTTTTCTCTCTCTGTTTTCCAGCGAAACGAAGAACTCATGACTCAACTGTCTCACGTGCTGCTTTCATTTTTAAACGGGCCTCGCACATGGCCATGTGGCCCAATAATAATTTCATGAGCTTGATCCTCTTTTAGTTTGGCCCATGAATGAGTTCCTATTTCTTCAAACCAAAAAACCAGCATTTCAATCGTGCGTTTCATTTTTGGCAGAGAAGAGCAGATTCATGGCGATCCCCGTAGCTAAACTTTTGATCTCGGCCATGGCGGTGATGTAGAAGAAGTGAGCTTACATTCGACACCGACGAATTACTCAGATCCATCCTTTTCGGATGGTTTATTTAGATTATTCAATCCGAGCTCAGCCCGATAATTAAAGCCCGCGTATATAATTGATATTTTTTGGGCCTCTCTAATTTTCCTGACATTTGGGCCTCACTTTATAAACCATACCGAGAGAACAAAAGTAACAGAACTAGAGCGGGACAACTTTGAAGAGAGAACGCGGACGAAAAAAAAAATGGAAGAAGCCAACAATAGCAGTAACCACCCACAGAAGATTGTCCTGATTTCGGGAACACAAAAAAAAATGGTTTCTTTTGGCACTGATCAACTTAGATGCAGGCTTGAGTTACTAAATCTTTTCATCATTGTCCGGTTATCTTATTTCTTATGTTTTCAAGACCGTAAGGAAGTCCCGATCTTGCTCGTCATTGTTTAGGCGTTTGCTTCGGCAGGGGTGATGGCGGCGGCTGGAGCAACACCACCAGTGGTTGGACTGAAAGAAAAGAGAGATTCATTAACGGTTGAGAAGGGGAGCCTCTGAAACGGAGTATAGGTGCAAAGTAGAGGACTTACAGGCCAACAAAGACTTTGAAAGCATCGTAGATACCCCACTGTGCTCCCGTCAATGTCCCTATCATCACAATTCGTAGAGGCAACCCTCTTGTGAATAGACCCAGCAGCCCTATCTTCTTCACCGCCTGTTGAAAGGATCACGTCACAACATTGTTCCAACAACAAAGTATGCATCGCGTTAGAGATAAAAAAAAAAAAAACAGAAACTTTGAAAGACTCACATCTCCAACGGTTGCTCCTCTGGCGTTGTTGAGGAAGGACACTAAATTATCTGCCGGATGAGAGACTATAGCACAGAAGACGCCAGCAACGTAACCTCCTGCGAAACTCACCCCAAGTTGTAGACCCTTGCTGCACTGGTCCTTGGGTCTCGGGATTGCATACTTGTACATCATTTCCACAATGGTCTCAAAAGAAGCAAACTTCATCATTGTGTCTGTCACAAAGGTAGATTTCGACATCACAATTTGCAACTAAAACAGTCACTAGAGTATCTATGAGCCCAAATCGTACAACTTACAAGGAATCTGACGTCCCCAGAGTGGACCAATTCCCTTGTATAAACTGCAAGGGCAACAAAAAAGGGAATCAGGCTGATCTGAAGACGAGTGAGAATGATATTGGCAAGTCAAGGGGCTTACCCTCCGACACCTTCAGACTTGATAAACTTGGGAAATCCGTCAGACATTCCGCGGGCAAAACCAGGCTGTGTCTGAACACGAACCTTGACAGCCTCGAATGGGCAAAGAGCAACATCTGCGATGATCTCAGCAGAAGCAGAACCGGCAAGGTAGATGAGGGTTTTGTATTTGGCAGTGTACTCAGGTCCAGCAAGATCAGAGTAGTACTTCTTAAAAAACTCGTAGAAACCAAACTTGCAGGCACCCTGCGCACTGTAGCCCAACAAAGTAGGGACCCATCCACGGAAGAAGCCCCTGGCTCCCTGTTCTTTCAGCAAAACTCCAAATCCGGATGAAATGCTCCTGTACTTTGCGGGATCAATCTGAAAGGGCAATCAAGGTCAATGTCTCGAGCAAATGTGCATCATAGGAGAGACACTAAGCTGACGATGGAGGTTAAAAAGTAACCATAGGCAATGCATATACAGCAAAGCAGGCAAGTCAAAGATTAGAGTCGACTAAGTTAAGTCAGAAAAGAGGAGTTAAGATGCATCACATAGCTAAAGCAACTTTGTAGGATGACAGCAGAGAGGATGTGGGAGAATGAATTAACAAACCTAGAGCACAAAAGATCTCCAACGCAGGAGGTAATAAAAAGAAAAATGAAACATGTGCAGAGCAAACCTGCATATTGCACTTGACAAGATCAAGAGGTGTAACGGTCATGTGAGTGAGACCACAGCTGAGGATCCCACCGAAGGTACAGGCGGCGTAGAAGGCCGGAGAGTACATCTCGATCCTCTTCCCGGGCTCGGTGGGAGACGCGATAAGGAAATTCTTCCGGGAGAGCGTTGTCGGAGAGGAACGCGGCGGCGGAGAGGGAGATTTCTCGAGACTGGGACTGGAGTTCACCATCTGGTCGACAAGGAAAGACCTGGGAGGGGAAGACGAGGAGTAGAGGAAGCTAGGGATCAAGGATGGATGCTTTGGAGATTCCATGGCCGGAGAGGAAGGAAATGAGCAGCTGCAGCGTAACCACACTCCCTGATCTTCTTCCTCTTCGGCCTCCTCTTTTAATATTTTCGAGAGAGAAAAAAAACCCTCAGACGCTCAAATGGGGGAATGTCCCTATAAGCAAACAAGGCATATTCTTTTGACTATTCCCGATAATGCCATTTCATTACATGAAAAAACAAATTAAGGCCCACGGGCTTCTATTAAAGGCCTGTAATCATTCTCCGAGAGGAAGCCCATAACGATAGTAATTGGGCCATGATCGAGAAAACAGCCCAGGCATGATGGCTTTAAACAAGTGCATGCAAACAGTGTCTTGTTTCTCATTTCATACAACCAAGCAAGTGCGTGCGTGTTGTCCAAACATATGATTCCATAATCATCACGCTGTCTGGTGATTTTTAAAACAATTGGCTACGTTCTTTCTTCACTCAGCTTTACCCCAACAAATTTTTTATTAATCCCTCGCACTTTGGACGATCGATTTCTATTTTAGTATTTATGGTCGATTGCCTAGTGAGACTACATACATAAGCAACCACTGATGCCACGTGTGATGCAGTATGCATATATTGCTAAAATGTGAAATTCTTTTTTTTTTGTGTGGAAAATATCATAATTAGACATTGCCTATGAGTAGGTGGCCACGTTTTTTCGGTTTACCATTTGCTACACCCCCTCAACCTCCTAAGGGTTCACTAATAAAAAAAACTTTGCTCAAGTATATATATATATATATATATGTGCTAATTAACCAAAGAGTTTGAATTATCAAGCCGATTCATCATATATACGGAATATAAATAAATAAAAGAATAGAGAAGTCGTCGAATGATCGTTCGATTGGTGGTTTAAAGAAAACTCATTGGCGTTGAGGGAGACGGCGCCTCGACCAAGTACACGTCTTGTCGTCGTCTTGCTTCTTCCCGGCCGCTCTCCTTCAGAACTCTCGGAGGTTTGTCGCTGTTAACTGGCATGCCACTTCTCAGTCTCCTCATCTGCAATCTGCTTTTTCTTGTACTTTTTGTTCATGACTTACTGAATAATGAAAAATACTAATAATTTTAATTACATTGACCATGTTTCCGTGGATTGTACGTATCGTTGCAGGTTTCCGCAGTGAACAAGCATAGTCCATAATTTGTCGAAATCATTAAAATTGAGTCTCTGAATACTAAGCCAGCTGATTGGAGGGATGGCGGCTTCAACACACTTGTGCGGACTTGCCTTGAACTCAAAAAGGATTGAGTTTGGCTCAAAGGTGCTGGATTTCTCAGCTCACGTGTCACCTGCTCTCGTGTTCTCGAGAAACACAAACCAGTCTTGTAGGAAGAGAGCTCTACGGGTTACATGTGAAGCTGGAAGGGTGGAATTGCTCGAGAGAAAAGACTCGTCGGAGACTTTCAAATTAAACAGAAGTGAGAAAAAGATGACATGTGTGATGAAATTCGGTGGCTCGTCAGTGGCATCAGCAGAAAGGATGAAACAAGTTGCCAAGCTCATACTCAGCTTCCCAGATGAGAAGCCTGTCGTTGTGCTATCAGCAATGGCAAAAACCACCAATAAGCTTTTGATGGTAAGAAACAAAACAATATACCCTAAATAAAAAGAAAGTCGACCCTTTTTTATTTGTTTCTTAATTATATGTAATAAACTTGTGATGTGGCTTTCATTAGGCTGGGGAGAAGGCTGTTTGCTGCGGCGTCACCAATGTAGACACTATTGAAGAGTTGAGCTGTATAAAGGAACTCCACATAAGGTTGTAGAACACATCAGACATTTATATATATGGGTTTTTCCCAGCGCAACATTTTGCTTTATTCTCATGGGAAATCAATTTCTCTTAATCTCCAGGACTGCTCATGAGCTTGGAGTGGGAACAGCAGTTATTGCAAGTAATTGTCCGTACTTGTATTCCTTCAATTAATGATTGAACATGCATGACTGAATCTTGCTGCCGTTTAATCTATCTATAGAACATCTAGAAGGCCTCGAACAGCTTCTCAAAGGCATTGCAATGATGAAAGAATTAACTTTACGCACCAGAGACTACTTGGTTTCATTTGGAGAGTGCATGTCCACAAGGCTATTTGCTGCGTATCTAAACAAGATTGGCCACAAAGCACGCCAGGTATGTTCCCTTGAATCTTGTCGACAGTACCGCAGATTGTTGTTTCACGACTGATGGGTTTTGCCTTGGCAGTATGATGCATTTGAGATCGGGATCATCACCACAGATGACTTCACTAATGCTGATATTCTTGAGGCAACATACCCAGCAGTCTCAAAGAGGTTACTTGGTGACTGGAGCAAGGAAAATGCAATCCCCGTTGTCACAGGCTTTCTTGGAAAGGTTTGAGCTTCCGAGCGATTTGTGCATGAGTTTATGCTTTTAAGAAGAAAACACTTGATCACTCTGGCATATATATATATATATATATATATATAGGGATGGAGATCTTGTGCTGTTACTACGTTGGGTAGAGGAGGTAGCGATTTGACTGCAACAACAATTGGGAAAGCTCTAGGTCTGCGGGAGGTCCAGGTATGTGTTTACCAAGAGTGGGTGGTTTTATTCAATAATAAAGAAAAGAAATGAATTATGGTGATCATGTCGTACGTGGTGCAGGTCTGGAAAGATGTGGATGGAGTCTTGACGTGCGATCCAAACATATACGGCGGAGCTCAGCCCGTTCCACACTTGACATTTGATGAGGCAGCTGAACTTGCTTACTTTGGTGCCCAGGTAACCTAGACTTGTTGTACCAAAGAGGCTGAAGCAAATGGTGTAATCTATCTCCCTCTCTCATCGCAGGTCTTGCATCCACTTTCCATGCGGCCAGCTAGAGAAGGGAACATTCCTGTAAGGGTTAAGAACTCTTACAATCCCACTGCTCCAGGAACTGTCATCACTAGGTCAAGAGACATGAGCAAGGTTCGTGAAAACAATAGCATTATGAGTATGCTTACATCACAGCATCATAATCATCATCATCATATATGACATCTTCCTCGTTACCTTCTCCTAGGCTGTACTGACCAGCATCGTTCTGAAACGTAATGTTACCATGTTGGACATCACTAGCACCCGTATGCTCGGCCAATATGGCTTCCTTGCCAAGGTAACAATGCTTAGCTGCAATTGGTGTCCATGTTTTCACTTTTCCTCCTCCCTTTGGAACTCATAATTATTAGGAGATATCTTAGGATATTCTTAGAGATAAGCACATTAATAATATGTTGTTATCTAGTTTAGATTCACCGTTATCTTGTATCGTGTATATATACACATCTTTACATCATTCAATAACAACACAACAGAACTTTACAGTTTACCAATAATTGTTGTAACTTCTTCTCCACTAGGTATTCTCCACATTTGAAAAGCTGGGAATATCTGTGGATGTTGTTGCGACCAGTGAAGTTAGCATTTCCTTGACATTGGATCCTTCAAAGTTCTGCAGCAGAGAGTTAATTCAACAGGCAAGCTTCTGGTCCCCTATGTACTTTACGAGCGAATATTCCACTTGTTCTTGGAGCATAGAAATAATAAAATGATCAAGGCTCATATTAAATTTGAAATTCTTGGCGATGTGACAGGAGCTTGATGACGTGGTAGAGGAACTTGAGAAGATTGCTGTTGTTAATCTGCTTCGACACAGATCAATCATCTCTCTCATCGGAAATGTTCAGAAGTCATCCTTCATATTAGAAAAGGTTTGGTAGCTTAGCTATATATATATATATATATATATATGGTAAATATATATGGTTAGTGACTTAACAAATGAACAACAAACAGGGCTTCCGAGTTCTTCGAACCAATGGAATTAATGTCCAGATGATCTCCCAGGGTGCATCTAAGGTCAGCACATCTCTTTCAACCTCTATGCATGCATATGATTCTATTAAAGGACAAAAAGAAGGTTTATGGGACACTCACCTGAGTTTTGATAAGTCCGTTTTGGTGATATCTCAGGTAAACATCTCGCTGATAGTGAATGATGATGAGGCAGAGCATTGTGTGAAGGCTCTCCATTCGGCTTTCTTCGAGACAGGACGCGCCTAACTACATTGCTGCCTCCTCGTGGAACCTCTAGGTGCGACCGATGAGTAGCTTCAAGTTATAATGATTGTATTGAGAATGGTATTAGGAAATAAAACTCTCATTCTTGTTGTGTAATATAATGTAATTTCATGGGAGCTGTACTGGAAAATGAATAAGTTGTTTCCTATTGAAGAAAAATGATTGAAATGAGCCCTTTGTCCCCACCATAACCACCACAAGAACAGACCCCATCTCTGAAGTGATAAAATATGCGTCAGACCAGACCCCGTCTCTGAAGTGATGAAATATGCTTGAACCTCCCCTCCTTACAGCAACGTCCCTCTTTAGTTGTATTGCAGTATGACAACTGCTGCTGCAAGCCCTCGAATCGGAAGCCTTACGAGTAAAGTTATAGGCGCAAATGCAACCGAGCCTTTAGAAGACGTGAATCTTGTGCTTCAAGTTATTTGGTAGTGTATTCTAAATTTAAAATCGTAGCATGCATATGCAAGTCAAAACAAGACGAAAGGAATTATAGTAACTAAAAGCCCAAAAGGTCCAAATCAAGTGGAAAGCCCACTAACAAACACTAAAAATCCCGAAATACCCTAATACGTAACAGTATGTTGTTTTTCCAAAGTTGAAAAAAAGTAACCAATTAACAGTGTGAAATCGATTAAGAAGCAAGCATAACAGACAATCTCGTGATCTGAAATCACCTTTTTACGCATCTATCCAAATTATATATGGAATTCAAATTCCAAAGACGGACATAAACAGAAGAAATAGCAGAGGATGCGTTGACTGTTTCAAGGGAATGAAGACAAGGAGGTAGATGCTCATGCTTGTCACGCTTAGCATATCCATTTACTACTTTAACAACATGGTTTCGTTCTCTCTCTTTTTCCTTTTATTTTTTTTTTATGAATAATATTAAATTTATTTGACCAAACCCAAAATCTATAGCTTATACTTGCGATACAATTACCTCAACTATATTTAAATGTTGATATATGAAAAGGAGGGTTCGAAACTGCTAAATTAGTACCTATGTACTTTTTTTTTAGAGAGAGAGTACAAAACCTGGGTGTGTGAGTAATATAAATTGTGATTAATTATCAAATAAAGGTTCATTAATTAGTAGAAAAAATAAATAGAGAGAGAGAGAGAGAGAGAGAGAGAGAGAGTGAGGTGAGGTGATGTGGAGGAAGGGAGGACAATTGCGTAGACGGTCAACGTTAGGGGTAACGTCAGCAACGAGATGAGGCAATCAAAGGAGCAAAGGCTGAGCAAATAAAGCCGTCTTGTCGGTTACTCCTTTAACGGCCCTTCTTCTCTCTCTCTTTTTTTTTCTTTTCGTATTTAATAATAATATTCGGGTTAATTGCTTCTCTTCTTTTATTAAAGCGGCACTCATCAAGATTTACCCTTTTGCCCTCTCTCTTTAAGTAATTGCATCTAGTAAATAGCACCCCGGTAAAAAGGGTGAAACACACCACGAACGCGCGTGGGACGTTTTGAAAAAATACATCACTAATTTATTGATTAGCGTCATCTAAATCCCATTCTCTTTGTATGCAATTCTACTTTATACAAGCCTTTGTAGTTATTAGCGACTGCAGAAGATTTCATATGTTTTGCTCCCTAGTTAATACTACAAAGGATGAGTTTAGGCGGAAAGAAAAGAAGAAATGGAACAGAAGGCGGCTCGCGTGGGGCACAAAACTCTGTTTCCTCTCTTCTCTTTTTATATTTATGTTTTCTACTTTTTATTGTCACTGCCCTCTCTTCCTCCCAATGGTCAATCCCCTTTACCCACTCCTTCTCTCTCCTGTTTTTCAAATAAATTTATGGTTTGTTTATAACTCTTATTGTTCATTTCTTTTTTTGTTCAAGGATAATTCTTACTACTATTCATTTACTTGAATATTTGTCATTTGTATATTATACAACACTCCACTTAAAACATGCCACACTTCACTATACATTAGACAAATAAGCAAATTACATCTTGAGACTTTTGTTATTCATTTTTTTCTATTTCTGTACGTAATTAACAAAATAAAACCAAAAATTTACACAGTACGTAATACACATGTATGTACAATATAGTAATAGCAGTAACTATTAAATAAGACAACTCTTACATATGCTCGAATCTAAATCAATTGGTAGGGGTTATTATTTATAAACGCAATACATACATATACCACACTATATATATATTAACAAGAATAAAAAGTGAAAATATTATGTTGTGTTGTGGTCGACAAAGATAAAGGTCATGCACCTGCATGCAGATAAAATCCGACGTATATTTCGATGAAAAATTTCATATTTTGGTGTTAGTGGTGGTATTGATTAGAGTGGGATTGCAGTTTGCATGGGCTTAGGTTTTATTTATATGAACAACAACAACAAAAAAAATCAAGGGAATTCGTGAGCACTCCCACAAAATACACCCTCGCCGCCTTTTCGCCGCGACATCTTCCTTCTACTCTTTTTTGGGGTACGTTTTACATAATCCTTATTTAAATGCTGGTTTGATGATTAATCAGTCACTAGCTAACGCTTTGGAACTCTTGATTATGCATATAATTGATATGCCTAAAATCACTATACATTTCCATATACAACATCCAAACTAGCTATACCACACACTTATACATATATATATACAGTATATGTACCTTTCTGTGTATGACAGTGACATATATATATGTACCAGCTGTACACATACATATGCATGAACAATATAATCAATTAATTATAAACCGCAGAGACATATCTTGGTTGGAATCAGACTCAGACCATCATATTTCGAGGAGGGGCGAAAAAATGTAACTCCAAAGCTGATTTTAGGGTTGAGTTCCAATCACACCTTTCTTCACTCTATCGGCTTTGTTTCACTGTAAGAGGTAAATAACCAAATTGAATTTGAAAGTATACAAATATATTAAATGGGGATATAACAAAGCAAGACATTAATATTGCGCATAGAGAGACATACACACAGATATATATAAATGGCAAAGACCAGATAAAGCTGAAAAGATAGCATCACGCTCGCAATTCTTTTAATTTTTAATTTAATTTCCTCATATATTATATATATATATATATCTGTACTAATTAATTATAAGTGATGGGCTCTCCTTTCCTGCCATCTATCCCTACCCGTCCGATCGATCAAATCTTCTATATTCTATGTATATTTTTCTTTCCACCGTTAGATAGGGAGATCTCTCTACCCAAGCACGTCTGTATGAATGTCGTTTGATTCCATATGTAGTTTTTAAAGCCGCGCAGGCTCGTGAATCGTGATAGCTTATGCGTTTCTACATTAAAAAAAGAAAGAAATGTAACTACTTTTTATATATTTATATATATATAAAAGGCAAAAATGTAACTACATTCCACAAGAAAAAAATCCATTTTATATACAACAAAATTAATATAGGTATAAAGAAAGCTGTTATAAGTAAGCTTTGAATCTTTTGTATGATTCCAGGTTGTGAGCATATAGAATTGTCATGGTATCCAGGCCGCTCTGTAGAGTTTTTAATTTCGGAAATATATTTAATTGACCCTTACACTAAAAAAAAGTAATCTAAAAAAGAAAATGGCTCGATCAGTATACATATTTACAAAGGAATATTGTATATGGAATGTACAAAATTTTTCAAGGGTTGAATTCAAAAATACTATTCGTCAAAAGCATGTATACGGCTACTCGAGAAAGTTATTCTTATATCAAACCTAGCAGTTGGTCAAAAACTAGAAACATTATATGACAAGTGTTACGTACGTAAGACTTAAGGAAATTAACGTAATTTGTGTTTTTTAAAGTAAAGCGACCCGACAAACACAATCCGACAAGATTATTTATCTTTTACGATTATTCATGCAAATATATATTTTTTTTCCAAAAAAGAAAGACATGGGTTTAAACACCAAAAGAAGTAACTCTGTTTTTCAGCTGGAGGGAGCATACCTGTACGGACTTCTGTTACTCTATTTATACTAATATGCATATCATCTTCTCTGGGGCATCAATTAATCCATCGTTTAATTATTATTTTATTTTGGAGCTCAAATAGACCTGAGATGCAAAAAGTCATATTTGGTATATAAAGGACACAAGCGTGGAAGCCAAAAGCATGTGACGATTAACTTTGTAAACTTTATTCTTCCTTCCCAGGCTTTCATATCATCAGATGATCAGTGAGTAGCAAATTTTAATATTCTTGATTAAACCACTACTATAAAATTGTTCGAACCTCATCACTATTGTAATTAAAACTCATTAGTTATTACTGGTCACTTATTGCGAGCTCAACATTTAACAACAATTTTTTTGCGAATTAATTAACGAATTACATTGCACATATTACATATATGTGTAGATGTTTAACCCCTACTGCAGGCACTGAAACAGCGACATGAGAAAACAAAAAATTCCTTGGGTATAAATCTATCGTAATTCGAGTCATACAGCATACTGTATAAACGTCTAGTTATGTAAGTATATACAGGGCGCCATCACTCTGATTCAGACACACAAGATTCTAACACCTTAACGCATCATTATTATACCATGATTACACATATACTCGATTACTCGTCCTCGTCATATCATAAAGTGCAATGGAATCAATGGAAAACCGTACCGCTATAATCCACATATATATATATATATGTGTGTGTGTACATTCGATATCATCTGCATGTTACCGCTTTACTTAATTATATTGTTTGAACGCAATACGTACGTAATTCCATATATATACGATGTGGGAGAAGTGTGGTTCCTTGTGTACCCCTTTTTTTTTTCCTTAAATAAGGTTGAAAATATTTTTGAGAAAAAGAGAAAGTTATTAAGTGGTTTGAAATAAATGGTGAGAGCGGTAAGAGCCGACAAGAAGGACAGACAGAGCCGTCTATTACCAACAACCCGCTTCTGATAAAAGCCTGTTTCTACTTCTTCTCTTCAATTTCTTTGATATCAATTGACATATATATTTAGCTTTTTGTTGGTTTCACCTGCAAATCACTACCTTCTTGATGTCATGGGTTTTATAATTTTTTTTTTCACTTTTGAATAAAATAGTAAATCTCATACACAAATTTTGACCTCACTTCACCTATGATGGCAAGAGATGTAATTAATAAAGAAATAATAATTAGAGAGGTGTAGTAGGCCTCTATAAATACTCTGCATGGCTCTCACTCTCTCTTCACCCAAACTTGAGCAAATCTCGTCCTCTCTCACTCGTCCATTGATTGTTGTCTCTGCAAACTAAAAAAGAAAGATCGAAAATGCAGTACCAGACGGAATCGTGGGGATCATACAAGATGAACAACTTAGGGTTCGGCGTGGGGCTTGCGGCGGACACAGGGCTTCTTCGCATAGAGTCTCTGGTAGCGGAGAACGCGGTGGTGATATTCAGCGTGAGCACGTGCTGCATGTGCCACGCCGTGAAGGGTCTCTTCCGTGGAATGGGCGTCAGCCCTGCCGTCCACGAGCTCGACCTCCACCCCTACGGTGGCGACATCCAGCGAGCCCTCATTCGTCTCCTCGGCTGCTCCGGCGCCTCTTCTCCTGGTGCTCTTCCGGTCGTCTTCATCGGCGGTAAACTGGTTGGGGCTATGGACAGAGTCATGGCTTCTCACATCAACGGCTCTCTCGTTCCTCTCCTCAAAGACGCCGGCGCTCTCTGGCTCTGATCCTCTCCTCATGACTGTTTGTTCTGCTTTCTTTCTTTTTTAAGCTTTTTTTTTTTTTTAATTTTGTTTGCATTAGGGAATGGGGAAGATTAGGGAACAAATCAAAGCTGTAATGACAGGTTAGGTTATAGTTTGTAATTAGAGTCAGTGTGAGAGAGAGAGTTGTGCGTTTGTTTTAAGCTCACATTAGCTATCTCCCCTCTCTCTTCCTCTTCTCTCTCAGTCTTTCGATTTTCCAGTTTGCATTACAATATTCAATGCTCACTAATCGAATACCCTTTTTATAAAACAATCTATATCATATCTGCTCCCCGCCTAAACACAGAAACAGGCTCATTCCTGTTATTCAATCAAACGAATTTACAAAAAAAAAGCGATTCCTTTTAAGGAGATGGCACATTCAAAAGATCGCTACTTTTTCGACCAGCTTAACTGCGACATGCCCACTCTGTCTAATCATAGTCCTCTTATCTATACAAAAGCACATACTTTACGAGACTTTTACGAGTGAGACTTGGCTTTGAAGATGTTACTAAGCAAATACCCCATAGTTGTTTCTTGCGAAGCCCTGCTTGTGCCAAGAACAGAGCATTCCTCGTTGTTCTTCACCTTCAGCTTGCTTACTCCTACCTGTTGCCTTATTGACTCCACGATTTTTGATTCAACAGCGTTTCCAGTCACGTCTGTGACGTAGAACCTGTCTTTAGCTTTACCCTCCCGCGTTGAAATCTCTGCTCTGACAATAGTTAAGCTGTTCTCTCGGAATGTTCTGGTTATGTCCGAGAGGAGACCAACTCGGTCTTCTGCTGATAGTTCCAGCTCTAAACCCTGAAAGTGATGTTTCATATATGCATAATCCTGTCTTTGAGCCAAGACCGAATAAATTTGTGCTTTCCGAATTGGTTACCTCGGACGCTCTTCTCTCGATGGCTGCTTCAAGGCATTGAATGACACGCTCTTGCTCAGCTTCTGAATTGATGGGAAGCCCATCTACATGGCGGATGTAAAACTCCTGCATCATAAGGCCATATACAATATGGTTAGAAAAGACCCCCCAAAGAGACAGTTGTACAATTAACAATGGTTGAGTAACCTGATACGCCTCTAGTGGTTGTGTGCTGACCATGCCGTGGAACACAACATACTGCATATCAGTCAAAGTACATACAACGTCAAACACAAGCTTGGGCCTATCTTTGGACCTCATGGTCACAACAGTATAATCCTTGTCAATGTTCATTAGTGTGACACTGGGCCTTGACGCCGACGTCCTTGCTCTTTTGACTCCCTCGTAGTCCCTATCATCAAACATGATCTGATGCAGCCGTCTCTCCCTGTGCGTGTCAGAACAGGAAAACACGGTTTTGGCAGCTCTTGAGCCGCTGTTTGTCCTGACTACATTGCAGAGCAGCTCTTGGATGGCGGAAAGGCGAATTGGGTCTGTGATTGCTGAATTAGTTGAGTTGTCCGTGACATGAATAACAGCTGCAGCTCTGGTGTTGTGAGTCCATATCTCAGCGTTGACAACGTTGCAGTGAAGGTCGGTGAGAACGGCAGATACTTCAGACAAGAGGCCGGGTCTGTCCGTTCCAGCGAGCTCAATCGTGGTGTATTCGTCAGAGGGCACTACACCAACCGAGCTTCGTAAAGGTGGGACAAACCACCCGGCGTTGCTCTCTATCCTCTGCGCAAATGTTGTGAACTCAGAAAAAAAAAACAAAAGTGACTAGTGTAGTAGCTAGGAGATTATATACCCTTTGGATATAGTCAAGGACTTGAGTGTCTGTGAGCTTGTTCCCATCTTGGTCGATGACTTTGAAGACGTCCATGAACCAACCCCCATCAGAGGAGATGTAAGCTTTCTTGATCACGAGATTCATATCAGTGAGCACTTGCACTACTTCCAAGAGAGTCCCATGTTTGTTAACACTATCAACCTTTTAGCACCACCCAGAAAAAACAAAGAGGGAACTCTGTTTTATTACCATCATCTGTTAGTATAATTTACATAACAATAAATATAGATAAACAGATTGCAAGAGTTTGTTTTGTTTTGTTTTTGGGCTACCTGGATAACAGTGGCATCCTCGCTAGCGTTGTTGTCTATTACGACTCTGTTACAGACAAACAAAAAAAGCATGAAAGAAATCTCCAAAGATGAAATCTTTTACAGTACAAGTGGAGAGCATGGAGGGACAGAAGAAGCACCGACCTGGGGGGATTCATTCTCCTGATGAGCTTGGCATATTCATCATCATCCATGGTTCGGAACTCAGCTGAGAGTCCCTCCAATTTCTGAGGAAAACGAGAGAGAGAGAGAGAGAGTCAGTGGGAGAAAAGAAAAGAGAGGGAGGGGAAGTTGAAGGAGGATGAAATGGTCACGTTTTGATGGATCCAGCAAGTGACACTCGCAGATTCTTCTTCTCAAATGACGTGGCAAAGGCCAACGCAAGTGAGATTCTGTTATTACCAAAAGTCGATTTGCTTTGGATTTGGGGTCAACTGGATGATGAAAAGGGATATATTCAGCATGGCATCGTTATCTTTAATATGATCTGAAACCATACTACATTGTCTTCCTATGCCAAATAATTGGGTGGAAGATGAACCGAAAGCATAGCGTCATCATGTGGTTGCAAAAGGAGGCAAAGTAGAGCAAGGAAAGTATATATATATATATCTATTATTTTTGGGGGGGATTTCATTCCAAACCCACTTGAAAATTGACATCAACGATTTTGTCCTTCATGAGTCAACTTCAAACACACGGTTTCAAAATCCGTCTGTAGAATCAATCTTATGGGAGATGATGATTTTGAGCAGAACCCATACGAGAGGATTGTCAACATCAATGTGGATGATGGATCTGGGCCTCTCCTTATTTTGGGCTTTTTAATTTTCGGGTCTGGAAACAATAATATTTACTTAAAAATTGGTGTTTTTTATTTTAATCGAAAAAACAAAATCAATAATGCACCGTTGAAATGGGGTGGATCATTCAATTAGTCATCAGCATGTGATTCGGCAAATCTGGGAGTATATCATCGTCAATTAATGAAGGAAGAAGGGAAGACAGAGTGTGGGTAAAATTTGGTTTGGTTCAGACAGAACATAGGCAGTCCTTTGACTACAAGTGTTGAAGAATTTCGGAATCAATCGTCTCACAGGACTGAATCTAATGGACAAACCGGCGAAGAAGGTGTTGATGACATCCAACGGCGACGAGGTTTCACGAAACATCGCTTTCCAGCTAGCCAAGCACGGTTGCCGGTGAGACCTTAATCTGTCTTTGGTAAGTACTCTGATTAGATCTCTCATCATCAACTCTCGAAATCATGTGTTAGATTGGTGTTGATGGGAAGTGATGAGGCATCCCTACGGAGCATTGCCGAGAGCATTCGAGTTTCCATAGAGGGAGCCTTCCCAGTGGAGCTCATTGGAATCGACATGGAAGCTGATTCTGAGGAAGCTTTCCATGTGGCTGTTGAAAAGGCTTGGACCTGTCTCGGCCATCTTGATGCTTTCCTCAACTGCTACACCTACCAAGGCAAGATTCAGGACATTCTCCAGGTCTCCGAAGACGAGTTCAAGAGGGTCACAAAGATCAATCTCACGGCTCCATGGTTCCTCTTGAAGGCCGTAGCCAGCAGGATGAAGGAACATGGATCTGGAGGCTCCATTGTCTTTATGGCCACAATCGCCAGCGGGGAGCGAGGGCTTTACCCTGGAGCTGATGCCTACGCTACTGCCTCCGCTGGAATCCACCAGCTGGTTCGGGTATCTTTCTTTGTCTTTACCTCCATATGCACTGTGAACTTGATGAGAGTTCCTGACATGTTCTGAGTTTCAGGCATCAGCCATGAGTCTAGGGAAGCACAAGATACGGGTCAACATGATCTCTAGAGGGCTGCACCTGGGCGATGAATATCCAGTTTCCGTGGGCAGAGATCGAGCGCAGAGGCTGGTCAAGGACGCTGCACCGCTCGGGCACTGGCTGAACCCGGAGAAACATCTCTACTCGACTGTCATCTACTTGATCAGCGACGGCTCATGCTTCATGACCGGTACCACTGTCTTGGTGGATGGTGCGCAGTCTCTTATGAGACCCCGTCTCAAATCCTACATGTGATCCTCGAAAGTGAATTTGAATTTTATGGGTTAAGTTTGAATAAGTTTGGAGGGATGTATCTCTCGCTATCCATGCTAAGGAAATGATCATATGCATGCTTTTGACAAATATGGAACAAGGAAAGCATTATTAGTCAACATTCTCAACATCGTTTAGTTGTTGACTATTTGAATCGAATCAACTTGGTTAGGTATAGTTTTGGGGACTTCAAATACACGTGATTTGGATGCTATTCTTTACCATTAGCTTGACAAAAGTTGAGAGTCATTATCAGAATGACGAAGCCGACACACCTTTTCTTTATAATTTTTTTTTTCACCCAACTCTTTTTCTCTGATCAATCCGCTAATTTAGCCATCTCACTTTTTCTCTGTCATCTTCGTTGCCGTCTACGTCTCTCTTTCTCCCTCCCTCGCCTTTCACGCACATATATATATACGCACATACGTGACATGACTACTTTTTGGAATGTACAAGAGTTGAAAACATTGAATCTCTCTCCCCATAAAACGCATAAATGGAGGATAGGTGTCAGGTGTTGTTTCCATGTTCATCTTTATCGGTTGATCGTCGCTTGTCAGGAGATCAAACAGAAGATGCAGCTCATACGAACACAAGCGAAGAAGAGAAAGGCAAAAGTAAGAAGAAGAAAGAGAAAGAACCGAGGTTGGCCTTTCAGACAAGAAGTCAGGTTGATATTCTCGACGATGGATACAGGTGGAGGAAGTACGGCCAAAAAGCTGTCAAGAACAATCCATTCCCCAGGTACCTACCTACCTTGTATTTTCTCTTGTTTAGGGCTTATCCTCTCGTGTTAGTGATATGAATAATAAACTTCGTACGTGGTAAGTATAGGAGCTATTATAAGTGCACACAAGAAGGATGCAGAGTGAAGAAGCAAGTGCAGAGGCTATCAGGAGATGAAGGAGTGGTGGTTACCACTTACCAAGGTGTTCATACCCATCCCGTCGACAAACCCTCCGATAACTTCCACCACATCTTGACCCAAATGCACATCTTCCCTCCCTTTTAGTTTTTGTTTTCTCATACTTTTCATGTCTTATGCATCCTGTTGACGATTGATTAGAGGAATGGGATGTAACTGCAACCAAGAATGCTGATAAAAGCAAGCGTTCATACCCTAAACCCTATGCTTTAAACTAGCATTCACAAGTCAAAAAAAGTCGAGTTACTATAGTATAGAGAGACCAAAACGCTCCCTCTCATACATGTACACACACACACACACTATCACTAATTCTTCTCTTTAGGTTCAGAAACGCCCTTCCTCGGAACCTTTGAATCTATCTCCTTTGGTGTCTTGGACTCGGCTGCCCTGAAAGCAACGACAAAGTCATGGAACGCATTCACAAAACTGGCGGCTATATGCTTTTGGATCACCAAATCAGCACGGAGATGAATATTCTTCTAACTTTTTACCAATTTTCACAATCCCATCTCTAGGATCTTATCATATTCAGCTGTTTTTCTAGTTGTTGAATCCTTTTGCCTGAATAATTGAGATCCAAAATCATCTACTGCAAAACTTGTTCGTTATCCCAGCCGATAAAACATGTCCATGATTAATTCCGATTATCGAATATCGAACACCATCGAGAAAATATCTAATCTTTCGAAACCGATAAGCAGTGAAAGAGAGAGAGAGAGAGAGCTAACTTGGAGGCGGCGGAGGTTTCTTCCTCGATCCAGTTGCGAAGATGTTTGACGTTGCGCCTGAAAACGGAGGCGGATTGCTTGACGTCGCCCTTCAAGAGGAGCACCACCGCGCCAACGCCGGCCACCGTCAAAATGAAATTGGTCAAACCCATTTTGCCCAAGAGACAACTGCTTCCGTTCGTCCCTCGCTTAAGCTGGCTTTTGTTACTTTGCTAGAGACGCAGCCCATTAGCCTTAATGGGCTCTTCCCTTGTTTAATACCAAACCAACCCAAGAGGCCCAGCTCTCGTAATCGCTGCAAATAGTTTGGATTATTCACGCTACTTTTGTTACTGTATGCGCTAATAATCTTCGTCAACTTTTTAATTAACAAAAATGAACTTAGAATAAAGGACCATGTCATCTGGAATATTGTAATGTCGACGTAAGCAAATAATGAAGCATCGTAATAGAGATATAATATACCTTTGGACCATTTGATACAAAAGCAAATATACAACAGCAGAATTTATCACAAAAACATAACTACATAACAGCCAGAATCTTCTCATAAGATGTGCTTAGTTTTTCTTCTTTAACCATTGATGAATCTTCATAATTGTCAAAAAAAAAAAAAAACATGATTAGAAAGCGATGGATATAAATATTGGGTAATAGTATGGAATTTGGTGTATTAATACCGAATTTCCCCTAAATTTATAAATGTTCCATCGAGAAAGAAAAAAAAAGCTGATGGCTTGCCGCCGCCACAACCCGACAACCGCAAAAATATTCGTTTGATAATCTCTGTCGAATAAATTCATCCCCATTTTTTTTAACAAGAAGAAAAAGTTATCCACATTTTCTACTTTTTTAAAAGATGCCACCGACGGATGTTATAAAACTACTGTAGTAAGATAAACAACTAAAAACGGATAAACTAATGAAAGATACGGTTCCTCCATTTACCAAGCACTTTAATTCCTTGAGCTCGTTTTCTTTTTCTAGTGTGCAACATACTACGAGCGAGCTTGTAGATCATTAAAATTTCTTCCAAAAACAAAAATAAATTCATCATCTATTTTTAGCCTTTTTATCTGATTTTCAGCACTTGATTGTGTGATCCACGAACCACGATGTTAGTTTTAGTAGACTGCGGATTTCATTCTAACCATCCATTATCTCAACGAGTATATATAGACTGATATAAAATATATGCATTCCCAAGATTATATATGTATGTATAATGTATGGTATTTTACATTTTCAGCTGTGACTGTGTAAAAGATATTTGTCATATATTCGTTTGCGCTTTATACCGTGAGAGAAAAAGCCGCGCGGGAGAGTGAAAATAATACTTAAGTCTTGAAACTTTTATGAATTTGAGTTAGTAAAACTAGATGTGTACGTCGACGTGGCTGATTGAGCATGAAAGTTCAAAAAACGATGCTTCTGATGAGTGATATTATTGCTAGGCGGAGGACCACGCGTCTCTGATACCTCTCTATATTTCTGCATGCCTTCGCCACACCATCTCTACCCAATCCCATATATATACATATGCATATGCAACGCATATCCATACATGTGAAATCATATATAACACCACCAACAAGGAACTCAAGAATAATAAGTAATTAATAAGTGATCACCATGGAGATGAACAGAACAAGGAGATCAAGAGGGTTCATGATAGCTAAGCTAATGCCCTTCTGCAAAGCTGTGAAGCCTCCAACTCCTTCACAAGACCTTTATAATAATGTTCATTACACTTCTTCCACCACAACTTCCTACGCTCCTCAGCCTGATTTCAACAGCTACGTAACTCCTCTCCCTCCTAAAGTTAGCTTCCACCTTCAACCATGTACGTATAATCAAGCAATTTCTTCTCTCTAGCTATTATTTTAACATTTATTTATGTATATGTTTCATACATAATATATGAGGATCTATATAACCAGTGGTGTGATTGGCAGCCGTGGCTCCCGAGGGTAAGGGTATGGAGAAGAAGCTGAACAAGATAGCAGAGAAGCTGATCGGTAGAGGGGTTAGTGGTGTGGACGACTGCGTTGACGCTAGAGCCGCTTCATATATCTCTTCGGTTCGAGAAAGGTTTAAGATGGATCATTGTGAGAGAGTGACGACGACTGTTATTAGCTTAGACCATGAAGATGTTGATCATTAGGATGTAGGTGGCCGTTGACCATCGCATGTCTCTAAGTGACTAAGTCATATATATATATATATACACGTTTCTAGCTTCAGGATATTAACGGGAGCCTTTAATGACAATATATAGAGGTTGTTAAACGCACTTGTTTTTCCCAATAAGTAAACTTAGTCCATGCATATACATATGCAATTCCCGAAATGGACGAAATAATCGTACAAAAAGGATACGTATTAGATATTCCCCAAGGAAATCAGTAATCAAGAAGACCAACAGATTAAAAATGAAGAAAGAGAGAGAGAGAGGGAGAGAGAGAGAGAGTAATTATTAATTGACGTGAGGGAGAAGGTAGGGTTAAAATAGCTAGCCGGCGTAGATGTGGATGTGAAGGGCGATGAGGGAGATGGTGATGAAGGCGAAGAATAGGAGAGTGTGAATGACAATGGAAGGGCCGCTTGTCTGAAACCCACCGAACTCAACCGCTCTACTTTTTCCGGGCAGCTGAAACAGAACTCCAGGGCTCAACAGGATGAACAAAATCACCGACATCAGCACCGGTCCCCAGTCAAGCCCCATTTCTCCTAGTTTTTTTTTATCTCTCTCTATATATGTATATGATATCTACGGTGTTTTAATTATGCGTTTATATATAAAATGCTAAATAATGCATATACTTGTGTGAACGAATATGATAATCTATCATTAACGTGGATTGAGCATAACAAAAGGCAAAAGCGGAGGCTTCTCAAGTTTTGAGGATGAAGGAAGGAACTATTCTTTGGACTTGTAATTCCTTCAGTATTGCCTGTTTTGGAATCTAAGCATATATGTGGTTCTCGTCTTGAGATCTTTCCATGCATCATCCTTTTTGGGATCAATCCATAAGTCCAAACCAAATATAAGCTATAACACATTATGCTGAATTAAAATATCTTTAATCACTCTGTCACTTGATATATATCCCCTGCGTCTATATCTTGGTGTAAAAGAAATAGGGATAAGACGCAACGGAAAGCAAAAGAATCGAAACCAAACCAATAAACGCAAGCAAGTAGTATATATCAACACTTTAACTTTACGTAAAGTTTTTTATACACAGCCACTAAATGTGGTCTCTTAAAGAAGCCACATAGATCTATCCAACAAGAAAAGAAGATACCAATCAGGTCTCTGTCTTTTTCTGTCATCCTTAAATGATCTCAAAGATTTCTGAATTTTGACAACGTACACCTATACTCACACGTTCACAGATATACCAAGTGCATCATTAACAATACACGTGCATATGTACTAATATTGTTGCTCTAGTTAGCTCTTTGACACCTGATAGAACGATCAAATCTTTTGGAGCTCTAGGAAGATATGGAAGGAGCTGACTGGGGGCCGGTGGCGGTTGCGGTGGTGTTGTTCGTAGCGTTATCGCCGGGGCTTCTCTTTCAGCTGCCGGCGAGGAGAAGAGTGTTGGAGTGCGGCAACATGACCACCAGCGGCATCTCCATATTGGTTCATGCCATCCTCTTTTTCGCTATTATCACCATTTTGGTCATCGCCATTCAAATTCACATTCACATCTAGCATCCTAGCTACTTCTTATCTAGTGTGTTTGTTAATATGTTTATCTCTGATGATTGCGATTTTTAAAAGTCTGAAAAACGTGTTTTTGTTTCTTTTGAATTTTCTTTGTCTAAGCAAATCAGTGCCACTTGACCCAAAAAAATATCAAGTGTTGGTTCGGTAGGGTCGCTATTGGTCAAAAGCCAGCAAGCACTCTAATATGTTCGTGTAAATCGTCCTATTGTAAGATTCAACTTGAGCATATTTTGATTTCATAAACTTACTATCCATTCAACTTAACATATTTTGATATGATGATTTCATAAACTTATTATCCAATAATAAATTAAACAATATAGACATAAGGAGGCCAAAAATAAATCAAATGCAACAACACCTATCCATTTTCCAAACTCTTATTTGTATTGACTAAAACGCAATTTGTAAGACCTTGAGATCAAAACAACCCAAGACCCAAAGAAGCATCAATTTGGGCTAATTGCAGTTGGGCCAATCATCCATTTCATTAGAAAAACCTTGAAAGCCCGCTTTTGACACGCACCAAAAAGGAAGCTTGTCATTTCTCAATCATCATCATCATCGTCATTATCATCAGAAGATGCCTGGGATTCGAGGGCCGTCGGAATACTCGGAGGAACCGCCTCGTCACCCTTCTCTGAAGGTCAACGCCAAGGCAAGTGCACTTTGCCTTACTCGTCTGCTTCTGATCCTATCGGATCTGTCTTTCTGATCAACTTGGGGACTGATTCAGGAGCCCTTCAATGCTGAGCCTCCGCGCTCCGCCTTAGTCTCATCTTATGTCACTCCCGTCCATCTTTTCTACAAGAGAAATCATGGCCCCATTCCCATTGTTGATGACCTTCACAGGTTTTTCCTCTCTCTCCCTCTCTCTTTCGCCAGCTTCTTGCATCTCTGATTCTGGATTTCGTTTCCCAAACCAGCTACTCCGTGTCCGTCACCGGATTGATCGATAACCCGAGAAAGCTCTTCATGAAAGATATCAGGTTAAGTATATATAAGCTTGTATCTTCTTCTTCTTCTTCAGCAGCCTGTAATTTTATATCCTCGAAGTTGATTTCGCAGGGCCCTGCCAAAGTACAACGTTACTGCCACTCTACAGGTGTATTATTGTAATTGATTCTGTCTTACGCTGAGGTTTTTGGGAAGACATAGCACCAATTTCTGGTATGTGCAGTGTGCCGGTAACCGAAGGACTGCCATGAGCAAAGTGAGGAATGTCAGAGGCGTTGGATGGGATGTCTCTGCTATTGGCAACGGTTCGTTCGATATTTTCCTCTTTTCTTTTGTTTGCTTCTTCCGAAAGACCATTTTGCCTTTCATTTGTGCAGCTGTGTGGGGCGGCGCGAAGTTGGCCCATGTTCTTGAGCTCTTGGGGATCGCAAAGCTGACAGCTTCAACCCATCTAGGAGGCAGACATGTTGAGTTTGTTAGCGTTGATCGCTGTAAGGTAAACAACTACACTACATGTATATGATGGGCTGTGTCTGCGCCTATGCATTTGTTGATTCAAAGTCTGTGTCTCCCTAGGAGGAGAATGGGGGCCCTTACAAGGCGTCAATCCCTCTAAGCCAGGCCACAAATCCTGATGCCGACGTTCTACTCGCTTATGAGATGAATGGAGAGGTTCCGTATCTTTCTCTTGAAGCCCATGTCTGTCTCACACGTGTTTTAAGTCATCATCACTCGCTTATTGTTATGCTTTCCGTATTCAGACCCTGAACAGGGATCACGGGTTCCCGCTAAGGGTGGTTGTCCCCGGAGTGATTGGTGCTCGTTCGGTCAAATGGCTTGATTCCATCAACGTTATCGCCGAGGAATGCCAGGTCTCAACAAAATTGCTCTGCTTTTAACACCCTCTTCCCTTTAGCAATGCTCTGACGTTGTCCCAATGTGATTTAGGGATTCTTCATGCAAAAAGATTACAAAATGTTCCCACCTTCTGTCAATTGGGATAATATCAACTGGTCCTCAAGGAGGCCGCAAATGGATTTCCCTGTTCAGGTTAATACACCTTTTACCCTTTTTTCCTACACAATATGCTTGACTTTGTGATTCTATGTTTCTGCTTTTATCTGACTTAAGAATTTGATCAGTTTATGGATTCTGATTCGAACATGATTTCCACTTGACCCATGTTTTTTTTTAATGGTTTACAGAGTGCAATCTGCTCTTTGGAGGACGTGCAAATGGTGAAGCCTGGAAAGGTGAGAGAACTTACGAGAGCGCAGGAGCGTATTCAGTCTGGTCTGATACGTTTTTGTTTGGCAGGTAAGCATCGAAGGATATGCGGTTTCAGGAGGTGGGCGCGGGATAGAGCGAGTGGACATATCCGTCGACGGAGGCAAAAGCTGGGTGGAAGCTTCCAGAAGGCAGACACCAGGAAAGCATTACATCTCTGAACACAACTCCAGCGACAAATGGGCTTGGGTGTTGTTTGAAGCCACCATTGATGTCTCGCAGAGTACCGAGGTCATCGCCAAAGCGGTAAAGCCTCCAAAACATGTTGCTCGGCTAATGTAGTTAACTGTGTGGGTTCTGACCTGGCTTCTTGTGGAAATGGGGCAGGTGGATTCGGCGGCGAATGTTCAGCCGGAGAATGTGGAGTCAGTGTGGAACCTAAGAGGGGTACTCAACACTTCGTGGCACCGTGTCCTTCTCCGCCTCGGCCACTCAAGCTTGTAGATCAAGTCAACACAAACTTGGCTATCCACCTTTTTCGTTTCAAACTAAAGACTTGCTTTATATATGCATGAGAGCGGAATTGGGGTTTAGTTTTAATACGCAATTATATATCTGTGCTTACTCTTTTACATTTGATGTTGGCATGTGGTGCATTATAATATACTATGATGCTACAACTGTTTTTAGATTGTGATGCATTATATAATATGCATGGAATCATTAATGGTTGAGCACATTTCTCAATAATTTATCCTCATCGATTGTTTGGTTGGTTTTAACTTTCGACTTAAATCATGTCACGTTTGATAAGTCGGTACGCAGTGGAACCAAAGTCCTTCATCACGTTTAGTTTGCTAGCTAGCTCCAACCATTTGACCTCTACGTTCGCTGATAATCACCACCGACTTTTCTTCACGGCAGACGTAAATTTGTTCGATATCTCCGTCGGTATAGTTATCATCATGACACAGAGAACGTTTTACAACTTTTATTTTGTCCTCAATTTTTGGTAATCATAATGTGTTCTTTATTTTATTTTATCGGGATGGGGAAAAATAATATTATTTTCATATTGTGATACAGTATTTTCCCTCGTGGCCAATAGTATCGACAATACAAGCAAGATTGCCTTTCATTGTCAGAATTGTGATAATTGATCTTGTAGCTGCTCCATGTGTTTCAATCCTGGCCATCGTTTAATTTCCCTCTTAACCTTTTTTTATTTCTCTAACCAGCCCATTTGATTCCTTGGTTAAATAATTAATATTTATGATCTAAAATATCACATCTTGTTGCCTGCATCAATTACTTTATGAACCTCCTCATATTCATATGATAAATGTTATCCTTGCATGTGTTGCACATACTGTAATATAGACGTCATAATTGGTACCGCAATAGTTCGATCTCGGAGAACTATCTAAATACACACACTTGACAAATATGGAACATAGATGTTAGTATAACGTTATCATTCGATGAAATAAATTTAGTGAGTAGAAGATTGAAGAAGCAAGAGGATTATAAAATAAGATATTGTCGGGGTAAACAAAATAATGGAACTCCACTGTAGGTTACATAATCTATGAAAGGGAAAGTAACTATAAATCAATAGAATAAAAAAGTCTTAAGAAAGAAAGAGTATTTTATATTAATGGGATCCATCTTTGAATATGAATTGAGGCTCGTGCGTGAAATCACCATTGATGACTCTTTCCTAATTGTCGTTTCCTTTTACAACAATGGACGCTTCAACTCTTATGCTTCTTCTCCTTGTTGCTTTGCTTCTTCTTGTGATGTTGATAATCTCTGGTGGACAATCTCCTATCTATCCTTGCAGCCGCAACGCTATACCGAAAACATACCCGGTTCTCGGATGCTTACTTTCCTTCTATACGAACCGAAACCGGTTACTGGATTGGTATACGGAGCTCCTAACCGAATCCCCAAGTGGGACCGTGGTCATTAACCGCTTGGCTGCCCGGAGAACCGTGGTGACGGCGAACCCATCGAACGTCGAGTATATCCTCAGAACAAACTTCGATAACTACCCAAAAGGCCAACCCTTCACGGAGATCCTCGGAGACTTTCTCGGCGACGGGATTTTTAACGTCGACGGAAACCTCTGGTTAAAGCAGCGGAGGCTCGCCACTCATGACTTCACACCCAAGTCTCTCAGAGAATACGTCACCGTTTTGAGAAACGAGGTCGAGACCGAGCTTTGGGCCTTCTTAGACGCCGCCGCCGAAGATTCGCAATCCTTCGACCTTCAGGAGCTTCTCCGGAGATTCACGTTCAATATTGTCTGCATTGTTTTCCTCGGGATCGGTCGATGCAGTTTAAACCCGTCGTCGCCGGTTTCTGCGTTCGACCGAGCGTTTCAGACCGCGGCTGCGGTTAGCGCTGGACGTGGTTCCGCACCGCTGTCTTTTGTGTGGAAGTTGAAGAGACGGATCGGTTTTGGATCTGAAAAAGATCTCAGAAACGCTGTCGGAAAAGTTCATAGCTGCGTCAATGAGATGATACGAGAGAAGAAGAAGACCAAGATGATTGCCGATAGCGATTTTCTATCGCGGTTGATCGTCGCGGGAGAAAGCGACGAGGCGGTGAGAGATATGGTCATTAGTATTGTAATGGCGGGGAGAGACACTACATCGGCGGTCACCACACGGTTGTTTTGGACTATCACCGGTCACAAGAAAACCGAGACCGAGCTGGTTAGTGAAATCAGATCGGTTAAGGAAAGAACCGGGGGGTTTGATTACGAATCATTGAAGAAACTGAGTCTGTTGAAAGCGTGCTTGTGTGAAGTGATGCGATTGTATCCGCCGGTACCGTGGGACTCCAAACACGCCCTAACCGATGACTGCTTACCAGACGGTACGGCGGTCCGTGCCGGCGACCGGGTTACGTATTTTCCATATGGGATGGGGAGAATGGAGGAGCTTTGGGGGAAAGATTGGGATGAGTTTAAACCAAACCGGTGGGTCGAGTCTTTTGATGAAACCAGAGTTTTGAAGAAAGTGAATCCGTTCAAGTTTCCGGTTTTTCAAGCCGGTCCGAGGGTTTGTCTTGGGGAAGAGATGGCGTACGTGCAGATGAAATACGTCGTGGCTTCGATGCTTGATCGGTTTGAGATCGAACCGATCGGTACGGTGAAACCGGGTTTTGTGCCAATGCTCACGGCTCACATGGCTGGCGGGATGCAAGTCCGTGTTCGCCGGAGAGATGGATCTCGATGAAGAGAACCAGATTTGCATTTTCTTTTACAAAGTCAACCAACAACAACAACAATATATATATAGGAATAATTTCAATGATCACTATGCTTCTTTTGAATGTAAAATGTTCCCATGATCATATTTTCTCTCTTTCTTCTTTCGGTAAATCCAACCATCCCACTTTTTAATTTTCGGGAAAAAATTATTAAAAAATTATTTTTCAAACACTATAGAAGCAATTAAGCACCCTCAATTACAATTTTATTTGGTCTTTTTATAAAGACTACTAAATCCAGCCAATCGCAGCACACAATATACGTGGAAACTAGAACAAAGTAACATGCGAGTTACAATAAGTGTCAAATATTAACCAAAGTTAACAACTCTTGGAGTAATATAATAATAATGTTCTGATGGCAATAACTTAAAAACAACCTAAAAGGAAGAGAAGTGTCCATAGTGACTTGCAGTGAAAGTAAGGAACTGATGAACGCCTTGTAAAGGTGCACAGCAGAAATTGAACAACTCCAGATCAAAGACATCATCTTTTCTTTCCCCCTGGTGTCATTTCTTCTCTAGAGTCGTCGGAAAAATCCATCGGAGCAATGCTTTCTCGTAGTGCCTTGTCAACTGAAATCAGACCTTGCATGTTGCTTTCTTTCTTTATCCCACTATAACCAGTCAAAATAGACCGATATGAACTGAGTCAAACAGTTTACCAAAATTTCATTAAACGAATAATCAATCAATCATTCTTTTATTAAGTTTCAAAATTAGTCTGGGGAGCTGAGATACGAATGAGTATTGTTATTCATCAGCGGTCCAAGAGTTTTTGACTTTTGGTCCAGTGGGACCCTCTCCTTGAAGCACTTCACGGGGAATTTTGCTGATGAGGTTTCGGAACTTTTTACGCAAAAGTCCTGGCAGTGTCTTGGCGATACCGTCAAGGGTCTGTTGAATGTCATGTCGGACAAGTGGTCCCCATTTCCTAAAATAGTTGAGCCACGGTGGCTCCACGATCCCGGGCCCTGCAATCACCTCATAACCAGCACCAGCGTCGAAGAACTTGTCGCTTCTTGCCATGTCGTTCCTAACGCCGTTTCCGCCTTGGCCTTGCAACACGAGCCCGGGTCTTGAGTACATGGCGTGGCCATGAAGAGACGAGTAAGCCACAGGTTTGTTTCCACCTTGAAACTCTAGATCGCATGCCTCCACCAGAGTTCCTCCACTGTGCTCGGAGAAGTAGACGCGCCACAGCTCGCCGTTGAAGTTGCTGATGCGCAAGGTTACATGTTCCCAGTCTCCAACATGCTCGCCGACATTCCCTAGCGAGAGGCTCTTGATGAGTAAGAACTTGAGGCGGGCATTGCCATTGAAAGGAGAGAATATCCAGACGACAATGTCAGTGAAAGTGCCTCCAAACATTGGCTTGATGTGTAGATACACCTTCGTGTTGCCCAAGTCTCCCCTCTGAACCCTTTCCCTCGCGCTCTCATCCGCCGGAAAATCCAACCAGTAGAGGCCATCATCCGAGCCGCCTTGGGGAAGGTTTGAACCGTTGGGTTGTACCGGGACGGGGTTGGATTCGTTACCTCGCTGGTATAACAAGGCACCATTGGAGAAAAACCAATCGACAGAGGATGGAAGAAACTCCTCTTCGGGATGGTAATATATCCAAGGAGAGTAGGCTCGAAACAAACCTCTGGTCTGATCTCCGCTTGGCATGCTAGACAAGTCAAATCTTGTATTTCTCAAGCAGGATAAAGATGGAGGAGGAAAGTTTAGTTGCTGAAAGCTGAACGTCCCTGTGTACACACCTGTCGCTTCTGATCCTCTGTTAGCCGGCCTCAAGCTAGAAAAAGTCATCTCTTCCATTCCCCATACCCATGTATCGGCTTCGCTCTGTTCCGTGAGACCGGATCGAACACAGCATATAGATTCTTGTTTTAAAGGGGGCTTCACCGGAGAAGTGGTGACAATCAGGCCAACCGCTTGATACCCACTGGGACATAAAGGCTGCCAGAAATACGCAGGCCCGTCTTGCTTGACGATAACGCTGGCGGTGTTCCCGAGTTGGATGTAGTCAATGGGTGGTCTCAAGCTAGTACCAGACACGTCTCTGGCAACAAGAACCCAACCGAAAAGCAGACGGTTGTTGGGTTGTGCGTTGAAACCAAGTGAGAAGAAGCCAGCAGGAAGATTGATGGGCTCGAAGACGCTGACTCCCATGTTACCCGGCCCTCCCTCCAATGTTCTCCATACTCTCCGTGAGCCTGAGATGGAGACTTGTATCACCTCAAGGCCTCCCAGATCTATCTTTCCTTTTCCAAAATTTCTCTCGCCACCCGGAGGGATAACAGGCAACGGAGATGGAAACTTGAAGCTTGTATCCACAGGCAACGGAGGTGGAGATTCCAACACTGTGGATTTCAAATTGGAGTTGCCTCCAGCTTCCATGCAAATCACATGGTTAACAAACAAAATAACAAGAAAACTTACAAGTTCAAAAGCTTTTCCATTGGATGATTGCATTTGCATTTGATCACTCTCTTTGTTTTTAATAATAACAGGCGTTAGGAGTTAGGAACCTTTCCACCACTATTCTCCAATCATTTTAGCCAAAGTGTTATTAATAAGGGATATGTATAACGGGCAGATTATATGCAGTCAGAATTATTTATAGTTTTTTTGCTATAATTTATCATTTTATTTTGGTAAAATCTAAAAAGCGTATCTCCAATTATAGCATAAAATTTTTATTTTTTTTATTAGTGTCACCAATTCTAAATTCTTGGTTTCATGGTAAAAAAAATTTCTGTGATCTATGAAATGGAAGGAGGTTGAAAATAAACTTTTTTAGAATCAATGTTCAACATGTTTACAGAAGAATTTTATTATTTTCAAAAGTCAAGTATAAATATCTGTTAATTTATTTATCTACAAAATGTCAGAATATCTGTTTTCTATATATATATAATTAAATCATGGTGTAGAAATAAATATATAAATGGTTTAAAAATACTTTTAAGCTACAACTGCAGAATTATAGTATTCTTAACATGCATCATTATGAGTAGTGGATTCTCAATATATTCTTGAAATAGATCCTAAATTTAATTATATTATTTGTCTCGTTCTAAATTGTTTTTGCACTGATTTGTTGGAGCTTTATTTATTTGATTGAAGATTTGTAAACAAATATCGAATCCCTTTCAAATATCGAAAGCTAACGCACACTATTAAATACAATAATTTCCATATTCCAAATTCATTTTCTACATACATATATTTAATGTTCTGTTCATTAATATATGTAGAAAATGATTTTGGAATAGTGCATTGACTGCTATTTTAGATGTTTACTCTTTAAAATATAGTGTGTGGAAGAAATACGGTCTGTAAAAATAACGTAAAATCATTACGTTTAAATATCATTTCACAAAAAACTATTTTTAATAAACATCCAAGTTAACTATACCTTAAATGTGCTGCACTCCCTCCTTTAGTCAAAACAAGCATTTAGTTAAAAAAAAAGAAGTGACAGTCATAAATTGCACATACATATTTTGAGTGATTGCAAGGATAAATTTACAAATTATCTTATTAAATATTAAGGAAAATGGTGCATTACAGTAAAGCATTATGAGCTGAAAAGAGAACATTGTTCGATCCATTGAGAAAAAAACAACAAAATAGACATATTAAAACACAAAATGTATAGTAATTTAATTAAGTTTTAGTGTTTGTCTTATTAGCGTTGGACGTTAATGGGGGGATGACTCATCATCTTCCGTCGGCGATCAGTGAAGCTGCTACAAGAAACCAAACGAGGAACGCAGCCACCGTGAGCCGCCGATCTCACCCTCTTGAGTTGTTGTCTTTCTCTGTCATTAGTATTATAAGGAGTCGCTGGTGCAGAAGATCTGACCGGTGTTCTTAGCCAGAGACATGCTCTTGCTTTGCCTTCTGCTACGTCATCCTCTTCTTCACCCTCATCCTCGTCTTGCGTCTCTTTGAAGAGTTCGAGCAGTCTCTTCTTGCTGTCGGTCGGAGACGGTTCTTCTTCATGTTTTCTCTCCTCTGCTTTAGGAGTATTTTGGTCGCAGAATTTGTGATGCACCGGTGTTGTTGCTCGCGACGGCGTAAACTCTGCAGTAAATTAAATCAAATGTCTTAGCAACAAAAAAGTAAATCAAATGTCATTTCATTATTTTTCAAAAGATCACGATTTTTTTTTTTTTGCATAAAAAAAAAGAAAAGAAAAAAAAGAAGAAGTACTGGAATTTCTCAATAAATGTCGCAGTAGTACGTACCACCATCAACGCTCATGAAATCATCGTCACAGTCAGAATCAAGCCACCCCCTTGAATCGAAAAACATCATCTCCTCCCTATTACCTTAAGAAACATTCCAAATATTTGGTGTATCATGTAAAATATGATGTAAATCTTATTATTTACACAAAAACAAACTTTTAAGGTTTTAAAATTAGAGGTTTCGAGTGAATGCAGTAGCTGCACCCCTAACTATACGGTTGCTATAAATTTCTAACAATACGTTTCTACATATATCACACATTTATTAACATGAAGTTTTTTTTGTTTATCTATGAAAGTTGCAACTTGGAGACATTCTAACCTCTATCGTACGCTTCACCGGTGTCCATGTGGTGCTATTATGTAAATAGATAGATAGACAAAGTTGCACATTTACCCATATTGATATAAGTAAATGACCAAAATAATCATAACAATTTGATCAAATTAAAAATCACTTTCATCTACTAATTAATGCTTTCGACTCAATATACGATATTGTAACAAGCCAACTCTAAGTAAGTTGTACATCTTGATTAGGTCTACAAAAGCAAAGGGCTTTTACATTTGTCGGCACTAAAGCAACCAATCGATCACAGCCATTAACAACTTTAATTATTGTTTCTAGATAAAACAAAGCAAACAAAAAAAATATATATAGTAGAAAGTAAACGGCGATGAACTAACTCAAACGCAAAGAATTATACTCCAGATGATCATCACACATAAATGTATATGTATGTACACACACCTGATGAATCCCGACGACCGGAATCTATAGTAGAATTATCAATGATGACGTCATTGTTGAGGGGCGATGACGTGGTTGCGATGGTCTCGGGTTTAGAGAGTAAGGCCGCAAGCTTGATGGCGGAATCAGAGGCGGAGTAGCTCTTGTTGTTGTGAGAAGAGGAGACACAGGAACCCATCACTCGTGTACTTTGCGTCTGTTCTGTTGTAACTTGTATAGAGAGAGAGAGAAAGAGAGAGAATTCTGTGGTTTAGGGAAATCTAAAAGGCATAGAAAGAAAGGAAGATCAAGAGGGCAGAGAGAGAGAGAGAGAGAGAGAGAGAGAGAGTTGGAATGGGCTTCAAAGTGAAGTTAATGGAGGAGAAAAGGGAGCAGTTTTCGATTTGGTAAGTGTCTTAATTGTGCCGTGTATTCATATTTAGGTTATGGGTTCGTATTGGTCCTCCTAACATTATAATGTGGGCTCCTCTTTCTTTTTCCTAATCTAATCTTCCTTTTTTCCTGATTTATTATTATTTATTTTTATGTCTTCTTTTTGACTCATTCTACATTTTGTTGTTGTTGTGTTTCATGCCCTCCAAGTCTCAAAATATAATTTAGAAAAATATCTCGACTTTTTTCCCACCCGGTTAGGATATAGTAGAATAGAGATTATACAAGTTTAAATTCATCTACAGTTGATTTATAAAACATGGCAAATATTATGATTAGAAAGGCAAAATAGGTCATTGGGCCGTTGACCAGAAAAGAGATGATTCATTGGGCCAGTTTTTCCGGGTCATAATATCATCCAAGACAGACACAGCTTTTGATCTTTCCTTAAACCAGACTCCATCTTTTTGTCCTCTTTGATCAGGTCGACGGCGGCCTATGCTCTTCCACGATCCACGCAGCGGCTGCATCCGGGGCCAACAGTATCGTCGCCGGAAGTTCTGTGTTTGGAGCTCCGGAGCCAGGGGATGTCATATTCCTTTTGCGGGCCACCGTTGAGAAAGCCCAGCCCACCACTTGACCTTTGAGGTACCCGTTTCTAATCATATGTACACCCAACCCAACAAGGAGTATATATAAAAAGCCTTTCATTTCAAGTCCTTTAGCTGATAAATATTTTTGTATTTTATTTCTTCGGAAATTATGGAAGCTGCACGTGGTGGCGGTGGTGCTTAGACGGCGTCGTATTCTCCTCGGAATCCGGTTCTCTCGGGCTCAAAAGTCGGTCCTCTCTTTCAAATGTCTTTTCGTAAATCGTAATATAATGTGTATATATAGTCTTGGTTCCAAGAACTATGATAATAACGATCGAACCTATTATATATAAATGTTATATAATTAATTATATTACATTGTACCCATTTGAAATGTTATTTCGTAAATCGTAATATATATAAATAACAGTTAGCTTCTTGCTTTATCTTATCGTATATTCCTTGTTCTTTTAGTGTCAACTTAGGGATTTATTGCAAAATGGACCTAAGAGAGTAGTACTTAGCCTTTTTGCTCCTTGATGCCTTGTCGTTGCTTTGTTTTTGCATGTCTTTTCAGCTTCTTGATAATGTTTTTGTGTCTTCTTGTTTTTATTTCCCCCCTACTATCAATTCCCAAATCATTCTCCACACACTATGTTTTGGATTTTACTTGACCAAACCATTGGACTTTAAAGATCTGGTCTCAAATTTTCGTCTTTTATATTTGTATGAGCTGGCTTGAAATCTTTCAACTATACTAGCATTGGCACAAGATAAAAAAATACTAAAGTCTATTGTCGCTACGTCACTAGTTAGAACTACAATGGGCAAGGTGTGCTTAGTGTGAACCAATAATTACAGATGAACACAGAAAGTATACGTGTTTCAAACTTGTGGTTATTATTTTGCAAGCTACATACAAAATGTAAAGTTTAGGTATGAATCAATTCGGAAAACCATGATCCTCACAACTCTCTATACACTATTGCACATGCTTTTGACCCGATAAAAAAAATATATATATCATAAAGTTTAAGAAACATGGACCAAAGATGATACCCCAACAAAAATGAAAAAAGTGGGTCCTAACTCGGTCTAAAACTAAATAATACTAGTATAATCTTCTTAGAACAAAGTGAGATTCACTTAGCTTGGACTTTGCAATTTGTGAATGTTGTTGAGTTTACGAAGAAAAGGTTCCAAGCACGAGAAGATGTCCTTTATAATTAATCTTTACATGTTTTTGTTTAAACTTAATTACATGGGGTTCAAAAGCCACCCCTCCCCTACTGTCGACAGGACTCAGAGGCTCCAATAGAATGATTTGTGCTAATTTACTATTCATATAGAAGTATAATATAAGTGGAAATCATGTGTGTACAAAATATTGATTTAATAATACTCACGTAGAATCGAAAGTCCACAAACTTTAGTTTATTTTATTGTTATCCATGATTCCCCTATTTCGCCAATAAATACAGTCACAGACATGCGTAGATTGTAATGCCACAGCTTATAATAGTAAAGGAGGAGGACATGGCTGGGTCAGTTAGTAAAGAGTGCATGACAAGTCTTGTAGTGTTGTTGTTCTTCATCTCCTCATCGTCCGCTGAAGAAGAAGGCTACGTTTGCCTCTCAAACCTCCAAAAGTGCAACACTTTCGCCATTCTCAGAGCCAGTTCCCTCTCCAGCCATCTGGGTCATGATCAGTTACGGTTTATCCCCATCGACTGCAGATGTAATGGAAGGATCTTCGAGGCCCATCTCTTCAAATCTTGCGTTAAAGGCGACACCTTTCGCTCCGTCTCTGCATCTCTGCAAGGCTTGACCACGTGCCTGTGAGTGAGCCCATACTTGACTGAAACTTTCTAACTAAATATTCAACACCACCAGCTTTTTTTATAAGTCATCGATTGGTTCCGGATGTTAATTTTCATTGCAGATCTATAAGAGAGAAGAATCCACAAGTCTCCGAGGACAGCCTCGACGAGAACGTTAAGTTGCGTCTGGCGATCAGGTGTTCTTGTCCAGAAGAAGGCGTTTCAAACGCCAGACTTCTCGTTACTTATCCCGTGAGTGACGGCGACAGCGTTTCAAGCCTGGCGGTTCAGTTCAACACAACAGAGGATGCTATCCTCTCTGCGAACAACAAATCTGGAGTGGTTCCGCTCACTCCTGCTCTCATACCTCTTGACCACAAACCGGTTCTCGATTCGCTGCCTAGACCGGGAAAATCCGTATCACAGAACGCAACGCTCGAGAATCGCCAGAAGAAGACATCGTCTAAGAAAAAACGGTCAAAGATGAAACTCATGATCGCTGTGAGCAGCGCGATTGCTGGAGTTTGCGTTCTCATCACTCTCATGGTGTTGGGTTACTTACACTGGAAGAAAGAGACGCGGCTGCAAACGCAAAGCTGGATTAGCAATAAAGATCCCGAGACGCGGCAGCTGAGTCTGAGCATCCGAACCACCAGTGACAAGAAAATCTCGTTTGAAGGGTCACAGGACGGTTCGGTTTTGGATTCTCAGAACACCGTCGGCACAACTACGCCGCGAAAGCCCGTTCTGGAGATTTACGCTTTCCAAGAGTTGGAGAAAGCCACTGAGAATTTCAGCTCAAGCAATCACATCAAAGGCTCGGTTTATTTCGGTTCGCTCAAGGGCAAGGACTTGGCTATAAAGCAAGTGAGTGCAGATGCTATGAAAAGATTCGATTTTGGGATTCTCAACGATCAATCACACTACTACAATCACAACCTGATTAGGGTTCTTGGGACATGTTTCAGAGAAACCCACCAGGGTTCTTATCTGGTTTTCGAGTACGCAAAGAATGGGTCTCTGTGGGACTGGCTTCAGAACAAACTGGCGATCAAGAATCAGTTCATCGAGTCTTGTTACTGTTTCTTGGCATGGAAACAGAGGATCAAGATCTGTCATGATGTCGCCATCGCGTTAAAGTATATGCATCGGATAAACTACGTTCACGGCAGCATCAAGAGCAGAAACATCTTCTTGAATGAAGATCTTAGGGGTAAAGTCGGGAACTTTGGGATGTCAAAGTGCGCAAGGGATGAATTAGCGGCCGAGGAGAACATTCTAGAAGGTTCCAAGTCTCCAGCTACCGACGTTTTCGCTTACGGGATTATCGTCATGGAGGTTTTGTCAGGACAAACCCCAGAGATGTTGCTTGGATCGCAAGGACCAGAGACGTCGCTTGGGACACAAGAAGCCTGTGTTCCCGAATGGAAGAGGCTGAGAAGGGTTCTCGGGGAGAAGGAAATGCTGAGGGAAGTGATGGATAGCACATTGGGAGAGAGCTATTCAGCTGACTCCGCGTATGAAATGGCAAGTATTGCAAGAGACTGTACAGCAGAAGAACCCGAGTTAAGGCCGAGCGCGGCTGAGGTTGCAGAGAGGGTTTCGAGATTGGTGGATGACGACGATGAAGACCACGAAGATGAAGCGGTAATAGAGAGAGAGCATACCTTGATTTCAGAGAGTTCTTACAAGCCTTTGGTAAAGAAGGCTAGTACAGATGATGAATGATATATATAGCTAGGGGGTTGTAACTTTATATATATAAAATATATATACATATGAATATTATTGCATCATGACCCTAAACTCGTCAAAGTTAATGATTCCATCCCTATTAATATCAAACTGGGAAATCATAACCTCGCATTCTTGAAGGCTCTTGGACTCATTCAACAAACTTAGCATCCTCTTCAAACTTTTAGGTGTGATGCCGCCTTCACTCTCTTGATACATCTTGAAAGCTTGCTTCAAGTCCTTCTCCTTCTCAGCCTCCTCTCCTTCTTCCACCAGCTTCACGAATTCCTCGAGTTCCAAGGATTTATCATCCGTCGTCTCTTGTGGTACGACCGCCTTTTTCCCGGACTTAATAGCATCCACGCATCTCTCGATGGTGGAAACAGAAACCTTGCCTTCTTGGGACTTGTCAAAGCAACTAAACACCCTTTGATACTCTTCGCGTTTGTTCATAGAAAGACTTGAGAGAAGAAAAAAGGATACGAAGACTATGTCTATCGTCTTTCGTTGGAACTTTTGGCAACAGAAATGTGGAATACTTATATAGAAAGAAGATGGACCAGAGACGTTTGAAAAATAAAAAAAGTTCATTTCAGTATTGGACGTCGTACGTGTATAAATGCGGACTTGTTAATTTCTTTACGGCGCTTCAAAAGGACAACAAACGCTTCGTTTCCGCGGCTTTTAATTTGGGTGTGTTGACAAGTTTCTCCCGTTTTTTTGTTTTGTAATTAAAGAAAGAATTGCTTGGTGATTTCGTTACTAAAGGACGAGGAAGATTCCGTTGACTTTGACTTTTCTCCTAAAGAAACTTCGTGATCATGAGCAAGTTTTTCATCATGTGAATAGGAATAGATCATTCCTTTACTTTTTGCTAGTGTGTTGTTGTTTATGGGTGGGCGGTTAACATTCATTCATTGACTAATTTCGAGGTCGTTGAAGCCTATAGGTCTGGTATGTGGGCCAACATATATACAATTGGGCCATGAGGAAATAGGAAGCCCAACACGTAGGGAGTGGCATTTCCGTGAATTGGGGAGAAAAGCAGGGGCAATTAAAGAGAGAAGATAACAGTCCAGCTGTGTGGGGGTTCCTTAAACCTCGTCTTCGTCTCTCCCATTCAAACCTCTTTTAAGCTCTCTGTGCCTTTAGTTTTCATCTCTCTCTTCTCCGAATCCGCCGCCACGCCTTGACCATGGCATGGCTGGGCCGCTTGAGAGGAGTTTCGCCGGTTGCAAGGCTCGCAGCGAGGCGTCGATCGTTCGGATCAGCGGCCGCGCTGGAGTTTGACTACGACTCCGATGAGGAGTATGTGTACGGAGATCCGAGACTTGCCTTGGATGGGTCCGGGCCAGAGAGGGGAGTCCAGTGGGTTCTGATGGGCGCGCCTGGAGCCTCGAGGCACGTCTTCGCCGAGAGGCTCTCCAACCTTGTTCAAGTTCCTCACATTTCCATGGGATCGCTTGTCCGTCAAGAGCTTCACCCTACATCTTCTCTCTACAAGGAGGTCTTTTTACTCACATCTTTTGCTTTTCCAATTAGGGGTGAAATTTTTTCTTGTTGGCAATCTTTCCTTCCTTAAAAGGAAATTGCATCTATCACTAATATTGCTAACTATTAGCTACAAGTGCACTTTCCCTGTTCCTGTTTCTCTTTGAACTAATGTAGCCTCTCTGGTTTATAGATTGCAAGTGCTGTTAACGAAGGAAAGCTTGTTCCAAAGAGTGTTGTCTTTGCTTTGCTATCAAAGAGGCTGGAAGATGGATATGTAAGGGGTGAAACCGGTTTCATTCTTGATGGAATTCCCCGCACTCGTAATCAAGCCGTGAGTCAAATTACACGCTTTGGCCTGACTATCTCCAAAAGAGCACTTGGTTTTAGTGATTCTGAATGTTTTGTTTTTCAGGAAACTCTTGACCAAATCGCTCAGATCGACCTCGTTGTGAATCTTAAATGCTCCGAGCTAAACCGAGCTGCTCTGAATGATACTGCTCTGCCTCGGCAGGAGTTCCTCGGCTCTACTTTCCACTCAGCTGTTGCAATCAAAGCCCCAAGGGAGGAGAGTCTGGGTGTCTACGCAGAGGAGGTACTTTTGTGGTGTATATCATGCTGTCTCTGCTATATCTCGTTACTACAATAGTGAGATGCTTGTTTCAACTTGACAATCTTGTGGGCATGCATGTCATCATCAGGTGAAGCCCCTGGAAGACTACTACAGGAAGCAGAGGAAACTCCTCGACTTTCATGTCGGCGCCGCCACCTCAGCAGAGACATGGCAGGGCTTGTTGGCAGCTTTGCATCTGAAGCAGGCGAATTTGGCGACTTCACACAAGCTGACTCTGTGATGATGATGGACACCACACAGTCTTACTGCAAAGTTTACTGAGGCTTTGCTTTATAAATTTTGATCCTTTCTTTTTCATTTTTAAGGGTCTGTTTTTCCAGGCAGCACCTAGATTTTGTTTTGTTCGCAAAATCTGTAATTCAAAGTTTTGCGAGAGTTCCAAAGTGACGAGGAGGAAACACTAAAAGCTTGTAATGAGTCTATATATAGAACAAGAATTTTCACTCTTAACTAAATGTTGATGATATTTAACTACTAGTGTTGGAGAATATAGATTTGCTGAACATGTTATACAACCTTGCGCACGTCTCAAATTGGAGCTCAAACATGTCTCTCAAACATGTCTCTGGTGGTACGCTTAAAAATAAAAGTTGTGCTGAATTCTATACATTGGCAAGAACCAAGTGACAACAGACATTTACAATCAGCGCAAGTCGAAATACAAAACACAGTAATGGTCTGATCAGACGCTGTTGGTCCAACACTCCCTGAGAAGTTGATACCTGACTGTCTCATCGTTATCGAGCTTCTGGGAAGCCGCCTGTTGAAGAAGAACAACAGCCAAGGGTGAAGTCAATTCATCAAGCTCGTCATCGCTCGTGTAGGCTTTTCTTGTAACCGAAGACCTGATTCTGCATAACTGCGGCGCTTGGGGCTGCCCAAAGTCTCCAATGATGGTGGAGATTGAAGTCCCTGAAGGCGGAGAGTACACCGGAGGAGGTGCAGTGCATGGATAGCTTGTGATCGTATCTTTCTCAGCTTCCTCCTACAAGAGAGGTGCATCGCGTTTGTGTTAGCTTCTCAGACCACCTTGATTATTATGAACGTAAAAAAAAAAAAAAGCACCCCACCTCTGATTCAAGAGCTTCAAGTACAGCATCAGGAACTGGGTCAGGGCAAAACTCATCCGGGACAAAATTATTCAACACTCTCTTGATCAACGGTGCACCGAACATTGGGCAAACCTTGGCAAATGACAAGAGATGAATTTTCGATAAGAAAAAGAAAGAAGCTTAAAAGACAAAAGAGTGTTGATGGACACCTCTTTTCTCACGGAAGTGTTGAGGAGCATATCTTTCGGAAGCATCATCAGATCGCTCAACGCCTTGAGAAGACTGAAAGTCTTGAACGAGGATGTATCAACGGAGCCGCCATCATCGTCATCGATGCCGAACAGATCAGTGAGCCACCTGGACCAGTTTCCTATCGAGTTTTTGAGCTGGGCCCCAGAACCGAAGCTTGATACTGCACAAGGAATGGGCAAGACCCTCGAGTCTGCAATGGGATCGGAGACAGGGTCTGTTGGGAAATTCTCATCAGAGTCACGAAGGATAGCATTGAACATGGCGACATCTAGGCGAGCCACGCACTGTTCCATTATCTGCATTGCGTACGAAACCATAAAGAGTTATAAAAAAACCAATGTGAAGACTTGAAAGAAGCACATTCATACCAGACGCGCAGGGACGGGCAAGCAACCACATTCATGCCCACTTGCTCGCAGAGGGCATAGGCGTTCGTGTGCATCCCTGAAAGCCTTTTTCCAAAGCTCTAATGAGAAGTCACCCGAGTTTCTCTTGGTGGACGCTGCCGACGACTGCATACGCGGTGTCAAAGTCTGCAATCCAAGCATTAGTATGTATTCTCTAAGTTCCATGAAGAGAATGGAGGGTGAAGCTAAGCAGCATTACCTGCCACCATATGGATTCTACAACGCGTGAGAAGATCCAAGCCTCCACCTTCTCTAGCGCCGTTACAAATGTTTTAGGGTCATCCCAGGCTCCATCAAAACTCTCATTCCAAGCATCTCTCCACCTCAAGGATGGTCGTTTCTCTGTTTCTTCTCTCTGAGCCTTATTGCTTCTCCTCGGCTCCTCTTCCGCACTTATCATCGCCCTCAGGATGATTGTGTTCGACAGCCAAAATGTCAATCTGCACATGATTCTTTTAGTTTCTTAAACCCTGAGAGAAAGGCAGCCGATATGAATATTTATACATCAGCATACCTAGGGACATCATTCCCGCACGCTTTGGCCACAAGAACCAACCCGGAGACTGCACTTTTGGCTGCATTGGCTCTTCTTGGCAGATTGTTTTCTCCACAAGCATGATGATACAGCCTCAAAAGACGTCTAGCAGGCGCGTGGACTTTCGTTGATGAGCTTCCATGCTCTGCGACCACGGAGTAGAGAGCTGCTTCCATGGCTGCAGCCTCACATAGCTCACCCTCAAGCTTCTTTACTTTACTCTCCAACCTCTTCACTTTGCTCTCCAAACTTGTGTCCCCTGTAGACTTTGGATACACCTTAGCCTCTCTTTTTTCACTGCACTGACTCAACCGGCTGCTGTTGCTCCGGGATATATCCAGGGATGATCGAACAGACTTCACCTTTCTTGATTTCTCGACTCTGCTCTCTGATGATTCCTGCTCACTCATCAAATCTTGGCTATTCTCAGATGCTCGAGGCGATGCATTTTCCGAGTGACAATCAATTTGGGATGGCACAGACTTGGTCTCCTTAGCATCATCGCTTATAAACACATCAGCACAGTCCTCGAGCTCAGACACACAAGTGTCAGCGTTGGGTGCAGAGTCACGAATGTCCACCGGGAGATTAAACACCGAAGATAGATCTAGTGATGAGGAACGTGAGGGAACCTGGTCAGCGATTTCTCCTCGTCTGCTCTCAGATGCTGATTGTGATCTCTCGTGGCCATTTCCTTTGGGATTCTTGTTAACCCTCTCATGTTCTTCCTGCAAATAAGCCATGAGACGCATTTAGAAACATTCCATGACACACATAACTAACTTATCAAAAAGAGACGTTGCCATATCTTAGCTTACCTCTTCAGCTCGCAGGGAAAAGGCACCACTAGACTCCAAAGTTGAAGATGAAACCGTCAAGGAGGAGTGGGAGGAAATGTCATCGTCTGTGATGGAAGCAATCTCAGCTTCCTTATAGTATTCCTCGTTCATCAAGGCAGAGACAGATTCACCACCGTTTGTGGCTTCATCCTTGGAGCTCTTCCTGGATGAAGAAGTGGCCCGGCGCCTATCGACGGGCTGAATAGTGAGGTACAAAACAGGCGGAGTGGTGTTCCGGTAGCTTCGTTTACTGCTCATCGGAGCAGTCAAGCTCAAACTGTCTTTGACAATACCACAGTCCGCCAAATCGATGGTGGCAGTTGCCAAGAGCTGATGTGTTTTCTCTCTGCGAGGCTCGTATAAGTTGAGCTCCAAGACGTTCTTGAAGAACACATCACCAACCTTGTTCCGAGCAGACGCATCTTTCAACAAGGTCACGGGCAGCTTAAAGGATTCGTTGAATTCGATTTTGCCTTCGCCAATCACAGAGCCAAGAGAAGGAGCAACCACATTTGTTGTCCCAGAGTTGCGGTCACCGTTCTCCCATTGTATTACAACAGAGCGCAGTGATCTAAGGGACTGTGAAGGTGGCCAAGGCTTGATCTCATGAATGTGGACCACGTAATCAACTTGTATCGATGAACCTCTTCTGTTCTTGGAGCTTAAACCCAATACCATCTTTTGTTTTTTTTATTGCCAATCAAACTACAAAAGTGTAAAATCATGAATCAGTACCCGAAAGCACACATCTTGGAATTTAAACAACCAGGAAAGCTTTTGACTTTTTCATCTGAAACTAAGCAGCGAAGCCGTTGAATGTTTAGACAATGCACCAACATATTATAACAAGAAAGCACCTCTAAGTAAAATTTATGCTAATTTGGTCTTCCATATATACCATCGATTTGATTGATCAAGATCCAAAACCCACAGAGTAGCTAATTATGAAAGCTCATTTCGAGAGATTTTTCTGAGTTGCTTTTTGCATCTCTTACATCAGATCCAAGCAACTTAAAAAAACAACCCAACAGAGATGAGTATAGCAAAAAGCAGTCATGTAATGCCAGCATTGAAGAACACTAACAAGTCGTCAAAGTAATCTGAGAGAATACCCTACAACTCCTGCAATGAAAATGTGAATGCTTCTTCCTCTTCTTCTTCTTCTTCTTCTTCTTCTTCTTCTTCGCAGAAGAATGAAATTTTCGATTTTGGTAGCTTTTTTTTTTTCTTTTCTTCTTGTGTGCGTTTTGGTTAATCAGAGGATATGAGCCACTGACAGAGAATGAAGAATCTATAGAGCAGAAAATTAGAAAGAATTAAAATAAAATTATCATGCCTAAAAGAAAAAAAAAAGAGAAGATTTTCACTGAAAATGACAAAAAAAAAAAAAAAACTAATCTGAATAAGAAGGAGTTTTGATCGTGCAAAAAGATCTCTATCTAAACGGCGACGTTACTTATGATGAAATGAGTTTCAACGCGCTTTACTCGCGCGTGGTTAGAGAAATCATCATTACTCTCGCTGGAATGCCTTGTCCTCCGACGCAAATGCGAGTGGGCAAGATTGGATACCATTAGTTATGTCTTAATTGTTTTGTTAAAATTACATGTACTGTATGTGTACAATTACACATCTCTTTTTGCCGACAAACTATACAGCTTAATACGTACATTTATTTATAGTGAGAAGATGCATATAAACTAAATACAATCATATTTTAATAATAAGATTGTGTGGTAGGTGATGACGGTTTTTTTTTAATTTTGTTGCAGAGATGGACTGAGTTTAAAGTAAACTATACTATATGAATTTTAAAATAAAAGGCACTATGAAAATGCAACGTTGAGATAAGCTTATTATATACATATATGGATACTTTTTTTCTAAACGAAATCATTGAATTATTCTTTGCAAGTATAGAAAAATGGGTTGTAACAAATTTACCAAAACATCAATTTGATTATGATGTAAATTATTGGTACAAAATTGACTCATCTCCTACCTCATTGACTTGGTTTTTAAGTTTGGAAAATTCTCTTCAACTACAAAAGCCAATATCTGATGAACTATTTTGCTGATTGACTCTAACCCCATTCTAATAAAACATTAATAAACAATAAGTATATATCAATTGTAATGGACTTCTAAGGCCTTTATTGGGCACTTTGAAAGGCCTTTCACCACATTTGTAAGCTCAAAACAAATCTTTCTAGTGAATAAATTTTGCTGTTGTTTGGATGTCTCAAAAAGGAAAGAAAGAAACTTGTTGAGCTAGTGATGAGATCAGGCTTGGGTGATCTCTTTCTCTTTGGACTTGCACATTTCCTCTGCTGACTTTACAAACTTCTTCGTCAACTCTTCTACCTGTGAACACAAAGACGCAAATTTCAAAAATGGTCACAAAGGAAACCCATTTGCAGAAAGATCACAAAAGGACACTCACTTCCTTCTCCAGTCTTTTCGCTTCATCTTTTGGTAGACCTGCTTTCTTTATTGTGTCAAGTGCCTGACAAAAAAGGACTCTCATCATTATTAGGTTCAGATTTAAAGGACAAGTAAGAGTTTCCAGGGACTTTTAAAGCTCTAAACATTCGCACTACCTTTTGCCGCGCTCTCCTAATGCTTTGTTTCACAACTTCACTAGACTTTGTTACAATCTTGCACATTGCCTGGAGGTTGATTACAGGGTCAACATCACCAGCAAACACATAGTAAACTAGACATGGAAGAGTTTATAAGCTTTACCTGAATATGCTCCTGGGTCAACCTGCTCAGGGAAAACAGAAGGAAGTGTCAAAATGGGAATGAAATCGGACAGAGAAGAACACATAATGTTATTGTGTCGTACGCTGGGATTGATGCGACAAGCCGTTGACCATCGAGTTTGGGGTTTAATCCTAATGGCGACGAGACTATCGCTTTCTCAAGTTCTTTCACAGTCTGCCGAAAGAAAGGTAAATGTTACCAAAAGCAATACGAAAAAGCAGACAAAATCACACAGAGAGAAGGTGGTTACATCAGGATCATACGGATTGACAGACAAAGTTTTTGGATCGAGCACAGAGACCAAAGCCAAGTGATTGAGTGGCATCTTTACTCCCCCAGTTTCAACGATAATGTGATCAAGCATCCCTGCAAAAGCCCCACCAGAATAAGCACACGCTTCTCTAACCTAAACCCGAGAGGAGAGGGGAAGACGAAAATGACCTGGTGCGGCTCTTCCCGTTCTCAATTTAGTCAAATCCCGCGACAAGGCATCGATGGCTGCCTCCATCTGTGAAGAGGCTGTTGCCTTCACGGTAGGCCCAATATTCGGAGCTTCGTCGACCAATCCCGATGCTGAATCATCCCCTGAAAGGAAGAGCAAGTGCCTTTAACGAAAGCATTCTCAGATTCAAATCGACGCCAAGGAATGCAAAGCGAGGGAAACCTACTTGATTTTTTGCCTTTAGCGAACCCTCGACGAGAATCTCTGAGAAAGTCGGGCAAGGACAAATCCAATTCCAAATCTCGGGCCCTCGGGTTTGGGGGAGAGAAGAGGGTCGTCTTGTGCGACAAGTCGCGAGATTGAACAACAACAACGGAGGAGCTCCTTCTGAGAAACGCAATCGCAATCGCACTTCGACTCGACACCGCTCGTCTCAGCAACATAGCCATCGGAGGTTTACCCTTTTGCTGCTGTCTCCTAAAACCCTCTCGACTCTGTCAAAGTTCAAACCTTTTGATGAAATGAAATAAAAAGGTCTGGTTTTTTTCTTTTTTGTAAACAATGACCAAACTAGCCCCTTCCTCCTCTAGTAGAGTCTAAGTGGGGGTTATTGGTTCATGTAAACCCTTTTGGTTCTCCAATCTTAGATCTTCCCTTCTCGCCGCCACCCGTCGCTTCGGCACTCTCACCTGAAACCGGTGAGTACAGCTGCAGATTCTGGTCCGTTCTCTCTATGAATCTGTATGACTATATTGATTTCGGATTTTGTCGTGTGTGTGTTTGCCATTCTCTGTCTCTACAAGTCATTCCTGGATTCGGAGAACGATGGCCACTCAAGCTGCTGCTGCCGCCTCATTCAATGGCAACCTAAAGGTTCGTTTATTCTCCTTCTCTCTTTGATAAAACTTGTTTCACATTCCAGCTTTCGATCGTTTTTAGCCAAACACCTTCTACTGAACCATGTAATTACATTTTCTTACTTAACTACGTGAACAGTGCTCACTTCTCATTGAACCTTGTCTCGTTTTATAGAATTCAGAGAGCTAATGCAAGTTAGAAAATGACAAGATGCAAGAAACTTAGTCGAAATAGGACGGACCGCTTTGTTATATCGAATTATGTAGCTGATGTTGAATATGCCTTGTCGATTCTTTTTGCAGAAAGCTATGGCAGGTATAAGGCGCATCAATCTCGACGGTCTTCGTTGGCGAGTATTTGATGCCAAAGGCCAGGTTTTGTCAACGTTTCCATTTTCTTCTTCTGTTTATTGTAAAGCTTGGTTAATCTTGAGAGCCAGACATCTGACCCCAGTGGTTAATGTGTTAGATCGGAATGGCTAGGATTTCATTTCATATACCTTCTTCGTGTAGGTTCTCGGTAGACTAGCATCTCAGATATCAACCGTGCTTCAAGCCAAAGATAAGCCGACGTATTGTCCCAACCGCGATGATGGGGATATTTGTATTGTGCTCAATGCTAAAGAAATAGGCGTCACAGGAAGAAAGCTCACCGACAAGTTCTACCGCTGGCACACGGGGCAAGTATTCGATGTTTCTGTGAGTCTTGAGCTACCATTGAGTACCTCTTCTAATCTCTGTTTACAGGTACGTTGGACACCTGAAAGAACGGAGTCTCAAAGATCAGATGGCCAAAGACCCCACTGAGGTCATCCGTAAGGCTGTCTGGCGCATGCTTCCAAGTAACAATTTGCGTGATGTGAGTACACTTTTCTGTGATGCTTTTATCTAGCTATCCTTTCTCAGCTGCTAAGTAAACAATGTTTAGATTTTGTTGCTTGCAACTAGAAAATGCTGAGTGTTTGTTTCTTCTTGTGGGTATATTATATAGGACAGAGATCGGAAGCTGAGGATATTCGAAGGCAATGAGCATCCTTTTGGGGACAAGCCACTCGAGCCATTCGTGATGCCGCCTCGTAGGGTCAGAGAGATGCGACCGCGCGCAAGGCGTGCAATGATCCGTGCCCAGAAGAAGGCAGATCAGGCAGAAAATGGTGGAACAGAGGTCAAGAAAGGCAAGAAGAGGACTCCCTCTCAAGTAACTGCGTAGAAGAAAAGCGTCACAGTGATGTCACTCGTCTTAGATGCGGCAAGCAAGCGATCATAATGCAGGCGTGGATAAGCTTCTAAGCTTTTCTTGTTTATTTGCTTTGTGATCCAGACTCTAGAGACGGCCCTGTTTCTGGATGTCAGATATGAAGCCAACCTTAAAACATGGTCTCGTTATTGTCTTTCGCTTTTCTTCGTTGCCAAACATACATTTAACTTTCTTTTTTTTAATTTTAAATGAGGAAATTCATCAATCATGCTAAATTTGTGAATAAGATGGAATTTCATAAGAGTGGCAATAATAAACATCCTTTGTTTCTTTTCTTCAACAACAAGACAAAACATTCTAGCTCTAAGAAGAAACCACACACAAAAGATTACAAAGATCGCTCTGCACCTTCATATTGGAAAATATCAATTTTCTCTGCTAGTTTTAGTTAACTTTGGTATATTTTCTATCTTTACACAACATGTGCCATTCCTGGAGCACTGCTGCCTGAAGCGCCATGTGCTCTGTTTCTTCTGCTGTCAACTTAGACAGTGTTCCTTTTTCCTTCTTCTTCTTCTCTTCCTTTTCCTTTTCCCTTGCTTCTTCTTTCTCCTTTTTCTCTTCTTCTTCTTCTTCTGCATCATCATCATCATCTTCTTCTTCTTCTTCAGTTTCCTCCTCCGTCTTTGGAGTCTTTTTCGGCTGAGCTGCCTTTAACAAAGCTATTCTCTCCATTGAGATTTTCAGTTTCTCAGCTGCTGTTGCTTTCACTTCATCCTCTGGCATATACTCAACGCCCCCGTCAGTTAGATCATCGCACCATCCCTGAAGATCTGACTCTATTTGCTTTGTGATTGATGCTTCTGAGGCTCTAACCACGAACTTACACATCATGGTGGTCGTCTCGTCACCCAGATCCACGTTCCTGCTCACTTCACTAGCCCCAAAGATCATCATGCCCACAAAACCTCCATGCCACGTTTTTGCAGCGTAGCAAAGCTGTAATGACAACAAGGTAAAGGTTTATCAGGCCTACAATCCAGGTTTGAGTGTGTGAGGAGGAACAAGAACACAGTGGAACTGGCAAAATTCACCTGGAATCCAGCAACTGTGCGTATAATGTGGGAACACACTCTGTGGAATGGCTTGGAGGATAAAGATTTGAGTCCGCTTAAAAACGGTGAAGCACCATACTGCTGTGCAGCGGTCGCCATGAAGCCGCTTCCTTCATACATATATGTGCCAGTGTATTCTGCAACAGCTGGCAAGCTAGGCCACAAACGAAAGAACTCGACTGGTGAGATTTTGTGCGGGAGAAGAAGCTCGGTCAGTGGGATCTTGTAAGGCTGACATCTTAAGATCACAGGCTCTCCGAGTTCTGATTTTGAACCTCTCTTCTGCTTCATGATCTGTTGATCGTCTTCTAAGTAGTCACCGTCATAGTCTCCCCTAGCGCCACGGAATGGATAGTAGAGGACTTGAACCCAGAAACCACATCTTTCAAATTGGGAGACACCGACGGTGACACTGCATTGTACAGGATCCTACAAGAGTACAACACAGAGTGGATGTTAATAAAGCTAGCATAAATATGAAACTGATCAACTTATTTAGGACTGAGAAACAGAAATGGTTCTCAACAGACAAAACCCTTAGATATTAGAGAACTGTATAGAGATGATGGGAGTAGATAAGCACTGAAGACTGAAATACAACCTGTGAGACAAGATTACGCAACTGCCGCACTGCTTGAGGAGAACCATCCATGAAGTATAGGGCACCAGATAATCCAACCCGTATATCCACACGATTTAGCTCAAGCTCTGTCAAATTAATTATCTGAACACAGAGTAAAAGAGAGGCGTTGAGACGCTACAATTTACCAACCTATCTGTATTCAAGAAAACTGTAGGATGACACATAGAACATACACCAACCTTCAAGTGCAAAGTGACCCTTCCATCATTCGTATCTGCTAAATGGTAAGCTTCTATATAGCAAGGATCACTGCTTCCAGTCAAAGGGTATGCTGTGGGGGGAACCTTGATAGAAGACGAGTCGACCCCTTTTGAAAGGAAGAGAGTTAACTCACTCGGCTTTGGCCTCCAAAGCTCTAGAATGGCCTTGTGAATTAACCCTTCTAGTTTTCTGTCTTGAGCAGCTGATGGTTCGTAAAATTGAACAGTAAGCTTATGGTGGCTGAAGGGGTAATCTCCTCTTGTCTCACTGACTCCAGCCCACCTGGAAACCAATATGTTGAGTGAGATTCGATCCAGAAACGCAGAAAAAATCAAACAATAAAAGTATTATAAGCCAAGGAGAAAACTCACTTTCTTTCAGGAAGATTTGAAACATATTTGATCCTCTGCAATATTAGACGGGTTTGATGTTTGCTAACTGTATCTGCAGCAGCATGGTTCCTATACTCTTCAAGCTCTTTGGTTATTAATTGGCCAGCTCTTGCATGACGTGAGCCCATCCTCTGCGCGCATAGTAAGACTGCCTGAACATCTTGTAGCCTATTTGATGTAGTTGCAGCGGCATCCAAGTTGAAGATAACCTTATGCATATTTGCTATGATAATATTTAAAGGATCATCAGGGTCATCAGCCAAAAGTGGATCCAGACCTTCTAGATCAATATGTTCTGCGATGGTCCATATAAGACGCCCAAGGATTCTTGGGGTATTTACCTGCCAAATTGAGAAATAAGAATTTGACCACGTTTTAAGTCGACACGCAATAGTTGAAAGTTGCCAAGTTCGACTTGTAAATCAAAGCTGGGGTTTAATTACCTCTTGGAGATCCTTGACAAGCTCGCGTTGTAAGTTCTGTAATCGCGTCTCATTTAACATTTGATCCTGCGAAGCACCGTCTTTAAGCCTCTTCACACCGCCTCGGGTATCATAGATGTGGCAGAGCCTAACAAGCAATTTCAAATAGCAATCTATAGCGTACGTCCTGCCATCACAATCCCATTTGACACAAGGCCTACAAACTTCCACAACCTCAAGAGCCGGCTCAGTCCAGTTCAAAGCACCATAACCAGTGCCATATGCTAGTGCACCAATTACTCTGCTCTCCATACCCGAGTTCTTTTGTTCAGGCAAAGGTAGAGATAACTGGAAGCAACTTTCCACAAGCATTGCCACCAGCTCCTCCCGAAAAAGGCTTTTACTGGTAACACTATTGAGATCATCCTTTATCCTTGCATCCTCAAAGAGAGATATAATGTCTGTCCCAGGTAGGGGCTTCTGACCTCTTCGGGCACTTTCTCTGGCAAAAAGGTGAACACAGAGAGCTGTCCGACAGATACAGGCCAACGCGTGCATCCTGTCCGATTCTGCTCTCAAGTTCCTCACCATAAGCAGCAGTCTTCTAAACAGAGAGACCTTCATATAACAGGTTCCAAAAGCAGTGGTTCAGAAATCATTGGGGCATAAGGTTCGAGAGAAAATGTACGCAACCAATCGATAACTTGAACGGAGTAAAGAAACCACATATACCTGCATATGAAGATCAAGCAAGTGCAGGTTCGTGACCACCGCCCTGACTATACTCTCTCGGGCAGAAGAGAACTCTTGGCGGTCCCAGAGCGTTAAAATTGCAATAATGGACTGCGAAGCCCACTCTGGCTTCCCGCCGGCAACATCCGCCAGGTACAGCATGTTAATTCCAACTTCAAAAATCAGTGCCGGGTCCAGAGAGGAGGCCAAGAAGGGCGCGAAATGAGTAACCAAATCTGAGACGCCAACCAGCTTCTCGGCGTTGGAATCCACAGCCGCGGCATTAGCTGCAGCACCAGAGGAAGCCTTGGAGAGCAGTCTTATGACTTCCACGCTACCCGAAGCAACAGCCTTGACAGCAAAGACAAGAGGGAAGACAGTGGCTCTGAACGTTTCGACAGGAAGGACTAGAGACCTAGCCATCAAAGCGGTCCTCTTTCTCCACACAATATCGACCATTGAAGACACCCACTTGGACCTGATGGCCAGGGAATTCTCGCTGTCTACGAGCTTGTCCCCAGCAAGACGGCTCATCCGCTTGGAGTCGAACTCCTGAAACAGTCTGCCGACGGACTCAAACGCAACCTTGGAGACAGCGTCGGATTTGTCGAGCATGTTCTGGCCGATCCGAGACCACCAGCTGGAGACCTTGTCGAGGAGACCCACATTGTTCTCGCACAATGTAACGAGATCATCGCGCGCCAGGATGCAGCCGAGCGTTTCCGTAATGGAGAAACGGAGGTTGTCAGATGGGGAATCGAAGCATGAAGCAATTTCACTGCTGCAATCAGATATCAGTTTAGGGAGCGAGAAGGACGGAAGAGCCGCTAGAATGGAGACGGCAGCTGCGGTGACGTCTGGGTCCGGGAAATGAAGATCCGTTTTGACACCTGAACAAACCGTGTCCCAAAGATCCGGAGTCAGGCGGGTAGATCGGATGAGATCGAAGGCAAGCTTCTTACAAACAGCCGATGCCGGAGAAGCAACAATCTCCTCCACTGCAGACTTTGCGATCACCGATATATCCCGTCCGGCGGCGGATTGCTGCAGCGCTTGAAGAAGCGCCGATGACTGGCGAAGCGCGTCATTAGAACGGAGGTCAGCCTGGATCTGAGCGAAGAGTATGTCCATTTCCGGATCGAATTAACTAAAATTCGAGATCCGAGGCGAGGAATCTGAGCAAGCTTTGCTGTATATCTGTGTACCGATGCGACATGGAAGAACTGAAGAAGGAGGAGGAGGTGCAAGCTTTTCCGATTGCAAAACAGCGTGGCGTTGCTGTAATTTGAGCTCTGACAGCGTGCCGTTTGTAGCTTGGGCTATCACTAGACCCAATAAAGGCTCAATTTAAAATTAAAGGACCTTTCCACTACTTGCCCATTATAGTATTCGGGCCCAATAACTCTTAGTGCATCAGCCCATACAAGTTTAGATTATCAGTAGACTCAAGAAAAGTCCAATTGAAAGTTAAAGGGCCTTCTACTCCTTGCCCTATTATAGTATTCGGGCCCAATATCTCTTACTGCATAAGCCCATGCAAGTTTGGGCTATCAGTAGACCCAATAAAAGTCCAGTTGAAAGTTAAAGGGCTTTTCCACTGATTGCCCTATTATAGTATTTCAGGCCCAATAACTCTTAGTGCATAAGCCCATACAAGTTTGGGCTATCAGTAGACCCAATAAAGGCTCAATTGAAAATTAAAGGGCATTTCCACTGATTGCCCTATTAGTATTCAGGCTCAATAACTCTTAGTGCATGAGTCCATACAAGTTTGGGCTATCAGTAGACCTAATAAGGGCTCAATTGAAAGTTAAAGGGTCTTTCCACTGCTTACTCTATTATAGTACTCGGGCCCAATAACTCCTAGTGCATAAGCCCATACAAGTTTGGGCTATCACTTGACCCAATAAAGGTCCAATTGAAAGTTGAAGGGTCTTTCCACTGCTTTCTCTATAGTATTCGGGCCCAATATCTCTGAATGTATACTCATACAGGTTTGGGCTATCAGTAGATCCAGGAAAGGCCCAATTGAAAGTTAAAGGCCCAATTGAAAGTTAATGGGCCTTTCCACTGGTTTCCCTATTATAGTATTGGAGTCCAATAACTCTTAAAGCATAAGCTTATATAAGTTTGGACTATCATTAGACCCAATAAATGCCCAATTGAAAGTTAAAGGGTCTTTCCACTGTTTGCCCTAATATAGTATTCGGGCCCAATAACTTTTAACGTGTAAGCCCATATAAGTTTGGGCTGTCACTAGACCCAACAAAGGCCCAATTGAAAGCTAAAGGACATTTCCACTGCTTTGTCTATTATAGTATTCGGGCCCAATAACTTTTAACGCATAAGCCCATATAAGTTTGAGCTATCACTAGACCCAATAAAGGCCCAATGACTCTTAACGCATAAGCCCATATACAATTCTGCAAGTGCGATCACATCGGAGTAAGCAGACGCTGCATAGGTACGGGCAGAGAGAGGGAGAGGGCTCTGTGCGGGGGTTTTCCGTCTCTCCTTGCTTCTCGGTCGTCTTGGTCGTTTGTTTGCTTTGTCCAGGGGTTTATTTTATCTTCATCTACAACAAACTTTTGTGTTTCGTTCGAGATTTAGGCTTATGCCTGCTCTTGGGTTAGTTGGGTTTTTTTGAAACACGATGATGATGACGAGGAAGAAGATGATGATGCTGACCCGGTTGCTTTTGAAGAAGCGGAAGCGGGTGAGATCGATTGTGGTGTGTACAAATGAATCAGAGAGTGAGTTTGTAAAATAATAATAACACAATATATGATGATGGCATCAAAATGGCTTTTCTAATATTCAGTACAAACTAAAACCAAGCTAGAAATAAGAAAGAAACTGCAATTTGCATTCAGTTTGGAGTGGTGCAAAAAGAGTTACGCCCGAGACTGCCCTCTTTAATATGATATATTAGTTTCGCGAGCCCGCCAATGGGTGCTATGATCATCAGGAGAACCCCAAGAAGTATGCAACTCTGAAAGAAAGAAAGATATATCAACACATTAGCTCTGGTAAAACGTACATGCACAGCACAAGAGAGTTGTGACTGCCTACCCAGTTGATACACCAAGATAAACCAAATCTCTTTGGTTTCTTGAGGATCAACCACATGATGCAGGGGATCTGAAAAACAGACAAGATTATACAGATCTCTTGTGATTGATCAATCATCTATGTATGAAGACAAAGTATTCATTCCGGCTTACAAAGTATGTGGTAGGTGCAAACACGAATCCCCCAAAAAAGGACAGCAACGCACTGAAATACGGTAGTGCGAGTGCAATACCCATCGTGGCCGCTGCCATGATTTTAGATAGAAACAGTTAGTCAATCATATGGACAGATATATATTATATGTGTTAGCTGATGCATGGACTCATATCATATATAATTACCAACAAAAGTCCAGCGGATGCTAAAGCGTAGAACTCTTGTAGGAGTGAAGTGCCATTTCTTAATCATTACGGATTCGATCATGTCAAACACGGGCATTGCGTACACCTGGTAGCTTCCCAGGAGGTGTAGGACGACAAACATGTTGGCCACGATGACAAGTGCCTTGGGTTTTTTGAGTGACTCGAGGATGTTCTCTTTCACATCGTTCCCAAATGTTCCGAACCCTACAAGAGCCACGGGGAAGTAGCAGAAAGCTACGATGATATATGCTACAATGGCTCCCTTCCACATGGGTCCTTTTGATGGTTTCTCTGGTGTCGATGGGATCGTTGCCTGGATTTCTAATACAACGTTGTGACCTGCGTACGCGAATGCCATCTCCCCTAATGCGCTTAAAAACTCTAACGCCACTGAGTTTGTTCTTTTCTTATACCCGTGCTTCACATCCTCCGTTGCACCCTTCCTCGCTGACGCTACCCATGCAATTGTGGAATAGCTGTGCCAACAGTATACATATATGTTTTGTGACAAGTCCATTTTGTTGATCTTATTGTATAAAGCAAAAGTGAATTACCTCACTGACATGACAGCAGCTACCAAGGAGACCCCAGAGATGGAGTTGAAGTTGTTAAGCAGGGAAAACGCAAACTGGGACGACGCAAATATCAAAATGAAGTGTCGAACGGTCATCTTTGTGCATTTCTTATCTCCCACAGCAAGGTCGTGTACATTCTTCAGGGATTTACCTCCTGTCACCATATACACTATGCACACACTCGTTTCCACTAGCAGTTGCAGCGGCACCACTATGTACAATCCTAGCTTTTTCCCAAACGCTGCCTGTCCCAACTCATGGTACCTATCAAACCGTCTCCCTTCAAACATCTCGTGCATCTCGATCATTTGCCACAGCGTGTACAGTGTGATGACCCATGACAGGATCAGCACCACAACCCCAGGTCCCCTAAAGATGCAAGTTTTGGTAAGAAAATGATTTGGTTTCAGCTAGGCAGAGAGTTTTGGAACAAGAAAGAAAGATGATACCATCCAAGCTCTGACATGGCGTAAGGAAGACCGAGAACTCCAGCACCAACTATTGCTGTCACGTTGTGGAAAGCCGAATAGTACCAATTGGCATTTCTTGATGCTGTGATTGGTAGCCAATCCTCCAGCTCAAATGATTGTTCCTGTACGTTAGTTTCTCTAAACTTTTATTTCTTTCCGTATGCAAAAAGTTACCACACACATCAAAGCATCAAAAGGGAATCTCTTTCTCAAGATCAGAGAGTTCATAAAAAGCATATCTACATATATAATACCATGATTGTCACAATAAAAATCATACCTCCACAAGATCTTGGTTTGATGGACTCGGTATCTTCATCATTGCAAACAAACAAACTCAGGAATGTTGTCACTTTGTGAAGCAATCTTTATGCTTTTTCTTTTTCAATTAGGTGGTTCCAAAAGTAAGCTGTGTGCAAGAGAGACAGACAGAGACTCAGAGGGAAGAGGGAAGAGAGAAAGAGAGAGAATGAGAGTTGACTTTTGACCTTGCCGTGGAGGAGATTATTTGACCAGAGTATATATTAGCTGTGGCTTGAATTACCTGGAAATTTCGAATGTTGTTCCATCCGTTTATTCGTATTGAAATGGTCGTTGGTTGGATACATGTTCATAATCACACCCTTTGGCTACATATATAATATTATGTCACTATCGGACAGTTTCTGTAATTCTAATTAAAAACAGGGATTCTGGGACCATTATTTGGCATTTCTGCACTTCTTCTTGTGGTCAATGAGGATGTGATGAGTCTACGAATGAAGTTAGCTGGAAAATGTATTCTTTAATAATGCGTTGAAAGTACAAAAATTAGAAAAATATGTTTGTTCAAGTCAATGATAGAAAGATTAATCAAGTTTCTAAGGAGAGAGATAACTAATTAGTGGTCTCCAAATCGAAGAATAGGTCTGGTGGGTGCCACTCTGAATACTTACGCCGGAGTTGAGACGGAAGCTCCCTTTGATTTATCTTTTCGTGTGTATGTGTCAGTGTGTGTGTGTGGCTAAAACAGCATATCATTTAGATATTAATTTAGAATATTAAGCTATCCACAGTTTTCACTTAAACTCATGATTCTACTGTTTCCATGAGGTTTTGTTTTGTAAATTCATGTTTTTCCTTATGAAATGGATTCTTTTAAAATGAAATAAGAATTAATTTTATTACTATACTTCACACCAATCACTGAACCGGCAAGAGTTCTCCACACTGCTTGGTGCTAGAAACAAAAACGGCAGTAGTTTAACTTTAGGATACACTTCCTCCATCTAACTACATACTAACTTTAGAAAAAGAAAAAACTATAAATAGAAACCGAACCTATGCTATTTCTTTTGCTTCTCTCTCTCACATGTCAATCCGGTTTTGTTCTGCACTCAATAACCGAGTTATACCAAGACCGTAGCCGGCGTTTTCACAGATAAAGCTGAAGCACCAAAGCAGAAGTAATGGCTCTTCAATCTCCTCCTCACCGAACCCTGCTTCTCGGCTAACTTGCTTTTCACCGGGTTTAATCCAGACGGTCCGGCTATGTTCGTATCAATCAACACTCCCTTCTGTTTAAGATCAGCCACGCTCGAAGATGAAGAAGTGGAACAAGAGTGGATGGATATCTTTGAGAAAGAGCTCGAACGAGACCGCATTGAGCCAAACCGCTTCTTCTTAGCTCTTGGACTCGACTGGTTACTTCTCACCGACAACGTTCTTTTATTATTAGTATTATTGTTATTAGGCAGAGCAGGAGATGAAGTGCTGCTTTTTGAGAATCTCTGTCGGAGAGGCACAGGAGTTTCTTGCGACTCAAGCGCTGTCGAATTGATGCTCATCTCAGAATCGTTCTTGGAATGTCCAGGTTGTTTCTTGATTCGCGGCCAGTGGAAAACGCTCTTCAATCTCTCTGTTGCAGAGTTGACAGAAGAGTTTCTGCATTTCTTGAGGTGATGATTCTCATCCGTCACGTTTACCTGACCAATCTCAATGGAACAGGAGCTTGATCTCAGGTGTCTAGGGACAATCTTGTCAGGTACAGCTTCAAGTCCGCTGCTTAGGAAAATCTCTGCGTCCGATGTCCTGAAACGAGCTCCTGGACTGTAAAAGTTTCCCCGGTCCTTCAAGTGAGACGCGACCACACTTGTAATGCTCTCATCACGACAGCTGAACATCCCTCCGGCTGATACCAACCGTCGAAACAGGAGATCCGACGTCGGAGACTGCGGCTTGTGCCTGATCAGATCAAGCGGAGTCATACCAGAAGCATCCCTTATGTTGATATCGATCGATTTCACAGACATGAGCATCTCAACCAACTCCAGGGGAACGTTCCCGGAGATTGCCAAGTGAAGAGCCGTACGCCCCTCGTTGTTCCTATAGTTCACGACATCGCAGGGTGACTTGGAGGCAGCGGATGTTATGAGACGGTTCATGAGCTCCGTGTGTTTGTCAAGCCTCTCGAACGCCGGAGTCTGGAAACCGGAGATCCCGGCGTGAAGGAAAGTGTCGCCGGCCTTGTTTCTAGCTGTGACCAAAGATGGAGAGGCCGAGATCAGAGCTTCCACGAGATCAGCGTGGCCACGGTACGCTGCCACGTGCAGAGCCGTGTTCCCTTGGTTGTCAATGGCGTCCGTTATCAAACCGTATGAAGCCACAAGCTCTTTCACCACCTGCATCATCGCCAAATGCTGTTTATCTTAATATCTATCGATATATTTAGTCAAAGGAGTGTGCCGGAGAGAGTTACCTGAGTTTTTCCTTTTCCGGCAGCTGCGTGGAGGATTGTGGAGCCCTGCTTGTCTCGGAAGGCCAGTACATCCTCATCGGAGCACTCACTAAGAAGCTCTCTGAGAATGATCAAATTGCCTCCTCTAGAAGCAGAGTGAACCGCTCTGTTCTTCATCTCCCTTTTGTAAGCCGCCGGAATCTCTCCGATTTGCTGATCAAAACCGCCAGAGGAAAACCTTGGACAAACCGCGAAATCATAAATCAGACGGAATACGTCGTCATTTTTGCTTCTCGCAGCGGCGTAGAGTATGTCCGTCACGCCGTACTCTCCCTCGCCAAAAACGAGCAGAGGATTCCTCTCGAGGAGATCGCCAACAAAACCTATATCCCCGGCGGAGGCCGCCGTGTACATGAGCCAGCCGCCGTAGCCAGATCGGATAAGAGTGTTCCTATTCGATGCCACGCCGCCATCGTCGCAGGCGGCGAGGAGTTTTTTGGCGACGCGGGATCTGCAAGCGGCGACGTCGTGGAACTGGGAATCGTCGTCCCAGACAGTCTCGAGGCGGCGAATTCTGCGGAGGGAAGTGAGCTTCATGAGGTTATTGGAGTCGATTCGGAGAAGCTCACGGACTAATTCGTACTGGCTATTGGCGGCAGCGTAATCAATCGGAGTAGCATACCACCACTGATCGCCGGTGCTCTCCCACCGGAGAGGAAAGTACGTCGGAGGCATAGGAAATTTTAAGAAGCCAGAATAGGAGTTAAGGGACACAGAGATATCTTGAGGATCAAGGAACCAAGCTTTACAACTAGAGAAAGAGAGGAGAACGAAGCTGAGGAAGAAGAAGAAAGGATTAGTCAATGAAGGTGACCGTAGAAAATGAAGAATATCTGTTGAAACTTTTTTCTACTAATCAATACTGAAACTTGCTTGCTTGGGTCTATATAACCGGCCTAGACCAAACTCCCATAACCGACCGAACTTGGGAAAATCTGCTGTCTTCATTACATTGGTTTATTTACCAAATATCAAGGAATAAATTCAAAAGATCTTAGTGGACGAAAATGATTTTAAATTAACGAATTTGTTAATAATGTGAGGGGAAAAATCAAAAATCTGATACACCAAAAAAAAACAGTAGTGGTGAGAAGTGCCTAATTCTTGAAAGTGGAAAAGTGGTGATTGTAATGATGGAGACACATGGAGAAAAGTGGCCTTTTTCAGCCAATGAAATATAATAATGTGTGTTTATGAAATGAGACTCATTCACATAACTCTGATAATAATGTCAAGACTAAGTTTAGATGGTATCAAAAGTTAAATTACTTTTCCTTGGAGTGTTGTTGAATTTTACAAAGCAACTCGAATCATGGAGTATTTAATTGGATATCAAACAAATTGAATGACATAATTTAAGATTAACAATTCTACAATAATCGTTACTCGTTTTCGAGTCATATATCCGTTAGAACTTAGACCTGAAGCAATATTTGAATTATTCAAACCAAACTATGATTAAATGCCGATAATCTTTTTTATTTCTTTAAAAGATACATAGATTGGCTAAATTATAAGGGAAACAGGAAAATTCTCATTTCATATAAAGACATTTGTGCTTATATAAATATAAGTAGAACAATTAGATATCAGAAGACTGAAAACAAGAGGGATAACTATTGTCAATGTTCAGTGTGACCATCATGACAAGTTATATGATAAGCAATTTAAAATGCTCGGTCATTTTTTATCTCGTAGATCATAAACTTATAATAATCATAATAAACTAAGTTAGCATGTGCATTACTACTAATTAAGAAAACAAATGGAAGATGCAGAAATAAAAACAAAGCAAGATATGGTTGAGGTGTCAAAAGAGGAAAGCAGGCATGTGAGGATAAAAAAAGTAAGCTTTATAGAATAATTTTGTGATACAACTAAAAGCATGTGATGAGTGGTTCATGGGCATGGGATAGAAGCCATAAAAGCAACAAGCAGCTACTTGTCAGACAGAACAACAATATCATAGCAAACAAAACCCAAAATCATCAAGAGCTTCAAAAAAAAAAAAACGACTCAAATCGAATTTTTCATATAAGGTTGAAGACAGAGGATAGTTTCGGAAACAGTAGGTTGACAAGAAAGCAATCAGGCGTAATTTAACACAAGAAAGATGAAACTGCAAGTAACAGGACAAGTAACAGAGTAGAGAGCAATAATGGAAGAGCGATAAGGGAGATAATGATGCAAGCTTTGCTTTAACTTTCTTTTGAAGATAATGAACCCCACAACAAGAGGGAGGGAGACAAGGAGAGTTGGTATCCACCTAGAGCAAAAAAAGTGATGCAATTTCAGTATTATAGGTCCCATGACAGCAAACAATAGATCAGATATAGTAAAGATCGAACAGGTACACTAGAACCGACGAGCAAAGATAAAGATGGACTCACTGGACAGTATCATTCGGTAAGATGAAGCAGCAACTTTATTGGATAAACTAAGAGCTATTTGACTCTGAAATGTGACTTAACTGAAGGAATCGACTTAGAGCAAGGGTATAATAATCCCAGTTACACATTCAAAAGAGCAGCATTAAGCAGTAAGAGCAAAACCTGTAAAGGGATCTATCTAACCGATAAGAACCGGACTAGAAAGAGGAAACAGAGAGCAGAGAGAGAATTTACCAAAGAAAAAAGAGAGAAGGATTCCATCTCTCAGTTCTTGGCCTTGAGCGAGTTGTTCTCCTTGATTTTGGCACGCGTGTCAAGCTTGACAAACCTCTTGAGATCATCATAGGGAAGAGTCTCGACGTTCTTCCTTCTGAGCTCACTAAGCGCAGGTCGATTATCCAGAAGGTGCCAGAGCCAAGCCGGGTAATCAGAGTCGGGTAAGATCTTGGGATCAGATCCGTCTTTGAGAGTATTGGCACCAACGACGGTGGAGGATTTGATCTCCTTGCTCAGGGTCGATCCTTTGGGAGCATCGCTAGATCCTCCTCCTTTGCCACCCTTCTTCGCTTTCCCAGCTGCTGCTGCAAACGTTCTCCGGACTATACCCCTGGATCCGGTGGTTATCGATCCAATGCGGTGGTTCATTTCTGCTGATTTCCCCCAACGCTACAGTGACGAAATTAGGGTTTATGCTGCAACCAACGAAATCGAGGAGGGTTTACCAATCGACACAAGTCTTGGCCCTTGCTTGGACCAAACCAACAATCGCTTTTTTGTTTTTTGAGCCGGCCTAAGTGCTTCTGGGTTGGGCCGAATAACCAAATAAACCATATAGGAAAATACAATAAACAAAATTAGTATTTAATTTATCAATCTAATTTTGTTTTATCCGGGTACCAATTCAGAGCAAAATTTATTCGACGATAGTATAGTAGTAGTTTTGGTTTATTAGTCACAAGAACATTTTATTTTACGGCGTAAGATTAAAAAAAGAAGTACAAACCCAACGATCGGACGAATGAAACAAATTCACCAAAGAACCAAAGTCAAGATGAAGGAAATACATATATAGTAGTATATGATTACAAGATGTAAGCCACGACAGTAATAGTAGTAGCCAATGTTGCGGCGGTTAACTGCGGGCAAACGGCGAAAGTGGCGGCGTTAGGAGGCGGTGGAATAGTCTTGTTGGGTCCACCGAAGTGACCACCGCCACTATATGGTGATGGTGAAGGAGCCATCGCAGGAGGAGCACGTTTTTGCCCTCCTCCGCCATACGACGAATCGGCATCCATAATCAACGCGGCCAAGGTGAGAACGCAGATCATCAAGGTGAAAGATCTCATCGCTGCAAATGTTTGATTTCTTCTCTTTTCTCTTGATTTGTCTTCTTTTTAGTTAGTTTTGCTGATAAAGTCGGATCGCAAAAGGGAATATATATATATATACACTCAGTTGGCAAAGTAGTTTACGAGAGAGAAGGAGTCAAATTCGTGTGATGTGCATGTATAGGAATTATATAATTCGATAAACAAATGCCTTGTTTCAGACACGACAATATCGCATGTCACTAAGAGAAGATTAATTCCAATAACTAAGTGTAATAAACTTAGGATAGGGAATTTTAGATGTTTTACCTTGTCTAATAGTACTAGTGTTAATTAAATGAAGTGGCTTACTTAACTAATTATGAAAAAAATAAAAATAAAAAAAGGCTGGCAACTCTGCCGTCTTTTGGAGGTATGTGAAACGGCCAGTAATACACGTGTTGCCGGACTCCATGGCCGCCATATTTCGGCGATTCAGAGTCGTCCTCCCCGAACACACAAGAAAAACGAATCTTTGATTATTCAATCGAATTCTTCCAAAGATCTCGAATTTGTTTTTAAAAATATTACAAGTAGCACTTCGTGGTCACCACCACCTAATCAATCACATAACCATCGGTTTATAGAAGGCAACGACGACGCATGGATCAATCATCCACTTTGTCCATGCGTTGACTTTTTTTCCATTGCGATCGGGGAAGAAAACAAGTTTTATGGAAATTTAGGGATCGCAATTCGAAATCGAGCGGATGGAGATGCGGTGGGGTTTGATAACAGCGATTGTGACGGTGTCGGTGGTGGTGGGGTTTGCGGATGAATCGGGTCAAAGGGCGCCGTATCGGATCCACACGCTGTTCTCGGTGGAGTGCCAGAACTACTTCGATTGGCAGACGGTTGGTTTGATGCACAGCTTCAAGAAATCCCGACAACCCGGTCCGATTACCCGGTTATTGAGCTGTACCGAGGAGGAGATGAAGAATTACAGAGGCATGGATCTCGCTCCCACTTTCCATGTCCCCTCTTGGAGCAGACATCCTAAGACCGGTGACTGGTAATTCCAACTGAACACATTCGTTGTTGTTTCTATTTCTGTTGCTATTTCTGTTGTCGAGCATTGCCTTGGGAACGAAAGCTAGGGTGTTTAGGGAGAAAGTATGAGAAAGCTCTGGTTTTGATTCTTGTTATAGGTACCCGGCAATTAACAAGCCCGTTGGAGTTCTTCACTGGCTTCAACACAGTGAAGATGCCAAGAATGTGGATTGGGTCGTTATTCTGGATGCTGACATGATCATTAGAGGTCCAATCATCCCATGGGAACTTGGCGCAGAAAGGGGAAGGCCCTTTGCTGCCCATTACGGGTATATATATATTACCTCTTGTTCAATCATCTTACTCAGGCCTTTCCCTGTTGCTCACACCTTTCTCTCTATGAAATTAGCTACTTGGTGGGATGCGATAACATCCTTGTGCGTCTGCACACAAAGCATCCAGAACTCTGTGACAAAGTTGGGGGTCTTCTCGCTATGCATATCGACGATCTTCGCGTTCTGGCCCCTCTTTGGCTCTCAAAGACGGAAGATGTTCGCCAAGATACAGCTCACTGGGCCACCGACATTACTGGAGATGTTTACGGCAAAGGTTGGATCAGTGAGATGTATGGTTACTCCTTCGGTGCTGCAGAAGTAATCAAATCTATCACCTTCCTTCTCTTGCTCTCATTCTCTAACACTGACTGTCTTTTTTTCGATTATATTAAACTGTGTGAATTTGTTTTCGACCCCACACAGGCAGGACTCAAGCACAAGATTAACGACGACTTGATGATATATCCCGGGTATGTTCCACGCGAAGGTGTTGAGCCTGTTCTTCTGCACTACGGCTTGCCTTTTTCCATCGGTAACTGGTCTTTCACTAAACTGGACCACCACGAAGACAATATAGTCTATGACTGCAACCGTCTCTTCCCGGAGCCTCCATATCCAAGAGAGGTAAGCTTAACGAGTTGTCTAGTCCAGTTAACATAATAGTGGGTGCAGTTGCTGAGAAAACAGTTTTGATTGAATAGGTGAAAATGATGGAACCTGATGAGAGCAAGCGAAGAGGTCTTATTCTGAGCCTGGAATGCATGGATACATTGAACGAGGGACTCATACTGCGCCACGCAGAAAACGGGTGTCCAAAACCCAAGTGGTCCAAGTACTTGAGCTTTCTCAAGAGCAAAACTTTCACCGAGTTAACGAAGCCTAAACTGCTGGCACCAGGAAGCGTGCATATCTTGCCAGACCAACACGAGCCGGAAGAATTCAGAGGGGCTTACCCAAAGATCCACACGCTGTTTTCCACCGAGTGCACAACTTATTTCGATTGGCAGACAGTTGGGTTCATGCACAGTTTCAGGTTGAGCGGCCAGCCCGGGAATATCACTCGGCTTCTCAGTTGCACAGATGAAGATCTTAAGAAGTATAAAGGTCATGACTTGGCCCCTACGCACTATGTTCCTTCGATGAGCAGACATCCTCTCACAGGCGATTGGTGAGATTGTTAGTTAGTAAGTTAAATCTCTGTGGGTTTATGACTTGATCTTGCTCTGATTTGGCTATGAAATCAGGTACCCGGCAATTAACAAACCGGCAGCGGTTGTTCATTGGCTTCACCACACGAATATCGATGCAGAGTACATAGTAATTCTTGATGCTGACATGATCCTCCGAGCACCCATCACTCCTTGGGAGTTCAATGCTGCTCGAGGCCGACCAGTTTCTACTCCTTACGAGTAAAAAAAATATACAAACCTCTTCTTCTTTTTTCTACTTTTTAATATAACAATTCTCTGTGTCTTTGTTTTGTTTAGCTATCTTATTGGATGTGACAACGACCTTGCAAGACTTCACACGCGTAATCCCGAGGCTTGTGACAAAGTGGGTGGAGTCATTATAATGCACATAGAGGATCTCCGGAAATTCGCAATGTACTGGTTGCTTAAAACCCAGGAGGTCCGAGCAGACAGAGAACACTATGGGAAGGAGTTAACCGGGGATATATACGAATCCGGTTGGATCAGCGAAATGTACGGTTACTCATTCGGTGCTGCAGAGGTACAACCTCTTAAACCCCTCTGCTGCTCAATAGCTGGATTCGAGACTAATACATATACACATGTTGACATTGCAGCTGAATTTGCGGCATATCATAAACAAAGACATATTGATATACCCCGGGTATGTTCCTGAACCGGGCGTCGCCTATCGAGTTTTCCATTACGGTCTCGAGTTCAAAGTCGGGAACTGGAGCTTCGACAAGGCGAATTGGAGGAAGACCGATCTCATCAACAAATGCTGGGCCAAGTTCCCAGACCCTCCTCTTCCTTCCGCTGTCCATCACACAGACAATGATCTTCGGCAACGAGACCTTCTCAGCATCGAGTGTGCCCAGAAGCTTAACGAAGCTCTGTTTCTGCATCACAAGAGAAGGAATTGCCCCGAATCGAGCCAGGAGATCTCCTCGGGGTCGAGAAAAGTCGGCACATTTGAAGCGAAGCAAGCGCAAGGAAGCGACGATGCCAAAGAAACGACCGAGTCTGAAGGGAGATTCAGCACGTTGAAGTTGTGGGTGATCGCTCTCTGGTTGATTTCAGGTGTAGGGTTCTTGGTAGTGATGCTTTTGGTCTTCTCCACCCGTAAAGTCAGAGGAACAACCAGAGGGAAAGGTTACAGAAACAAGAGACGAACTTCCTACTCCAACACGAGTTTCTTGGACACGAATGATCGAGATCGGTATGTTCGTAACACAGAAACCTGAGATTGAAGACGACGACGACGGCTCCTTGTTTCTTTTTCCGTTTAAACCTGAGCATTGTAGATACAATTAATTATACCAAAAAAGGTCCACACATTTTGCTTCCAGATTTTTCCCCCAAAGTCATATAGGTTTCCTCTTTGTATTATTCTTAAGAATTTGCTTCTTTTTTTAATTTCTTACTAAATTCGTATTCTATTTATTCCTCAAAGGAGCCAAAATCCTAATTATCAAACTCGGAACAAGATAATTCACATCTTTGTAGACTTTGTTTATACATAGAAGAAACTTTAGAAAAAGTGCTTATTTCCATAAAAATTCCAAAATATATTATTTATGCGGACCACTTTCTCTCTCCTGTGGTAATAATACTTTAATAGTAAAAGTCTGATAAAGTGTGTAGCTTTTTTCACTCAACGGAAGAAACAGGCAGAGAGAACCAGAAACCTGCAATTTTTGAATTCAAATTTCAAACACTAAAAAGCTAAACACAACGGACGAAAAACCCCACTTCTACCTTTTTATTTTTACCATATTATAAACAATAATCAAACAAATTCAGGATCTTTGGAATTCAACTCAATCCAGTTTTCACTTCACTGTCTGTAAATTTGGATATTGTTCCAAAAACATGGGAGAATCTGCTTGTCTCATGCAGCCATTCTCATATGCAGCTCCAGAGGTTTGTTAGCTAGCTCATGCTTTTTCCCATTTCAATTCCATTTTCTCCAAAATATTTAACCAGAGTTACTTTTTCTCTGTTTTGTTTGAAATTGTGAATTTTTGTGTGTGACAAAGCTCTCTGTTTCTTATGTAAAGGGAGATTCTCTTGGTTTTTTAGGACAGTCTGTGTCCTTTGGGAGATTCATGTCGGAGAAACTCGATTGGGAAAAATGGTCAGCTTTCTCAACACAGAACCGTTATGTGGCGGAGGCAGAGAGATACTCGAGGCCAGGATCAGTGGCTCAGAAGAAAGCCTTCTTTGAGGCTCACTACAAGAAACTCGCTGCTGCAAGAAAAGCTGCTGCAGAAGAGGCACTGTTGCTTCAACAGAAAAACCCTAAAATCGAACCAGAGAAGCTCCCTGTTCAAGAAGATATCAATGGAGGAGGAAAGATAGATGGGTTGGTGTCAAAACCGGATCTTGAGATTCCAAGAGGATCTCTAGATGCTGAAATGAAATTACTTGCAGAAAAAGTAAGCAGATTTGGTAATAGAAAATCTGATGAGAAAGAGAATCGTGGGAACGCGGAGTCAGAGATCAATGGCAAAGATTCTACAGTTAAAGAAGAGCCAGTGGAGAAGACGCCTATGATACTAAAGGTAGTTTTCGATCAATATTTATTTTTTCTAATTCTGTGGGTTCTTTGGTTCTTGATCTGTTAGTTCATTGCAGAAGAAACTCAAAGATGCACAACCAAAGAGCAGTGCCAAACCAAGAGTCTCTAAGTTCAATTCATCGGAGAGGACTCCAAGTCAAAAGCCTTGCAACAAGAGCAACTCTTACACTTTCACACCTGCAAAAGAGTTCAATAGATTAGTGTCTATCATAAGGAAGATTGATGGGTCAAGAACTTCTTCCAAACCAACCAAAGACTGCAAAACTCCTCTCCGGACACCATCGAGAAAGGTGCCACCTGCGTTCTTTAGAGAATACTTCACTCGTTTTGTTATCGAAACCAAGGTGTTTATGCTCATGTGATTACAGGTGTCTGCAAAGGGAATTGTCGAGGACTCTTTGTCCACACCTTTATCGAGTAACAGAAGGTAACCACTGCTCAATAAACTCTCGAAGCTTTCATGTATATTTCGTATTTAGGGAAGTAATCAGGTGTTAGAGTAATTGCAGAGGGAAAATGGCTCCTAATTCTTCTGCCAAGACAGGTCGAGGAAGATGGAACTTCCTCCCAGCGGAGTAAGAATTGATCCTAATCAAAAAGTTTGCTCAAGTTCAAATAGCTTATAATGTGTGATTTTAACCAAGTGGGAACTTGTTTATTGGACCGAAAAATAAACAGGACACCGAGCTGTTTCACACCGTTTGGCTTAAGAACAGAGGAGAGAGCAGAGAGAAGAAAAAAGGCAAGAGGAGCTTCAACAGATAGAGACACTTTGGTTTCTACGATTTTGTCTAGTGACTTGCCAAATATTTAATGGTCCTTGTTGTTTCAGAAGCTAGAGGACAAATTCAAAGCCATGGAGGCACAGAACCAGAAGCCGGAGGAGATGAGTGTGGGGAAAGAGGAGAGTAAACTACGGCAAAGGCTATGCTTCAAGGCGAAGCCACTTCCAAATTTCTACAAACAGAGACCTAAATCGACAGACCAAACCAAGAAAGTAAGCTCTCTTTTCACTAATCGGCCAATGTATGACCATTGTTTCGCGTCTGTCTGAGAGATTTGTGTTGTCTTTGTAGGCTCTGTTGCAGTAGCAGGGAGAGGTTAAAGAAATCATCATCTTGGTTGTATTATATATTGCGTGTGGGAAGAAGAACTATAGAACCATTTTGCATTGTATTAAAATTTAATATTGCGGGGAAGTTGTTGAAGTTTCCACGAAGACATTTGATTCTCCCTGTATTGCATTGTATCAATATTTGTAGACTTGTGTTTATGTAAAACACACACAGACCAAATTTGTAAACTGCAGATATTCTTTGGACGTAGACCCAATTCCCAAATATGTAAAGCACACACAGACTAAGCTTGTATAAGTGTCACTTTTGTGTGGTAAAAAAACTAAAAGGGAGAGGGGGGCATTCCGAGAATTGAACTCGGGACCTCTCGCACCCTAAGCGAGAATCATACCACTAGACCAAATGCCCTGTTTTGAAAATTTTGCTTTCATTAAGAATCTAAACAAAAGATGAACAGATCCAAAAATTAATCAAAAACATTTAGTAAGTAATAATAGCTCCATTTAATCTTTTGATTATAATCGCATATAGTAGTAGTTAATTAAAGAAATTCGGTCTCATATTATGATGTTACACAAATATGATTCCGTCCCCCAAGTTTAAGAGAACAAAACTTAGAGAGAGAAGAAGAAGAATCCGACGGCGGCGACAGTGCCGGCGATGGAGAGCTTCACATTAGTGGCGCCGCTTTGGGGTGACTCGGCGGTGGGCGCATCGGATGATGGTCCATCGGCGGAGGAACTCTCGGGGGTGGGAGCCGGTGGGGAGGAGACGGTGGGTGCCTCGGCGGAGTCACTGGGGGTGGCTGCCGAGTAATCGTCTTCGGGGGTGGGTTCCTCTGCGGCAGGGGACGATGCTTTCGGTGCAGCCGCGGTGGAGGATTTGGGTGCGGCGGCCGGAGCCTTGGTTGGGGTGGTGGGGGCTTTGGTCGGGGAGGCGGTGGGTGAAGCCGAGGGTGCGTCGGCAGCAAATGCGGTGGCCACGGCCAAAGCCAAAAGGGCAAAAACGACAAATTGACGTGCCATTTCTTTTTATTCTTTTCTTAAAAAAAAATTAAAAGATTAAAAGGAAAGGAGGTGTTCCAAAGCTAAAGCAGTATATTTTATTATTGAGGATACTGCAAAAGCTTTAGATGAAGAAAATTAAGAGGACATGGAGAGGCTTTTTATATGTTTACAAATATGAGAAATTTCAGGGAAAACCGATGGATTCGAGAGAAAAATGGAGATCCATTAGCCTTATTTTAGAAATTTTTTGAATAAAATTGGGTAGCAAAAATAGATCCTATTATTGGATTATTAGAATATTATTACCGGAAATTGAAATTGCATAAAAATTACAAAAGCAAATATGATATGACGACCAAATGCACTTTGTTCAGTGAAGAAGAAGAGTTATGTACTAATTAATCAGCATCTATATTCGTGTATTATAAAATTATTAAAAATGGGGGTGGAGCGAACTCACTCTATCCCAAACCTATCCACACTCTTCCTGCCCATCTCAACCTGATGAGAGTGGTCAACGCTCTTCCGAGTCTTGTCATGGCAGTCAAGGCTCCTCCTGGACCGGTCGAGATGGTGATCAAAAGAGATCTTGAGCTTGCTGCTACTCTTCTTCGACTGACTCTTTGGCGGCTTACTACGCTCCGTGCTCTGCCTCGGCTTCTCTCTCCTGTCCACGCTCTTCCTCGGAGGAGGAGGCGCATCATCTCTCACGCCGCTCTGCTTCGATTGGTCGCTGCTCCGCGAAGGTAGTCTCTCAACTGTTGTGATGAACTTCTTGAGGTGCCTGATGTATTCAGGGTAGTGCTCAAGATCACAGTGGTTCCCTCCTTTCACCCAAAGCGGCTCATACTTGTCTTTGCACAGTTCCCATAGTTGTTTCCCATGACCGCAGTCCACCACTTCATCCGAAGTTCCCTGCACAACAATGCGTATATATGGTCGCGTTTGTTTGAATCCAAAACCAAAACAAAGCAAAAAGCCTAACTTACGTGAATGATGAGGATCGGGCAGTCGACGTAAGGGATTTTGTCGATGTTCTTGTAGATGTCGAACCAGTAGGTTTTCTTAACGGAGTACATTACTCTTAAACCGGAGAGAATGGGGCTGTGGAGGACCACGGCTCTCAGTTGAGGCAACCGGGAAGCGAGATCTAATGTCGGCCCGCTCCCTACAGACTGGCCGTAGAGGATTACGTCCTCCGCCTTAGAGCCGTATGTTTCTTCAAGACACTTATAAACAGCTTCGATATCAGCATACGTGTTATGCTCGCTCGGCTTCAATCATATAACATTTTGGGGGTTTAGTCATAAAAACGACTTCATCAGTTTCTGATTTAATAGGTAAAGGACAAACCTTTCCAGTTGATTGTCCATACCCGGAGTAATCGTAGCTGCAACAAGAAGCAATCACTGAGCTAAGGCTAATGAAATTGGATCTTACTCCAGGATTTAACCACCACAAACCGGTTGTGATTATAAATATACCCACAAAAGAGAAATAGAGAGAGAGAGAGCTAAAATCCTACACCGGCTCATCATCAAATCAGGGACTAAAACCAAATCAAGAGTAGAAAACTAGAAAGGAGACATCTTTAAATCCACATGAATGTAAGAAAACGGAGACAGGTTTGAGTAAAGGTGCAAAGAAAGAAAGATACCCCATGAGATTAACCTTGAGATGGATGCTAAGCTCGATGAAGAGCTCATACATCTGTCCCAGATCGGTGGCGTTTCCATGTGAGTAGAGGAGCGTCGAGGTGGCCATCGGGTGCTTCACGTACATGGCCACGATCTCCGTGCCTCTTCTCGTCGGAAGCTTGAGGATTTCCACGTTTTCCCTGTGCGGGAAAGGTGCCAGAAGCAACAGTCCGGTGAGCTCGTCGGTGACCACCTTGTAAGACGGCGGACTCGGCGGGAAGAAGGCAAACTTTGCCGCCACCGAAGACGTCACCCCTCCCATCTCCTTCTTTCCTTCCTCTCTCCGGACCCGTCTCTACAAGAATAGCATTCCCTTGATTGATTTATGGAGCTCCTGATTTTTGAGATTGAAGCTTTTTTTTCTTGGGAAGAGAAAGAGAAAGAGAAAGAGAAGAGAAGTCAAGAGATTGTGTTAGTAAGCTTTTTTCTCTCTCTCTCTCTTTCGTTGAGTTTTACATTCTTCTATGTTTCTTTTCATAATTCCAAGGCTAAAAGATTAAACACTTACTTTTATTTTTTGCTTAACGGATTAAACACTTACTTTGGCCGAGATAATGTGGACTATATGTCAAGAGTACAAGAAGTGTAAAGACAGAAACAATGTAGACAATAGCATGTGGGATGAGGTTTGGTAATATGATAAAACCATATAGGTTATGATTAGACAAATTTGTTTTGTTGACATTTACTTAACTTTTGCCTTTATTTAGATTTATCCATTATACTACTTTGTCATACTAATTAAAAATGAAAATTTCGAAAGAAGTAAGTTATGTATCATGTGAAAAAAAAAAAAAAGAAGGAATTTATGGATTTGTGTTCTAAGAATTATAAACTGGTCCAAACAATAAGATTAATGTGTATATGTATAGTAACAATTCATGCTTTATTAGAAACTCCAGGAAAGAATATTTGGGATAAGAGAGATGGGACCACACATGAAGAAGACATGGCTCAAAACAAGGAAAATAAAACATTATATTGACGACATGAGGGGCACACTGAAATGCTATAATTCATTGGACAAGAAAATGAGAGATCAACTACTAAACACCCCCCAAAACACAAACATTTATAAGAAGATAACCCAATATATGGCAGATAATAAATTAGAAGATGATAGAAATATAAGTAAGTTTCATGAAGAAAGGAAAGAAAGAATACAAGTAAGCAACAACAATTGATAGTAAAAAGAACAAAAAAGTTGCATGTTGGTGTCCTTCATGTGGGTCCCATTACATAAAACGGAATTATAAGAAGAGGGAAAGCAAATAGTTGTTTTGAAGTGGTGGGGGGTTTTCACTCACCCATCTCTGCCAGCTTCAAAATTGGGTTTTATGACAGAAATAAATAGAAGAGAATGAAAAAGGCATGCAATGTGAATCCATTTAAGAGAAATATAGTTTATTATTGAAAATGATTAGGAAGACTTGAATCAAACATTGTCCACAAAGGCCAAACAAAGACACATGGAGTGCCCAATTCTCTCATACAAAGACATTAAAAATTATTTTTTTTTATTAAATAATGAAAATAAGTTTGGGGAAAGAAACCAAGAAAAGGGGGCGAGTGTTGAGAGATGCGCGCGCGTGGGGGCAAGTAACATAGCGTCGTTGATTAGAAGTTGTAGTTCTCGTCTTGGTCAAGGAGCTTATCATCGTGACAACAAGCGAAGGTCATGTACTTCTCCATCGGACGGTGGCACTCGAAGCAGTTCATCTTCTCCGGAATCCGACCGCTACGAGCAGTGATGTGGAAATCAAAGTGGCCGCATGGTTTTCCGGTTTCGCGGAGAATCTCGTCGTGGTGGTGGTCGTACATCGCCTTGGTGTAGCCTTTGGTCGGGACGTGGGTTTTCCAGGTCCGGTCGTAGGCGCTCACAGTCCTCTCTATGGCACCGTGAGCGATCATCACTATCTCAGGTCCTTTGCTCAGCAGTGCCCATCCTCCAAGCTTGTCGTAGCTCAGTATCTTCTTGATTCCTTGCATCACCTATTTTTATTGACAAGAAAACGACACCCTTCTTGTTTTAGTATGTGGCTGAGTCTCTGCTTTAGATTTAGATTTAGACTCATGCATGAGTACCTCGTCGTGATCATCGGCTTTACCGAGTTGAATCTTGGAGTACAACATGCTCTCGAGCCTGGTCCAGAAGAACCACATCAAGGCAGGCTCGGTCCAGCTATGGCTCAGATTTTCTGCCCTGACTGCTTCGCTGATCCGCCTGATCTGTTCCCTGTGGCTGTGGTTTCGTTTTCCCACATAAGCCATCTCCAGCTTCACGTCGGAATCTTTGGCCGTAGCTTTTGCCGCCATCGTGAATCTCCTTATCCAGTCCAAGTCATCCCCTCCGTACAAGAAAATGTAATTGTCCGGGTTTATCCAGTTGAAAATGATAGAGTCGATGCCATCGACGATGAGGTTAAGCGAGAAAGTTTCCCTCCTCCACAGCTCTTCCTCGCGAGACCTATTGAAAGGGAAAGCTTCCGTCCCCCAAATCCAGATCATGTGGAGCGCATTGAGACTAGCCTCGTTGCCTTGTGGGTCAATCACAACAAGTATGGGCTTGTTCATGAAATGCCATCTCTCTCTCATAAACTCCACCACATGTCTCTCTATCAGCTTCGGACTATCCACTGTGTACCTGACCACCAACAAAAAGTTCAAAGATTGCTTTCGTTACACGTCTGTCTTTTTAATGTTTAGACTAGGATGATGCTGTTCGAAGGATACCATGGCATAGGCGCACGGAGAGCCTCGAATTTCTTCTGTAGACCCGGAGATCTCTCGAAATCTTCGATAGGATCCACGATCGGGACCCACACAACCTCGTAAGGCATATGGCTCTTACCATCCATCCCCAACAAGTTCCTCCTTGACTCTGTGTAGATTTGCTCGAAAATCGACAGCTCGTCTTGCAATATGTTGAGGTCAGAGATGAGCAGCAACACTGTCTTCCTCCTCAACACATCCAAGTGAACCTTCAAGACGATTCATACTAGGTTAGATTGAGCAGTCTACATGCATGCATGATTTAATGGACTTAAACATCAAATGTTGTTTTACAGAAACCTTTCTCTTGGTCAAACCATCTTGCAATGGCGTGATGTGGTTTTTCGGATGAATCAAGGCCGTGAGAATCTTCATGTTATCAATGTGAGTGGTGTCGAATAGAGAATGCAACATCTTTAAGGATTCTGAGCTCCTCTGCTTCTCTGCAGAAAGAAAAAAAAAAAAAAAAACTCCACTCTTAGTTTGTCAAAAGGAAAGAAACAGAGAGATAAAATCTGTTGAATGAGACGGTACAAACCTATGTGACGGTAGCAAAGCCTCAAGGTCTCGGAGAGATGGTCATGAATGTTCTTGAGCTTGTTAGCTAACATCGATGTTTCCCATGAATCCATTTGGGTGTTCATCATCCTGGTTATATATATATATATATATATATATAGTTAGCGGGGTGATCTTGCACAAGACGCAAATAATATAGCAATTATAGCAAATTCTTATCGCACTCGTGTCCCATGGCAGTGATCATGTTGATCTGGGAAATGCAAGCCACGATGCTTCTTATGGTCCAATACACAGCAATAGGGATTGTAGAGATGATCCTCGATAGCTGAGGATCGTCCAGTGTAATGTACCGATCAGGTAACTCGCTCAATTCCACTACACATGCTGTGACGCTCTTCATCTCTCGGATGAGATCGTTGAGCCCTTGGGACACAGACTCGAGGGTGACTCTGTTCTGAACAGGGACTAGCTTCAGCATAGCTAGGGACTTGGCGAGCTGGTTCTTTGAGTAGAACTGGACCAGAAGCCAGAACTCTCCGTAGTTCAACGCAAAGGCAGCTAGAGTCAGGACGAGCTTGGCGTCCCAATGGAAGCTAGAGAGGTGTTCGAACACTGACATTGTTATCTCGTGTGCGTCTGATCCCGTCAGAGACTTGTAGGCTATCTGGAAGGAGAATAAAATAAAAAGAAAGAAAATTACAAGACTTGTCCTCCGGTTGCTTGTTGTCCAAGTTAGGTCGTAATTGGTGGTTACGTGTACACAGTGTTTTACAGGGTATGGTTATACCTCGCAGGCGACGCGATCGATAGCGTAGGAGACGTTATCAAGAACGCCCATAACGCTTGATTCCATCAGTTTATCCTCCGTCGGCAATGGAAGCATCTACGAATGGATCAAAAAATTAAGCTGTCAACAATATATCATATACGGCTTAATTAATTAGGAATGAAACTGTGTGTTGCAGTTGAATACTGACGGAGGCATTGGAGTCAGCGGAGTCAAGAGTGGCACGATCGAGAATATCTTCAACGAGAGAGAGAAGGCCACGCACTTGGACTTCGCGAGCATCAGGGGAGTGAGTATGTTGGATCAGTTTCAGCATCATGCTTTCGTCCGATGACATCGTTAGCCCCGTCGTCGCCGGTATTATCTCCGTCGCCGGAGTCTTACCGTTGTGACCCGCCATTTGCTGAGCGTGCTGGGACTTGATAAGCGACTCCATTGATATTAATTGGTTTTGGTTTCTTATTGTGAAGACTGAAGAGAGATGAGAAGAAGCGTGGGAGCTGTGTGATTTGTGTTATGTGACGGTACGGTGAGGTTAGCCTTAAATACTCGTTTTCCCCCCCTTGGAAACTGGGAATCAACCTTTGCTTCTGGAACAATTAAATTAAAATCTACAAGAATATATTTTTAAAAAAATTTGGTTCTTTTTTCTTCTGCTTTTATTTTTGGTGACTTATTGTAGAAGAGAATGATTTTAGATATTCTTTCTCGTCCTCGTGAATGTCGTTTGTACTATATAATATAATAAGCCTAGTACTATCAAAGTGTAAGCCTACTCTTATAAGAATTTAGTATATAAAAACCACAGAATAAAACTAATCATTTCATAATATGTATGAATTGTTCTTCCTACATTTTGTTTTATCTGCTTTTTTTTTTTTAAAAAAAAAAAAAGCTCACCGAGACGTTGTGTGTTATAAATACTCTGCATTATGAAATATAAATGTAATTAATTACATTATCATTGTTTTTATCATTTTTCCGGGCTCCGTATAGAAGCACACTTTACACAGGCGACACACTCATACATTGATGGTTAATTATATCGAAAATCTCATGCTAGTTTTTGTACTGTGTGTGTTTCGTTGTACATATGATCATATACAACGATGATCACTAGACTACCATTTAGTTTTCATGTACACTTCTATTATGTTGTTAAAACATATCAAGAAGGCAAACCTAGAAGACGTTTTGTTTGCTACTTTGCTTTGATTCCTATGTTACTTTCACTCATGTCATAGCATTATATGGATTCTGTCATTTACTTTTGTGTTACTTTTTTTTATAACACACACACACACACATATATATCTCACAAAATAGAATCAAGAGTGAAGTGAACAAAAGGGTGTGAAGTTTGATTCTTTGCTCTTCTTGTGGTAAAACTATATATATAGGATAAGGCTAAAAAAAAAGCAACACTAGCTTGAGTAACCAAGGAACTTCCTTTCTTCGCAACAAAAAGAAAGGGGGCAAACGGAAAAGGGACACAAAAGGTTCTGTAGAGAGTCTTACCATACGTTATCTCAATGTCATACTCTAATTAAGTACATCAGCTGAAGTGGGAAATTGAAGTTGCAAGTTGCATGGAAGAGAAGGAACAATGGTAAAGTGGAGTTGCAAGTTCCATGGAACAGTAGAAGGTACGAGAGTTCTTACTGCCGTAGACCTTGCATAGACAGCATGATCAACCAAGTAGCTAATTAATGGTTTATAGATTTTACCAGAAGGAGTCCAATATTCTGAAATAACTTGAAGAGAAGTTCGATACAACAATACTTCAAAACATGACCAGTAGTGTCACACCACAACTTAGTATGTCTAAGAGATGCATCATGCATGCAACAAACAGTAACGACAAATAGAGTAGATTTATTTATTTTACCAAGCTCTGAAGCTGCCTCGCTATTTACTCTTTATAAACCCAAACTCAAAAAAAAAAAAGTGTTAATCTCAAAACTTGAAATGATGTACTTTCTTAATTTTGATTTTTTTTTTTTGAAAGAATTACTATCATTTATTGTTTTTATGTTGGATATGCAGAATGTTCTATTACTTATTTGGGTAAAATATTGACATAAAATATGAGAGAGAGAAATGATATGAAATAGTGTGTAATATATAAATAAGAGTGGTTTAATATATAGTGTAAATAATATAAACAATATAATAACTAAAAACTTTTATGATTAATTCATTTGATTTTGTATGATTTTTTGGTTATTCTATCTAATTTCTCTTATATTTTTAGCCTTTTAAAAAAGGACATTGTGTAGAAACTTTGGTTTTTTGGACCACTCATTTTAAAAAGGACATTGTGTAGAAACTTTTTACTTTCTAAAATTATCTTCATTTCTAAAATCCTAATTTTTACTGTCTATTGATAAAGCTCATAATTAAAGAGCATATTTTAATGTCCCATCAGAAAGGTGATAAATACAGACAAAAGAAGAAGAATCTCAGTCACTTAATTCATTTTATTGTAGAAGCTTACGGGTCAAGAAATCAACGAAGAAGAACAGTACTCGATCAGTTCACTGTTGTAGAAGCTTCAAATGCATAAAACTTTTTATTAGTATCCAAATCATAAACACACAAATATTATTACAAATATTCTGCTTTTAAAGGAGTAGAAGAAACAACAACAACAACAGCATTAAGTAGAGAAAACACAACAAGAATTGAAGGATGAAAAAAAAAAGACACAAACTTTGGTTTTTATTGGAATGTTGCAGAAGCTTCCAAATCAACATATTCCCCAACATTGTGGGATCTCACTCAAGGCAGCATTGGTACAAGTGATACTTTTCCATGGTCCTACGGCACTCGGTGCACTCGACCTCGTTGGGTATAATCCCAGCAGTCTCAGGAAGCATGAACCTGGTGCAGTGATGTGGTGGGAGACGCATCAAGAGATGGTCATTGAGTGCTTTCAGAAAACCATGAGTGGGAATGTTGACTTCCCATTCGTTGAACTCAGCCAAACCCTTGGAAAACAAGTTCCCTTTAGCTCGAACCATCAAGTCCGAAGCTTTACTCACCACTCCCCACCCATCTCCTTCTCCTCCAAAACCTAACATAGCAACGATTTCTTGCAGAACAAGGTCCTTTTCCTCTTCTTTGAACCCTTCTCGCCCTTTGCTTCCGTGGGCTTTCAGCATCCTCTGCTTTGACTCCCACATGCTCTCGATCCTCGTCCAGAAAAACCAGATCTGGAACAAGTCCGGCAACGTGTGGCTGAGGTTATCTTCTTTGATTGTGTTGATTATCGGCTGGATTCCGTTCTTAGGGTTTCTTTTTCCAACATAAACCATCTCGAGTTGAATGTTTGCCGCTTTTGCTACACTGCGCCACAGGCTCGTGAAGTTTTTGATCCATTGCAAGTCTTCTCCTCCGTAGAGACATATGTATTTGCCATCAACAAGCTGATATTAAGAAGACCCAAAATAAAACTCATTTTAGGTTACTTGTAAAACAAGAAAATACTCTGTTTTTGTGTGTGTGTGTGTGTGGCAATCAAGAAAACCTGGTTCAAGGAGTGAGGATCAGTGCCATCAATCAAGAACTCAAGATTCCACTCCTGTTCACCCCAAAGGTCACGTTCCCTTGCGGTCGTGAAGGGATACGCGAACGACTGCCAGATCCAGACCATGGGGAAAGCGTTGGTGGACATAACCTGACCTTTGGGATCAAGGGCAACGAGTATAGGTCTGTTCTTGAAACCCCACCATTTTCTCACAAACCTCACCGCGGATCTTCTTAGCCTCCGAGGCTCTCCAAGAACGTACCACCTCATGTTCGAATGAAGTGACTCGAACTTGGCTTCATCAGCTTCTGTCCAGAAATCTTGAACTGGAACCCATAGAATCTCGAATGATTGCTGCCATGCCTCTGTGTAGAGCGATTCCAGAATGTAGAGCTCTTTTTCGATGTTTTCGAGGTCTGATACCAGAAGCAGCACGTGCTTTTGGGTGAGAACGTTGATCCCAACCTGGTTATTGTTGAAAACAGAGAACAAAAAGCCAGAGAAAGTGAAACAATCAGAGACAGAGACAGAGACAGAGAGATTTGAAAGAAAGAGATCCAAGTATTGTTTTTTACGCGTCTCTTGGATACACCAGCTCCATGGTAAAGAAAATCAATGGGTCTGAGAAGTCGAATAAGAGGAGGAACAACGTCAACGTGAATGATAGTAGTGAACGTCTGAATGAGTTCTTGATACTCTTCTTCGATTATACCATCCTCTGTTACAGAAAAGAAGAAAACCGAGCTTGAGATGAGAGAAACAAAGAAAAAGAGCTGTTAAAACGAAGCCGTATTGCATATAAATCTCACCGATGGTCAAGTGACTCTTCTTGAGTTGTTCTATCAGGTAAGCATTGATCTTCCTAAGCCTTTCACTATTCTCATGTATTTCCGAAACTTCCATAAACGACATGATTTGGCTGAAAACGCAGATGAGAAACTTTAAAAGTGTGTTCTTGAAGATGAAGAAAGCTTAGAAATCGGAAAGAAAAATGACGTACTCCTGCTTGAAACCGCTGACGCCACTGATATGAGAAGCGCAGATCAGAACGCTGCGAACAATCCAGTAAACTGCGGTTGGGACATGGTCGGTAAAGGCATCTGTGATGTGGTTAGGTGGGAGTTGGTAGATCTGGATGATGGTATTGGTGAGATCAACCATGTCTTGCATCAGAATCCGGGTCTTGTCGAGACGCTGGTGCAGCGCGTTCTGCCTAGAGAAGATGCTAGGGAGCTGTTTGATGAGAGCCAGAGATTTAGTGAGCTGACTTGTTGCGTACGTCTCCGCGAGGAGGAGGAAAACGCCGTATTTCACGGCCAAAGCGGCTAGGACAAGGACAAGCTTAGCATCCCAGCGGTATTTGGAGACCAGGGACAGAACAGAGAAGGTCGTCGTATTGCGACTGTCTAGGTGAAGCCCTGATGTCTTCATACCGTGAGGGTCACCGCCATGAAGGCACTTGCAGTCGATCTGTGTGAGAGAGAGAGAGAGAGAGACTTAGATAATTGAATCAAATGTTAAAACAAGAAAGCTGCATATGAGGGTGAGAGTGTATATACCTCGCAGGAGATTTGATCGATGAGGTCCGCGAAAGTTTCAAAGGAGGTGTGATCAGCGTAGTCCTTGAACACGAGTGACGGCTGCAACAGTTTATTAAACAAATCAAAATATGAAAATCAATATGTTTGAAATGGGGATAAAATTTGCGGCGCGAGAAACAAAACCTTAGGAGCAGAGGAGTCGATGGAGGGGACATGAGACTTGAAGATGTCATCAGCAACGGAGAGAAGTGATTTGACATCAAAAAAGATCATGTCTGGACTATGAGTCTTCAAGACTCTATCGGCCATCACTCGGTCATCAGACAGGGAAAACATGGGTCTGCCGTTTCTATGGAAAGCTTGTTTCTTTCCCGGTCCAAATCTTCCACCGAGCGAGTTGTGACCCAGTGATCTCGGAGCCAACGAATGTCGACTATTGGCGTCGAGGAGATCCTCGGATGAATGTGCGGTCTTAGGGACAATGGAACCCAACTTCTCGGTCTCATGATCCATCACCTTAGTAGGTTCCATTGTTTTGGGAGTAGGGGCAACATGGTGATGCTGGAGACCATCTGATTGTTCACCAAAGGGCTTGTCTTCGTGACTTCTTGGGGCTAAGGGACGCCTCTCGGCTAGGTTGTCAGCCAGCTTCTGCTCGGCGGATCTTGGGATCAGAGAGACCCTTTTCAGAGGATCGGCCGGCGGGTCAGAGAGGGGTTTTGGGTTCAATTGGAAGCGTTGGGCCATATTGGCGAGGAGATGACAAATGTAGGGGTTGAATAAGAACGGTATGTGAAGGATACTATGTGTTGTGGTGAATGATTGGGTTAATATCCATGAGCGTATATATATAGGTGAAAAAGATTGAAAAAAAAAAGAAAAGTTGCAACTTTGAATCAACTTCTTTGCTTCATCGTTGGTTCAATTTTATGTTTTGTGTCTTTGACACTTCCATGTACAATCCCTTCTACTTGGTCACTTTGAATCAACTTCATGTCGCCCATCATTATTTTCGTTATGCCCATAAGTAATACCGCATATTTCTCTCCTTTGAAAAAAAATGAGAGTACATATGAAAAATATTTTGACAAACATTATCGGAAATTTTATGATATTTAAAGTTTATATGCGGTATTATTACTGATGGCATAACGAATTCCAAATTTATCTTTTTGATATCTTCATAGCTACTTAAGAAGCCAAACATTATTCACAGGATCATGATAACATAAGCTACCTTGCTTGGGTATTGTCCATTGTCCATGAATCTACGAGCAAAGCGAATCACACGCAAAACATGCTATTGAAAACTATCTACGTTATATTATTATTTCCATCTTTCTTTCACTTATTCTTTTGTATTACAGGTTCCTCCAATTTCATTGGTTGCTCAAAATCTAGAATTTGAATGCTCACTATTTTCTTCTTCTTTTCCTTATCTCTGTTTCAAACTTTCCAAACTTCTTACACAAGACTAACTTCTTATATATCCTTAATTTCCATTCGTAATAATACTAATTATAAATATCAAAAGGAAAAAAAAAAAGTAGTAATGTGAACTATACTCAAAGAAGATCTATTTGATTATTTACTCATACAGAGGCTTGAAATTCTTATAAGCAACCACAGCATTAAAAGGGTCCGGCGTAGAAGCTAAACCAATGAAACCCATAAACCAATTGAAAACCGGTTTCTCAGGACCTCCACCGCCGGCTCGACCAGGCGGCTGCTGTCGAATGATCTCCGGCTGAGTAAAGCCTTGGATAGACTGAAAGTACTGAACCACCAATTGCACCCGACCGTACTCTGTACCATCTCTCCAAGCCTTAATAGCTTTCTCATAAAACATCCGATTGCTAAAACTCACTATCAACGCACCTCCCGGTTTCAACACTCTATACACTTCCGCAAACACCTGCGGATATCAATATTTGAGGTCCGGAATTTAGACATATATATATATATATATATATAAACCGAAACTGCTTTACTTCTTCTTACGTACCTTTTCTGGTTGCTGCAGATATTGCACACCGACAGAACATAAAACCGCGTCGAAATACTTGTCTTCGAACTCGAATCTCTGATCCTCGTTAAGATCCTTGACGAAGAAGTAATCGAGTCTAGGGTTTCTCGCAAGCTCCTGTGCGTTTAGACCATGTCCCACTACTTTCTCGTACTTCACCTCTTCTGGTAAATGGCTTACCCATGAGCTCATCAAGTCTAATACCATCGAACCGGGTCTTAACTGGTTTCTATATAGCTCGGTTAATGAGGATATGAATCGGTCGTCCACGTGGTTCACGAACCGTGGGTATGAATAGAATTCACGGTCGGGATCGACGTTTAGTTTTGTCCGACCCTCATTATTGAGTACTAACCGTTGGATCTTACCGGCCGAGGATGATGGTCGCGGGTCGGTTTGGTTCGACATGTTAGTGACTCTTGGTCGGATAAGTCGCGCTTTCAATTGAATTGGAGATTGTCGTAGGTTGAATCGAAGAGAATCCATTTCTTTTCTTTTTTCGGATAAAAACTTTGGTTTTATCAAACTTGGCAGAAGCTAAGAATCGTTAGTAGAAAGTGATGAACTTTTTGGATTTGTAATTTTTATTTAGAGAAGAAAGGAATGGATAACTGATGAGTGGAGGAGACGAAGACAATGTTCGTTCCTCACTCAATTTAGTACTAATGGGCCTGTAACGGGTAACCTTTCTTGGACTTCTATGGGCTGGAGAGAGAATAAAAAGTAACACACTTTTGAAATTTATAGGATCTTGACAGATCAAGAGAAATCAAAAACATTCTTACAATCCAAGCAAAACAAGTGAAGAAATTTGGGAACAAGCTTTTAAGTTTGAATCAAAGAACAAAAGAACACTTTGTAAGTGAAACAAATATACAGAAAGATGCGAAATATGTTTGGAGAAGATGGAACAAGACTGGTGAATTAGTAGAGCTTGATTCTGGTCTGGATGGGTGCACGACAAATGGGACACACCTTAAGATCTGGTCCGCATTCACAACATGTCTGATGGCCGCAACCAAACGCCATGTTCTTGGGATTGCTCAGACATATCGGGCATAGCTGGCCAACAAAACCAAATTTAGGGTTTCAAGCCTTTTTTTTGAACATTTCAAACAGATTCAACGTTTCTGCTATTTACCTGGTTATCGTCGGCCATATTCTTGCTCACAGCCGGATAAGTAGGTACACTCGGTTCAAAGCTCGGAATTCGGGAAGGGTACGTTGATCCGGTCTGCACCGGAGGGGGAAGTGGGATTCTCTCTGGGATAGTCCCATTTCTTCGCCTGCAAAAATATCAGGGCAAGAAAGAGTCGACAACTTATCTTTCACAGCAATACGGCCGTTTCAATCTTTCAAAGTTTTGATTTGGGTCATTACCCTAATAGGTTAAGCTCTATCGTCGCTTTATACTGTGGAGGAATCTCCATGAGAGCAGAGAGTGCGAACTCTGTCTCTTTTCGAGACGGCTCTTTGTTCTTTGACATGATCTCCGTGAAGTTCACAAACTAGAAACAGATCAAAAGATATCGGACATATGTCTCGGAAACCAGAAAAGAAAAAAAGAAGGAGATGAACGAAAAACAAAAGGCTTACTTGGAAGTTATCAAAAGCTCGAGCAGGTATGTTATCATCAAATTCCTGCATCATGTCCCATGGTCCGTCCCCGACCCCGACTAAGACTATTGACAATGGAAGTGCACTGCAACAGAACAAAAGGAACTGATTACTATAAACGTAGATAAATTAACTTTAAGATGGAAGAAACATGGTCAAAAAGATGGAAATGTTCGCACCTTGCTTTCACAATTGCATCGACAGTCTTCTGTTCCTGCGGACTTAAGTGCCCATGTTCAGTATCCACACTTCTTGTAACCTGAAACGACAAGTTGATATGCTTAGACACCACGAGATCAGAGGATCAATAGGGCATCAAAAGTACGTACCTGTCCATCGGCTATAATCACTAACACATGATATTGGCCGCTACTCTGCTCAACCACTGTCATCGCCATTTCAATGATGGGGGCAAAAGAGGTTGGTCCTGAAATACAACATTTCGCACGCACACACAAAAAAAAACACGGTCTTAGTACTTTAACAAGGAGATACAGAATGCTAGCGCAGGGCAGAGGAGGAAAATAGACCTGCGAGCTTAAGCTGAGGTACAATTTCTCGATACCGAGCCAATACTTGCTCAAATCCATTACAGAATCTACCCTCTGGATAGAAACTAAACACGTCTTGATCATGAGTTGATGCTGCAAAGAGATAGAAAGCAAATCTTGATGACATACCATTATCTGAGCTTACATGACACGGTTCAAAAAAAAGTTGAGAGACAAAGCAGTGGTTACCGTCTCCAAAACCATAACAAGGAATGATGTTGTCCTCGTCAAAGGCGGCTAAGGTTTTTCCTATGATAGTTATTGCTTGCTCGTAAGGATTGGGAGTATTGCTTATGTGATGCAAGCTTTTCCTATTGAAGGACTTGGCACCTGCACTCACCCGATTAGCCTGTCTTCCTATTGGCCATGCACTCAAAACAGGAAGAAGAGAAAACTGTAACCAACCTGTCCATTCATTGCTCTTGGTGAAATCGATACCTACGATTAGATTAGAAGATTCAAGACCTGCACGCCCTAGAGCCTCCGACACCTGGAAGGAAAGGAATCGTTCAGTCACATACTAGGGTTCAGTTTCAAGACGCACTTTGAGGCAAATCCAACTGTAAATCATTTCAGTGTCTTAGGCTCACCTGATCTAAAGACGCGTAATTATCCGATATTTTAGAATACCTCCGATCAAATTTCTTCCTATCACTAGCATGACTTTGTGAAGGCTGTGGAGGAGCATAAGGATAAGCATAGCCTTCTTGACTATACGGCGGCTGAGGATGATGGCCAAAACTCGGAGCGGAAGCAGGAGCAGGAGCCGGAGCAGGAGCCGGAGCATAAGTGGGTGGAGGAGGATAGTTGTAGCTATCTGGTCCATATTGAGGGTAACTTTGATGAGAGGCCCATGATGATGATGATGGTGATGATGGTGATGGTGGCTCTTGCCGCCATTCTTCTTTTGAATTCCCTCCTCCCATCAAACTTTCTTCAGATTAAAATAAGATAGAAGAAAAACCAAACTTGAAGCTTAAGATCAAATACCTGCACAAAAAAGCAGATTCGGAATTTAGAATCTTATCCTCTTTACCCAGAAAAGGGGAATCGCGAGAAGAAGAAGAGAATCGATTCAACATGCAAATACCTATAAGTTGAAACTTTCTGTCTAATCTAACCTAAACTTTCTGGCAATTAATAACGTTGAATGTCAAACAGTAATAGATGTCTGCAAGGAAAACAGGCGGCGGCTCTTTAGACTTAACTTTGAAGAAAGAAAGAAGATGCAGATTCATTCACGTCTCCTTCACCGACTTGCCGTTACGAAATTCGCAAATATTCAACCTTTTTCCCAATTCTGGAAGAAAGTCAGGATTGTAGATTTCATATACACCTAGAATTTACTAGTGTACAACATAATATAAGACGAATCAACCGGTTCCAAATTATGTTTTCCCGAATTAGATATGCAGTATTGTAAGATTAACCCAGGGAGGGAGGGAGGTGATTTCAATCAAATAGATCGACAACTATATAATAATAGACAAATCGCACCTTTTATCATGTGTCAACACGACGACGAAGAACACTATTCACAAAAGCCTTGAGAAGGATGAAGGGCTCTTTTGTTTTGTTCTTGTTGTCAACAGGTCAAGGGATCTTCAATGGCGGATTCAATCCCAATTTGAAAAATATATATTTCACCTGATTTTTTTCCCCTTTTGTTTCAAAAAGCAATCTAAACCTTTCTCGCTTGTTTAATGTTTCACTTTCACGTTTCAATCATAGTTTGAAGCTAACTTTGATTTGTTTATAGTTTTTTTGGATCAAATCATTCATCCACCTCACTTTAAAAATAAATAAATAATCATTATAAATAAATAAAACTCTATCCAGAAAGGCAGGAAACTTCTTCTGAACTCACCCATATTAATTAACGTCTTCCGATTATAAAAAATATTAATCTTTATGTATCGTTAGTTGTTGAATCAAAATACTTTACTCTCAGATTTTGATCCGAATCTATATTATTAGAATCTACTTCCGTCTATGTCTCTTTTACTATTTTCTACCGTCCACACTTTTTGGTATTCGGTTTCTCAATTTTAAAGTTCCTTTTTTCCATACTGTATATAGCTTGTAATCTGCGTATATATATAGTTTACACACAAAAATTGATTTTTAATCTGCAAAACATTAAAACTTAGAAGGAGAAAGAAAGAAAAATAAAAGAAGTTGTGAGAGAGCATAAGAGACGGGTCGATCACGTGAGGGGTTCATGACAACGACCGAAACAGATGGGAACATAAAAAGAAGAAGCTCAGGTTATTTCTGGTGAAGAAAGAAAGAGACTCAATCAAAGGCTTTCAATGTCGGAATCATTCAAACACGAAGGGGCAACCTTTACCGCCTCAAGTATAAATCCCGCTTTCCGGCATTCTTCTTCCAAAAGCTTCACCTGAGATGGACCGTCAGGACAGAAAACCACCACTGCTCCTCCACTTCCAGTGAACTTTGAAGCTGCTCCAATCCTCCTTGCAACTTCCACCATCTCTATGTTCATTGCTCCCAAGCATTCGTCCCCAAACATCCTCCTATACACACACAAAACAACGCCATTCACTGCATGTGCGCATTGAGTTTGAAAGCAAGATTCATTTAACTTACCTCCGAAGGTCAAAGTTACGGTTCATAAGCTCCACGAGTTTGGAATGGTCCTTGTTGAGTAATGCAGCTCGACCTTCTTCTGCTAAGTTTCCAACTTCCGCCATTGATGAGATTATCAACGCGTCACCGTCTAACCATCTTTGCCGAACCCTACTATGTACCTGCAGTAGAAAGCAATGCTAAGATAACATGTACCACAGAGAAACATGTACACACAACTATGCCTGAATTATAGTCACTAATGCTCAAAGTCAGCTAGCTTTATGAGTAAATGGTGCGTACCTTCCCTGAGTCGCTAGGATTCTCAGCATAGATGAGATGCAAAGGGGGAAGGAGACTGACATCCATAGGAGTGTAAATCCCATGTCCCAGTTTATCCATGTGCTCCTTACTAAAATCCTGCAAAGTGGAGATCGTCAAAGCCACGAATTGATGTTGCCAAAGGCTATGTACAGATACGAGCGCCACTCACCATGTGAACAAGACCGCCATACACCTGAGCAACCCGGTCTTGCAGACCTGCAACAATGCCGAGTTCTTTCTCTGCGTTGAGAACAAGGCTGGGACGAACTTGTACTTTGATCAAATGCCTGACATTGTAAAAGTCGACAAGGCAGCTAAGCGCAGCGGATACGATGGCACTAGAACCCGAAAGCCCTGTCTGGAACATCAAGACTAGAGCATCAGCAATGTGTATCTCAAAGGCAGGATTCGCGGAAGCAAACTCTCCGTACCTGCCTAGGGATATTGGTATCGTAAGAGATTGTGAAGTTTCCTTGGTGAAGCTGGATGCCATTATCTCTGCAATAGTTTCGGAATACTTTACAAATCGCCATTACCAACCTCACACCACCGTAGTACCCTTCATTTTGCAAGCGACTCAGCTAAGGAAGAAGAGAAATGTTGTTAGGTTACCACGAATCGAAAACGATTTGTAAAATATCCATTTTGATCTGGGATCCCCATGAAAGGAGCAATTGTCGAGCAATTCCAGATCAGGCAATAAATCTATAATGGAAAGAAAGCGTACGAGATGGTCGAGAGAGCTGAACTGGACGAGATCGTGGAATGGGTGAGGCTTGATAAAGAGGTGTTCCGATGGCTCGAGCTTGACAGACGCCCAGAAGTTGCCGATAGTGAAGGAGATAGTACGCCCGAAGTAAACATCGCTAGGGTTCCCGAGAAATCCGATCCGAGCGAATGACCTATGCTCGATCGCCGCCGTAGCGTGGCCGGAGACCGGGGATTTCGGATCCTGATCCATCTCCCTTTGCGCGTTTTTTACTTTCTTTTTTTTAACATTATCCCAAATCCATCGATGCAGTTTTTATGACTTTTATCTTTTAACGACTCATGGGCCCCACTGATCGGGTCTCAAATTTTCTTATACAAAATAGTTTAGGTTTTTAAGAGAGGCTAGTGGCCAAACCGTTTAATTTAAAAAAAAACAAATAAGTTAAGTACAAACAATAAAAAGTTTCCATTCTTTTCCATTTGCTGGTTAATAGAATAGAACTGGGGATTTAAAGTTCAAATTGAAGAATTTTAATTGAAATAATCAAACCGCTTATCATTTTCTGTCATGTGTAACTTTGATATGTTGATAAAGTGTTAGAGTGAAGATAGAGAGAAAAAAATCGGAGCATTTAGATCTAAATCATAGGGAGTAATCATACCATTTCTCATATGGCAGTAAATTTGATATGTTGATAGCAGCCCTGGCCTAACATAAAAATTGGCCCTTAGATTAAAAAAAATTTTTGATTCATTTATTATTAATAAATAAATATTTTTAAAAAATTGAATCTTCATTATGAGTGTTTTAAAAAAAAAATAAACCCCTTTTATATCTATTTTTAAAGAATGTGGGCCTTTTTTTACATGAAATTTTGTAAAAAATATTATGGACCTCTGGGCCATGGCACATTTGCCCACCTCTTCTGGGCTGGGCCTGGTTGATAGAAATGACTCCATATGTGGCCACTTATTTGTAGGTGATGATAAATTTGGGATAATAGTTTTTGTGATTCAAGGGATATTCGAGTGACCACTCAGAAATGTCAACAAAATCTTCAGCTTCTTTGAAAGCTTCTATCTCAAACACTCAAGCTTGATAGCTATTCAGTCCAACATTGTAATAATGAGATGTTTTTTTCTGGTCTGTGAAGCACATTAAGTGGACGATTCAACTACTATTAGGGTTTGACTGCTTTGTTACTATTTATATTCTTTTCGGTCAGTCTTAAAAGGTAGTCATAGGCCTGTTAGAGTAATGATGATTTCACCTGCTATGAGGGCAGTGATCCATTGGATGATCCAGTCAATTACAAACTACTTGTCTCTATGCATTACGGGAATATATGCTAAACTTGTCATACCTCTCTTTTCAGCTTCTTTTGATGGGGGAGATTTCAAAGTCTTCTGCCTATAAGGATGTCTCTGATCTAGATTTGAATCCACCTCTAATTTTGCCCTACCTTTGCACAACAACAAAAAATGACTAGCTCTATCTAGATCCTAAAGTCTTCCTAGATTTTTTGATAATTTTCTCACATTTTTGATTACTTTAAAAGCGTTTTGGTTTGTTATGTTTTTCTTCTTAGTTTTGGTTTTGGTTAGATCGCAAAGGGTGTTTGTTTTGCTATGTTCATAGTTTATTCTTCAATGTGTTATTTCACGTTTTAGTAGAGTATTTTCTTTTAACGGTGATGATCTTACCATGGGTTTTGGAATGTAGAAGGGATTTAGTTCCATTAATCATCTAATTAATCATGAAACTAGGAAGCTTTCAACCAAAAAATATTGTCGGTAAAGAATTTGTTCTTTGAAGGAGAAGATCCAAAGAGCAAAATCAACCAAACTAATAAGCATTTACACTCTTATCTGGGGTCCAATCAGTCTAGACACCATTATAGGCAGCTGATACTACACTGTCTTAGATTCTGTTTCGTTCTAGCCGGTGGTAAACCAGTCTGGTTCTAATAAACAGAAACAAGCTACATACGAATCCCAAAACAGACAAACAGCCCCAAAACAAAAACGTTACGAAGTAACAGTTACTTCCAACACAAACAACCGAGTCCAAGACGACAGATTTGGTGCCGAGGCTCGCATTGGTGTCATAGACAGACCCGGCCATGTAGCCGTAGAAGAGCGATCCGATGGGAATGTTAGTGATAAGGATGTTCTGGTTAACACCAACACTGTTGCGTCCAAAGAGGTCAGAAGTTACAGAAACGGCAGCGGCGAAAACAAACCCTAAGCTTAACCCGATAAGTGCGGTCGCAAGCTGTAGCAGCGCGGTCTGGTACGCCTTGGATGAATAAGCGAGGATGAAGAATGCCAAAGGTGTTGGCAGTAGCGAAATTGCGAACCAGCCTGTTCTTCTCAAGTAGTATAGTTTCTTGCGCGTGAAGTCAGGTGCAGAGGAGAGCAATCTTCCCAAAAAGGAGAAGGCAGAGAAGAGTGTGACTAAGGATTTAGAGTCTGAGCTGCTCTGTCCAAGAGACTGAGCGATCTGTCCTAAATTGTTGCTGTAAACAAGACCGATGGTTCCCCCGCAGAAATAGGCAATGTAGTATAGCCAGAACTCCAGCCTACGAACCAGCATTCCCAGAGAATGTTCATCTCCTAGCCTCAGTTTATCGCAGTATTCCTCCTCAAGTTTGAAGGTCACGTTTTTAAGGATCTTGGGCTCCTCTATGTTAACCACCGCATAGCCCGAGCTGCGGTGGTGGAAACAGGACTGGAGAGCACGGTGGATGTAGTCGAGAAACGGGACGCACAATGGGAAAAGGAGAAGGAGAATGGCTCCGAGGAAATGCCAACGAGGTGAGGAAGCTAAGTAGGTGTCAGAGGAAGGCAAGATGAGGTAAAAGCATGTGATTAAGGCCAAGGCATTGAAGACGATGAAGATTCGGGTTTCGTCACGGGTTCGACTGGTGTCATGCGGTTCGGAGGAGTTAGGGTCAGTAAGGACAGGCCAGAGCGCCAAAACAGAGACGATTAAAGGGATAAGAGAGTTGAGGAGAAGGTAAATGTCAGAGCTTGCTGATGATTTCCCACCGATTGCTTCGTGGCCAAGCGTGTAAAGCGCAGCACTGATCCCATTGAAACTCACGACTAGAGAGAGCGCGAGCGAGTGGTTGGAGTCGAAGTGTCGAACGCAGAGGATGAAGCAGACGGTGTTGAACCAGCAGATGCTCAGCCCGGCTAACGAGCAGCAGACCAGAACCAGAGAGTATGGAGGATCGATTACATCGGCGATGGATAGCCACTGGACGCCGTAACCCACGAGTCCCATTGCGGCGGCGGCGAAAAGGACGGCGGGGACAGGGAAGTACGCAATCGCGAAGCCCGAAGACCAACCCAATGCTTTACCCAAGTCTGAAGCCACCGCCATGTAATTCAGCCGCGATTGAGAAACACCCATCGACGATTTCATGTCGGAGGAGTAGGCCGAGAAATCGAAGTTTGTCCCCGTGAATGCTTGAATCCAGATTGCTGCCACCAAAACCGTCCATCTCCGCCACCATTGGAGCATGGACTCAACTCGTGGTGGCTGTGGAGGAGGCGACGGCGGCTGTTTCCGCAAGATTTGTTCCTCCGTCGTCGTCGTTACCGCCTTTGGAGGTTTCATTTCGTCGTCTCATAATCGGCTCACAATTCTCTGCATCTTTTTTTTAAACGTCCGGCTTAAAATGCTTTTTACTATTTTAAATTCGAGAGATCATTATTCATTTTATCAATATCTTAAAAAAGGATTTTTAATTTCGGGGGTTTTGGAGAGAGAGAGAGAGAGAGCAAAATACTTAAAATCCCTCGGAAGATCTGACGGATGAAATTTTTGTGCTGAGTATTTTTTTATTTTTCTTTGTGAGAGACTTAAGAGTAGTGAAATGTTGTGTTACTTAATTCTAGATATGGAAGCTAAAAAGCACACCAAACGGCTATAATTGGTGTTAGAGTTTCAGGGATCCATTTCCAGAGAGAACTTTTCGGACTTCATCTTCCTCCCAGACATCTCTCTCTCTTGTTTTTTTTTTTCTTATTAAAAAAATCCCACCTTTTTTTTGGGTGGATTCTTCTCCGACATTCCTGACAAAACTCTGTGGAGACATGTCTGATGGTTATTGTAGTTCCAAGAAGACGGATAACATCTGCGAAGATGTTTGTGGACAGGTGAATTTCTGGGTTTTGGGTCATTTTTTGATTAGATTCAAATGCTTATTTTCCGGTCCTTTGTTTCGTAATCCTTCTCAATTGTTCAATGATTTTTGACTAGCAGCTATTTTCCGGTCTATTTGCTTGAAACAGTCACCAATCATTTACAAATGTGACAGGGGGGTTCTCGAGCAGGCAAGGCCATGTCAAGGCAAGAGGAGTGGAATTCAAAACATGTATATTTCTCTTCGTTCTCGTGCCAATGTGCGTCATGGGAATGTACGTACACGGTCAGAAGATCACGTATTTCTTGAGACCTCTGTGGGAATCACCTCCTAAACCATTTAACATCCTTCCCCATTACTACCACCACAACACTTCCATGGCCACCCTCTGCAGTCTCCACGGCTGGAGAATCCGCGAGTCTCCAAAACGAGTCTTCGACGCTGTCTTGTTCAGCAACGAGATCGATATGCTCACTATCCGCTGGAAAGAGCTAGATCCTTACATCACCCAGTTCGTGCTTCTTGAATCCAACTCCACTTTCACCGGACTCCCCAAACCCTTGGCTTTCGCAGATAACCGGGACAAGAGTTTCCAATTCGTCGAGCCGAGGCTGTCCTATGGGCACGTAGGAGGCAGATTCAGGAAAGGCGAAAACCCCTTTGTGGAAGAATCGTTCCAAAGGCTTGCACTTGACCAGCTGATCAAACTCGCGGGCATCAAGGAAGACGATCTTTTGATCATGTCGGACGTCGACGAGATCCCGAGCGCTCACACCATAAACCTGCTTAGATGGTGTGACGGCTTCCCACCGATCCTCCATCTTCAGCTGAGAAACTACCTCTACTCGTACGAGTACTACCTCGACAGCAAAAGCTGGAGAGCTTCGGTTCATCTCTACAAGCCTGGCAAAACCCGGTACGCTCATTTCCGCCAAAGCAACAATCTTTTGACGGATTCAGGCTGGCACTGCAGCTTCTGTTTCAGACGCATCCAAGATTTCGTCTTCAAGATGAAGGCTTACAGCCACACCGACCGCGTTAGATTCTTGCATTATCTCAACCCGAAACGAATCCAAGATGTCATCTGCAAAGGCACTGATCTTTTCGATATGCTTCCTGAAGAACACACTTTCAGAGAGATTATCGGCAAACTAGGTCCCATTCCTCGCTCCTACTCAGCTGTTCATCTCCCTGGATATCTCATCCAGAATGCTGATAGTTACAAGTACTTATTACCTGGCAACTGCAAACGAGAAACTGCCTGATATATGATACGCACCTCACATATTACCAGTCCTCTAAAAGTTTATAGGTCTGTTACTTATAGCTCGTGTTCTCTCTTTCTTTCTATATCTCCTCTGTATATACAATTTTTTCCTGTTGTTGTAATTTTACGAACCTGATAACAAACAAAATTTGATTCTCTTTCCGTGTCTGAAATTGAACAACAGACGAGTGGTTTATATAAAAGATATGGCATCTACCTCAGAAAAATGGGATTTTGCAAACATTTATAAATAAGAGTGTGTTTTTAGTCAAGATGATCCTATGGTGATTTGTTCGATGTTCCTTACACTGCTTCTTTGTAGCTTTTTAGATAGGTCCTCGTAGTGTTTAATTTGCTGCAAAATCAATGAAAAGAAAACTCAACGAGAGACGATAGGAACTCTAAAATGGATGAAAACAGAGAGAAGAGCATTTACCAGTTTGTTGACAGAGGGTGGGACTAAGGACAAGGCCTGCTCGAAATGAGTCATGTTGATGGTACACTCAGCTGAACCTGTGACGTCATCTTCAGACGACTCACTGGCCCTGAATTTCTCATCCACTGCCAGGTGTATAGCTTTGTCCACCTTCCCATTTAATAAAATTCAAACCAACCATCAGCGAGTCAATTATTACACATTACAGAACATGGGTCGTCTCATGAATCAAGAAACGGATTATCGACAAGATTACCAGGTTAGCGAGATCAGCTCCGCTGAAATCTTCACAGTTCATCTTTGCAATGGCATCCAGATCAACACCAGGATCTATGGGTTTCTTCTTTGCAATAGCTTTTAGAATTGAAGCACGCTCATCAGCGTTAGGGAGGGGCACGTACACAAGATTCCCAAACCTACCGGGTCTCAAGAAAGCAGAATCAACTACATCTGGCCTGTTTGTAGCTCCAATTACATATACATTACGCCTCTCCCCACCGTCCAGCTCCGCGAGAAACTGTGGAACATCCAAATCCATTTTGATCAACGCCTGAGTAAGATTTACGGTTCCAGCATTTCAATGTAACGAACGAAGAAAGCCTATGTTACCTGGTTCAAAAGTCGTTCGACAACCCAAGCACCTTCTTTGCCACGACTCGTTGTCAAAGCATCCACCTGAACTTCAAAATCATTACGAATTGGACAACTCTTATATGCCAGACCAAGACTTTTCAAAGTGTGAAACACAAACCTCATCAAAGAAGAGTACACATGGCGAGCATGTCCGGGCGCGCTGAAACAAGGTTCGAATAGCAAGCTCGCTTTCTCCAACGTATTTATTTAGAATTTCTGCACCCTGAAAGCCAGCAATAGAAGATAGAAAGTCACATTATTGAGTACCATTCCATACACAAAGCAACAAAATCCAGAAAAAAACTGACATGAAAGTCAAACCTTGATGTACATGAAATTGGCTCCTGCCTCGTTTGCAACTGCCTTTGCAACCAAGGTCTTGCCACAGCCCGGTGGTCCATAGAGCAAAAATCCTGTCTCTAAGTTTGCCCCAAAAGCCTAGAAAGATCCAAAGAGACACTTTCAGACCTCTAGTAATCTTGACTATATAGACGGTGGCAAGTGTTGTACTACTACCTTATAGATCTCAGGCTTTTTGATAGGTCTGACAATGTAATTGTTGAGTTCACGCCGTAGATGGTCAAGTCCACCAACATCGTCCCATTTGACATTGGGTACGGTAGAGAATCCTTCTCTAGTTAAAGATCCCTGAACTAACTTCACTGCTTCCTGGTATGGAAGAAAAAGAGAGTCAGTAACCAAAGAGCAAAACTTTGCAAGCACTGAAGAGTAAATTTATATCAGACATCCAATAACAAACCTCGAAATCAGACATTTTGACGGCGAGTGATTCCAACTCTTCTTCCGGCCAGGGCCGCCTCAGCCAAGATTTATCATCTTCGGAGTCACCGGACAGTTGCGATTTTCTTGAGTCCATGACCCTCTTTATGGCGATCCTGCCAGCCTTGTAAGCAACACCTTCCAAATCGGCTCCGACAAAACCTGGTGTTATACGAGCTATTCTTTTCATGTCAAAGGGGCCTTCTAGACTAAGTTTTTGGACTACAACAGAGAGTATCTCAGCCCTTGCATCTTCGTCTGGAACGCTCAGAGCAATCTCACACTCAAATCGCCCACTTCTCCTCAGAGCAGGATCGAGAGCATCAGGCCTATTCGTAGCTCCAATGACGAGAACAAAGCCAGCCTTAGATTCAGCATCATTTTTGTCGCCCTTGTTTCCAGGCCCGTCCATACAAGTCAGTAACTGCGTCACTATCCGCTTCTCCATCTCCCTTTGCTGGTTCTCTCTCTTTGATCCGATCGCATCAATCTCATCGATGAACACAATCGAAGGCGCGGTCCTATATGCTTTAGAGAAGAGCTCTCTAATATTCTCTTCCGAAGCACCTGGGAGATTTCAGCACAAAAAATTACTCTCATATTGTAACAATAACGCGAGGGAGCCACAAGAATAAAATTGAACAAATGAACAATAACGAGAGGGAGCAATTCAATACCGGAAACACCAGAAACCACTTCAGTCGCTGAGATCTGATAGAACGGAACACCAACTTCATTGGCAATGGCATTGGCCAGCTTGGTCTTTCCACAGCCAGGTGGTCCATGGAACAGAATCCCGCTTGGTGGCTTCACTCCCATCTTCTTAAACGGCGCAGGATTCAGAATCGGGAACAGAATATTCATCTCCAATTCATCCAACACTTTCTTTATCCCACCGAAATCTTTAAATGTGGGTCCTTTATTACCCTCCACTCCCAGATCGCCATTACCAGTAGTTCCACTGGCGGAAAGAGAGACTTTGGCCTCCTTTCTCGACCCCATTGTTGTCATCTTGCTTCTACCTTTGTTGGTCACAGTCTCAACTTCCACATTCTTTTCCACAGGCGGAGGAGAAGAAGACCCAATTGGTTTCTTCGAGGAGCTATTCATCTTAGCGTAGCTATCTCGTAGAGTGTCATTGATCAAATCAAAGCGCGGACTCAGCTTCTCGCTGTAGATGGCGTCCTCAGAAGTCGACACCTCGCCACTGTCTTCCGACGAGGAAGAAGACACCGATCGCTCCTTATTTCTCCTCATGAGATGCGACTGTTCCGCTCGCTGCAACTTGTCCTCTTTCTCATCAACCCGTCTCTGTTTCTTCCTCTTGGCAGAAACTTCCTCATCGTCGTCATTGTTCTCATATTCCTCTTCGTCTTTAGCCCGCTTGTTATCTCTGACATTAAGTATTTGCCTGACGTTGAGCAGAAGCACTTGCCGAGTCAACCTCGCAAAATTACCGTACCTGGAACGGAGATCGTCGACGATGTCCTCCGCCGTAGTTAAATCCTTGCCGCACGACTCCATAACTTGACTCAGGTATCGCCGATTAATTCCTCCACCCATACCACCGCCTCCGCCGCTGCGACCCCTCCTCACCATCGTACTGCTAGCGCTATTAGGGCTTAGAGCGGGATTCAATGGTGAAAGTCTGAATCTTCAAAACTTATGTAAACCAAAGGGTCGATTTTGGAGGCGCCCACCACCGACGGGAGAAAGCTACGGAATAGCTTGGCTCAGAAGAAGCCCTAATTTGCGAGTGAAGAAGAGGACACGAAAGACGAAAATGTGTAATTTTAAATTTTAAGTGGTTAAGTCGGATAAATAATTTATTTGGGGGTAATAAATGGGATGTTTTGAGAATATATGGTGAAAATGGTAAATACCGAAACATATTTATAAACCGTTCAGACAAACAAAACAGAATAACAGCAACATAACAAGGCTAGTACAGATATGTCAAAATGTCTCTTTGAATTACAATGATTTGAAGGTTCAAATGATTATTCCCAGTAACTTTCCGGGAATCCGAGAGAAAACTGATCGCCTGGGGATTTGCTGAAGTAAAATTATCACAGAGATATGACTTGAGCTTGGCAGACTTTGAAGCTTTCTTATTTATACACATTCCTGCTTTTGCCTTCTTCTTCTTCTTCGGCGCGCCATTTGTAGAGGTTCTGCATTTTTAGCAGCAGGAATCCAATCACAGCCATCCAATCCAATTCAACAGACTCTCCTGAGAAGCCAACTGCAAAACCCATGAAAACGAAATCAGGATCTTTTGATTTACTTTTAATTTCTGTTATATGAAAAAAGGTTGGATCTTTACAGTGAGGAAATCAGGGGGAGTGCCCAAATCAGCATTATCCAGATCAGAAAGCGCAAAACCATCTATCTCCCCGAAAGTTCCGAGGCTGGGATTAGGGAGAAGCTGGTTCTCCCAAAGAGACGAGGCTTCAATGCTTTCGTTGCATGTTAAGTTATCCTCACTGAGGTTTACTACATAATCCTCTTCCTTTTTGGACCACGCCTTCCCCAAAGCAGCTTCTGGAATGCTGTCCAGTCCCTGGTGTACAAAAAAAAAAGAAAGCAACCGACTTTAGTCTCTAGAAAGCAAAAAGCCAACTGTTGCGTGGTTACTAGCAAGTAGTGAGACCTCAGCAAACAGATCAAACATCTTGGTATCATCAAAAGCATCTTCATCTCCAGCAACAGCATCATGTAGAGGTCTAGGTGGTGGAGGAGTGTTCGTCTTGGGCGTTCTTGGGCCACCTCTAACCCCGGAACTCTCACCTTCGTCCCCTAGTTTCTGCTGCTGGTATGTGATCTTTGAAACAACGTAGTCTCCAACCTCCTTTCCTTCCGTACCCAGGTGGTATTGGTGCAAAACCCAGTTCGACTTCTCGGGCTTTGATCCCTTTCGAGCGCTCTTGTACAGCACCATAATCTTCTTGCAACCCCTCTGCACTCCATCGACCAACACAGCTTTTGTTCTCCCCGTCTTGTGCCAGCGAACCGGTTCCTCGTTCAGGCAGGTCGGTGTGATCTTCCTGCGTTTCCTTTGTCCTGTTCCATATGCCTGCACCGTCTTGTGAAAGAAGAAGACGCTTACTCCATCTTTGTTTGCACCTGAGGAACAGCCAACAATGATCAAAGGCCTTTTCTTTACTGAGTAAGTAGCGAGTGGAATGGGGAATCCTGTCGCTTACCAGGAAGGTTTTCCGGGTGAGTGTAATTGATTCCAACATCTTCAGTGACTTCCCGAATAAACTCTTCGATAAGCACGTGCGGTTCTGACCCACCAATCCCACATTTAGCTTCCAAAAACTCGATGATGTCCTCATCTGTTGGCTCAAACTTGACACCCTTAGGAAGGCCAGGCCATGGAACCAGCACCTGAAACCAACAACTAATGAGTACGTAGTCTGTTTCAGACAAGGACATGGAGAGGGGAAGTGCGCTAACACTCACATTGCTGTTGTCAATGCGGTAAGAGCAGTTGGGGCATTTGATAGAAGCTCCACAGTCTTTGATCTGCAGAGCTGAAGAGACTGACGCATTCTTCACCTTTGTTGCGATTCCTCGGCCATCTACAATCCAAGCACTGTATACCATCAAAGTTTGGGAGTTTTGTTACGAGAAATGATAATGTAGAGGATAAACACAGCTCAAACAAGTAAATCATCTTCTCAAGACAACAAAAACAACAACTCGGTTGTCTTCTTCAGAGTTACATAGATTAGAGATGCAAACAAATTGATACTAAAATTTCCCAAATCTCATAGATACGAAGAGCAGAACAAGTCCATATATCCTACATACTTAAAAACAATAGACCGATACAGGTAATGCCCAAATTAGAGGAACAAAAGTACAAACTAAAATTTCAATCTTTCAGGTCTTGCTTCCCAGGAAAAGGAGAATAAAAAAAAAAAAAAAGAGAAAATCGATTCAGGGTTTGGGTGAAATTAAATCGACGAAATCTGAAGGCTTACCTCGGCATGACTCCCAAAACAAAGAAGGGGAAAAATCGAGCAGAGAGCGAAATATATAGAAGCCGATAGAGAGGAAGAGGAAGCTAAGGCTCTCTCTCGAGGTTCTCCACTAGGCTAAGTAAAATGGACTGTAGAGTGGAGAAGACAAATACAACAAAGACCCAAGTCTCCCCTGAGCGGGAAAGTGGAGTTTCCCAAGTGGCTCGTACGTTCCCGACCTAAGCTTCGAGGAAAGCTTCTCCAGAACACAATTGACGAACCTCAGCTTCGGACAAGACTTGTCTTCACTGACCTTGACTAATAGGCTGCTTCGGATCCGAGCCTTGGGTTCTTAACGTTCTGTGCAACGCCGAACCACTTGGTAGCTTCGAGAATCGAGCTAAATGGCGAATTTGTAATTAAGTGATCTATGTAGGGCCATACTACCTTGCTCACCAAGCCAGAACGCACACATAATCTATTTTATCCGTAATTTCGTGTGTTATTTAATGATTAACAAGAAACGGAGCGAAACGTTGAGACAACAACAGCTTTACCGCTGGAGAACGCAGAGAGTTCACATTATGGGATCAATATAGAATATATGATCAAAGTGAAATATACGTTTATCATCAGCAGTAAAATCTTATTATATAAACAAAATAGAAAACAGTTTGTTTTTTTCTTTTCTTGTAAATGTAGTATTTTGACCCCCTATGAATATGATTGTCATAATAAATATGCATTAAGATTTAAATTAACAGATTAATTTTTAGTTATTAGTAAAACTTTGTGCGGTACAACACATTTAAATTAACAGATTAATTTTTAGCTATTAGTTAAAGTATATAAACAACAGTCTAGTGGACAATGATTCATGAATGGGCCACAAAAGTTATATAGACAATGATAATATTTGATGAATGGGCCACTAAAGGTTTCACGAATTAAAAACACAGAGTCAACGTTACAAAATATGACCTCTCCTTCTTTTTCTGTGTAACAAGAATCAGAACAAAGTGACAGGATAGCTCCAAAAAGACAAGATCAAAACATAAGACTCTCATGATGAGAAGAAGTTGATAGTGAGATCACGGCTTTATTATTTCTTTTACTTGGACTTGGTAAGACAAAAAGGGATCAGTGATCTCCGTAAAGAACCCTAAGTGGGTCAAGCTGTCCGCTGCAGTAACTCGATGAGACGATAGAGAGCTCTTGCCTGCCTGTCCACTCTTCGCAAGGCTTTAACAACACCGGAGGTTCGATAGCTCCCGAGTCTACGCAGAGCATCGTCGTGTAATCTTCATCCCCCATATCAGCTATGCTCTTTGCCTTTTTGTCCCAGGGGTTCCACACAACTGCGAAAGAGAAGCTCAAATAATGGTTAAAGCAGGAAGACAAGACAATGGTATCTTATAATCTGTTACAACGAGCGCACCTGCATTCGGCATGCCTTCCTTTCGCAACTCGATGGTTCTCTTTCGCTCATGATCTATCACAGCAATCTTTGTTGGCGTGTTCAAGTACACTCTATCGATCTGCACCGCACTGACGCTATGTCAATCTTTGGGAGTTTTTGTTGTTCTTTCAAAAGCTCGAGGGGCAAAACAATGGGCTTACCTCACCGTCAAAGGTAATTGCGTCTGCTTGCTCGGTGAATCTTTCTTTACCCATCAAGTTGTCTAGGTAATCAAGTGTCTCCAGACCTTCAACCCGTACTTCACTGCGAATTACATGAATTATTTTCAACTCGGAAATCTAAGTAGAGGAACAAATCGGATGGGAAGAATTTCGAAAGACACACCTTATGTCAGATACGTATAAGTAGTTTCGAAGTGCAAACATAAAAGAGAATGCCTTTGGGTCAATGTTCCTCACACGAGGGATTATAGTAAGTTTCCCAAGGCTGATAGAGATGCGAACACGGAGCTCGAAGCTGCGCAAATCAACACCCAAGAATTATGAAGTTAGCCAGACAATAGTAATGACTAACAAACAAGAAACATGATGAGCAAAGAGAAAGCATCTGGCTGCAATATTCAATGTATTGATCATAGTGTAAGATATTGATCTCTCTCTCTCCCACACACCTGTGAGGCCAGATCTTCAGGTCGTCTTCTGTGGACTTCAAGATCAGATCAACTGATGATAGCTTGTTCGCAGGAGGCAGAGGCGAAGGATCGTCATCATGTGACCAAAATCTATTCCGGGCAAATCCATGTCGCTCAAGTCCACCAAAGTTCCCAAACTGCAAAGATGCCACAGGATTCTTGATGGTGGTACGAAAACACAGGACAACGTCGTGATTTAACTATTTTAAAGTGATCTGAGTTCTGAGATGCCAAACCTGTGGAAAGCAAACAGGTATTCCTCCTCTGATCGTCTTGGGTGGCTTATACTGAGCCTAAATGAGACAGAGCAAACAAAAATACTAGTCAAAAAACATCCTGCTTCATCTCTATCAACATATCATAGTTACAAATCACAGAAAATGCGAAAGCTATGGAGCAATAGCTCAGAACTGAGACCAAAGATCTTTAAAGCTCATGTGGGTTTGATTACACTACGATTTAGATGTAAAGATGATTTGATTACAGCTTACCTTGCTGCTCATAAAAAGCAGTTCTTCCCTCCTTTCATTTTTCCAAGAAATTACTTGCCCTCCAAAAAGAAGCACCTGCAAGATTTCAATCACAGAGTTTTTTTCTCTAAGCAAGACAACAACCGATGAAGGAGAAATGTTAAACATCTTTCATTACATACTCCTTCAAGATAAACAATCTCCTTGTATAGCCGTTTAAAAATAGTAACAGGATCAAAGTAGTAATTAGTGACATGTAGATTTTTACATTATGATGATACGATAAATGATCCGAGACCTCTGAGTGAAATGATGAAAACAAAAACAAGAGAGGAAAGAGTCAAACCTCTGCAGTTGATCCGCGAGGCTCAGTCAAAATAATCCGGGACGATCCATCGACATCGTTGCCCAAATTCAAAGGCATCCCTTTTTTGGCTCTTTATTCCTTTTCTTCCACTATCTCCTTCACTCTTAACTACAACACCAAAAACCCAGATGCAAATCTATCAAGAATTTATAAAACACCAACACTTTACCAAACAAAAAAAAAAAAAAGTTTCACGATTCTGACTAAAACGAGTATAAAATATAGCGAATAAGAATATACGGACAAATCAATAGGTAGAATAATCAAAACCGGAATCAATTCCGCAAAAAGGGGGAAAATCATGAAGGATAAAGAAATATTAAAATGAAAGAGAGGCCGAAAAGGAGAATCGAACATGGTATACGAACAAATAAAAGGGAAAGATTCAGCTTACGTTTGATCGAATATTGGAAAATCGTACTGATTACGACGTAATCAAAGCAGTTAACCACTCCGCGATCGGCTTCCGATTTGAACAACTTCCACCCAACTCTACGACAAATCCAAATCCATCGATCAATCAATAAAATCCCCGATGACTCTCACTACACGACACCTACAAAACATGAATTGACGCCAACGTGATGATAATATCAACAAAAGTAGCTCAAATGTAGACGATAAAGAAAGAGGTCAACAAGGGGAACGAAGGAGAGAGAGATACTCGAGAGAGATGGCGCAGTGGGAAATGCTGACCTTGGTTCTTGAAAGGGGATTTGATTATCAGAAATTTGGCTTATGATGAGTCAGAGAGCTTGAAGAAGAAGAAGATGGAGAAGAAGGCTTGTGCGTATTTGTAGGTCTTCCAATTCCCAACAACAGCATTAGCCCCGATACTGCCACGTGCGTTGTTATTTCTTTTCCTTAATACTTAACAAACCTTTATTTATTGTTGGTTAATTTAATTGTTATGCTTATCCCTTGGTTGGTATGTAACGAATAAGAGAGAAAAGGTGACCAATAAATAATAAGGCATAAATATGATTATGAGTAGTGAACCCAGCGGGTTTCGCTGATTATTCGGCCCCAGGCCCAGTAAGTTTGAAGAAACGTTGCCCGTGGAATATTCAATATTCTATTTGCGCTTTGCTTTCAAGTTTCGATCTCTCTCTCCCCCGCTCAAAGGAAAATTGATTTGCTCAACCAATGTAGCAGCGACAAAACCGATGGAACTTTTCTCGGATCCCGAAGGTTTGATGACACCGGGATAAGATCGATCTCCGGTAAAAAAAGTGGATGGGTTTATACCGGAAGTTCTCTTCTTCCGTGGACGCACGCCAAGTGTTCGGCGAAATGACGAAGAGAAGCTTATATCAGTGGAATACGCTTCTTAAGAGCCTATGCAGAGATAGACGATGGGAAGAAGTCCTTTGTCACTTTAGTCAAATGTTTCGCGATGATGAGAAGCCTGATAACTTCACGCTTCCAGTTGCTCTCAAGGCCTGCGTGGAGTTGCGGGAAGTTAAGTACGGAGAAATCATTCATGGGTTCGTCAACAAGGATCCTACCGTTGGGTCTGACCTTTATGTTGGATCTGCTCTCGTAGATATGTATGCGAAAGGTGGGAGAATGGCTGAAGCTCTGAGGGTGTTCCATGAGTTGGAGAAGCCTGATATAGTGACATGGTCTTCTATGGTTTCTGGGTTCGAGAAAAATGGGTTTTCCTTTGAGGCCGTTGAGTTTTTCAGGAGAATGGCGATGGCTTCGGATGTTAGTCCTGATCGGGTAACGTTAATCACTCTAGTTTCTGCATGTACAAAACTATCTAATGCAAGGCTTGGGAGATGTGTACATGGTTTTGTTTTGCGGAGAGGATTTGAAAAGGATCTGTCTTTATTAAACTCACTATTGAACTGTTATGCCAAGTCGAGAGCTTTCAAAGATGCGATTGGTCTGTTCAAGATGATGGCAGAGAGAGATGTTATATCTTGGAGCACAGTCATTGCTTCCTACGTTCAAAATGGAGCTGCTACTGAAGCATTGCGTGTCTTCCATGAAATGATGGATAATAAAACAGAACCCAATGTAGCTACTATGCTCAGCGTGTTTCAAGCTTGTGCAGCTGCTCGTGATTTAGAGCAAGGTAGGAAGAGTCATGAATTAGCCATTAGGATAGGTGTAGAGACAGATGTGAAAGTCTCCACTGCTCTAGTTGATATGTATATGAAGTGTTTCTCCCCCGAAGAAGCTTATGCTGTTTTCTCCAGGATCCCAAAGAGAGATGTGGTCTCTTGGGTTGCTTTGATAAGCGGCTTTACGTTAAACGGAATGGCTCAAAGATCAACTGAGGAGTTTTCCAAGATGCTGCTTGACAATAATACGAGGCCTGATGCTATTCTTATGGTGAAGGTTCTCGGATCATGTTCGGAGCTAGGCTTTCTCGAACAAGCTGAATGCTTTCATAGTTATGTGATCAAACTTGGTTTTGACAGTAACCCATTCATCGGAGCCTCTCTTGTCGAGCTTTATTCGAGATGCGGGAGTCTATGCAATGCTTCTAAAGTGTTCAATGAGATAAATTCAAAGGACACTGTGGTTTGGACCTCTCTGATCACTGGTTATGGAATCCATGGAAAGGGCACTAAAGCGCTGGAGACGTTTAATGAAATGGTCAAGAGCTCAGAAGTTGAGCCTAACGAGGTGACATTTCTCTCAGTCTTATCTGCTTGTAGTCACTCAGGTTTGATTCATGAGGGATTGAGAATATTTGAGCTGATGGTGAAAAGATATAGACTTGTTCCTAACTTAGAACACTATGCTGTAATGGTTGATCTTCTTGGTCGCGTAGGAGAATTAGAGACTGCAGTTGAAATCACAAAGCGGATGCCTTTTTCACCAACACCTCAAATCTTGGGTGCTCTTTTAGGCGCGTGTAGGATTCATCAGGATGGTGAGATGGCGGAAACTGTTGCAAAGAAGCTTTTTGAACTGGAATCAAATCATGCTGGTTACTACATGTTAATGTCGAATATGTATGGGGCTAAGGGAGAATGGGATAATGTGGAAAAGCTGAGAGTATCGGTGAAGGACAGGGGAATTAAAAAAGGAGTGGCAGAGAGTTTGATTGAGATTAAAAGAAAGGTCCATAGATTTGTGGCTGATGATGAAATGCATCCTGAGAAAGAGCTGGTTTATGGATTGCTGAAAGAGCTGGGCTTGCATATGAAACAACAAGACTTGTCAGATTCTGCGTATTTTCGAATCTGAGGGAGACAGCTTGTGATTCAGTGTATGCAGAAGCTTGATGCCACGAGTTGTGTCAAAAGGGTTGAAGCTAAAGTAACCACATTATATCATGTTTTAAGTAATCAAGAGCAATTCAGTGTGGGCAGAAACCTGATTTTGAAGCCAGGAGCAGAGGAATCGCTTGAATAAAAGCAATACGCCAAGTAATGTTTTTTCTTTTCTCCATGGAAGCTGTAAATTCAGAAGAGATGAAGCAAAAGAAGGCGTTGCCCCAGAGCAGACTCGGACAAGTGAAGAGAGTGGATTCATCTCAGGTGGTTTTAAACAGACATTTCAAAGCGCCTCTTGCAAAGTCTGCATAGAATTTCAACAGGCATCAAAGCTGACAAGAACCATAAATACGGACTAGAGAAGAAGACAAATTTGTGTGACTGCACTAGGAACTTAGATTTCATAACTAATAGACTACGTCATTTGAAAACTTAGATTTCATGAATAGTAGTCTACATCACCCGAACAATTAAACGATGCAGAACGTTTTTGGTGCGGGTGCAAAACCAAGTCGTTGAATATTCATTCATACGGGCCGTAGAAAGGCCTTCCAAGGTCTGGGTGAAAAGCGAGCCTCCGCATATGTAGCGTGGACGAAATAAGATCGTCAGATCAAAACATATATAAACGTTTTTAAGTGATGAAGAGAAATTTAGTGTGTGCAGAAACAAGTGATTTTGAAGCCACAAGCAGAGGAAACTCGCTCTTTAAGAAAAGCAATACGCCAAGTAATATTTCGCCAAAAGTAGGGCGTAGAGTGGATCACTTGGTTGTTGAACCCCGTGTATAAGGCTACAACAGACATTTCATACACCGTGACTCCTCCTGAGTCGTAACTTTGTCCATCTCATCCCCTTCATTGGTATCATCGGATTCGCAGTCTCTTCTCTTTGAAAGTTTAATTTTTTTGTTTTAAAAAAACAGGAAACGAAACCTGTTACTCATGCAAGCTTCTCAGGCGCCACGTCACTCTGTTACGTGTCATGTTCTCGCAGCATTTCGCTCACCTATATTACGACAAAAGCGATCCCATTTCTCAAAACTTCTTAAGGGCAGAAGCAGCATCCTCTTGGTTTTAGATTATTGCAGAAACTCTCTAATTAATGGCGGACGTTCGTACACATTCACACCAGGTTCAAGTGCACCCTCTACGCCAGCACGAAGGAGGCATCAAAGTGGTTTATCCCCAGAGCCAGAGTGGCCCTTCTTCCACTCAGGTCCCTTTTAATTAACATCCTTGGAATCACAGCTACATATATATATATATATATATATATATATATATATATATATGCATATGTAAGTGGGCTTACACGTGCTGTGCATGCAGGTTCTGGCTGTGGTCGCCGGTGTACCGGTTGTAGGGACGCTGCTCACTATAGCCGGTGTGACATTAGCCGGTTCGGTTATCGGACTAATGCTAGCATTCCCGTTGTTCCTCATCTTCAGTCCGGTTATCGTACCAGCAGCCTTTGTGATCGGTTTAGCTATGACCGGAATCATGGCGTCAGGGGCAATAGGGCTCACGGGACTGTCGTCGATGTCGTGGGTACTCAACTACATCCGCCGGGCGAGGGAGCATATGCCGGAGGAGCTGGAGGAAGCGAAGCAGCGTCTGGCTGACATGGCCGAGTATGTGGGGCAGAGGACCAAAGATGCTGGGCAAACCATAGAAGACAAGGCTCATGATGTCCGAGAGAGCAAGACTTATGATGTCCGGGACCGAGACACCAAGGCTCATACTGTCCGAGGAGACACCAAGACTACTCACGAGGTCCGAGTGGCGTCTACATAAAAGCGTGTGTTTTGTGCTGAATAAAGAGGGTCCTCTGTTTTCATCCTACATGTGTTTGTGTGTTTAAATTTTAGAAATGCTGTATTTGCTTGTAAGGCTTCTCTTAAGGTCTTTTAGCCTTTTTTTGTTTGTGTAATAATAATGTCCGCGACGTTTTGCTTCTGTCGGTTCTTTGATTTGATTCATAATTGATTTTGTAAATGTTCAAACACAAGAATTGAAGTAAAAACACCTCAAGCGAATCGATATGAAGTGACAATGTTTGGGTCAAAAGCTCCGATACAATTGATTTACAGAACTGTACAGAGTCAGCAAAACCGAGGGCTACCGATCACCAAACCAAGCTCCTCCCCCTTCGTTCATCAACTTATCTAGAACCACGTTGAGGTCAACCGCTTGGCCGTTTTCAGTCAGTTTTCTCACCGCTGCTCTCACGTGGTCCCTTGGGAAGCCCATGGTTGTCACCCTGTCGATTACATCATCTATTGGGACTCTGCTTTCTGATCTCGGGGAGCTAGAGTCGCCGCCACGTCTCACGGCTGCAGCCATTGGACGTGAATTTGGGAGCTGTGAGTAACCAGTTCCGCTGCTACTCATATGTGGCGGTTTCGCTGATGAAGGTGAACCAGTGTATGGGTAGGATTCCGACGAGTACCCGGAAGGGAAACTTGAACTAGATCTACCACCCGCTCCATCATACATTGATGGTTGTGGTTGAGGAGGAGCCTTGTAGAGCTGTTGACAAGGGGCGGAACCAGCTCGTGGCTGCTGACGAGGAGGGTTTGGCGAGTAAGACTGCATCGCATATGATGGATGTTCCTCAGGGCTGTAACCTGATGGTGGTGGTGACTGTTGAGGGTACTGTGACTGCTGAGGTGGTTGATGTGGTGGCTGAGTTTGAGGAGGAGCTTGATAAGGAATCTGGTTTGGTGGAGGTGGTTGGGAATGACTAGGCGGAGGGCAATACGGCTCCTGTTGAGGAGAAAACTGAGTGGGTAGCTGAGCTAGCAGTTGTGACGATGAGGATTGTGGCCGGGGGATTTGCTGGGACAGAGAATTGAGAGGAGGAAACTGTGGCATTTGCTGCGGAGTGACTAGTGCGGGAGATTGAGCAGTCCCATCAACACGTACTGAGTGCATTTCGGGGTGCTGTTCTAATTCGGATACCTGAAGCTTTGAAAGCTGAAGCTGAGCTTCGACAATCTCATGTCTGTCCTTGAGTAGTTGCACACCGCTTTGCACCTGAACGCAATTCACATAAATAAGGAACCAAAGCATCAAAATAAATGTTTTCTGAGATCGATTCAAGTAAGATAGCTTCTTTAATTGGAACTTCTCTATAAGAGAGATCAATAGTTCCCAGGACAGGCTGGGCTTGTAGGCTACAAGAATACGCAAGGACATTATGCCAATTTCATCTTCCTTAAGGCAGAACATAGCAGTGAACTCTATATCTAGAATCTAAAACCTGAATATGAGTATAGAGACTACCCATGTGATTGTTCTAGTTCCAAACCCATTCTGCAAAGTTACCTCTACAAGGATATTTTGAAGCTGTCTCATTTTCCCGTGGGTGTTTCCGTGACTGTTGTCAACAGAAAATTTGAGATCATCGACCAGGTTTTCGAGATTGTGGGTTGTGGTCTCCAGCTGTGTCAGACGCGCACTTACACCTTCCATAACATGCAGCAAGGTATCTGCATGTTTCTTCATTGTCCTTTCAATCTCACACAAAATCGTCGTGGTAGGCACATTCTCACCCTTGTCAGGAACCAACTTTGTAGGTTCAATAGAGTCGAGAGATCCAAAACCCTGCACGGCGCATTTAACAACAACAAAAACAATCAATAGGGCTGGTAAAGAGGCACAAGTGTTCAGTAAGGGTGATGAATGTTACGATGCAAACCTCCTTAAAACCAACAAACAAGTTTACGGAATGACCTGAGCCAATTTAGCATCAACTTATCATGAGGTTACAAACCATTGCTTTCAATTTCACATGAACTAAAACTGTCAGAGTTTCAAAAAAAACTATAAAATTTGACAAGAGAAGAACACTGAAAGAGAGCTCGAAGATCAAACTTTTTCCATGAACTGTTATCGAATAACAAAACTAAAACTTATCACAAACAGCACTCTGCCAAATCGTTAGAATTCATACTATGAACAAACCTCTAACAGCGGGAAAAACAAAAATTAAAGGACTCCTTTTTTATGATCACGGGTAAAATAATAAGGACAGGCTCATTAAAAAAAAAAAAAAAAAAAAAAGGAGAAGGTGGATCTAAGATCAAACAAGTCACAATAAGGCGAGGATCCTAGAACTACCCTTACCCTGTTAGATAGAGTGGAAACAGGTTTAGAATCAGACGGGGACCACACCGTAGCAGTGGTAGATCCGGCGAGGTTTAAAGCCGACTGAGACAATCCAACGGCGGTGTTGTGACGGATCGGCTGGAAATCGTAGCTGGGAACCATCTCCTCCTTGCTCGACTCTAATCCATCCTCGCCGAGCCGCAGCTTGTAATGTGAATTAGTAGTATTGTTCATCAGATCGATGAAATCAGTGGCAGGTGGAGATGAAGAGGATAGATCCATTATCTGCTTCTCCGTAAACTGACAAGTATTCATCGATCCTCCGAAAGTTTTCTCCGACTCCGGATTGTGTGTTTCCTAAAACCTTGATTGATATTATTATTAATGAAAGAAATATTTAAATTTTTTATTTTGTCAAAGGACTCTATTTAATCGGTCGTTTCAAATGACCAGGTTGCGTATTGTTGTTGTAAACGATCATGTCAGACCTTCTGACTGGGTGAGAAGGTTATGACCCTCTGAGGCTGCAAAGTTTAATGGGCCTACATGAACTTTAAAGCAATAATTTACTTGGGCAGAGTTTTTTGGTAATCAACCCACTAGCCTCTTCGTAGAAACCTCAACTATTGTAGATTGATAACCAAAAAACTCTGCCCAAGTAAATTATTGAAGAACAAACTCTGAACATACTTGGAAACGAATAAAACCTTCTTCTTTTTTTTTTTTTTGGGTTCCTCTTTTATTGTTTTCAACAAAAAAAAATTGAGATTTGCATAGATTTCAAGTCGGAGAAAACATGTGTTACATTACATCATTTACATGTCAGAGAGACAGGTCAATGGGACCATATTGTTTATTAGTAATGAAATAACACGGACAAAAGGGTGGACTCTAAAATTAATTGGTACCACGACTTTGCTGCATTCAAAACATCCACACGTTTAAACGCCTTTCAATACCATCCACTCGTTTACTTCCCCATACAAACTAAGATTTAATTATTTTTGGATGTTCAACGAAGAAAACCATGGGGTGTCATTTCTAGACAAGTCTATGCATTCCCAAAACATGATTTACATATATTAACACACATCACTGCCTCTCAAACACGTCTCGTTTAAATGGTTAGTGGTGATTTGTAATCCTTCTTGGTCTATATACTAATGTATGTTATCATATTTCTATATTTTTAGTTTTATGTTTGGTAAGGGGCTTTTTTTTAGTTCATGTGCGCTGTCTTTGGTTTATAAAATTTTAAAACTCAACTGAACATCGTTTATATGACTTCAGTTTTTAGATTTAGATTGGATTGTTTATCCATTTCTACAGTTTTATTTGTTGGCTGTGATTTATTTGTTGTCCAAAGAAAGTAAACAAAATCACTCAAACCAACAGTACAACGAAAGAATTTTTAAAATAAACACACGACACATCTTCTGAATAATAGTATTCGATTCATTAGAAAAATTAACACTCTTACTAAATTCTGGAATTGTCGTTTACTTATGCAGTTCTAACAAATGGCAGATGATTCGTGTACATCTTCAAGTATTTAACCATAGATCGAACTTGGAGAACAGAATCTGCAGAGCCAGAAGTAAGAGAGAGTACCATATTATGCTTTTAACTCCATATCCGAGACTTGCGTCTCCATTATTCGCTGCCAAGTCTGCTCCTGAATCATCACTGACCAGAAGAGCCAGAGCTGCTTCTTATACTCCTTTGCTGTTTCTGAGACCGAACCGTAGATTTGATGGCTTGAAGCTCAAGTCAGGCACAGTTCCGGAAAACGTGCAAGGAGATGTGGAATCTGGAGGTCTGGTCAAAGGGCTGAAGCTAGGAGGCATGTTCGGAGTTTGGTATCTTCTCAATATATACTACAACATCTTAAACAAACAGGTTCCCTCTTTTCTCAATCGATTCCAATTCACCCTTCACCACTACTATTCCCTGATCCCAGATTGTTTTGTTCATCTTTCAAAGGCTCGAAATTTTTGTTTGATCAATCAATCTCTCTCCAAGCCATTAATATTCATGCAAATATGAAACTCGGGTCGCAATTTGATTTACGAGTCCGCAAGCTTAAAATTTCTTGTGCATCCAGGTACTTAGGGTTTATCCATATCCAGCGACTGTAACAGCATTTCAATTCGGGTGTGGGACCTTGATGATAGCAGTAATGTGGCTCTTTAAACTCCATCCTCGCCCCAAAATCGCTCCTTCTCAGGTACATCAAAAGCACACACAGAGAGAGAGAGAGAGAGAGAGAGAGAGAGATTCAACTGTTACCGTCTGATTTCGAATTCTTTGGTTTAAAATCTCCAGATTCCGGCGATCCTACAGCTAGCAGCGGCTCACACATTAGGAAACTTGTTAACAAACGTGAGCTTGGGAAGAGTAAACGTCTCTTTTACCCACACAATCAAAGCGATGGAGCCTTTCTTCACCGTCTTGTTCTCTGTTCTCTTGCTCGGTGAGGTAAGCAAAACAGAGACACTCTGGTCCTAAAGTTTGAATTGAACTTCAATCAGAGATTGAAAAAGCGTTTTGATTTGATTCTCCAAGTTTTTTGTTACTTGTTACTGACGTCTTTGTTGAGTGTCAGTGGCCGAGTTTGTGGATTGTTTGTTCCTTGTTACCAATCGTCGCTGGAGTTTCTTTAGCATCTTTCACAGAAGCTTCTTTCAATTGGTATGAGCAATAAACAAAGAGTAAACTTCTTGATGAACTTTAAACTGATTTGACTTTTATGTTTTTCGAATGAACCAGGATTGGTTTCTGCAGTGCAATGGCATCTAATGTAACGAACCAATCACGAAATGTTCTCAGTAAAAAAATCATGGTTGGAAAGGTAGAATAACTGAACAATGTAACCCTCTCAAGAAACCAAGAGTACTGTTTGCAGTTTCTAATGTAACGAAACCAATCACGCAATGTTCTACTAATCTTTCCGCTGAAACAGGAAGCTTTGGACAACATCAACCTTTTCTCAGTAATAACCATTATCTCCTTTGCCTTGCTGGTTCCTGTAGCAATTCTCATCGATGGGTTTAAGTTTACCCCTTCGCAGTTACAACTAGCTGTAAGTGAAAACTGCACACGTAAACCGATTTAGACCTTCTAACCAAAAAAAAGTAGAAACGTATCAAAAACTTACGTGTTTTGTCTTGTGGTTGCTTGACAGACAAGTCGGGGTTTGACCGTGAGAGAGTTTTGCACCATGGCTCTTCTTGCTGGTGTGTGCTTGCATAGCTACCAACAGGTTCGTCCGTACTGTAGTTTGGGTTTCAAGAAATGTTACTGATCGGTTAAAGGTTTTGTTTTAATTCCGTTCCGATCAGCATTAACTTACAATCCCGGTATAGGTATCGTATATGATCTTAGAGATGGTGTCTCCAGTCACACACTCTGTTGGGAATTGCGTGAAGCGTGTGGTGGTCATTGCATCATCCATTCTTTTCTTCCAAACTCCAGTCTCGCCTCTTAATTCCATAGGTAGCTAACAAGCAACATACAATATCATACTTCTTACATTTCATTTTTGTTGAATCTTCAAAGTTTCTCTTATACAATCTCTTAACACAGGTACGGCTACTGCACTAGCTGGCGTTTACTTGTACACCAGAGCCAAAAGGGTCAAAGTCAAACCAAACCCCAAAACTTCCTGAAGTCTTTTTTTTCTTGTTGTTTTGGTTTTCAACCTCTTGACGTTGGTTGTTGTATATAAAAAATTGTAGAAGCTCTTCTGTTTTTTGTTTCCTTACATCATCAGTGTCGCTATTTAGTGACATACTGACATCCACTTATTCACGTTACGTAAAGAGATTTCAAACATTTATTTCCACCATTTCAACATGAGCTTTTTAAACAAGCACAAATCGAATTCCTTTATGTACTTGTTTACGATCTACATTTATTTATTGAGAAAGTGTAATATTTTGTGGTCAATCATGTCGTTGTACATCATATTTTCTATCATGAATCGTTTATAGTAGTAGATCATAATAAAATCTGAAATTATACAACCGGCCTCGAAAATAAAATGCAATGGGTCCATAAAAGGCCCAAAAGAGAAGGAGGCGGCTCGTTTAGGTACAACAGATATTTGTTTGTGTTGATGGTGTTTTATATATAAACCTAATAACGGGACGCGCTACGGTGAACATCCTGTTTCTTTCCTCTACTTTCTCTCTCTTCTCTACGCTTCTTCTTGTGGCGTAGATTTTACAGAGAGAGAGAAATAAGGAAAAAAAGGAATCTCAAAGCTCCAGTTCAGAGATTTTGACCGTTTCCTCATTCCCTTCCTCTGCCGCGACACTTGAGATCAGGTACGTCTTCTTCCGTCGATAATTTTGCTCGCCGTAGTTCAATCTTGATTTGATTCGCCGCCTCGCTTTCTGTTTTTAGTTTCTCGCTGAGATTCTGTCGGTCTGGTCGTGTTTGATTCTATTTTCAGATCCAACCCCGTAGGATTTACGTCTTTGTGTTTAGATCTGTGAAATATCGTGCTTGATTCTATCTGGATTGCTTTAAATGTTCTCTTAATAGTTGAATTTCGCGAAGAATTCCGTAATAGGTTTTGATGTTTGGATATGTAGGATGTATAGGAACATGATATTAGAACTCTGGCTGTTGTTCTTCGATCACCGATTTGGATCAAATTACTCATCTCTTTGGCATGTTTGAATTGCAGAACACTTTGCTATGGCTGCCACCGCTACTGCTCCTTCTGCGGTCCGCTATGCACCTGAGGACCATTCCCTTCCCAAGCCTTGGAAAGGGCTTGTGGATGATAGAACTGGCTACTTGTACTATTGGAACCCAGAGACCAATGTTACTCAGTACGAGAGACCTGCTTCCTCTCAACCTCCCAAGCTTCCTGCAGTTTCTGTAAGCTCCTCCGTCCAGGCTTCTTCCGGAGCTAATGGTACCTATGGCCCTACTCCTTCCAAGGATGATGATAAGTACTCTAGAGGCGCTGACATCGGGCCTAAGATCGAGCCTAGCTCCAGGTTTAGTGAGGTACTGTCCATTCATTCTTGTTTTTGCTCTTTCTCTAGCATTTTCTTTGTTGGGCACATCTGAATTTTTTCTCTATTTGTTACAGGTTGGCAGGAGTGGAGCTTCCTATTCGAATGGTGCTGCTAATGGAGCATATGGTGCGTCTGCAAGAGGTCCTTCTCCTTCATCAGCTCCAGGAAATGAACTTTCCCCGGAGGCTTATTGCCGCCGTCATGAAATTACCGTCAGTGTAAGTATCTAGTCACTTTCGTGTCGCTTTCATCTCATTCATGTTTTTGGTTGACCCGCCCCTTTTGTTCCTCTCATGTAACGAATGGAACCCCTGCTGTGTTTTCATCTCAAGCATCTAGATCGCTTTGATTTCTTTAAATTTCTAATCAGTAACTGCCTTTTCTTCAGGGGAGCCAAGTACCACCACCTCTAATGTCATTTGAAACTACTGGCTTTCCTCCTGAGCTTCTCCGAGAGGTATGAATTTATTGTATTAGTGAACTGAATAGACTCATGAACCAAACCTTTCTTCTTAGTTGTAAGTTATAACTGCTCTACCAATAACCTGGTTCCATACAGAGCTTTTATGTTGGGATCTAATTTTATGGACCTTGCTCGGTTTTCCAAATATTAGACTTATTTTGTCACCCAGCTTAAATCGCCTTAGGTTTAACATTTTGAGTCAGTTTTATGCCATATGCACCCTTTTCTCTTCTTTTTTTTCCCCAGGTGCGATGTTTGCTCCTGGGAGGAGCTAATGTCGTACACTGTGCCACTTCTTTGAGGTCCTTGCAAAATATTTGGAGTGCCCTTTATGGTGGACCAAATTTTTTGGGAAGGGCTTCCCAAATCATCCAAGCTCGTGGCCGGGCCTGTTAATGGTGTGATGATATATTTCACCACCGGGTCCAGACAGAAGAAGAGGCGTCCTCCTGCTGCAGGTTTCATCAGTAATCTTTTGCCGCCTGCAAATGGAGGATGGTGCTTCTTCTGACATGAGCCACCACTCCATAATCCAATAAGGACCTTGGTGCTCCTCTTCTCATAGGACCTCCTGGTTTTCTGCTTTCTTAGGTACTCAGTGCAGGTTTCTCTGCTCCAACTCCAATTCAAGCTCAGTCGTGGCCAATTGCTATGCAAGGTCGGGACATAGTGGCCATTGCTAAAACTGGCTCGGGAAAAACTCTGGGTTACTTGATTCCTGGCTTTATGCATCTTCAACGCATCCGGAATGATTCCCGAATGGGCCCAACAATCTTGGTATTGTCTCCAACGAGGGAGCTGGCAACACAAATCCAAGTCGAAGCCGTTAAATTTGGGAGGTCATCAAGAATTTCGTGCACGGTAAGCAGTAGTGTCTGTTTTTATTTTGTTTGTAATAGTGTCAACATGCTACCTGTGTAGGATCCTTGTAGTGTGTGTACTGAATGCGTTGTCTGGTTATCTCTGTTTCAGTGTTTGTATGGTGGTGCACCAAAGGGTCCGCAGCTGAGGGATTTGGATAGAGGAGCAGATATCGTGGTTGCAACTCCGGGACGATTGAATGATATCCTTGAGATGAGGAGAATCAGTCTGCGTCAAGTATCTTATCTTGTGCTAGATGAGGCAGATAGAATGTTGGACATGGGTTTCGAACCGCAGATAAGGAAGATTGTGAAAGAGATTCCCACCAAACGCCAAACCCTTATGTACACAGCTACATGGCCAAAGGGAGTGAGGAAAATTGCAGCTGACTTGCTTGTTAACCCTGCACAGGTCAACATTGGCAACGTCGACGAGCTTGTGGCCAACAAGTCGATCACACAGGTATGGGCTTGACTCGATTCCATTGCTATTCATGGTCCTTGATTCCACGATCTGATTGTTGTGCTTTTGTGGACACAGCACATTGAAGTGGTAGCGCCGATGGAGAAACAGAGGAGGTTAGAGCAGATATTGCGGTCTCAGGAACCAGGCTCAAAGGTGATAATATTCTGCTCAACGAAAAGGATGTGTGACCAACTAACACGCAATATAACCCGCCAATTCGGAGCAGCTGCGATACATGGAGACAAGTCACAGCCTGAGAGAGACAGCGTTCTGAATCAATTCCGCAGTGGCAGGACTCCCGTTCTGGTTGCAACTGATGTTGCTGCTCGTGGACTGGACGTTAAGGACATCAGGTACACATATATATATATATATATATATTAATCCAAAATGATAAATTGCTTTCTTGTATAAGAAGAAGAATACAGTAGTTAACACGTACATATATTTGGATCACAGGGCGGTCATAAACTATGATTTCCCCAATGGAGTGGAAGACTATGTTCATAGAATCGGAAGAACAGGAAGAGCTGGAGCGACTGGTCATGCTTTCACATTCTTTGGTGATCAAGACTCGAAACACGCTCTGGATCTGATCAAGATCTTGGAAGGAGCAAACCAGCGAGTTCCTCCTCAGATCCGCGAGATGGCTGCACGCGGCGGTGGCGGCATGAACAAATTCAGCCGCTGGGGTCCTCCTTCGGGAGGTCGAGGTGGTCGTGGAAGCGACTCTGGCTATGGTGGCAGGGGGGGTGGCTTTGGTTCACGTGACAGGTAAATGATCAACATATAAGTAACTTGTTCTTGTGATTTGTTACAAAAGAAACATATGATTGAGATTTGTATAAATTGTAAGTAGAAGCAGCAATGGATGGGGAAGGGAGCGTGAAAGGAGCCGTAGCCCGGAGAGATTCAACAGAGCTCCACCACCGTCTTCCACCGGATCTCCTCCTCGCAGCTTCCACGAGGCCATGATGAAACACAGATAAACACACAAGAGTTTGTATCCCCCATGTGAAGACGAACGTTTTCTCGGGGAATAATACGCTACACTCGGACATTATATATTTTTTTCAGACACTCCCCATTGAAAAACTACGTATATTCCTTTTTAATATGTGTTGTGTTCTTTACTCTCGGAGATTGCTTGTTTAGATAGAAAACACTTTGTTCTAAACATTTATGATAATTTTGTGGGATTCTTTAGCAATTTATAAAACAAATGGTATTATAGAATTTTTGGTTCGGTTCGGTTTTGGTTGAGCCGGCAAAGAGAACCATCGCGTCTGAGTCGTGGTCACCCCACCGGTCCCACCCCAAAGAAATACTACTTAGTTCTAAATATACGATTATTAATTTCATATATTATGGCGTTTTACATAACTCTATGCATCTGAAAACTGTGGTCCGTAATTTTTTCATGTATTTATAAATAATTACTGTTGCATTCATTTTCAAAAGTGATGTTTTATAAGTCTACCGTTTTATTTCCACACCCACAAAAGAAAAACAGGAAAAAGAAGTTTGGTGAGCCTATGGCTTAGAGGGAAGTGTATGTCTTGTGTACTTTGATGATAACATAATTGATGACAGCCTATTAATCTCCAAATCGACTCTATCTTTTTGTGGTTACAAATTAATTTTCCTTATATAACTAAACGAATCATGAACTACTAATTTCTAAAATCAAAGCTCACTACCCACGTTCACACATGGTTTATTTTTCACTATCAATATTTATCATGATTAGTATTAGGAGATGGCCTTTTTCTCTTTAATAAATTAATTATCAACCAAAAACAAGTTCTAGTGTTATAAAATCATATCATGAAACGATTGTTCAATTTTTTAACGAATAATATTAAAGTGAATACTCTCTAAACTTCAAATTATTTCAGTACAACTTATTGTAACGGATATCTATCTGGGAAAATACACGAACACTGTTTGGTTATATGACTAATTATTCTTGAAAAATAATAATAATAGTATTAGTTATCCAATTTTATATTCTGCTACAACATTTTAATTGAATTGTGAGCTGACACATCATTTAAATTTTCAGCCACAAAACTGCACTTACTAAATTTGGCATATGAATTACACCAAAACCCATCTCAATTAATTGCCCAAAAGCAAACGCTACTGCAACTTCCAATTTATTTTTCTTCTCACATCTATTTAGATTTTCTTAGTACAAAGTAAATTCTAAATCATATACACATAAAACATGCGTTGATCAAATGATATAGATTTTAAAAAAGTGTAATGTAGATACGTTAAAATATAGTAAAAATCAAAATATCGAATTCAGTATCAAACAAAAGAAGAACTTTATTGATTTTGAATATACCAATTAAATATTGGTGATAAAGGGTTAGGAAGCAGTCGTTATTCACATAAGCTCTTTGTGTAATGTTTCTGTCAAGCTTTTCTTTGATTTAATATTGTACTTTCTTCACACTATTTACGATTTGTGTGGACCTGAGCTAATCACGCCAAGATTTCATTTAGTTATTAATTTATCGTTAAAAAATGTCTCATGACAACTTATTAGTTATTACTAAGCTTTGTAGTAAAATATTACTTTTCATATATGTATCGGTTATTACCAATTCGACCACAGTGACAAGATCTGCTACAACTTGTTATTAAGTAATTTCTGTTGGCAACTCATGATTAATATTTCAAATCAAACATTACTTATTTTTGTTGATTTGAATATACATATGTTGTAATTTTTACAGTTATCTTTCACCACTAAAAACTCTGCCATTACCAATAGGACCCCGGTCACAAGTCACAACAACCCTATAAAAGGAAACAGTTGTTGATCATCTTCCCGCCTTGAGTATCTCTCTCTCTACTATCCTTTTTCTCTTCTCTATTCTCTCTCTCTCTCTCTCTCTCTCTCTCTCTCTCTCTCTCTCTCTCTCTCTCTCTCTCTCTTGCATAGACAAAAATACACACACAGTTATACATACATACAAAAGAAATTAGAAAGAAAATGGAGACAATGAAGAAAGCAGGGAGAGGGAAAGGCAGAACAACATCACAGAAAGAAGAAGAAGGAACAGTGAGGAAAGGGCCATGGACTGTGGAAGAAGATTTGATCCTCTTTAATTACATCCTTAATCATGGTGAAGGTCTTTGGAACGCTGTCGCCAAAGCCTCTGGTATATATATATATATATATATAGTACACCTAATCTTCTTCTTTTTTTTTGCACATATATTAAATTATTTATACCAACTGACTAATGTCTTCAATTTATTTGCTTACAATATTAGATCTATATTTCATTTATAAAAAAAATAGCAGAAGGCTTCAAAAATAGTTTGAGATAGTTGTGAATATATTATTACATATGTATGTAATTATGTTTTCACCAAATAAGGTCTAAAACGAACCGGAAAAAGTTGTCGGCTCCGGTGGTTAAACTATCTCCGGCCAGATGTGAGGCGAGGGAACATAACCGCTGAAGAACAGCTTTTGATCCTTCAACTTCATGCTAAGCTTGGAAACAGGTCTTATGTAGTTTCATGAATACACGCGCGCGTACGTACGTAAATTTAATAAGAATTACTTACGGTATTAACTGTGTATAGGTGGTCGAAGATTGCGAAGCATCTTCCAGGAAGAACGGACAACGAGATAAAGAATTTCTGGAGGACAAAGATTCAGAGACACATGAAAGCGTCGTCGTCGTCGGAAAATATGGATATTCGTCACCGTTCGGGAAATTCACAGAGCTCGGTGATGACAACGACGGACCAAGGCAGCTCCAGCAAAGCCTTCGATATGGCTGAGAGCTTAATCTCTCCGGTGACGACGACGACGTCGTTTCATGTCTTGGAACAGTCAAACGACGGTTACTGGAACGCCGAAGATCTGTGGCCCGTCCAGTTGCTTACTGGTGACCACCACCAAGTGGTTTAATATACTAATAAGTGAATTAATGAATGATTTTGCATTTGCTAGTCGGATGATAGTCATACTCATACATATTCCCGATCAGATTTTTGTACGTTACCTTCTTAAAGTTGATGTTCTATTATTGCTCATATGTTGTTTCATTTACACATAATATAAGGGAATGTCATGTAATCATTTACTCGTCACTTCATGTAAGTTACTCCTGTTCGTTAAGAAGAATGCTTTAGTTTATGGCTCATCTTTTAGATAAGTTTGTAGCTGCGTAGTTTCAGGACGGCGCAAATCAATTAAACCATATTAGACCCTTGTAAATTCTAATTGCTTATGACTTATTATGAGACAAAAGAGCTCAATAGAAGCGCAGTGAAATTGAGAGCGACAATATCACAAGTGTATGGAAGCAAATACATACATACAAGTATATATATATAGTATATAGGGTCTTGAAATTGGGTTTTGCACACACAGCACACTCTGTAAAGGAATTTGGTTGTTTTAGTCATCAGCAGGATCACTGGGGATTTCATCGGCATTGCGTTTGATGGTGAGGACTGGACACTCAGCATGTTTCACACAGAAGGCACTCACAGTCCCAACAAAGACCCTGCGATGCAAGAGAGTGAAGAGGAATAAGACTCATGACAGATAGATTATCATGTATCAAACAGACAGCAACGATTTCGAGTTTTGGTTACTTTTGGAAGCGGCCAAGGCCACGGCTTCCCAAAACCAGAAGATCTGGTCGGACCCGCCTCACTTCTTGGCAAATGACATCCTTGGGATCACCTTTCTTGATCCATGCCTCGCAACCAACCTACGAGTTTTTCACACTACTGTATTACTTCTTCTTTATTGCGTTAAAGACAAACCAAAAAGAGAACACAAGAGGTGCTTCAGACGGTTTACCCCGATCTCGTGACATTTCTTAACGAAAAACTCGAGAAGGTGAAGACCTTTGACCTTGTTAGACTCTCGCATGTCTCGGAAATCCTCAGGGGAAGCATATACGCTGTCTACTTCATCAAAACCTGCTTTCCAATTCACACGAACAAAGCAAAAAACTCTCACTTTTTCTTTTCTTCCAACCATTTCAAAACATCTACAAAACAAGAACTCGATAGAGTCTTCTTCTCTACAGCCATATTGCATAAATGTTTTCACTAGAAAACGCGATATGATCCTTTTTTTTTTTATATAACTCAAACCCTGAAACACATCATCATCCTCCTCCCTCAAATCACAGACAAATTCAATCAAGGATAATAACTTTGTAACAAAGAACAAAGGGCGCGAGAGATAAACCGTCTTCGTCCAGCACTTGTACGTGGAGCAATAGGATCTTGAAATCGCCAGTGTTGGATCGGACCATCTTCTCCAGGGTCCATTCGAACGCTCTTTTACAGCTAATCGAAGGGTGAGGGTGCCCTTTGATCGTCGAATCGTTTACCGCCACCATCACTCGTGTCGCCTCGCTCTCCATTTTTTCCCCGATTCACCAACTCGCTCGTCTCCTTCTCCAATTCTCAGATATGAATGAACAAGTCCGGTTTTGGTTTTAGGACAAGTGTGCGCCCGCACGACGTGTTCATGGGCGTAGTTTACCAAGCAATCTCCTAACGCTGCTAAAATGCGCAAGTTTTTCTATTACGGGGACAGCGAAGACTTCTGTACATAACTTTCCAAAACTACCCTTTCTACAATATGGGCCCAGTCAATGGCCCATCTCAATATATTTCTGGAAAATACATTACAAAACAAACGTATAGTATTTGTCTTTCTACTTTGGGTTTCCTAGTATTATTATTAGTATCAAGTTACAATAGAATTTTGTAATTATGAGTTGGAGGTGTAATTGTGGAACTTTATTTTTACTACACTAAAGAATTTCACAAAACATGGTATATTTAAGGTTTGGAAAATATACGCCTCAGTGATGATGAATAGAGACTCTTCCAAAGCCGAGATGTCCGATCTGATACAATTCCAACCAAACTCTCTCAGCGTCAGCTCTCGCGCTGATTCTCGTCTCATCCTCTCCCCTTAACGACGCCGTTTTGAACTCCTCCTCCTTGGTCAAACTCCCGTCCCTCTCCACCACAAACCGGTGGTCATCCAACTCTCCATTTCCCCCGCCGCAACATCCACCACTCACGCCTTTCACCCTCTCCGACCTCCGCTTCTCATGAACCTCATCCTCACGGCTTATCCTCCTCCTCCGCTTCTTTCCCCAGCCGATACATTTCCGGCCGATCATCCACGGGACCTTGACGAAGGCAAGAGTTAGGAGGTTCACGGCGGCGCATGGGCAACAGCAGACCGCTACACAGTCGGCGATCCCCGTCGCCGCCCACGTTCGGCACCTTATCCCGGAGCATTTTACTCCCGGCGCCGATTCAACAGGGTGGGACCCACTCCGGTCTTTACGTGAAACTCGATGTGGCTTTTGGATTTCCTCTCCCATTTATAATATAATCCTGCTAAAAAGAAAAGAATAAAAAAAAAGCCTTACTAGCTATAACTATATATATATATATATATACTATCACATACGGATTTTGTCCATATACGAGAGAGCATAGTGTTCATACGTAAAGAGAAAATAGTAAAAAGAGAGATTAACAAAGATTTATTTCATGGACTTGACCAGACATTCATTTTCAGGTGGGTTCAAAACTCACTCACGCAGCACGCATCCCCTATGGCGCGTGACTTACCCTGACCCAACCAAAGCCGGTCTTTATATTCCGTACATATCAAAATTTTCGAGCTTGTGATGTAATTACGAACGGTTTGGTTCGGTTATTGACTGGTCTGATTAGGTAGTGAATGAAAGGAGTTAAACCCGCGCGTCGAAGATGGAATCTGAAGTTTTTTTATTGGCTAGGGAAAATAACACTTTTTTTCCTCACGGATAAAGAAAGGTGTTAATCTGGGGATGACTAATCGATTTTTTTTTGGCTCTTTATGGTTAGAATCTTATTGTACGGTAGCTTTTCTTTTATAGAGTCCCCTATCGATTTCAAACATTAAAATTCCTAAAGAGGCAGTCTTATTACTATCGAAATAATTAAATATCAGTAAATTAACGTGAATGATAGAGTCAGTGGGAGATCCTATCTCACATGGGTTGCCCGGTCTAAATATGGCCCAGTTACGAAGCCCATTATAAAACTACAAGTACATATTCAAAATAATTGTTTTTTATGGTAAAATATATATACGGTATAGTTTTTTTTTTGTTTTAAAAATATACAATACTGTTAAGCTGACAATAAATATTTAATAGGAATAACTTGCTTTTAAAAGTTTTTTGTTTTTTTTTTTATAAAAAATTAAGTTATCTTTCGATATGTCACTAAAAATATCAAAAGGTAAAAGTACGATTGTCCCTTTTCACTTTTATAAGGTAAAAAGTACACAATTAAAGCGGAGCCAAAATTCAAAGACTGATTTAAGTATATTTTTTCTTCTTGGCATCTGTTGTGTAAATAGGTTAAGTAAACGGATTTTCTCCTTGGCATCTGTTGTCGATAAGAACTTGATGCAAATCAACATTAACTACTATATAAACCGGACTAGTACCGGACCAAGATAAGACATTAGTGTACACTATGCCACTATTCAGTGAATCAGTGTAGTCTATATTATTTACTTTAAATGCTTTTTGATTTATGATGAGCACACACATTATGCTTTTTCACACAAGACCACTGTTTTTTGACACAAATCTTGTTGTTTTTAAACGTATACTCTAGAATGCTAGTTGTGAAAATACAAGTTTATATATAATATACGATCTTAAAAACAAAATAATTAGGTATAAATAAACTTGTACTTTCTTTTAATCTCCACGACTAGCATTCTAGAGTATACGTTTAAAAACAACAAGATAAATATATACAACATTAATTAACCCTCTAATGGAAACAACTAGTAGCAAGAAGGTCTGCAGTAGTGTGAGCAAAAGTATCATCAATTGGTCACATACCTTTGGTTCTTCGGAGAAATTAAAAGCCACAGATCCTATTTAAAAGCCTTCCCTGTATGAAGGCATCAATAACAAAGACTCATTTTTGATGTTGTGGTCTGTTTTCAAATTTTGTTTTTATGAGTTTGACAAGAGAAAGAGAAGAAGGGGAAGGGGAAGGAGAAGAAGCAGCAGAAGAAAGAGAAGAAGAAGCAGCAGCAGCAGGAGAAGAGAGATGTGATCTGATCTATAAATACACATTATATTATATCTTCGACTATAGCTTATATATATATCTTTTTCTATATATTAATTTATTTGAAAATCATATCTCTCTCTTTCTCTCCTGGTTGCTTGAGTATACAGACAGGCTCATATCTGATTCAGTGTAAGGGTCTTACATGAATAAATAAAATTTTAATCCATTTTAGCATATCTAACAAAAATTCTTTTTCTAAACCATCATATATGAAATATACATGTGTGTATATACTATCCTTCGGAAAACGTATAATTTTTTTAGCTGAGTTGTAATTTTATGAAAAATTAAAGTTCTCCAATTTCTATTAATCTGACTAACGTAATAGTATGCTTTTTTTTTTTAAAAGGACTAACGTAATTTTGCAGACATAATTGTCTTAATGTAGTATAATTCTAAAACTTAAATCTATATGTGATAACTAAATGTGTATGTAAATTATGTTATTTGCTTATAATTAATCATGGGGATTGATATTGTACTCATGTTATTTGCTATTCGATCGCTATGTTAAGAAAAATGACGTTTATTTGCTTATAGTTGGAACGTACAATCGTTCTCTGAGATGAAAATTACTTGTTCAGTAGTGAATTAATAAAAAATAATTAATTATCGTCTGTCCGGTTAAGAAAGTTGGTGGAACCGGTTAGGTTTAATGTAATTGGATACGGAACTTTGTGTTTGATGAGTCCCGAAGTCCGAAGACAGAGAGAATCAAATCATGGGAATTCGGCCCCTCATGTGCATTCCTATGCAACTCGAATTATTTTATATTTCTTGAGAAACGAACTAAGTACCCAATTTAGAACGAAGTTTATAGTAGAACAGAGTACTTCCCGATTCATAATACACAAAAATTTCGTTACAAAATATAATCTTCCAATCACCATGGTTCAAATATCTCAAATCCTATATACTTACATCTAATGCATTGTTTTCGATCCCTCGTTGAATTAGTCTCTCAGCGACAAAGAAAAAAAAGATCTTTGCATGAGCACGTCGATGCGTGTAAACGAAACTAATCGGAGTATTTCCGACTTTTTAAACATTTAATATGGATTTTCTGGATTTTTGAACATTTTTAATACTGTATGTATTTTTGTACTGGTAGTTAGTTGCATAAAACTTTACGTAGCTTATAGTTATATGAAAGTTTAGGATATTAATTGCATAAATATATTTGTGGTTTTCAAAATCTACGATAGCGAGCAGCGTCGTTGACGCCTTTTTTTCTCTTTGTTTGTTGCCTTTATAAGCACATTGCTTGAGCCACGCACGTGCGATGCTGCAAGGAATCACGTGCATCGGGTCTTAAGAACGCCACGTCAGCGACTGGGATGCTCTTTAATTCTTTAGGTAAGAAAAAGTTTCACCGTCCAACTGTCATTCTGTCGGTGACACGTACAAACCCAACCCTCTACTCTCACCGCTATTACTACACGTGTCAAACTATCCAGGAGAAAAGTATTCGAGTCGTTGACATGATCTATCTGTATATAGCTTCTTATCCAGCAAGAGTCACGATCTGCGTTTGCGTCTGCATCTTGATCTAGGTCGCCACCGCAGTAACATGTCTTCATCGTTTGGACGTAACGTTCTCCTTTTGTGGTTGACTAAAAAAGTCAATGGTATGAGCTACTACCATACATAAATAATGATCATGGATAATAAAAATGCGCAACTAGTCGATATTTGTCAAAAAATAATGGCTTGATATATATGTAGGATTATTAATATGTTCCTATAATCATATATATATATATATATGCGTGTGAGTTGATTAATTAGAAAGCATACATATCAGGAGATGTTATCGTAACAAAATAGTCAGAAATCTATAAAACAAATTAATTAAGCTGAGTCTTAGTTGAGAATCGTTAATTCAATTTAACATCTGAACGTAACCAATTTCCAAATTCTCATAGTACTATATGTTTCCTCTGAGTCCAATGATACAATCTATGACTTGGTCTAATAATTTATTCGAAAAATAAGTATGTGGTAACCATTAAAACTGATAACTGCCAAATATACGCCCTATGATTAGTCACGCACTACAACAAAGCTATTAGTGAACCGCTAGTCCATTTCAATCCAGAAACAAGGACTAAAAATGAAAAAAAAAAAAATCCATTTTAGCATTGTTGTAACGAGGAACATGCCCATTTCTTTCCTTCCGGTTCTCTAGTTCTTCTTTTAAGTTCCAAAAGCTTACAATCAAAGGGAATTTGGAAAATGTATCTTGACCTTAATTAGCGACAAAACTGTTAAGAACTATGACAAAAATTTATAAATTTCTCTTCTAATTGTAAGTGATATGTATAAGAAATGGTCCTTAATTGTAAGAGAACAGATTACATAATACATGATGATGATATAATATGGTAAACGAATAACAAATTTTATAAATATGAAAACACGAACCCTAGCCAATTTCTTGATTGGGTGGAAATTGAAGGACCCTTTCTTAGTTATATAAAAATATATTAATGTGTATCTTATGCTTTACACAAAACAAACTTCACTAATAATTGCAAGTAATGATTTAGAAACAATAATAATATTCAAACGTGATTTAAAAACGTAGAATCTTGGTTATGGAGAGCCATCTTTATATAAAAATGTAACATGGAGAGCCATCTTTGTATAATATATAGAGGGAACATTTCTAGTTAGATCATAAAAGCAGTCTTTGAATATTTTAAAATATAATCAGACTAGAAATCGAACAGCAATTGCAATGTAGTATAATTTTAGATTGCGGGACCTGCCAGAATAGACTTCATGTTGCTATTCGTCGAGGAAATGGATATTAGCATTGCAATTATTTTAATACTGCTCTTATCCCCAACTTTAGCAAATACGAATTCTTAGCCTTGACATACAGATTTTAGTGCCGACGGTCCATAAAAGAATATGTATATATCAAAGTTGTTATATATAGTCCGGTTTGGAAAGTCATTTAAAATTCGCTAGACGTTCTATATTTCTGATTCAAATTGTATGTTTGTTTTAGTCTTAGAGAATAATTATAATCATTGGGCTCCTAATTAAATAGTTAGTTAACTAGTTATGACTAATCATTTGCTGTATAGTTTACAACTTGTTACTACGCGGAAAAAACCATGATTTAGCAACAAATTTTAACTTAATTGTAAAGTTTAGAATATGAAATGGCTTTTTTCGTGATATGGTTATATCAAATCGAAATATACTTGTTGCTTAATAAACATCTACTGCAAATTATGCAACTCAATTATAAAACAGCATGTTACCTAAATCAAGGTTGCCGCTAATCGTAAGCATTGACGTCTATATAACTGAATTTTTCCTTAAACAAAAACCACGAGAGCGACCACGTTTTGTCACCTACTCATGACGACGAACAAAGTAAACCAAACCACTCACATGCAGGTGTATTATAATATATACACATACATACACACAGACACCGACGAAAACAAGGCAAAATGCAGGATTTTTCCTCTACAGTAACGTGTAGTCCAAGCTTCAGCTTCTACGCTTCCGGCGAATTCGCCGCTGCTGCCGTTAAAGTTTCCCGCGAAAACCAGAGCTATAATATCACAGATCACCATTCCGACAAAGTTGAATCCGTCAATGACGAAGACCCTGACTTCGAGTTTGAAACGGCGCCGTTACATGAAGAGACCTTCGTCCACTTCCCGACGTTCACACCTGTGTCCATTGACACAGTTTTGATGCGTAACAAGACTGACGATGACGTGGCAGCCGACGCCGAGAATATCCCGGGGAATCTTAGTTTGGGAGGAAGATGGAGTACTCCGCCTTCGCCGTTGTGGTCGGACTCTGAAGAATTGGACAACTTCTCCGGAAATTGTTTATGGAGTCCGCTCAGATCTCCGGCGGCTGGAGGGGGACACTCGAAGATCAGCAGACGGTGCCGTTTAAAGATATTTCTAACGAGAAGCCAAAGCGACGGCGCCGTTTCATTTCCAGGCGCATCTAAACGGTGCCGTTTAAAGGATTTTCTAACGAGAAGCCACAGCGACGGAAGCAAGAAGACTAGCTCGACGGCCCTGAAAGGAAAGAATAAAACGGCGTCGTACAAGCCGCCGGTGAACAATGGAGAAGGAGATAAGAGAAGAAAATCTTATTTGCCGTACAGGCGAGATTTGATCGGAGTTTTCACCGGGATGCGAAGATTACGTCATTAATGGAAATTTTAACTTTCTGCTTTTTAGTTTCAGAAATATAGCAATCAGGTCCTTATTAAGTCTTTGTATTGATATTATTTCCATGTAACTTTGTTTGATGATCATGAAGTCCAATTCAATTGGGGGGGTTTTGGGCACTGAAAGGCGACACAACACGTGTCATGTTTGGAAGGGAAGCTAGATACTTCGACGGGAAAGCGGGACCCACGTGGATCACTTGTTTCTTACCCCCTCTCCTTCCTCTTCCGCCTCGTTTTCTGCTCACACTTCGAAGTTACCATACACATCTCTCTACACACACAACACAAGTCCACATTCTCGAAATCTCCTATCAATTATGGCGTTTCTTCAACAAATCTCCAGTTTCGGAGCTCTCGAACGATCCTCTCCGTCGGTTTTGATCGGATCCGGGACCGGCCGTGTATTCGACGGAAGAGGAATAGCGTACGGCGGCACGAGGGAAAAGGTCGGATTCAACGGAAGGAGAGTCGGTGGTCTAAGGGTTTATGCGATGTCGTCTTCGTCCTCGCTGAAGATGAATTTGAACGAGTACATGGTCACGCTCGAGAAGCCCCTGGGGATTCGCTTCGCGTTAGCAGCAGATGGCAAGATCTTGGTGCACGCCATCAAAAAAGGGGTATTAAAGTTCTCCCAGTAAAGCCTTGGTTTAGCTCCCATTTTGGAAGTGATCTGCGCTGTTTTATATTTACTAATTAATTGGCAGAGTAACGCGGAGAAGGCGAGGATCATCATGGTAGGAGATACTCTAAAGAAGGCCAGCGACTCTTCTGGTGGCAGTCTTGTGGAAATCAAGGATTTTGGTGATACCGAGTAAGAATTTCTTAAGGCTTTGGATTTTTCCTACAAATAAACAGGAAGCTTTCTATGTTTGCTCTCTCAAATTTGTTTGTGCTGTTAACCCAACATTCCTACACTGACTAGTATCTGCCGGGTTCGGTCTGAGTTACTTGATAGTGTCTTTCCTCGCAATTTCTTCAGAAATTTCCCGTCTTTTGATTGCTCAAATAGTAACCATGGCATTAACCTCAAACAGTCATAGCTGCAGTTTTCTAGCATGAGGATATCAGTGTGTTTCGAATGTAGTATTTTCTGCAGTGCTTAATTTATTGTTATGTTTATGAATTTTTCTTTTTTATTTCTTCCAGTTTTTGGTTTATTCAGGAAGATGCTGGTAGAGAGAACTGGATCGTTTAGCCTTGTTCTTGAAAGACCATTCTCCCCGTTTCCAGTTCAGTATCTGCTTCACTTGAGCGACCTTGATGTGCTCTATAACAGAGGACGTGTGCCCTTTGTTACTTGGAACAAAAATCTTCTGTCGTCGAACCTGAGAGCAAATCAGGGCAGTGGAAACTCTGGCTACGCTGCATTTTCCTCCAAATTCTCTACTCCTCAAGGATGGAAACTTTTGACCAGGCAGAGCAATTCCTTTCAATCTGGGACGCACAAGAACATTCTCTCTCCACCTATCAGTCCACTGGTCTGTGTCTTCTCAGAAGACGAGCCTGGAGATGGGGAATGGGGTTTTGGGAATTTCCCTCTAGAGGAATACATCAAAGCCCTTGACCGATCGAAAGGAGAGCTGCATTATAACCATGCTCTTGGGATGCGTTACAGTAAGGTCTGAATATCAGTTTTCTTTCCCTGACTAGCCTAGCTTTTATATTCTTTGTCTTCCCGTTCAGCCTCTCAACACCACTCTTCTCTTCTTGGCCGTTTGCAGATTACAGAGCAGATATATGTTGGTTCATGCATACAAACACAAGATGATGTCGAAAATTTGTCGGACGCAGTAAGTGCCTATAGTTGAGAAATTCGGTTTCTTCTATGGTATGGCGATGATAGCATTGAAAATTTTGGTACTGATTGGTCAAGCTTTTCTGCTTTAGGGAATTACTGCTATACTGAATTTCCAAGGTGGAACTGAAGCTCAAAACTGGGGAATCGATTCACAAAAAATCAATGATGCATGCCAGAAATCTGAAATCTTAATGATCAACTATCCTATAAGGTGCGCAAATTCATACCACCTTGAGGAAGCTCATGTGTTTTCTTTTCTTAGCGCTCCAGTCAGGTTTGAACAAGAATAGTAAAGTCTTCAAATAAATTTGGTGCCAGGGATGCAGATTCCTTTGATCTGAGGAAGAAACTACCACTTTGTGTTGGGCTCTTACTACGCTTACTGAAAAAGAACCATCGTGTGTACGTAACCTGTACCACTGGTTTTGACCGGTCGTCAGCTTGTGTGATTGCTTATCTTCACTGGATGACGGATACCTCTCTTCACGCGGCTTATAGTTTCGTTACAGGATTGCACGCTTGCAGGCCTGACAGGTTTTCTTTCATCTCACATCTTTCTTGATTATTAACCTGCAGACCAAACCTTAGAAGTTGATAGTACATGATTTAGCTTATATATTTATTTTGAAAACAGACCTGCAATTGCTTGGGCAACATGGGATCTAATTGCAATGGTGGACGATGGCAAACATGATGAACCTCCAACACACGCTGTAACCTTTGTGTGGAATGGACATGAGGTAACTATTGCTTCACACGCTTTTACCATTTTGGTGCATTTCTTTCAGCAACTCGTGATCTCGAGGGTTGAACGCTTTTATTTTGGCTGCTCTGTCACAGGGGGAGGATGTATTGTTAGTTGGGGATTTCACTGGAAATTGGAAAGAACCGATAAAAGCAACACACAAGGGCGGTCCACGTTTTGAGACAGAAGTCAGGCTTTCACAGGGAAAGTAAGACTTGCTTCTTTGAATTTTCCCATTATGCTTATTATGCTCAAGGTCTAACAGCAGAAACGTTCCATAATCTTCCTGCATGGCGTTGTTGAAGTCTGAAAACTTATGAAAATGTGGCAGATACTACTACAAGTACATAATCAACGGGGATTGGAGGCATTCAACAACTTCACCAACGGAAAGGGATGATCGAGGAAATACTAACAATATAATAGTGGTTGGAGACGTTGCTAGCGTCAGGCCTACTATTCAACAACCAAGAAAGGTTACTCTATCTCTATGCACTAGCTAGTCTCTCTTCTTAATAACTTGGAGCGAGGATGAAGTGTTTCGCATTATATCTGCCTGGTTGATTCTATCTGAAGCAACTCTTGCCATGTTTTTGCAGGATGCAAATATCATAAAAGTGATAGAGAGAGTGTTGACAGAGAGCGAAAGGTTCAGGTTGGCAAAAGCAGCTCGGTGTATTGCCTTCTCAGTCTGTCCAATAAGACTCTGCCCAAAGTAGAAGTCTTTTTATGTAATCTATTGTCATAAGTGAGATATTACATCAACACCTCTGTCTCTATCCATTCCTCAAGGTATATACTTATATATATCTTTGTGAAATTCAGTGCTCATCTTCATTTTTTTGCTCCAAATGAATAAGTAAAAGCCACGTTCGACACGCTTCATGACAAGAGAATGTTGACATTATGTTGTGTGTGTTTGCATGAAAAATGTCGACATTCTTTTGCCATTGCTGCCCCCACTTTACACATATAAGTCCTCAAAACGAAACCTAATGCATTTCTCTCGTCTGTGTCTTTCTTCTTCAGTTTCTCTCTCTTTTAGCATGTGAAACGCAACATATATTAGCGCTTACTTTTCTCTCTCTTTTTGATTTCTCTCCTTCGTTATCTATTGCTGGAGAGACGTGTTCATGCTAAGAGTTTTCACCCGGGTCTGTTACAGTAACAGGGTTACTTCATAGAGACTATAATACTACTCCCCGGTCTAAGTAAATCCTTCCTTTTGCTTTAAAAACCTCATGATGTGCATCTTCAGGATTGTGTATACAAGAGCAGTCTCGGAGCGCTCATTATACAAAAAGTATGGCTTTCTCATATGCACCACAAACAATGGCCTATGATCTAAAGTGGGTGGTGTCTATTTAAGATGAGAGGGTAAATGAAGGAGGCTGATCCTTGTTTTGGCGATAAGGGACCTTATCCTTTTGAGTCCTTTTATTTTTCTAAAATTAAAATAATAAAAAGAAACAATTTGAAAGAACAAGGGCACGTACAAGTTCGAACTAGATCTTGAGCTAATATTCCTCATCCACAAAAGGAGAAGAAACTTTCTTATTCACCTCACCTATCGCTTTCGTTATCCTCGTTCCCACAACCTCACAATGACCATGAGACGCCCTTCTTTTAAACCCTCAACACATTCTTCCACCAATCTCATGATATGCATATTCCACTTATATAATTAAGTAGCTCTCTCATAAGTCTTATTACTATAATAAATACATCTCACTCTCACAGCTAGACCTCTCTCTTCGCCAGCAAATGTCGACCGCTCCTCTCTCCGGCTTCTTCCTCACCTCTCTTTCCCCGTCTCAATCCTCTCTCCAAAAACTCTCTCTTCGTTCTTCTCCCACCGTCGCCTGCCTCCCTTCTTCCTCCTCCTCCTCCCGTTCCGTTCCAACCCTTATCCGTAACGAGCCCGTTTTTGCTGCTCCTGCTCCTATCATCACCCCTTATTGGGTATACATTTTACATTCGTCTCTTTCTTTAACCTACATTAGCTATCACTTACATTGTTACATTGTTGTTTACGTATTATAGGGGTTATTCACACATAGGGATATAATTAGTAACCTGAAAAATTATGGAATTTTTCTCCAATTTTTGAATTTTTGATTTTAATTCTAAAAGAAGTTGTTCTTAACTAGAATACAAAAATACTGTTAGTCTGTTTCACAACTTTTTAATTATATTTTCACCGTCTCATTTAATGATTTTCTTTACGTTTCTAATATTTTATGATTTTCTTGTTGTCAAAAAAATGATTTTCTTGTTTACTATCGTTCGAACCACAGCTATAGTTCATCTTATGTATTGATTTAGTAAAGATTACTCTCGGACTCGTTAGGTACCTATCCCTCAAAATCCTTTTTCTCCGTACGGATAAATAAACTACCTTACGAAACTTCCACAAATCCTGGAAACTCTCACGTGTGTTTCACATTTCCTTTTATTATCCTTACTATTATTATCCGTGTTTTACTTTTGGTCTTTAGCGTCGTAACGAAATAAAAAAAATCTAAATTAATTAAGACTCAGAGTAGCTTAGTGAATCACATTAATTAAGACTCAGACTCTATTGTGGTTTTAATGAAAATTCAGTTTATAAAAGAAAAAGCTTAGTGAATCACAAGGGAAGTGTTCATTGTCAGCCTTGAAAGGCTCTAGCGATTCAAACTTCTCACGTGTCCTTTCTAGTGTAGCTTATGAGGTGGAGTATTGTTATTTGCTAGAACATTTAGTCACACGTTCTAAAACTTAATAGTTTATATGTAATACAATAATGACCTCCAAAATATTAAAAGCGTTATGGCATCTCTACTCAAAATCCAACAATTTTAAATTGGAAGTTGGGACGTACGTAGGATCCACGTGATAAAAAGATAAGAATTTACTATCAACGTAACACAACGATTTATGAAACTGAGACGTATCTGTGCGCACATAACGTGTCCACACCATATGAGAGCGTGTGGAGCATAGTGTTGAGGAAGTCGCCATCTATATTTATATTAACAACCTACCTATTTGGCTCCTAACCACATTACCGATCTTCCATCCCAAAAATAAATTATATTAAATACCAATAAAATTGTTCTTTACCGTATAATGTAGTTCTTGAATAGGTTGACTATAGTTTCAACTTTAACACACACGACAAGCTCCTCTCTTTACTAATTTAATTACTTCTCTGAAAATTTATATACATTTCTTATAATTTTATATGGTCTACAAACTTGCAGAGCGAAGAGATGGGAAGCGAATCATACCAAGAGGCCATTGAAGCTCTCAAGAAGCTTCTCATGTAAGACCTTATTCGGGATATACAGAATATCTGATGATTGGTTTTGGTGGATAAAAAAAGAGAGGCTCTAAAATATATGAATTAAGTAGACGATGCAATATACTCTTGTTTAGCTAATCGTAAGATATGTATAAATTAATACGTGCAGCGAGAAGGAAGAGCTAAAGACGGTTGCGGCGGCGAAGGTGGAGCAGATCACGGCGGAGCTTCAGACAGGTACTTCGTCCGACAAGAAAGCTTTCGACCCCGTCGAAAACATTAAGCAAGGCTTCATCACTTTCAAGAAGGAGAAATACGAGTAATTATTTCTATTTTAGTTTCTTTATTATACAGTATATATATGGCTAATTAAATCAGTCTAGATTTCATAAAAAAATATTTTAATCTGCAGAACCAACCCTGCTTTGTACGGTGAGCTCGCCAAGGGTCAAAGTCCCAAGGTATATAAAATAGAAACAATTTGTCCTATTTCTTTATAAATTAAAGATGAAAAAAGAAGAAGTAATATATATGTAATATATGTGGTGCAGTACATGGTGTTTGCTTGTTCGGACTCACGTGTGTGTCCATCGCACGTTCTCAACTTTCAGCCAGGAGATGCTTTCGTAGTCCGTAACATAGCCAACATGGTTCCTGCTTTTGACAAGGTTAATTAGTTAACACTACTTTATTACTTATGTCTCCTCCACGGTTCTACCTAGGATCTTCTGTCTCAGACCGATCGAAGTGCTTCATCTTTGCCTGAATGACTCGTAACGTTGACCCTTTTGTTTTTTTGCAGGTCAAATACGGTGGAGTTGGAGCAGCCATTGAATACGCTGTCTTGCACCTTAAGGTGAGAGCCATTCTTTCACCTCTTTACATTTGTTTCCTAAAGGGCCGGGCCATAAAATATCTGTTTATTGAATTGGGTTTACCATTTTAAGAATATACTATATGTTGTATGTGTAATATACAAATACAATTGTGTGTTTCAAAAAGAAAAAAAATACACAATGACAGCAGAAAAAAATACATTCGATTTACACATTAACAAAACTAAGAAGTTACTGAATTTAGTAAAATATATTAAATTATTATTTTACTTATAAATTCTGGAAAAAAAGATAGAATATAATTGAAAATTGTAAGTTAACATTACATTTGATAAATATATCAAATCATGTAACTGATTTTTATTGAAATTTATTAATGTAGGTGGAAAACATTGTGGTGATAGGGCACAGTGCATGTGGTGGGATCAAGGGGCTTATGTCTTTCCCCTTAGATGGAAACAACTCCACGTAGAATCTCTTTATATCCAATTTATATTGACTTAACATCAATTATTTAAATAACACAAGATTAATCTTTTCAAGAAATGATGTTAATTGCAGTGATTTCATAGAGGATTGGGTCAAAATTTGTTTACCAGCCAAATCAAAGGTTCTCTCCGAACTTGGCGATTCAGCATTTGAAGACCAATGTGGGCGATGTGAAAGGGTACATGCACATTTACATGTTGGTTAATTCATATCTGCGATTAATATCTTATATATGTATGAGATTATAATACAATGTTTTTTTTAAAAAATTAATACAGGAGGCAGTGAATGTTTCACTAGCAAATCTTTTGACATATCCATTTGTGAGAGAGGGACTTGTGAAGGGAACACTTGCTTTGAAGGGAGGCTACTATGACTTTATTAAGGGTGCTTTTGAGCTTTGGGGACTTGAGTTTGGCCTCTCCGAAACTAGCTCTGTATGAACCAATCCATCATCATCATCATCATGAACATCCATCAATCATCATCATATATATCTCTATATTCCATATGTAATTTGTAATATGGCGTTGATTGTGATGAGTTATCTCTCTTTCTACCTCTCTATACCAACTTTCTTCATATAAATAATAAAAAGGAAACCCAGATTACTTATATTTCATTTAGCGGTTTTAGTTATGGACATTTGAGTTCATATATGATATAGTATGTGTATCAAATCGGTTGTATTTACTGTTTGATTTGATTTTTGATGTTGTTTGGTAGGTTAAAGATGTGGCTACCATACTACATTGGAAGCTGTAGGAACTCTTTGAAGCCTTTTTTTTTTCCGATTTCACATTTTCCCTTAAGCCACACCAACTTGTTGTTTCCATGTTCATCATCAGAAAACCATTCGCATTATATAATTTAATATGAATATCGCATGCAGATGGTCGTTTGTTTTATTTAAATAAGAAAAAAATGAAATCCCAGGGATAAGAATTTAAAGAAAAACGTTCAAAACAAAAGATATTAATTCAGTGATTTCATTGCTCATTCCTTTTCAAGAATTCAAATGTGTGTACTATTGCATTTGAAAGTGGATAACTAAAATATTGCACACTAAACTATAAATCTAACAAATCCGAAGAAAGTGAGTGGTCGTCAAATGGTAAAACATAACTTCTGACAGTTTTATTGCCAACTAATATCTGAGCCTATCATCATTTGTTCCCTCGCCTTTTTGTGCTTTCATTAGGTGCTTGACTGCTTGTTTAGTCCACTTTCTTCGTTTCCTCTTTATTTTTATTTCTTTGCTGACTCCACATGCAGTTAATATGTAATTTTTTATACAGTATATATAGCATTTAGAAAACGACGTTACGGAACATTTAAATCGGTAGATTTCTTTAAATATGTGAACTGGAAATATCAAGACTATTAATAACATTCATTAAACTATTGGGGACAACCTTGTCATACACTATAATTTTGTTAGTATTTTTAGGGCAGTGTGAATGGTAACTAATTGACGCATATTTTAATATTGTATTAATAACACAAATAGTTGTATGATTAGTCAAAACTATAGAGTCTGCGTTTATGACTCGCCTGGCAAATTATTATTGCTCTGTCCGATTAATTTCCGAGTGTAGGTCCTATAATATTTTATAAGTATGCCTACCTAAGATCTCATATCCCTCAAGTTTCTAGCATTTAGATTTTACCTCCTAGACTTATAATTTTTTCAAGAAACCCCCTTACATGTTATGATTTTTATCATCTGCTTCTTGGCAACTGGTAATGACATAAATATATATCATGCATATACAGTTGAAAGCTCGATTAAAATAAACAAATTACTAAATAAAGGAAAAATAACAAGGAAATGGTTTGCTCAGAAAAAAATAAAAACAAAAACATGCACTTTAAGTCGATAATGATACAGATATTCTTTCGGTTAAAGTGAATAGTGATACATAAAGTTCTAAAGCAATATCACACACACTCAAATAACTAAATGAGCTAATCAAACACTACAGCATCAGCAACTTTTAATATCAGATTGCTGATGTTTCAGTGTTTGGTCATCTTTCAATTAAGCCACCAAAATTATACAGAAAGAGAAATAACTTTTAAACGTAAATAAATGCAGCCAATGAAAAAATTAACATTAATAACAACGCCCATCACTGAAATCCATCATGTAGGTGAGTGTGCTAAGCTCAAAAGCATCCTCGTGATGACCCCAAAGCGACGAACTCGTATAATTATTGCCCTGATGGAGAAGACCAATACCTTCAGTACTCATAAGCGAATTATCATCTCCAACAACATTTTTATCATTGAATTTCACATTCAGTAATCTTTCTTCGGATGGATCTGCCATATTCCCCAAGTTGATAATATGATGGTTGATGGGTTTGATTGCTTGATCTTTGATCTCGATTTTTTTACTTAGATGTGTATTCCAATAGTTCTTCACTTGATTGTCCGTTCGACCTGGAACTCTTCTAGCTATCAAAGACCACCTACATATATACACATCAACCAGTACGTAGTTATGAAACTAAATTATAATGTGAAGAATATCTTTTACAATACATCAATTTGAATATTTATGCATTTGTTTACCTATTACCAAGCAGCTTGTGGAGTCTAATGATAAGATCTTCTTCTTGGTCAGTGAAATGGCCTCTCTTCACGTTTGGGCTAAGATAATTCATCCATCTCAATCTACAGCTCTTTCCACATCTCTTCAAACCTATTTTTTCATTAATTACGACTTAAGACGAGGCTAAAAAATCTTGTTTTCAAAAGCTTGAAACAAACCACCCAAAGCTTATAAAATAGTCTAAAGGCGCCCCATAGTTTACCAACACAAAGGAAGCCATATAAGCAATTCATCTATGGACCCATATATATAAGCTTACACTCTTCTTGTAATGGGAAGTCCCAACCCCAAAAATACCTGTTCATCTTAAATCTTAACATAAAAGACCCATAGTTTCAACTTTACCCTCAAGGAAAAAGGCAAAAAAATTAACAAGTTGGAGAGAGAGAGATTTTGACCAGTCTTTTTGGCAATGCGGTTCCAATGGCCTTTACCATGAGCTTTGACATAATCCATGAGGATCTTATCTTCTTCAACTGTCCACAGACCTTTTTTATACTCATTATGTCCTTCTTCTCCACATCTCTTCTTTCTCATTCTTCTCGTTTCTTTACCGGGTAGAGCGATGAGAGAGAGAGAGAGAGAGAGAGAGAGATGAGATGATAGACCATATAGAGAATAGCTCTTTATATATATAATATGCTAGAGACTAGAGATACATCTATGGAGTACTGCGAAAGTTAATGGAATATTTTATTCAAGGTTTATATATTGTAAAAACTTTAGATATATGAAAATAAGTAAAAGAACAAATTTATATATTTTAATATCCATTATATTAATTGAGATTTTCATTCAGACTTATTAGTTTGTTTAACAATTGAATTAATATTGTAGATAACATAATTTTGGAGGATCAACAATGCACATGTCTCTCTCTCTCTCTCTCACACACACACACATATCTATAATCAAAATATTAAATATATAAAAGAGTAGAAAAATCCATTATCCATAGGAGTTTTTAGATGCTAGCAAATGTATATATCATATAGTTAATATACTATGACATTCGTATATGATTTACACTTCAAACAATATACTTATATTATAGACTTATAAATGTGTTGATTTGTGTTTGGCAAATGATGGTGATAATTAATAACGGAGTTATAAGAAGCCAGATACGAACTTATTTACAAAGAAGTAACTCAGAATCTTTAATGGAAAAGAACTTGCACTCTATATATAGGTAGTGACTTAACTAATTAAAGACGCTATTTAATTTGTTGGGTATACCCGATTAATGACATTTGAATGAAATTTCGTTTGATATCACTTATTGAGTACGTTATGACATACGTTTAATATATTATCATCAGAATTCGATTCTCAATTCTCAACAAAGCATATTGAGTATTGAGTATGGTATTCCAAAATGCATTTATAAAATGCTAGGAGACTCTTTGTGAGGCGATAGTTTAATATAAAAAAAAAAACTGATAACAGCCCCTTGGCAAAATAAAATGGAGCCGCATTAGATGGTCTAGAGGTACACAACGATCACGTGAAGTTTAAAAAGATTCGCCTTCGATGATTGAACCCTAATTTAGCATCGAAGTTTCATGTGTCAGACCAGTAGTTATCCGATTACATAGTCAAGAGAAACTAATGGACGATATCAGTATTACTTTAATTATAATTTACTATGACTCTACACTAAAACTGGAACCCGCTTCAGTGGGGAATCTTAAACTATTGATTCAGCGGGGAAAACTGAAAAGGTAAGTGGCATGTAAATGAGTGATTTAGCAAAATATTATAAAATAGTAGACTTTATTAAGATGAGATGCCTAACATGATTTGACTACCTTGGGATCAGAAAGTATATCATTTAAGTCATTAGTAGAATTCAGAAGACGTAAAGAATAGAACCTCCCTGTCTAGTCTTTGAACTTTGGTCCCATAACAATAAAGTTCACATACGTTTTTTACTTCCATAGATATAAATTTTCACGCATGCAATATTCAAGTGTAGTTTTCTTTCACACAATTATATTCATATATTACATCAAGTCATCAACTCATCAAGCACTCTTTTATAATCAAATATAGTAAGAAGTTTATATTTATTTAGTAACAGAAGTTTATTCAAATATAAAATTTAACATTCTTTTCAAAAAAAAAAAAATTATTCAACCATATTTAGCAAAACAGTTATCACTATGTACATGTATTTAATGAAAGGGACTGATGGTTTCGTAAATCGAACCAATCATGGTATAATGGTATAATCAATCAGAAATTTAGCTAGGAATATCGCATCTAACTTTTAACATATGTTCATTTGCAAGTTTTTGTATATGTAGCAACAAAATTCTTTCAAAGAAAAGCAAGAAATTAAGTTGTATATGTAGTAAATCCTAATATATTTATAAAATAGTCATGCAAATTTTAAAAGGATGTTTGTCTAATTAGAGACCAGATCATTTCATTTGTTTTAGAAAAAAAAAATCATAGATACTATGCACATTTTAAAAATTCTCGACAAGGAAAAGTTGTTCATTAACACTGGGTGTTGAGGCAATAAAAGAGCAGTAATTCTCTGTCACCATTAAATTATAATAACTCCATGTTTTTTTTTTCCTACATAACTCCTCCATGTTTTGTTCCTACACAATATCACTACGTAAGATTTTGTTTATTTATTAGCTAGGGATAACAACTGTACGCACCACAAAAACCTTTTTGGCTTGTTCATTTGCAAATTTTAATATTCTCTTCATGTCATTTTTCTCAAGGATACAGTTATCGAACATTAAATCAGGATTACAATCTCTATTGTTTTGTTTTGCCAACAGAACAGAAGCGTTACGTTTATGTTTGTTTAACATTAATCATGCTTCATGTTCTTACATCTTTTGGACTATTCTAGACACAAATTTAGCCTTAATGCAAGGCCCTAAATGGTTAGCCCATTTATATGGTAACCCATTTGATTCATGTCTGAATATAAGTTCTCTAATTGGACCCAATAAAAAGCCGAGCGAACAATAAGAATTAAGAACACTCGTCCACGCGCTCTTCTTCTAGATTTTTCATTTTTCTAAAATAATACCCAAAAAAATCGTTGGATACTGCCTACGTGAGCACTGCAGACGGCACAGTGGTCAGTGCATATACTTTTTTCTCCAGTTTTGGGTCGGTCAAAGATTTCACGTGCATATCGATTCAAAACCATCAGCGACTTGAAACAACTTTCCGACTTAACGCTAATAACGCCAATACTGAAATTTGAGCGAAAACAATAAAGAAAGGTAGATTTCGATGCTTTATGTTTGGTCGTTGTCTTATCCTACCCTTTCCCTTACTTGTGACTGCCTCATCTTCTTATCTGTTTTTTCTTTTTTTTTTTTCCGACGAACAAAGAGATTTAATTACCATACATTGTTTTCCATTTGATATTGATTAACTTTGTGTAGAAAATGTTACTTCTACTCCAATTGTTATATTTTTAAAACATGCATGTATTGGTACGACAGAAGATGATAAGGATGGCATAAGAAAGGAACGTCTACTTAGATTACAGAGAATAATATCTAAGTTGATACACATATGGTTACATTTTTTTTTTCAAAGTGTGTAACTTTACATTCAAAATATAAAACATCACTTAAAATAAAAATAAAAATTTACTTCAACATTATTTAAATGAAATAAAAAGAGTAGTATATATAGTTCACTAAAGTTCAAGCACCAAAAAGAGAATCATTAAATTTCCTAAAAATTAGACAACAAAAATTTAGTCTTTGTCTATGCATGAAAATGGTATATACTTACTTATACATCGCCAAAGTAATTGGTAATCGGACTATGATCACCATATTTAAATATTTCAGTGATAATAATAAGTAGTAATAATTGTGTGAATTACTAAATCAAATAATTAAAAAGATTTTAAAAATGGTTCATTAAAACCCAAAAAACGAAAAAGTAATAGCTTAACGGAAAGGGAGTAAAAAGTGACCATGAATCCCATGATTTCGTGAACTATTTGTATACAGTCAAAGATTTCATATATGTGCATACTGTACATATATATGGTTTTTCTTAACGCTGGAAAATAATAGAGGTCCAAGAAGGAAATACAAAACGAATGAATATTATTAATCTTTTAATTTAACGGTTAAAAAGGAAATATTAGTGATGAGTTTTGGCCCGGGTAGAAAATAATAGTAGTATATGATATTATCCAAAAAAGAGAAATGTGAGAAGTGGAGCCGACACACGTCGAGGCTTAGCCTGTTAGGGACACCCCATGTGGTCACGTGTAAACGTTTGTTTGTCTTAAAAGAAAGTTAAGTTTGAAGTATTCCGAGAAGTCTCATCACAGAGAAGACCCTCAAGAGAGCAGAAAGAGGGATCGAGTGAGCCTCTTCTTTAGTTGTTTGTTGCAATAAACACAAACACAACTTCCCCATTTTCTGCCCTTTTTTGTTCAACTCCTAAGCAGCACTCCAATCACAATTCATAACTGATCCACCAAATCCAATAAAATAATCTCAACAACAACAACAAAAAAAAAGAAAAGGGGAAGAAAAACCCAATTTTCGAAAATGAAGGAGAAGGCGGAGAGTGGTGGCGGAGGAGGAGTCGGATACGTGAGAGCCGATCAGATAGATTTAAAGAGTTTGGACGAGCAATTGCAGAGACACTTAAGCAGAGCATGGATGATGGAGAAGAGGAAGAGTTTGAGTGATGGCGAAGATAACGTTAATATTAATAAACATAACCAAAACAACTTCGGACATCGACAACTTGTGTTTCAGAGACCGCTTCTCGGTGGTGCTGGTGGTGGATATAACAACAACAACAACAAGGACATAATTAGGCCGACGACGGATGTGGGGAGGTCGAGGAGAGAGTGGGAGATTGATCCTTCTAAGCTCGTCATCAAAAGTGTGATTGCTCGAGGTACTTTTGGTACTGTTCACCGTGGAATCTATGATGGTCAAGATGTCGCCGGTACAATCTCTCTTTCTCTCTCTCATAATTTTTTTTTTTGTTTTTATTCTAAGAAATATTGTTATTCTCTTAGATACCCGTTTTTAGATAACTTAATCAAGGGATCAACGAAAAAACAACAATAATTAGTGTATTGGAAAACTCTGTTCCTATCTCAACTTGTTGTTGTTGTTGTTGTTGTTTTTCACACAATTTGGAACTAATGCGTGAAATTAAATATTGGTAACTAATGAAAACAAAATAGTGAAGCTACTAGACTGGGGAGAAGAGGGACACAGGTCAGACGCGGAGATAGCTTCGCTGAGAGCTGCCTTCACTCAAGAAGTTGCTGTTTGGCATAAGCTTGACCATCCCAATGTCACCAAGGTATTAGACTGAAACTAGCTTAACCGAAACGCAATGTTTGTTAACCGGACCGAATTAAAAACCAAAATTAATATTCACTTCTAAGCACATGCAGTCATGCACACATACATATAAAGTAGATATACGTTTGTGTCTATGTTTAATACAAAAGGTTGTTATGTCTTTTTGTCAGCATTAGATTAAAACCTTTGTTTTTTTTTCTTCTTTTACATTTGTGTGTGTGTGTGAATGGAAATAATAAAGTTCATAGGAGCGGCGATGGGGACATCGGAGATGAGCATACAGACGGAAAATGGGCAAATGGGAATGCCGAGTAACGTGTGCTGCGTCGTCGTCGAGTATTGCCCTGGCGGCGCTCTCAAGTCTTTCCTCATCAAAACGCGCCGCCGCAAACTCGCCTTCAAAGTCGTTATCCAACTCTCCCTTGACCTAGCCCGCGGGTATAATATATCTATTGGATATTTGGATACATAGATTCCCTCTAATAATTACTACTTTGTGATTAATATATAACTCTTGATTATATATATGTAATTAGGTTGAGTTACTTGCACTCGCAGAAGATTGTGCATAGAGACGTGAAAACGGAGAACATGCTTTTGGACAAGTCTCGCACGTTGAAGATTGCAGATTTTGGTGTGGCTCGTCTCGAGGCCTCCAACCCTAATGACATGACCGGTGAGACCGGAACCTTGGGCTACATGGCTCCCGAGGTACACTACTACTGTATATATGTTCTTCCATTATCTATCATGCATGCATAGTGTGATGATATTAGTGTAATATGCAATCAATAATCAATGATGGAAAACAAAAAATATAAACTGTGTACAGGTGTTAAATGGGAGTCCGTACAACAGAAAGTGCGATGTGTATAGCTTCGGGATATGTCTTTGGGAGATTTACTGTTGCGACATGCCTTATCCCGACCTCAGTTTCTCCGAAGTTACCTCCGCCGTCGTCCGCCAGGTAAATTACCTTTTTACCCTTTTCATCATCACCCTTAATTATATCTTCTGTATCATCGATCTTGAGTTTCTGAATTAGAATCTGAGACCGGAGATACCGAGATGTTGTCCGAGTGCGCTGGCGAACGTGATGAAGAGATGTTGGGATGCGAACCCGGAGAAGAGGCCGGAGATGGATGAAGTGGTGGCGATGCTGGAGGCAATTGATACTTCTAAAGGCGGAGGAATGATTCCCCCCGATCAACAGCAAGGCTGCTTTTGTTTCCGGCGACACCGAGGCCCGTGATCGTGATTTATACAAACAAAAACCCACAACATAGTTCTTCTAGTAGAGCTAGAGTCTAGAGAGATTATTTTAAAGTTAAACTTAAGTCTTAATTAGCTGATCGATGTTTGATTTCTAGGATGAATGTGGTACCTATTTGAAACGATCATTTCATACGTTATACATGCACACAATGCCACCTACTTTTCTATGTTTTTCTTAGTTTAAACTTAAAAGTGCATTTGGTATCACAGAAATACATAATAATGATGGTTAACGCGTGCATTACACATAGTATTTTCAGAAAATCCACAAGCGAAAAATACCGGTACACCTTGAAATTTCTCTCAGAAAATAAAAACAAACAGAGTATTATGAACAGACAAAAGTGAAGAAGAATTAACCGGCGATCTTGTAGCTCGGGTTAGCAAGGTTGTCTAAACCGGAGACAACTTGAATGGACTCAATAACATCACCGACTTTAAGATCAGCCAGAAAATCTTCATTTTGAGTGACGTAACCAAAGACAGCGTAGCGACCGTCCAAGATGTTGGAATTGCTTGGCGTGAGCTCACTCTCTTTTAGCAGCCAAAACACTTGGCTTGATCCCGAGTCATTCTCAAACTCCTGATTGCATTATAACAAAAACATCCCGTTGCTATAGCAGCTGAACATACTGTATGTATTAAAATATGTGAACAAGGAAGGACTCACTTCTCTCGCCATTGCCATCGTCCCAAATGCGTTGAAAGGAAGCATAACCTGAGCCTTGTAAAGACCCAGTTCCTGTAGTGTTTCAAGGACCCATGTTTATTAACAATTCTCAGACGAAAGGAGACACATATACATATATAGTGAAAGATTCTACTTCAAGAGTTGAGCCGTAGAAAGGCGTTTTCTTCCCGGTCACCATAATCTCCAGAGGAACCGTCCGCATTTTCTCTGTGCTTGGATCGATAAACCCTTCCGCTGGACCCTCTGGATCTCCCGTTTGTACCACGAACCCATCAGCTGAAACCACATTCAGATCAACATGTTTTCCAATCCCTTACACTATATACATAGAGGCAAGTTTGAGAGTCTTACATCTCTGGATCTCCATGCCATCGTAGAAATGACGCTCCACCAAGTCCACAAAGTTGCCGGCGGTAACAGGGGCGTTATAGCCATCGAGAACAATGCGGAACACACAGTGCTCGAGGTTCGGGTTGTCCTTGATCTTCACCTTCATGTCCACAGTGGCTCTTCCCTTGAGAAGAGGCATGCTCCGGTACTCCTCCGGCACTTCGTAGGGGAAGCCATCGACCATGTCCTCCTCTATTCTGCAGATAAACCGAATGCGCCACACGAAGATCTCAGCTGCAGTCATCAATCACAAAAAAAAGGGTCTAAATGAGCAAATTAACCCATTCCTTCATTCCTCATTCATACCCCCTCAGGCTCAGGCTCAGGCTCACATCTTAAGACTCACCCGCCAACATACTGGAGAATCTCTTTCTGCTTGGGAGCAACCGCATCTCTTTTCCGATCTTCCACAATCTGCAGCATCTCTTGCATCCCAGCTTCCAGCTTTTCAATCATCTCGTTACCATCATCCTTCTTCGACTCTGCAAAACCCGCCACAATCACACTTTTCCCTTGCTGCAGCGATCTGTTTGCCTGCCTCACATTCTACAACACAAGAACACAACAAAACTATTGCTTAACAATTCCACTGATGACTGAACTTAACACTGTAATCATCCCTATCACCACAGCTTTGTTACCCGCTCAACGGAATCGAGAGCCTTGACGCCTGCAATCTTGAGGCTATCAGTGATATCCTCGAGAGGCTTCTGGACTTCTCTGATGGCTTTGTTGTCAATGGGCAATGCGTATCTTAGTAAAGCTCCTGGATCTTTTATCGGAGGACCCGATATCAACACTGACACTTCTGCAACCGCTGGATTCGCCGCTGCGTAAGCATTGGGTGGGGAAGCCATCGAAGGTACCGCCGCGGCTACTAAACCGACCGATAAAGCTAATGAAAACGCACATTCTTTCAATGATGAAAGTGTCCCTCTCTGCATTCAACATTCGCCATTTTCAGAAAACAAATGTGCATTGGAGATTAAAATCAGATTTAGGGGGTCAATTCGAATCCAGACACCGAACCTGCGTATTTCCGGAGACGCCGCCGGAACAACAACGAACTTCGAGGGGTTTCTTGGAGCAGTAAGAATCGATTCTCTTTCTGGGAATTGTCGAGGAATTGACGAAATTAAATGTAGGGAGAGAGGCAAACGATGCCGCCATTGGAGATACTTAGCCGGAGTTAATTTGACAAGGGTTTGAAGAGAGATGATTTTCAATGACACCCCAGATGAATTGACATTGGATTAGGGACTTTTTTTCGTTTCGTCCGAAAAGAACATGTGAAAGAAAGTATCTTTGTCTGTGTATGCGTCGGCTTCTGAATTAGAGGAGGAGATGGTGATGATGATGATGATGATGATGATGATGATGATGAAGAAGAAGAGGATAAGGGGTTTATGACTCTAATCTCTTGTAATACTTTCTCTGTATCTCTCTTTGGATAAGATTACAATTTTCTTCCCGATCATTTATATGTATCTTCTTTATTGGGCCGTCAATTGGGCCTTCCTTTCTGATATATTTAATTATATGGGCCTATTCATTTGCAAATTAATACTAAGCACGACCATTATGTGATTTTGATTTTGATTTCCGGTTTTTCTGAATATGAAATAACCTGTAGTACTGCATGAAACATCTTTTTTTTTTCTTTGTAATGAAAATCTCAAATTCGTAAATCTGTTTAAATTAGGTCAACCCTAACGTAATTCTAATTTTTTTTGTTCGCACATAAGGGAACTATTTGTATGTTGGCACTTTATATAATTAATCAGTCTTTAATAAGGCAACTTTGATGAGTTGGTATAACTTAAAAGATGCATGTTCAATCTGTTGTACTTTCTTTCTTTCCTAATGTAAACACACATCAGGTTGCCCACAAATAAAAAAAAAAAACACAAGTTTATGTGGTTCACTTTCACGATTCATAAATTTATCATTCTAAAAAGAATGGCTAGATATCAAATTTTGCTTTATGATAATAATTTGGATACAAGTAACGTAGCACATGTTTGAAGACTTATTATTCTCTACCTAAAATTGGGTTATATAAATTTAAATTGACGTGACATTTAATATCAATAGTGTATAAGACTTTTCTGATTTTTTTTTTTATGACTTTTATGATTTTTTTTTTACGTATCGAACGTACATACATGTAAGTATGTAACATGTACTGTTGTACTATATTCTTTATCTTCTCTCTCGTTTTTTATTAAAAAATGTGAGTGTGTGGCTTGAGATGAAAAAAATTAATATCACTATTCGCATACAGTGAGAATTGAAAACCCATACCATAATGAATGGACCATCTCAAACGAAAAGACTGAATATACTTGTAGTATAAATTTAATATTATATCCTTTCTCTTTCTGAAAATGACTTATTGGACCTGAATAAAAAGAAACTAATATGAATATCATGACAGCTTGTAACGATTCCCATGAAAGTTTTTATTTAAATCTTTTTAAGTTTTCACTTTATTTGTTTTTAAAAATAGAATAAGAAGAAATAAAAGATAGTGGAGGAAACTATTAAACTACGAATGGTGCTCACAACTTTATAGATTGATCGTCTTTTCACAGAACCACACACATGGCGACACTAATCCACTACCAATACTTATGTCCTAAATGCTAAAGTCATTGTTACTCCCAGGTGTTCTGCTTCTCTCTTTTCTTTTCTTTCTTAAAGACTGTCCGATAAAAACTGAAACTGTAAAAAATTCTATGCTTAGCGTAAAAACTGACGAGTAATATAATTTGGAGCGGAAAGACACAAATGAACAAATAGATCATTCATAGAGTGACGAACCACCACTGCAAATAATGTGTTTTAATTTCTCAATTATATATTTTGCCACTTTGTTTTTAGAACGATAGTCCATGGCAATTTGTTGAAAAGGTGAAATTGATATTTTTTTCACCCAATATTCTTGTTTTTTTTTCACTCATGAGCTATTTATGCCAATCACCTTTTTCGGTAAAGCAAACAAAAGAGAGATAAAGAAAAAAAGTCCCCTATTTTTGGAAAAATAAAAAGGAAAAATTCAGAAGACACTATCCAATGAAAAAAGATGCCACCATTTCCATGGCCTCTTAACTTAGTTATGAAGAAAATATAATAAAAGGAAAACGATTCTTATCTGTGTTGCTAATTTTATATTATGTATATAGATGGGCAAGAGTTTTGCTCGAGTTTATATTTTTTCATTCTCTCTTCATAAAGTATATCATGAAACTCATACTGTTACACTAACCTAACTATATAAACTCGCGCAAAATTCTTTGTTCTTCATCAACTATATGCATACATTACATATTAAGAAAGACACATACCTATGCAAGCAAGCATATACTATATATTAATAAAGTCACATATGCACGTATATGTATATGCATATATAAAGAGTATTTGCATTTTGGGTAGCTGAAGAGTCAAGAAGAAAAAGAAAACGAACGACGAATATTACTATCAAGTTCATAAATATATATATATAAGCTATATATGTGTGTCAAATATGAGTATATACCATCATCATTCACTATAAACAAGAACCCGAGATAGTCACAAACAAGTGAGGGAGAAAATAAATTATGGGAACAAAAAGACAAGGCGAAGCTACGTAGGGACTTGTGTACCATAATTAAATAATACTCCTACATATTTAACTAATGTATCTATATAAAAGCGATATCCTATCTAAGCAGTTCCATGCACCTAGTCTTGTTTTTATTTTCTATAAGGAAGGTGACATGGAAATTGAAAATTGAAATCGATATTCACCAAAACATAGGTTGTATAATTCATATATAACCGTAACTTGGCATTATACAAAATTACTATGCATTTGATTCGTAACCTTAATAAATGTGATACAAATATTCGGAGTATAAGACTGCAGGGTGCAATTAAGATAATATACCAATGAAAGATAGGAGTGACGTAAATTTGAATTTTATAATGAGGCGATGGTACAGTGACAAGGCTGTCAGAAAATGGAAAGTCACAGGATGACGAGGACCGGTAGATGTATTTGGATCAAGCGCAGATCCGACACTCACCCGACCGTCGAGCATGCACCCTCTCTAACACACTCTGGCCGAACCACACCACAGCTGAATAAAACTCTATTTTTAATTAATAACAAAAAGGTATATTCAGATCCAACGGTTTAGATCTGTTGCCGAGTCCACTCGCTAAAGAAAGTGGACCCTACTGAGCCCAGAAAAGTCCACTTCCGCTTGTAAAATCCAATCACTTTCTCTAGAGAAACCAGAATTGCCCCTCTTTGGGCCTCGGTGAATTCGAATTATGCATTCATAAAGAAGGGAAAAAGAAGGGTATTAGAGTCATTTAACAAGGACGGCTTGTAGTATAAAACTCCGCGTGTCTTGAAGCATATGAGTTTAGCTGATACGTTGGCAGAGCAAAGCCCTAGCCCAAACGTCTCTCTCTCTCTCTCTCTCTCTCTCTCTCGCAAAACATAAGATCATCCACATAAGATCATATGATGATCTGAATCTCTGCCCAGGATTACAAAAACATTGGAAAAACCGAAAAGGTTTGATCTTGGATTGGTCTCTGATCCCTCTGGTTACGGAGGGGTATTGAAGTTTCATGATGGGATTTTGCATCTGCCCGTTGGAGTCTCCGGCGAGATTACTATGGAGTACGAGCTTCTTTCGCCATAAGATCATGATCTTCTAATCCTTCTCCTCTCTTTGGTTTTCGCTTAACCAACTAATTTCCTCCACCATCTTCTCTACTTTCAACCCAATCCTCTCTCTCGCTCTCTCTCTCTGCTTCTCCTTCGCTTCCATCCTTCTTTCCTTGAATTTTAAATCTGTGATCGAAGAAGTATAAGTTTTTTTTCTTTATTTTCCTGGTTTATCGATGGAATCCAATTCGTTTTTCTTCGATCCATCTGCCTCACACTCTCATGGCAACATGTTCTTTCTTGGGAATCTCAATCCCGTCGTCCAAGGTAATTACTCTTCCTTTTATTTTGTCACTACTTTGACTTAGGTGAATTAGTCTTTCAACGTTATGGATAATCTGGAAATAAACGCATGAGAATAAATTCGAAATGTCCCAAGTTTTTTAAGCTTAGGCCTATTTTTTTGTCTGACTCTGGTTTAAAAGGAGCAAGATCGATGTTGAACATGGAGGAAACATCAAAGCGAAGGCCCTTCTTTAGCTCGCCGGAGGATCTCTACGACGAGGAATATTACGACGACCAGATGCCGGAGAAAAAGCGTCGCCTCACTACCGAACAGGTTTTGGTCCAACAAATGTTTTCCTCTGCTGCAGTAACTCTGTAAATCCACTTATATACATATTTGGAAAATATGAGATATATATGTGTGTGTCTCACAAGGTGCATCTGCTGGAGAAAAGCTTCGAGACGGAGAACAAGCTGGAGCCGGAGCGCAAGACTCAGCTTGCCAAGAAGCTTGGGCTACAGCCAAGACAAGTTGCTGTCTGGTTTCAAAACCGACGAGCTCGTTGGAAAACCAAACAGCTCGAAAGAGACTTCGATCTTCTCAAGTCCTCTTACGACCAACTCCTCTCTAACTACGACTCCATCGTCAAGGACAACCTTAAGCTCCGATCCGAGGTATTATTATTTTATCCCTCCTTTAATTTCGAATCATATGCAAATTGGATAATCAAGCTCAGATTATAGATTTATACATCTTTGCCTTATTGGTCCAAACGAGAAAAGCATCCAGTGAAAAAGAAAATGCTTTTCCTTTTTTCAACACAATCAGAAAGTGAACATTGAGAGTATTGTATATTGATTATGTAATGAGATAATTTATATTTTTTTTTTTAAAAAAGGAGGACAAAACTGGGAATCAAATCAATCAACGAATTTAAATTTATATCTTTTTATGGCAGGTTGCTTGTGTTGACCGTTGTGATTAAAATAAAGGGAAGTTAAGAATCTTTCTTTTGTGTGTTTCCACTTTCCACAGGTCACTTCCCTCGCCGAGAAGCTCCAAGCCAAGGAAGAGACAGCCAATGAGCCACCGGGTCAACAAGTACCCGAACCAACACAACTCGATCCGCTAAACATGAACCGGTTCGAACCGGCAATCAAAACCGAGGACCGGTTAAGTTCAGGGAGTGTCGGGAGTGCGGTACTAGACGAAGACGCACCTCAACTACTAGACAGCTGCGACTCCTACTTTCCAAGCATTGTACCGATCCACTCGGAGGAAGATAATAACAACAACAACGGTACTGATAATGACCGGAGCTGTTTCGCTGACGTCTTTGTGCCCACCACTTCGCCGTCGCACGATCACGCTGAATCCTTGGTTTTCTGGGGCTGGCCTTAACATTTAAGCAATCCATATATATTTATCTATATATTTTATGTATGTGTGTGTGTTATCAAGTACAGTACCCCGACCCGTGTGGAATAATTCCATGCTATTTTATCAGTTACATTCTATGAAACTCACGGTTCAAATCTAGTCTTAAAAGGTAGAAAAAAAATACGAGGAAGGAAGGAGAGAGATTAATTATCTCCGCATTTATCCATATTCACTGTATAAATAGAGGGAGTGAGAGCGAGAGAGATTTATAAAGAATCGAAGCTTCCGTTCTAACATGAGTTAATGTCTAAAAAGCGACTTTAATACTAATTAATTCCACATTAGTTAGTTTTCTACATTTATGTATGTAAGCGTACACATACTCTCTCGGCTCATCCACCATTCCACCTGCTGAACCACCGTCGCCAACCGCCGTACGTTTCCAAAAATATCTAAATCGGACTTGTCATGATGAACCACCAAACCAGATCTCAACATCCGGAACTTACAGGTCCGGTTCCAGATTGAAACATTGCCTATATCTACACATACACACACACATTGGCTCCACTTTGAAAAAATCCACCATTTCCAGTTCAGCATGTTCTTGCGTGCTGAGCTGCTTCTTTCCGTTAATTTTCCGGTGAATTATTATGATCCCTCAGGTTCTTTCCTCTTCTTACCAGATCTTCTGTTTGCTCGGCCGCTTCTTTCTTGTGGATCTGAAAAAGGTTGTGAGCTCTCGTCTGGTAAGCTGGTCGGCTTTGCTTCATCCATAGGATCTGATTGAGTTATGGATTTATCGTACATAATAGCTGCATCCAGGGAGAAGAGACGCAGGGATAACGCAGAGAGAGTCGATATTTTAGCAGCCGCTGAAAGAGAAGACCAGTACCACCATTCATTTTTCAAGTACTCTGTCTTGATCATGTCTTCTACCACAATTGCTGCCTGAACCAACTGAAATTAACATGGAAAGCATAGACATTAGAAAACCAAGTTCATGCTAATATTATTAGATATAGAGGAGAAAAGGTATATTAAGGATTAAGAGTTAAACCTCGAAAATACTTTGTGCGGATTTAACAAATGCACGCCATGCTCGTCTACGCTCTGGATGTGACTTCGATGGTCTTAGAGCTTCTTCAGGTAGTGCCACATCCATATCAAGCAAGTTGGTTTTAAGGAACCTGAAAACCGGCAAAGCTTTGCCAGTAATACGTTTCAAAGAAGCCTGTGGAACCACACAGCAGCCTTTTAACCCACTACCTGAAGATTTCTTGTTCTTTTGCTCCGAAAACCCATAACCCAGTCCGCTCGGTTTATTCAGTGGACCGCCAAAATCATTTGCCACAAATCTATCGAATGACATATTAGATTCAGAATGTAAGCCTTCACCATTGGCTTCAGAACCAGTAAAAATGACCTGATCCCCTGATTCACCACTATCTAGCTTATTGGCAGTGACAGAGATGAGCATTGAGTCGTTAAGATGAGTGGATGATGACGGAAGAAATGTTGGATTTCCATTTGAACCGATCAGACCGATCTCTTTGACCAAATCTCTGTTAGAATCCTTTGTCACAAACTTGGAACAGATCTCCCCAAGATGGTATGGGGAAATAGATTCTTCTTCTTGATATCTTATCAACCCAGAATCAAGTTCAGAGACATTGGCTATGTCGGCTACATCTTTCCCGGCGCCAGACTTTACATTCACATAGTCGGATTTCAGACTTTCTTTTGCCTTCGAAGAATCGGAGATTTCCTTGCCTTCTTCAGTTGCCAATGAATAAGGAATACACTTGCTCTCAGTGTGCTCCTCAAATTCATCATCACTTGCGAATGTTTTGTGGCATATGAGGCAGTGAATCATGGATGGCAAAATGGATTCCAAGCATTCGCACCTACACAGTTTCTCTGGCTCTGCAACCTTTGTCTTCTTCCCCCGTTTCTTTAAGGTTTCGGTCTCTAAATTCATGCATCGACCATATCTCTTCTCCATTGACATGGCAGCCTTTGTCACAAGACTCCCAGCCACTATTGGAGAGGACGAATTCTGAGCTTGTTCCGTTTTCTTTTCAAGATCCCCAAATCGTAACCTTTTCCAGCACAAAATAGACTCTCTCAGGTCTCTTTCTTTCTGGTCATCATCATGAAGCCACTGGGCTAGCTCGCTGATCTCGGCTTCAGTTTCATAATACGTCCAAGGGGAAACCATTAGTCTTCCATGGTCACCAGAATGGAGAAATGGGGAGGGGACTTTTGAACCTGTTAAGTCAGCTTGTAAAGGTTTCTGAAAAGATATGCTTCCATCAACCAAAATACGAGGATGTTCTTCTGGGAAGCAGCAACCCCAATACAAACGACCACTAGCATCACTTCCCAGAAAGTCTCTTCGTATAGATTGCCTTCGAAGCTGTGATTCTATGCTTCTGATTGATTGCTGCAAATTCTGTATTTCATTAGTAGTGGCATTCAAATCCTGCTGACAAGCCTGCAATTCTTGGGAAGCCAGAGAAGATGCATCTTGAGATTTCTGCAATTCCACTGCATTGGATTTTAGAGAGTGTGTTTCAGGGTTCCTTCCCATTGATTTGTGCAAGGTCTCTGAGGTATCTGTTTCACAAGACAGATTATCCGTTACATGAGAAGCATCTGCTACTCGCAACTCGAGCCTCCCAGGGGATGTAACTTTTTCTGGGGTGGAAAGCTTGCTCTCACCGGAAACAACAAGCGACTCTCCGGTTTGAGCATCGGTCTCAAGCGGAGCTTTCCCCTGATTCTTTTTTGAATATCCAGCAGGGGAAGCATCATCATCATGAGTAACCCTGTCTCCAACACCCTCCTCTGGTTGTTGACTACATCCAATTTGGTCTGCCGAGCTACTTAAATTTTGTGGATCGCCACATTCCTTCAGAATACTAGGTTCAACCTTTGCAAGTTTAGCCGTCAGAAATTCTTGCCGCATTTTCGCGTTTTTCCATTCTGAGGAGAGAGAGCGCAACTTCTGCTGCATTTCAATTATTGCTTCGGCACACTGCTCGAGGTGTTGATGAACAAGGGATGAGCTAAGCAGTTCATCGCACAGAAGCTTAAGCAGCAGTATTCTCTGCATCCGAACCAAAAAAAAAAAATTAACCAGGCTACCATCGGCAACAGCACCAGACCAAAATTCTGGCTACAAAAATAGTTTTTTCGCACAACTCTTTATTCATCTGACTCAATTTAATCAGAATTCTATAGGCTAGAAAAACAAATATCTAAAGACTTCCTTTCTTCGGAAAGATAACTAAGTAAATCAAGGTCTAAATATAATCATGGTCGCAACACATAAGCTAAAACGATCACAACATGAAATTTTTATCACGGTCTTCATCTCCAAAATGGAATAAAAAGTTGACACATTCCGCATGGATGAGCAAAAGAGAAGAAAAACTGACCTCCTCAGCACTGAACTCCCAGTAGTCTTTATCTGCCATCACATCTGCCAGGTGTGCAGTCGTTTCCATAGAAGCTCGGGTAAGTTCCCCCTGATACTTTCTACCTTTCCGCCGTCTGACTAGTTTGTAAGATTCCAAAGCATCTTGAGCTATCCGCTTGGCAATGACACATGATGGACAATACCAATTTCCATCAGGAATTCTAATAAGAGGTGGATTCAAACAGTATGTGTGATACTCAGCATCACATGTATCACACAAGAGAACACTGTCATCATCTTTGTCGACGCCACATACTTTACAAACCCCTTCATCCCACGGGGCCTTGGGAAGCTTATTTATTGAAACCACTATGTCATTTATCTCCTTCTTCATCTCTGTACTTAGGCATTCCAATTTTCTGTAGTCCGTGAGTTTCTGAACAAGTGGTAGAACCTGTACCAGCAAACAAATAAAGGCTTAAAACTTGAGAAAATTTTTGCACCCGGTACTGCAACTATTTTCACAGAACTAAGGAGAACATGCAAACAAGTATACAACTTCTGAAAACTGAAAGGCAAACACAACGACAATTATACACGCACACAAAAGGAAGGACCCTTCTAAGGCATCTAAATTTGATCTCAAAAGCCTACACTTTCATAAAAGCAAGTCTTAACAAATTTGTTTGGCGGAAATGCCAAACTATAAATGACTCTCTCGACCATTTGACTTCAAGATACTACTAAGTAATGAATATATCTTGTTATGCAGTGCAGAGCAGAACAAGGAGATAAAAGACAAACCTCAGCTTCGTATGCTGCCTTAAATTTTTCAGACAATGTTTCAACCAGTTCTACACAATCTGGCTGCTCCGCATACATAGCACGTATACAACTCCACAGCTGCAAATCAGAAATCTAAAATTAGCATGTCATCCATAAAAAAAGATCAAGTTGCATGCATAAGAAAAGTAAAGTCCAGGAGTATACCATCAGTCCCATCACAATGGAATTTTATAAATAAGTTAAGTATATATCCTGTCAGACTTGATTGATTCGACTTCTAATCATAGCTAAAACGTTATCCAACAGCTGAGGCAGCTAAAATTCTGGTGTTCAACAGAAAGTTGAACCTGATATTGATGTGACATAAAGAGAGTAAAAAAATTCAAAATATAAGCTGGCTCTTGCAATACTTTTACATTCATGCATCTAACAAATAGTGTGAAACTAACAGCACAAAGATGCAATGCCCAGTTTGCACACAAAAAAGAACAAAAATGATGCAATGCCCAAAATGAAAGTATAGCACTTTTACGATAAGCACTCAGATACTAATTCTCAGATCGCACAAAAAGCAAAGCATGCCATCAATTGCACAGACAGGAAATCAGACATAAGAGGGAGAATCCTACCTCAAGAACATCCTCAAGAAAAGCTTCAGTTGATCCGTCGTATGCACCAGCAGCCAACCTCAAATCAATAGTTCGGAAGTCTAAGGGACGCGAAACCATTGCAGGTGATCCCAGGAGTCCGTCATCATCATTATCACTGGAATTCAGTAACTTTCGCCCCAGTAAAGTGCAAAATACTTTATCCTTGTCTGCAGCTGCAACATCACGCAACACAGCACGACATTTCTTCATAATGACATCAGATACACCAATAGACGTCCTCTTTTTGGTTCCTTTAACAGTCCTCTGCGCCAAATCTCCACCTCGAACATCCGCTAGCAATGAGAGGACAGCTTTCTGTATTCAGTAAGACCGAAACAAATTCTCTCAGAATTAAGGTGAGTCTAACAAAATAGCATGCATCATCAGACTGAGATTACATCACCGCAAGAACAAGAGCCAGAAAACCAGAAGTGAATATGAGAAAACAAGAAATGCTTAGTTTATCCAATTCAAAATTGCAAGTATTTCAGGAGGGAAGAGAATTAGTTTCAGAGACTGAACCTTTGTCGGTCCTGATGCATTGCCTTTATATACTTCTTTACTGATGGAATGCTCCAATATTTTCTTTGCCCACTCTGGTGGATTTCTCTCTAAAGCCTCATAGACACACTTTCTGATTCTAGTCCCAACATTTGTTGGAAGCTTTCTCACAGGTTCCAGAACCTGTGTCCACTCTGGAATATCACCATTGCAAGCGTTTGTCTCAGTAGTATCAAGGCCATCGGAATCATCATCCTCCACAGAAAGAACATTATTTTCTCTTGTCAAAGAACCAAATATTCTTTTAGTAGCCTCTGCAAGTAACTGAAGATAAAGAGTTAATATCTACACGTAAATCCAGCGATCATTCTCTTTCTGTGGGTGGTTTAAGAACTTAAGTACATGGACACTTTTTCTATAAAAAAATCAAATTTCTTGCCCCAAAAGAGGACCATCAAGATATTTAAGAGTAACAGGATATCAATGTCCAGATATAGAAGAGAAAAGGAAGCTCAACTACTCTAGAGTGTTATACGAGTGGAACATAGCTTCAAAAAGTGAAACTAAATTTGTGATCGAGTCATCCAGTAATACAAGCAAGCTATGTAACCCCGAAAATAAAAAGAAAAATAACAAAACATACCATTGAATCGGCTTCCATCCCAGCCACTCCTGTGAGTGAACCGCAAAGCAAACCACCATCCCCTTGTAAGCAACGGAATACCTTACCACTTTCACGGGCAGCAATCTCTGCTGATTCGAGGTTCCCATCCATTGCTAAAAGAGACAAGATGTACCTACGGGCCAATTCAGGCCAGGTAAACTCGTTAACAGGAAGCATATGCAGCTTATTTCTTTTAGCAGAAAGTGTACTGTCATCCTTTTTCCGTCCTCGTCTGGATCTTGATTCTCCAGAATCGAAGTTTGGATCAACAAATGCAGCTACCTTGGATTGCAGCTCACAAATTAGCACTTGCAGAAGCGAAATGTGAGTCCTTGTTAGAAGTGCACCCAAACACGGCCCACGAGAGGTATATGAAATGTTAAATTCAGTTGAATCCCCTGTTTTTATCTCCTTTCGTACAGAAGCAGAGGTATTTTCCAAAGAAAAAGGTTGGCGAGATTCCTCGAGCAAAGAAAAAAATTTAGTAGCTGTACAATCCTCATCACTAATGTTCATCTCACTGCTTTTAACTTCTTTCCCAGATCTATCAAGAAACAAGCCATCGAACACTGGTTTAATAAGCTCATGTTCAAGCTTCTCAGGTGAGAAAGCCTCTTCCAAACCCAAAATTTCATGGAATCGACAGAACACTTCAGATACCTGATTAAGGAAGTATAAAAAATGACTATCATATATGTGAGGCAGGACTTAGTGAATGGAGGGTTACGTTGTAGATTACCATATAAGCATAATACATGTCCGTACCTGAAGGAAGTCACCAACAAGGCCAGGAGGAAGCCTCAAACACATAGGCCTCCCGGGAGGGGGGTGCGGATTGCTGACACCATGACCACCATTTAGTTTAGGCCTCTTGGCTTTCCGAGAAATCTCGCCGAAAACTTCTTCCTTGACATTTTCCCCACTTTTCGGTTTGACAACTAGTGCTCCTGCGGCTACAGTTACAGAAACAGAAGAAGAACTTCTACTCTTCAGAGGCCTATAATTTGAACATGATTCCGCACCAGGCATACGCTCAATCATTTCCTGTACAAAGTCTGCATCGAGTCCAAATCTGCTTTGATCTAGCCACCTTGACAAAGCATCAACTAGAGTTGCAATCTCGCTTTCATCCTTTTCACCACATGTAGCACTGTGAGGAGCCAAAGAACAGCAAAACTTTGACAAAGATAAAATTACATTGTCTTTCTCATTTATCATATCCCAGTTGATTTCCCTTATTTCTCTGTCAACATGCTTGCAAAGGAAGTTCATGGAACCCTTCTGCTTCAGGACACTGGAACATGCATCAACTAGTTTTTGAGACACCTTTTTCCATGCAACACACATTGAATCTTCTTCCACAACAATGTCGCCAATTTCAACCCCATGCTCCTGATTATAGGATAAAATATTATCAAAGTCTAGGGAAGATCCGACATCCGAGCGCAGGCATTTGAATGTATTGGAGATATTCTTCTCACGTAAACAAGACAATATATCATCTCCAAGAGGAGGCGAGGGATCTGAAAGAAGGATCTCAACAGTGTCGTCATCATGCTCTTGAGTACTGTCTCTACGATCACCTCGTTTGCCAATGTTCTGTTCCACCATTTCATCAATCTTTGGGCATGAGAAGACAGTTGATCCAATTGGTATAAACGATTTAGAGCACGGTGACCGTGTAACCTTGAAAACAGGCCCAGAACTGCCATCAGATACTTCACAAGTAAATAGAGACCCGGTGATCTTATCATGCCAGCAGGACTTATATCCTATTGGATAAATCATGTTGACATTGTGGTAAGACTGTCTTATGTCAATTCGTCCAAGCGACAGAACGAAGAAATCTCCAAACTGCATCGGAAGTCCGTTCTGAAAATCAAATACACAAACATGAGGATAAGTAAAATAAAATAAAATAAAATAAACTGGAGAGACTAAAAGTTTACACTTACATTAGCTTCCTCACAACCGCATCCATTATTTCCAGAGCTAAGAGATTCACCAGCTTGAAAAAAAGTATCAGATTTGATGGCAAAAGGGGAGATCGCCTGACCATTGAATGGAAAACGCCTGAGATGAGCACTCACTGAACCACCCTTTTGATCAGGGAAACCATTGTTTGGCCATCTTGAAGTCTTTCTTCTCTTAGGCATATGCAATCTTTCTTGAAGAAGAGAACTTTCATTTCGGATTTCAGCATCTATGCAGCTGTAGTTACCATTAATTGGCAAGCCCAGATAACAAGCAACATCTTGTATTGAACCAAATGTTTTTCCATTCGGAGCACAATACACTGCGCATAGATGATAGCCATTTAAAGGTTGTTTAAATTCGACACGCCAACCATCTTCTAATACTCCGTGCCTCTCAGATATGAAATGCCTGAGATTTTGCAGCAACAGCTCACTTGGATCCAAGGATGGAAATCTAATGGGCAAACTACTGTTGCTCAGGCTCAATGGGAAGCCAAAACCTAGAGTGTGTGAATCCAATGCATCCACACTCGTTTTGGTATTACGAGCCATTACCCCTGAAGCTTCGAGACTAGCATGTCCTCTACCAGGATTCAGAAAGCTTGAATCCGTCATGGGATATTCAAAAGAGTTTCCTATGCAAGAACTGCTGGCCAGCATATGCTTTCTGGAGAAGAAGAGACAAGTAGGCACATGGCCCATCAGTGCTAATCATTTTCTAAGACATATCGAACATCGAAGGACAAAGAAACGAAAAAAACGAAAACTCCCACAAGGTATAATAAAAAGACTATCAAAAGCATCGTCATGCATAGATAATTCATCAGAGTCAAAATCAAAGGCTACTTAAGAACTTTCATGAAAACCATTATCCTTCTGGCTTCCCTTTTGATCCTGTTAGTTCCTACGCATGTAATATACAGCTTAACCAAGTCTTGCTTCAATGTTCTCGAACTCAACCAAAATTCAATTCTTATAAACCCTAACGCATCGACAAAACAGAACCACGGCAACGTACCTCGAATCTGACGTCTCCTCGCCTCCGTATCCCTCCGCATCACTCGGCGGCGAGGCGTTCATGTCCAGGATGAGCTTAGACTTCACCCCCAACGGCCACAGTTTGCTCCTCTCGCCGCCGGTAACACAGTCGCTGCACATCCAATCGGCAGAAGGAGCCGCCTCCACTCCATCGTTAGCGCAGCACAGATGAAACCCTCTTTCACAAGCGTCGCAGACTACTACGAGCTCCATCGACTCTGGCCTCCCACACGCGCCGCACGCGGCCTCCCGATCCGGCCCAGGAACCTCCGCAGGAGCTCCGGGCGCTGGGTCCGGATTATCGTGAATTGACCTGACAACTTCAACAGGTTCATACTCTCCGTCATCATCGTGACCACCGGTGCAACCACCGCCGAGTGTGGCGCCGGTAGGGATTTCGTTGAGATCGATGCCGAGAAAGGAGCGATTATCTTCCTTGAGACCAGCGCTCCTGGTCTCTCCGAGTTGTTCGTTCGTAGAATCAGTGAGTTCCATTATTCGATTAGGTTAATGGAATCGAGCATTGCTCACATTGAAGTCGAAGAAGAAGATTGAGAAGAAGAAAAAAACTAGCGAGAAAGTGAGAAGAGGTTTTCTTATTAATCTTCTCTCCACTTTTCCCGAAGTTCTGTTTGGAGAGAGAAAGGGAAAAAAAAAACGTGAATTATCTTAGCTTTTTTTTGTGCGTTTTTAAAAATTCTTTTTGTTTTCTCATTACCAAACATATTCTTGAAGATGTAACCTAAAATTCTAACTACAAAAAGAAAAAGAAGATGGCAAAAAAAATCCAATTAGTATATAAAGCTAATTTATGGTGTGTTTTATAATATTATTTACGGGATTAGAAAAGCATAAAAAATTATTACATCACATGAGAAATTGAGAACTATAGTATATACTACATTTGTTGTGGGGGTGTTCTCGGTATAACGACAAAGATGGGTACGAAGCAATGGACGCGGTTAGTCAAATATATTACTGTGTCAGAAGAAAGGTGAAGAAATTAAAACCATTGGCATCCCGATGAAAGTAACTCAAGGAAGGTGTTATAAGCACGTTAGTGATAGTACTAATTAATCTTTTTCATATATCATACTAAAGCAGTTTTCTTCTTCTTCTACTTTTGTACAAACTAAAGCAGTCTTGAAGTTCATACTATTCTAAAAAAAAGTATAAGCACTTGAATTAGTGAAACCAGAAACGCATAATGAAGACTATTCATAGTTTCCATTGCGACAAAAAAAAAAGTGTATAAGCTAAGAACATGGGTTCGGGTTTCAATGTTATTTTCTTGTAGACTACATCAATGTGTGTATTCACGTGAATAGATACTATAGTATTCGGCGAGAAAACTATACTCTTGTGATTTTTATCATACAATTATTACAGCCATTTCCTTGATTTATTTATCGATGGATACAAATAGTATCTCGGTATGGCAGCTGACAGCTTGTAACATATCCTTATCGTATGATCCCAAAGATTTCCCTCCTTATGTGATGTGCGCGTATCATGTGTCTGTGTGTACGAGAGTTGATACCTTTTAATTTTATATGTGCGATTTGTTTCCTCTTTCGTTGTGTTGTCTGACCAAAGGAACGACGTCGCATGTCAGTCTTTACGAGCCACAAAACGACGTCGTCGTAAACATCAGTACGAGTTACGAGTACGAGGAGCCTGCTACGCGACTCGCCAACTGTTGGCCGCTTATTTTAGTGTCGTCTTCTGAGTTAGACTGATCTTCACTCTTACTCTTCCGGTCAACATTACTCATCGACACCGCTTGATTCGCCGGTACTATTTTCGTTATTACTCTTGTTGGATCTGGAATTGCGATGGTTTCTTTTTTTAGAGTTACGGATAGTTTTTTTTAGTAGCTAATCACGTAATTGCTTGAATTTTGATTTGGTATTGTAGGTCTCTGCACTTTCATGTTATTGCTGTTCAATTGACATAGTACTGTGAGTATTTTAGATGTACAGTTAAACCAAATTCATATATTTTCCCCCCGTAATTGCATCGCTCATCTGATCTTTCTTTGGTTTTATAACCGCAGATACACCAATTTGGTCTTTGATTTATCAGATTGTGCCTAGTTACAATTCGTTGATTTCGAGCACAAGTGCTGCTTTTTGCTTCTAATGGTGAATTCTCTTTGCTTCCCAGTTCCCAGGCAGACAAGTCTATCGCATGGCTGCTAAAAGATTTGAAGAAACTTCCAGTACCTGAGAGGAAAATTGACTGTAAAGCAGGCTTAGCAAAGCCTTGTGTTGGAGTTATGATTGCAAAATCTGTCTCCTTGGATCACATTCATCCAAACGGCGCTGAGATACAGAAACCCGAGGCAGAGGGAGGAGTTTTCACAGAAATCGAGTATATTGAATCCCATGACTTGAACACTGTGACCGATGTTGATGCAGCTCTCAAGGTATCGATTATTCTGTAAATCCTCATTTGCAAGTTAAGTGCTTACCCAATAGTACTGTTGTGGAAATACTCCAGACACTTTTAACTGGACTAGACTCCAAGGACTGGGTTTCCACCTGTGATGCTCTCAATAGTGTTCGTCGCCTTTCAATATTCCACAAGGGAGAAATGCTGCCTTTGCTGTAAGTCCTGTTTCCTGACTAAGATGTTATTATCACTTGAAGTAGATTCACTTACACACTAGTTTTTTTAGTCTCACGAAGTCAGATCTTACAGGGAGAAAGTGATCCCGCTCGTCGTGAAGTCACTGAAGAACCCAAGAAGTGCTCTGAGTAAAACCGCGTGTATGACATCTGCAGACATCTTCAGCTCATATAACGACCATATAATCGATCAACTGGATCCCCTGGTGATCATCTCTTGCATCTAATCTTGGAATCCTCCTGAAATACCGGACACTTGCGTGTTCTTATATTAGTAATCTCAAATTCCCTTCTTTTTTTTTTCTCAGCTTACTCAACTCCTCCTTAAATCTTCCCAAGACAAGCGCTTTGTTTGTGAGGCAGCCGAAAAAGCATTAGTAGCAATGACCACACATGTTTCTCCTACCTTGCTGTTGCCTTGTCTGAAGAATAGGAATCCTCGGATCCGTTGTGCTTTTCCCCAAGTGTTTTCCGAATGGTACACTTCACTTAATAAAAACAACCATTCTTGTTCTGTCCCTTTCCATATGTCCTTGATAAACCATTGAAATCCATCCCATGTCATCAACATCGCCTTTCTTTGGCTATATATCATCGTCAGGGCATTGAAGGCATTAGAGAATATGGATTTGAGAAACTGGTCCAAGCAACCGCGTCTCAGCTTAGTGACCAACTCCCAGAATCCCGAGAGGCTGCACGGACGGTCTTACTCGAACTTCAGACAGTTTACAATAAATCTCATCCTGTGGAATCCGAGGAGGAGGAACATCCAGAGGCTGCCACTTGGCAAATTTTCTGCCAATCAAATCTCTCGCCGCTTAGTGCACAGGCCGTGCTTCGTGCCACCAATGTCGCTGGTGCGGCTCGAGAGGGTCTTGTTACGGGTTCATGACACGAATCCCGAGTTTGTGAGTAGAATGTTCTACGAGACCGCTGTGTATTTTATCTCTGGTTTATTGGGTTTCTTTTGTTCTTCCGTGCGTGTGTATATGTGTCATTGATTCTCACATCAAAATCCAATTCTTTTTAAACTGGCTGAAATCACAACTAGGTTTTTACTAGATTTCAAATAATTTTTTTGTTGCCTTATGCAATAGTATTACATTTCATGACCATAGAAGTTATAGACAACGAATGATCTTCAATAGCAAGTAAACCCGTGAAAATCAAACCGGCTTCACGCCATTCTCGTCATAACCTCTTGAAGAAGAATCTTTGTATCTTTATAACACGTTTCTGTCTCGGCTAAGTTCTTCGTCTTAGCTGCCTCTTCAAGCTATGACGGGGAAAAACAAAGGGAAGAATTAATTAAAGGATATTATTACAAATAGAAATGACACTTGTCTTTAGTTCGAATAAGCCGGGTTAAGACGGATCTTAGTGCTGTTACCTTTTCAAAGTTGTCGAACAATCTGTTGGCTAAGTCAGTGAGAGGCTGCTTGTCTTGAGAGGCAGCGGCAGAGATGAGATTGTCGAAATCGTAAAACAAAAATGTGGACTTAAGTCTCAAGTACTTTTTAACATAGTTTAACGTATCTGGTCCAATCAAATCCTCCATTGCTAAGAGATCAAAAGCATTCTTTTTAACTCTATACATTCGACCTTTCGTTCCTATATCAGCCACATAAACTCCTATCTTCAAGAACGATCTCGTTCCCGTCTGCTCGTTCGTGATATCTGTACACACAAATCGAGGAAGAACAAAACCTGAAAGTGAATAATGAGTAGTTTCCGGTATTGTTTGATTTTGAAATCTACCAAACCGAATTCTCATATCGGTTAGTTGGATGTAGCTCAAGAGTCTTCAACTTTTCAGGATTTTACCAATCAAATCAAGAACCGAGACAAACGTATAGAATTTCTCAGTTAAGAATGGAATAAAAATGGTGCTTACTGTTGTAAATAGGAGGAATTGGAAGAGGGCCATCGATCCAAAACCCATTGTCTTTTGCCAAAGAGACATTATTTTCACCGAAAAATCCGCTTAGACCTGTTGAAACAGCAAATCCCAATGCCATCCGTCTTGTGATCTGTACCGAATCCGGTTCTTGGCATTCTCCGGTTTTCCTGCAAACAAACCCACTGGGTTTTCCTGTTCTCCGACTCTCGGGTAGTTTCGGAATCGACGGTAAAGTGTTGGTGAGACTGTTTAGGTCTATGAAGTGAGCCATTGTAGTTTACAAAGGAAACTTCTGTTTCGGTTTTTATCCGTTATAAAGGAGAAAAGCGGCCATCACAAATATTTTATCTGAAACGAAGGGGTGTTTTGGTAATTCAACATTTAAACTACGTGCTGTTTCCAGGATCTTAAAAGTAGAACACGTGCCGTTCCACGCTCTTCTCTTCCCTGTTTTTACCTTTCACCGATCTGTGTTGCTGAGTGCCGACTCTCCGTCGCTGATCTTCATCCCGCCGTCTAATTCGCCGATTTCTCCCGTTGATTCTGAAACCTCCGTGTCTCTCCTGTGTTCCAAAGCGCCATTCAGGTACTTAACTGCTCCGATTTTCCTATCTAGTGTATGTGTATGTGACATTATTGTAATATATTTCCAGTTTAATACTCTTCCTGCTCGTCGTTCTTTAGAGAAATCGTGGAAAGTCTGATGGATCCGCAGACGCAGAACACTTCATTGCAGCGACTCCAGAATGTCGAGAGGGTAAAATTTTGGGAAGAATCGACTTTCCCCTAGAGATTAGATCTACTTTGATTATGGAAGTTTTTTTATTACTTTTCGTGCAGAGGGTTGTCAGGGTTTTGGATATAGCCGGAGGAGTGATGGAAGAACTCGCGAGCCCATCTGGGCCCAAGAAAGAGTTCGTCAACAGTCATTGCCGAGAGTTCATGCAATCGATGAAGGTTGCTTACTCGATCCCTTCTTTACGACTGCATTTGGCATTCCAACCTTATGTCTTGGGCTTAACGTTCATATGAATGGTGGATGTCTGATATTTTCTGATTTCATTTGGATTCTAAGAGATTCAACAAAGTAGATGATCAGGGGGAACATTTGGGCTCGTTTGACACGGCTAAATTAGTGTTCTTGCTTTCACTACTTCTGTCTTTGGCATTTTTGTTTTGGTTTTAGTGTTGAACTGCTGCATCCCGTTGCGCGATTAATGAAGCTGTTCCATCTTTGATGTTTTCTGATTTCATCCGTATTTTAAGTGTTGATGAAGCTCTCACTGTTCAAAGAACATTTGGGCGGTAATTTGACGCAAGTCTAGACTAGGGATGATTGCATTTCGTGAACAAGTGAAAGGCTTAGTTTGGGGTTCTGATTTTGGGTTTGGTCTAGTAAGTCTTGAAGATATTTCAGCTGCATTGAGTTGTCTAATTCTTGGACTGTGTTATTTCCAATCCATATGACAAGTTGGAGGTGTTACTGTGAAAATTTGCAGGATATTCAAATGACACTGAGGGAAGAGATCAAGAGCGCGTGCGAGTACCGTCCCTTTGAAAAATGTGATTACAACGCAAGAATAGCGAATGAGATCTGCTTCCAGAAGCTTGAATATGTTCTCACACAGCTTGATGATCTGAAACAAACTGCTGACCGCTATCCTTCTTCCGCTTGAGCTTGCTTTTGAAAACTTACTTGAAGCTTTCTCTCTTCTTCATTGGTATTACTAATATTATAACTCGAGGAACCCATTGTGATATACTTTCTAGAAGAAGAGTAGTATAGTCCCGGTTTTTGTGTGTTGAGTCGCTTGTGGCGCAAGTTATATATTCTTCTACTTACTCCAATTCATTTTGGTTTGGTTTACAACATTCACATGCAATGAATCTGTTCCAATTTACATATTTACATACATCCACTGGGAATGGGAGTTGACCACTCCAGCTGTAGGAGAGAACCGGCCTAATTTTGGAACCAAATGAGTCATAATATAACCGGTTACATGATGAAACCAAAGCGGTTAGAAAGGGCTTCTCAGATCCGGTAGGCGGTTACGCCGTTTCCTGGCCTGTTATTATTCCAGCTCAATAGACGCGTTTGATTGCAAAGAGGGAGAAAATTAGGGTTTAGAGTTGGAGATGGGAAGAGGAAAGAAGAAGATCTAAGGAAACAGAGAGAGGGAGAGATAGATCAGGGATTATCCCATTTTCCTTCGTCTCTCTCGGCGATCTGTGAGGATGAGGCTCCAATCGTCGCCGATCTCTGAAATGGACACCACTGACGATATGCACGAGGCGTTGTTCGCAAAGCGGGGTTGCTGTTTCCTCATGCCCTGTCTCGCCTCATCTCACTCGTCCTCTCGCTGCGGATCTGTGTGGTGGCAGCGGATCAGGACCGCCGATAAACTCGAGCCTGACGAACGGTGGTGGATTCGCGGGTGGCGGAAGATGAGGGAGTGGTCGGAGCTCGTCGCTGGCCCTAGATGGAAGACTTTTATCCGCCGATTCGGGCGCAACCATTGCTGCGGCGGAGGAGGAGGACCCGGAAACAGCTGCGGTTCAATCGCTAACCGGTCAAATCACGGAAAATTCCGGTACGATCCGTTGAGCTACTCGTTAAATTTCGACGACGGAAAGCAAACGGGGCATTTTGACGACGAGTTTCCGTACCGAGATTACTCGATGAGGTTTGCTGCGCCATCCTTGCCGGTGTCCACGAAAAGCTCCATGGATTTCGATAGCGACATGGAGGCGGCACCGCTTCATAAGTGAAGGTCACGCTCTTCCCTTTCTCATCAGAGCCCAGCTGGTGTTGCAGTCTAACGTGCGCCGAATCGTGTGTGTGTGATCAAATGAGAGGGCATAATCAAACTATCAAAGAGTCTTCTTTTAATCACGGTTTTACTTTTTTTTCAAAAAAAAAAAAAAATATATATATATATATATCTATACTGTTTGGCTCGTAAGATTAATAATAGAATGATTGCAATTTGCCATATATAGAAAGGTATTCGACGATATAAAAGAGTTTTCTTTGATGACTCAACATAAATTATTTTAGCCATAAATACAGAGTTACGTAAACGAAAACAAAAAAAAATGTATTCAGTCTTGTTCACTAGAAGCAAACAATTGGGTTGGTTCCCCCTCCACTTTGGAATTCGGCCGGCCCATAATCTTTCCATGTTTGTAGTTTAGTTTCTTGTTTTCGTTATAAAAATAAAATGTACAAGAGTATGGATCCTCCTCAATTTCTTGCTTCCCGATCGTCATCTTATCCTTCTCCGTGGCTATGTAGTGATCATCATTATCATCTTCCAGTATAGAAGATTTTTTCTATTTAAAACAGCGAGACAAAAAGCTCTACTACAATATTAATAATATATAACGTTATAGCAGTCTGTTTACGAAACTTTATTCGTTTGAGTTCGTTCCTCGTTGTATAAATTTACAAGGGTATATCCTTACGCAACTTATACCTCAATAAATAAATACTATTCGTTAGGGTCTTTGCCATTTGTAATTATATCTAAAAGTTTTTAGAAAAGCTTTATGTAGATCACACAAAGTTACACGAAACAAAAATAAATAAATAAAAAAATAATGAAACATGTTCAACGAATTCGTACTCACTTCACCCGTCGATTTTCCTTATATTCAAGGCACGTTAATTAGACTTATTATTTTCGTGTCTGCGCCATCTGATTAGAAATTACGTGTTTATAATGTCGTGTCTGCACTGTGTACGCACTTTCCATTCAGTTTCATTGGCCATAAGCGAAGAAAGACCATCGACCAAGTTGACTTATTAACTATAATAGAAATGACAATTAGTGAATAATAATCCAATGACCGTACATTCTCAGTGTGCGTTATTATTTATTAACAACTATCCTGATACTTTCTTAAAGACCTTACATTCTCAGTGTGCGCAACCTGATCTTCTAAACAAATACATTTTTATTGTATTGATCAATAACACAAATGGTATTATTTTAACGTTTTTATTCATTCAACAGCCGCCTACATATTACAAAACAGATATGTATGGTGCAGACTCATCCAGTCATCCAATGTTAAATAGATACGGACGTTATCTGATAATAGACGTGCAGACTCATCCAGTCATCCAATGTTAAACTTTCCAAAGTTCTTAATACTCACATGGGACTAAATTTAATCCTAATTAATATATATGGACCGGCTTGATGTTTTTTTTTATTTATTTTAAATTGCACAATAGTACACAGGATTCCAAACAGTTTAATTAGAACTTTTTGCTACCTAATTTGTATTGTCCATTTTAAAAAGTTTATGAACTATGCTAACCATTTGTTGTTGTTGCTTTGTACATTTTCTAAACTGAAAAATCAACGAATAGAAACTCAAAATCTATAAGCAAACTGTATTTACATGAAACTGTGAAAGTTAGGACTAATATTTTTACAATTCCTTAATCAAAAATCTTAAGTTTATCTTTTTAAAAACCAATGTATGAAATTAATCAATAAATAATAAAACCTATATGAGATAAGAGGAATAGACCTAAAGGGAACCTCCCCTGTCCCTCTAGAATCGAGATAGATAATCGGTGGCATACTATTCAAAGATGTATTACTTGTCTCGAATTTTAGCAACAATTTCTTACAACTCTTTTTTTTTTTTTTTTTTTTTTTTGAAGCAGCTAAAAGAATTTGAATGAATTCTAAGAAAAACTATTCAACAAAATACGCACTGACAAATATATAAGTCATCATAATGATACCGAATGGTAATAATAAGAAAATAGTCATAAGATACACAAAAAAAAAATACTTTTCTTTTATAACCCACTTTGACCTTGCCCTTTGGGTACTGTGTAAGTGTGTATATATGAAATTTGAAAAGTCTTCTTCTCGTGGGGTTTTGTTTATAAATAGACAACAGACAGATTAAAGGCTTTCTCATTCCCTCACAATCATATTGAAACAATTCTCTTGGATTTTTTTGGCGCTCAAAAACAGCTCTCGTGTTACGTTTGATATATTATATAAACAACCCCCAAAAAAATTAAGAGATGAAAGTAATTAGTTCTCTAATCTCTTCTGTTTTGCTTAAATTCATCCACAAAGACTTCCATGAGGTTTACTCAAGAATGTCCCTCTTCGATCGTTTTCTGCTTCTGGTAAGCCATTTACAACTACTTGAGCATATAAATACATATATGCATATGCACATGTAACATGTTATCCATGGTGTTTTATATATTTTTACACATTCGAAAAAAAAAATAGTGATGATGAGACTACATATTTACGTAAACGTTGCAGATTGTGCATGCAGTGGATAAGATGGTCCCATGGCATAAGCTTCCGGTTATCTTGGGTATGGCTTACCTTGGGTTACGCAGACATCTTCATCAAGAATATAATCTCATCAATGTCGGTCAGACTCCGGTTGGGACCCGGTTCAATCCTGCTGATTATCCGTACCGGACAGCTGACGGAAAATTCACTGATCCGTTTAACGAAGGCGTCGGCAGCCAAAATAGCTTCATCGGAAGAAATGGTCCTCCCGTCGATCAGAAAATAAAGGTGAGTTTGCATCTGTATGTATAAAAGCCTTGTTACTTTAAATCTTTACCAGGTTTTGAATTAATCTTTTTTTTTTTTTTTGTTTTGTTTGTGTGATCATTTCTTTTTCAAGTTATTGAAGCCAGACCCCATGGTAGTGGCAACAAAATTATTAGCAAGAAAAAAGTTTATCGACACAGGAAAACAATTCAATATGATTGCCGCTTCTTGGATTCAGTTCATGATTCATGATTGGGTTGATCATCTTGAAGAAACTGATCAGGTTCGTTAATTAATACTCTAATACATTTAAGATTAACAAAATAAAGTAAAATAACCAAACAATTGAATTTGAACAAAAAAAAAAAAAAAACCAAACAATTGAATTGGTTCATATATATGGTTTATTTTTGGTAACTTAGATCGAGCTCGCGGCTCCAAAAGAAGTGGCGAGCGAGTGTCCCTTAAGCTCCTTTAGGTTCTTCAAGACAAAGGAAGCCCCTACCGGTTTCTTCGAGATCAAGACCGGTTCGCTAAATTCCCGTACACCTTGGTGGTTAGTAATATATTCTAACCTCCGTACACACTAATTAGTTGTATTGCGTACACTATTCAGTATACATATTATTACTGGTGATTATTTTATTCTAAGCCGAACCTATACATTCAGTTAACTTTATTGTGCACCATAGTGGCCCTAGTGGAACAATTAATTGAATTGGTACACAATAATAAACTATATACACCTTAACTAGTAGCAAGTAATTTACTCTATATCTAACATAGTATGCTATACTAACGCCACTTAATCCTAAATCTAACCCATACATTGCACCAAACAAATTAATTAACCTACATATATACTAGTGTTAATTTGTTAATTTTTGGATCGGATTAGATCGAATAATTCATCTTTTGGTGATTATTCATATGTTTAATCTTTCAGAATATCATAAAACGTAACTGTAAACATATGAGTGAGCATTAATTTGTGTTGGGTTAACGAGAGAGAGTACATTCATTCAATTAGGGATTCGAGCGTCGTCTATGGAAGCAACTCGAAAGCATTGGAGAGAGTGAGAAGTTACAAAGATGGGAAACTAAAGATATCGGAGGAGACGGGTCTCCTCCTCCAAGACAAGGACGGTTTAGCCATCTCCGGCGACATACGTAACAGTTGGGTCGGCGTCTCCGCCTTGCAAGCTCTCTTCATCAAAGAGCACAACGCCGTATGCGACGCCCTCAAGGTTTAATATCCGTTTCCTTTTTTTTTTTTGTTGTATATACAATTGCTAGAGAATATATGAAAGCAGCTTATAGATAAATTAAATCGATATTCAATATCTATATGTATATGGCATAGGAGGAGTATGATGATTTGGAAGACGAAGATTTGTACCGTCACGCTAGGCTAGTGACGTCAGCAGTGATTGCCAAGATTCACACCATTGATTGGACCGTTGAGCTTCTCAAAACCGACACTTTACTTGCTGGGATGCGAGCGAATTGGTGAATGTTATTACATTATCCATCGATCTACGATCACGTCACACATTTTCCGTCGTCTAACATTTTGTTTATGTATAAAGGTACGGAGTACTTGGGAAGAAGTTTAAAGACTCTTTCGGGCACGTAGGGAATTCGATATTGGGAGGTGTCGTTGGTATGAGAAAGCCCGAAAACCATGGAGTCCCTTATTCTATTACCGAAGAGTTCACTAGCGTCTATCGCATGCACTCTCTCTTACCTGACCGACTCCACATGCGTGACATTGATGTTGTACCGGGAGCTAATAAATCACCACCCTTGACTCAAGAGTACACAACTTACTTTCGAGCCTATCTTTCTCTAATTTTCTCTATTTTTAAAATAAATTTATTAAGCTTCATTATATTTTTATTTTTTTGGGGGGGGGGGGGGGGGGGGGGGGGGGGGGGGGATTTAGGGTTCCTTTTGGGAAATTGATTGGTCGCAAAGGAGAAGAAACCATGTCTCAGATTGGGTTCACTAAACTGATGGTCTCAATGGGTCACCAAGCAAGTGGGGCCCTTGAACTGATGAATTATCCAGTGTGGCTTAGGGATCTTGTTCCCCAAGACTCCAACGGCTACGATCGTCCGGACCGCATCGACTTAGCTGCTTTAGAGAGTAAGTCATTCCCATCTCACCCGTTCATAATTGGTTGAGTGATCACACATACATAAAACTAGGTTTGGTCAATCTTATACAGTCTATAGGGACAGGGAGAGGAACGTTGCACGGTACAACGATTTCAGGAGAGCTATGTTTATGATTCCCATAAAGAAGTGGGAAGATCTAACGGACGACAAGGAAGCAATTGAAGCGCTCGATGACGTGTATGGTGATGATGTGGACGAGCTTGATCTTCTGGTTGGACTCATGGCAGAGAAGAAGATCAAAGGGTTCGCTATTAGCGAGACTGCCTTCAACATCTTCCTCCTCATGGCCACAAGGTACGCATTTAGCATTTATTTTTATTTGTCACGCTAAAAACTGGATAGCTGAAACTGAAAATCCAAACGTTTTGCTCCTCAGTTATGTTATAGAAAAATATTTAAACAAATTTAAACGTTTCAGGAGATTAGAAGCGGATAGATTCTTCACAAGTGATTTCAACGAAACAACTTATACAAAGAAGGGACTTAAATGGGTGAATGCTACAGAGAGTCTCAAAGATGTCATTGATCGCCATTATCCTGAGATGACCGAGACATGGATGAACTCTGAAAGTGCTTTCTCAGTCTGGGATTCGCCACCACTTACCAAAAACCCAATCCCTCTCTACCTTCGAGTTCCATCTTAGATCATATGATTATCTTTGAATAACTTTATTTATTGGTATTCTTGGTTGTGTGAGAGCTATAAACATGTCATTGTAACGTTAATCATCTATTGATACTGTATATGTAATATTAATAAATGTATGATACACATGTATATCGTTTGTTCAATAAGCCGTTTGTAAATTGGAATCCTGCATGTTTGTTAAAGACGTACCTTAAATTAAAACGGCAAGCAGTTTATTTCTATGACACCGAACGACAGGTGATTTCCAAAATCTGCAGGCCTAGTTAAATATTGGGCTTAGTCCCGCTGAAGCCCATCTTCCATTTGTCTTTCTTCTTCTGTTGTAATTCAATTCCATCTCACACACACACACACTCTCAAGCAGAAACTGCGTAGGATGACCTGAGTTTGAAATTCGAAAAGCAATTCTTCCAATATTTTGGTGAGATCTGTCGCTACATACGCGTTGGCCGTTTGAATCCTGGGTTTTTGTTGAATTTCCTTTTACGACTTGTTTCAGTTTGTTTGAGTAGAGGTTTTAGGGTTCTTTTAAGGTTTATGTGAAGGTTTGCTTCGTCGCCTCTCTCCCCACTAGATTCTCTGTCTAATTTTCGCTAGCTCGAGTTTTGTTGGTTACTGTAGATTTGGGATTGTCGGTTTTAGGATCGAAGCTGAGATATTAGCATAATCATAGTGTTTGATAGGTTTATGGATTACGGGATGGAGGATAAAAGAGACGCGTTTTACGTTGTTCGTAAGGGAGACATCGTTGGTGTGTATCGAAGCTTAAGCGAATGCCAAGAACAAGCTGGATCATCTGTAATTTCTCTCCTTTCTTATCTGCAAAATTATTAGAACTGACTCAGGCTTTGACTCGTCATATTCCCGATTTTGATTTTTTTTCTTCTTTTTCAGGTTTCAGATCCTGCAATGAGTGTCTACAAAGGATATGGTTGGCCTAAAGGAGCACAAGACTTCATATCGTCGTTTGGAATTAAGAACGCTCTCTTTTCGATCAATGCAAGTCATGTCAAAGATGATGTTTTTGGGAAACTCATTCCTTGTCCTCTTCAGGTTCGTTTCAGAATCTTTGATCTTAGTTTTTGAGAGACTTAAATAAAGAAAGGGAGAGTGAGACTTTAGTGCAGATATCACATATTGTCCAGGAACATTTTACACACTTGCAATTGTAATCCAAACTTGTTTCGAGTTGAGTTATTATTGCTCAAAATCCTCTTCTTGGCTATTGATTTTACGTTTCAGCAACCATCTTCTTCCCATGGAGGGACTTCACAGCCTAAGAGACTGCAAGGAATGGTAAAAACAGATAATCTCGTCAGTCGTAGACACATGATTCATTACGTTTGCGGATGATTTGTAACAATAGTCACAGAGTAAATGACGAAAATTGCTGTGCCTTTGATCTTTCAGGGAAGTGATGGATCGGGTTTACTTTCCTCGAGTCCTCCGCAAAAGTATCTTAAGGTTGAAAGTGGCGCGGTTCCTCGGGCTATTCCTTCCAATAACGTAACTCAGCTACAACCTAACCAAATATTTTCAGTCATATGCATGGCGTTTGCATCTTTTTTTTTTTCAATGATGGGAATCTATCGTTGAACCTCAGGATTCATGTACCATTGAGTTTGACGGTGCTTCAAAAGGAAACCCAGGAAAAGCTGGCGCAGGAGCGGTTCTCCGTGCTTCGGATAAAAGTGTGCTCTTCTATTTGCGTGAGGGTGTGGGTATCGCCACAAACAACGTTGCAGAGTATCGAGCTCTGATTCTTGGTCTGAGATGTGCTCTTCAGAAAGGGTTTAGAAATGTGCGCGTCCAAGGAGACTCAATGCTTGTCTGCATGCAGGTGCAGATAGACTCTCTTCTCCTTTTGTTTCAGTCATTTGTGTGTTAGTATCTAACTGTTTGGCAACAGGTTCAAGATGCATGGAAAACCAAGCACCCGAAGATGGCTGAGCTTTGTAAACAGGCCAAGGACCTTAAGAGGCAGTTTAAATCATTCCATATTGAACACATCGACAGGGTAAGCCACCAAACCCTTTCGTTTAGCTGCTGATTTTTTGGATCCACTGTGGTAACAGTCTCATGATTCCCAATTAATCGCTTGCTCTCTTGTTTGTAGGAGTTCAATGCTGATGCTGATAGTCAAGCTAACCAGGCAATCATTCTCGCAGGTGAGTTAGTTTTTGATCTTAAAAAGTTTCTTTTCCCTTTTCAGTGGATCTTTAGCTAAACCAGGTTTTGTATTATCTCTCTTTTTTTTTTTTTTTTGTTTCTTTGCTCAATGTTTATCCAGATGGCCAAACGAAAGAGTTTGCAGGCGGCTAGAAGAGAAATAAAATAGTATATATTCGTGTTTTCTTGTCTCTGGGATCGTGTCTTTAACATGCTAAGTGTTAACATAAACGTGAACATGTTCTGATCTCTCTTTTGCTCTTGTCTCCAAGCCTGTTGAAGTTTCAGTCACTTGTTTTCTAAGTTTAATCCCCAAGAACATGTCTATGTTTGTCTTCTTCTTTTCTTAAGGTTCTGTTCAATTAGTGTTTCTAAGTAATGTTTCTTTTTTTTTCCATTAAATATTTTCTCTCGGCGATCTTCCACCGTTACTAATGGATCTGCTTGATCCGTACGGTGAAGAAATGATTCATCACACGAATGGTCGTCGTCCAACTTGCATAACTTATTATATACCTTGGAGTCTAGAAAAATGTCGGTGGTTTTTTGTTTGTTCCGCCTAATTTAATACGTTGTATATATTTGTAAATTATATGAAATGAAGATGAACGAACATGGCGGAACGTGTTCTCTTCTCTCTTTTGCTCTGTCCCCAGCCTGTTGAAATTTCAGTCACTTATTCTCTAAGTTAATTTCCCAAAAACACATCAATTAAATTCTGTTTGTTATTCAAAGCCCCTCTAGTAGTTTAGTACAAGAATTCATCATACACATGGGGAAGGGTAAATTAGGAATGAAGTGAAACTGTTAAAACCAAACCGAAACTTATCAACCGGATCACAAAAAAAGCCAAACTCAAGAAGATAAAATAAATTACAGAGGGATAACAAACTAATTTTCTACATTTTTTTAGTTCACAAACTATTTACAGTTTTTTTCTCAAATCTGTATCTTCGCATTAACAGTGTAAACAAAAAAAAAGTGTAAAGAAATAACAAAAAGGAAAGAAGAAAGTATATCTAATCTCACAGTTCCGACGATCTTCCACCGTTAGAAACGGATCTTGGCTGCCTCAGAAACTCAATCAAAGCCTCAGCCTTTTGCTTTGCTCGACTGGTTCCTGCCTGAGAAAGAGCCACAAGCGGAGGAATCGCTCCTTCCCGAGCCACCATGGTTCGATACACCACACTCTCCTCACAGAGCTGAAGCAGTATCGACACGGCGATCTCTCTCTGTCTCTGTGTTCCGGCCTCCACGATCTCCACCAGCACCGGAACCCCTCCTTCCTCCACTAGCGCCGGCTTCGATTCCGGCACCGACATTAGCAGACTCATCACGAACGCCGATTTATCCACCATGTTCGACCCGAAATCCGCCATCAGTTCCACCAGCGGCTTCATAATTCCCGATTCCACGGCCCTGACCTTGTTCTCCTTAGCTGAGCACAGCGAGTATAGAGCCGTCGACGCGTCCTTCTTCGCTCTGAATCCTCCCGTTTCTAGAAGGTTCACCAAGAGAGGAATCGCTCCCGATCTCCCGATTGCCACTTTGTTGTCCTCGAGCTGCGACAGCCGGAGCAGAGCGCACGCGGCGTTCTCTTTCGCCGTCGGCGTCCCCATTTTCAATGCCCTAACGAGCGGCTTAATCGCACCCGAAGAAGCAATCAGCTCCTTGTTCTCGTCACAAAGGGAGAGATTCAAGACGGCCGTGACTCCGTACTCCTGCAGCTGAGGATCGGAAGACGAGATCAGAGAGATCAGCGGCTTAATCGCGCCGGCTCTGGCGATTTTGATCCGGTTCTCTGGTTTGTTCTTGGATAGGAGCCTGATCTCCATGGCAGCCTGCTTCTGCTCGTCGATCGAACAGGAGGAGTCGAGGTGGGCGACGAGATGACGGATCAGATCATCAGAATTATCAGAGGCGCAGGAGAGGAGGAGACGCCGGCTCTCGGAGGAAGCCGTGGGGAACTCGCCGGATCTGTCGCTGTTACAATCGCTGAAAGCAGAGGAGTCATCGTTGACACTCAAATCGCTGAATTTGCGGCCCATGTAGGTGAAACCGGGGCGACTATCCATCTCCATGGATGGATGAGAGGGAGATCAAAGCTGTGATTCGTATTCAAAGCATCAAAAACGTGGATGGTTAGGGTTTGTCTTACGAGTGTCAGGAATATTTGTTTGGATGTAGCCAAAGGAATGAGCGAGATGAAGAGAGAGAGAGTGCAATAACAATAATTACCTTATTAAACTATCACTTTAATGTCTTTGTTTATACTATTGTTTTGTAATGACATTCATTATATGGCTTTTGTTTCATTGGGCCTTTACTTTATTATTTATGTGGCCTCAATCTTAGCAATATAAGTGAAGTGTAACCCATTGGGCTTTAATTTGAACAAAATGTGGACCCACTAGTCTTGTTAGTCATACAAGTAAGAGAGGTAGATTAGATAGACGTGTTATCAGATCCTCTCTCCGATTGAATCTCTCTCTCTCTCTCTCTCTTGGGAAGGATCAAGAAGCCAAGGTATGCTGCTACTTCTCCTCTTCAATGAGATCGTGTTTTCAATCGCAAGTCAAAATGTATTCGCCGGATTTTGTCTATTCATCGTTTTAGGATCGTTGCTTGGATGGGTTAAGAGTTGGATTTTTCTGTTCAAGTTTAATAGAAATTCTACACAATGACTTCGTGATCTTCGATCCTCGTTTACTCTTTTGGACACTTAGATCTATTTGATTCTGATCTCAATTCGATTTTGCACTTGCTTTGAACCCGAGTTATGGATTGGTAGATGTAACAGATCTCCTTTGAATCATGGGTAAATTATAACCTGTTGTGCTTAAATCCAACAGAGTTTACCGAGATAAGCACGTAGTATTTCTCAAATAATCTACATGATCTTCCTTAACAGTGATCAGTTGGATCATGTGAGAATTTGTTGTTACTCATCATCTAGTAGCTTGTGTAAAATGTTTTGACTTCACAGGAAGTTCAAATTTGTGTTGTTTGATCCACAAAGTTTTGACTTTTTTATTTTGATTTGTATAGGTTATTGTGGGATAAAACATGGAATCCAACAGAGGCCAAGGTGGGATCCAGCAGCTGCTTGCTGCTGAACAAGAAGCTCAACACATTGTCAACGCTGCAAGGAACGGTAATTACAAGTCTTTGTTTTGTCCTTCTTAATTCTGCAACATATGCTTGCAATCTAAAACTATACATAAACGATGTTGTCTGATCTGACGAGATACATGTTTTGAAACTGATTTGATGATCTGTTCTTGGTTGGTTGCAGCAAAGATGGCAAGACTGAAGCAAGCCAAGGAAGAGGCTGAGAAAGAGATTGCCGAGTACAAAGCTAAAACAGAGCAAGACTTCCAGAGGAAACTTGAGGAGGTAACAAACAAAAAAGAATTGACTTTTTTTTTCTCTTAAAAAAAAAAGTAGTGTCCTTTTGTTCTAATGACAAATCTGTGAAAACAGACCAGTGGAGACTCTGGTGCGAATGTGAAGAGGTTGGAGCAAGAGACTGATGAAAAAATCGAACAGTTGAAGAACGAAGCAACGAGGATTTCCAAAGATGTTGTGGAAATGCTTCTCAAACATGTTACCACAGTGAAGAACTGAGATTTGTATACATCAAGAGTAAAAACAAAAGGTTTGTGTAAGATGGTGAAAAAGGTCGCAAGTCATTTTTGAGTTTGGCTCTGTCTCTGTCTCTGTCTCTCTCTCTCGTGTGGTGTTTCTGGATTTCAGAGACTCTATCTCATATTATTTGTTGCTATTTATTCTCTCTGTTTTTTCTTTTGTATTCTCTCTGTATTCATATATTTGGTGTTGTAATAATAAAATTGAGTGCAAATGAACTCATTGGATTCTACTTTCTTTTCAACTGTTAGTTCTTGAAACAGTATAATAAATCTCAGTTTGTAAATCGTTAAACTTCAAAATTCAAATACACAATACAAAAATCTTCAGACTGGGCCTGTATTACATAATAGCTTTCGAATCAAATGCTTAGTGTATTTTCCCGGGCTTGGGCTTTAGCCACATCTCTCAAGAAATGAAAAGCTGCAGAATTTGAGATTTTAGCAAATCCGGGGAGAAAGTTTTCTCTGTAAATTTTGGGAAGATCGATGAGGAGCGCCGGGATCTTGGGAGTAGAAGGTTCCGATCAAAACCGAGCAGCAGCCGTCGTCATCGCGAGCAGACGAAGGTGGCTAAAGAGGCGAGAAACGTGGCTAGTGGTCCTCGGCGTAGCTCTTCACGCCGTTTACATGCTAAGTATATTCGACATTTACTTCAAGACGCCGATAGTCCACGGGATGGATCCAGTGCCTCCGAGATTCTCTGAACCGCCGGCGAAGCGACTTGTTCTTCTCATCTGTACGTATTCTCCTCATCGCTGAAGCTGCTTTTTTGCTTTCCTCACTGAAATGTGTTTCTCACTGGTATTTGATTCTGATTGTCCTCGCACCATTTCTGATTTTCTGCTCAGCTGATGGTTTACGAGCTGACAAGTTCTTCGAGCCGGACGTGGACGGTAAATACAGAGCACCCTTCTTGAGGAATGTGATCAAGAATCAGGGGCGTTGGGGAGTGTCTCATGCTCGTCCTCCCACAGAATCTAGACCTGGACATGTTGCTATTATTGCTGGATTCTACGAGGATCCCAGTGCTGTCACTAAAGGTTCGTTTCCGTCTCTATTTACTTAACCTAAGCTTTTGATTTCTCTAGAGTTAGTGGTACATGATACATGTGTTTTGCAGGATGGAAAGCTAATCCTGTTGAATTCGACTCTGTTTTCAACCGGAGCAGGCATACATTCGCCTATGGAAGTCCCGATATTATTCCTATATTCTGCAGTGCATTACCTCACAGCACTTGGAATTCTTATCCTCACGAGTATGAAGACTTTGCAACAGGTTCGTTTTTTAGTTTGAAAATGAAGCCTTTGTGTATGTCATATCAACTATATGTAATGAGGTCTATTTTCTTGTTGCTTTTGAGAGGCATCACTACCCTTTTTGTTTTGTTTCTATTTCTTGGTGTAGATGCCTCCTTTTTGGACGAGTGGTCTTTTGATCAATTTGAGAGCCTTCTCAATAGGTCTCACGGAGATCCAAAGTTGAAAGAGCTGCTCCACCAGGACAAACTTGTTGTGTTTCTGCACCTTCTTGGTTGCGATTCCAATGGTCATGCACATCGCCCCTACTCATCAATCTACCTCAACAATGTCAAAGTTGTTGATAAGATAGCTGAAAGGGTCTACCATCTCTTGGAGGATTACTACAGAGACAATCGCACTTCGTATATCTTTACTGCTGATCATGGGATGAGCGACAAAGGTCTGCTTTTGCTTTTGAATCTTTTCATTAATTAACATGAATTTGTTTTATGATATCAAGATGACATGTTTTGAGGTTTATATGTTAATGATGGTTGGTAATGATGCTATATGCACCTGTTGTTACGTGTAGGAAGTCATGGAGATGGGCATCCTACAAATACTGATACTCCATTAGTTGCTTGGGGAGCTGGGATTAAATACCCCAAACCAGCAACTGGAAACAGTCACTCTGATTCCGTTACTAGATTTGTGGACAAGCATGCACATGATATGCCCACACCTTATGACTGGGGCCTTAATCGTGTTGAGAGAGTAGATGTCAACCAAGCTGACATAGCACCGTTGATGGTTCGACTCCGCCCTCTTTTTTCAACCAAACAACTTATCTAGGAATCTGTTTTTCGACTTCTTTGGTCTGAATTATTTGTTACTATCTGTAGTCAACGCTCTTGGGTTTGCCGTGCCCAGTGAATTCGGTTGGAAACCTACCACTTGGTTATATGAAGTTAAATGAGGTATGCTCGTATATTTGATATGAACTCTTCGCTTGTGTCTTTTGAAAGAGATTAAGGGTTTGTTAATGCTACATTTCTTTCGTAAGGGATTTGGTTTTAAAATAGGAATAGGAATATAATTAGTTTAAGTAGCACATGGCTGGAAAGTCGAGACTTATGGTGCTTTATTATCTATGCATTTTTTAGGCAGAAGAAGTCGAAGCTGTGCTTGCCAATACCAAACAAATACTTAATCAGCTTCTTCGTAAATCACGTATCCTTTTGCTCACAGTCTAATGCTAGCTTAACTTCTGCGCTTAATTCTAGAATTTTGTGCCATAGCATCGCTTCCCTTTTCATATGTCGTTCTCTGCTTCCAAGCTTTTGACATTTTTCATGCTATCGTACAGTATTATTATACTATCGTTATTCATATTCATACTGCAAATAGCTTCTTACTGTGTTTGGATTTTGTTTCTTAGCATCACTTATGCCCCTTTGTCTCCTTTACAAAATCAGATATAAAAAGGTCAAATTCCTTATTTTTCAAGCCATTCAAGCCGTTAGTCGACCATTCCTCATCGCTGAGTCAAATTGATGAGTTAATTTCTTCCAAGCACTATGAAGCTGCGATGAAATTGGCTGTGGACCTCAGAAACTTGTCACTAGAGGGCCTTCATTATTTTCAAACGTATGACTGGCTAATGCTGATGACTGTTATAACCCTTGGATACACTGGATGGATGATCGTACTTGCCCTGCATGTCCTGCAATGTTACAGTTCACTATCAGGAGATCTGTCCAGAAAAGGGCATTTATCTGTGCAGAAAAAAGACTCTGGAAAAGTAATGCAGTTATAAGCTTCACGCTTCAATAAGCGCACTCATCCTTTTTTTAGCTGTTCTCCTGTTTTCTTGGTTTAGCATTGCTATAGCATAAATTTTATGTGACTTTTTCGCCTATCTCAAATATTTTGGTCATTTTGACGCAGGTATATTTATCAGGCTGTCTGCTTATGGCAATTCTCTCTGTGCTAAATTTGATGGAGCACTCTCCCCCTCTTTACCATGCGTATATTGGAATGACAGTGTTTCTATGGACACAGATTTTTAGTGAATATCGATTAATAAGAGGATTGTGGAGATATCTGAGGGAGAGGAAGGCTGGCTACTTCATCAAACTTCTATTCGCGGCAGCTGTATCCGTTGTCATTGTGGAATTATTGGTATGTGTAACTGGATGCTCCAGTATGTTTTTCTGAGGTGGAGACTGATATTGCCCTGATCGTTTGTTTTCAACCTCCTGCAGGTTCATAGCTTCACTGAGAGAAAGCTTTACACTTGGTTTTTCTTGATAGCAGGTTTTGTGGCTTCGATTTTGCTGCACATTTCAATTCCTTGGAGATCTGGGATACCAGTTTTTGTCTGTATTTCTTGTTGGTTCCTGTCTGTGTTCACTCTGATGCCAGCTGAAATTCCTGATAATAATAACCTAGTGTAAGTCCCTTTTCTCGCTCGCTCTTGCATGAGGTTTCCTGTGATTATGTTTCACGTGTTCTGTGGTTTGCATGATACAGAAACATATTTTATTACTTAGAAGATGCAGCTCATCTAAAAAGTAGGCTTCACTACCATTGAAACTGAAAGAATAGAAACTATGTTCAACACAGCATAAGCATCTTTGCACTCCAGCGTCAATATCTACTTGTGAAATCGTCACTCATTCATGTTGGTGTTATTCCAGAGTTGCAAGTGGAGCTATCATCATAGTAGTAAGCCTTGCTGCGAAGTGGCTAGACACACATGCAGAAGGGAACAAATTTTGGCAGAGTATCACTTTTCATGAAAGCAGGAAGCCAATGTGCTCCATGTTATATTGTATACAGGTACAAATCATTTCTACTTTCAAAGCTTGAGATTTTGGTTCTAAGCCTAATAGATCACTTCTACATGGTGCGAATTGAAACAGATTATTTTGGTTGGAGTTTCGTCGGCGATGGTGTTTCTGTCGACAAAGCACAGAACACAGAATCAAGAACTACATTCGTCACACCAGTTCATAAACTGGTTAGTTGCCGGTATATCCTCAGACCTCTGTTCTGTTTACATAATGTGTTTCCTTGTGTATAAGTTATCGTTGTTTTTGACCGTCTTCTGTCTTTGCAGGGTCTTCAATGGTTCTTCCGTTGTTTTCAGGGAATGGCATCCTTACACGATTAAGTTCAATATTTCTTGGTTTTGCGCCTCCATTTCTTCTTCTGTCAATTGGGTATATCTCGTTACAAGACTTAGCTGTGGATGAGAGTTCACTGGTTATATGGATGATCTTTCTGTTCTCATGTTTTCCACGATCTGTTTGCAGTTATGAAGCTGTCTTTTACAGTGCTCTCGCTGTTGTACTTATGGCATGGATATTGTTTGAGAACGCCTCTCATTTTTCTGGCAAAGTAAAAGATTCATCTCTATCAGAACAAAACATGGAGGAACATGTCACTATTGGAAGTGACGAGAGATACCTGCAGCTATCAGATGTCCGGATTCCTTTGATTTTTGTAAGTCATCTTCTCCCTTTCACGATTAAAGGTTAAGACATAAGAGCGCTGTTACATTTGAACAAAATAGCAGGTACATATATAATCGAGGTATTTGTTCTGCAGATGGTTTTGTTCAATGTGGCTTTCTTCGGAACTGGAAATTTTGCAAGTATAGCAAGTTTTGAGATATCATCAGTATATCGGTTCATCACAATCTTCAGCGTGAGTATCTAGAATATAGAAAAAGAAAAAAAAAAAAAGAAATTCATGGTTGCTTGCTTTTTCTTAGAATGTGTGAATCTACATAGTATTAAGTAAAACCTCTTTGCCTCTCTACAGCCCTTTTTGATGGCTGCTCTTCTTATATTCAAGCTCTTCATACCGTTCATGCTTGTCATGTGAGTAAAAATGCTAACCCAAACTCAGTAATCATTCACACTTTTTAATCCTTAAGTCTCTCTTTTTGATGTTCTTGTTTTTGGTTAACTACTTGTGTAATTGCAGATGTGTGCTCAGTGCAATAACGAAATTAGTGAGAGTGCCAAGACTGGGATGTTACTTCCTTGTGATCTTGTTTTCAGACATAATGACGATACATTTCTTCTTCCTGGTAAGTAAAACACTCGGCACAAAACATTCATAGCATCAAAACATTTGATTTTTGTACCGAGCTTGGCTTTACTTTTCTTAGCATCGAGCTACATTATGTAGTGCATAATATTCTTGCTTGAAGCAGTAAATAACTAGTAATGATTTGTAATGATTCAGGTGAGAAACACAGGAAGCTGGATGGAAATTGGGAATAGTATAAGCCATTTTGGGATTGTGAGTGCTCAAGTGGTCTTTGTGCTTTTACTCTTTGCACTCACAAACCTCTACACCAGAAGCATCCGAGTTAAGCCGCCCTCAACCTCCCCTTCTCTCAAAACGCTCTGAGAGAGAACACAGATGGGAAATTTTGTGACAGAATGTAGCAAATCTAATTTTTAGTTAGAGCAGGAGTTTAAATTATATATCATTTGCTTGCTCTATGAATTTTTCCCTTTTCTTTCTAGCTTTACCATGTGAAGTTTTTTGTTTTAAACGGTTCGATCTACCCACCACGATTTCGTGGTCTGTGAGAACAAAAACGAAGGCAGACATCAAAAGAAACAAGTGGGAGGTTTGAATTTGATTGATTGGACGAGAAACTTGGTTGTAAGGGTTCCTGGGGCCGGACGGAGATTGGCCCTCGAGTGCAAAGGCAGAAGTGAGCCTGGGTTTGTTTGGGCCAATCAGATTTAAGCTTTTCCCATAATAATGGGCTTGTGAAGGCTTTTAATTTTCTCCTTGACAAGTTTGTTAGTTTTTACCATATATACCCCTTACTGATCGCCACGTTGTTTCCTTGTAGTTAGTGTTGATCATTCAGATTCTTTTTCTTTCTTCTGTTGTCGTCGACTCGTTGTTGATCGTTTACACTTGCAACTACGACTTCAACTGAAATTATTTAGCTGGTAAACTCGTCAAAATAATAAAGTAAAACTATATAAATAAATCTACATACAAACACGTCATTGCAATCCACATTCAAGTTTTATGGCTTCAATGAGTGCAGGAGACACAGGAGGAGGATCATTAACAACACTTTGTGACCAAGATTTTGTTAGATTTATAGAGCTTTTGACATTGTTATTTGGGTAGAAGCTTTTCATTTCTTCTTCTGCGCCCCAACCTCGGTATAGTATCACTTTACTTGGCTCCTGCGACACCAGAAGAGCTCCTGTTTCTTCCTGCAGATTATTCAATTCAACACCAAATGGTTTTAAAAAAAAAAATACGAAAGCCAAAAACGGATCAACAACTAATGGTTGGTTTTAACTTGTAGTGTCCACCTTGAGCTTTGCGATGACTTCTTGGACGGATGTTCCCTTGGCCCTCCCTTTGACGTTTACGATTGCTAGAGGGTTTCTCTGAAAATGCATCTTCAGTGTTCTAGCTATACCGGTTACAACGTTGCTTCTTCCTACAATATTGAAAACCGTTAGCGAGTATTATGGTCAATAACAGTAAGTTGATAACTATTATAATGTGCCAAGTGAGTCTACCACCATTGATCATAGAAGGCATTGAGGTTATGTAATGAGCAAAGAGTATTGAAGATAGTAACAAAACTCACCTACTGCAAAGGGTGGGCGCTTCTTCATCTTAAGGGCTTGTTTTCTCAGAATGAGCCTTTCTCTATTGGACAGATCTGTCACCACCCCATCATTTTCGCTTCTGCTCTCTGTCAGACCTGAGTTTCGTGAGCCACTTCCGGTTGATGATCCCACTTCTTTTCCACTTGGTACTTTTCGCTCAGCATTCAGTACGCTGTTGCGCGGCTAAAAAATTTGGTAACTAATTAGATATTGCACTCATAGGGCCAAAGAGGAAAGAGAAGAGTTTTCGACATTACCATGGATCTATCATGAAATGAAGAAGCCTTGGCAAAACGGGTCTCTGCAACTACAGAGCCAGAGCCAGAGCCAGAGCCAGTTTCATCTTCGAGACTGCTCGTAGTATATCGGTTTACTTCATCTTTGCTGTCATCCTTAGAAAATATTTACCAATGCAGTCTCAGTATTCAGGCTCACATTTAAGTAATCCAGAGATTACATTAATATCCAAATTTACGTGATGCTAGCTTTTCAATAGATGCCAAGTTACTGGGCATACAAATATTATATGCATCAGACCAATATGCAAGAAACTTCAAGTAGGAGCTAAGAATCTTACCTCCCAGTTCTCTACATCAGAGGAAGGAACTGTTGAGTCAGAAGAACAGCCTAGTTCATCAACTTTTTCTCTTAGTTTCTCGGGCCCAATTTGCTGATTTGATGTTTCTTCCTGGACCTAGAACAAAATATGGAGAACTGAGAAAATCACAGAAGCATAGGTGTAGCATCAATAACTGACATGAGTTTACTGAAATAATAATTTACCATTCCGTTACTTGATTCCCCATCTGACCACGTTTCATTGGTCGCACTGTCCCCAACCTGCCAGCAACCAGCATTTCAAATGTTTCAAATGTTACAAATGTTACGACCATCTTCAAGGATTGTTTAAGCAAATCAAGCTGAGCAAAACATATGACTTACCAACTGACGGTTCAATTCATCAATGTTGTTTGAAAGTTTCAGCACATGCAGCTTTAATGACTGCATTAGTTTAAGCAGAATGTAAAAAATACACGTGAGGAAATCACAAAACCAATTTGAAAGCCTTCAGGTAATTTTAGAGCTTACAGAACAATTTCGTCTGGTCAAGAATTTGTTATGATTTCTTACCTTTCGACGTTGTGCCTCCACAGATCGTTTTAGTGCTTCTCTCTTACTGAGAAGTGTTTGAGGTCGTAGACATGTCGGCCGCTCGTAATTCTTTCCACGGTATACAATAATTGCATAGCCCTTACTCACCATCTCGACAGCAACTAGTATGCCACCACTCTCTGCTTCCAAGATTTCTGCTACTTCGTGTGCAGCTTCACTGCTCTGTTCATTACAGATAATCTTCACAAGTTCCCTATACTTCCAGTGAAGATGCATGTTCTCTATTGTTCCATCAAAGACCCCTCGTCTACCTTGAGAGCACAACAAGATATGTCAGAACGGACAGACTAACGCATAACATGTCAAAGAGTCGAGTCCACGACAGTTACTCATTTAGCACATATATTACATGAAAAACGGGAACAGACTAGTGGAGAAGGAGGAAAAACAATCACCTACCTAGTAAAAGGAAAGGTTTCATTTTCAAGCCAATTTTCCGTAGCATGTACTTTTCGTCAACAGTAATCCCCTCCTTGTCGATATCCGACTGTTGAGGACTCTCCCTATTCTCCAGCTCTGCCAGTATTTTTTCTGCATTCGCTTTCTTTTCTAACGCCTAAAGAGGAAACTAATCATTCACTAGTAAATAGCTTGCAAACCCAATTAATTCAAGTATAACATGTCTTCTAGGGCATACCATGGACAACTTGATGCTAGTTCTTTCGAGGATTGCCTCAGGAGATTTCCGCTGTCTTGGTTTCATTTGCTGGGTTTGTATATGATCCTTTTTATACTCAGCTTCTAGTTCAGAGTCGTGTGTAGCAGTCAGCTTATTACCATGCACGCTTGATTTCTCCATGATCATTGTTTGCCGTCTCCTCTCTTGTATTGCAGAAGAAACTGCAGATGGTAGGAAATCTTTTCCTCGGTACAGGACAATAAAATCTTTATCCCGAGATATCAGAGTCCCTCCAGTCAACCACTGCATCAGACATTATATCGTCTCATCAATAGATATCTTCGGTTATATCAATATGGGGCTCCAAAGGGCATAGTTTCCTATTGTTCGCAAACAGGAACACAATTTTTTAAAAAAACTTTGATAATTTAAAGTAAACCAGCAACCTTTAACTCTTCTGCCATCAGTTCGCTATTAGTGTTCTGCACTCCTCTCTTCACTGCTATCTTGACAAGCTCACATTTCTCCCAAAGCTTGACAACTGCAACAGCTAGTCCCTGCAAATTTCTATTTCTACCTGGAAGTTGCAGAAAAAGGTAAGCCAGAATAAGTCAACAGTCTTTAAAGAATCTATGATCAGAGGGCAAAGGAAGCTTACCTAAAGCGAAATGACAAGGTAGTGGTCTACCAAGTCTTCTTAAAGTGGTCATTTCATCATCAGTGAGTTTTGGGCTCACGCCGAATGGAAGAAGACGAAATGGTCTCCTGTACTCAGATACTACCGCTGGCAGAAGATCGCCATCTACTGGAAGAGGATCATATGCCCACCAGTCAGTGAATCTTGGACCCAATCCTTCCAGCAAACGGTCTGCTTCTTCCACTAGCTGAACTTCACCAGGTAATTGAAACCGAACCTTATCCGGAGAACCAACACCTTGTATCAACAAAGGTTTAATCATTTTACTAGTAATACTCCGGGCAAGAGATTCTGTACTACTCTGTTTCTCTCTAGTATCAGCCACTTCCTCGTTAATAGATGATGCCACTGAAGCAGTTTCCACAGAAGAATCATGTGTCAAATTCCCATCAGATACGAAATAAGGGTACTGATAATTTACCCCTCTATACAACAAAATTTTGCTTCCAGATCTCCAAATGACCAATCCTCCAGTTTTCGTCTGCGAAATCAACCAAGAGAAATATGAACACTATCTACATAAATCTTGCCATTCGTTGATATATTCATAGATTCCAAATCAATCTGAGCTTTTAGTTGAATTGGTCAAAGTTCCTGAATTAGAAATTGGAAGAAATCGAACCTAGAGAGGCAGAAAAAGTTTTACAAACCTCCAAGACGTCATGGGTCCGTTTCATGTTCATTCTGGAAATATCCTCGCAGAAAATCTTCACAACCTCCGTTGTCCTCCATCTCTCGTGAATCCCATTAACGATCCCTTCAGTAACACCGGCTTTGCCAATCTTAAGCTTCTTCGTCAACCTAATGCCAGCCGACCTCAACCGCCTCAGCTCCGCTGGCGGCAAAGTCAATTCCGCCAGCGACGGAACCTTCTCCTCATTCTTCCTCTCTAACTCCTTTTCCTTCTTCCACACTCTCTTCAACTCATGATACCTGGAAATGGCAGTGCCCGAACCTGGCCTCGGAACCGGGTAACTGGGCGTGCTCCAGCTTGTGTCAATTGTGTGCCCGACCCGGTGGATCGGGAGCTGGTTTGGCAGAGGAACGAATATCTCACCGGGGGAACTTCTACCAGATTCTTCCCCCGTGATTTTCGTAGTCGGAGAATCACGATTCTCTTCCACGAACCCAAGGCTGCGGAGTTTCTCAGCGATTCTCTGGATGGCGGATTGGGGAAGAGTCTTTCGATCGGAGGCAGAACTATGGACGAAGAAGTTCGCTCGACGAACATTGCATCGCGAAATTAAGGTTGTAGGAACCAGGAATGGCGGGAAAATTCGATCGGGAAAGGTTTTGGGAGGTAATAATGGTGGTTGCTGGTGATACAGAGGAAGCAACATTTTCGCTACAGACGAAGCAAGCAAGAGGCGAGAGCACACTACACTATATCCACATGCACATGATTGTCACGTGTGTGTATAATACATATGTTTTTAATATACATGGACTAAATGAAGACCCAATGGGCCTATGATTAGTTTCTGGGCCACCAGTCTATCTCAATTTTGGTTATTCGGGTCGGGTCATTCCGGTGTACCAGGACAATGATGGATGGATAGAGAGGTTGACATTTTTCTGTTAAGCTTCAATGGCGGATAATTCCAAATTTCCTCGAAAGAAGTAAAGCCTGATTCGCATTAGATCAACGAAGATTTTGAAATTCTGAGGATTGAAATCATGGGTATTTTCAGTTACGCCGTCGCCGGCGGCGGGTTTGCAGTAATCGGCGCGTGGGAGTCACTCGACTCATCGAACCTTGATCCGAATCCATCAACTGGTACTGATCCACCTTCTCCTACAGCTCAGATCACACCTTCTCCACCCAAATCTGTTGGATCGTCTTCCATCCCCGTAGCTTTGCTTTCGTCTCTGTTTATTGCCAACTCCATTTTCTCCTTCTTCAGTTCAATCGAATCCCGCGATCGGGTCGGGTCGATGCTCCAGCTACAGATCCTGGCGGTCGCAGTTTTATTCCTAGTCTACGCCATTATAACCTATCTGGTCAACTCCAAAAACGCAGTCTTTGTTGCTCTTCCGTCTTCGATCACTAGTTTGTTGCTTCTCTTTGGCTTCGTCGAGGAGTTCCTAATGTTCTACCTACAAAAGAAGGATACCTCTGGAATCGAGAATCGCTACTACGATCTCATGCTCGTCCCCATTGCGATCTGCGTCTTCTCCACGATTTTCGAGCTGAAATCCGACGCAAACACTCATCGATTCGCGAAGTTAGGTCGCGGGATCGGTCTGATCCTGCAAGGAACTTGGTTTCTGCAGATGGGTATATCGTTTTTCACCGGTTTGATCACGAATAATTGCACATTTCACGAGAAGAGCAGAGGCAACTTCACGATCAAGTGCAAAGGACACAGTGATTATCACCGAGCAAAGGCCATAGCAACCCTTCAGTTTAACTGTCATTTGGCTCTAATGGTGGTTTTAGCTACTGGACTGTTCTCTGTTGTTGCAAACAAGAAAGGTTATCTCCGTGAAGATCACTCAAAATATCGGCCTCTCGGAGCTGAGATGGAGAATTTAAGTACTTTCACTCTCGATTCTGATGAAGAAGACGAGATTCGAGAAGAGACCAACGTAGCCAAGGAGCCTGGTCTAAATGGAATCAGCTCACACTAGTAAAGGTACAAACCAAAGTTTCAGACTTTTCTCATTTTGGTTTCGTGTCTGTCGATCCATGGGAGGATTGAAGATGATATGTAACCAAACATACGATACAATAACGTTGAATCTTTTGCATTTGTAACAGAAGAAATTTTTTTTATGAATAAACCTCGTAGAGAAAACTTGTCTTCCTCCTTACGGTTTGCTAGTTAGTTCTTAAGCTACTACAAGTTAGACTAAGTCGACTGTGTCAAAGAAACCGAAACTGGTCTTTCTCTCATTTAGGGGACTTTTCTTCTTCTTCACCGCCTTGATCACTACTACTCTTAAAATACTTGCATAGAACTATGTAGACCACAAAGCTTACTGTACTTGTAAGAGCAAGAAGCCAGTAGTATTTGTCAAGCCGAGCTTCTGACATATCATCTGCAAACCAGTTTTGCCGTTCGCCTGTTGAGCTCGAGTAAGCCTCGACGATTGAGATCAGCGCGGCGCTCACAAAGCTTCCAACACCAAAAACACTTGTGTAGAGAGCAAACCCCATTGTTCTCATCCTAACCGGAACCTCGCTGTAGAAAAACTCCTGCATCCCAACGACTGTGAAAATGTCTGAGATTCCCAAGAGGATATACTGAGGTAAAAGCCAGAAGATGTTCAGCGGGATAGTTTCTGGATCATAATCAGGTAGAGTCTTCATCTTTTGGCTTATGTCTAGTCTTCTTTTTTCGACTAATGCCGCAATTACAATGGCAATGATCGATAGGAACATTCCAACTCCCATTCTCTCCATCACGGAGATACCTTTACCGTTGTTCTTGATTCTTTTGGTGACAGGGATCAACATCTTATCGTACAGCGGCATAAGAAGGATTATCGATAAGGTGATGGTGCTTTGCAGGGTTGCAGGTGGTATTTTGAAGCTGGAGCCGATGTTTCGCTTCATGGTCATGCCTTGTTTGGTGAAAAAAGTCGCTGGTAGCTGGAAGATGACCGCAAACATGAGAAGCATCGTCCATATGGGCAAAAGGCGAAGCACTAACTTGACATTATCAACTCCAGAGAAAACCGTTTTCGAACTTCCATCATCCAGTTTCTTGGTGGGTGTTGAAGCATCCTCAATGTCTTCGGCCTCAGCGTTATCACATTTACAGAGAGGCCTCTCTTGTAGCCTGCATGAACAAGAAACGGTCATCGTAAGTCACTAAAAACTTCTAAAGAAATACGGAAGATTGTTAGGACTCACTCTAGCTCCATAGCATCCAAATCTTCCTCATCTGCAAGTGTATATTTGCTTCTCTGCTTCTTCGCTACTCTCCCTTTGATGAATTTAAGGATCTTCTCAAATGGAGTAGCGGTTCTTTTCATCTTCAAGCCGGCACCAGGACCATAGACATAGATTCCGCAACCCGACAAGAACAACAAGATCAAGAGGAACATAGCGATCCCGGGTATGGCGAAACCGAGGACCCAACCAAAAGTGTCTTGGATATAAGCCATCACTGTGACACCCATAAGGCTTCCAGTGCAGACGCCAAAGTACCACCATTGGAAAAACTGAGTCTTGCGGGTAGCTTTAGCGTCCTTTTGATCAGCCGAGGGAAGCCCCGAGTCCTTATCGAGGTCGTGGTCTAGCTGGTCCGCACCAAAGGCTTGAAGAGAAGGGTTTAAGACGCCTAACCCGATTGAGACAAGACATAGTGAAGAGTAGAGAAAATAAGTAGAAATTGTCTTCGTAGCTGAACGTGAACCAGCAAATGCCGTCCATGTCAATCCCACTAGTCCCTTTGTAATAATATAATAGAGTTAATCATCACATATGTAACAAAAGGAAAAAATCGAATTTTCCACTAAGCTAGCTTTCTGCCAATAAGGTCCGATAAGACCCATTATGAGCACTATCAACATTATAATCGTAATTCCATTATCATCCCTATTAAAATGTTATTATAAAAGTAAGACATATGTTATAATCACCATTGGTTAAAGAAAACTATAACCGGACCCGTGACCCAATATCTAAAAAACTTTTTACTATTTAAGATAATCTAAAGCCATTATTTCAAACACTACTTAGTACATGTAGTAGTCACTTCTTTAAATCGGACACCTAAGTTTTAACTACCCCGTCTAAATCTTTTTGTAGTAATAGTGTACTTAGTGCCCTCATCACTTCATGAATGATTAAGCATATACATAACAGACATATATGAGACCCACTATCAACATATAGTCAATTTCGCTAACAAAACCTTCAAAAAACGCTAATCGGAAGATGACCCAATACTTATATCTCATTGCCTAAACCAAAATTTTTGACGGTGGAAGAGAGTTTCAACATTTATACACTTCATGATGAGTGTTTCAATATATATATTACACAAATATGTACACATATCGTTACACTTACATGTAAGAGATTCTTACCACAAAGTAGACAGAAGAAGAAACGAGGATAGTGAAGAATCTGTCCCAATACGCATCAGCCAAAGGAGCAGAGAAGAGAGGCAACATGGAAGTGAAACCAGCCCAAGTATTGACAGTCTTAGCTGCTCTTGAATTACTCATCTTCACTACATCTGTTAGATATGTCACTAAGTTTGATGCAACTCCTTTGAATGCATATCTCTCCATTCCAGCAATCACTATATACACAAAAACATTATATATAATTAACAAATGTTTAGTCTCAGTGAAGTCTGAATCTTTGAAACAAACAAAAAGGAAATATCATTTTTATTTACCTATGAGAAGGGCACATGATTTTCCAAGTCCTCTTGTCTTCTGTTCTAAATCCATTAGAGGCTGCCTTTATGTGCTTATTGTCTGTGTGTGTAGAGAGAGAGACTGACAGAGAGAGAGAGGGTGGGGGGGGAGGAGAAAGAGATTTGGTTATTTGTATATATGTAGGAGATTAGATGATTTGTGCGATTAATCTTCGTATATATAAAGGTTTAAAATCATAATCTCTTCGGTGGGAAGCCTTCCATTAATGGTCAGAGATATAAATCCATATTTGGAATTTTTTTTTTTTATCTTTGCCTTCAAACCTACATGTATATATATGTAGAATTGTAGATGGGTGGATGTGTGTGTTCACTATGTTTATATATACGTATATTATTATTATTATATTAAAAACTTTTCTATTATTCTTTGTTTTTGCAATACTTTTTCTGTTTCTTCTAATCAAATGTTTACAATATTTTTTACGAATTAACGACACAGTTATATCACCCAGTCTATCATTATTCTGTAACTTGATTTTTATCAAGTGCTACTTCAATAAATGAAATTAATATTCTATTTACTGCAAATGATATTGAATAATTCATAAAAAATTAAAACAGAACGACGTAACGTAAAAAGTACAAATATACTTAAAAGATTGATTTTTGTTGTTTGTAGAAATTGAACTCGATCAAAGATGTCGACATTGTCGAGCCAAATGAAATGACTGAATATTTAGAAGAAATACGTGAAACTAATGTTTCAATAAAAGGAAACCTAGTTGAAGTAGATTAGGAAACTCGATACATGTAATCTAGTTGATTCATATATATCAAATATATTCCTGATTCTGAAAACAAATATGATATACACAAAGCTCTCTTATGTTTTAAGAAATTCCCTAGCATTTTATTGAGAAGTAGTAACGATAAATCAAGAGATGTACTTGTTTTTTTTCAAAAAATTCTGATAGATTAACTTTGCTGTTTCCTTCTATTTCTAATTAAAAACTAATCAGCCAATAGCCTTTTAGTTTTTTTCCCCCCTTATCGACACCCTTAGTTAAAAAGAGAGAGAGTGAATCACGTAAATATCAAAAAAGAAATTTGTATGAATTTACAAGAATATGTCGAAATAAAGATGCGGTATGCAATCAATAAAAATGGACCAACTATATCATTTAGCTTTTCCTAGCTACTAGACTGAATTCATCTTTAGTTATACAGATATATGAAAAAGAAATAACAATAATTAAAGTTATCATCCTTTCATTTATAGTTGGCGTATTGATTTCTTTTTCTATATAAACGTTTTTCTGTATGTTCTTTATTATTCTTTTTCTTCACGCTCCCTTATCGCAATTTTCGTGGGTTTTCTTTTATTTTCTTTTTCTATTTGTTAAATAATTTAATATAACTTATATTTTGTTTATTTTTTCTAATTTCCATTGTTTTCCTTTCACGTATTGTTCTTGTTTTTTCTAAGAAGGAAATCATTTAATCATCAAAGTTTGATTAGTATTGTTCTATTTTTTTTAAAAAAAAATTAGTATTAATTGTTCTACTCTATTTATGGTTACAGAAAATCTAATAATATGTATTAGCTAAAAGAAACTTTTTTTTTTTGTTGAACCATCAAAAGAAACTAATTTGATGTAATTTTGTTTTGGTTTAGATAAATTTTGTCAGAGATTTCTTTCAAGGAAAACTCAAACAAACTTAAATTTCTATTCAGGTTCACGAAGAGCTTTGACAGAAAAGGTATACACGAAGAAGCTGCATACAATACAAGCAAGTAAGTGCAATCGTCATGTAGGTTTATCATGTGGCACGTTTCGTGAATAGCGAATAGCCGAATACACGAACAAACCACGTGTATGCCAAGTGTCTTATACTACAACGGATGCATTTAAACACTTGTGGCTTTTTTAATTAAGGAATAATAGAAATAAACTAAAGAGATACGTTAATCGTATAATTTATTTGTAGTATGAAGTTACGTTGTGCAGTACTGTAAAATCATTCATGGACATAATTCGTATTTAAATGAGATCAGTTACAAAATAAACATAGCAGATTTAATAGTTTGTAAACTAATAATGTTTTACTTATGACTTTTTTATTTAATCTCTGTAAAAACAAAATGTATACTTTACTTATGTATTATGAAAAAATTGTATAGTACCTGAAATCAATGACATAATAATGTCGGAACAGAAAATGTAGGATGAAGTTCTATTAGCGTAACGATTTCTTCGATGTTGTAACTAAAAGTGAAATAAAAGTGATCGTGAAAGAAACAAAAATTTAAAAGTGTTCTATACTTCGGGACATTTTGTGAACAACTTTTTTGGTTCATTGACCGACTTAGTGGGATTTTTGGAATTAAAATTTAATCTAAAAACATTTGCAGAGATGTAACGCTGATATTGGCCTTCCAAATTCAGTGGTGTATTGTACATTTAACTGGATTGTTATCAAATGGAACAGAAAGTGCGGAGAAAATGAGGACTTAGAAGAATATACTAAGTGAGCAATTCGAAAATTTTAAAAGAAATATAGATTTCTTATTTTCGGAAGTAGGAATTTAACTATACTGTAAATAGAATTGTTTCGTTACGTGTACCAACGTGTCAAAAAGAACCATTCCTTGTTTGTTTCCATCAACAGCATATATATCTAATTAATTTCGGACAGTAACGCAGCGATATAGTGCAAACTGCACACCATTACGCAACAACGTCGTGGTTCATTAGTGATAAGATGATCAAAACCCTAATAGGATATGCATGGTTCTGGAATGCTAGAAAACTTATATACTACGTACGTAAGATGAAATTCCAATAAAATACAACGATGATCTACTTTTTCTATGTATTTTTGGTTTTTGGGGTAAATATTAATTGCTATTAGATAACAGTCGCAATAATGGTTGAAAAAGCTAAAGTTTTTCTTAAGAGAAAAAGAGATGATAAAATCAACTTTAGGGTTTGGCTTTGGAGAAAGTTGGTGTCGACGTGCACCAAATTTTTAAAGAACAGCTTCCGTGCATCAAACTTCTCTCCTCTCGGACATGTATCTTGCCACGTGGCTCATGTGTTTATCCACCTGGATTTATCTACGTCATTGCGTGATATTTGCCTATGGATATTTTTTTATTCAGAGGCTGGCGCCAAATACTTTATTTTCTTCTCTCTTTTTTTTGACAAATAATGTTTTCTTTAACGTTATCGATTAGTGTTTTTTAATATACGTTAATTTTTTTTTATGTGGTCCAATAATGTTGACCACAAAGAGAAAAGGTGAAGATGATTCATCGTCCAATAATCTTAAAAAAAAAAAAATTAAATAGAATTGTTAAATCCGTAAATTATTCAATATGCTGAGAATAAAAAAATCAATATGAAACAACGGTGAAATTTTTATTATCAGCTTGTTTCAAAAATAATGCTACTTTAAGGAAGATAAAATGAATTTGCCGGCACAAAAAAAACACTAAGATAAAATTTTGGTTTAACTTGAGATCCATATTATTTAGATTGCACTCTTACAATATACAAAAGTCTTTACCAGTTCACCACAATATGATAAAATCACCAATATATACTATATAATATTTATTCATATAACTAAAATATGACACTGTAGAAGGTTTTTATATAACTAGCTAACTTTTTGTATCAAAACTATATTGGAAACTAAAAGCTCTATTGTTGAGAACCTGAGAGCAACACGTACTTACGTTTGATGGGCACGTGAATTGCGAAAGCTATTGAAAGATAAACATACATTAATTCGTGTGTAAAGTATACTAATATAGTAAAATACATGAAACTATATGTCACTAGTCGATTACTAACTACCAGAAATTATGAATTGCACTTTGTAGTGTACCCCACGGCCCACGCTATGGTGGTTTAGTGAGATGGAAGTCATTTTGGATTTCAAAGGAGAAGGGGAACAGATAACACTGTGTCTACCTGAGACAATATCATTTCATGTATTGTTGCTAATGAATAAAAAAAAAAGACAAATATTCTCAACTACAAAAAGCATCAAAAACTAGTTGCAAATAAATAAACAAAAACTAAAAATTTAAGAATTTCCTGAATCACTAATAACATATTAATCGTTGGGTCCCTAATCCTTATCTACATGCTACGTAAACTCGCACTTAACGAACACAAGTTTCTTTCATACGATCTAAAGTGTCTACGTACGCCTGCGTGAACACTTATAAACTTGTATATTTGTTTATATTAATGTGATAAAAACACTTGCAAGGTAGTATCGGCTTGGTGCTATCACATTGATTACCACTGGCATAAAACATATGTTATTAATGCTTCACTAACATTTTAAGATTATAGTATTCTTATGGTGCCTTTCTACACAACATTATAGGCTCCAAGTAATGATTTAAATATGACTAAAACATTACTTTGTTAAAAAAGTATACTTTTTGTTTTCCTTTTTTACTATATCATTTTGACCTTTATATTAGTATTATATGTTAGTGTTTGGGTTGCGTCTGACATCTTTAACACATTCTGCTACATTTCTATACAACACCATTCTCCCGATAAAGTTCGTTACTAGTATAACACCAAAAGACAACAGTGTAAAAACATTCAACTTTCTTGGTTTTTAACCATTTGTATAAATTATATAATTAGGACTAATTGCATATGTCTTCAATGCATTAATGTCGACATACGCATAAACTAGGTTCTTGTATATCTAATAAACTCAAATGGGGTAACTGCCGTATATCGACCATCTCCAATCGACCATGACATAGGAAAGCTTGGGGATTATAAGTCTGGTCCATTTCACATACATATAACAATTTTTATGAATACATGTATTATAATATATATGACCATAACATACAGTTTGTATACGAATACTATCAAAAATGAAATCATGATTACATATATAACACTTTTATTAAAAAAAACATATATACAGTACATCCTTAATAACAAATCATTTGCTTTATTACACTATTTACTTTCAAAAAAATCGTTTCTTATATATAAGTACTACTACTGTATTCGTAGAATTACTAAGAAAGTTGAATGTAATTTACACTATTGTCTCCATAGCCTCCCAATTAAAAAAACGGTGTCGTTCCTTGGTGAGGTAATTTCGTAAATTAGGGTAATTATTAGTGGTACAATTGTCATTCCCGTAGGCAGGGGTAGAGTCGGTAATAAGGAAGATAGGAGCTCTCCTCATCGTCGATTTACTTTCCTCCGCTTCTCTCTCTCGCTCTCCTCCTTCAGCAGATCTGAGTTTGGACTAGAAGAAAACTTCGTTACCAGGTTCGTATTATGGGTCTCCTTTAATTTACTCATCGACACTCGTTTGTTTCTGGGAAGCTTTGATCTTCCGATTATTTTCCTTAGGATTCGCTTAGGTTTATGAGCGCCTTTAGATCGAGTTTGGTTATTGTATGCTCTCATGACTGGAATTGTACGGTTTGGTAATTCTCTTTTTGATCTTGTTAAATTTTACTTGAACTCGTCTGTATATGATTTAGTCATTGCCATGTTACATGGTGATTGTCACAATCAGATTGTGCTGATGAAACGCTTGAACTCAAGTCCGAAAATAGATCGATTCATGCTTTCTGCTCTGCCTGTGACTAAGAAACATGCTTAGTTTTGGTTTTCTTCTTCATATAGATCATCCGTGTGCTTTCATGTGTTGGCTGTGATAATTAGTTGATTGTTATGCTTAGTTAACAAAGTTTTGTGTTGTATCATCTCAACATCTGATCGGAATGAAAAGGATCTAAGCTTTGCTTGGATATATACTCATGCTTGTGTTCCCTCTCGATTTGAATTGCAAATTTTTGTTTTCTATCGTATCCTAATTGAAACTTAAAGGCGATTATTCTCTTGTTAATACTTGTGGATTACTGGCTCCAAGCTATATATATATATGAACCTTTTGTTTTTCTTTTACGGACCATAATCTAAGATGTTTCATGAACCTTGATCATTTTTTTTAGGTGTTTTTGGCCACACCGAGTTAATCCACAATATAGCAGGGAAACATGCCTCCCCAGAAGATTGAAACTGGTCATAGTGACATTGTCCATGACGTGGTCATGGATTACTACGGAAAGCGAGTAGCGACCGCCTCATCTGACTGCACCATTAAGATAACCGGCGTAAGCAACAGTGCCGGATCTCAGCAGCTCGCTACCTTAACGGGTCACCGGGGTCCTGTCTGGCAAGTAGCTTGGGCACACCCAAAGTTTGGCTCGCTCCTTGCTTCATGTTCCTACGATGGGCAAATCATTCTATGGAAAGAAGGTAACCAGAACGAGTGGACACAGGCTCACGTCTTCACAGACCACAAAGTATCAGTCAACTCTATCGCTTGGGCTCCTCATGAGCTCGGACTCTCCTTGGCTTGTGGAGCATCCGATGGAAACATATCTGTTTTCTCAGCTAGAGCCGACGGCGGTTGGGACACGACAAAGATAGACCAAGCACACCCGGTTGGAGTCACTTCAGTCTCGTGGGCACCAGCCACAGAACCAGGCGCACTGGTTAGCTCCGGTATGAAAGAACCGGTTTACAAATTAGCATCGGGCGGGTGTGATAGCACGGTGAAGGTGTGGAAATTCGCCAACGGGTCGTGGAAAATGGACTGTTTCCCGGCTCTGCACAAGCACACGGACTGGGTCCGTGACGTGGCTTGGGCACCCAACTTGGGTCTCCCCAAGTCAACCATAGCGAGTGGCTCAGAAGATGGGAATGTGATCATATGGACGGTAGGGAAAGAAGGTGAGCAATGGGAAGGAAAGGTTTTGAAAGATTTCAAGACACCCGTGTGGCGTGTCTCGTGGTCCTTGACCGGTAACCTTCTCGCTGTTTCCGATGGCAACAATAACGTTACGGTCTGGAAAGAGGCCGTTGATGGAGACTGGGAACAAGTGACTGTTGTTGACCCATAGATTGTCTTTTTCTTTTGTGGTAATATCATCATATCTGGTTTCTTTATACATTTTCTAGGGGCTTGTTTCTCTCTATACAGTTTCTCAGAAAACTATATTTTATGTATTTTAATCAGACATCAAAGATTGCAAAAAAAAAAAATGTATCTTTCATTATTTTAGTTGCTTATTTTTTTTTGTAGAATTCACCAACTGATTTACTCAATTTTAAACACCGAATCACATCATTCACCAAGGGTGGAAAACTTTTTTTAGGTCACGTGAGTAAATTAAGTCTGTGATCCTCCTCGGAACGGCGTTAAAAAAGTGAAATTAATTTGATTTACATACTTTTTGCCGCTGGCGCTAAAAAAATGTTTAATAAAAATATCCGGCGCTGCATCTATTGACAATATTACCCTTTCACATCTCCGATTATACACTGTAAGGAGCAAGGGTGTTTTCGTCATTGAGAATGATATCAAGCAAAGGGGTGAACCGCCTATTTCATAATTCGAAATCTCCCCCCGCTTTGGTAAAAGTTTTATTTTTCCCGAAGTCTAGCCAAAGCTTTGAGAGATCCAAATCTCAAAAAAAAAGTTCGCTCTCTCTGATTTTCGCCGGAGAAAAAATGTCTTCGATTGTTTCAGAAGATGTAGATTATCTGGGTCTGCAATCTTATAGCCGCAAGGAGAAATCTCTAGGGCTTTTAGTCTCCAAGTATACTCTCTCTCTCTCTCTCACGAATTTGTGGTTTCTCGAGATTCTCACCTGATTTTTTTCTTTGGATTTCTAATTCAATTGATGTCTTGTGTACGATCCAGTTTCTTGAGACTGTACAACCGAGACGATGTTGATTTGATTGGGCTCGATGACGCCGCTGGGAAATTAGGTGATTTCGATTTGTCGCATTCGATTCCAAAATTAAGAACAATTGGTCTGTTTGCTTACGCTCATCGATTTCTCAAATTTTCGCAGGCGTTGAACGCCGGCGTATATATGATGTGGTCAATATACTCGAGAGCATTGGGGTAAATTTTTTTTCTGAGTTTTCTCACATGACGCTGTCTGATCTCTTATGCTGAATCGATATTCGTGGTGAATGTACTCAGGTTGTGGCGAGAAAAGGAAAAAATAAATACTCGTGGAAAGGTTTTGGAGAGGTTCCTCGGTCTCTAGATGAACTTAAGGTACTTGTAAAAGTCTCGATGTTGGTCTCATTGTCTGGTTTAGATGATGCTGGAGAGTGGTTTTGAAACTAGTCTTAGCGATGTTTATCTTGTTTGCAGGAAGAAGGAATGCGAGAGAGGTCTGGTATCTCAATCATCAGCAGCTCAGAGAAGGTGTACATTTTGCAGTTTCTATATTATTGTTGAATTTTGTAGATCCTATAAGTGGGTAGGAACTTGTGTATGTGATCCTGTGATTCTCTTGTCATTAACAAGAATTTTCGTGCTCATCTTGGCCTTTTGGCTCTTGTGATCAAACGTCATCAGGTTTCAAGTGATGATGACAGAGAAGAATCTTTCAGTCTAACACCTGATGATCAAGAAAACTCATCACTCTCTAAAACCGGTATTCTTCTCTTTATAGTGCTTTGTTATCTTAGAGTATCTATTATCAACAGGCATCTTCTTTGTAGTTGATAAAACTTTCCCTGGATGAGATCTGTGTTAGGAACTAACTATTATTATCTCTCTTCTTTTTAGACCACAAGAAGGAGAAAACTCTTTGGCTTCTCTCACAGAACTTTGTGAAGATGTTTCTTTGTTCTGGTGTAAGTGAATAACTATCTGTCTTTTCGCTTCTCAGAGCCCTCTTACTTATAAACACCTCACACCCTGTCTTCAGGATGATCTCATCACACTGGATAGTGCTGCAAAAGCCTTGCTGAGCGACTCTCAAGAACCAATTCATATGAGAAGTACATCTCGCTTTCCTGTTTTACATCTTTTCCTGATCTCTTATTATCGCAAACATGTAGCCAACCCCATTTCTGTAAATGGTCAACAGCTAAAGTTAGGCGACTGTACGACATTGCAAATGTGTTTTCCTCCATGGATTTAATCGAGAAGGTAAGAGCTTTGCTCCCAAACCAATACACTGAAACATGAACTCACAAATTTCCGGTGTTTCATCTTTTTTTTTTTCATGTTTGGTTTCCCACACAGACGCATATGCCAGGGACTAGGAAACCAGCATATAAGTGGTTGGGGTGCAAAAGCATAACTGAAAAAGGGTCAAGCTTCTTCAATTCCAGCGAACCGAAGAAGCGGGTGTTTGGAAGAGAGATCACAAACTTAAGAACAAAGAGAAACAAAACAGATGGTTCATCATACCACAAGCAAATTGGATATGACCAGGAAGACACTGAGCAGGAAACGAAGCCAGCTGCAAAGAGCTACGTGTTTGGCCCATTCTCACCAATAGGTGCATCTAAGAAGAACAACAATGTCGGAACCAACAGTAACCGAACCTTACGAGATCTCGAGGCCCTTGCTTCTACCTACAAACCACAGTATTGTAATCACGGTAACATCCACACTCAGATCGTTAGATAATCCTGCATTCTTGATTCCATTTGGCTTCTGTGACCATCAAAAAAAGAACACACAGATATAACTGCTCTTCTGGGGCATTTTGCAAACATAACTGAAGTTTAGTTTTGGTTTTAATAAAACAGAAATAACTGGTCTGATTGGGCATTACGCGGAGGCACGGAAGTTATGGTATGCAAAGCTTGATCGGAAATGAATATGACACGACGAGAGCACATAACTCATAGAACATAGCTTTAGCCTTTTTGCCTAAATCAAGAATCAAAGTAGTATTGTTGTTATTGCTAATAAAGTCACAACCCAACAAAATCCATGTATTTTTGCCCAGTGACCGGTCTAGTGGACTCGTTCGTTTCATCTTGGTCCAACTCCTTTTCTCTCCGTAACTTCATTTTAACGTTTTATCCCACATTTCATATTTGGTAACAAAAGTCCATATATATTGACAATGTGAAAGATTTGGAATTGGAGGAATATGTTATTGTTCTCGTACATATTCAATTGATGATTGAGTTGAGCATGAGAAAGAAAGTCCATATATATTTTAAAGTCCAAATGATGATTGAGTTGAGCATAAGATTAAAGTCCATATGTATTTTAATATTGTAGGATTTTAAATTTTTAAAAGCCAAACTGAATGATGTATTGCATCATTCATATGTATATATATGTATATATATATATTCAATTATAATCACTTAACTCATCTTGTATTTATAGTTTATATATATATATATATATTCCTTTCACTTGTTCTCGCTAGCTCATCGAATGTTTTCATGGTTCATTTTCTTGGTATGAGTCTTGAGGTCTCATGTTTATCTTATTTCTTGTCTCTCAAAAAAAACTTTGTCATTTTAAATATAAATATTCCTCATTTTCTGATTCAGAAACAGCAATACATATATAAACTATAAATACAAGATGAGTTAAGTGATTATAATTGAAATTATTTATGTATTATATTTTGTTATAAGTTTAGGTGAATAGTCTTTCTGTTTTACAAAGAGTATTGTTTTAAAGTTTTATTTCTATCTCTAAAAAAAATATCAATTTTCTATTTCCAATATATTTTTAACAAAAATATAATTTTAACTTTATGAATATGTATTAATTAAAAATATAAAGTTGTTCAATGTATTTGTAAAGAATAAAAAAAACTTTTATTAACATTTTTAATATGTATGGAAAAGAGTAGAATACCACTAAACAAATGAAGTATTTATTTAGTCAACAAAAATCTACAGATTATATGTTTTGACTTTTGACTGTAGCTCTTCCTATACAACATATATATATATATTATTTACTATTTTACTTTGATTTATTCACCCAAACAAAGATTTCAACTCTTCCTAGCCAAACCCTCGAAACCAATTCTTTCTTGAATTTTTCTCAAAAAATGAAACAAGAAACCAAAATGATGTTTTTGTTGTTGGCCCTAATCTCGGCATTGATCTGCCGACAATCAGAAGCTATTCACCTGGAGTACTGTCCGACAGAGAATATAAAAAGCATTCCAGGATGTTTCGATGCGTTGAGATTAGCATCGGATAAAGATTACAGCCGGCTATCAAGAGATTGTTGTAGAGCAGTGTTCTCAACGATTTCTGATACTTGCCTCTTGACTGTCTATCCTCGCAGAGCTTTGCCTATTAAGACGTTTAAAGACATTTGTCTTGATCATGTCCCTGCTCTCTCACCTTCATATTAATGTTTTTTTTTGTGTCTTTTAATCATCTAATGAAAAAACAAAGAATCAAATTATTGTTGTTATTGTTAATTAAAGTCACATCCAACAAAAAAATTTCCCAACATTCATATTTGGGAACATAACTCTTTTTAATTCTTGCGTCATTCAAGTTATACGTATTTGCATTATAGATTCCTCAAATGTGAAATAAATGCCCACATACTGAAACAATGTTTTGCCTGCGTAGGTTCAAAAAAAAAATCCCCCATATTGGTTCCTTCTTCCCAACTTGATGTCAATTAATTTCAGATATATACATAGAAAAGATTGTTCTGGTTAACTTTTATCTAAAACAGAAGTGTATTTATCACCGAATATTTATATTAACTAAATTTTGACTCTAAAAAAAAAGTAAAGTTAAACACAAAATTGATTCGAGAATCTCCTAGACGATTAAAAAAAAACTGAAAAATACTTGTATATTTCGTTTTTCTTCTTTATTTAGACCTCATGCATGCTCTCAATATTTATCAAGCAGCATATTAATATTATTACTCCAGAAATAAGACTATGAAATAGTTATTATTATTTTGTACCAATTATTTTAAATAATATTATCAAACTAATTATATTGGCTCTAAAATTTTAGGCCTTCTTGCTATACATGACAAGCATTTTTCTAAATCAAATCGTGTAGTTTAAATGATATATATATATATGATTTTAGAAGGATAGATAAAAGAATGCAAATGATCGTTAAAAATATACAAATATTGGTTTTCATCTAGAAAATTTCGAATTTTTTTTACATGAATGAATTCTAATTATTCAAAGATGGAGATGATGTATATGCACTTTGTTAATTTTTTAAATATTTAATGATTTTCTTTGAATAACTTCTTAACGTTTAAAGATTTCCTCATAAAATGACTGCGAATCTTCTAAATGTGTTAGTCAACCCAAATATAAAAGCTTTCCAAAAATTTACTATAGTCAACCTTTTGTATGAAAAAATTCCCTACATTCCATATAATATAAACTGTTTTTCTTTATTTATTCACCGAAACAGAGATCTCAGCACCACACTATCAGAATCCACAAAACCGATCAATTTTCTGATTCTTCTAAAAAAATGGTAAAAAAGCAAACCAAAGTGATGTTTTTCTTGTTAGCTCTAATCTCAGCATCGATTTTCAGACAATCTGAAGCGCAGGACCCGACTTACTGTTCGACAACGGCAATGGAAAACGTGCCGGGATGTTTCGAATCGATAAAATTAGCGTCAGCTGCAGATTTCAGATGGCTAAGACAAGATTGTTGCACAGTAGTGAGAACAATACATCCTGATGATTGCTTCGTGCTTGTTACTCCTGGCAAAGCTTATGCTGTTCAAATTTTTAAAGACGTTTGTGATAATAAGTACCCTCCTGCCTAGGATCAAGTTTATGATTTTTGTCTCTCTTTTAGTCATATAATAAAAAGGCGAATCAAGTTTACTTTTGAAGTATATACATCATTGCGTCATTCAAATTCTGCCTCATACATCCCATTCACTTGCTCTCACTCGTTCATTGAATGTGTCATGGTTCTTCTTCACTTTGGTTGAGCCTTGAGGTCTCATGTTCGCTTGTTTCTTGTAGTTTTGTTCCCAAAACAAACCATCCGTACATAATTATAAACTGTGTACGCAAAAGATATTTAAGTGATAATAATATTGAATTCGCTTAAAATTTAAGTGAATCCCTTATTTAGTTAACAAAACTCCACGGATTATAGAAGTACGTTTTCACTTGGTAATTAGAATTTTCTATTTATTTTAATAACAAAAAATCTAAATCTTATAAATTTCATGATCTTTAAAATTTGAGGCAGACGAAGAATAATTTATCATTCGTCCTTTGGGCCTTTCTATCTATTAACCGGAGCATCTTCAAGCGTGTCCCCATAATTACAATACACTCGACACTAACATACACTTAACACTTCAAACCTAAAACCAATACAAGATACACATAGTAACACTAAACCACCATCATTCTTCTTTTTCTTCTTCTTATGTTTTTGTTCCTCACTTTGTGCGTCCCTCCTCTAAATCTCTTCTTATAATCAAGAAACAAAGAAGTTAAGTTGTCTCGACTTTTGTCGCTTTTACCTTGTGTTTCATGAGTGAAAGAAAAATGAAAACCCAAGAGGAAGCTTTGTTGGTGTCATCTTGATGCAGAGAGAAACATATGGAATCTTTCTACTCTATCTTTGTTAGTTTGCGATAAGCGTTGGCTCTTCTTTTTCTTCTTCTTCCTGTGGAAGAAATCCTCTGTGTCCAAGACGTACGAAATCTACAAGAGATGCGTATATTAAGTGGTTAAATGAGCAGAATATCGAGTAGAGAGAAGCTTTTGCATAAAGAAAGATTAACTGGTTGAAATCGGTATAGGTGGATTGGGTCGAGATTGTTGAGACTGAAAATTGTTTTACCTTGTAAGAAGAGCAAGACATCTTGCACTCCAAGCCATTTACTACTTCGACACCTTCCATGGCTTTACAGAGTGCTGCAAGATCATCCAAGCCGGTGTGTGGACGCAGGTTCCTACCAAAATGAATTAGAAGTTAAAGAAAGAACAAACCCATATGTAATAACGTGAGTGCCAAAGAGATAAAAAGTCCAATTTTTCATGGACGTAGAGGTTTATACAAAAGCCTGAAGGAGTGAAATTTTTGAACCATAAAAGATTATGTGAAGTATATACCTTTGTAACACAACGTCGTGTCCCTCCTCTTTTTTCCCTAGTGAGGTGGAAAGAAATTCAGTTTGCAGATAACTTGCAAACATGGGATCCATAGAAACTGCATACGCTTCCGGCTTCTCAATTATGTTATCCATCAGCTGTATAGATAAACGAGATGGCGAGCATGACTGCATACGAAAAAGAAAAATAGGATATTAAGTTTCAATTGATCATGAGTCACCCAACATTATTGTATGAAGACCAATGGAAATAAGAGAGTCACGAGGGCTCATACAAATTCCATTCGGTAAACATTTTCCTCGTGAAGGAGGACCCTTGCATTTTCATGATACACCGAGTCGATAACCCTTCCGGGTTTCCTGGATTTCTCATACTCATACAACTGAAGTAGCTTGTTGTCCATGTCATCAGCTACAATAGCTTGAAGCTGCAGATAAATAAAATCAGAACATCACAAGGAATTTAACGTAAGAAAAATATTAGTCTTAATGCACCAGTGCCAGTAAAACCTGTTTAACCAATTTGTATAACAGCTTGTCCAACGTAAATAACACATAGGATTGATTTCCTATGATAGCTCTGCACTCATCCTCAAACTTTGTATTTTCAACTGATCCGTCAAGCAAACCATATAAAACCTTCATAAACCTGTACAACATACAGATCAGAGTTTAGCGGTGAAACCGTATTGGGTAATCTATGTAGGCTGGTATGTTTGTACGAAAGAACGTACCTGGCATAAGGATCAGGGGAATCGGTATCCTTTGAGTTTTTCGATTTCAGTTCACTGCTTGAGCAATTCCTTTTTGCTGACAAAATTCTCTCGTACAGAATCTGAAAATGCACTTCGTTATCTTTGCTAGAGAGAAGAATTCCAGTCAAAATATTTGATGCAGGAAATCATATCAAACGATGCACTCACCTGGTGAAGCCTAAAAAGAACATAGAAGTCGTCATTCCCATAGAAAACTCGGAAATCTTTTGTCCTTTCATCGCGTAAAACCGCTGCTACATGCTTTGAAAGAGGTCTGACAGACAAGAGACCACATTCTGACTGCGGAAGCAACTCACTGTCTCCTTCTAAGAGATGTGATTCCATTCCCTCTGCTTCTCCTTCACTCTCGGCTTTACCATCAATCTCATTATGCTCACCATCTTCCTCATCTCTATTTTCATCATGTGAACATTCGTCACCACCAGATTCGGTTCCAGATGCATCCTCACCACCCTCTGAAGCATTTTCGCTATCATCATCCTCATTCTCTACTTCAGCATCTGCTGAATTCTCTGGTTTGGATGTGGACTTAGCCCCAAGATCTTCATAAACACCAAAGTTGTCTTCGAAATCACCATTAGGTGACAGTTCACCTTCCTCCTTCTCAATTGTAGATGGACCTTCGGATTCACCAGAATCCCTTTTATCTTTATAAGAATTTGACCTTATTCCATTTGCCGAAACTACTGATTTACCAACATCACCTCCCTTGTAAAATCGACAAGGACCGTTTAGTCAGAAGGTTCCAGAAAAAGCACAATATATAAAATAAACCATAATTTTACTTCTTCCAACCACTAGGTCCCATAGGAACAATTGTAATACTCCATGGACGTAGTACATCCCTAATCCATGGAAACGTCTGGGCAAGTGGTATATATACGTTACAGCGAGCAATTGAATGAAATACCTGGATCGAAGGAGATGTTTCAATGCTATCTACACCATGATGAATATCACTGAGAGCGTTGCTTTGTTTGGTTAGAATCTCATGAGAACCTTGATCGCAAAAGTAACAAATATCAAAACAAATAGACAAGCAGCAGGAATAAAATTAGAAGTTTAGATCTGGAAAGTACCTGCCAAATCTTCCTTTCCTACTACACCATGACTGTTCTCTCCCCCACTTGGGATTAATAAACTCGAGGTGGCAGCTCTTTCACTAATATCCATTGGAACAGGCATTTCAGATGTAGTATCGCCTCCATTCCCAGTCTCTTGTTCTTTCCGGGATTTCACAGCAGAACAGGTAACACCATCTCTGTTGGCTGTATCAGCATCTTGAAGATTTTCTTTCCCTTCTGAATCCTTACTTAACAAACCAATCCCACTATGTTTGGATGCCCCAGATGAAGCATTCTCATCTCCGTTGGCAGTAGATTTTAGTTTCCTGGAAGCCAACATCGCTGTGACTGCTCCAGAACTCACAGTAGCCTCCCCGTTAGTAGATGTGCTGTGATTCACATCGAGAGTCTTGGGTTTTAGAACAACATCTTCAACAGGATCTGTGCCCTTGGCCCTGGGAGGAACGCCCAGCATTGCCTCAAGGAAATTTTCCCAAAGCCTCAGAACTTTACTGAGCTGTTCTTTTGTAGAACATAACTCCTCGCATGAGAACTGGACTAGTTTGTACAGGTCTTCATGAATGGCTCTGTTGAAATATTCATAGTCAAGATTGGGATTTATGGGTTGTCGGTAACCAGCAGAAATAGACAGCAGAATATCATCCTCATTCTGAAACTTCTCTTTCAACTCCTTAATTCCAGCCACCAATGCTGATTTACAAAAAAAAAAAAGATTAAAAAAACGGGAAGCAATGAGAAAACAATAAGTTTGCTCAAGACTTGTCAATATCCAAAAGTCTACTTACCTTTTGCACACAAGTTCTTTGAATCTTGTTGCTTGAAGTAGAAGCTGCGGTGATCAAGTGATTTGTAATGGTTTTTCGCATAAACCTTTGCCCAGACCTTATCAAAATCTTCACGGCATTTCTTCCATTCATCTTGTTTTTGCTTCAAACGAGTTAATATTACAGGAAGTGCAGTGGCTGGATTCTTATGTAAAATGTCTATCACGTCAAGACCATGGTCGCCGTAAAGTCGCTCAATACACCTTAAATTCAAGGCTGCAGAAAATGTAAATAAGAAAATGCCAAAAGTAAGACCACAACATATGGGGGCTCCAAAATAGGGGAAAAGAGAAAAGATAAAACTACGAATTACAGGTCACAGAAAAAGCATACAGACCCGTGAAGTGGTCTTCGATCCTGAAGGATCCAGATAAAGTTATTTTCTTCTCCGTGATAATGTCTAACAAATTTTCTGCACTTCTGGCCGCAGAGCACACAGATTCCAACAGCATGTCCAACTCAAATCTGTTACAAGCAGTGATTAACTTAGCAGACCACTTACATCAAAATACAATATGTATATATATATATATATATATATGAAATACAATATATATACCTATCATCTTCGCATCTAAACAAGCTTTCTTCATACTGGTTTCTGCGCATGTGCTTAAAAGAATAATCTTCACTCCCTGAAGTGACAGAAACCCAGTGATCATTTAAAACCTCAGCTCCTAGCTCCGATCTCTGACTCGCAGTTGGTATCGGATACTGCAAATAAGATTATAATAGTAAGTATTCATCTAATGAACATGCTCACAAGATAACTTGGAATTAAAAGATCTAATTACATCTGGAGGCAGGAGCCGGTAGCTGGGAGTGCAACACTCGCAATTAGATAGATCGAGCTCTTGAATAGATTTCCCCATGTACTCCTCCTTGCATTGCTCTGTTTCCTTAACAGCCTCGAGGTCAGGCTTGTGTTCTACTTCTTTTTCTTCCACTTTCATTGACCTGGATAATTGTTCTTCGCTGCTAAATGATTCTGCAGCATGTGTTCCAGAAATGTCAGTAATGATCTTACGTAGTAGGAAGGCAAGGGACAAAATTATTCGTAGCCGAGGAGTTTAAAAAAGCAGCTTACTTTTCCTCATAACACCAGCAAGAAACCCATCTGCAACAGAAAATTACAGTCAGAAAGAAGAAGATTACTGAAATATTTTTAAAAAATCAACGTAGGTAGTATGAATACCAATACTCTCACAACGCTCAAAGAACTGAGCGAACTCATCCATGAGATCAGGGAATTTCCCAATAAGATCAGAAACCTGAAAGAAAACGAATGGGATTTTCTACAAGTTACCATAAGGCCAACCCCTAATCACAAAACCGAAGAAATTCGTAGTACCAAATTCTGCAGTTCCTTCCTTTGGATGATTCCATTGCTGAATATATTGAGGCACTTCAAGAATGTCTGATAATCATCTTGGCTGCATAACCTCTCCTTGACTTTCTCACAGAAAACAAATGCTTCGTTGCGCATGCCTAGAGCAAAGGATGTAAACATCTTAGAAAACGGAAACAGATTCTATCACCAGGCTGCCAAAATTGGAAAATACATTTAAGATGTCCACTGTCCAGGACCCTGGGGGATCAATCAAATGAGCAAATGTTTGGAAGTAGTTAGCTTACTTTTCAAATTGTGTTTCTCAGATTGCGAAGCAGAGCCAGCATATGCTTCAGGCCCCTCCGCTCTTCTTGATGACTTCCTCTTCTCTGGAAAATGGTGTAGGTTATCTTGCTCTGCTTCTCTATCGTCCAGATCACGGCCTCTCTTTTCTCTGTTCTCCTTATCAGCACGCTTCCGCTGCTCTCTTTGCATCTTCACCATCGTTTTATCATCACTATCATCGCCGCGGGAAGCAACAGCCCTTTCTCGTCGGCGTTCCTGGTGACCAAAAAGATGTATCAGGCACAAAATCGAGATATCTGAAAAAATAAATAAAGTGAACAAATAAAAAAATGAAACCAATAGCATACCTTCTCCACTTGCATATGACGAATTAGGGGAGGGCCTGATCCTCGGTCATTGTACAGTTGGGCCTGGCTCCGGCTATACTGCGCTGCTGAATGAGACGGCAAAGACGCTGGCAAAAACCTTGTGAACTCTTCAAGCAAATCCGAGTGACCCTCAAAAAGAATAGCTACCTATAACACATATATTCAAGCGTTAGAAAATGTCTGATAATACTTTGAAGTGGCATTACAGGAGAGATGAAGTAACTTACCTCATTGTAAACCTCACTAATTTCCTTGTTCTCCTTTCGGTACATATTCAAGATATCCAAGAAAGATTTATAGACATGTTCATCGCGCTTGAATCGCGTCTGCAGTGACAAGAAAAGGGAGTCGTACACTGAGAAAACTAGGAGTAAAGGGCACTTTCACAAGAGACTGAAATAAGAGCAAATTCCAGACAGCACCTTGATTTTGTTCACAAAGTTTATGGCTTCTTCAAATTCAACAGTCTTCTTAGGCAGAGCGTCGTCTTCCTCGATGAGCGTAATTTCATATCCCTTTGGCAAGAAGGTATTGAATCCATATATAAGATTGTTGTGTCCCTTAAACAATTCCTTAACTCGTGCAATCACACCGCCCGTGTCGGTCCTGCAGATGCAAAAGGAAGACATAATTCGACACCGCCTGTTAATGTACAAACTCGTCGCGATAGAAAGTCAAGAGGCCTTACCTCTGAGCCTTAAAATCTTTCATAACCGCAAGGAACCTGTCATATTTCTCCCGTTGATCTTGAAACATCTCTTTCACTTCCTTCAGATACGACAATGCATCATTGGTTGTCAATTTCTGAGAGGAGATTTCCTCACCAGCGATCCTCCCTCCCTCTCCTTCTTCGGTGTCACCACTGCCGGGGACCGGAGATTGACCATATCTGCTGCACCAATTCATCTCTAATCAATCACTTAAATTACTCAAATCCATAACTTGTTCCTAGCAAAAAAATTCACTCTCCATGCAAAATTATAGAAAGACCTAATCGCCTTAAAAACAGAACCAAGATCAATCCATTGAATAGGATGAAAAACTAAGCCTTGCTAGCAAAAAGGAACCACGATCACAAGCAAAAATCTAGAAATTCACAAAATCAAAATTACTAGGCACAAATTGATTTTAACCGAAATCGAAGTCAGAAAATCGGAAACCTCTGTCAGAGCAACAGAAAAATTCGCAGAGGTAGAGGGTTGATTATCAAGAGAAGTAAGAGAAACTCACAATTCGCCTCGAGAAGAGCCCAGAGGACGTTTGAATTGAGACCCAGAGGCATAAACATCATCTCTTATCCGCTTCATTGCTGCAACAATATCAAAAGTTTCGATTTTTTATTTATTTATAGATCATCAAATAATCGAAATCTGAAGTTAATAAAGCGTAGGAAGAAGAGAAAAAAACCCAGACCAACTTTCTGTCAGTCTCTTGATAGTGGATTAGATGAAATTAGGTACTCAGATTTCTCAAACGAGAACACAATCGGGAAGAAGCACTTTGATCATACATAGACATGAAATTCCGGCGAAACTCCCCAAATTCTCCGGACAGGAGTGAAGTTGAATTCCGATGATAGGAGAGGAGAAGAAGAAGGCACACTCTGACAGAGAATTTCAAAGGAGTTGCCGCAGAGACGCGTCGAATTTTCGAATATGGAGAAGAAAAAGGCGGAGAGGGATTTGCATTTGGGGTTCGACGTTTCACTTTTGTCTGCGTTGCGGTGCGGCTACTGGTAAATCGGTAAATACACTACTTTTATCATGTTTTTATTTGGGCTGAAAACTCAAATATTTATTGGGCAATTCACTATTACTTTAGAGGCCCATGGTTATTGTTTATTGTTATCACAAAAAGGATCATTGTGATGAACTTATTCTAACAAGAATAATTATTTACAGATTTGTGTGAAACATGGACATATGAAAACAAAATTTATGTTTTTACCACCAAAAAAAAAAAAAATTATGCATGAGCTGAGGAACCAATACATTTTCGGAAAAATGATGATAAACCACAACCAACTTTATTTTGTGCAGAAGATTGACATATCTTGTTTTTGATGTATTTCAGAAAAATATGGAGGTGGTGAAGAAGAAGATGACGTAGTACTTGATTTTCGTATTCAAATATTATCTTCAAGATCATTGTTATTTATACCAGATTGTTGACCTGCTTGTTCTTGATTTTGAGGAATAGTTACATTTGTTGGATTTAAAATGACCTGATCACCCCATATATGACCTGAAGAACCTTGGCGGCGAAATGAAACCGATGATCTTTGTAACGTTGTCATTATAGAGAAAGCTTCTTAAGAATAACTTGTTGATACCAAACTTATTTACTTATATCAATATTGGTTTATGTGTTTTTGTGTATGCACGAAACTAATGAAAAGTGTTTGGACTTTATGGGAGTTTCAAGTGTTCTCAACGTTTTGTTTAAGATGAAATAGACAAAATTAGTTGAATTTAAAATTAAACTTTATCCGGTTTTGGATTTATACTGCAAAGCTAGAATAAGACGTGTTTGCATGTTAAACTAGTTGTTTGTATTTAGTGAAACTTTTAGATAGTAGTAATTAAAGATTTAATACAATCCAAAAAGAGACAATAGTTTTGATATTGTCTTCCATTAAAATCGGATCCAGTGCATTTAGACTTTAAATAGATGTAATTGTTTTTAAATTTTTTGGTCAATTTAGTTTGGCATTTGTTTTTATTTTGTTTAAATAAAACGAAAATTAAATTATTTTGAGTAGCTACTAGAAAGAGGAAAAAAAAGGTTTACAAAAATTGATTGGGAGATGTGATGACTGTTTGGATTTAAAAACAAACTAATTAGAGATAATTTTACTTTAACAATAGAGTTTTTCTTGGTCAAAAAAAAAAAACAATAGAGTTTACAAATAAAAATAAAATCTCATTGAAAATGCTGTTAGAAAAAGCTAAGACAGAAATTTACCTACATACAGTATCTAGTTGCACTTTACCTACATACAGTATCTAGTTGCACTTTACCTACATACAGTATCAGGCCTGTGGAAACAGTTATCGATAATGAATTAGTATGTTTGAGAGTTGAGATTTAAACTAGAAACACATAAGAAGTGTTGTTCGGCCCTTTGGGGTTTTAATGGGCCTATGAAGGTATATTTTATTATAGTGGGCCTTTTGAAAGGCCTCTACTCGACCACTTAACGCTAGGGTTTTTACTCGTAGCACCTAGAACCGCCGTTGGGAACCTTTAAATACCAAACAAGCCTCATTCACCACACAACTCAATTTAGGTTTGTGTTTTCGTCTTCAATGATTTTTTCGTTTAGAGTTTTGGATTTTCGATTATTTGATCTGTTTCTGAGGGTTCGATGAAAAGTAGATCAGGTGATGAGATAATACTGCAACAATATGATGGAGAAAATCTTCATGATTCTTAGTATTTAAGTCTCTGATGATCAGAATCGTTTCTATCCCATTTACACTGTTTGGTTTTGATTCTTTTCCGTTCTTCGTTTTGCTTTGTCTTGTTTTGTTTTGAAAAAAGGATTAGAAGCAAGAGATATGATGAGCAACAAATTGGTCCGTGTTTCAGATTAACCGTGACCGAGACTTTATTAACCAAACTCTGATCTCAGCATCTATTTCATCGATTTTTTTTCCTTTGAGTTGCCCTTTTCTTATATTCAATTTTATGCTGGTAATGTAGTTCCCTGCGGTGATGATTTTATGAAAAATTCACATGTCAGACTTCAGAGGTTCTTGAATAAAGAATCAGTGAGAATACATTCATATTTCTGAGCAGAAGACTAATTTGTTTGGAAATCCCCCATAAATCGATTTTGAGAAGATAATATGTGGATTAATTACAGAAGGGAAATCATCTTTATTGAATTAGAAAGAGACGCGCGTTGTTTAATGAAAGCTGTTATCCGTGGTGAACAATGATAGACCCTTGTTGTGAAAGTGAAATCTAAAAATTTATTTTAGAAATACCATCCAAAGTAAAACTGAATTGAGTAATTAAGACTTAAGAGGGATGAGTTTAACATTCTAAAATTCAAAAATGTATGAGCAAAACCTGAATGAGATTAACATTGATGAGGGGTTATCTGAACAAGCCAAATTCCGGTATCTATATAGCCAAAAATAATTGTACCCGAAAGTATATCTGAGACTTTTTTAGTAAGCGTCAAGAAACACGTCGTCGAGAGAAAGAAAAGTGTTGCATATTTGCCTACGTGGCAGAACATCGACCAAAATAGCTTTCAGATCCCATTTTCTCTCCTAATTATTTGTCGATGTTGTTGTCGTCATGTTAGTCCGCGATGGAGATATTTCGAAAGGCAGCGATTGTACGGCTCCGTAGCCACAACGATAAATACCTTATCGCCGATGACGATCAAGAATCCGTTCATCAAGACCGTCGCGGCACAACTAAAAACACCCGATGGACGGTTGAGATTGTTCCTGGATCCAATGTCATCCGTCTTCAAAGCTGTTACGGCAAATACCTTACCGCCACTAACATTCATTTCCTCCTCGGAGCCACCGGTGAAAAGGTACCATTACGGTTTCATGTTTGTATTCGTTTTTTCATTAACATTTCTTGAAAAACAAGCCATCCTAATCCGTACATAACATCTTTGAAGGTTTGATTAACTTTATAAAATAAATTTCTGCGAATTGATAATTTCAGAACACAATAGAATGACAAGATATTGTTTATGTTTAATTCCTACAGTTTTGAAAATAAGTTTGGTTAAAAATTAGACATTTGAATCGGAGGAAATATTGCCAACCGATTAAATTTCAGTGCTTAACAACAAGAATTAACCCCTTGTTATCTTATATCTACGAATCTAACACATATAATCAGATCCTTTGAGACATTCTTAGGTTTCTTGCCAAACAAGCTACGTTTAATTCGTTACAAACTTGTGAAACAAGGTACTTCAAACCTTACCAGAAAAATTGGACTCATCAGCCGAGTGGGAGCCAATATCGGACGATGGTATACATGTACGATTCAAGAGTCGGTACGGGCAATATCTAAGAGCAAACAAAGGTTTACCACCGTGGAGAAACTCCATCACGCACGATATTCCTAGCCGTACGGTCACACAAGACTGGATCCTGTGGACTATTGATGTTCTCCAAATTCGAGTTATCAAAGATGATGCTGAATCTACCCATACTTCTTCCACATTTTCACGGACTGAGGTACTATACATAGATACTGAAAATACTATTTTTTAGAAGAAAGAAACATCTACAAACTTTTTTCTTCTATTGAATATTATCGTGAATGTCATTTTAAAAGCTTTGCAAACGTATACATACAGTTTTTAGTTTGTTGATGTAAATATACGTATATAACCAGTCAGGTGACTCGATTACTGTGAGTCTACCACTAAAATCCGAAGGAAGACTGATATATTACGAGATCGGAGATGACAGTGGGAAGAGAAATAGCGATACAGTACAAAAATCATTGATTTTCCATGGAAACGAATTGACGGAACTAAAGAAGAAACTAGAGGAAGAAACTGGGATCGAAGATCTTACGGTTTGCTCTATAAACCCTCTGAATGAGAAGCTTTGTCCTCTTCAACTGCATCTTCCACCAAACAACGCAACAATGCACATCATCGTCGTTCCTTCTTCTTCTTCGCTCGGTATAAAACTTTTCCTTTAGTTACTCGTCTTTTCAGATATTCTTATATAGTGATTTATTTCAATAGTTTTATAATTAGTATCTCAAAGATTTTTGTTTTCATACGAGAATTCCTAATGAAACATTTGAGACAATAGTGTCTAACGCTCTTGTTTTATGAACTTTTGTTTCGAATCTAGTGTACGACACATATTCTCCTTAAAAGTCTCTCGTTACAACAAATTTTCATCATCCCAAGTTTAATATTTTCTTAATATCTACTAATGTTATCGAATTTATTTTTCTTCCGCAGATATCGACAAAGGTTGTTAAAATAAACAACCAACACCACGGAGAAGAAACTAGAGAGCATTTTTTAATATGATTATCTCTATTTTATATTACCTTGTATTGGGTCTACGTAGAAGAGAAGTACATATACTGATCTATTCGTTTTTTACTTGGTATTGGACTAAATCTAAATCAAATAGCAGGTTTTTAGCTTCTTTAAGTATTCATTAATCAACTGTATATTATTTTAAATTAAGTTTCTTTATGACGATAAAAAATTACATCTATTTAGTAATTTTTTTTTATCTTCGTCGTTAATAAGAACCTAAAGGATAATCATTGAACAAAACGATCGGGTTGAAAACATGTTACATATCAGAATCACACATATTAGTAGGTTCATTAGTTGTTAGTAGGTCAATAGTTGTTATAATTCTTAATGGACAAACGAAAAAGCTGATATGACATTGACACCAATTGTGCTTTGGTTGGAACCGATGCAAAACTTTTTGGAATAAGAAAAGTTGGAAAGCAACCAAAAAGCTAAATTACATTTTTTCCTCGTGTCACTGCATATTCTGGAATCCTAGATCTTATCCTTCCACCGTTACTTCTCCTTTTTCTCCCCAAATATATAATACCATAACCTAATAATGACATAGTTTTTTCGCAACATTGATGGGAATTTTAGTAAAAAAAAAAAAAAACAAACATGGATGGGTGACACAATCTTTGATGAATGTGATACTTTTAGTTTGTAATCACATTTAATAAGATGTTATCATCATCATCTCTTGTAAATTTTTGCTCAACCAAAATAATAATAGTAACGTGAAGTGGTTGTAGGTCCATTTTGGGTCCACGGGATGCTGACTAGTTTTCTTTTTTATTCATTTTTAGCGCTAACAGCCCAGTGACGACTGATTTGTCCGTCCCTTCTCTCTCCTCGTGCTTCACCGCTCCGTTAGATTTTTCTTTTTTAATATATTTTCTTTCCCAAATCTTACGGATATTTTTTTTTTTTTTTTTGATTTTCTCCTCCACAAGCATTATCGCTATTGCTCTGCCTTGTGATCATCATCATTGTTTTACTACTGGTAAGTCTCTCTTCGTCGTCTTCCTCTTCTCATGCTTCTCTGCGAGATCTTCAACTGTTTTTGGATTTATTTCGTTTTATCTATGTTCCCTTTTTTTTTGTTCTTTTTGGATCTTCGAAAGAGCTGCTCATAATCTTCGACGAGATTTAGTAGTGAATTTTGTATTTAGTTTGTTTGTTTGTTTGATTTGTGAATCTGTGATTGTAGAGTGAGGAGGCTACGTCGTTGTGTAAAGCCAGGAAAAAGGAAAAAGGTAGAGAGAATGGAAGTGGAAGAAGGAGAAAGTGTTGGTGGGAAGATAAAGATTGGAGTCTGCGTCATGGAAAAGAAGGTGAAATGCGGCTCCGAGGTTCTGTTTCCTTTTTTTACTTTGCTGCTCGTATTTCGCGTTTTCTGACGAACAGATTCGTATGCTTTATGCGTTTTGATCCCTCCTGATTCTGATAACGACTGCTTCATTTTTGTTTATAAGTATGTGCTCATAGTCATAGATTGTTGTCTTTGGTTTTGCAGGTCTTCTCAGCTCCCATGGGCCAAATTTTGGACAGACTGGAGTCGTTTGGTGAATTTGAGGTACCTTAAATCTTACTTTTGGTTTCTGTTTTGATTGATCATCGTTTGTTTTTTCTCTTCGATGATTTCCTGGTTTGTACTCTTAGCTTCTTCTTTCATTTGGAGAGAGATTGCTTTTGATTTTATTTGACTTGTCATTCTTGGGCAAATGTTATTGGAAGATGCTTTTAGATAACTTTTTATTTTATTTTTCCATTCCCAAATTGCTGGCTTTACTTTGCCAAAAGAAAAGTTGTCTTTGTAGATTCTCCCTGGTGTCTTCTTTCTTATTTTCCCTATTTATTTTTGATCTCATGGACACCTTTGTTGCAACTTTATTCGCAGATCTTACATTTTGGGGATAAAGTTATCCTTGAAGATCCAATAGAAAGGTATACTGTACGAAATAGAACTTGGTTTTGGCTTTTTCCCCATATCATGTATCTTCTTTAGTTCATCTTTTGAAATGTTTCATTACTACTAGTGTATTAGGATAAAGTGTAGTTAATGTATATCAAGTACAAGGTATATACTGGAATCAAAACTTGACCAGAGGATTTTCTGTTTCAGTTGGCCCATTTGTGATTGCTTGATTGCTTTTCATTCCTCTGGATATCCTCTCGAGAAGGCTCAGGCATATGCTGCTTTAAGAAAGTGAGTTTCACCTTTTTTTATTTTTTGCTGTTAGCTCAATAAAAAACAGCCTAGCTCTTACATTAATGTTTTGGTCAAACTTAAACGAGTCCAGCTTCTGAGGTTGACGTTTCCAACTTATGTTATTCAGGCCATTTTTAGTGAATGAACTAGATCCACAGTATCTTCTTCATGATCGCCGGAAGGTGTACGAGGTATGCATATTAGACTGCAAGATAGTTTGTTCTGTGCACTTTAGATTATTCTTCAAAAGTTTTCAGGGCTAATGACAAAAAGAGAGCTATATACTTTTACCTTGTACTAAGAAATATTATTTTTGTGTGCATCTACAGCATCTTGAGATGTATGGCATCCCTGTTCCTAGGTATGCTTGTGTCAATAGAAAGGTACCAAATCAAGACCTTGATTATTTTGTCGAGGAAGAAGATTTTGTTGAGGTTAATGGTGAACGCTTCTGGAAGCCATTTGTGGAAAAGCCTGTCAATGGTGAGCTTCTCTTTTTCTCTCATGCTTTCTTCTTTCACGCATTGGTCTGGCAGCTTATTATCTATTCATCCATAAGGACAAGTCTAAACTTGAAACATAATCTTAGTCGTGTTTTTTTTATTCTTCTGATATTTTGTAAACAAATTCACATTTTCTTGAAGTTGTCGTTTAATCTGCTCTCTCCTTCGGTGCGGGATGTAACTGATGGAGTAACCTGAAATTGGTAGAGTGCAGTGATTTTTTTTGTCTTATTAGTTAATTCGAATTATTATCGATATGAACAAGGGTGATTTTCTCATTTAGTGTTGTTAGTTGTAATATGATTTGCCGTTTCTTCTTTAAAATTATCTGCTAATAGCCAAGATTCTTTGTGCGTTTGTAGGAGATGACCACAGTATAATGATATACTACCCTAGCTCGGCAGGTGGAGGCATGAAGGAATTGTTTCGCAAGGTACTGCATCTTTCTGCAGATCGTGGCTGCTTTATTCTAATATTGTCGTAATAATTTGTGGCAAATTCCTCTGATTAACTCTTTTTCCACCTGATGCATTTTGCTCGTCTCCTTTTTACTTCAAGATCGGGAACCGATCAAGTGAGTTTCATCCTGACGTCAGAAGAGTAAGGAGAGAGGGTTCTTATATATACGAGGAGTTTATGGCCACTGGAGGAACTGATGTCAAGGTTGGGATCGTTTGCCTTCGATATGTTTTTCGATTAAGATCATTCCCATCTTTTGGACCACTTACCATTTCTGAGAATATTACAGTGTTTGGTACTGTACTGCTGTTGGTATCAAGTGTCCTAAGTATATAAGGTTGTCATGTTAATGACGTACGTGTTTCTCTCACCATAATCATTCATATATTTGTTTATATATATGATGCTTGACTTACCACCAGGTGATGTAGCTCTCCTATTGCATGGCTGTTTTTGTCTGGAGAACATTTTGCGTCAATCTTGGCTTTCACACTGAAAATTTGCTTGCTAAATACAGGTCTACACAGTGGGTCCTGAATACGCACATGCTGAAGCAAGAAAGTCTCCTGTTGTTGATGGTGTTGTTATGAGGAACATTGACGGGAAGGAAGTATGAAACCTAACATACCTCATTTTATTTTATGAAGAAAGGGCTATAGTTTGAATAGAGAATCAAAGGCTGCTGATTATAATGAAAGGTGAAACGTTTATATCTAGATTTTGACCAGCTTATTTTTTTGGATATATTTATTCCACAGGTGAGATATCCAGTGTTGCTTACACCTGCTGAAAAGCAAATGGCTAGAGAAGTTTGCATTGCATTTAGGCAAGCGGTATGTTGTGAATCCAATGCTCTGGCTCTCGTTTATGTTTTGCAGGGTTTCTATTTTCATTTAATGGTACTTTCTTGTTCGTGCAATGACGTGCTAGTTTCTCCAACATTTTTCAAATTTCAGGTCTGTGGCTTTGATCTTCTACGATCTGAGGGATGTTCATATGTTTGTGATGTAAATGGATGGAGTTTTGTGAAGAATTCTTACAAGTAAGCTAACATTCTGCTCTGTATTTAACTGTCAAAAAGTGCTTTTCAACGTTAAGAGTATTCACGTACCTTTCGTACTATAAGGTACTACGATGATGCTGCTTGTGTGCTAAGAAAAATGTGCTTGGATGCAAAGGCTCCTCATCTTTCATCGACTCTTCCTCCCACTTTGCCATGGAAGGTCAATGAACCTGTACAACCTAATGAAGGACTGACCCGCCAGGGCAGTGGCATCATCGGCACTTTTGGGCAGTCAGAAGAGCTACGTTGTGTTATTGCTGTTATTCGACAGTATGTTTTAGCATACAATCACTTCTCCCTTCTATACTTCTCTCTGTTAGCCAGAATCTTAGAGTTAAACTTTGTTTTACATGACAGTGGCGATCGAACTCCTAAACAGAAGGTGAAACTAAAAGTTACAGAGGAAAAACTGTTAAACCTGATGTTGAAATACAATGGTGGAAAGCCAAGAGCTGAGGTGAGAGGCTTGAGCTTTTCTATCGTCAACTTCTTCCTGCCTTGATTAATTTGCTTATATTGTGTCGATTTCTCCCCTTTTTGCAGACCAAACTAAAAAGTGCCGTCCAGCTGCAAGACCTATTAGATGCCACAAGAATGTTAGTTCCCCGTACAAGGTAGAGCCCTGAACTCAACTATTTGTGTCTTGTCACCAAAAGCATGTCGGGTCCAGTGAGCTATGTTAAAAATGCAACATCGTTTTGTTGAAAGAGCTTATGTTATTATTGGAATATTCCTAATGTCTCTGTGATGCGTTTTCCAGTGAGCTACATTCACTGTAAACATTGAGAATATTATGCTATATTTCTGCTCACCACACCTTCTTTTATTATCTTTAGACCAGGTCGTGAAAGTGATAGTGATGCAGAAGACCTTGAACATGCTGAGAAGCTTCGACAAGTTAAAGCAGTTCTTGAAGAGGTTGCGTGTCTTGATATTTTTTTTTCCTACTTTCCTTTTTCTGTGTGCTCGTTATTTGAAATAGTCCTTCAGTTCAATGTCTTAATGTACGGCCAGACCGCAGCTACTGTCATATGTTCTTGGTTGGCTTTACAGTTATATGACTCTAAGATATCTCTCATATCATAGAACATGGATATGCAGGGTGGACATTTCTCTGGTATATACAGGAAGGTTCAACTGAAGCCCTTGAAGTGGGTTAAAATACCAAAAAACGACGGTGAAGGCGAAGAAGAAAGACCAGTAGAGGCCCTTATGGTACTGAAATATGGGGGTGTTCTAACACACGCTGGTAGAAAGCAGGTATACTCATTCAGTATTGTTTAATGTATTGCAAAGATTGAAGAATTGTTTAGATGGGCGTATTTTTTGGTCCAACCTTGTCTGAATTTATTAATGTTTGCTTCATCTGCAGGCAGAGGAACTTGGTAGATACTTTCGAAACAATATGTATCCAGGTAACGGCACCTGATCTGTTTTTTCTGTTACTTCCCATCTATCACACACGGCTTTCTGAAGCAGTTTATTGTATATGTGACGATGAATATATTTTCTGACTATTTCACGATGAAATGGCATGTGCTTGCAGGTGAAGGGACTGGTTTGCTTCGTCTCCATAGTACATACCGTCATGACCTTAAAATTTACAGCTCTGACGAGGGACGTGTTCAGGTACAGCTTTGAATATAAATCACAAGCTTCACTACTCTTGTCCTCTAATCGAAAAACATTAACTGATTTGCACTGTTGACAGATGTCTGCAGCTGCTTTTGCTAAAGGCCTGCTCGACCTAGAAGGACAGCTGACGCCAATCCTGGTTTTTCCCTTTTACCCTACTGAGATCCCGTGTTGCTTTGCAAGGTCGTATGATTACTAATTTTTCTTATCTTCTTTGTCTAGGTTTCTTTGGTTAGCAAGGACTCCTCCATGTTGGATGGCCTTGACAATGCCAGCATTGAAATGGAAGCGGCCAAGGTTTTTCCCTCTCTTTCATATTTATTGTGTTTGTAACTATGGTTTCTTCATGAACAAGGGTTTCTTTCAATTTATCCACTTGGAATATATTGAACAATTTTGATTTCAATACTTGCACTGCAGGCTAGATTGAACGAGATTGTAACATCTGGCACAGAGATAATACATGAGCACGGCTCCTCTGAAGAATTCCCTTGGATGACTGATGGAGCTGGACTTCCGCCCAATGCTCATGAACTCCTCCGTGAATTGGTACTCACACTTTTCCATCTACTATCAGTTCACCACCATTTTTGTTTGTGTGCATAGTGCACTGAGTTCATTATTGCTCTCATTTAGTGGTTTTTTTTCTACAAATTTCTTATCCATTATAAAAAGCGGTTTATTGGAGTCCACGAAGCTATTTCTCCTTATCTATTGAATTACTTTATATATAATTTAGGTGAAGTTAACTAAGAATGTGACTGAACAAGTAAGACTACTTGCAATGGATGAGGACGAGAACCTCACGGAGCCATATGATATAATTCCTCCATATGATCAAGCAAAGGCCCTTGGCAAGACAAACATTGACAGTGATCGGATTGCTTCTGGATTACCATGTGGTAGTGAAGGGTTCCTTTTGATGTTTGCTCGGTGGATAAAACTCGCAAGGGATCTCTACAATGAAAGAAAAGAGTAAGTTTATCATCCGATTTTACTTTCCTAATTTTCATCTTTATTTCCGGTAGAGGTCTTGTGAGTGAGTAGCACTAATAGTTGAGTTTAAATTGCAGCCGATTTGACATCACGCAGATTCCCGATGTTTATGATTCATGCAAGTAAGTTATATGTTTGGCGTTTTTGGTGCATCTCTGGATTTTTACACCTAGCTTTAGTTACTCGTTTCTGAATATTCTGTATTGGCTCTTATCATTCCCAGGTACGACCTGCTGCATAATTCCCATCTCGATCTAAAAGGATTAGATGAACTCTTCAAAGTTGCGCAGGTACAAACTGTAGTTTCTCTTTCCATTATTATCTGAATCTCATATAATCGGCAATGTTACTACTGATCATGCCTGAGTGAAACTATGATCTATTTTGCGTGTATCGTTGAATGTGTTCGCTTATGACTAATGTTATGTGTGATGTGGTTGCAGTTGCTGGCAGATGGTGTAATCCCAAACGAGTATGGAATCAATCCGCAACAAAAGCTTAAAATCGGTTCAAAGGTGACTTTTTCTGAAATTTTTCTCTCTTGGAAATTTTATTACCTGATTGTCCAAATAGTCTCCAGAGGATCTCACATCTCAACAAATATATTCTTCTTTATTTTTCATTCCCATAAAACAAAAGATTGCTCGGCGCTTAATGGGGAAGATCTTGATAGACTTGAGGAATACTCGAGAAGAAGCAATGAGCGTTGCTGAATTGAAAGAAAGCCAAGAACAAGTCACATTGTCATTATCTGCCTCGGAAAAGGAAGATAGAAATAGTCAGCCAAAGCTTTTTATCAATAGCGATGATTTGAGACGACCTGGCACAGGTGATAAAGACGAAGATGATGATAAAGAAACCAAATACCGATTAGATCCAAAGTAATAGTCTCTGCTTTTACTGAATTACTTCTTCTTTTTTTCAGTTTCTTCATATTACTTACTAATTGCTTTTCATTTCCCTTTTAGGTATGCAAATGTGAAGACACCTGAACGTCATGTGAGGACTCGACTTTACTTCACATCCGTAAGTTTCCTCCTTTCTCCATTGCTCTTCAAGTGTGTATGAGATTGACACTCTTAAGAGTGAAACTGATTTGCGTGGCATGAAATCGATGGAGCAGGAATCGCATATACATTCGCTGATGAACGTACTACGATACTGTAACCTCGACGAAACACTTCAAGGAGAAGAAAGTCTCATCTGCCAAAACGCATTGGAACGTCTTTGCAAAACAAAGGAACTCGATTACATGAGCTACATTGTCCTGAGGCTCTTCGAAAACACCGAGGTTCACACACTACGACATTCCCTTTCACTCTCAATACCAGATATGCTTCAACAAACTCTTTAATATGGTCTCCGGGACACTAAAATAAAATGGTTTTTCAGGTATCACTTGAGGACCCCAAGAGATTCCGCATTGAACTTACATTTAGCCGTGGAGCTGATTTGTCTCCCTTAGAGGTAAGAGTTGACCCTTTATTGTGTATTTGTTTATAACGAAAGGAACAAATTCAAATCTTACGTTTTTTCTGAAATGAATTTATTTATAACTTTTAATCTTTGTGAGGACAGAATAATGGGACCAGAGAGGCAGAGTCATTGCTAAGGGAACACACGCTTCCGATAATGGGACCAGAGAGGCTTCAAGAGGTTGGTTCTTGTTTAACACTCGAGACTATGGAGAAAATGGTTCGTCCTTTTGCTATGCCGCCGGAAGATTTCCCTCCGGCCTCTACTCCGGTTGGTTTCTCCGGTTACTTCTCCAAAAGCGCTGCCGTGCTCGAGCGTCTCGTTAACCTCTTCCATAACTACAAAAACTCTTCTTCCAATGGAAAGAGCTAAGGGAATAACAACTTCTTTTCTTACTTTTTTTTCCTTAATTGCTTTGTGCAGTTCAAGTCAATATTTCCTTCTTTTTTTTGTCTTTCTACATGTTAATTTCTTTGTTAAGTGTAGCTATTTTGTTTCTTCTGCATGATTGAAAAATGAGTTTGTTATTTTTTATATATACTATATAGTCAAATTGTGAAAGGTACTCTTGCAGTTTTATGATATTATTACATGGAACATAAATGAGTCACCCGTGACGTACTCGAATATTTTTTTGTTTTCTATCCTTTTCTCATTTGTGATAGTTAAATAATCAATACCAATATTTATGATAAATGCGAGTTGCTGGAAATAAAAAATTAAATTTGTTAATCTGTAAACATTTCAAAATTTAATTGGCAATGTCTTTAAATGTTTTTACTCCCGGCAAAAAAAGGTCTTAAGATAAAACTAAGTTATAGGAATGTTGATCCTTTCCCATTTCTTTTATGGTTTAGCTTCGCTTATATCGAAAAAGAAAAAGTAAGTGAAATGAAAAGCAATATGATTAGGAACTTCTTTTCTAAAGAATATATCATAGATAGAGCTAAATCTCTATAGATTTTTTTTGGCAAAATCTCAAGAGATTAAATTAATATTTTGTTAAAAAAAAATTGAATACTCAAAGTAATTAGGTCATTAATTGTAAATTAAACGACTTGTTCTTCAAAATGAAAAAGAACAAAGAGTAATAATTATCACAAAACAAAAACAGGTGAACCAATATGTTGTTTGTATATAAAAATTACCAAATGAAAGAGAGAGTTTTGATTATAAAAGTGGGTATATAATAGGAATATATATATGTCCGCCAATCTAAAAAAGAAAAAGAAAAAAAGAAATCTGAAATGCGTTTTGTAACTGTTGAGAGTTAGCAAACAAACACATGCTGAATCTCTCTCTTGCCCGCTTTGCCCGTTCTTTCTTCTCTCTGCACATCTCCACAGACATCAATTCCCTTTTTGACTAAAATTCCGCGACTTGGGCTTTTTATTTAATCCTTTTTTCAAGTGAATCTTACTTCTCTCTATGCCAAAATCGCTTCCTTTTTATTTCTTTCTCACTCTCTCTAAATTCGCTTGGATTTTGTAGGGTTTTTCTTTTGTTGTTTTCTCTCGTCGTCTGATCAAAGCTTCTGTTTCCTTTTTCTTCTCGTTCTACTGGGTTTGTGGGAGATGGGTTTAGATTCCGTCAAAGTTATGGAGAATTGGCAATCGAACAAATCTAATGAGAGTGAGAAGAAGAAGAAGCGGAGGAAGAAGAAGAACAATGTCAGAAACAGTGAAGAAGGCGAAGAAGCGAATGGGTGCTGGGTCAAATTTAGGGTTATGATTTGTTGCGTACCTTCAACATCAGACGTTGATAGCTCTCTCAGCGTCTCTACAAGCACTGGTATTTCTTCTTCTTCTAGTCCATTTGCATCTGCGATTCGAGCTCAAGATAGGTTTTTTCAGTGCCCTTGCCTTCAGAACAACCTTTCCCTTGAGATTAACTTTTTTGGAATTTCGTATCTGTAACTGTCACAAGACCTATATTTCCATCTAGGGTTTTTTTCCCCCATTTGGCCAATTGAGCAACACCTCAGTGTCATTGTGTGGTTGGTTCACCAAACTTTGAGAATTTGATCCAAACTAATTTGATGCTAATTCTTGAATTGCCCTTTTTGTAATTTCCCAAACGATCTCTTCTCCTGTTGCTTTGAAGCTCTGATGATGACTTTGTCTCCTTGATATTTTGTTGCTTCAAATTGAATTGTGTAGAAGACAACTCTACTTTTCTTCTTTCTTCTTACCAGTCAGTGGATGGGAAAGACATTTTGAAAGGTTTTGTAATGATGGATTTTTTTTTGTTGCTTTGGCAGTGGGAAGTAAGTCGGCAATTGTGAAATCAAATGATCAACCGGCTGGTCCGGTTTCTTCTACAACAACAACTAGCAATGCAGAAAGCTCTATGTCGACTCCAATGATAAGTGAAGAGCTTAAGATCTATTCTCACTTAAAGAAGTTCACTTTCATTGATCTCAAGTTGGCTACTAGAAATTTCAGACCGGAAAGTCTTCTCGGGGAAGGTGGGTTTGGTTGTGTCTTTAAAGGGTGGGTGGAGGAGAACGGAACTGCTCCTGTTAAGCCTGGCACGGGGCTTACTGTGGCGGTCAAAACCTTAAACCCTGATGGACTTCAAGGTCACAAAGAGTGGCTCGTAAGATCCTTTCTTCTGTTTTCTTCCATATTTCATTTTCCACTGTTGGAACTTAACACACAGCTAAAGGTTCCTGTTTGTGGCGTTTGCAGGCTGAGATTAATTATCTCGGTAATCTTCTCCATCCCAATCTTGTTAAGCTGGTTGGTTATTGTATCGAAGATGATCAAAGGCTGCTGGTATATGAATTTATGCCTCGAGGGAGTTTGGAGAATCACCTTTTCAGAAGTAAGTAAACAACTATTTACGCAGTAAAGTTTATTTCTTTCCTCTTGTGTTTGCCACTCAAGACAGAAAATGTTTACTGTTTAAAGATGCATCTACTCCGTATTCTTTAACTTGGAACATTCCTACTTTGTATCGTTTAAGTCGGAACATATCTGTTTCCAAATCTTGGATGATTAATATCGTTTGACTATATTGACCCACTAATCAATAAGCAATCGCTTACGGATCCGTAGTTGTAGTTTTAGATTTTTTTTTTTGGTGTTTCAAAAGGGCATAATGCTTTCGTGTGATTTGTCTAATTGATGTATTTCTTTGCTTGGTGTTGAAGGGTCGTTGCCTCTTCCATGGTCGATTCGGATGAGGATTGCATTAGGTGCAGCAAAGGGTCTCAGTTTCCTTCACGAAGAAGCTCTAAAGCCTGTTATCTATCGGGATTTCAAGACCTCCAACATTTTACTAGATGCAGTATGTTTCCTTTACCCTACCTCGACATTTTACTAGATGCAGTGTGTTTCCTTTATCTTACCTTACCAAAATCCCAATTTCAGGAATACAATGCAAAACTATCAGATTTCGGGCTTGCCAAAGATGCTCCTGATGAAGGCAAAACCCATGTGTCTACTCGGGTCATGGGCACTTATGGTTACGCTGCTCCTGAGTATGTAATGACTGGTAAGTCTTGTCTCTCGTTTTTGTGTATTATAGCAAGTTTGTTTGCTTTTTTTCTTGGATATGCTTCGGTTTTGTATTAAATATGCAAAAAGAGAATGAAATTGTATTTTTTTCTTCGGGAGATTGATTGTATAAAACAAGTGTCTGTGTGTTTCACTGCGTATAGGTCACTTGACATCAAAGAGCGATGTTTACAGTTTCGGTGTGGTTCTACTGGAAATGTTGACTGGCAGAAGATCAATGGACAAAAACCGACCAAACGGGGAACACAACCTCGTGGAATGGGCGAGACCGCATCTCCTTGACAAGAGAAGATTCTACAGGCTGCTTGATCCGAGGCTGGAGGGTCATTTCTCCGTCAAAGGAGCTCAGAAAGTGACTCAGCTTGCAGCTCAATGCCTTAGCCGTGACTCCAAACTCAGACCCAAAATGAGTGAAGTGGTTCAAGTCCTTAAGCCACTCCCACATCTCAAAGACATGGCTAGCTCTTCTTACTACTTCCAAACAATGCAAGCCGAGCGGTTGAAATCTGTGTCTGGGTCTGGCTCTGGTCGTGGGTTCGGGTCCAGAAACGGACAACCCGTGTTTCGGACTCTGTCTAGTCCTCATGGCCAAGCTGGTTCTTCGCCTTACCGTCATCAGATTCCGTCTCCAAAGCCCAAAGGTGCTACTACTTAGAATGTCATCCCCGAAGCTAGAGAGGTTCTTTCTTGTGGCGCACACAAGGAAACTTCGTTTTTTAACCGATATTCCTTAACAGATTTCAAGTAGGCAAATTATGGTGTAAGATTGGTCTGAAAGAAGGTCCAAAGTTGTGGATTTACCTTTGTGACCTCGTGTCTCTTCGTCTCTTAGACTCTTTAGTAACAGTTGCCTTCGCATTTATATGATCAATCGCTGTTACTCGTTTTCGCACTTCACAATCGCGTGACCAATACGCAACCTAATCTTCGATATGCGGATGAAATTTCGCTTTTTAGTTTTGAATTTTTCCACCTTTTGATTTTTGGACTTATCCGCTTGTTGCTTTAGCTAGATAATCGAATAATTAACAACATGTCACAATGACACCATTTCCTAAGTGGACTTATTATTATTCAACTATTCAAATGCAAGTTATCCACTTTCTTTGTTCAACATGCGAGCCGCAAGGACCAACGACTTTTAATCAAAAAACTATATATTTTATATTAGCTTACTTTTGCTGTAATTTGTTTGATCTTCGTGTAACTTGATCCTTTTTTTTTTTTGCTTGACAGCCTTTGTGCAACTTGATCATCGTTTATAAAGTATAAAATTATAAAAATAATTTTGACCAAAAAAAAATAATAAAAAAATACTAGATCCAATCATCCAAGAATACTTGACCGTTCCAAAGTTCTAACTTTCCCGAAAAATTGGTAATTTTCTCCACCTTTTTCCAACAAACAAGAACCAAAATAAAAACCATCATCTTGTTGTATTTAAATTTTTGAAACCCTACTACAGAATTAATAAAGCCCAGTCCACGTTTTCCCTACACACAAGAGCTGCAGAAATAATAAAGTTGAGTCCACACGTTCCCTACAATTTTGAATTTGCATATTTTTCAAATATACCAACATACAATTATAAAGTCGCCGAGTGAGACGATAACTCTTGTTAATTGTCGTCTGACAAGGCTATCCAAGTATATTCTATCTTCTCACTACCAAGAGACGACTGTCATATAGCTCACTTTTTTTTGTGTTCATATAAAATTTGAAAACAAATATCTAAAGATAAATATATATGTACAAGAACTATTGTTCACGCCTAACTTACATAAGTATATTATTTGGTGGTTAAACCGTATATGGAAGTTTTGCATAATCATAAAGAATATATATATATATATATATATATATGTCAGGTTCAATCATCTATTCATCTCCAAGAACCAAGATATATATAGACAATTATGACTTTTCAAAAAGATGTCATTATCGCGAAATTTCGTAGGAATAATCACATGACATGTTGGCATGATCACCATCTTCTTACTCTTATCTATATATAACCCTCCTGTGAGATTTCCTCTCTTCCACAAACTGTAGAGATATAAACAGAGAGAAAAGACAAGTCTCATTATATTCTTCTCTTCTTAGTTCTTACCCTAAAGAAGATTTGATGGGGAACCTTTTCTGCTGCGTGCTGGTGAAGCAATCAGATGTGGCGATCAAGGAGAGATTTGGCAAATTTGAAAAAGTTCTGAATCCAGGTCTCCAGTTTGTGCCCTGGGTCATCGGCGATTACGTCGCCGGTCACCTCACTCTCCGTCTCCAGCAACTCGATGTTCAATGCGAAACCAAAACAAAGGTAACGTGACTGATGAACACAGACATATACATATATATGTCTCCAATTCTTCTAATTATCTTTGATTCGGGTATCAGGACAACGTGTTTGTGACAGTGGTTGCATCGATACAATACAGAGTGTTAGTAGATAAGGCAAGTGATGCTTTTTACAGGCTCAGCAATCCAACGACCCAAATCAAAGCCTACGTCTTTGATGGTAACAAACAACTTCTTCTTCTTCTTCTTTTTACCCAATTATCATTATTAGGGTCAAATCTATAACATCTCCTTCTGCTTCTCAGTGATCAGAGCATGTGTGCCGAAGCTGAACTTGGACGATGTGTTCGAGCAGAAGAACGAAATCGCCAAATCAGTAGAAGAAGAGCTAGACAAAGCCATGACTGCTTATGGTTATGAAATCCTTCAAACCCTTATCATCGACATCGAGCCTGATCAACAGGTTAAACGCGCCATGAACGAGATCAACGCCGGTATGAGCTTACAATTAAAAAAAAAAACCCCAAATCTCTCATTTTTTTTTTTTTTTTTTTGAGTTTTACTTACAGTGAGAAATGGTTTCAGCGGCGAGGATGAGAGTGGCGGCGAACGAAAAAGCAGAGGCGGAGAAAATCATTCAGATAAAGAGAGCAGAAGGCGAGGCAGAGTCTAAGTATCTGTCGGGACTCGGAATCGCGCGTCAGAGACAAGCGATCGTCGACGGGCTGAGAGACAGTGTTCTCGGCTTCGCCGGAAACGTGCCGGGGACATCGGCCAAGGATGTGCTGGACATGGTGATGATGACTCAGTACTTTGACACCATGAGAGACATCGGAGCTCACTCCAAATCTTCCGCGGTGTTTATCCCTCACGGTCCCGGCGCCGTCTCTGACGTGGCAACACAGATTCGAAACGGATTATTGCAGGCCCACCAGACCCCCTAAAAGGCTCTCAGTCAACTCTCTAAGTCGTCTCCCTCTCTAAATCTTTTTTATGTAAATTTCCAAAATGCTATGTTTATTTGTCGTTTATAATTTTCTTGTTTTGTTTCTTTCCATTTGGTCTGTCTTTGTAATTTTTTTGTGCGAATTCTGATTGTATGTGAAAATTGAATATAAAATTTGAAAATTGTTTAACCCCAGAGAACCAGAAAAAAGATCTCGAAAAACAAATTCGAGTGACGACAAATCCGAGAAGAAGAAACAGAAAGGGATCTTTAGGGTTTCATCATCACCAAGATGATATTTTTTTTCAACCGTTTTATTCTCTACAAATCCGACAAGAAAACGGGAAAGATTAAGTAGTAGCCATTAAAACCACTCAACCAAAAGCAGAGAGAAACAGTACTACTGAAAAAAGGCATAGCAGCTTTTGGATGCTTTCAAGGCTTGAGAGCGAGAGCCAATCCAACCTTGGCTTTCTTCTCAATGGCCTTAGTGTCGACTTCACCTGAGATTGTCAAGAAGGACTTGGGTCTCCACTCGTGTTGGATGAGCGCACTCGCTATTCCCGCGCTGTTCACACGTGCCTTCACCGAGGTCATTGGGTCGAGCGAATGCTGTGTTCCCACGGTTATGGTGTTGACCTTGCTTGACAACTTGTAGCTCACTTCCGCTCCCACCGCCGTGTTGAACAGAGGGTTCACAATGTGGTAGTATGACAAGTTCATCGAATCCCCCTTGTCGTTCCTAACACAGACAACAATATTATCAGATATCTAAACCCCACCACCCTTTTTATCCAGATTTCTTTCTCACACGGATTCACTTACAAGGTAAGAGAGGCAATCAAATCATCCTTGGTGAAACTTAGCCCAGCGTTGATCTTGGTGAAGTTGCCGGATTTGGTGTCGAATGAGACATCAGTACCAAGAGCCGCAACATTGGTGCCAATCACACCAGAGAAGTTGACAGTTGGGTTTTGAGTCAATCCCATGCTCGTGCTGATACCGGCATAGTCATGAAGGTACTGCAGCTCAATCTGTTTGAAAGAGAAAACAGAGATCAAGTCAGAATTTCAAAACTAGAAAACTAATAACAAATATATAGACGCTAGAATAGTTCTCTATACCATACCTTGCCGGAATTTTGGTCAGGGGCCCTGAAGCTGAAAATTGACTTCAGTCCAGGTGCAGCCTCATCAACCGTGGCAGTGATCAGAACCTGAAACCAATAAACACACATACAGTAGTTGTTATTTGTTACGTGAAAACTCGACAAGATAATAAACAAGCTAAAAGATGAAGATTTTGGGTTGGTAGGAATACACTTACAGTAGAATCTGTGCAAATTCTCAAATCAGTAGTGATGTTCTTTTGCCTCGATTGAAAAGCTACATCTCCCAACAGTATGTCACCTTTCTTAGTTCCAGATGAAGTGATGGCCTAAGGTTGTAACATGCAAGGCAGGAAAGAGGTAGCTTATGAGTAAGAATAAACACAATGCTTACTGCATCGCGTGAAATAGAGGAAGACTACCCCAAATTCATCAAATCTCAGAAGTAAACTTATCCATCAACCAAAACGATGAAACACAATCGACAAGAGCTCATTCCATTCACCCTAATCATCTGTAAGAATCCAGAGCTGATACTTGAAAATGAACAGGAAAAAAAAGAAGCTCGAGCTGAAACTTACAACACCGACTGGAGAGTAAGTGGTGATGCTGACTTTCTGGTCGCTGTTGTGATCTTTGTACAGAAGATCTGCAAATCCACAGTAGCAACACTCAGACCTTTGAACAACTCATCTAACCAACATTCTCAAAGGAGAACCAAATGGTAAAAAATACTTTCACACTATAAACTTATATTTCCAGATCCAAAGATGAACACAAATAGATTGAGAACCGGCTCAATACAGAGATATTGAAACCCACGGAATTAATCATGTATCCATCACATATATCTCTGGAAACGATCAATTTGTATCTCATTCCAATGGAATACACGAAATCTAAGCATGCATCCGACCCAATCGGGATTGGAAAACTACGTTTAGATACACAGAAAAAAAAATCCTAAGTAACAGGAAGAATCTAATTTGCAACTCTCAGATCGTCTTGTCACGAACAGATTCAACGATATGAAAGAGAAGGGGTGAGAGAGAGATTTTACCTCTGGCTTTTTTGCCGATGTCGGTGTAGAGACCAGGACCTTTCACCATTTTTGCTTCTCTGGTAAAAGAAAGAATATGATGTGCTCGAGAGGCTCTGAGAATCGCAAGTAGAGAAGAAGATGAACAATGAGGAAAGCTGTGGCGTCTATAAGAGATAGAAGAAAACCCTAATTTTTATTTATTTTTATCAGAGAGGGGTTTGTCCAGCTTATCAAACAAAATTTTACCAGCCGTTGGATCGAGACTCGCTGCGTCAGTTTTCCTCATCCACAGCCGTCGATATTTTTATTCTTATAAATTAATCATCCTCTTCTCTATTTATTACGTGGCACTCAGGCGGCGTCGTTTAATCATCTTTTTTTTCCTCGCAAAAAAAAGTTTTTTTCTCCACTTATTTTATTTCTATGACTCTGCTCAACGCCTAACGGGTGGGTAATTAATCAATCGGTTTCCAGATTAATTTTTCTGTTTACTGGCTAATCGGTTGAGTTTTTGACTAATCAATTAGCGTGATTCGTTTGGGGATGAACGATTAGTTGTCTGATCGGTTTGGTAAATAGTAAAATTCACGATTACACTAAAAGTAAAAACAAGCTCGTGATTCTATTCCTTTTAAGAAAAGAAAAAAATTTGTTAAGCTTTTAGTAAGGTTGATATACTCCGACAAATAAATTAGACGTAAGAAGCAGTCTGACATATAAAAGTAGTGAGAGATTTAAAGAGTGCTGTAGTTCTTTTTTTTGTTACATCATTATTTTGTTTCTAAAATTGGTTGCAAAGATTGAGAAAAACGGTAAGGTTTCTCTCTTTATAGAAGCAATCCAAATATAGAGAAAAACAAAAAACAAGGGAGAGGAACAGTTAATAAATAAAAGAAAGAGAAACAAAGAAACCTGTCCACAAGTAAATTATGGTGGCTTTCCATACATAACGGGAAAACTTTCTAAATATAGAAGTGAAATTTCTCCGTCAGGTTTTTTTTTATTATTATTTAAAGATCAACCTTCACGTTTGTCATACTTCGCAATACGACTCATCTACCCCAAAAAAAGGCTTTAGGCCAAACAGAAAAACGACCTAAAGCCATGTTTAAAGCTTAGCAGTTCTCCACATATATTTAAATATATCTGTATATTAAAAGATTACCCCTTTAAGAAAAAAGAAAAAAGAAGTTATATATAATTTGTTTTTCTGTGGGAAAAAAAGGGGTAATCAAATAAAATGGAGACGGCTAGGCTTTTCAAATTAGTGTGTGTGATTTGTATTGCCAGTTTGATTCCGACCCTACGAGCCAATGTTGCGGAGACTGATGAGTATTGGGTAAATAAGGCCAATGAAGCTCGTAAACAATCCCTTATGGCTTATCATCCCGACCCTTATGATATCGTCGACCACTTCCACGAGCGTCATTACGAGTAAGTCCGTTTAATCTTTTTATCTTATTTTTTATGTGTGTTTGTTTAAATCCGATTGAAATCAACTTTTAATTCTAACTGTGAAAGACAATGTCGACTTGGATTAGTTTATTTGGTTTTAACGGTGGTTTTTGGTTTTGGTGAATATCCTCTTAGCAACTCTACTGATGTTGATGGGACGGAGGAAGACGAGGCGGTAGCATCCGCGGAAGAGGAAGACATTGAAATGATTTCTGGTCCGACGAACAGCACAAGGCGGAGCCTAACCGGTAGAGGTAAAGGAAAAGGAAAGGGAAAATGGAGCAAGCTAAAGGGACCTTGCACCGCAAGCAACCCTATCGATAAATGCTGGCGTTGCCAGCCTGATTGGGCTAAGCGTCGCAAGAAGCTCGTCCACTGCGTCCGTGGTTTTGGCTACAGGACCACTGGAGGCAAACTCGGGCGCATCTACGTGGTCACGAGCAACAGAGACGATGATATGGTGAACCCTAAACCCGGAACACTGCGTCACGCCGTGATTCAAAAAGAACCGCTATGGATCATTTTCAAGCACGACATGAGCATTAGGCTGAGACAAGAGCTGATGATCAACAGCCACAAGACGATCGATGCTCGCGGTGCTGACGTGCACATCGCATATGGTGCCGGGATCACGATGCAGTACGTGCATAACATCATCATCCATGGGCTTCACGTCCATCACATTTTCTCCAGCAGTGGTGGTCTCATAAGAAACTCTATGGAGCACTTTGGGCTAAGAGGAAGGGCTGATGGAGATGGGATCTCTATCTTTGGAGCATCAAACATTTGGCTTGACCACATCTCCATGTCTAAATGCCAGGATGGTCTCATCGACGCTATAATGGGCTCCACCGCGATCACCATCTCTAACTGCCATTTCACCCACCACAACGATGTGAGTATATCGGAACCCATTAGTATGTACGGACAGCTCAGCGTAAGTTAGCCTGTTATATATGTTTTTGGGGTTTCTTGTTTAGGTGATGTTGCTTGGCGCACAAGACCACAACCAAGATGACAAGAGGATGCAAGTCACAGTGGCTTACAACCATTTTGGTAAAGGGCTTGTGCAGAGGATGCCGAGGATCCGATGGGGTTTCGTCCATGTTGTCAACAACGACTACACTCATTGGGAGCTATACGCCATCGGCGGTAGCCAAGGTCCTACCATTCTCAGCCATGGAAACCGTTTCATCGCTCCTCCTCACAAACCTCACTACAGAGAGGTACAAACATATCAACTCATCAAAGCTTGATGTGATTATATAGAAATATATATACTTTTTGAGCTAATATATAGAAACATATATATAGGTGACAAAGAGGGATTATGCTCCAGAAGGCGTGTGGAAAAACTGGAACTGGAGATCAGAAAAAGATTATTTCATGAACGGAGCATATTTCAGACAATCTGGGAATCCAAGATTCAAGTGTTCACACTCAAGACAACAGATGATAAAACCCAAACATGGAGTGGCCGTTTCAAAGCTTACCAAATACGCCGGAGCATTGGATTGCCGGGTCGGAAAACCATGCTAATAATATAACTCACTAATATTTTTTCTCTTGTATCTAGGCCAGGAACTAAACAGCAAATCTTTTATAAAAAAAAAATTATGGGGTAAAACTGGAAGTATAAACTAATTTTTTTATGAATGAGGTTCATAAATGCGAACGGCTGGAGATACTTTGTAATTTTATCTTGTTTCTGTATTCCATTTTGTTGTGTATGTTGTTTGGTTGTGCTCGTCATAATTTTAACTATTTTGTTTTTGGGGACCGGGCAACTATGATATACCAATGAAAAAAAACAGAACAAGGATTTTGCAAAAATTCATATATGGATCATTTTTTTTAAACCAACCGTATTATCGATTTCCCAAACCAATAATAGTCATTGACCTTTTTCCGTACAGGTCTGTAATTAAGCACTAATACTCCATGAACTTTTAAATCCTCTCTTAATTTGTAGAATAATAGTATACCTATGACATTTTATTGGTCTAATGTGTCTTGTGCACCGATAAAATTAACCGCACTTAAAGGCGTGTTGTACATACTTATCTTATTTAGAGAATCTCCAAGCTGGCCTTGAGCTTGAAAAGTCTGTCTTTCATTCTTTAATGTCAATGTCTAAAGCGACATTCGACACCATTAATCTGAAGGTCAGTAGAAAATCTATTAGCAAGTTGATGAAACAATTAATTATTAATTATGTAATATTGTGGTTTATACTATGTATATCCACCAAAATTTATCTAAGGATCAAAGACTAACTAAAGCAATCAGATAAGTTTTTTTTTTTGTTACAGGACAAATAAGATCGCGCGGTTTATAGAGTTGACATGTGAAGTCAAGATATATAAGTCTTCTCTTCTCTTACGAAGCTTCAGCGATATCTCCATTCACATCATATACGCGCGCTTACACACATAAATATAGTAGACTAAGTATCGCATTATTATCATCAACGGGGTTAATGATATAGTTTATTTTGTTCGTTTGAATATAAGGAAAATTTTAAATAAATGACTCGGTTATGACTGGAAGAAGAAGAAAGGATATATATCCATAGATCGAAAAGGTCGTCGTTACCTCATGGTTGAAATAATTAAAAAATGAACAAGTTGAAGTGTTGACGATTTGGGTCTCCATCCAAGAAAGTACACATCCATCTATTTTAAAGGCTATATAGTGAGAGGTCATGAAGAAAGAGGACAAACAAACAAAAAACAAAGAAGTATAAAACTTTGGTTTTCAGACAAGAAGAAGAAGTCGAATATTGAAGATCTTCTTATGGAACTAACAGCTGCTTCAGATTCTGTTGTAAAAGATGAGGTTATTGGATCTGCTGCTTTTTGTCCTGATGATGGATGCATTCAAGAAAGTATTAAGGTAATAAAAAACTCAGATGTTATATAAGTATACGTTAGTCAAGACCAGAAATCTATTATCTCAGCCTCGCCTTTTTTGTTGGCTATATATATGCATGTGAGTATGCGAAAAAGTTTATACAATATAATCAACTCGATATAATTGTTTTCAATTTTGTTAGAGAAATCATATTAGCTGTCAATGAGAGGACGATATTAGCATTTGATCCAATAGAATTATCCAATGAATCAAAACTGATGAGTAATTTATCTATGTATAGTTCCGTGCGTAATTCTAGATACTTATAAATTAAATTGAAAGCCGTAGTATTCATAACCACATTTATTACTTACATAATTTGTATTCATCATGAATATAGAGAAAACCTTTTTTTTTGTTAAAAATTTAATGATATTGTATTTAATATAGAGAAAATACAGTTATTTGTCATTTTATATTATCTTTAATGATATTTCAGGTGAGTCATGATGAACTTGAATCTGCAAAAGTTGAGATGCGAGAAATGAAGGAAGAGAATGAGAAGCTAAAAGTAGTGCTAGAACATATTGAGAGTGATTACAAGTCTCTAAGTCTCAAATTTTTGAACAAAGTTGAGCAAAAAAAATCTTCAGCCAAGCCAGAACTCCGGGATAACAAGACTGATCATCTCAACGCAGAGTATTTTAATTCTTCTGATCAAGAACGCGAGTTTGTCTCGCTTTCTCTCGGGAGAAGAAGCTCGAATTCCCCTAGTAATAGCATTGCCAATAAAGAAGAGAAGACAAAAAGCATAAGCTTAGGAGCCAAAGAAGACGAAGAATTGACCAATGCGGGTTTGACTTTAGGACCAAATAATGTTGGATTGGCAAAGGAAAATCATGCCATTTCAAGCCTAGAAAATAGCTCAGAAGAAGCTTCAGCCATGAATAAGGTCACCGGGAAGAGAAGTTTTCTTAGTGGTGATGCTGATGATAACGGTCAGCAAAATCTTGCCAAAAGAGCTAGAGTTTGTGTTAGGGCAAGATGTGACACTCTTACGGTGAGTTTTCTTCTATATTCATATAACCATCATGCTCATAATTAAGTTTCCAAAGAATATTTCTCATCTTATACTGATGACCTATTGTGTACTTATAAGATGAATGATGGTTGTCAATGGAGAAAATACGGACAAAAGATTTCGAAAGGAAACCCATGTCCACGAGCATATTACCGCTGCACGGTTGCACCTGCTTGTCCTGTTCGAAGACAGGTCTCTATCCATTTATCTATCTACCGAAACATATATAAAACATACAGCATAGTTTCCAATGTCTACTTTCTCCTTTAATTTTATTCCTAGGTCCAAAGATGTGTAGATGACATGTCAATCCTAATCACAACTTATGAAGGAACACACAACCACCCTCTTCCACTCTCAGCCATCTCCATGGCTTCCACCACCGCGGCTGCCGCCTCCATGCTCCTCTCCGGTTCCTCCACCTCGTCTCAATCAAATGCAACCGCATCAGGATTAGACGCCAAGATGATCAAGAACGGTATGAACTTCAAACTTTACGACAACAATTCAAGATTCATCAACAAACCATTCTATTTACCATCAACCGGTCTCTCGCCATTACATCCTACCGTCACTCTAGATCTCACGGCTCCTCCTATGCCACAACCATCTCCACCACCATATTCTTTGAACTTCAACAAATTTTCTTCACTCGAAAGATTCCCTTCGACAAGCCTTAGTTTCTCTTCTTCTTCTTCCTCCGATTCAACTTCTACTATCAACATTCCCGCGATTTGGGGTAATGGATACACTTCTTACAGTCCCATTACATACAAGAACGTCCACACCGGATCGTCCCCGTTTCTAAATCTTGGAAAGATTCAGCCACAAAACCCTCTATTGACCGAAACCCTAACGAACGCTCTTACTTCCCACCCAAGTTTCCACTCGGTGATCGCAGCAGCGATATCAACTGTGATCGGAACAGGAAACGGGGTTCAGCAATCCTCTTGGGGCCGTAATCTAATGCAAAAGACTAGTACGTTAAATAGCTTGCCGATTAATCAACAAACTGCAGATTCCAACAATAAAAAATAAAGGATGTGAAGGGTATCTTAGCAGCTTACTGATGTCTAATATGGCGAATCCAGGAATGTTATCACCGTTAAATCTACCGTCGTCGCAATTTCCATTTTCTATGTTCACGACTTCTTCTTCTTCTACGCCTAGTTTTGTGAACAAGGAAGAAAAAAGGCTAAACTTTATAGCATAGTATTTTCAGGTGTAATTAGCTTTTATAGATATGTATGAGAAGATGCTGATGATTCTTGTGAATTAGCTTTCATCTGTTTAAATTGCCGGACATGTTATTTTCTAATATATATATATATATATATCCGACCAAGTTCAACTTGGACATGCTTACAAACAAACAGAGTTTGTGACTTTTTTCTAATTACAAAAACAAAACTGTTACAAACAAACCATTGATATATACATATAAATAGTAGATACATGTGTCTGTTTGTGATACGACTTGAATATCATAAGCGCACTCATATGTATTCTTCTTCTAAGTTTTCTTCAACAACTTCACAATGTGTTTAATTGTAGACATAAACTCTTTCTCTTTCTCCGGAACCACCGAATGATAAGCATTCTCCTTCCATGCTCTGTAGAAAAATGATTCTTTTTCAACAAAAATGTTAGCTTTGTTAGAGTTGCACGTTCCATTCTTGAGCGAATCCGAAATTTCATTCAGTAGCGATTCGGATTTCACCAAAGAACTCAGCTCATCTTTCACATCGCCATTTGATTGATTCTTCAACGTTTTCAACTCTCCGAGCATATTCTTCGCCTTCTCAATCTCTTTTAGAAGATTGTTCTTTATCTCTCCTTTTATGAGTTCTCTTTCTTCTCCTTTTAACGTTGTCAAGGTTTCGGGGTTTACATCGCGGAGTTTTACTAGTTTCACGTCTCTCGCTGCAGCCTCATCGATGTTGCAGCACAATGCGATGACTAGGGTCACAACAAGACCAGATACTATGGAAGATTTCTTCGCCATTGTATTGTTTAAAATCAATACAAATCTTCTTGGCTCGTTTATATTTATATGAGAGGGACTGAAACTTCTTTCGGTGGTAGCCTTTACACGGACAAAAGATGTTGTCTAAAAGTAGAAGGTAATATTTAATATTTGAATGTTCTATATATTATTAATTAGTAAATGCTATAAATATTTTTTTTTTTTTTTTTTGAATTAGATGACTTTGGTAGCTATTTCTGCGAATTTTATGGATAACCAAAGAAAGATGTATGTAACTGGTTTGACCATCAATTTAAGGTTGAAAGTACACACTATTATAAGTCACAAATAATGGTATAAAATACCCTAAACAATAAAAGTTAGAACTCACATCTCTTCTCACGTCTTTTTCCTTTAACAAACTATTTGAATCTAATTTCAAATTGGTTGTTAAGGGGAAACTGAGCTCTAGTAATGGCAAAGATCTCCTTATTGCTTTTGGTCGTGGCCCTTGTCGCCTCTCTCCATGCTTATGAAGCTCGCCGCGTAGGAAAATTCGATGAAGCACTTGAAAAAGACTTGCACAAAGCCGAGGCCATTGTCGAGAAAGACTTAAAGGCCAAGAAAATGAGTATTCAGGGCTTATCATCGGAGGTAAAAACGTTGAGCAAATCTGAAGAGATGCTGAAGCAACTCGGAAACGATGTGAAGACACTCAAAAAATTCAGCAGGATAGCACACCTCAAGAAAGCACCTGCGAAAAACAAAAAACCTGTATCCATTATCCAATCCATTTTGAAGGATTTCGGATTAAACGGAGGGAGGAATTGACAAAATTTAATAATTAGGGTTTGATTAAAGTTTTGAACTTGGCCATGGAGTTTAGCTTTACAAGTGAGAGGAGCAAATAAGTTCCCCCATCATATTGTAATTAATATAATTAAATGAAATACTACTATATTTTATGATATTATAATATGTTTCCATGCGAATATTTTATTTTTGATAACAGTCATAAAATATAGATCAAAAACTCAAGCAACTGTTTGTGGTACAAAGTTAGACATAAGAAAAAACTAGTGGTGATTGGTGAACCACACATTCAGTAACAGCTCTGCGGATTTTGCGGGAACGGTCAGTAAAACCATCCCAAACGCTGCAAGAATTATATCAACAAATGCTGATTGATAATCATGTCAACAAAAATTATATCCACTAATACAGATGCTAAAATTTAACTACCGTAGACAAAAAAACAAAGTTATACACATGTATCTATAATTTACTCTCTCCATTTTATATTATTATTTTCTTATCGATAATATTTTCCCATACAAGTATTACATAAACAGCGACTTTTTAAAAAATATTGTTTCCTCGCATCTTAATTTTTATAAAAAAAATCAATGAGTAGGGAAAACTCTTCAAAACAAATTTACTATCTTTACCATTAATAATGATAAAATTTAATTTAATTATCATTAGTTAGAGAAGTCTTATTTTTTATTATCATCAATGAGAAAAGTCTTATTTATAATTAAAATTATGTTGTTGAAACCAAGTATTTGTAATTTTATATCTACGTGAGTAAATTTAGGGAGTTATATATGGTTCATTACATTCACCGCTAAACTATCAAACGAAAAATATCTAAATATAGAAAAGCAAAAATATTGTTCAATGGCTTGCCGATTTGATATCTTTGAGTAAGATGAGTACCAATTTTTTGGGGAATTACACTAAAAAAAAAAAGTATATAGCGAATTTAATGGGTAGTCAAAGAAAATTTATCAACGAAGTCCATACCATTCGTTGACCATGAAAAACAAGGTTGTATTGATATACTATTTTTACGCACAGATAAAGCTATAAATGCTTTAAGAAATGAACACACGAACTCACTCCTCTCATCTAATATTTTCCTTTTAAGAAACTATAATTTGATCAATTTCAAATTAAGTTGAGCTAGGGAAAATTAATCATTAAACATGGCAAAGATCTCCTTTGTGCTTCTCGTTGTCGCCCTTGTTGGCTTTCTACATGTCTCTAAGGCTCAAAATTTTAATGAACAAGTACTTGAAAAGGACCTGCATGAAGCGAGAAACTTGATTGATGAGGACTTGAAAGAAAAGGAATCGAACCTTAAGAACTTGGAGACCCAGGTGAGTATGTTAAACAAATCTGAGATGATGTTGATTGAACTCGGAGAAGCTTACAAAAATGGTCAGAGTCTTGAGCCTTTCGGGATTAGGCTAAAGAAATTCAACAGGAAGATCAAGCAGGCGCCAGGGGAAGTGAGATACGTATCCGTAATCCAATCCATTTTAAAGGATTTGGGATTAAACGGAGGGAAAGATGATTGAACCAAGAAATAGAGTTTTGATACGTTTAAAGGAAATTAGCCCATGGAGTTTGGCTTTACGAGTGAGAGGAGCAAATAAAATGCCCATAGTATATATTTAATTAATTGCATCAATTGAATATAAATCAGTTGTAATACAATTAAATAAAACTATTACGTATTAATACTGTAATCTATCTCTGTGCTAATATGTTGTTAATTAGTTATTACCACAATGTAATAGTTACAGAATCATAATAGATAGATTTTGTTTTTTCACACATATATCTAATCTATGAGTTGAATCAACGTATATACTGTAATCATGTGCACGTTGATTTATCCATCAACATATATAATCCACTTCACCAAATATTTATCTTCATATCCATTTTTAATAGTTGGGAAACCGATTATTTCACATGCCAATAGCTAATCCAACAAACTACAAATCATACATTCATGCATAAATATATTCACACATCTCTAGTATTAAAAAATTATAAAGTTAATAACCGATATTTAAGATGAAAAGTAATTATTTAATTAAATGATAATATCTAAAAATGATTCTTTGAATTTCTATGTTTTGTTTTAGTTATCTCTCTCTTTTTTTGTTCAACTGTTAAATAGTCTCTTACATTACGTAAAATAGTAGCCAGTGTAAACTCTTAGCTGTCTAAAAATTATTTTAAAAACAATCGAGATTCGTCTTAAATAGAAAGAACCCAAAAGAAGAGTGATCGCTTTCAACACCATACCCATTTTTGTTTTCTTCTTTTTGGTCTGTTATTCTTTGTGTTTTCGAACGTGTGCTTCCAGTAATCTTCCTCATTCCTATCTCCAGTCTTATTTATTAGTATAATTTTTTATGAGTAATGAAATTGGAAGAAAATAAAGTAATATACGGATCGGTCTATAGGTGATTAAAAATTACAAGTTACAACAACAACCACACTACAAAAATATACCACCATCGAATAGATTTTTAACTCCAGTATTTCGAACCAGCAAAGAGTATAATATACAGTTTCTGCAGGGAATATTTGTAGAAGAAGAAGTAATTTTAATATTCAAAAAAAGAGAGAGGTGATTTTACGTTTTGTCCTTAAACCTAAGTATGTGACGCATGGCATAGTGTTTTGTTAATTATAGTTCCATGAGTCCATAGAGATTTAGATTCAGTATTTTTTTGTTGTCAGCATATATTGCAATTCGGTATAAGTTCGTTGTATTAATTGCAACTTGCAAAGATAATAAACAAATAAAATATATTTTAAAAAAATCCTTGCATATCAAAATAACTCGAACATGTAACGTCAATGACAGAGCTGGAATCCCACTCGAAGTCACATGCATATGAATCTTTCTCACTTTAATTTCCTTATATCTTAATAAATTGGTACCAACCCATCAAATAAAAAAAAAATTATTGGACAAATATATATATATATATATATATATATATATATATATATTTTGAACCTCACTCAATGTCTTTTCTTTTTTTGCCAGTGGTTAAAATTTATTGCAGAAAGTTTAAAATGTATTCCTTTACAAAAACTATAAGGGAGAAACACTTATAAGCCGACGATTGTTGATTGGTTGGGTGATCCGGAACCGAGTAGTAAGGTAAGTATGTATCACTTTGAACATGAACTGTTCGGTTGGGACTTGGGACCAGAGTCATAGTTTCATAGAAGGTCAGGGAATAAATTCGAGAGTGTTCGTATTAATCTTTATTTATAATAAAGAAACAACAAATTTTCGCACTATACACCAATGCTCTACAAACCCAAAGAAAACAAGATAATCCCTCAATCTAAGTTTAAAAGAGTAAAAATAAATTCCAAAGAGTCAAATTCAAATAAGAGATGAACTGTTTCTTTTTTTCTGATGATGATGATTATGATCATTTCGAGCTGTAGGAGGACCATGGATCAATTGAATTGATGGTGGTGGTGGTGGTTGTGGTTTGGGTCAGACCATGCCCAGTAACCAGCCGACGTCGTTTCATCAATGCCATTAAACATGTTACAAAAGCTCTCTTCTTGAACGATTTCATGATTCCGATGATGATCATCATCATCTTGATCATGTTGACGTGCAGATGATCGAATGGATGAAGGGAAAAGGTCTTTGATCGTGTTCACATGTGTCGTTGTGGTCTCTCTAGGCATCTCCAAGTTTATGTCTGAGCTATTCTCTGTGCTTCCATTGTTGCTCCATGACGCTTCTGCTTCTCTCTTTATTATGTTTGCTTCATTACAATCTTTGTTCTTAAGAGCCATTACCTTTAACCATCACACACAAAGTCCCAAACATTAGAAATCCTTAATTAATGCATACATATATGTGGAATACAATTGTCTTCTATTTCAAACTTAGCTATATGTACCATTCAAATAAGACAACTTCCTATCCGGGTAGATACTAGATAGTAAATCCAACTATTAAAATTACAAAGTATTTATTATTAATTTCACTAATAGAGTATATATAATTACTTAAGTTAATTACTGTAATTATTATAATCATTTGAAATACAAAGTATAATATGTAAATGAACAATATAATATTCTTCTCTTATATGGTTTGAGCTTCTTACACATGCCATTACTTGATAAATCACATGGGCATCAAATGTATATTTTAATCAAGAATCCTTTATTTAATAAAAAAACACCTACTGACTTTTGACAAACATCTTATAGTGTTGGATCATGAGCCTAACAATAATCTATTGCATTTCATATTAAATGAGTATAGTCCTAGTTAAGCACACACACACATATATGTATGTACATAGATGTGTTGAACCAAAATGAAACCCGACTTTAAATCGAACAGAAAGTTAAATTAACCAAAGCACCGTTTCAGATAGACATATACTTTATGTAATACTATACCTGAGCAAGGAGTTTTTTGTTGTGGGTAAGAAGAGAATCATTGTCCGACTTAAGAGACTCAAACTGTTTCTTGAGTGAATCGTAGTCTCTCTCGAGCTGTCTAGTCTTCCACCTAGCTCTCCTGTTTTGGAACCAAATCGCGATCTGTCTCGGCTGCATACCCAATGCTTTAGCTAGTTGTATCTTCCTCTCTGGCTCCAGCTTGTTCCCCAGCTCGAAGCTCTTCTCTAATGCCTTGACTTGCTCTAGTTGCAGCCTCTTCTTCTTCTCTCCTAGCATCATATGTGACCCATCGTCTGATAGATTCTCTTCATCAACGGATTGATGATGATCCTCTTGCACGTTCGTTAAAGAAATAGATCTGTTCATCATGTAGTTTCCTCCTCCTATAGACACACCAACAAGACAACACTATTATAAGTTCGACGACTTCATAGTCCTATTTACGCATGGAGAAAGAGAGAGAGTACCATTGAAGAGATGAGGAGGAGGACAAGAAGGAAGTTGATCATGACTATTGTCTTCATGGAGTTGTTGGAACATAAAACCATGCTGAGGAAACGCCATCTCCAATCTCAATCCTGCAGCTGCGTCTGCGGTTGGATCAAACACATACATGTATATCCAGATCAACCCCACCAAGGATAGATCACTGATATATATGCTTCTTTTGGATAATGAAGTTACTATATAATCTAGTGATGATCAAATGCTTAATTTGTTGTTTACAAATTTGGAAATCAGTAACAAATGGATTTGGAGTTTCTTCTGGATCTCATTTACCTCTCATATAAGGGAAATAGAGAGAGAAATAGAGAGAAGAAGGAAAAGATCAAGCTAGGGAGGTTTCTAGGACCCATCCTCTTTAATAATTAAGCCTAGGCTCCTTATATTATTCATAGATATTCCACTCTAGTCTCTATGTATATACTCTTTAATCTAACAAAAGAAAGAAAAAAAAGTACATAGTATATATACTTTTATATTTTTTTTTAATGAAATACAAAGTTTAGAAGAAATTATGTCGGTAATTTCTCATGTAACATACATTAACATGTAATTTTACTCTAGATATGTATATGGTTTATGGCTTAAATCCTCATATAATGACATCTACAGTAAAACCTCTATAAATTAATAATGTTGGGACTACAAAAATTTATTAATTTATAGAGTTATTAATTAATTGATAAATTAATAATTATTAATTTATCGAGAAATTAATATTTTATTAATTTATAGAGAGATATTTCGGTTCAAAATTCAAAATATTTGTAAAAAAATAAAAAAATATTGTCAAAATTGAAAAATTTATTCAGAAAATATCATATCAGTGAATTTAAAAAATAAGTCAAACAATTTTTATAAACTTAAAACAATAATATAATTATATTTTACTACATTATATTATTTATATATGCTTAAATGTACACTTATTAATTTATATAATTATTGGGACTATATTTTTATATTGGAGTTTCAAAAAAAATATTATCTTATTATCTTATCGAAATTTATTAATTTTTACACTGGCCCGATTTAGGACCGACAAAAATTATTAATTTATAGTGATTATTAATTTATCGAGTATTAATTTATAGAGGTTCTAGTTATGTTTTCAAACGAAGCCCAACAAAGACAAAGTTAATCGCTTCCACCACCACCCATATGGGCTGCTGCTTTTGCAGCCCGGCCCAGAGTATCTGAGAACCATAAAGCCCCATTAGCAAAGTATCGACTGTTCACCACACTAGTGGCTGCAGCCGCGGCGACTTTCCCTGTAATGGTTGCTGCGGCCACAGCAGCGGTTCCGGTGAACAGTACGGCTGACTTTGTGAAATCCGAGAAATGATACTTGTCGTCCGCTGATCTCACGACTTCCATACTCGACTGAATGTTCTGCGTGAGGCCAATGTAATGGCTCATCTCTGCCAATTTGGTCGCCACCAAGCTCGAGAACCTCTGAGACTCATCCAAAGCTTTGGCTTTACCGATCGCGTCTTTGCTTAGAACGTAGCCTTTCGCGATCATTGTACTCACGACTTGCTGAGCAATGGTTACTGCTTCTCTAGGCGATGGAGCAAATGCGTCTGTATGAGTCACCTTCAAAAGCCAACCAAACACACAAAGAAACATTTTGAGTCTTTTAAAGGCACGGGAATCATAAGTAATCTAAATCACTTAATGTTTTATAACGGACCGTTACACTATAAGAATCTTCTTCTTGTGTGAGATTGTTGGATTCGTGTAAATAGACGCCGTACATGGATATCCAAACGGTTTGATCAACGATCGTAGATCCCTGAAAACGTTAGAATCAATGCCGAGAAGATCAATCTTCAATTGGGAGTTTTTTTCGGGGGAAAGGCATGGACTTACGCTAAGCAACAAGGCCATATCCAGAGCATACGCATCTCTGAAGGTTACATATGCCGTTAACGCATCACTTTCGTACCTGAAAACCATGGAGAGACCATCGAACAAGAGTCCAACCCGAAAACTATAATGTCCCGTAACTGAATTAACAGATTTTGTTTGCTATCAATTACCCAGTGATCTCGACGAGCTCGACGATTCCACAGTGAGAGAAGAAACTATGAACATCTTTCTCAGTGGCTTGAGGAGACAAGTTCGTGACTTCAGCAACGTAACCACAGGGATACATTTCTTACATCAACCCAAAAACCTGAATCAAAGACCAAACATAACCCATGAATCACATTCCTTGACGGATAAACACTACAAAACTACGGCTAATTAGGTCATTATTCAAATACAAAAAAAAATGTCCCCTTTTTTTTATATGATCAGATCAGAAACAGAGTAAGAACACTACTAGATTATAGGTGACACAAGTCCATGGATTGAAAGTAACGGTAACAAAAAATGCAAAAACAGAGGCTCAGATAATCGATCAATTTAGTAATAAGTATCAACCAAACAATTGGAAACTTCGAGAAACCAGTGTGGTGAGTGTCCCTTTCAGCTTACCCGATTTTTGATTTTAAGGTATAGATAGATGGATCAGGAAAGTCGCAAGATTGAGAAGCAAAGCAACGAAAGAGACGGAGATGAAAGAACTCACAATTCGTGTGAAGAGAGAGGAGAGAGAATGTTTACATTTTTCTTTAATTGTCGGTTCGATAATGATGTTGTGGTCGAGGATGTTCTCACGCGCCGTTTATGTCACACCAATTTCTGCAAAACTTTCGAAAATTTAGCGCGTTTACAGTACTCTCGAATAATGCGCGTGTTATTTATCTTCACGTGTTTTGGGCGCTTGAGGATATGTATACATTCATGGGCTTTTGAAAGCCCAATTATCTGTTCTTTGAACCAAGGAATGAATGAGGACATTTCCGTCAATTTCTCATGTTCAAAACGCTGAACAAGTGTTGGGAACGCTGAAAATCAAATTTTCTTCAGCGGTAACGCGTTTGGACCGCAGTGACTGGATAAAACCGTAACCGCCGCTCGGAAGAACATTTGTTATCATCTCCCGACGATGAATTTTCACGGCGTCTCAGGTCATCCCGAGCCTAATTCCGAACCTCCGATCACAGCTTCGAGTCCTCCGACTCCGAAGATGAAGATTAGTCCCAAATTGAATCGATGGTCCATGGCCCGAGCTTTAAGATCCGGTGTTAAGGTCAACCGTCCGATTCATCGTACTGATAACACACCCTGCCGTCAAATAAAGACGGATGAGTCTGATAGGAAGACATCGACAATCGACGGTGGTGGTGATGACGCGGAGATAACGGCGGGAAAGTCGATATATTTGGTATCCGACGGGACTGGGTGGACGGCAGAGCACTCCGTTAACGCCGCTTTGGGGCAATTCGAAGATCGCTTGGTCAATCGTGGTTGCTCTGTTAACACCCATCTCTTCTCTTGGGTATACCAAATAAATCTCATCTTTTTCTCGGCATTTTCATTCAATTTTTATTGACAAAGCTTGCAAATTTGATGATCTCTCAGTGAATGTTAGTGAGCTACAAGTTAGTGATGATATATATGAGCCCTCCAAACAAAACAAAACAAAAAAAACTTGATCTTTAACCTTAAATTGTATGGTATTTGGTGAAATGTGAAAGCTTTGTTTTTGGAAATGGTCTCAGATCGAGGATGAGGAGAAGCTAATAGAGATAATCAAGCAGGCGGCGAAAGAAAAGGCGATGTGCTTCTACACTTTAGCAAACCCTTCAATGGCGAAATACGCGAAAGAGGCTTGCGAGCAATGTGGGGTGCTTTCGGTTGATATTCTAGGACCAATCATCGAAGGGATTGCATCTCACTTGGGTGCTTCTCCGTCAGGTCTTACCCGTGGAGCCGCCGGGAGGGTCAAGACTCTCAACGATGCATACTTCAAAAGAATCGAAGCCATTGAGTTCACCATTAAGCAAGACGATGGGACTTTACCGGAGAACCTAGGCAAGGCTGACATCATTCTTGTCGGTGTTTCCCGCACAGGCAAGACCCCATTGTCTACTTACATCGCTCAGAAAGGTTACAAAGTCGCAAACGTACCGTTCGTGATGGGTGTGGAACCGCCCAAGACGCTTTTTGAGGTCGAACCGAGAAAAGTCTTTGGTTTGAAGATTCAACTTGCTGTACTGCAAGCCATCAGGAGAACAAGGGCTAAAACGTTAGGCGTGGATACAGAAGCTGAGAACAATTACTCCGGGTTCGATCTTGTTCGCAAAGAACTTGATTTCGCATCAAGGATCTACGCCAAAAACCCTGGATGGGCTGTAATAGGTATACCATTCTCATTTTCTTACTCAAGATTTTTTTGTCTTTCTCTTCTTTCCATGTTTGCAACGATTAGGTTTCATACAACAACATTGCCTGTTCTTCATCTTATTCTTGCGGTTGCAGATGTGACGAATAAGGCGATTGAAGAAACCGCAGCGGTGATTCTGCGGCTTTACCATGACGGTAGAGACAGTAGTAGCTCTTCTGTACCGTGTATATCAAAACGCTACTAAGCTCACTCCTTTCCTTGCGAGGATGAAACAGTCAAGTTTGGTAGTATCTCCTAAAGAGAAAGCTTTGTCTCAAATGCAAATGGCAATACTTGTTGTCTCTAATAATTAACAAATCAAACCAAGGCGGGGAATTTTGTTTCAAATTTTGTCCAAATTAATAAATGTATCCAAATTTTATACTCTTGTGGTACATATTCATGGAAACAATCAAATGAAGATGAGAGGGTGACGGAATAACACCCAAAACAAAAACGAAAAACAAAAATTATGGGATTATTCTTAATTTGTTTAGGATTATATAGAAGAGGCTAGCCAACAATCAATAATGATTTTATTTTATTCTATACAAAATTTAATTTTTTTGCTATTTTTTCATCAAAAAATTACAGTTGAAAAGGTTGCAACTTGGGATGTCTTACAGCTTTGCCCACAAAAAGAAAAAGGGCGTAGTCAAAGTTGACAAACGTTTAATTTTGCATGCCTTCGTAAACACGAATAAGCTTCTAGAGCTCTGTTTTTTCTTCATTTTGTTTTCGCCGACCTTAATCTATGTCAATTTGGTAATTTATTTCTATTTGACTATGAATTTTGATTTAAGGTTGCTAGTTAACATTCCTCGCTACCTACAAAAAGTTTAAAACGTTGCGGTCAGATGATTGACGTAATTGGAAGAACATGCAAGACACTTTATAAATGCATGGATATGCATGTGGGATCAAATGATTGTTGCGGTAACGTCCAAGAATTAAACATTTCATTGACAAAGATTATTATCTATATGTATATATATACTTAATTGTTTGCGATAACGTCCACGAATTAAAAAATAAATAATTGACAAATATTATATATACTTTGCTTAATCAGATAAAAAAATGAAAAATTTAATAAAATACTTCCAAGTGTTAGTAAACTACATTATGTGTCTCTCGGCTCACCTAGTTTACGTATAATTTGTCACCTAAGGATCACTTAAACTTTACAAGCAGACGTTGTTCTCAACAGTCAACTTATGTTGTTGATTTAGAATTGTCGATAGGATAGACCTTTCTAAAATCGTATAACTAGTTGGTGCGTTTGGAACAAAATACATTAATTCTAAAATTATATGTTTTAGAAAATTGATGAATACATATGAATCGTACTTCGTTTTTTACCCATTTTATAGTCTGTTTTGTAGTTTGAGACTTACAAAAGCTACTAAAATATATTAGCATGTCTTTTTAGTTATAAAACGACAAAAAAAAAACTTCGTGTTAGGTGACGATCGTCGAATTATATTATAGCATGTTTTGTAATTTTATAGTCGGGACTGACAAAAGACACTCGAACTTACAATACATCATCGATAAGAAAACATAAACATAAATATGTTATATACACAAACATATATACATTAATACATATACTAAATACAAAAAATGTAGTACGACTTTTAGCAATTTGCCTTCTTTTTATTTCTACAAACAATGATTGATCAGAAGAACAACAAAAATACAACAAGCATTCCAACGCAGACCGATGATAGTCAACTACATTTTGATGTTAATTAATATCAATGTTCTAACCACAAACTCTTATGATATTCTAGTTTTAGTTTAAATTATTTTCTAGTTACTTACGTAATTTAGTATAAATAACTTCAATCTCATCAACAATTCATCATCAATCGAGCAAAAAACAAAAGCTAAGAACAAAATAAAATGGCTGCATCTAAGCGATTAGGTCTCTCTTGCTTGTTCTTAGTGTTGTTGCTAGCTGAAGCCAATGCACAAGGCTTGAAAGTAGGTTTCTACGGCAAAACATGCCCCAAAGCCGAGGGTATTGTTAAAAAGGTCGTTTTCGCTGCGATGAAGAAAGCACCTACGGTTGGTGCTCCTTTGCTTCGAATGTTCTTCCACGACTGCTTCGTTCGGGTATGTGTTTCTCAAGTGATTCTTGAGTTTTACATACTTCATAATTTCATATTATGTCCCATTTTCTTAAAAAAAGTGTGAGATTCCTGGCCAAATCGATCGTCGTCTAATGAGTAAAAATCATAACCAAATAGGGATGTGACGGATCAGTTCTGTTGGAGCTATCGAACAATCAAGCTGAGAAGAATGCAGTTCCTAACCTAAGCCTTCGAGGGTTTGGAATCATAGACGATTCCAAGGCGGCTCTAGAGAAAGTGTGTCCGGGCATTGTTTCTTGCTCTGATATCCTAGCCCTTGTCGCTAGGGACGCAATGGTTGCAGTAAGTTATTAACCTTCGCATTAATCAGAAATATTTTAGAGCGATCATATATTGGATTCACTATGAACATGTTTATTTTTTTATTAGCTTGAAGGACCATCGTGGGAAGTTGAAACGGGAAGAAGAGACGGTAGGGTTTCTAATATCAATGAGGTCAACTTGCCATCACCTTTCGACAACATCGCCAAGCTTATTACCGATTTTCGCTCAAAGGGACTCAACGAGAAAGACCTAGTCGTTCTTTCAGGTAGCTAGAGACAAGTGAATGTTATTATTATTATTCTAAACTTCGATTGAAAAATGAATTAGAAACCCGTTTTGGTAGTAAATTGATAGTATAATGAAAAATAAACATATTTGTATTTATTTGTTTCTAAAGGTGGACACACTATTGGAATGGGACATTGTCCTCTAATGACAAACCGGCTTTACAACTTCACCGGAAGAGGAGACAGTGACCCAAGTCTGGACTCGGAGTACGCCACTAACCTCAGGAAGAAATGCAAGCCGACCGATACCACGACCGCTCTAGAGATGGATCCAGGAAGTTTCAAGACATTCGACGTGAGCTACTTCACGCTAGTGGCCAAGAGAAGAGGGCTTTTCCAATCCGATGCTGCTCTATTGGACAACTCAAAGACAAGGGCTTATGTCTTGCAGCAGGCAAGAACTCATGGGTCAACCTTCTTCCATGACTTTGGTGTCTCCATGGTCAAAATGGGTCGGATCGGAGTTCTTACGGGTCGGGCCGGGGAGATCCGTAAGATGTGTCGCGTTCCTAATTAAGAGTTTGAAAAAAATGAAAATATCTCTCGCAGAGTTTGATTCTTGTGGTTTGCTTCTTCTTTTTTTAAGACGTTGTGATTGTTTTCTTGGAAATATGCTGTATTTAATTTCTCAAACAAATAAGCCTGTAACATTTTTCAATTAAAAGAAATTATTTGATAGTATTCAACGGTACTTTGTCATGATCTTCAACTTCTGAAGCCAAACTTGGATAACAATACTAACGTGGTGATTAGAATTTATAAGAAATTAATCAATCAGTTTATCAAAAGTTTCATCAACATTCAATTTGTAATATAAATTACAAAAATTGGGTGAATATAAACTTTATTCGTTGAAGTTGCTTCTTGAGCTTGAGCTCCCAAGAAATAATATGTATCCATTAAACTGATAACTTTGCAATATACGTAGTAACTTATATGATTTTTATCGTATATATTTGATTGAAAAAACAAAAATTAAGGTATTTTGATGGGATTATGGTAGACTCTTGATATCTGTGATTTTGGACGATTACGATTGCTTACGGGAAATCTCGAGGGATAACATTTTGTGGCGATGATCTCTGCCTAATCCAATGCCTTTCGAAGAACAAATATTAAAATTAATATAAATTCCCATATTATTCTCATGAATCACGCGATGGTATTGAGTTTATGGTGATGTCGCTTTGTGGCCCCATTTGGGCAAGATTTCCCACTCCCACGACTCTGTTTTTGTTTGGATCGTTTCTGTTGATTAGCCGTAAATTAACTCACAAAGCCCTCGTCTTTCTCGCTTCTCTCTGTCAAATCCTTCGTCTTTGGTATCATCTGAGTTCGGTCTTCTCAATTAGGTCTGTCCGATTTCTCGGATGAAACTTGTCGGAGTTTGTGTGTGATCTGCTCATACACAAAAAAACTCCTTTTTGTTTATTGTTTTCTGAGTTCATTGAGGCAATTCTTCGAACGAGTAAATGGCATCAGTTGCTGAGAGCTCTTTCCCTCTGATGTGTCAAATCAAGAGTCAGCCTCGCGTCGCGTCGTCTACGCTGAGGAATTCGAGTGTTGTCCGCATTTCTTCTCCTGATTTCGCTTCTGGGTCGCTGTCATTTCGTGGCCGGAGCTTCGTCCTAGGACATCGATGGAAGTTTGCGAGGTGCGTGGAGGCTACGAGCCCAGATTCCTCTGAACCTGCGAGTGGAGATGAGCAGGAGGATGCGCTTCAAGCTACCATCGAGAAGAGCAAGAAGGTTCTTGATATGCAAAGGAACCTTCTTCAGCAGGTAGATCGATCCTTGAAATTGGCACTGAGCGTGATGGGTTTCGTTGGAACCTCATTGCGGAAAGTTACAGTTTTTTTAATTTTTCTTGGACTTAATAAGTTGAATCCTGGGTTTGTTAAAGGTACTTTTAGCTTTTGGAAATGATTCAGTGTGAGAATATGGTCTATAAATTGCTTTCTAGAGTTCTTTAGAGAAGAAAAGTCCATCCTTTACACTATGAGCTGTTAGTGAGAATGTGATGAAAGTATGGTGAGTGAGCAAGGATCTGAGTGAAATCGATGCTTCTCTCTACTCTAGTTTGTTTTGGAGGCTGTTCTTGAGTAGTTTTAGGTTTACATGTATTGAATTGTTCTTTGACATTTGTGTTTAAGATTCTTTCACTTCATCTAGTATCTTGTTACTCTTCAGATTGCTGAAAGGAGGAAGCTGGTCTCATCTATAAAAGAGAGCACACCTAACTTGGATGATGCAAAACCTTCTTCCAAAGAAGAGTATGGTTCTTCTGTAAATGCAAATACTGACGCAACTAAGAAAGAGAAGGTGGATGGAGACGGAAACGGTAGTGTTAGTTATGGCAAGTCATCTCTAGACAAAGAAACAGAAGCTAAGACTTTATCTCCTGCTACTGGATCACCGAAAAAGAGCAAACAAAGCTCAGCGTCTGTGGAATCATCCTCACCTGTAACCTCTCCTGAGAAGCCATCCGTGGTAGCCACTAATGCGAAGCCTTGGTCTAGCGTCGTAGCCTCCAGTCAAGATCATCCTTATAAACCATCTTCTACTATGACCTCTTCTGAGAAAACTTCCCATCCTGTAACTTCTCATGGAAACCCGAGTAAATCTCGCGCTGGTGCATTTTGGTCAGACCCATTACCGTCTTACCTGACTAAAACACCTGAAACATCAAGTATTAAGACAGAGGAGCACATGGAAACAAAAGAGGAAAAAACACATGCAGAAGCCAGCAGCGATACTAATGAATCTGTGAGGGACGAACAGAAGCCGCCTCCACTGGCTGGAGCAAATGTCATGAATGTGATATTGGTAGCAGCAGAGTGTGCTCCATTTTCCAAAACAGGTGACTGTTCCATTTCTCACCTTTGATTGATTACGAGCTTTTGCTTTCATCGTCCTTATGTGTACGAGCTGAAGACTGAGAAATTTTATAGGTGGTCTTGGAGATGTAGCTGGGGCTTTGCCAAAGGCTTTGGCTCGGCGTGGACATCGGGTTATGGTAATCTTTACCACAGAGTGCCTTTTTTCGTGTCATATAAGCTCTCTGGTTGGTTATGGAGAAAGAAACTCAAACTTGTTAGTGAGTCATTTTCCTTAATTTTCTTGTTAGGTTGTGGTTCCTCGGTATGCAGAGTATGCCGAAGCCAAAGATGTAGGGATACGAAGGAGATATAAGGTGGCTGGGCAGGTATTACAGCTGTTAATGTATCAACACTGGAAGTTTCTTTCCTTTTCATTTGAAATTCCTTAACAAAAGTATTTGAGGTAGAGAAAGTTTTCATATGGAGCACACTTTACTGCAGGATATGGAAGTAACGTACTTCCATGCATATATTGATGGTGTGGATTTTGTATTCATCGATAGCCCTGTGTTTCGGCATCTGAGTAATAATATTTACGGTGGAAACCGACTTGTAAGACTATTTTATTCTCTCTGTTCTTTACCCTAAAAGAGTCAGTTTCAGGCTGGATGTTACTAACTACTAAGTTTGGTTTTTGTGAATCCAGGATATCTTAAAGCGGATGGTTTTATTTTGCAAGGCCGCTGTTGAGGTAAACCAATATCATGAGCGTAAATCGATGTTTTGCTTTCTTCTTAATTCTTAAACCAAGTTCGGAGTCTGGCGGATATTTGCAGGTTCCTTGGTACGTTCCTTGTGGAGGTGTGTGTTATGGAGATGGAAATTTGGCTTTTATAGCAAATGATTGGCACACTGCGTTGCTGCCTGTTTACCTGAAAGCCTATTACCGGGATCACGGATTAATGAAATACACTCGATCTGTTCTTGTAATCCATAACATTGCTCACCAGGTTTGTAATTATCCATTCCATTAAAAAAAATGATCAGTAGATGATTTCCAGAGATGTATACATAACCCTACTGGTGTTGTCAAATTAGGGCCGAGGACCAGTAGATGATTTCGCATGCGTGGATTTACCGAGCCACTACTTGGATAGCTTCAAGCTGTATGACCCTGTGGGAGGTGAGCACTTCAACATTTTCGCGGCTGGTCTAAAAGCTGCGGATAGAGTTCTCACTGTAAGCCATGGATACTCCTGGGAGGTCAAGACCTTAGAAGGAGGCTGGGGTCTGCATAACATCATAAATGAAAACGACTGGAAATTTAGAGGAATCGTGAATGGTATCGATACGAAAGAATGGAACCCGAAGTTTGATCTTCACTTGCACTCTGACGAGTATACAAACTATTCCTTGGAGACTCTTCACATTGGTAAACCCCAATGTAAAGCTGCATTGCAGAAAGAGCTCGGTTTGCCTGTTCGACCTGATGTTCCTCTGATCGGTTTTATCGGAAGATTGGATCACCAGAAAGGTGTTGATTTGATAGCCGAGGCGGTTCCATGGATGATGAGTCAGGATGTTCAGCTGGTTATGTTAGGCACAGGGAGACCGGATCTTGAAGAAGTCCTCAGACAAATGGAGCACCAATACAGGGATAAAGCACGTGGATGGGTTGGTTTCTCGGTTAGAACCGCCCACAGAATAACAGCTGGTGCAGACATTCTGCTGATGCCTTCGAGATTCGAACCGTGCGGTCTAAACCAGCTTTACGCAATGAACTATGGAACCATACCGGTGGTCCATGCCGTGGGAGGGTTGAGGGACACGGTTCAACAGTTTGACCCGTATAGTGAAACTGGTCTTGGATGGACATTTGATAGCGCGGAAGCAGGTAAGTTGATCCATGCCTTGGGAAACTGTTTGTTGACGTATAGAGAGTATAAGGAGAGTTGGGAAGGGCTTCAGAGAAGAGGAATGTCACAAGATTTGAGTTGGGATAACGCTGCAGAGAAGTACGAAGAAGTTCTTGTTGCTGCTAAGTATCAATGGTGAGTTAATAAAAGCTCCTTTTTTTTGTTTGTTTGTTTACTGTCTATAAAGAATCTGTCTTTGGAGTTGTTAAGATGCATAGTTGTGTAGATTGGAGCTCCTAGTGGTAAAGGATCAACCTTTTAATCTCTCTATGGTGGTGATAGAGTTGTTAAAGTAGAACAGAATTTACAACTGCCAAAAAAAAAAAAAAAAGAACTTTTAAGAAATCAAGAAGATGGGAATAAAACAGGCGAGGAAGTTCTAGAGATTTTGCCACCACTGAAACTAATGTTGTTGAGCTTGTGATGACACCACTGGAGGTGAGAAGATGAGACCAAAGACATGTTTAAAACTCTAGACACAAGCTTTAAGTCTATCGTTAGGAATCTCAGTAGCATAAAGTTTTCATATTTCTCAGTCTCATCTTCTTCAACTTTAGAAGATTTCTTCTTGAACCATATCTTCTTCTTGTTCCCTTGTATCTCCTTCAACAGTTGTTCCTTCTTCGCCAGTCCAAATGTTAAAAAGATTTGTTTTTAGTTAAACCTCACAAAAGTTGGGAAAGTTAAAAAAGACTTTAAAGCTTACCTTTTGGAGCGAATTTTTTAGTTGGAGAAAAAGCTTAATGTCTCTAGGATCTTCCAATTCCATAAGAGGAGAATTCACAAAAGATATTTTAAGTCTTTCCCAAATCAAAGGTGTGTTGATGTCTACTTTGACAAAGTCATAGAAGACTTCAATGCATCTCTCCATTGCTTTCAACACCTCTTTCTTCTTTCTTTCTCTTTCTCCTTCACGAGGTCCCTTTCTACTAATATATCCTAGTAAAATAACACGATAAAGAAGAGATTTATACGAACAGTAGATTCAGAATGGATAAGTGTCTCTAAATTTGAAATTTCTTTAAGCACATTTTTTGCTTGGTCAACTTATAGTGTTGGACCATTTTGTAAGAGTATAATTGATTAAACTACGTTATTGATAAGGTTGGGCTCTTGTCAGTTGTGCGACTAATTCACCACCAATTTACGTCAAAAGATTCTGTTGACACGTAACCTGTTAGAACCGAAATTTGACTATTCTAAAAGTGTAAATTACAATTCCGAATTATAAGGTTGATTTATTCACATCTTTTCTTAAAAACTAATCGATAGGAAAGGTGCTGGAATTTTGTAATGTTTACTCAAGAAGTTAAGTCATGAATCTTATAAATATTTTAGACAATTTCAGTCAAGAAAACGCGATAAGTATTTAGTTATTATATATTAGATAAAGTTAGAGTATGGTTCCTATGATTCCAACCAACGTAATTAAAAATTATATCCTATGAACTCTCAATTTATACACGATGTAACCCACCAAGAAAAGTAATATACTGTATGAGGAATATAGTTTATACAAAGTTCTTAATAGTATTCATATATATGATGTGAATGTTTATGATAAATTAATAAATTAGACTTGGTTACCTGAAAGTCTTGGGACTTGAAAGAAGCTCATGAGGTCAAATCTTCTTTGAACAAAGCTCAAGACCCTTTTTCCTTCACACCTTTCATCTTCCAAGAATCTCTCTAATAAAACCTGAAACTTCTGGAGTTCTTTAGAGATATCATCGTTATAGAACCCGCCTTTTGAATCATCGGATTTTAAACTCTCTTTCAATGTAATGTACTGATGCTGAAGAGCCTCCCATGATAAACATGATTGAGCAACATATACTAGCTCAAGATCTTTCTCTATACTTTGTTTTAGCCTCTTCTCTGCCGTTTTCCCCCATAAGCTAAGACTACTTGCCGTTTCTTGGTTCATGATCACACCTAGGAATGACAGAAATGGATGTTACACAAATGAAATGATGATATATCTAGTTGAAATATTTTGCTTTGTATAAGAGTTTGATTCTAATAATTGTGGCCACTGTAAATGATCTAAATGATACATGGATAAACTATTCTACATATCTCGAGATTAGTTTGAGTTTCGACCAAAGTAAAATAAAATGAAAGACTTACTTAATCCATAGGTTCTGTCGTGGCTGAGTATGTCATACCATCTCATTCTTTCGCAATATTTCTTGTATACCTCATTAGTTTCACCATCTTCATCTCGATGAGTTTGATTTTCCATCGCAATCGAATCTTGAAGAGCTGAATCCAAGCTTGCGATAGATAAAGGAGAGGGATGATCTCCATCGCTATTGAGTGAATTCATATCATCACTAGCTACTAGAGAAGGTAGATCATTATTCTCCACGTTTGAGCTTACAATATCTTCTTCTCCTTCTTCATCACGATTGACTAAAGAATTTTCATTTTCTTGAAATATTGGCATAAACTCAAAACTCTTCTCCATGTTCACAACATCAAAAATGTCAATATCCTGGTCCTCCTCGCCTTCTCTAGCATCAAGAATCTGATCAACCACATCTTCTTCATCACATTTATAAAAAAAATCATCATCTTCTACTTCAAGAATTTGGCCTTCTTGCAGAGCTAGAAGTACTTTTGATTGAGTATCTACTTGATCCTTAAACGAAAAGCTGAAGACAGGAACCGGATTATGAATACTTCTAGAAAGCTCCAAGTTAACAAGTGTATTCGTGGTCTCTTGCCTAGACTCAGTAATACATGTAACCTCCCTTCTAATCCTAACCATAATGGCTCGGAGAAAACAACTAAATAACTTAGAGAACGTGACCAAGACTGATAAAAAGGCGTTGAAAAACGCTTGAAAGGGTAGCACAAGCCATAAAAAGAAGAGATAGAGCCATAGAAGGAGTTGAAAAAGAAAGAGAACAAGAGGGTGCATGTATAATTTCATGTACGACCATTTCAAGAAACCATCTTGAATCACTATGGATTCGATCATTAGCCAACATGCTGAGAGTAAAGCCATCAAAATTTCAAAGGGAGGTCCGAGAGAGAGAGAGAGAGAGAGAGACTGTCTTTATAAAGAAGAAAAAGAAGACAACGATGATGAAGAAGCTGCTGAGAAGGAGCCTTGTTGGAATTTTTTCCCTCAGACTAATCATTTTTTGTTGGAATTTTTTCCCTCAAGATAATGGCTTGACTCTTGAACAACTTTATCTTTTTTTTTTGATTAAGTGTTTCTTCCTTATTGGTTTCAAACATGAGTTTTGGAACCATTCGAAATTTAATTAACTATATGTATAACCAATTTGTAACAAAAGAACGTTGGTTTATTGTTAACTAAACTTATAAGTTATGTATTTTGAATTTAAAAAGCCAAGTTGACCATCCATATAGTGTTACTTTTTTTTTCCTCAAGAGAATCATAACTTTTAATTTTTAATTCATATTTTAATAAAATATACTTTACGTAACTGTAATTTAGTAATCCCGCTTTCATTTACAACACTATAATTTTAAAATTGCTTTTCCAGTCGTTTTGTTGATTCAACATTATTCCAATTTTTAAAATTACTACTATTATTATTTAGTGAAAAAATATTTTTATTAGTAAATTAATAGAAAATTGATTACTAGAATTTATTTCACAGACTATGCAATTTAATAATCAAATTTTTTTAATTCATCTAATAATTTTAAAAAGTAAAAAATTTTGAACACTAAAAGTACTATTATTATTATTTAGTGAAAAAAATATTTTTTATTAACAAATGAATAGAAATTTGATTATTACAATTTATAATATGGTGTGAAACAAGTTGAACATATATCACATTTAACCGTCAAATGACTAGATGCAATGTTCTGTGTGTTTTCATCAATTATGTAATTTAATATTCAAATTTTTTTAATTCATCTAATAATTTTAAAAAGTAGTTTTTAAAATACTATTTTTATATTTTACTACTTTTAAAAAGTAAAAACTAAAAATATTATTTTTATAAGAATTCTTATGACTATTATTCCAATTTTTAAAATTACCACTATTATTATTTAGAGAAAAAAATATTTTTTTAGCAAATGAATAGAAGTTTGACTACTACAAACTTAAAATATGTTGTGAAAAATAAGTAGAACATATGATTTCTAACCGTCAAATGCAATATCCGGTGTGTTTTCACACACTATGCAATTTAGTAATTAAATTTCATTGATTCATTTAATAATTTTAAAATTTAAAGTACTATTTTTATATATTATTACTTAGAAAAAGTAAACACTAAAAATACTATTTTTATAAGAATTCTTATGACCATCCAATTTTTAAAATTATCACTATTATTATTTAGTTAAAAAAATATTTTTAGTAAATTAATAGAAATCTGATTACTACAATTTACAATATGGTGTGAAAACAAGTTAAACATATGACACCTCTAACGGTCAAATGACTGGATGCAATATTCGGTGTGTTTTCACAAACTATGCAATTTAGTAATCAATTTTTTTTAATTCATCTAATAATTTTAAAAAATAAAAGTTTTCAAAATACTATTTTTATGTACTATTAATTTTATAAACTACTACTTTTAAAAAGTAAACACTAAAAATATTATTTTTAAAAATTATCATTATTGTATTTAGTAAAAAAATATTTTTATTAGCGGTCAAATGACTGGATGCAATATTCGGTGTGTTTTCACAAACTATGCAATTTAGTAATCAAATTTTTTTAATTCATCTAATAATTTTAAAAAATAAAAGTTTTCAAAATACTATTTTTATGTACTATTAATTTTATAAACTACTACTTTTAAAAAGTAAACACTAAAAATATTATTTTTAAAAATTATCATTATTGTATTTAGTAAAAAAATATTTTTATTAGCAAATTAATAGAAATTTGATTACTACAATTTTACAATATGGTGTGAAAACAAGTTGAATATATGACACCTCTAACGGTCAAATGACTTGATGCAATATTCGGTGTGTTTTCACAGATTATGCAATTTAGTAATCAAATTTCTTTAATTCATCTTTTTAAAATACTATTTTATATACTATTATTTAAAAAAAAAGTAAATAGTAAAAATTCTTATTTTTAAAATTACCATTATTATTATTTAGTAAAAAAATATTTTTATTAGTAAATTAATAGAAATTTGATTACTACAATTTACAATATGATGTGAAAACAAGTTGAATATATGACACCTCTAACGATCAAATGATTGGATGCAATATTCGGTGTGTTTTCACAGAATATGCAATCTAGTAATCAAATTTCTTTAAAAATATTATTTTTACTAATTTTAAAAAGTAAACACTAAAAATACTATTTTTAAAAAAATTCTTTTTAAAATTATCATTATTATTAGTTAAAGAATATTTTTATTAGCAAATTAATAGAAATTTACAATATGGTGTGAAAACAAGTTGAACATATGACACTTCTAACGGTCAAATGACTGGATGCAATATTCGGTGTGTTTTCACAAACTATGCAATTTAGTAATCAAATTTCTTTAATTCATCTAATAATTTTAAAAAGTCAAAGTTTTTAAAATATTATTTTTATATACTACTACTTTTAAAAAGTAAACAATAAAAATACTATTTTTATAAAAATTCTTATGAAAATTATTTTAATTTTTAAAACTACCATTATTATTAGCAAATTAAAAAAAAATTGATTACTACAATTTACAATATAGTATGAAAACTAGTTCAACATAAGACACCTCTAACGGTCAAATTAAAAAAAAATATTCGGTAATCAAATTTTTTTAATTCATCCAATAATTTTAAAAACTTTGACTTTTTAAAATACTATTTTTATAATATTATTATTTTTATATATTATTATTTTTATAACTAATAGTTTTAAAAAGTAAACACTAAAAATACTATTTTATAAGAATTCTTAAAATTACCATTATTATTATTTAGTGAAAAACATATTTTTATTAGTTAAAGTTTTTTTAGTAAAAAAATTACCATTATCTAATAATTTTAAAAAATAAAAGTTTTATTATCGTATCACCTAATCAAGAAGCAAAAATATGTATTTATTATTATATCAGCTAATCAAGAAGCAAAAATTAATAACCCAACCAAAACAAAATGATTTGAAGAAAGAAATCATACCAGAGAGTATGGAGGTGGCTTGAGGACGTAGTTTACAGTAGCCACCGTCATTTATTGCTATTGTCCGTCCGGTGCTTCTTTTGCTATTGTCGCCGTTGCTATCTACATTGAATTATTTAAAAAACAATCATAAACCAAACGATTACTGTATTCAAGTGCTTTGCATATTGAAAGTTTTTTCAATTATAAAGGGATTATTGTACCAGAGTATTGAATTAAGGCTTGTGTGAAGAACATCCACAGTGACAGCGAGCAGCGTATGTAGATGAGAACATTACTTATAGCTCTCTTATAAAACAATAACATTATCCCTGGACTGATGCATATAAGCAAACAACACATTCACGAGTTAGAGAGGTAACACATAGCAAAGTTGACAGATCTTCCAATCCAATCAAAGTACACAGAACACTTTCCAAGTTTTGCAAACAAGAAACATAGAAAGGGAAAGTCAGATGTAGAAAAAGGTCACCTGATCTTAATTTCCTGGACATTTTTGTCTGATATCGAATACAGCATGGCATAGTTTTTTCAGATCAAACACCTTGTAAACACTGCAGAACAAGTCTATGGCTCAGTTGAGAAACTTCAAGTCAAACAAAACTTGGAATAATGAAGAACAGAAAATTACCTGTCCTGTGCAGAATATGTCAGCACCTTCCCATTAACATCATCAAACTCTACAAAACCTGGCCACTTCAGTGACTCAGACTCAAAAAGGGGAAATCCTGCGTCTGCTTGACCCCTCAGAATATATCTAACAATACCAAACAAACAAAAACATAATTAGTTTTAAAGAGTCTAAGAACTAAACTTAAGAAAGACACAACACAACACAAAGAGTAAGCATACTCGATTAATTCCGAGAGATTAAAGCATGCTGAGAAGCAGACATATGTTTGTGTTACTGTTGTTCCTCACCGTGTGAAGAACATCCACAGTGACAGCATACTGCATCTTCTCAATCAAAGCGAGCATGACGTTGCTCTGAGTTTCTACCTTCTTTCCATCAGCACCCAAAGCAGGCTGTATGCAGTGATTTCAAAAGACGATCAGTAATATAACATAACACAGTCAATGTAAGAAAGCTAAAAAGTTGGTGTAGATTATGTTGGAACGAATTTTAATTAGTCCATTGGGCTTTATTAAAAACGTGAATGTGAAAAGAAATGGACATAGGCCCAAACGTGTGTTACTTGGGTTGGGATACTCGGGAAAGATTTGACGAAGAAAACAAAAGTAAAGTTCTTTTCTGTTTCTCGTCTTCTCCATCTCTTCCGCGAGACTCGGTCTTTGTTGCGAGATTGTGGCAAGATCACGTCGCCAACTTCTCCTTGATTCGGGTTTGATTCAATTCATATCGAAGATCTGCTGGTCTGCTATAAAAAGGCGGTAGCTCTTCTCTTTTCTTTCACGCTCACAAAAATCATTTTCTTAAGCGAATTTCCAGCAATCTCTCTCAGTCTAAAGTAAGTTTCTTTTGAGAGTATCGTAGTTATTAAGTTCGATAGATCCGTGTTTCGAGTACTTACGAAAACGGATTAAGTGGTTGTATCCTGGGACTCTTGTTTCTCAGAATCCCGTGGCACTGCGGGTGATTCAAAGAGTTAAGGATAGAGATCAATAATCTCGCCTCCACTTGTTCTTGCTCTCTTCCTTAACGTTTATCTATTATCACTGTTCAATTGCTTCTTTACGTAGTGCTACAAAGTTTTGGTCCTACAGATTATGGGCATGATAGACAAAAACTTGTACTCATAGCTAAAGCAAGAATCTAAACACAATAACAAATATAATCGATCGATGGCTAGCAACAGTAATGAAAACTGCGACACAAATGAATAGATGGGAGAATGACGAACACGATACTATTTCCAAACTCAATAAAGAGGCATCAACATCTGTGATTCTAGCATATTTCATTAATGTTGGTATATTGTAATTGGAATAGTATGTCTAAGTAAAAGTTACAGAAAGAAGTTTGCTTCAACTTTTTATGTATTCATCTGCTCGAAGCACAAACACACTGCCTCACCCATGTACACTCATCAATCTCAAGTTTTATAAACATTAACCAGTTTCTACCACATTGACAAAAACAAATCAAACGAAAGAAGCTCACAGTCGGAGTCATTACACTAAGTAAACCAGAATACGGAAGGGAACGAATAGCAGCCATAGATTTCACAGCTTAATGCTATGGCGAGATACTACACAGTTCAATGAGAATTCGATTGTAAAGTTTCAATTGTTTTTTTGTGTGGTTAAGGGCTTCGATTTCAACCAGAGAGCAGCTTTAATTTCTCTTTTATCAATTCCTAATCCAAAACCCAGGAAGTAGAAATTCGGGGAAAGTGAAACAAACAATCAGATCGGAGAAGAAATCTTACAAATTCGACGAAGGCTTGGTTGCGATTGGCCCCGACATTGGTCTTGGTATTGACGATCTCGCCGAATCGTTTGCATAGGTCGATGAGCTCCTCTTCGACGCATTCCCATGGGAGATTCCCCAAGTGGACCACCTTCGACGGCGTCTGCGTGTAGCGGAACTGTGTTTGGCCTGAGCTAGACATCTCAGGTGAGGCGTTTATCCGATTTGAAAGTAAACGATCACAGAGAGACCAAGGCCGACGCTAAAAGGGCCCTCGATTCTCTGAGCTAATTGTGATCGGAATTCGGAAACTACACAGATATCACGCAAATTTACAACGGCTATATTCTTACCGTTGATGTAAGCTATTTAGTTACAACGGCTATTTCCGTCTGTGTTGTTGGATGGTTTAAAGAAACGTAAGGTTTTGATAATTGGATAAGGGCACATTGGATAACTAAAGCTGTGCGGCCCACAAAGCCCAAATAAATGTTTTTCCTCTCTTCTAATTTCTTCTAGTTGTTTTTGCAAGTTTGGTTGGAAATTAACATTTATGTGTCTCGAGTCATTTATGTATCTTCAGACATCATGATCTCCATATTCACGAATATCACCTCACCCTCTTACCTGAAGACAAGTATCCATTTCTTCACCAGTTTCACCTTTCCTGTTTCTGCTTGTTCCATGGTTACAATATGACCAATGATTTGAAATGTTCTTCATCGCTGATACAACACTCTGTGAAAAATATTTATGCAGCGGATTTGAAATGTTCTTCACCTCTGATCATTATTTCACAGAGAACCTATGTCATCTCTAGACTGGAATATAAAGGTGACGACAGAAACATGCCAACTGATAAAGCCACTCATAGTGCAGATTCTGAGTTGAGTCACTCTCCATACTGTTTGATTCCTCTTTAACACTTTTGATTAGCACAAAACTGATTTTGATATATCTCTAAACTGTTTATTTGTTCAGATCGACCAACCACTTCGAAATTGAAAGTAATCCCCAGTTTTGCTAATTCATAGTTCAGCAGCCACTTTAATTGCAAAATTTTGTTTTAAAAAAAAAGATAAATCAGAACTCATATGTACAGTATACTTTTACTCTGTTTCACACATGATGTTCTTGAATGTTAGTTAACAGCGCTTTTTGCTAAACCTGCACTAAAGTTTCAACCTTCATGATTGAAAACTTGAACAGATCATACCTAAAACAACATCGATGACTATTCACATATCCCGAACGCAAAATCCCTGAGATTTTAACCAAAATGTTCTTCACTATAACCAGTTTTCCCACAATATCCTTACAATGCTTATTCCGATTGCACCTTATTTAATTAAACACATATAGATTACCATTTATAAGTTCTTATAAAAAAGTGTATGTGAGGAATAAAAAACTAACCAAAGAAAAGTATAACGTTTCCATTTTTCTCTTTCTTTACATGTTTTCATTTCTTCATCTTCCTCTGCTGTTTCTTTGGCCCCGAAACCACTAGTCTCCTTACAGAACAACCACACCTCGCTCTGAAAACCAGCACGGCTCGCCCATTAGGCGGTGCCATCTTCTTCAGCTCGGCTTCCAGTTCACGGTGATGGACACGAGGCAACTCGAACCTTCCCTTCTTGCTGCTACTGTTGTTGGAGCTCTTGACGCATTCCTCTGTTTCTAGCTGAATATCAAACTCAACAGCTTTCCTAAGCCCTTTGCAATCCGGTTTCCCACATCTCTGCATCGTACACAAGAGTATCACAAGCCAAGTGGAGATGGCAGCGCAGAAGACGCTCAAAGCTAATGATCCATACACTATTGGGTTCTGCAAAATCTCTTCTTTGACCAAAGCCGAGAGATCCGAAAAGACCTCAATCGATTTGAGGGTGACGAGCTTGACGTAAGGGAGGAACAAGAACCCGCAGGCCGTGATCACCGCGATTAGGATCACGACATCAACTGCGGCCGATTGGGATCCGTCGCAGACAGGGAATTTGGAACAGGTTGGTGGTGATGCTGTGTAAGACTTTCGGCTGTTTCTCGATGGTTTTGGCTGCAAATCTGATGAGTTGGCCATGATCAATGCGGGAGCTTGGTCGACGGAATTGCAGACCGAGATTGAGCTGTGGAAATATACCATCTCACTCACAAACTCGAATCCTTGGAGGAAATCAGGAACCCGAGCCCAGCAGAAACAGATTGATCTGGGATTGGATCCACGAGTTTTTCAATCAGAATCGATCTCGATCCCTCGATCCCGATCCTCTCGATCCACGATCAAAAATCCTGGAATCAGATCGAGCAGAGCAACTTCCCGATTGAATGGAGATAGAAGCTCGATTTCGAATCTGATCGAAACACCCAGAAATCAGATCAAATCCAATCAAAATGAGAAAGCTTATTCCTCCGCGCAACTGAAAGAAATCCCAACTTCGTCGCTCGAACAAACTGATCGGGTATTGTATCTGCTCGTAAGCGTAAAGGAGAAGCTGAATCGAATTGAAAAAGAAGTTGAAAGCGAGATTTGAAGGCTACGGCAAACACCGAACAAAGGAAGGAAGGTTCCTGAAGCAAGAATTCAACGTGTGGAAAGAATCTGAATCGTCGTCTTCGTCGTCGTCGTCGTCATGATTTCAAGTTCCTCTCTTTTTGGGTCCAACAAATCCAATGGAAATGGAATCGTATATTCTCAGAATTCGTATGTGAGGGGGAAAGAGAGCGAGTGACACGCGTTTAGATAACTCTCTCTTACCTTCGTGCCTAGGTGTTGCCTCTTTTTAGATGACGTCATATTTTTTTTTATAATTTCATTTAAACAATATTTAATTTTTTTTCATGTTTTCCATACTTCAATTAGAGAAATTCATTTATGTTATTGCGTCATTATTCGATCACTAGAACCCTAACACTGAGAATCATATATCGTAACGGACGGGTATAAAAACCCTAAATTTCCGATTCATCTGCTGCTACCTAGTAGACAAACTGCTCACAGCCTCAAACTCTAGAACATCCATTGATTGAATCCAACAATGGGTTCGAATAAAAAAAAGCAAAGGAAGGGAGAAACCGGCGGGGCTAAAGGATCCGGCGGAGCGGGGGAGGAAGGACGACAAATGATTACGGATCCAAGGTTTTCGGCGGCGCACACGGACCCGAGATTCCGTAGGGTTCCGAGGCGTGAATCCAAAGTCGCTCTTGACTCTCGTTTCAAAGGGGTGCTCACGGACAAGGCTTCTGCTCCGGTCGATAAGCGTGGGAAGCGGAGAAGAGGAGCAAGTGCGAAGGATTCTCTCAAAGAGTATTATCGTATAGAAGAAGATGAGAAGGAGAAGAAGTCGGAAAAAAAGAGAAAGAAGGAGGACAGTGAAGAGGAATCTGTGGAGGAGAGCGAGGCTGAACAGGACTTGATCGACCTTGAAACTAGCGAGGCCGAATCTGAGGAAGAGATCAAGGGTGAGAAAAAGCTTGGTCTGGATACGGGTTCTTCCGATGAAGAATCTGATGAGGAAGCGGAGTCTGAACGCGAAGAGGTTTCCGAGGAGGATACCGATGAGGACGACGAAGCTATTTATGAAGACGACGGACCAGATGTTGCGGTAAATTTGCTCTCTTTTTTTATAACTTCGATACAAATGCCTTTGATTATAGTATCTATCATTCTAGTTTTTGTTGAGATAATTTTCTCATATTGCAATTTTTGGTTGTTTGTAGGAAGAGGACATAACCAACATCGAGAAAGAAACTCACAGACTGGCTATTGTTCGCATGGACTGGAGATATGTCTCGGTGAGTTCTTATGAATTACTTGAAAGAATACTCTATTTTGCTTTACTCTCTTTGCTATGAGTATGGAACTAATCTGACTGGGAATGAATACCGAAGGATTAAGCTTTTTTGCGTAGTCTAGAGTTAAGAGTGTTGTATGAGTTTAGCAGCATTTGTTCTTATGGATGCTATCTTATTTGTTACTTAGGCCAACGACTTGTACGTAGTCTTGAATTCGTTTGTGCCGAAAGATGGTCGCATTTTGTCAGTTGCGGTCTATCCAACGGATTTTGGACTTGAGCGAATGAAAGAGGAGGAAATCCATGGACCCGCCATTGATGGCGGCAAAAAGAAAGAAGATAACGATGATGACGAAGAGGAGGAGGAGGAAGACGAGGACGTCATCAATGAGGAACTGCGTGATTACGAAAAAAGTAGACTAAAGTAAGTTGATATCCGCCTTTTCTTTAGGGCTGTTTGTCGAAAAATGGACTGTTTCTAAAACTCACAGCTACTATGACTCTGTTTCAGGTACTATTGCGCTGTTGCCGAATGTGATTCAGTTGCTACTGCAGATCACTTGTACAAATCATGCGATGGAATCGAGTTTGAGAAATCCTCTAACAAGCTCGACTTAAGATTTATTCCTGATTCCACGGAGTTCAAGCATCCACCTCGTGATATTGCCACCGAGGTGCATTGCTGCTGCTTCCTTTTTAATTGCGATCTTGTGGTTTCATGGTGATCTAACAGTAGTCGTTTTTTATTTATTTAATTCTGCAGGCACCTGCTAATTATGAAGGTTTAGATTTTCAGAGCCGAGCACTGCAGTTGAGTAAAGTTAATCTTTCTTGGGATGAAGATGAGCCGCACCGCACGAAGACCTTAAATCAAAAATTCAACCCTGATCAGGTCTCTTTACTTTATTTATTTATTTTGGAATTTAGAAGCATCTCCTATAGCTATGCTAGTGTTCTGATACTGTTTTAAATTTTTTTGTCAATCATAGTTGGCACATCTCGAGTTGAATGAGTATTTAGCTTCCGATGATGAGAGTGAATCTGATGGTGATGCCAGTAGAAAAGAGAAGTACCGAGCTTTAGTGCAATCTGTAGATGCTGATTCTGATAAAGACGAGGAGGATGAGGAGAAAGGCCAGGATATGGTAGTAACATTCAATCCCGGGCTAGAAGATCTGAGTAAACAAATTCTTGAAAAGAAAAACCAGGAACCAGAAACAGTCTGGGAGAGTGTTCAAAGGAAGGTACGCGAGAAGAAGAGAGCTAGAAAGAATAAAGAGAAGGATGATGATTCTTCTCCGAGTGAAGATGATGAAGACGATTTCTTTGCGGAGCAGCCTCCAACTAAAAAGAAGAAGAAAGAAGGAAAGACGGCGATGAAGAAGAAGAAGGGTTTGGAGGAGGAAGAAAGAAGCAGAGCGGAGCTAGAATTGTTACTACTAGCAGATGAGAATGCAGGAGTCGATAATGGTCATAAAGGGTATAATATTAAACGGAAGAGTAAAAAGAAAAGTAAAGAAAATGCAGAAGAGAAGATACCTGCGGTTGATCTTCTTGATGATGTTAGATTCTCAGCTGCAATCTCGGATCCTAACTTTGCTCTGGACCCGACGGATCCACAGTTTAAAAGGTATGTTTGGATGATGAATCTTTTGAATTCTTTTGCGAAGCATGAGAAGTTTGTTTATATATTTTCTCATGACTATGTTGTTGTTGCAGGAGTGCGACTTATATAAGGCAATTAAATCAGAAGCAAAAGGGAGATCCGAGAAGCCAAGAGGAAGAAGCGAAAGCTGCGGAGACAAAGGCGAAAGAAGAGTCGAATAATAAGAAAAAGGGATTGAAGTATGCAGAGTCTAGCGCTGTCAAGTCACTCAAGCTCAAGATTCAGCAGAAGGGTTCCGAGAAGAAGAATAAAGCGCCAAATGCCGAGTTGGCTCAGCGAATGAAGAACAAAGCCAAAGCTTTATCAAATAATTAATCATCTTTGAAGTCAATTTTGTTTTCTGTAATCGTTTTTCACATTTTAAATTCAGAGCACTGAGAGATGCCTCTATTTTGAAAAGGTTTTTTTTGTTGTTGTTTCTAAGAAGTGTTGATTCCAGACTCGAATCGGTTTATCTTGTGTCAGATGAAAACTTGTATTGGCAATCGTCAGACCATAAATAAATGGTTTGATTATAACATATTAGTACCAAATGTAGTTCAAATTCTATGAATGAGAGTGTTGATTTATGAAACTCACATTACTACGTACTCATGAAAATAGCAAGCGCAACATTGGCGCTTGTTTCGATTCATTATTGGTCCTCCAACTTACTTAACTTAAAATGTCTATATGAAACCAAAGAAAAATGAAGAATCACACCTTAACCTGAAATGGCGAAACCTAAACATGGAACTCCTTCGGTTCGGTCTTTAGCAAAGAAACAAAAGCGAAAATATAAAGAGAAAACAGTAACATCAACCATAGTAAGGAGGAGGAGCAGAAGGAGAAGCCCCGGAGGGATCAGCAGGTGGGTACATATTGTAAGGGCTTCCTCCACCATAACCTGCGTATTGAGTTTGCACCTGCGCATTCTGCCAACCACCTGATGGCGCAGCCGCTGCGACTCCTGTTGGAACCTTTTGCCCCACAAGTAGGCTTAGATCAGGCAGCGTGTAGTCTCTGCTCTTGTCGCTAAACGCCTTCATCATTCCAACACCCGAAACAATAGATGCAAAATCAGTTAATGAACTTGAAATTCATACAGGCATCTGTGTTATTATTCTCTTTCCCTACGCTTTTGTTTGTTTCTAAGGTACTCAACTCAAGAAAGCAACAACTCTTATGTACCTTAACATTGAGATCAAAATGACGAGAGTATGATAGTCGAAGCTTACAGTAGCCACCGTCATATATGCAGTGTCCTTCCAGTGCTTCTTTGGCTATTGCCGCCGTTGCTATATCTACATTGAATTATTTAAAAACAATCATGAACCAAACGATCACTGTATTCAAAATCCTTTGCATACCCATCAGATGTTTCGCAAAACAACTGAAAGTTTTTTTTTTTAGAGTTCCTTCATAAAGGGATTGTTGTACCAGAGTATTGAATTAAGGCTTGTGTTGAACCATTCTTCTCAAATATAGCAATCTTCTGGACAGTTCCATACGCGGAAAACACCTGTGAAAAGCAACGGAAATTAATCAATTTTGAGAGATTAAAAGCATGCTGAGAAGCAGACATATATTTGTGTTACTGTTGTTCCTCACCGTGTGAAGAACATCCACAGTGACAGCATACTGCATATTCTCAATCAAAGCGAGCAGGACGTTGCTCTGAGTTTCTACCTTCTTTCCATCAGCACCCAAAGCAGGCTGAATGCAGTCATGTCAAAAAGAAGATCAGTGATATAACATAAAACAGTCAATGTAAGAAAGCTTAAAAGTTGGTGTAGAAAGATTAGATAAAAGGGTGGCGAGGACGGGGGAAGGATAACCTTACCTGCATAGACCCGTCCATTGCGGTATGATTCACTGGAAGATATGGATTTGTGTAATCCCTGAGTACGTAAAAGAATCAAACACATGAGTCAACTATTTTAATATCACGTTTCCAACATTACTGGCTGTATATGCAGAGTTACGTTTGCAATGGCTCAAAACTCTACCTGCTGCGGTGGGACTGAAACTTGATATTTAAATCAGTATGAGCTGAATAGGACATTCGCAGATTGCAAGAGGCAACATGTTCTGGAAGAAGATATCTGAAGTATAATGTTTCAAAAACAAAAGAAATCATCAAAAGAGCTATATCTTAAGGCGACAACACAGGGGTCAAAGGGCATGCATAAAGAGTTTGAGCTTGCCTGGGTATACTTCTGCCATCCAGCGCATTCCTTGCCGCTGATGCAGTCTCCACATCACTAAATTGAACTAGCGCCTGGCATATTATCAAAGGCAGATAATAATCAGTTCACATCTTCAAAAGGTAAGACGTTTGAAACAAATCTCGATATCTTACCTGGAAGCCAGCAGCTTTCTCAAATGTGGCAATTTTGTGAACGAATCCAAAGGCAGAAAACACCTGAAACAAGAGTTAGGACTAGATATGAGTCATGACCATAATACAGTGGCGTCAGAACAACTAAAGGAACCAAATCGATCGAAAGAAAACTCAAATGTTCCCGGATTGAGACTAAAAAGAGAAGCCCAGATAAGTACAGAGTGACACCTGTCCACTTATGGGCATGATAGACCATAGATGGGAGAATGACGAACACGATACTATTTCCAAACTCTCTCCAGAAAGATTTTAATAAAGAGGCATCAACATCTGTGATTCGAGCATATTTCATTAATGTTGGTATATTGTAATTGGAATAGTATGTCTAAGTAAAAGTTACGAAAAGAAGGTTGCTTGATAAAAAGTTGAAATCTTTTTATGTGTTCATCTGCTCGAAGCACAACACACTTGCCTCACCCATGTACAAGCATCAATCTCAAGTTTTATCAGATATTACCAATTCCTACCGAGAAATACACATTAACAAAAACAAAACAACGAAAGAAGCTCACACTCGGAATCATTACATAGTGCTAGGCAAACCAAAATCCTAAAATAAGATCAATGCACTTACCAGATGGATCACGTCGATGCTCACTTCGTGAGATTCCACTCCCTCGAAGGTAACCAGCAGGACATTTCCAGGTACATCTCCAGGACTCTGATTGTTTACTATCTCATGCCGATTTGAATACTGAATATAAACAGTTTTTCCTCGAATCTGTGCGGGCTCTGAAGATGAAGCATAATACGAAACCATCGATATAGCCTGATTCAAGTCAGCCTGTAAAGCAAATTAACAGTTGGTCAAGAGACATCGCCAAAACAATACGAAAAAAAGAGAATAAGGAAGGGAACGAATAGCAGCAAGAAGAGTCAGCCATAGATTTCACAGCTTAATGCTTCAGAATCCCTGGCGAGATACTACACAGTTCAAAGAGAAATCGACTGTAAAGTTTCGATTTTTTGTGGTTAAGGGCTTCAATTTCAACCAGAAAGCAGCTCCAATATCTCTTTTATCAATTCCTAACCCAAAACCCAGGAAGTAGAAATTGGGGAAAGTGAAACAAACAATCTGATCGGAGAAGAAATCTTACAAATTCGACAAAGGCTTGGTTGCGATTGGCGCCGACATTGCTCTTGGTATTGACGATCTTGCCGAATCGTTTGCATAGGTCGATGAGCTCCTCTTCGACGCATTCCCATGGAAGATTCCGCAAGTGAACCACCTTCGACGGCGTCTGCGTGTAGCGGAACTGTGTTTGGCCTGAGCTAGACATCTCAGGTAAGGCGTTTATGATACTTGTCCGATTTGAAAGTAAACGACCACAGAGAGAGCAAGGCCGACGCTAAAAGGGCCCTCGATTCTCTGAGCAAATTGTGATCGGAATTGGGAAACTACACAGATATCACGCAAATTTGCAAATCGGTCCCCCAAAAATGAATTAGTTCAGAATAAAGAATGTATTCTGACGTTCGTAAGCCCATTTAGCCAATGATACATTCAATTCTGTATTATGACGTTCATAAGCCCATTTAGCCAATCGTACATTCGACTCTGGTCAGAAGCCTATTAAGGGCCCAAAGCGAGTCTAGTAAGTAGTATTTGGTTGTTCCATGCAAATATTTTTGAAAACAGCTTGAGGTCAAAGACTTGATGTGGTTTTCATACTCTCACGATCTGGTTCGTCTACTTTTGTTCCATTTTCGCAGTAAAATGTAATGCGTTGATGGAGTATATATATATTACCTTGAAATAGGAATTTTTGTTTCCTTTATTTTGTTGTGATCTTCTTCTCAGTGGAATGGTTTGCCTATTGTGATTAAGAGAGATATTTTGCTCAAAGTTATTCTATTGTGAGTGTGACTCCTTTACAGAAACTCTAAATTAACCCTGAAAAAGCAAAACACAATTTAATGTGACCACAGAGAGAATTGGTACTCTGTGTATTGGTCCTACCTACGTGAACTAACAGTCAGTTAAGTATCATATCCTTAGTCTTGGTCGAGAGGGTCTCAATAGTCTCTACTGTTGGCGAAGGGACTCGTCCATTACTACTGGTTTAATTGTAACCAGTCTTTTAACACTGTACTAAGTTTGTTGTAGTCTCTTTCTCATCTGCGTGGCTTGTTTCTTGCCATAAGTTCTCTCCACGTAACCCTTATGCCTTGGCCTACTGTGGTCAAGATTTTAAAAGTTTGTATTGTTTGGGTCCTTCCTTTTTGTTCACTTTTAGTTGGATGATTGAGTCATTTCTTGCTGAAGAAAGTGACTGAAGTTTGGAAGATATGAAACCGGTTCTCTAGCTAGAAGTGTTTTACATAGATTTTGAAGAACTTGGAGGTAAAAGACTTGGAGCATTGATGTGGTTGGTTATCCATGCGTGTGCTTTCTTCTTCTTCTCCTACTGATTTTGCATGCGTGTGACTTCTTGCTCTCAGCGATCCAAGGAGCACACTAATGCAAAAAGACTTGGAGCATTGATGTGTAAATTTAAGAAACTATGATGGTATTTCAATTACTTCTGGTCCAAAAATTGATGATGATGAAAGAAAATCAAATGGTTATCAGTTGACTTTAATAGCTTCGGCCCCTCTTCTTGGCTCATTGTTTCTTACGTGGATGAATGTGATTTTGACAAGTGGCATCATGATCATCGTCAGATATATGAAATCAGCAAGACATTTAAAGAAGTGTCCCCATTGTCCTTTACATCTTTTGCAGCCAATGTGATTTTTTTTGTTCCTCCCATTTTCTTGTGTTATTATAAAACTGAATTGCTTTTCTTTTTGTATTTATTGGTAGAATTCTTTGGGCATATGATTCTGTCTTACGGTTCCTCTTTGAGTCGATGAAGATACTTTCTTCTCTCCCTACAAGCTTGGAGCCCACCTCAATAAATCCCTTCTTTGCTGCCATGGAACACACTAGGATACTCTTTCTTTGTTTGGTCTAGTAAAATCTCTTTAATGTCACCGTCACCGCCATTAATCGTCTACCTTTCTTGGCAGCAAAAAGTTACCCTTGTCGACAACATTTGACCCCTGTAATAAACTATTCCAAACCATGTTATGATTATTTAAAAACTCAAAACTTTTTGGTAAAAAAGTTGCATGATGAACTGTTGAGAAATAAGGTTAAGATTCTAAAGTTAATCGGTTTCCAGCTAGATTGATGCAGAAATCGTATATGATCAGTCTTGTAGCTTTTGTGATACGTTACTGGTTGAACGGTAAAATAAATACTAAATACTGTTTTTTTTTTTACCTTACTCGGTAGCTATTTGGTGGCTAAGTCTCTGGATGCTTTTGATCATTCATTGCCTATTTTTGTTCATCTTTGTGAAAAAAATAGATCTTCTTCGGATGAGTTGACACCAAGAACAGTGTATCAGCTAGTGGGACTTTCATTAAATGGCGAAGGAATCACACAAGGAAAGGTTTTTCATCTCCTTTCTTCTTGCTCCCCACCACAAAAGTGGTTCCTCTGTTCTTTTATAAGGTTAGTAGAATCTCTTCCATATTTTACAGTGCGCTTGCATAGTAAAATTTATAATTCATAATCTTTAGAGAGAGTGACCCATTATATGTGTTGGCATAAGACTATATATTGTTGCTTCCACAGAGAGAATTTCACCATTTGCAGAGCAATGATGAATTGAATAAACAAGTCTAATCATTGCTCTCTTTTTTTCGTTCTATAATTGGGGTTTATAGATCATAAAGACTTTTGAGCTCTAAGTTACTCCAAATATCAACAATCCTCTCTGTCTGATTTGCTTTTCCCCATTATAGGGCCAGCTTCCTCTTCTTCACCGCCATTTAACAGCATTTACTATTGTGGAGTTTCTAGTAAAAGCTAACAAAAATGTGAAAGAAAGAAATCAATAAACACGTTTTTGATAAAGAAGTGTAACTTATTAGGGTAACTAGTTAATAGCTAAGAGAGAGAGAGAAAACAATAAGAAGAGCTTTGTAGCTTTCAAGAAACCAGACCTTATTAGGATACATGTAATAAGAAACCTTGAGCATGCTTTTGACCCTAGTGTAAAAGATAAAAAAGTTTTAAGATTTACTGATCCAAAAAGAATGATGAAGGGATCAGAAAAATGTCCATAGCATCATGAATGGATCACAGATTTTGTTTTTAAGTGTGATGTAGAGATTAGAGAACATTCTTCTCTATGGCGATATCCTAGGTCAAAGCGAGGGCTATGGATAGATGTTGACCTGGAAACTTGCTCTCTGGTTCAGAGATTAACCGTTTTTTTGTTTTTTTTTGAATGAGAGATTAACCGTTTTACCTTTGTGTAAGGTAAAGATGACTGCTTTTTGGGTGCTCTGTAGAGTGCTTTAAAAGGAAATCAAGGTGTTGGAACCACAAAGGTAATAATTAATCTAGGACCCATCTAATTGAATGACAATCCATGTCAAAGACCGGGAAAATGGGCGCTTACAGAAACTAAACAGAGACATCTTCTTCTGTTGTGCCTCTCCCTCTATAAATCAGGACTCAGGCCAAGAGACCAGCTTCTGTAGTTATCATGATTACATTACACCGTGGATCAGATTGAAGATAGCTTATCCTAATTCTTCTGTGGCAGATAAATGGGAAGATCACCGTGCTGTGATAAGGCTGGGTTAAAGAAAGGGCCTTGGACACCTGAAGAGGATCAGAAACTTTTGGCTTACATTGAAGAACATGGCCATGGAAGCTGGCGCTCTTTGCCTGAGAAAGCAGGTAACTTCCACATTTCTCTCTTCTTCTTGCTTCTTCTTTCTTCTATCTCTCTACTCAAACCTTCTTCGATGTATATAGGCCTCCAAAGGTGTGGAAAGAGTTGCAGACTCAGATGGACTAATTACCTAAGACCTGACATCAAAAGAGGCAAATTCACTGTACAAGAAGAACAAACCATCATTCAACTCCACGCTCTCCTCGGAAACAGGTGACTCAAGAAAGTTTTTGTCTTTCGGTGATTTGCTTTTCAAACCAAATTGATCTTACTGATGATGTGTCCTGCTGATTCTCGTAGGTGGTCGGCGATTGCAACTCACTTGCCGAAAAGGACAGACAACGAGATCAAGAACTACTGGAACACACACTTGAAGAAACGTCTGGTTAAAATGGGGATAGATCCGGTGACTCACAAGCACAAAAACGAGACTCTCTTGTCTTCCACAGGCCAATCCAAGAATGCAGCCACGCTTAGCCACATGGCTCAGTGGGAGAGTGCTCGGCTCGAAGCTGAAGCAAGGCTAGCTAGAGAATCAAAGCTTCTCCATTTACAGCATTGCCAAAACAAAACATCAACACACTGGACAAAACCAAACGAAGGTAAGATCTTTAAAAACTCAAACTTTCCGTGTAGAACTCTGATTTTGATTTTTGGTGAAATGGCAATGGATGTTTTGACAGGGAACGGAGATCAACAGCTTGAATCCCCGACGTCGACGGTGACATTCTCCGAGAATCTCCCTCTCGTGATCAGGCCTTTAGAAAATCCAACGGAAAACAATAACGAGTCCTCAGGAATTCCGAATATGGCTGAATTCGCCGTCTCTTCTTCCACCTCCTCCGAAGATGCGACTTTGGTCAAAGATTCCGAACACGACTGGTTGAGGCAAATCAACTGTCCGACAGAAGGAGTCGAAGAAGGATTCACGAGCCTCCTGCTAGGCGATTCAATCGGCCGGAGTTTCTCCACCGGGAAAAACGACGAGGCTACCGTCGCGGTCAACGAAGGTGACTATAGCTACTACGAGGACAACAAGAACTACTGGAATAGCATCCTCAACTTGGTGGATTCCTCGCCGTCCGATTCTCCAACGATGTTCTGATCTAAGGGTCCACAATGATTTTAAAATTCTCTGATTGTATTATGTCGATAGCTTTCTTTATCTTTTATATAATTCCCATATATAATACTTGGTATTGGGATGTAATTTCATCAAAGTTGTTGTTTAGCAACGAAATAGTTGGAGGTTAAATGCCGGTCACTGTCAATAACTCTAATTGGTCCAAGTTTGGATTGGACCGGAACCAAATTCATTTGTTGAATACCGAAACCATGAGTTTAACCTTAAGGATTAGACCACCTAAACCCCATTCATCTCAAGTCTTAGCGATAAAAGAAGAATAATTTTATGATATGGTTTGAGCCCATGATCCATTTCCCTCTACTTGGACATTATCCTTAGCTACTACTATGGTTTAGGAAACTCGCCGAGCTACTAAAATGAGAAGGAGCATAACACAAAACCGGTTTTCTTGGTTTGCAGTCAAGTTTTAGAAAGACCACGTCCTCGTACTCCTATGATAAAGCTTTGTACTTATAGGCAATCGCTTTACAATTTACATGGACCACACCTACATAAGATGATATCCAAAGAAAACTATCTTTGTTTTGTTTTGTTTAGAATTGATCATGTACATTGTTTTGTTTAAATTAGAATTGATAATTGTTGTATCTGAATTCAAAATGTGGTCTAATAATTTATTTTTTTCTTTTTCCTTTGTGTGTATATATGCTCACTTAATCCATGTCTCTAATTTATTCCATGTAGAGATGTGAATGAAGAGAAGTAAAAACAACACGTTGACATGTCGAGTGAAAGAAAGGCAATAAATGTGTGGTAGTTTCATGTCATTTTCTTCTATAATGAATATATAGATTCTATTACGCTAAATAAATTGCATAAGAAATTGAAAATGGTTAACTTTGCATACAAATTTTGGTATACAAGAAAAAAAAAGTGGGCGTAATAAGAGGTTCTCAATATGGGCCTCACGTGCTCCATTGATTAAGGCCCGTATAAAGCCCAGTGAATACCTTTCTGAGAAGACGGAGGAGACAAGGGAGCAACACTGTTCTTTCATTCCACTCATCGCGAATCTGAGATTTTGGAAGATTCGATCGATTTGGGGTTAGGGTTTTTCTCTGCCGACGAACTGCTAATAATCTGATCAATGGCGCCGCCTCCAGGACTTTACTCCGGCAGCAGCACTCTTGCTCTGGTATCAATTTCTCCTTCTCTCTCTCTCCGATATCTCGATCTGTGTCTTTGACTCGTCTTGAGCTGTAGAATTTTGGGTTTGAGTTCATCATCGTCTTTTGTATCCGATCAGGTGGCTCGTGCTTCGGCTTTCGGGCTGGGTCTCATCTACGGGAACATAAAGCTCAAGGCTTTGAAGGTAAATCTCTTATCAGATTTCGCGAATCATTTTTTTGTTCGTAATCGGAGAGAACCTTAGACACATGATCCGTTGTTAATGTTTGAAAGGGTTTTAACATCATAATTCTGATGTTTTCCATCATAGCACAATGAAAGATTGTGGCTTTTGAATTGAAGGAAGCACAGTATTGTCGATCGAATCATATATGATTTATAGCTTGAATGATACTTTTGAAGTTTCGGTTTTTATGGCTTGATTATTAGCTGGTTTTAATTGGTTGTATCAGTGTAATTAGAGACCTAAATTGACGTATGCTACTTTGCTCCTTTTGTTAAGGTCATATATTCGCAAGTATCTAGTCCAATGATGATGATTGAATGATCATATTCAACTTGATTTTCTCATTTTATTGAATTGAACTTTGTTTATTACTGCAATGTAACCATATTCTTTTTGAAGCTCAAGTTAACGAGTGTAAGCCTAAGTTATACATATCAAGCCTCGAGTTGGTTCTTCTTAAGAGTTCTCTTACTATATCGCCTACAAGATTTCAATTGTTCATAGTTGTCTTTCTATGATTTGAATTGCGTGAGTGATATGAACAAATGCTTTTTGATATGCAGATAAAGAAGAACTCACAGATTAAGGCGGAAGCCAAGGCTCATCACTAAACCCAATTCTTCCCTCCCTTCAAAATAAGAAGATGAAGCCAAGTGACTGTTCTCTCCATATGTACTTGTTTCATCGTAAGCTATATCTCCCTTGGATGACATTTTTTTCGGTTTTTGGGGTTCTTTTTTTCTCGTTGACGAAGAAGAAGAAGAAAACCTTTTATCTGAAAAAGCAATCATAATACCATTTTGATTTAAACCCGAGTTCCCTTTTGGTGCTTTGCTATTCAATAACAGAGGCATATCTTTTATTCAAAAATATGTTTATAAACACCATCTTACAATGAAACAATGAGCTGATATCCTAAACAACCGAGATCTTTACACAGTTAACGCATCTCAGTTTGTTTTTACATCAAGCTACATAGTTTGATGATTGAAGGGTAGAGTACAAGAAATGCCATAAACTCGGGATTAGAAAGAGGGACTATCCCACAGAGGATACCATGCACGGTTCCTATAAACAAGATGATGCTAGCACAGCTATATGTCAAATCTCGTGCCGGGCAAGAGAGTTGCACGATGGAAACCGCCGCATATGAAACAAGGACGCCGATACAGATGGCCATTCTTCTATCGTCTCCTTGGAAACGATGTGACACGAATTGCATATATATCATCACGTCCCAGAGAATGAGCATCACCCCCAACTCTCCTACTCCATATTTTGGCACTGGAACATCTTTGCTCAAGCACCTTATCACCATACCAATGTACGCAACACTCGCTGCACCCAGTATCCAGTATCTAACCATGCATGATTAACAACGTAATACATCACAAATAAGATTTATCCAATATTACACGCTAGTTATTTTTAACAACGATTTTGCTTACAAGTTTCCATTCTCCGACCACAGACCCGAGATTGCCACATAGAGGCCACCGAATGATGTCGTGAAGGCAATCATATAATAAACGAAACGAGCGTACTGACAGGTCACGTCTTGGACTCTCTCCTCATGATCACTTTTTCTCTGTGATGTGAGTGCATTCCTCAAATCGTCTGCTAACATTTCTTTTTCCTTCGGTTTTTTCTCACTTCATATCTTTTATATATAGTAAGATGAAAGGTGATGATGAGATATTTGATCAAATCTATCCAATCAAAATTCCATAACTTTTACCAATTAAACATATCTTGTTTTATTAATTTCAACTCTATATATTAAACAATTAACTAATATTCAAATTACTATTTCATAATATTGAACAAATAAATGATATTTATATACATATAGTGTAAAAACCAGAAACAAATCTTGACACATCAATATTTATCATCATCTTCTTTGAATTGATTTATCAAAGAGTCAATGAGTGTAAGTCTGGTTTCTAAACCCTGTCCCCAAGAAGATAGTTATACATGTCAATCTCGGATCACAATTCCTTTTAAGAGCATTCCATTGTTTCCAGGTCGTGGCTTCGAACATCGGTCACACACTCACACTCACACTCAGTCTGACTCGCTTCGTCTCACAACAAACGAGGCATTCTTAAATGCCTTTCTTTTTACTCTTTCTTAAACAGAAACAAAATTGTAAATATAAAAATGAAAGAAAAGAAAAGTGGTTTGAAACCATTTGAGCAAGTTCTTGCAAAGAAAAAAAAAGATCACTTGATCAATAATTAATAATGGACTATTATGGTTTGAAAATTTTGGATAATTTAAGAAACAAACGCATTTACTCAAAATATAACGTCACTAATTGCAGTCGAAGCTGTTATTTGATTTCTTATCCCAAAGAGTAAGTACCTAAATCAAAATGTGACTCAAGACAACGTACAACAGATTAAGACTACTATTTATTTTCAACACCATAAACTTCAGTGGGCCACGTAGTTTTGGGTTAATTCCATTGTTGGTGCTTTTCCCATTGGATGCATTATGAATGATAACTTAAAAGAATAATTTTGTATGCCTTTCAAATATACAATAAATAAATATCATTTTAAAAAAAATACTTTGTGGTCCATTAGCACATCAACTAGAAGTGTAAGTCCTTGTATGATTAAAGTTTTGGATTGAAATACAAGCGTATATAAAATAAAACCGAATTCTTACGTTCAATAATGTCTTTCTAGGGTTGAGCATATGGATTAAACTCTAAATATCATAAAAAAATAAATGCTTTTTTGTTGTTTGTTAACTAATTAGATGATTATTACATAGTTTTTCGTGAAGTATTTTCACTTAACAATTTTGTTTATAATTTTAGGATATTTTCTGATTCTATCACTTTCATATCTACAAAATAGATTCTTATATGAAACAGCTTATTGCTTTGTTCTTTAATAAATATAAATAAATCTTAACCGAAATTCAAAATTAAAAAATGCGACCTAGTACCTACCCTCATGCCTCAAAACGCACGTTCACAATTTTGAAGTGGCATTTCTGTAAATAGACTCTTTAAAAGTTTGTCTAAATTATTCTATACTAAGATCAACAGTATTTTTTATTCAGTCTATTAATCTTTTTCTTCTGTTATATTGGATTATTATATTTTAACTTTTCAACCTTGGTTCATTCGTATATAATGATTACGTTAAAAAATTAATCTAGGTATATATATTCTATTCGAAGACTACACAGCTTAAAAAAGATGTCATAGTCAAAACAAAATACAAAAATTGGTTTTGCCAGCTAATTAGTTAAAGTTGGAACATTATCCCAATATCTATTTTTGTGAATGATTTGTTAGATTTTCTTTTTAAAAGATTATAGTTTATGTGACACATTCATTATAAAATCTCACTTATGAAAGCTAAATATTTAGAAAGTGGGGTTTAAAAGTTATATAAAATAAGTTGTCGTTGAAAATACTACGTATAATTTTAGGAATCGAATCCTTATTAATTTTTCAAAAGATTTATCATGTAAATCAATCACCACTAGAAATTAAAATATTAAATTCCATCTCTTCAGCAAATTTTTAACATGCATGTTTATATAACAGCAATTTAATGATTCAACACATCCTTAAAATGTCAATAAGTGTCTCATAAGAAAATTATCCTCTGTAAAAAAATTGAGCAACAGATATAAAAATCTGCCAAAAAAAAAACCGCGTTCTATTTTTGTAATGTAGAAAATTAGAAAGTATATAAAAACCAAAACTGTGGTTTAAGTGTGGATTTTGGTTAAGTTAATCTAAACCCAAGGAGTGGTTAAGTCACCGAAAGGCCAAAACGACAAAGCAGTTTGGCATGTTAAAAACCCGCCCAAGGAGAAAGCCCTCACGCACCTAACCAAACCCCATAGAGAGGAAAAACAGATAGAGATAGAAAGAGAGAGAGAAGCTGAGAAAATGGCCGTCTCGTCGTTCCAGTGCCCTACGATCTTCTCCTCTACCTCCATCCCCGGCTTCCAATGCCGTTCTGATCCAGATCTCGCCGGTTCTCCGATCGGAGGATCATCTCGCCGCCGTTTCAATGCCACCGCCGGTATGTCGTCGTCATTCACCGGCGACGGTCGGATATCGTCGATGATCTTGAGATTTCCGCCTAATTTCGTCCGTCAGCTGAGTATCAAAGCCCGCAGAAACTGTAGCAACATCGGTGTTGCGCAGATCGTGGCGGCTAAGTGGTCCAACAACCCAGCCTCCGGGTTACCATCGGCGGCGGCGGCGGCTGCCTCGTCTGCTCCTGCGGTTTCTTCCTCCGCAGCTGCAGCCGCAGCCTTGTCTGCCGCCGCCGCCCCCGCCCCTGCGGCTACCATTCCTCCCGTCGCGCTGAATGGCGTCGATGAGGAGGTTGTGGTGGCCGAGGGGATTAGGGAGATAGCTAGTGTACAGTTGAAGGATTCGAAACCCTCATTTTTGAGCTCCGATGGGAGCCTGACTGTTCATGCTGGTACGTCACTGCTAGATCCCTTTTCCTTGTGCAATCATTTCCTGTTTTCGACATTCATTCATATGAGTATCAACGGAGGTTTATGATTCTGCGTAGGCGAAAGATTAGGTCGTGGTATAGTCACGGATGCTATCACTACTCCTGTAGTCAACACATCTGCCTACTTTTACAAGAAAACTTCCGATCTTATTGACTTCAAGGTACGTTTATGGCGTTGATCGAGTCTGTTACTTTTATTGAATTATTAGAATCTACTAGTTTGATTTTGGTATCCCCTTTAATAGAATTAACTTATTGGGGGTTGAAAGGATCTTTTGACAAGATGATTGACTTTTTATTCGTCGAATTCTTGTAGGAGAAACGGAGTGAAAGCTTCGAGTATGGTCGTTATGGAAACCCTACGACGGTGGTACTTGAGGAGAAGATAAGGTTATTATATTATCTTAATTATGTCTTTTAGAATTGTTACTTGCCTTTTCCTGAGGATTATGCTTTTAGTGCTTTTGATTTTGTTTTTTAAATATTAATGTATGTTGTGCAGTGCTCTTGAAGGTGCTGAATCAACCTTGGTTATGGCATCTGGGATGTGTGCGAGCACTGTGATGCTTTTGGCATTGGTTCCTGCTGGTGGACACATTGTGACAACTACAGATTGCTATAGAAAGACAAGAATCTTCATGGAGACTTTTCTTCCCAAGTTGGGGATCTCTGTAAGAACCCACTGAAACCAAAAAAAAATCAATTACAGTCGTCCATTCGTCAATAACTTGAATGGCTAAACATTATGTGTATGTCCAGGTCACTGTGATTGATCCTGCTGATATCGCTGGGCTTGAAGCTGCTGTGAACAAGTACAAAGTCAGTTTTGTTACATATTGTGCTTTACATATTTCTTTATTAGAGTTTGTAAGAGTGTATGTCTGACAGCTTCATTCAACTGGTCTACAGGTTTCTATGTTCTTCACCGAGTCCCCGACAAACCCATTCCTTAGATGTGTCGACATTGAGCTGGTTTCAGAAATATGCCACAAAAGGGGAACTCTTGTTTGCATTGATGGCACCTTTGCAACACCTCTGAATCAGAAAGCCCTTGCTCTGGGTGCTGATCTCGTCGTGCACTCTGCTACAAAATACATCGGAGGACACAACGATGTGAGTACAAAATGTTGCAAGTAACATCAAAAGAGCTCTCGTTGGCTGTATAGTTTATTTACAAAGACTGTTTCTCTCCTTGCCTTAGGTTCTTGCTGGGTGCATCTGTGGCTCGCTGAAGGTGGTATCAGAAATTCGCAACCTGCATCATGTGTTGGGAGGCACACTTAACCCGGTGAAACACCTGATCATTCTCAATGAATCTCTCTTCTTATGCCTTTATTTCATGAATCTCATTAAAACGTTTGTTAACAGAACGCTGCGTACCTAATCATCCGAGGCATGAAGACAATGCATCTTCGTGTACAGCAACAGAACTCCACTGCCTCAAGGATGGCCGAAGTTTTAGAGGCACATCCTAAGGTATCTTGTGGTTACTTACTTGCTGAGTAAATTTGTTGACACAACAACTCTATGACTAAAACCAATGCGTTATGATTTGCAGGTGAGTCATGTATACTATCCAGGCCTTCCAAGTCATCCCGAACATCACATCGCCAAGCGACAAATGACTGGTTTTGGTGGTGTGGTCAGTTTCGAGGTAACGATCGATTAATTACACTCTACTCAAAGATTTAGCTTCAAACTAAGAGTAAAAACGATCTGATTATATATCTGTGGTAGATTGATGGAGACATTGAAACTACGATAAAGTTTGTGGATTCTCTCAAGATTCCTTACATCGCACCATCTTTTGGTGGCTGTGAAAGCATCGTGGACCAACCCGCCATTATGTCCTACTGGTATGTAATGCTTCCTTCCGTCTTTTGACAAAATCGGTATCAAATTTCCGATTTTGTGGTTTGAACTAATTATTAACTTGGGGTGGTTGATAATAATAGGGATCTGACGCAAGCGGAGAGGCTAAAGTATGGAATCAAAGACAACTTGGTTCGTTTCAGCTTTGGAGTTGAAGACTTTGAGGATGTCAAAGCTGACGTTCTTCAAGCACTCGAAGCCATCTGATATTGCAATATTTCACCCCCAACGCTGCTGTCGTTTACGTGATCTTTGTCTTGTCTTTCCTTTTCTTTTTTCATCTCCCTGTTTCAGTCACAGTCATAATGTCTTTGAACTATTGTTCCGCGACATTTACCGTTTCAAAATAATCGTGAACTTATTATGTTTGATAATCGTGGACATGTTAAGTTTGATGGGCAAGAACGAAAAGCCTCGGGTCTTTTAGAGGATTAAATAAAATAGTAGGTTGCATCTAAGCGACCAATGTGACCATTGCTTTGTGGTAAGAGCACGTAACGTTCGAATCCTCGAGGTCTTGGCTTCGAACATTGGTCATCTCTTCTGCTTTCTAGTTTACTCCTTTGATTCAACATTAGAGGCATTCTCAAATGCCTTGTCTTTTATTTTATTTTTGTTTCCTTTCAATTTAGTTCGATTTGCAAATCCCAGCAGCACAACACTATTATATGGGCTTAGGCCATAACTAGCCTTAACCAAATGTTGCAAAAGAAAGATAGCTTCATCATAAGCTTTTTTTTTTTTTTTTAATAATCTGCAAGTGTTTTCAAAGAGATTTACATGTGGGAAGAAGACTGATCATTTCGTTTGGTAATTCTCAACATGTATTTGTTCACATCGATGCCTTTCTACTTTGTTTTGTTGTTTCCTTTTGCCTCTCTGATTTGCAACTAAACTTGGAAGAACATAAGAGCACACACCTGCACAACATCATTTGTCCACGAGTTCTGAACTGAGATCCACATTTCTTCTGACCTAATCTGCAACAATCTCCGATTTTTATTATTTGCGTTACTTCTTAATTCTTAAATTGAGATCAGGATCTTCTTCATGGTGCGTATTCTAGGCCCATTACCACCAACGTAGTGACATACTTTTTCCTTAATGACATAAAAAAGGACTAATTTTTGTATCAAATATTGTAATAACTAATTAATTTAATTTAACTTAACTTAACGCAAATCCATGTGATGTCCAGCGAGTAATTCCGGACCCAGCAAGTAACATATATCAATATCAGATCATTTTTTTTTTTTGAATCCCGATGCCAAAGTATCCAATTTGGCTTAAAACGATGGAGAAAATTGGTATCGTGTCAGTTCGAGGACCTACGTTTTTGGTCAGAGCTCAAACAAGAACACCGCCTTGCCTTAGCTGCTTCATTCATGCCAAAGGTTCCATCTTTTTCTCTCGTTTCTCTTATTTGCGTTTTTCCCTTCGATTTTTGATCAAAAAGCCTCAGCCTTTTGGAATTTCCAAGAATCTTCTCTTATTTGTTATTATCTGATCCAAATTAGAAAACGATCGTTAGTTGCTTGTAGATTTCATAGATTGCTTCTGGATTTGTCGTAACTCTATCAGTTCCGCACCTGGATTAAAGTCCCACTCTACGTCCTCTTCACGATTATAATTTCGTTTGTAAATTTTCGCACATGTTCTTCATTTTGCTCCCTAATTTGCTGATGCCCGCTATGATTATGATCGGTGCTGTGTTTATTTTCGTTTAAAATGCAGAGAGTCTATTGTACTTTGATTCTATGTAAATCCTAACAATCATTTTGTATTTTCTCTTGGTCTCTTAGTGCTAGGCTGAAACCAATCGATCCCGTTGTTGGTTTAGGAAGGCACAGTTTGGAGTTATGATTCTGTCAGCACTTTTAACGTCGGTGGGAATCAATCTCGGGCTCTGTTTTCTGTTTTTCACTTTGTATTCAATATTGAGAAAGCAGCCCGGTAACGTCGCCGTCTACGGTCCACGCCTTATTCAACAAGGCAAATCTCAACAGTCGAATGCTTTCAACCTCGAGAGGCTTTTGCCTACAGCAGGTTGGGTCAAAAGAGCTTTGGAACCTACCAACGAAGAAATCCTCTCCAATCTTGGCTTAGATGCTTTGGTCTTCACTCGTGTCTTTGTCTTCAGGTGATTGGTTGAGTATTTGCTTAAATTTTTTTGTTTTTGTTTGGATGAATGATGTGAAAACTTTAACGCATTTTGTTTTGGGGGCAGTATACGAGTGTTTAGCTTTGCTTCTGTGGTTGGGATCTTCATCCTTCTTCCAGTGAATTATATGGGTACCGAGATTCAAGAGTTTTTCGACCTGCCAAAGAAGTCTCTAGATTCCTTCAGCATTTCCAATGTTAACGATGGATCAAAAAAGTAACAAGTCCAAGCTTTGCCTAAACAGATTCCCAACTTCTTAAGATCCTAACCTGTTTCTTATACTTGTTATGTGCTTTGCTTCAGGCTGTGGATCCACTTTTGTGCAATATACATCTTCACGGCAGTTGTCTGCTCTCTGCTTTACTATGTAAGAATCTCGTTGTTTCGTCCATTCGTTTCTTCTCCTTACGCGCCTAAAATGGGAACATGAAACAATGTTTCTGCTAACATTTTCAGGAGCACAAATACATCTCATCGAAGCGTATCGCTCATCTTTATTCATCCAAGCCTCAGCCACAAGAATTCACGGTTCTGGTCAGTGGCGTCCCTCGTGTGTCTGGAAACAGTATAAGTGAAACTGTGGAGAGTTTTTTCAGGGAGTATCATTCTTCCACGTATCTTTCTCATGTAGTGGTTCATCGGACAGACAAGTTAAAGATTCTCATGGTCAAGCTTCTATCAACTCAAGGGTTCTATAATGCCTTGAAATTTTTAATTTTTTTTTCCTGGATTTCATATATTCGTTAACACCTGCAGAATGATGCTGAGAAGCTATACAATAAACTTACTCGAGTAAAATCTGGAAGCATATCTGGCCAAAAGTCTACGCGGGATGGGTTTTTAGGAATTTTTGGGAAAAAAGTTGATGTGGTTGATCATTACGAGAAGAAGCTCGAGAAGTTAGAAGATGACATGAGATTGAAACAGTCTTTATTAGCAGGAGAGGTAATAAGTTGTCTTTGTGTGATTAATTGCATGCTTCAGCATATTCATTCCTGTTTTTTTTTTTTTTCCGGCTAAACTCTTTTTTAGGAAGTCCCAGCCGCTTTCGTTTCCTTTAGGACAAGACATGGTGCTGCAATAGCATCAAACATTCAGCAAGGAATAGATCCAACACAATGGCTAACTGAGACAGCCCCGGACCCTCAAGATGTTCACTGGCCATTTTTCACCGCATCGTTCGTGAGAAGATGGATCTCCAACGTGGTGGTATTCGTGGCTTTCGTAGCTCTGTTAATCCTATACCTCTTGCCTGTTGTATTGGTTCAAGGTCTCGCCAATCTTCACCAGTTAGAAACATGGTTCCCTTTTCTAAAAAGCGTACTGAATATGTGAGTAAAACCCTATTCAGATAAATATGTGTTCTTTGCTTGAACTGAACCAACTACAAAAAGGTCTAATCTTTCTTTCCTTCTTTCATATGTCTGCAGGAAAATTGTGAGTCAAGTGATTACGGGATATCTTCCGAGTCTAATATTCCAGCTTTTCCTTTTTATAGTACCACCCATTATGCTTCTACTTTCCTCAATGCAAGGATTCATTTCTCATAGCCAGATCGAGAAATCTGCATGTATCAAGCTTCTAATCTTTACCGTATGGAACAGTTTCTTTGCAAATGTACTGTCTGGATCTGCTTTTTATCGCGTTAATGTGTTCCTTGAACCTAAGAAGATTCCCCGTGTGCTTGCTGCAGCTGTGCCAGCACAGGTAATAACACACAAAATCTAGTTTTTGAGGTTTCCGCAACTTGTCTTTTTTTTTAGACCATGAATCATGTTTAATCATTGGCGCAGGCATCCTTCTTTATATCTTATGTTGTGACCTCTGGGTGGACTGGTTTATCATCAGAGGTCTTTCGTTTGGTTCCTCTTCTCTGGAGCTTTATGACGAAACTTTTCTGCAAGGAAGATGACAAAGAATTTGAGGTCCCTTCGACTCCCTTCTGCCAAGAAATCCCAAAGATTCTCTTTTTTGGACTTCTCGGTACAACTTACTTCTTCCTTTCGCCGTTGATACTGCCGTTTCTGTTGGTCTACTTTTGTCTTGGATACGTCATCTACCGCAACCAGGTAACGGAACCAGATCCTACTCTTTAGTTTCTTTATGTAGAGAGAGTATCCAATAATTTAAAAAATCTAAAATGGTTCCAATTGCATTCTCTTGGACAATGCTGAGTATATTCTCCATTGATACTCCTCAAAACTCTGATAGAAACATTAAGGAATCATCTACTCATCTTTTTTGCTATGGAATCTCACTTTATGTGTAAACCCTTTTCTAAATTCTGGAATAGCATCTTTAAACCGAAAGTCTGTTTGGAGCTTAAGACATGACACTAACGTTACATCAAGAATCCATCTTCTTGTCATTTGATTCGTTTTCTCCTTAAACATTGTTTCATCACAACTTGGTGGTAGTGAATAACTTCATTGTTTGGGTCCTTTTCTTTGTGTGTTGCAGCTCCTAAACGTATATGCGGCTAAGTATGAAACTGGTGGAAAGTTTTGGCCAATAGTACACAGCTCCACTATCTTCTCTCTGGTACTGATGCACATTATCGCAATCGGATTATTCGGGCTTAAAGAGCTTCCGTTGGCATCTTCTTTAACAATTCCCCTCCCGATTCTCACCGTCCTTTTCAGCATTTACTGCCAGAGACGTTTCTTACCGAATTTCAAATCGTATCCTACCGAGGTCATTGCTCTTTCCTCAGAACTCTTTGGTTGGGATCATAAAGCTGACTACTTTGAATCAATTTCATCATCATCTCATAGGCTACACAAACAGAACAAGAAAGAGCCTTTTGCAGTCTCGTATATAAAACTTAGCATAAAATCTTTATGTTTCTGTTGTTATTACAGCATCTTCTCATAACCTTTATATGTTTTCCTGCTGCAGTGTCTGGTGAACAAAGACAGAGCAGACGAGGGAGACCAAAACATGTCTGAATTCTATTCGAAACTCGTCGTTGCATATCGTGATCCTGCGCTTTCGGCATCGCAGTACTCACGGGACATCTCACCTGAAGATCTTCCGCTTCTTCATTCAAATCGACCCTGAGAACCCTTTTGGCTTTGAGCTTTTCAAGTTTGTTTATATGTTGAACCAACTTTAGCTACTATACACTCGGTTTGAGAGGCATTTAACGAACACACTTGTACATTGGCTCTTAACCGAGAATTAACCCGGTTTTGTATTTGTTTACAAGTTGTAAGAAAAAGGTAAAGGATAACAGTTTTATACACTTTTGGAAATTGCAAAGTACGATAACATCTCATTAACTTTTTCCAATAATCTAAATTATTAGATAGTAACGATTAATCATTACCACAAGTGTCTCTCTACTAAACAGAGAATATTTTGCAAAAAGATGAAAGCCGATGACTCCTTGCCACGTCCGCATAGGGGTATTCATCGTAAATAAGTGCAACCTTGAGGGTAATTTAGACTACGATCAACCCGTTTATGGAAACAAAAAAAAAATCAAATATTTTCTTTGTTGTGCCTATAGGCTACAAGCAACGAGAAGAGCGAGAGGGGAGAGAATTAGGGGAGAATCTCTCAAATTCTGGGTTTAAGCTGATCTGGATCTTCAATCTCGAATCTCAATTTCGCTTTTCCGGTATTTTTAGCTCAGAAATTTAGGGCTTTTGTCTCCTTTGCTGCATTTTGGGTTCTCAATTCTCTGCCTCTTATTTTTGGTAAGTTCGATATCTCAATTATCCAACTTCGGGGACGAATTGTCGCTTTTTGATGTTAACTTGCAAATCGGGTGCGTTTGATTGTTCTAGAAATCGTCATTTCTCTCTATTGGGTACGAGAGATCCATTACTAGAAATCCGGCGATTAGATTATTAGGGTTCTTATACCGAATTGGGGATAGTTGAAACTGCTATTTTAAGCTCTGTTAGTGTTGGCAAATCTTCATGCACGTTGCTCTCACTTGTGTGTAGTTTTATTTCGGTCTCCTTTTTTTCTCGTACGATTTGGCGTCTCCCGCTTCTTATTAAAAAAATTAAGAAATCTGAGTGGTAGAATGTGAAGATAGCAAGATCATGGATTTGGATTGAATAGAAAACGCTTTATTCGATAATTTATTGAAGTTAATTCAACTCATAATGAAGTTTCTGCTCTCGTTAAAAGTCTTGTGTTCAAATGATCACAGAATCTTCATATTACTAAATAAAAATACTCTCTGAATTTTAGTGTGTGTGGTTGCATCTTTGTGTAGAAAATGGATGGAGCAGGTGGTAGAGGTGGGGTGGAATCGATTCTACCAAATTACAAGCTCGGGAGAACTCTCGGTATCGGTTCCTTTGGTAGGGTGAAGATAGCTGAGCACGCTTTGACAGGGCATAAAGTTGCAATCAAGATCCTCAATCGTCGCAAAATCAAGAACATGGAGATGGAGGAAAAAGGTTCGTTCCGTAGCTGTGGTTTTCTTTTCATCTTCCTTCCTTTAATCAAAACTCACTTGGTGTACGTTCCTGTTTTCTCTTTGAGGCAGTGAGGAGAGAGATCAAAATCTTGAGACTGTTTATGCATCCTCACATCATCCGTCTCTATGAGGTCATAGAGACTCCGACAGATATTTATCTCGTCATGGAGTATGTGAACTCTGGTGAGCTATTTGACTATATTGTAGAGAAGGGTAGATTGCAGGAGGACGAGGCGAGGAACTTTTTTCAGCAGGTGTGTTTTTTTTTTTTTTTTATCAACGTGCAACTTTCCAAGCAATCTTTTCATTGTCATCATATTTGAGAAGCTTAAAATTAGCCATGGCTTGACTCTGATGTAGATAATATCAGGAGTGGAGTATTGCCATCGGAATATGGTAGTTCACAGAGACCTTAAGCCTGAAAACTTGCTTTTGGACTCTAAATGCAATGTAAAGATTGCTGATTTTGGCCTGAGCAACATCATGCGAGATGGTCATTTTTTGAAGACAAGCTGTGGAAGTCCAAATTACGCTGCACCAGAGGTAAGTTTTTCAACCTTCAGGTATCTGAGGAGCACTATATAAAATAGGGATTGTTTCTAAAGATCTGTAAATATGTTTCAGGTCATTTCGGGCAAATTATATGCTGGCCCTGAAGTAGACGTCTGGAGCTGTGGTGTGATACTCTACGCTCTTCTTTGTGGGACTCTTCCGTTCGATGATGAGAACATTCCCAACCTTTTTAAGAAGATAAAGGTATTGCCAAGAGACGTTTTGTCACTTGACCTTGTTCTTTTTTTTTTGCTTACTATTTTTTAAGTAATGCTTGAATTTGGTCTTTTTATTTCCTATCACTCCTCGAGTGTAATGTTTTTTTTTTTATCTTTTCATCCTTCAGGGAGGGATATATACTCTACCTAGCCATTTATCTGCGGGTGCTAGAGATTTGATCCCCCGGATGCTTGTGGTCGACCCAATGAAACGAGTGACCATCCCTGAGATCCGGCAACACCCTTGGTTCCAAGCTCATCTTCCAAGGTATTTAGCTGTGCCTCCTCCAGATACGGTGCAGCAGGCGAAAAAGGTAATCCTAACGCATCTACTCATCTTTTCATAAGCTATTGTCTCTATTCTCCTTTTTCTGATAAAGGGCAGGCTTCATTTGCAGATTGACGAGGAGATTCTCCAAGAGGTTATCAATATGGGGTTTGAAAGGAACCATCTCATTGAATCTCTCCGCAACCGGACCCAGAATGATGTATGTGTTTCTCTCAGCCTCTTGTCCATTTGCTGTTGAAGGTAAATTGTAGAAAACACTGAATTGTTGTTGACTGCTGTCTCCCAGGGCACTGTGACATACTATCTGATACTGGACAACCGGTTCCGTGTCTCTAGTGGATATCTCGGGGCCGAGTTTCAAGAGACCATGGTGGGTCTTCAATAGTGGGTCTTGATTATCTTTTATGATTAGTAGCAAAAGATCTTTGAAGTAATCCTTTGAGTGTTCAATTGAATTAGGAAGGTACGCCGCGAATGCATCCAGCAGAAACCGTAGCCTCACCCGTTAGCAATAGTAGGCTTCCAGGACTGATGGAGTATCAAGGAGTTGGGTTGAGATCTCAGTACCCTGCTGAGAGAAAATGGGCTCTAGGACTTCAGGTCTTGATCTTTCTTTTTTTATACTAGGAATTTATGCTATAAAGATTAAATCAGTTGAGTTCGATTGATAATGCCAACCAAATGGATCCAACAGTCTCGGGCTCATCCGCGGGAGATAATGACAGAGGTGCTGAAAGCCCTGCAAGATCTGAATGTGTGTTGGAAGAAGATAGGGCACTACAACATGAAGTGCAGATGGGTTCCTAACTACGCAGATGGAATGGTCAGTAACTCGATGCACGACAACAACAGCTACTTTGGAGATGATTCCAGCATAGTAGAGAACGACGCAGCTGTTAAGTCGCCTAATGTTGTCAAGTTTGAAATTCAGGTAGATCCTCTTCCTCCTTTTTTCATGATAAGCTCACGTTCATTCATATACTGAAATATTGGGATTGTGTTTCTCATGTAGTTGTATAAAACCCGGGACGACAAGTATCTGCTGGATCTGCAGAGGGTACAAGGTCCCCAGTTCCTGTTCTTGGATCTCTGTGCTGCTTTTCTTGCTCAGCTCCGTGTCCTCTAAATCATCAATCCGTCAAGAATAATAATCCCCACTTCTTCCCTTTTTCTTCTTCGTCCAAGAAATATTCAGTAACCAACTTCTTTTAATTTTTCTGTCTTCAGTTTTCTATTTTCGTGCTCTCCTAAAATACCTTCTTTTAACTTGAATGTAAGACCGAGCGACTTTAGTAAAAAAGCAAGAAGCAACTTTGTACATAACTTGTAGTTCATTGTGCCCCCAATATTGATTTTTGTTTGTTTTGTAACTACATCAATAGGGACAGATATGAAGATTAGTCCCTCTGTAAACCATACAGTTATATGTTCTTCAAATATTTTCTTCTTCTACGTGGCTGAAGCCATATATGTAGGAGTTGTAAAAAGCTCAAGATATATACTATTAGAGCTTTATATCTGTTCGGGCTTACTATTCGCTAAGCTCCACACATGGAATTAGTGAGCCTCGTGCACTTCTTAGGAAGAATGAAACAACTGCACCAAAAGTTAATGTTGTGGTCTACAACATCTTAGTTTGAGGATGAAGCTTATTCTTCTCCCAGAATTCTTCATTTGGTGATCTGAGTGTTTATAAATCCTGTGAAGTTGTTTAATCTAAAAAAGGCAAGCTCAGTTAAAATAATATTTTTCTACAATTAATACTTTCGATCTGAGTTATCTTCTAATTTCACTTCACATTAGATGCTTAGAGAACATAAAATGATAAATCCAGTAATCCTACAAGGAATTGAATTATATGTTTTCGGTAAAGCTTTGAAAAAAATTCTAACGTGTATTTAGCTATCAATTAACAAAATTATCATTTCGAAAACCTGAAATTGAAGCTTTTCAGACCGACTTGGTTTGTTTGTGACAAATTTTTAATTTATGGACTATACAAATGATGCCAAGTACTGAAAACATATATATGTCCTTGGCTGAAAATTTATCGTGATTCTTTCATCTCCCCGTTTTTAACCTCTTTCTATTCGTGGCGGTCTTCGAACACCGATTCTCACATCAGTTTCTGTCCTCCGTAATATCTCATTCATCCCATTGGTTTGAAAAATCTTCGGATTCGCCCCAACATTCGTCAAATCCTAAAACATTTTCATCATAGAATTAAACTAATGCGCCAGACCATGAAATCAAAGCAGGATCGTACCGAATTCAAATTCACTCACCGTATATTCTTCTGGTTTCTTGTGATGCACGCCAGAGAACAACAACACGTCAGAGGAGTCTAGGGAAACATGCGGCCTAAGAAACGGCTTGTCTTCGTTTATTGTTAACCCAAAAGTGTTCTTGGCAAAAGCCATGCTCATACCACTGACGTGGCTCGCAGATCCTGCAGGCTGATTATAAGTCAGCGTTGAAGCTGCGTCGTTTTCTTTCCTCTTCTTCGTCCCAGCCCATGCGAACCCGCTTGCCGGCCCCGTGGTTTGAGATAAACCGGTGTACGGAAACTCGCTTCGAGTCGTCGCTTGAGATGTCTCCGACGGCGTCTGGGTAATGATTTCTGTCTCAGCTTCCTTCTTGGTTTCCTGCATAAACAATGAAACAACCAAATTACGGATAATGAACCGGGGTTTCGGTTTATTCCGGTTTTAATCAGTCTTCGATACAAAAGATTTTGAATTGAAATATTATAGTCTGTCAAATTGGTGAGTAAATTTTCTGAAATTTCTATACCTGTTGGGTCGGCAATTTGCTGAGATTTGTAGGCTCTTTGACTGTTCTACGTGATTTCGCCGGTTTCTTGGATGCCAAGTTATCTCTTTTCTTTATACTAACTCTTCTCCTGCAAAACAAATATTTAAAATCTCTCAACAGATGTAGTTTACATATATGTACAGAGCTTGTGGTAATCGATGAAGTGAAAACCTTCGTTGAAGTTCTTCACGGTACTTAGCATCCATTTCTTTGTTAGGAGGGTACTTAGGTAATGTCGATGGATCACAAGCGTAAGGCTTTGTGTTAAAGTACTGAAATTTAACAGCAAAACCACAGAGAAAAAGAGTTTCAGTTTAAAATATATTACATGTCAGTAAATTGATTCGATTTTGCTTCAAAGTTATTAGGGGTTTTTTTCACCTCTGACATGAGAGCAGAAGAGGCAGTTCCTCGTTTCTCCGGATCAATAGACAAAAGGTTCTCGAGAAGATTAATTGCTGTTTTCGGAAACTCCTCAAATCTTTCTTTGAGACAGCCTTCATATTGATGCTGTGGTCTAAACATCTTTGTTTGTGGATGAATTTTGTTCTTTTCCCAAAAATCTTCATCTGGTGATCCAGAGAGTTTATAAATCTTGTGAAGTTGTTCAATCTACAGAGAACAAACACACCCAAAAAAAGAAACTCAGGAAAATGAATCTCTCTCTGGAATGAGTGATTAAATTCAATCTCTGACCTCTGTTCTTCCTTTAAGAAGTGGGCTTCCGGTAAGAATCTCGGCGAAAACACAACCAACGCTCCAAAGATCGACCGATACGCTATAACTCGTGGAACCCATCAGAAGCTCCGGTGCACGGTACCATAGCGTCACAACCCGACTTGTTAACTGATTCTTGTTTCTTGGTGTTACAATGTTGGCTAATCCGAAATCAGCTAGCTTTAAAACTCCTTTGTTGTTCACCAGAATGTTTGCGGCTTTAATGTCTCTGTGCATAATTCCACGTAGATGGCAATGTTCTACTCCCCATAGAAGCTGCTTCATGTAGCATTTGATCTGAACAAAAAAAAAATTAGGGTTATAAAAAAAGAGTTACAAGCTGCAAAAGACGTTAAGATTTTGTGTGAATTAATATGCGTGTCTTTCTTGCCTGTGCCTCGGTGAATTTGATGTCAGGGGATGAACATAAGCCTTCGAGATCGTGTTCCATGTAATCAAAAACAAAATACATGCTGTTTGAATTCCGTGACGCGATGATCCCTTCGAGTTTCATGATGTTTGGATGATCTAATCTTCTCAAAATCATGATTTCTCTCGCTATGAATCTTATGTTTTCAGTTTCAAAATTTTGAACCCGTATTTTCTTTAGAGCCATAACTCGTCCCGTCGATACCTCACAAGCCCGGAACACGTTGCTATACGTCCCTTGCCCAATCTAAGATTTTTTTTTTTTTGTAAAAAAAGTGGTAGAAATTAGTTGTTGAGATTATCGATAGGGCTGTTTCTTGTTTCGCAAGAAATGTATGTTTAGGGTTGTTTTACCTTCTCTCGTTTCTCGAAGTCCTCGGCGCGTAATGGGACCCACCCATGAACAGCCTCCGGTGCGGCGGAGCTGAGCCATGAGGGCCAGCCAGCCGCCACCTGCTCAGCCTCTACATTTCCGTGCGACAATCCCGATCTCAGGCTGACTCCGGTCGTCCTAGATCTTGGAGCATCATCGTCATTCTTGCGATGTTTTTTCGGAGATGAGTTGACGACACGGCGATGAGATGGCGGAGTGGGAAGAACATGGCGGTTGTTGTGGTTTTGGGGATGACTGCGATGGACTGCGGTGTCTAAACGGTGGCGGAGAGGACGTGGAGGACCCGCCGGAGAAGAATGCTTGGAGTTGAAGCAACCCATAATGATATTAATTGTCAGGGGAAAGTTTCCCGGCGGCGTGAGTATCGACCCGGGTCGGGTAAACGGGTCCAACGCAGGGAGGACAATCCCCGCATTAGACCATTAAGAAACGAAAATAAAGGGGGAAAAGCAAAAAATTAAAGAAAAATAGTTTTGGATGTAAAATAGAGAGAAACCGAATCGAGAGAGAGATAATTACGGAGGATTAGACAATCCTCCTTAAACTTTGGAAGAGAAAGAGACAAGAAGAAAAAACAAATCTTTTTTATCTTTAATCTTTTTCTTTGACTTATATATTATTCTCATCATTCCTCAATTAAATAAATACAAAAATAATTTCACAATTTTAGAAGGAAAAAACCAAAACCTATTATGGGGGTTTTGATTTATTTTCAGGGTTGTAGTCAAAAGCATGCACTCAGATCACAATCACACATGTTATAGATACAAAGTCAAATGTAAGTAGTAGTCTGGTTCGGAATCAATCACCGAGGGGTTAAACCAATCCTAAAATCAGTCTCGAAATCATCGGTTTAAAAGTCAATTAATAGTGATTTTCTCTTCTTTTAATCTCAAAAGAACCGGAGATTGCCCTGAATTGTTGTTACTGTTACCGAAACTCATATGTTGTTGCATGTTGTTCCCCGAGACTGATCTCATACGATGGTGGTCGGACGTTCCCGCCGCGGCTGAGGTTGCTGCAGCAGTGCCGTTTCTAGCGGCAGGGACGTCGTGGTTATGTTTCCCTTCGTAAGTTGTAATGACAGCCTTCGCGTCCGTTGAAGCTCTCTCTACATGTTTACGGACCGTACAATTCGCCGTTGTACATTTATAATAGCTCCTAATTAATATTACCAAAAAAAGGAGGAAAAAAAGTGAAATAATGTAATTGAATAATCAAACTATTCTCGATTTTATATATGAACTCATTAAGCACAACCCTAGATATTATTACCTTGGATGGGGATTTCCTTTGACAACTTTTTGTCCGTACTTGCGCCACCTATAGCCATCGTCGAGAAGGTCGACTTCACTTCTTGTCTGAACGATGATCTTCGGCTCAGTCACTGTCCGATGAGTCGTTGACACACCGTCGATTTTTCTACAATTCCAATATTAATTAGTTAATAGGGTATCACAAACTGAAATTCAAACTAATGTTTGATTATTAATGCAACGTTATGTATGTGTCAATATGTTTATGAAATTTTAATCATCGAGATATATCTTCTACTGAAATCTAGACTAATAATTTGTAGGCTGTAGCCAGTATACATGAAACTACAAACTTTTACCATACCTTATCTTTGAAGCCGGAAGATCATCATCATCATCATCATCATTGGTACCATCATCATGATGCTTACCATAACCACTATCATCACTAGACTCCATCATGTGCCCTGCACCACCTATGTAATGAATATCACCAATTTCGCCGGAATTTCTGCCTCCACCACCACCCCGGCGGTTCTGAGGCCTCTCGTGATCGTGTTGACCTTTGTAAATGATCTGAGTGATCTGTCCATCAGACGAGCGTTCTACTTTCTTCTTAACCGGACAGTTAACATGTGTGCATTTGTAATAACTCCTCGGATATTCACACCCTTTGATTGGCTTTTGTCCGTACTTCCTCCAGTTATAACCGTCATCCGCCGGTTTATCAACGTTCACCACATTGTACGACCGGTTATTATTCCCCGGATTATTATAATGGTTTCTAGCTCGTTGATCGGCTTGTGAAACTTCAAAAGACTGACGGCCATGGACGGCGGTGGATGTCGATGGCGGAATATGGTGAGGAAATGTGTCTGGTCGTTGCGGTTGCGGCTGCGGCTGCAACTGCGGTTGGGCAAAGCCGGTCTGCGCTGGTGGCTGCTGCATTCATTATATGTCATACTATGGATTTAATTGATACTAATACGCAAAAAGAAGATCTTATGAAAATGCTGAACAATGTCCAAAAACTTATATATGTTGTTAATTTGTATATTATTTGCTGTCGCGTGTGATAGTGTGTGACTTGTCAATGAAAAAAAAAAAAACCAAATTAAGAACTAGCCAAATGTGTACCATGAGTTTACTTACCATTTAGGTTACTTCACTATAGTACGAGTTTAAATTACTTGTATACAACATGAACATACAAATTGATTTTTTTGTTTCCCCAAATTTCGGTTTTGTTCAGCTTCTAACGACCGTAAGTACCAATAAACTCAACAATTAATGTTATTTAGCAAAAATAAATAGGGTTTAGTTTAGCCTTTAAATATTAGTTGAGGATAATAAATAAGTAATTACCTGAGGAGGAAAGAACATGGGGGAGGTGAGAAGACTAGAAGGGCTGAAACCAGAAGGGACTGTAAAGATCGGACCTCCTCCGGCGAACATCCCCGCTGTAGAACGTCCTCCTCCGCTGCCAGGGGATACCGACATAGCTCCGGCGAGAAGCTGTGAAAACGACGTCGTCCTTTGGTTATCCGGCGTCAAAACGTCAGGGAAGTTATCAACGAACAAAGAGGAGACAAAAGAAAGTGGGCCTGGGCTTAGACTAAGCGCATCTCCACTGCCGAAGAAATACGCCGTCGTTTCGATCGCCGGTGGTCTCTGTGGAACTGTAATCGTGGGTCTTGTTGGAGCCACTAACGTCGTCGTTCTCATCGAAGATACATCGTCCTCCACCGCCATTTCTGAATCAAATCTCGATGTTTGTGATTAAATCTCTCTAGATGTTGATATTACTGTGTGTATATGTGTGTGTATATATAGAGAGAAACAAAGAGACAAGAGTCTTCTGTTTCAATGTCTGATTTTCTAGATCGGTTTCGTGCTGCCTTGACATTGGTGTTCGAAAGTCTGCGGGCTAAAGATGGAATTTCTTTAATTTATAATAATAATTTATTGTGGTCCAATCTCTCTATATTCTGAATTTCATATATAAGTTTTTTTAAAAAAAATAGTACTATTATGGAAAAATAATTCAACTTGCATCTTTTGTTTAAAAGGTTGAGATTTGGATAACCAAATTGATGGTGTTTAACTTGGAAAAGTCATCTTATATGCTATTTATACCCCTTTTTTGGGTCAACATGCTATTTGTACTATGATGCAAAACATATGGTAAGTTTTTGTGGGTCAACAAAATTAGAATATTTACGAGATTTTTTCTTGTTTTAAAGCTGGAGGTTAATTATTTGAGTAAAAGATAGATAATCAATACTTTATGTGATCATTGAACACATAAAATAATTCACTTGGTAGATATGTTTGGTATTTGTTAGTATTAAAATTCGAGTTGAGTCTTATATAACACATATACTTATAGAATTTGTTTGTTGGCCAAGTTTGCCTCACAAGACCGGCACTGCAAGGCATCAACTCCAAGCCGCGACAAAATTCGCTTTTTAGAATAAATGAAGGTCTATGTAGTCCAATATTCACTAACAAACAAATGTTCCTTTCTGACTCTATGGTCTATGCAAAGCTTAGAGTTTCCTTCATAGTCCAATATTCATTACTTACTCAGAAAAAAATAAAATGGACAAATTATTTCTAATGATGTAGATAGTTTCACAATGTTAATTTGGACTGTAAATGAATGAAGTAGATAGATATTTGAACCAGTCATTTCACATAATCTTAACTTGGGCAGTGTGTTTTCTTGAAATATGCTCTCTTTGAATATCCACTCTTTTTACATATTATTTCACAGAAAAATAGCCAAACACAAGGGCCAACTTGTGTATGTTATTTATGTCATGTAGAACATAATCTTCAATAAGGAGTCGTGAAAAACTAATTCTATTTATAAAAATATGAATTAAGTCTTAAAAAATTGTTGCGGATATTAATGTAGTATATATATTGAGTTCAAAAAAATGAATTCAAATGTCTTTTCACTGTATTTTTTCGGGAATTCTTGTTTTATGGAAACGACACATGAATTAACATATCAAGTAATCATTTTTTTCATGCATCTTTTCTTCACATCGTTATATTTTTTGAAAGTTTTTACACGTTCTTTTTTATAAAAAAAAATAGACTTGATTTTATTTTTGCTATATAATACTTGATTTGAAGATTCGTGTAGGAATATTAATAGATATTTCCATTGAGATTGGAGATTTGAATGGGGAAAAAAATCTAATGGGGAATACATTTGATTGCGAAATCAGAAAGTTGATTATTTGCTAATTATTAACATAAAATTCAATATTGCCCCACGACTCTGGTCCATTAATCAATACTATACTTTATACGTTCGAATCATTATACTAAGCTGACTCAGATTATACACAAACTTTCTATTCTGGACCAAACTGAAAATTTGAAGTGAAAACTGTGAGAAGACTCAAAATTTCATAATATAATCTCGCTGATGATCGCTATCTAATGATTTTAAGCTCTTTGATATTAAATGGCATAATGAACAATAACGTAATTTTGGGAATATTCGTGCAACAATTTGAGTTTTCTTAAATTATATTTTCGGGTTTGTTGAAACAAAACATAACAAGTGTCTGCGTTGCATGTTCTTCAGAGTGTTATATATAAGAGTAAATAAAGGAATCAACCTAAACTAATTAATTGACATTTGTTTCTGAAATTAGTATTTTTAATTAAATTTTAATTTTCTTTGACACCTAAGAGACAGCCTATTGATGCCTCATTAATTACGTAAATTATCGGTTCCATTTTCCTAATCATATCACCATATACCTTTAAATCGGAGGTTCTATCTTAGTAACAGTTATGGACGCACCAATGAACAAACAAAGTAGCAAATAGCAATTAAGTTAACCATATTTTTTCTAAAATTAAATAAAACATTGAAGCCGACAAAAATAAAAACATTAACAAATGACTAATTGTACACCGTATTACGGTATACAAATGACTAAAGACATAGTAAAACTCGAGAAGGGTCAAAAAGAAATGCAACGACCAACAAGAATACGTCTAGAGCTGATCTAATGAAACCATCATACAAGAAGAATGTTTAAAATAATGTCATGATTTTTTCTTTAATTATAAACTTGATACATAGTGTGTAAGAAACATAGTAAACAAAAATCTTATAACCAAAAAAACCTTTGAAGAGCTGTTTGTTTTGTCGTGACGTGTGGTTGACTTTTGGATAAGGGTCAAGCTATTATTTAACAGTTAATTCGTTATTTTAGGCCCTTTACATAGTCGAAAATCGGAAAACCACACGGACAATCATTTAAAATTGATAGCGAATTTCTTTTAAGGGTTTGAACTAAAATTAAACATCTTCATATCTCTCGTCGTCTCGTCAAATTAGTTTACAATCACGTCATTTTCGATGTGATGAACTAGCTAATAGATTAAGAATATGCCAGCTTTAGTTATACTCAATAAACTAAAATAGTCTTTGGTTCTTGGCGATATTTTAATTTATTAAAAAAGATCTAGGGTATTGATAGGTTAAGGAGACTAATCATGGTGTCCACTGTTTGAGGTTGATGAGTAAATTAAACCCTAATCAAGGTTTTAGCTAGCTCATCGTAATATTTTAATTCTGGATATATGCACTAGCTATATAGTTATAAATCAAAAAAATTATTGCATAAGGCTCGAAGATAAACGTGTTCGGAACATCAATTACATCAAACACGGTGTTCCCATACATCCTTTTGTCTTTGATGTCATGGGACAATGTGACCAACTTGCAATTGCAACTTACTGTAATACCTACGAGACAGACACCAATTACGTACTGCGGTTTTGGTAATTAGTCTGTTCTCAACCTATGAACGTTCTGTCTACAAGAAAGAAGAGCCGCCACAGCGTGTGCGCAAGGACAAAGACAACACCGGTTCCTAATATCCACGATGTTGTTTCCTTCATGAGATATAACTTCAAACTCCGCTTCATTGGCTCGAAGCACCTGATAAATTCTTGCAAGCTCGAGGGCCTCCGCCACACGCCGCTCAGATTTACTTATTTAGCTGAGCCCATTTACATAATTCGAATAAAACACCCCCCTTTGTGGGGCCGATATTATTCTAACTAAGCCCAGTAAAACTCTTGTTGGACTCATGGTTTGATTTGTTAAGGCCATACTAATGGGTTTTTATGGGCCCGAAATAATTCGAAATAAGCCCGGTAAAATCATTTGTCGGCCTCAAATTATTGGAATTAAGCCCAGTAAAATCTTTTGTTCGATTCATTACTTGATTTGTTAAGGCCATACTAGTGGGCTTTCGTAGGCCCGAAATTATTCAAACTAAGCCCAGTAAAATCTTATTGAGCTCGAAATTTGATTGGGTAAGCCCAAGCTAGTGGACTTTATGGGCTCGAAATAATTCGAACTAAGCCTAGCAAAAACTTTTGTTGGACTCAAAATTTGATTGGGTAAACCCAAACTAGTGGGCTTTTGTGGGCAACATATTATTGGTACTAAGCCCAGTAAAATCTTTTGTTGGGCTCATAATTTGTTTTTCTTAAGGCCTTTGCACTAATAGGCTTTTGTGAGCCCAAATTTATTCGAACTAAGCCCAGTAAAATTATATTGGGTGAGCCCAAACTAGTGGGCTTTTGTAGGCCACAAATTATTGGAATTAAGCCCAGTAAAATCTTTTGTTGGATTACATGATTTGTTAAGGCCATACTAGTGGACTTTTGTAGGCCCGAATATATTGAAACTAAGCCCAGTAAAATCTTATTGAGCTCGAAATTTGATTGGGTAAGCCAAAGCTCGTGGACTTTATGGGCTCGAAATAATTCGAACTAAGCTCAGCAAAAACTTTTGTTGGACTCAAAATTTGATTGGGTAAACCCAAACTAGTGGGCTTTTGTGGGCGACATATTATTGGAACTAAGCCCAGTAAAATCTTTTGTCGTGCCCATAATTTGGTTTGTTAAGGCCTTTACACTAATGGGATTTTATGAGCCCAAAATTATTCGAACTAAGCCCAGTAAAATTAAATTGGGCTGAAAATTTGGTTGGGTGAGCCCAAACTTGTGGGCTTTTATGGACCCAAAATTATTCGAAATAAGTTTATTGTTTTGGGCTCAAAATTTGGTTGGGTGAGCCCAAACTTGTGGGCTTTTGTGGGCCCAAAGTTATTCGAACTAAGCCCCGCGAAATCTATTTTGGGCTGAACTAGTGGGCTTAATTTGGTAAGCCCAAACTAGTGGGTTTTTGTGGGCGACATATTCTTGGTACTAAGCCCAGTAAAATCTTTTGTTGGGCTCATGATTTGATTTGTTAAGGCCATTACACTAGTGGGCTTTTGGGAGCCCAAAATTATTCGAACTAAGCTCAGTAAAATCTTATTGGGCTGAAAACTTGGTTGGGTGAGCCCAAACTTGTTGGCTTTTATGGGCCCAAAATTAACCGAATTAAGCCCAGTGAACTTAATTTTGGGCTCAAAATTTGATTGGTGAGCCCAAACTTGTGCACTATTGTGGGCCCAAAGTTATTCGAACTAAGCCTATCGATATCTATTTTGGGCTGAAAATTTAATTAAGTAAGCCCAAACTAGTGGACTTTTGTGGGCCGAAAATTATTCGAATTAAGCTCAGTAATATCATTTGTTGGAGTCGTAATTTGATTTGTTTAAGGTGGGCCATATCCTTGTGTATTTTTGTGGACCCGCAATTATTCTAAGCAAGCCCAGTAAGGCCAAGTCCAATTTTTTTAAGCCGAGTGGCATGGAAAAGACAGTGAATAGATATAGCCTGATACAACCTGACGCGAGAGAGAGGAGATCAAAACAAGATCACACTTACCTGGCTTTGGTAAAATATTTTATTACATATGATAGCTGAAGATGACCGGGCATCACAAAAGCGATACATAAACTTGAAAATGGAATAAAAAGGGGAGAGAGAGACCAGAGACTTCACATATAGAATTTGTCTTAGTGATGGTGATCTTGAACGCAACGGAGGCCACAGTACTTGCAAATCGCAGGCTCGTCTAGGTCGAGGCATATGACCGAGGGCCGGATTGGTGTCTGCAAATTATATCAAAATCATTTTATATATCAATCCCCAGTTTGTGATAATCACAGAATCAAATATCGTGAGCAACTGATGGAAGAGGATAGAAACCTCCTTCACAAGCAGCAATGTGGAACCTCATTGATCAGTTCCATTGGTGACTTCTTGCTTCTATCCTGCACAGATAAGTTTCTTCACCACGTTAGTTAAAAGTAACACCAGAAATACATAACACTGCCATAGAGCCTATGCAATGCATATATGTTAATGTCACCAAACAACAAACCACAAGAAATCCCTTTGACACGGGTGCATTCAACTAAGCAGAGCAAGTTGATCTGCTTTTTTTCACACAAACAAAAACACCTCATAGCAAAGAGAAATGAAAGCATAAAGGAGAGAACTCAAACGAAGCTGGTGACTAACAAATTTAAAGCTAATTTTAAACTAACGTGGGCAAGTTTTTACCTCACAGTATTCATTTGTGACCAAGACCGTATGCTATTAATCTAATGATTGTGATGATTGAAGTATGGGATAAGGGAAATGCTATGTAATCGTTAAATGATCTTTTCACTTATTAGACTTGGGAGTTGCAGACTGAGATCACAACAGCATATAATACCACAAATTATTGCACCAGATGTCAAGATAAGTTTCTTCACCATCTTAGGTAGAATTAACACAAGGAAAATGTGATCCGAAAATTTCCTAATTTACCACTACTATATAGCCTATGCAATGCATATACAGGCTCACCAAACAACTAAAATTCTCTAGAACGGATCAGTTTTCCATGAGAGCAGAGATACTGCAGAACAAAAAGAAAGCCCAATGTCCTCAGAATTCAAACAACTTTTAAGCAGATTAAAACAGATATCATCGAAAAACTTTAATCTTCACTGAATCAAACGACCCACACTAAGGACAATTTGCAGAAAATGATAAGTTTTCATGTGCTTTCCCAAAACTAATTTAATGGCAGTAAACATTAGTTTCACGAAACCCGAAACCGTGACAAAATTTCAGAGACTAGCAATAACGGATGAGCAAATCGAAAACATGCCAAATCGCGATCTAACCCTAGGGGAGATGATCAAGAACAATTCACGCAAAATTAGGCCGTTCGCGAAAGAAAAATCAAACCTAAGTCTCGGAGCAACGAAACTAGGGCTATAAAAACACCCAAAATCGCCCAGAGTACCTGCATCCATTTGGCGATAACGACCACTTCATGGTTCCAAATTGAAGGACCCCCAGTAGTTATAAAATAAAGCCCAACGTATAGGCCCAATAAAGTTAAGAAGATCTTCTTATTTATATATAAACCAAATTACACTTTACTTCTCACCAATAAAGCATGAACCAATCTCCTAAAGCGCACACACACACACTGACACAATACATCCAGAGAACAATGACTGCAGGATCCAAGAAACCAACATAAGAATCAATAAAAGAGTAACACTAAACGCAACAAAGGAGCTTCACATTGCTAAAAGAAGTCTACACCGAATCGGCTTTCTCATTGAAAGAAACTAAGACTTGTTACCAAAACCGCAGCAAAGCGTCCCACATTGTCCCTATTGCTGCGAGAACAGCTACCGGAATAACAAACTGATGGGCCAAGCCCGAGATGGCGAAGACTCTTCTTGCACTGTTCTTGCTAGGTGATGCATCTGGTGGAGGAGGCGGGTTCTCAACTAGAACAGCCAGCTTCATGCCGCCGTAACATCCACCACCACTACCGCTGATCAGATAGTAATGTCTGGTCACATTGAGATGAACGAGGTCTCTTCCAGCTCCACGACTCCAATTGGCGATCGGGTTCTCCGAGTTGCAGCTTCTGTAGTTGGTCTCGTTTACTTCTATAACGTTGTATTGGTTTCTCTCGTACACAAAAACTGACAGAACAACCAAGAATCCAGATCGAGATCACTATATAAGCAAACAAGAGGGCAAGACCAGAGCCTGATTCTTCGGTTAAGTTAGGGTTTTGAAAGGTCTAAATTGAAAGAAATAAATAAAATTCAGAAACAGAGATTAACCCAAAAACTTGACATTCGGTGTTAAATGTGAAAGGCTTGGTTAAAAATTTAAACTTTAACAAATACAGAGGAAAAGTATCCACTTTATGTAAGAAAACGGCCAGAGAAGAATCTAGTGGTCCTTTTCAGACAACCTATGATTGTGTTCGACAAGATCTTACAAAGTTTGAAAATTTTGCCATCAGATCTAAATCATCTAATCAAGAGCGATGTATATAGAGAGGGAGAGAGAGAAAAAATACAGAGCCAATCGTCGAGGTAGAAATGTTTGTCCTGAGCCCAAATGGTATAATTGATATTGGGATTCCAGAACTTGGTATCGCCCACCGTCCATTTCTTTGCCTCCACTTCTATCATCGGCGCCGCCGCCAGAAAAGTCAGCACCACCGCCGCAGCCATCAACGCAAATCTCGCCATCGATCACTCTAGAAAAAATGCTCAGTGCTTTCTGACTCTCTCTCTCTCTCTCTTGAAATAGCAGATTGTGTGAGGGATGGATTTAATATAGAATCTTGAAATGTGAAATAAAATTCTCTTTTCCGGGGAAAAGATCTCTCTAGATCCGTAATTTCTTCGACTAACATTTGCTTTAATAAATCTTGAGGTTAACGCGTTGCATAATTAAGGGAATTTAGTTGGTAGTAATTGCTATTGTCTAATACTATATTTTTCTGGTGATTATATTTTTTTTCTCTGTTTTCTCATATTTTTTTTAGTGACGAAAGCTCATTTCCTTTTTGTTTGTTTGTTAAAATGATACAGGATTCTATTCCTTGTGTAGAACATATGAAATACAATGACTACTAGGTAAACATAAAGATAAAATTAATATATCACAAATCAGAGGACAAAAAAATTAATATGAAACAATTCTTCTACTTACATATATAAATAACAATTCTGTTTGTTTGACACTTGTATTAGCTTCAAGTGATTAGCTCTTCATTGTACTGAGCATATAAACAATGATAATTTTATAGCCGTTGAGGAATTTCATCATCTTTTGAGTCGTACGTTATGTGCCTCGTCATAGCATCTGTTTCGTGATAGCTTCCACGCGCAATGCGTAGCGATTCGTCACCACCGCCACAAAACCGATGGATAGTGTAATCGGATGAGACGACGCCGTCTCGAGATCTTTCTTTTCTTAATGGTTTGTTGTTTTTTCTTTTGGACGTCATGACAATGATTTAGCCCAACATTATGTCCACACAATACTACTTGTAAAGTCCACGTAGGCAGACAGGCAGAGATATCCACTAGACCCATCCACGTGTCCGTATATCAGCTTCTAATTCCATTGTTACCAACAAGAAAAGCAAAAAAAAACATCGAATTGAGAACCGAAGAAGAAAATGGCGGCAGCGGCCATGGCCGTTCATCTCCCAAAACATCCTTCGTTTCTTTTGAAACCCAAACTTCCATTGGAGCAAAACTCCAACTTTATCGGTGGGTCCTTCAAGTTAGGTCGACCCATCTCCGTAAACCGGGAAATTAGAGGTCCGGTTATGGTTACTGCTTCTTCGAGGAGCACGACCATCGCTACAGATGACGTAGACGGAGATCCAAGCAAACGGTTTTATATCAACTTCACTGGATTTCCGTTTCCTCTTGGCCCGTTCCTTAACCGGCGCACCATCAGAACCGAGGTTAGTTTTCTCCATCTTTCACTCTCTCTCTCTCTGGGATTACTTATTCGAATTCGTTGAGATTTCACTAGAGGTGCCTTCATTAGTCATCTTCAATTTCAAAATTAATGGTCACTTATGCCCAAATCCTTCTTAGTGTTGACATAAATTTTGAAGCTTTGTTTGTTTGCAGGCGGTGAAAGGTTGCATATGGATGTTTGAGCAAGAACAAGCTTTAGGATTTAGCAGCGTGTCGACGAATATACGAATGACCGTCATCAAATTAAAATCCGGAGGTTTATGGGTTCATGCTCCTATTGCTCCCACCAAAGAGTGTATTCAGGTTCCTTTTTTCATTCCCAAATTCGGTTTGCTCTTCTTTTATGATTACTGTCTCCAGAGAATAGTTGAAATGATGATAAAGTATCAGACTTTGTTGTCATTTCTCTACTTATGTTGATATTTAACACTTGGTTGTTGTACTTGATGATTGAACTGTGTTGCGTTTTCAATTTTGTTTGGTGGCAGCTAATTAAGGAGTTGGGAGCTCCGGTTGAGTATATTGTCCTGCCAACGTTTGCTTATGAGCACAAGATTTTCGTGGGTCCGTTTTCTAGAAAGTTCCCCAAGGCTCAAGTATGGGTGGCACCAAGACAATGGAGCTGGCCGTTGAACCTACCACTCGAGTTTTTCGGTATCTTTCGCTCTAAAACCATTAAAGACGGAGACTTATCTACGCCGTGGGCTGAGGAGATCGAGCAGAAAGTCCTAAGCTCTCCAGAAGTTGGTATGTTCCTGAAGTTGGTATGTTCCTTTGGTTGATAGGTAACCAGAAAATCATAATTTTCTCATGGGGGATATACAGGAATTGGACCGTATGTGGAAGTTGCCTTCTACCATAAGCGGACAAGAACTCTTTTAGTCACTGATGCTGTGATCTTCGTCCCAAGGAAACCGCCCTCAAGTATCAGCAACGAATCCTTGTTGGCCTCGGCTAAGAACGGACTGGCTGTGAAGATTCTTAGCAAAGGAAAACAAGTACCCAATGACCCTGTGGTCGATAACCCTAACACCCGCCAAAAAGGTCAGCACTTCTTGAAATCAAATTCTCCTTTTTGCAATCAATCAAACAAAAGATCTTTAGACCATAATGGCCTCTGCTTTCTCTAAAACTAAACTTGCAGGATGGGAAAGAATGGTTCTGCAAATTCTGTTTCTTGGTCCTTCTAATCTCTTGGAACCAAACGCAAGCTTCTCACAAATGTCGCAGAAGCTGATTGTTTCTCCCATTGTGAAGACTTTGGTCTTTAGCAAAGTCCCTGAGAAGGTTCCTTATTTCTGCATCATCTGTTTCAAACCTTGTTTTTTGTTGCGTCCGAAAGGGTTTGTTTTGATTTGATCAATACTACGAATTCAGGTGAGGGATTGGATCGATGAGATAACCCGTGACTGGAGATTCAGAAGGATTATCCCAGCTCATTTCGAGGCTCCAATAAACGCAGGAAGATCAGAGTTTCTAGCTGCGTTTGGGTTCCTTGATGAGCTTCTAGGGGAAAGATATGGAACCCGTCCTTCGCTCTCTTTTCTCCTCGCTTCACTAATGGGAAAAGCTGCGAGCTATTTTCCTCCAGACGATATGAGAACTCTCTCTTCTCTTGATCAGTTCTTAGTTTCTGTCGGGGCTGTGAAAAAGACAGTCTCTGGTAGTAGAAGACGAAGATGATGGAAAAACGGAAAAAAGATTGATCTTTAATCGTCTTTAAGAATATGAAAACAGGCTGGCATTGTTGGTGTTGTAGTGAAAGATATGGTCATAGAGAAGTAAAGCATTCGATGTTTTTTTTTGTATGCGGAAACTTTGTTTGGGTAACATTGTTTTGATTACTTGTATCCTAAGCAAAGAAAAAGTTCATCTATGATCCGCAAGTCACTGAGGAACAGATTCAAAGGGACTTGACCATGAACAAATTCAACTGGGACCATCCACTTCACCTCCAGCCAATGAGCCCGACCACGGTGAAACAAGTCTCGGTTGCTTGGGACGCTTACACTGCAACTAAAGACGCTCACGGTATCTGCCTGTTAACGGAGTGGGGTGAGTTTAAGACGCTTGACCATGAGCGGATCCTTGAGAATATGCAGAAACCGGCGTTTGTGTTTGATGGAAGAAATGTTGTTGATGCAGAGAAGCTGAGGAAGATAGGCTTTATCGTTTACTCTATTGGTAAGCCATTGGACCAGTGGCTCAAGGACATGCCTGCCCTTGCTTAGCTTTGAGTCTTTTGCCCATTCTCAAGACTCATATTTTAATTTTTGTTGCGTATTGTCAAATAATTTGTTGGGTTTCTTCTTGATCAAGGAGATGTTTCTCAGATAATATATGTTGGTTAGAAAAGAGAGATTTTTATTGCCAACGACGTTGTAATTTTGATATCAAATATGTAAGCTTCGCAAGCATTTTAAATATATAAAGCTTTTTTTTACTAGCTAAAGTAATTTGAGATTCAAATGTAATTTTCATTTTCATTAAAAAATTCATGTTATATTTTATGTGTTACTCCTTCTAGAATATATAAAAAAAAAAAAAAACAAACGACTTATAGAATATTTAAACACCCTTGAAGTGTGTTGAGATTATGGTAACACATACAGTATTATGGATCTCAATATACTGAGTAGGAAACACAAACGAATAAAATCAAGCCAGAGCCAGATCATGTTTACATGGGAGGAATTCTAATAAAACCGAGACTTGTCGCTATTGTAGTCAAATTGTCGTCCAAACTAGAATTGATCTCAGTTCCGAGAAGCCCTAGTACGTTACTTAGAAGACACGGATCATATACGTCGGCTCCTATGACAGCGTGCATCATTATCTCATCCAATTTTTCCGCCCACACGTAGGGTAAATACTCTCCTTGAGCAGGTAGATCCACGGTGATTGGATTTGTGCACATATCAATGTATTCCGCAAGCTTCGTCATAGAAAGGGGACAGCCCTCTTTCGAATTCAGGTCCGAGTAAGCCCTCCGAAAGTTTGTTACCAAGGTTTCTGGAACCCTAAACCACTGCGACCTCAAGCTAAAGTGCCTTGTTCTGCCAATCGGAAATGGATCACTCAAGCTGACGAACACGATGAGTGTTCCCGGGTCAATACCACTCCTCTCGTACTTATCCAGCCTTGTGGATCTAATTCCATTTGAGCCGTGGACGAATTCACCTCAAGAAGGCGCAATCTTGAATCGGCGATAACAAGTCTCACAAGAGGGTCGCGACCCGTCGTCGATATTCCATCAAATGCCTTAATGTACTTCCCTTTGACTATGAGACGCTGAGTCAACCCGTCGCGGTTAAAGTAAGCTACCTCCGCCGCCGAATTTGCAAGGAGGCTTAAAAGATTATTACCATCTACGGATTGCTCAAATCTTGAACAATGGCCACTTACTGGGAACAACCGATTTGGAAAACGGCCCCCTTCTTCACCGATATCTCCATTTTTTAGTAAACAATGAAACCATTCCTCTCTCATGGTGATAATAACTCCAGACTTTCGTGGTTAATCCTCGGTTTTCGTTGCCACCGGCAATGCTTGAGTAGCTCAGGGCTTCGATCGCGATTGTTGCCTCAGTTGCAGTAAGATTTTCCACCGTACATCCGAATGTCGCAGAGAGAACAACACCTTTCTCTCTAACTGTCGTCGCCATTCTTCCAAGATCCAAGATAATCAACAAGCGCAAGAGAGAGCCAAGAAAAGCAGAGACAAAGAGAATAATAGGCAAGAGAGAGGAGAGCGAGATGATTACAGTAGAAACGCAACGGGACACTATAATAATTTAATTATAAGCCACATCAATAAAAGAAATCTCATAAGCCTTGCCACGTCGGATTCGTTCCCTTTCGGATAGATTAAACCAATTTACTAAAATACCCCTTTCTTCCTTCCCTCGCTTATCTCTCTGTTTCTACTTTCTCGCTTGCTCTCTCTCACTCTCTCTCTCTCTTCTCGTTTTCCCAGAAATTGACGCAAAATCCAATATTTCCGTTTGATTTCTTAGTTTCTTCCGATTAGTTCAGAGAATCAGGTATCTTTCTTGCCAACATTTACTCCTCTGTCTCCGGATTTTTCTTTTGGGTAGTGACGGAAAATCGATTCTCTTAGGGTATGTCCATGCTCATATTTTCTGGTTGATGGGATTGATTTTCTTCTCGAATCATCTCTGGTCCAACAAGCTTGGCTTCAATGGAAGATCATCAAGAATTCGAGAAGCCCACCTTCGAATTACGCCATAAGAAGCTTCGAAGCTCTCGTGTTTTGATAAACCGCGAGAAGAAGACTCGCTTAGGAAAATCGATGAATAATCACGAAGAGATCTCTGGCTGCTACGGATTGAGGCAGAACCCGAAGAAAACCCAGAAATCTCCACTCGACGAGGAATAAGAAGCGTTTGATTCGATGCGGAGAGTGTGGGAAAGGGTTTCGATATGAGAAATGTCTGCTGAAACATCGCGGAGTGATGCATTCGTTGAATCAGAAGAAGATCGTTTCTGAAGAATCTACGAGGAGGAGGGATCTGTTGTGTAGCTTCAGTGATGTGCAGAGGAGAAAGAGATCGAAAAGAGTTTCCAGGTACAGGAAGGTTCCTCGATTCTCTGTTTCGGATTCTTCTTCTTCGTCTTCTTCGTTTACAAATGCTCCTGTTTCTGTGGATAATGAAGAATTATTAGAAGTCGCTGAGTCTCTGATTCTGCGGTCTAAGAGTGGTGAAGCGCTGATTTCGAGAGACTTTGAAGATGGTTTTTTGGGTAATGAGCAGAAACTAGTTGGGAGATTCACAGACGGGTCTTTGAGGAGTAATGCGCATAAACTTGTGGGGATGATCATTGAATCTGATGGAATATCAAAAGAGCTTTTGGGTTTCTTGGGAGACAAGAAGGCAGTGAAAAACGATGAATCAGGCCAGCTGAAATGGGTAGGAGCAGAAGCTGAACTGGAGAGAGTGAGCTTGGAAGTTAGGTCTGGGCTGATGTTGCAAAATGCTAAAACCGACCAGAAGCTTGGCCATCAAGAAACAAATTCAGGAGATGAGGGTTTTCAGATGAACACAGAGCATCGGTGCAGGCTCTGTGACAGGGTTTTCTCGACTTATCAAGCTCTCGGTGGTCATCAGACGTTCCATAGAACGAGGAACAAGTCTGAAAAGTCAAAGCCATAGATGCAGAGAAGAATCAGTAGAAGCTGAACCTTAGAAATGGCTCAGTGACATTGACCTTTGGAGTCGATCTGAATGTTTCCAATAACAATAGATTTGCTGATGCATTTTAAACAACTTTTAAAATTTTAAAATTACTAATTCAATAATACTAAATTTTAAACAATTTTTAAAATTTTATATATCAATAACAGTTAATACATATCATTCCAAAATCTACTTCAAATACACCCTTAAGTTTGATCGCGAGTGTTACATATCATATTTTTTTCACTAGTTGTACTCTACAAATAATAAACAGTAAGAGGATTGTGATTTATATATATACATCAATTTATAATTAACTATTAAATAACCTGTTAAAAGGAAATTAAACACAAAAAGTATAAAAACAGAATTAGATCAATTGTGAACATATAAATGTAAGTCTAAACATATAAAAGTAAGTTTAAGAATGTTTACGTAAAATTATATTATATAAAGTTGGATGCGTCAAATTTAGTAATTCACATGATTGTGACACATGGTAAATCAGTCGATCAGATTTTTACATGTATTGCGATTAATTTTAAAAGAATGAAATGATATATTTCACTTTATAGAAAAATAATTTAAAATATTAATTTTAAAAGCAAAAGAAAAATATAATTTGAAAAAAAGAACAAAAGTTAATAAAAAGAAAAAGAAAATACAATTTGAAAAAAGAAAAAAATGTTAATAAAAATTTATCAATTCGGAAAAGGAAAAAAGCTAAAACACTAATCTTAAAAACAAAATAAAAATACGACATACATCTATATAAATACATAAAACACTTTATACAATTCTAAATTTTTATCCTTTAAGATTCGTTTGTTGAATATTGTATATATTTAAAGTACTTTCGGTATTCAATAATTATATAATTTTAAAATATTTGCATACAAAATTTGCAATAGAGGATTACACGAAAATGAAATCTAATATGCTAATGATAAATTTATTAATGAGGAAGATAATCAATAAAAATCATGTAAAAAAGCTTTTGACACAAGCCTTAAAAAACATAACTTGTCTAAAACGCAAAGAATTCATATACGATAAATACATGTGGAAAGACCGAGAAATTTTGTTTGCTTGGAAAAAGTTAATGGAAAGAGAATTAACATAATCGAATGACTCGAATTGCATATCCAAGTTTAAAATGCAGCAAAACTGAAAAAAAGTATTCCATCCGTTTTAAAATAAGTGTCATTTGGTACTTTTCACACAAATTAAAAAAACTATTAAAATTTCTATTTTATCTTTTGTTCGCACAAAAAATAATATTCTATTTCCAATTAAAACAATAAAATTTAAAGGTTAAAATTAGATAATTATTCAAAATTATGCATTGAAAATGTGAAATGACACTTTTTGTGAAACAAAAATAAAATTTTAAAATGACATTTATTTTAAAACAAAAGGAATAGTTGATAAAGTGTTAAACTACAAGTAAAATATAGTTAATATTGCTAAGGACTCGCAATAGATTATGTGTTTTAAATATTTTAATTAAAAATAAATGAGAATTAAAATAAAATTGATTTTAGCTTTTTAATGATCTGATTTCATTTTCTATTTTTTCAAATTATCTTAACATAGAGAGTCATAGTCTATTTACTTATAATAAAACACATTTTCATGTATTTATTTTTAAATTAAAATTTGTCACATATTTTAAAACATTTAGTTTTCAATTGCCAATTGAATCATAATTATTGAATATTTTTAGTTTCCAATTTCAATTAATTATAGTTTCCAATAACTTATATATCTACTTTAAAATTAATTTTGACAAGTTATTATCATAAACTATATTTATATTAATTCGATTTTTTTTTCATATATGACTATTTTTTCTTTTAAATTTGTATAACATCTTTTTTTCATGAGAAATAAACTACATCATATAATTTTTCTTAATTTAGTTGAAAAATATATAAAATATTTATTTTCCTTTTTAAGAAAAATCCTAATCTATTTCTTCGTTTTTAAACTTTTTATTTACAATTTTCTTTTATGTTAAAATTAGGTTTTTCTTATACGTGTCAAAATTTAAATTGATATATTTGACATATATAATATATCACGTTAGTGTTAATTATTATTTTTGATGAATCTAATTTTATATAATAATATAAAGTAAATATCATATGATATAATTTTTCCCTTGATTTAAACTTTTGCCATATTTTTTATTCTAAAAAATCTAAAACTCTTTTTAATCTTCTATTCTCTAGGGTTTCCCAAACCTGTACATAATCTCGAGTAGGAGATTGGAATTGTTTTGGTTAAAAAGTTTCTGTCTTAGTCCTGTGGCTCCGATATGAGTTCATCAAAGAAGAGGAAACTTAACTGGTCGGAGCTTTGTCCGGACGTGCTGCGATTTGTCTTGGAACGATTGAGTTTCACAGATGTAAATCGAGCTAAATCAGTTTGTTTGGCGTGGCACTTAGCTTCGAGAGGCTGCGTCCCTAAACCAAATCAGATCCCATGGCTGATTCTCTTCCCTCACAAAGAGGAAGCCAACAACGACAGTAGCTGCGTGTTGTTCGTTCCAGAGGACAGAGACAAAGTTTACAAAACCAGAGATCTCGGTGTTGACTTTGTGCGGAGTTGTTGTCTTGCTACTCACGGTAGCTGGCTCCTGATGATGGACATTCATTGGAATCTCAACATTCTGAATCCTTTAACCGGTGAGAGGATTGATTTACCACTTGCAGGAAGAAAAAAAACTCCACCACCTCAAGATGCTTGTTATTTTGATAATGGACCACCCAAAGTTTGCCCAAGCCTAGCTTGTCTCTGGATAGACGATAGAAGCAAATATTACGTAGTTGCGTGGAACGAGAAGGTTACCAAGACAGGGAGTAACACTTGGCGATGGCTTCCATGTTCTCGTCTCATGTCGGGATGGGACAGAGAAGGATCACAACTGGTCTACGAACACAGAGCTCAAAAGCTCTACTTCCATAGTGTCGGTGATGCTGTCAAGGTTTGGTGTTTATCTGGTGATGATCCAAAACAGGTTTCTGAGGATTATGCTCCAATCAATTATGAATTTTGGGGATTCCTCCCTGATAGAAGCAAAGACGAGAAGTTGTATCTGAAAGAAGAAGAGCGATATGTGAAAGGGTATGTTGACAGCAGACTAACCATCGCAGTGAGTAGAGTATCTGGACGGGTTTTGAAGGTAGCCATTGCGGAGCAAAAGTCCAAAAGGTGGTTCTTTCGCGTCTACGAGATGCACCCTACAGAGCTTGCGTGGCAAGTAATCGATTCTTTGGGTGATGAGGCCTTGATCTTAGACATGGGTATCACAGTTGTAGCCAAAGACATCCCAGGGATCAAGAGGAACTCAATCTATTTCAGTGGTTTCGGTTATAGGAGAAAGAACCCGGACCATTTATTTGTCTTTGATCTCACCACCCACAAGGTTGAACCTTTGCCACAATGCGTTTTCTCCTCCATTCCTTTCACTGATGCTCGATGGTTCTTCCCGGGTTTCACCGGTTAGTCTTTCCTGAGTTATTTGCTTCCAGTTTCGCTTTTTCTTCACAAGTTTTATTGTACATTTGGCTCATGAAGAAGAAAGATTTAATTGATTCTAGAGAAAAACAGAGGTTCAAGTCACTTTCAGTTGCGTAGTAAACAATCTGTATACCAATCAGATCAAAGTCAAAAGTTAACCAACAGCACTCAAGCCTTTATAATTTCAAAACACTTGTTGACATTCACAAGACTCACTCTCACAACTAAATCACTCAACGCCTAACAATATGCAACTTTCTCGGACTTGGTTTTATACATCAAATATTTGAATATCTACGTAGTATATTTACTTTTGATGTCATCATCATCTCATCTGTATATGGTGCTTAGGGTTTTACGCAAACCAGGAGTCCTACTAAAGTTTGGAAATCATTGAAAGCTTCATTAACGAGAGTGAAACTTGGTGCAATGGGGCAGAGCAAAAAGAAAGCTCATCGGCGGAGACGAGAAGAAGAAGGAATTCCGGGGAGTTCATCAAACTGGTCGGAGCTTTGTCCGGATTTGGTGCGATGTGTTTTCAAACGACTGAGTTTCACCGCTCTGAATCGGGCAAAATCGGTTTGTTCTTCGTGGCACACTGCTTCCAGAGGCTGCATCCCTAAACGGAATCAGATCCCATGGCTGATTCTCTTCCCTCGCAAAGAGTGAACAAACAACAACAACGGTAGTTGCGTGTGGTTCGTCGTCCCAGAGGACAAAGACAAAGTCTACAGAACCAGAGATCTCGGTTCTGACTTTGCAGAGAGTCTTTGTCTGATGACTTGTGGTAGCTGGCTCTTGATGTCCAACCCTATGAAGGATCTCTACATGATCAACCCTCTAACGGGTGAGAGGATCGATCTACCTGATACTCCGAAACATGGAGCAGACTTGATATTCGAGCAAGCTTGTTTTTGGATAGACAACGAAACCAAAGATTACATAGTTCTGTTGGAGGTGTCCTTTTCTTATAGTATATTTACCAAGAAAGGGGATGAGAACAAGTGGCACGAGTTTCCCCTCTTGAAATGGGACATGATTTTGTCTTCAGTCACAAGGATCAAAAGCTCTACTTCTATCATCCTAATAACCCTGTCAAGATTTCGGATTTCTCAGGGGATAATCCACGCCAAGAGGATGGGTGGTATCTTGATTATTTCTGGTTCAATCATTATGATTTTCCTTCTTGACTTGATGAAGAAGGTCGCGAGTTGTATTGGCAAAAGTTACTTTACTCGAGCACACGCATTGCAGTCACACTATCTGGAGATGTTTTGATTGTAGCATGCATACTGTTTAGCTGCAAAACATGGCATTTTCGCATCTACAAGACAAACCACATGACCCGCGAGTGGGTTAAAATCACTTCTTTGGGCAATGAGGCCTTGATCTACGACATGGGTATCACTGTTTCCGCCAAAAACATCCCAGGGATCAAAAGAAACTCAATCTACTTCAGTGGCCTCGATCATGGCACAGATGATCCAGATCATATATTTGTCTATGATCTCTCCACCCAAAAGATGCAAACTCTGCCACAACGAGTCTTCTCCTCCATACATTTCTCTGATGCTCGATGGTTCTTCCCTTGCTAGAACTTGGAGGCCGAGTTTTTTAAGCTTAAGTTATTTGCTTCGTTTGTTTTTTCTTCCGTTGTTAAATCTTGATGAAATAGTGATATTATATATTGTCATTCCATCAGTCTTTCGAGTTTAGTCTCACAATTCTCGGCAAACATAAGTAATGTTATACGAATCTATCTCTACCTACATATTTGGGATAATCTGTATAGAGACAACTGTTAAAAGAGGAATTCTTGGATGAAGAAAAAAAACAGAGGAATTCTTTAGAAACAGAGCAAAAGCAGAGTCTCACTGTGTCTTTTAACAGGCTCTGAATCACTACTACATCTATGATTCACTCTATCCTTGATTCTTGCAAAAAGCTAGAAAAGAGATTTGATTTATACTTTTTCTTTTTGAAAAATGGTTCAACACTCTTTCTTAATTCTGTATCTGTATCAGTAAACAATCTATACCAATCACATCAAGGACCAGAAATCTGACTCTCTCTTGAGATGTTGCTACTCTCTTACATGACTGAACAGACGCACTTGTTCATCTTCGGATCACCCTTAGGCTTCTTTTCTGTTTCGTACATAGCAAAACAAACAAAAACTCTCTGTCAAGTCGAGAACGTATTCTGAAGCTTAAGTAGAGCCAAGGAAAAAGGTTTCTTTTTTCACCTTTTTCAGTAACCGGAGGTTGGATGATAACGTGCATTGTGGTGACAGCGCCTACAAGATTAGAAACAGGGCTTCGGTAGTCTTTAACCGTCTTGTTGTTCTCCAATACTTTCCCTGCGCTTATCAACTTCACCTCTTTCACTGTCCTCGGCCCATTCTCCTTTTCTAGCTCGGATCAAACACAAACACAACACACGACAAGCAGGATGATCAGTAACAAGGCGTTAAACACCACTTGATAAGATATCCTATGCTTCTCAAAAGTAAATATTGACCAGACCGTTGTTCCAAGAACATTCAAGCCTTGACAATCTCAAAACACAGTTCCTGGGGACGATTAAAATCTGAAAGCCATAGGGTAAGTAAGTAAGTAGGCATTAAAAGAAGTCACCTCTTGGCCATTCAGAGATAACAGTTTCCTTCAATGCCGCAACAGTTGTAGCATCAGGGAATGCTTTAGGGCCGATATCCGAACCATCCGTTAACCGAAACTTGATCTCTAGTTGATTATCAACCTCTGCCATCTATTGCAAGAACCAACCCACAAAACTTTTCTAAAAACCTCGAAGAAAACTCAAAAACACTTGACAGTTTCGCTATGTATCAAATCCCGCAGGCCCTTCTCTGCTCACTATTCTATCTGCAATGAGTCAAAAAGCAACATTTTTTCTTCAATAAGTGATTGTCAAAATGAACAAGAAACCTGAAGATTAAGGGTTTAATCGAGAGTCTGATTTCTAAATGAAACGCATGCAATAACCAGGGATCTGATAGAACAAATCATATAAATGCCATGTTAAAGATCAAGAAATCAGCACAGTCAGAAAAAAAAAAAAAAATTCCTTAAAGAGAAAGAGGATCTGACAAATGAACAGAAGCGGAAAACTCCAAAAGGGGGTATACTTTAAAATCAAGGGAACCCAGATTTGAAACGAAGCCGGAAAAAGAAAACCCTAAATTTGGTGATTCTTACTTGGCTCTATGACTGATCTGAGCCGATGAATCAAAAGGAAAGAGAAGAACACGCATCGGAGAGGAGAGAGAGTTGCGAATTGAGATCAAGAGATCTCCTGAGTGTAGAGAATCAATGGCGGTCAAAGTTTCCATTTTTCTCTGATATTCTTCCCATCTATGCGCCTTTGAAATTGCCCATCTCTCTCTCTCTCTCTCTCTCTCTCTCTCTCTCTCTCTCTCTCTTTCTCTCTATTCTACATAAACCAGACGATCCTTATTTTGTTTGTAAATTCGACAATTTGATATCGAAAATCTCAAAGGAAAGAAAAGCACGGCACTACTCAATCGAGAAATTTTATTTTAAGGTTTTTTGTGTTCCAAGAAATTCTTAAATAGTACCCTTTTTTATATATTTGCAACAATTTGTAATACTACATGTGAAAGCTTTTACGTATTGTGACAAATCATAGCAATTTTCTTCGAAAAAATAAGTATACAATTTTTTAATATTTCATTTTCATAACAAAATCATTTTCATAACAAAATCATTTTCAACTAATCATCATACAATTAATGGTGATTACCATTTCCTACTTGTAAGGTTTTGACAACAGACGCTGAATTAATATCAAAATACTATAAATTTTGTGGTGTTTATCAAATTAGGGGGGATAAGTAACCTGAATCTGACAACAACAACAAAAAAATCTCTGCACCAAGAGAAGTCTCATGATTGAACGAATAGAGAGGGACCTTAACAAAGCAACAATGTCCATATAAAATCCCTAAAAACTATAGAATTATCAAAGAAGTTTAAAAAATTTGGAATTTTTACTGTCAAAATTAAAAAGAAAAAGTACATGTGGAGTAAATGTAACAGTGTTGTTGTTCCTTGGTCTTGTCTGATCGTAACCAAAATCCAGTTTCTTGTGGGGATTCCATAAACCTTTCTTGTTCTTATGACAGATCCAAGAATTTGGAATCTTTAATCGAAACCAAAAGAATCTCAAAAAAGGGTACCTTCTATTTTTACAGAAGAATGAATCTCTCTCTTTCTCATGCAGCTCTGCAACTGGTTTCATCGTCCAGCTAAAATCCGAGTAAAATCTGCAGAACCCGCCAAATCTCTAGTCTGCTTCAACATTATCTGTAAGCTTTCTGTTTGCTATTCCAAGATATGACAATTCTTAACGAAATCATTGGAATAGTTAACATATTTCGTCCAGAATGGCCTGAGATGCTCGAAACCTATCTCGAGCCACGGCTTTGATTGGCCATTGTAGTGAATCACTGCAGCTTTCTTCACACTTTCTAAGTTGGTCTTGCTCTGATAACCTAATCCAAGCATATGCCAAGACGAATCTATTGCCTGAACATGACCTTTAAATGCAATTAGAGCTGGAGGCAATGTCCCCAGTTTCCACATCGTTAGATTCGACTTCAGATTCTGCACCATCAGACCAAAACCAGAAATCAAAATCAAGTAGTTCCCGATTTTCGAAACATAAAACTCAAAAAAACATTGCAGGCTTCTCTGATGCTTTACCTCTTTAAGCCAAGAATGATAAGTTTCTCTGATATTTGTCTTCCTCCAAGTCCGTAGATCGAAGATGTTCATTCCATAAGCCCAAGCACATTCTTCGGGATCCAAATGTTTTGCAATGAGCGGGTGAGAGAAATTGAAGTAGTTCCTAAGACGCTTTGACATAACCCATTCGTCTTCTCCTCGACAAGTCTCCACAGCTCCATTAACCTTCCCGTTAAGGTCAATATCCCAGAGCGGAGATAAATCTCGCTGAATCACAATATCATCATCTAAGAACACTACCTTGTCTAAGTTCGGAAAAAGCTGTTCAAAAAGGCAAAACAAATAAGCATTACATTCATGTTCCTGGACAGTAAGCCACACTTCATATAGACGAAAGTTTTATGACAGAAATGTTTTACCTCTGGTAGATAGATCCTAAGATGGTTGAGTAAAGATATGTATTTGGGACTTCTTGACTGCAGTTTCGAAGCAAATGTTCGAGGAGTTGTTTCGCTGAGGTTTGCACCAGCGATATGATTCCCATGGTAATAATTTCTGATAGCGTTATGGCTTTCCACAGCTTCGAGAACCGGAACATTCTCTCTTGTTAACCAGTCGAACTGATGAACACTTTTGACTTCAACGATCGCAGGAGCGACTGAATTAAGCGCAAACCAAGAATGCATACCCGCATAGGTTTTCTTGTCTGTGATAACATGGAAGACAATTTTCTCAGGTTTTGAAGATGACTGAACAGCGGATGAGACCACAACCGATGCAGCCAAGATATTGTCTGTAGCGAGAATAAAATGGTGATAGGCGTTATCTGAGAGAAGAGGGAGAAACTCCGGGGAAGGAAGCTGTCTCCGAGCATGAGCGTTGGAGGAATATTCATCGGTTAGCCTTAAAGAGAGACAGTGGATTCCTTTCGGAATCGAACTTGCTGCAAAGTGTTTGTTCATAAGCTCCGCAAATTTAGATTCCCTTATATCCCTTTCAAACTTCTCTATCTGTTGGAAAGAATACCCAAAATCACAATAACATTTCGGATAACAAACCTGTAATTAACAAATCATTTCAGATTAGAGAATGTACCATGGCTCGAAGCACGAGGGAAAACGTTTTTGCATCGTAGTGGTTGTTCTTCATATCCGAAACAAGTTGACTAAAAGAATCTGGAAGCTTTAAACCATCTGGAATATCTTGAGTGCTTACTTCGTTTAGAATTTTGTAAAAGTCTCTAACTAGTCTCTGCTGCAACAGAAACATGAGAGGAAAAAAGAAAAAACATCCAAATTAATGTAAATAATACAGAGGAGTCCATCTTGTAACTTTTTATAATCTGAAATGAAGCAATCACTCACCTCTGAATCATCTATCCTACCAAGAAGACGTGGTCCTAACCGCCTCCCTAAACAATCTGAAGCCAAAAAAAAACAAGAAACTTTAATGAGCTCATCACATGAGCATAATCAGAAAGAGACACAAGACGGGATTTTGGGTTGCAAAGCTAAAAAATATGAAGGATAAAGCGAAAAGAGAACAGCTCTAAGATTCGTTTTGTCAGCATTTGGTTATGATCTATTAATACCGGAAATTTTTTCTTTTTGTGTGGTAATTCTAACTCTACACAAACAAAAACAAGAGAATTCTCCAAAACTGTCATCAAACTTCATTGTCGAACAAAATGCCATTAACCATGAAAATCTGAGCTTGAAGCATCATACCACTATACAATTGGCTCCCTTGAGACGCTTACGAGATTCATTTGTGGATACGAAACAGAAAAATTTCAACTTGCCTAAACTTTGTTGACTTAACCATTGGATCCAAACACCTTACAAGATGCTTGTGAGTGGTGACAATGCTTAAATTCAACAAAATCCCACTCTCAGCTAACAACAATTAGGTTCTAGATCCTAAACATTATGTAGAGATCCGAACCAAACGAGCACACACAGAATGTAGAATGGTTGAAGGACAGAGGAAAAGAGGGGTTTACCAATGGAGGAGCACTTGTTGACACCTTCAAGGGTAACAACAGCGGTTAGGATGAAGACGAAAGGCAACAAGAAAGCGAGGATTAAGATTGTGTGGAAGAGAGTTCGGTAAGAGATGTGACGAGCTGCGACTTTGATCTTCATCAAATCAATAAACTCATTGCTGCTCGATATCGTGATGCTTCTCATGCTAGGCGATATGTGAAGCTGCATCCTTGATCGTGCAGCCCCAGAGTCGTATTCAGATCAACCGAATCGGAGAAAACCCTAATTCCACTCAATCCCCAGCCCAAAAACATCACCTCCCGACGCGATTCCTCTTCCCCGATTCTCGATCTAGCCTTCTGGGTGCCTCCCAAATCCGACGATATTTGACTCCTACTCGCTCTTCTTCCTCCTGGACCTTTCCGATTTCTACAAACCAGTGATGATCCGAATTTGAGAGAATCCCGCCGTCTCTCTGTAGCTTGATTTAAGCAATTCGATACGAGAATACAAATGGGTTTTCCTCGAATTCGTGTTACAACCAGATATGAATATTCTCACGGATCAAAGACAATTCAATGAGCTTGTCAAAGAAGAAGACAAAAACGAGAGAAGAGAAAGACGGCTTTTCTCCCAAGTGAATTTGCCGGTGGATCTAAAACTTAATACACCAAATCCCAAAAACAAAAAAGAGGGAAAAAAAAAAAGAATCGTAGTTAACTTAAGATCTCGATTATAAATTAATTAAAAGATTTAATTAGATTTTTCTAAGATAAAACCGTGTTGGGGATTGGTGTCTTCACCTTGAGTTTAGGGTTTCTGTATAAAGCTAATTATAGGTTTCTTCCGATTTTCAAGCCCAAACAATAATTTTGCTTTTTTTCATCTTTCCCCTTGATTATTCTTGGTTTAATCATCTAATCTAAGTTTGATCAAAAATATTATTATAAGAAATATTTTTCCCCGATTGAAGACAAATAGACAACTCTTGATGTCAAAAATAAAATAAAAAGGCAATAGACAAACTAGTAATCCTTATCTCGTTTCTCATTTTTCAATACTTAAGAGTTAAGAGAGACATAAATAGAACAAAATGTGGTATAAATTAAGTTGATCCACATTTATTAAATCAGATGAATCTTTTCATTGTCATAAATTAATTCATCTGATTTAATAAAACTGGAAAAAAAATGAAAAGATCATTTTTAACAGCTGTTTTTATATTTATATAAGATGGGCAATTAGCTGCCGGAGTATATGATTAGGAAAATCTACTTTATTTCACCATGTCAGAATATATTTCCAAAGATAATAAAGATCAAAGCATCAAGCAAGAAAATAAATTTTATTTCATTCCATGTGTAATGTAAATTCGCCCAACTCTTTGAAAAAAGTTAAAACTATTATTTGAATGCAAAGACCAACCGACAAGGCAAGACAAGATTAAAATTAAAATGAAAACTGTACTTTTTCCGGTATCAAACCGGATTGAAATAGAATAACTTGCGTTAAAATTATTCATTCTGTATAGTCCGACTTTCTCCAGATTTCTTTGGACTAGATTATTGCTCGCGCTACGTCGCGAATCTTGATATAAATAGGAGAAACGAATTTGAAAGAACCATTTCAGTATTTCGAGAAACAAAACGTTGGAACTTTTCTATTCCCATAACCTTCCTGGGGAAAAAAAAACGCTAACCTTATAACGCGGCTACAAGGAATGTACACACACTTTGAAACTAAAGACGACTTCAAAACGTGAAGTATCTACGAATGTTACACAATTCACAAGACAATGACAATAGAGTCTCAACACAAAATTCCAAAAACTCCATTAGAGCAAGAGAGTGAGGGAGAACTTATCTTCTTCAATGCTTCAGCTAAAATATCCCACAAGTCAGTAACCATAGAAACATTCAGATCGACTCCAAAGGTCAATGTCACTGAGCCATTTCTAAGATTCAGCTTCTACTGATTCTTCTCTGCATCTATTGCTTTGACTTTTCAGACTTGTTCCTCGTTCTATGGAACGTCTGATGACCACCGAGAGCTTGATAAGTCGAGAAAACCCTGTCACAGAGCCTGCACCGATGCTCTGTGTTCATCTGAAAACCCTCATCTCCTGAATTTGTTCCTTGATCGCCAAGTTCCTGGTCGGTTTTAGCATTTTGCAACATCAGCCCAGGCCTATCTTCCAAACTCACTCTCTCCAGTTCAGCTTCTGCTCCTACCCGTTTCAGCTGGCCTGATTCATCGTTTTTCATTGCCTTCTTGTCTCCCAAGAAACCCAAAAGCTCTTTTGATATTCCATCAGAATCAGTGATCATCCCCACAAGTTTATGCGCATTACTCCTCAAAGACCCGTCTGTGAATCTCCCAACTAGTTTCTGCTCATTACCCAAAAAACCATCTTCAAAGTCTCTCGAAATCAGAGCTTCACCACTCTTAGACAACAGAATCAGAGACTCAGCGACTTCTAATAATTCTCCATCATCCACAGAAACAGGAGCATTTGTAAACGAAGAAGACGAAGAAGACGAAGCCGAAACAGAGAATCGAGGAATCTTCTTGTACCTGGAACCTCTTTTCGATCTCTTTCTCCTCTGCACATCACTGAAGCCACACAATAGATCCCTTCTCCTCGTAGATTCTTCAGAAACGCTCTTCTTCTGATTCAACGAATGCATCACTTCGCGATGTTTCAACAGACATTTCTCATATCGAAACCCTTTCCCACATTCTCCGCATCGAATCAAACGCTTCTTATTCCTCGTCCGTGTACCCAATCGATCATCGAGTGGAGATTTCTGGGTTTTCTTCGGGTTCTGCCTCAATCCGTAGCAGCGAGAGATCTCTTCGTGATTATTCATAGATTCTCCCAAGCGAGTCTTCTTCTCGCGGTTTATCAAAACACGAGAGCTTCGAAGCTTCTTATGGCGTAATTCGAAGGTGGGTTTCTCGAATTCTTGATGATCTTCCATTGAAGCCAAGCTTGTTGGACCAGAGATGATTCGCGAAGAAAATCAATCCCATCAACCGGAAAATATGAGCATGGACATACCTAAGAGAATCGATTTTCCGTCCCTACCCAAAAGAAAAATCCGGAGACAGAGGAGTAAACTTTGGCAAGAAAGATACCTGATACTCTGAACTAATCGGAAGAAACTAAGAAATCAAACGGAAATTTTAGATTTTGCGTCAATTTCTGGGAAAACGAGAAGAGAGAGAGAGTGAGAGAGAGCAAGCGAGAAAGTAGAAACAGAGAGATCACTGGTAAGCGAGGGAAGGAAGAAAGGGGTATTATAGTAAACTGGCTTATCAGAAAAGGGAACGAACGAAAACTTTTGTTTTTAACTCTGTGATCCGACGTGGCATATGGTTACTGATGTGGCAAGGCTAATGAGTTTTCCTTTACTTTTCTGCAGTTTAAGGGTTTTTTTTTTAATCCACAGGTTAATGAAACATCTTTTCTTTTAAATACCAGTTTAGCATACAAATATTCCACAAGTAGTTTTATCTTTATATTCTACACATAAATTATAAACAAAAACATATTAATTTAAATTTAAAAAATTACTAGTAAAAAAAGCTTTATATATGAAAAATGCTTGGGAAGCTTACAAATTTGATACCAAAAGTACAATGTTGTTAGCAATACTAAGAAAATACAATCTCTCTTCTCTAACCAACATATATGTAATAAGTATCTGAGAAATATCTCCTTGAGTCGAGCAGAGCAAGAAGAACCACAACAAATTATTTGATAGTACGCAACAAAAATAAAATCCAGGTAAAATATGAGTCTTGAGAATGGGCAAAAGACTCAAAGCTAAGCAAGAGCAGGCATGTCCTTGAGCCACTGGTCCAATGGCTTACCAATAGAGTAAACGATAAAGCCTATCTTCCTCAGCTTCTCTGCATCAACAACATTTCTTCCATCAAACACAAACGCCGGTTTCTGCATATTCTCAAAGATCCGCTCATAGTCAAGCGTCTTAAACTCATCCCACTCCGTTAACAGGCAGATACCGTGAGCGTCTTTAGTTGCAGTGTAAGCGTCCCAAGCAACCGAGACTTGTTTCACCGTGGTTGGGCTCATTGGCTGGAGGTGAAGTGGATGGTCCCAGTCGAATTTGTTCATGGTCAAGTCCCTCTGAATCTGTTCCTCAGTGACTTGGGGATCATAGATGCTGATTCGGGCCTTGTCTCCTAACAAACCTTTGCAGACATCAATGGCTGGAGTCTCCCTTGTGTCGCCGGTGTCTTTCTTGAAGGCGAATCCAAGCACAGCGATTTTCTTGTTGGAAACTGTGTTGAACATGGAGGAGACAATGCGGTTTACGAACCGGGTTTTCTGGTAGTCGTTGATCTTGATGACTTGTTTCCAGTATTCCGCTACTTCAGGGAGGCCATTGCATTCACAGATGTAGACCAAGTTGAGGATATCTTTCTGGAAACAGGACCCGCCGAATCCAACACTCGAGTTCAAGAACTTGGGACCGATTCTAGAGTCCTTACCGACAGCATACGAGACTTCGGAGACGTTAGCGCCAGTGGCTTCACAGAGAGCGGACATTGCGTTGACGGATGAGATCCTCTGGGCCAAGAATGCGTTGGCAGCGAGCTTGGTGAGCTCAGCGGACCAGAGGTTAGTGGTCAGGATTCTTTCCTCGGGAACCCACTGAGCATAAACGTCTTTCAGAGCTTGAACCGCTTTAAACCCTTCAGGTGTTTCACGGCCACCGATCAGAACACGGTCGGGATGGAAAAGATCTTCGATGGCTGTTCCCTCAGCGAGGAACTCAGGGTTGGAGAGGATCTGGAATTTGATCCCTTTGCTGTTGTGCATCAGAATCTTCTCGATGGCTTCAGCTGTTTTGACAGGGACGGTCGATTTCTCCACGACGATCTTGTCAGAAACCGAAACATCAGCGATCATCCGAGCCGCGCTTTCCCAGTAGGTCAAGTCCGCAGCTTTACCAGCTCCGAGCCCACGGGTCTTGGTCGGGGTGTTGACGGAGACAAAGACGATATCAGCTTCCCTCACGTGTTTCTCAACATCAGTGCTAAAGAAAAGGTTCTTGCCACGGCATTGCTTGACCACCTCGTCGAGGCCTGGCTCATAGATCGGGAGCTGGTCGCTGTTCCAGGCAGTGATCCGTGGCACAGAGATATCAACGACTGCAACCTCAACGGATGGACATTTCAGTGCTATGACGGCCATCGTTGGACCACCAACATAACCAGCTCCAATACAACAAATCTTCACCATTTTCTCGCCTGTGCAATCAAAAACGTTGAATCAGAACCAAAAATACAGATGCTTGGTTTCAGTATCTTAGATCGGCATTTCAAGAATTATAATGCAAAAATGAGATGCAAGGCCTAGACTTTAGTCAGATCCGGTATCGTAAGAAACTGAAAATGCATAATTCATGATCACGCTTGTTTACCCATGAGCAACTCAAGGAGGAAAAGTAACAAAATTGAGAGCTTTTCATGAATCAAAATCTCAGATCTGGTACATAACAATTGAAACCGGTTAAAGGAAAAACGAGAAGCGCAAATGGGTACTGAAATGATGTGAATTGTCTTGGATCACCGACACAGACTGTTTCGAAAATCTCAAATCCGAAGATAATCACATCATAATTTGAAAAAAATATAAACACAGGCATTAAAATCGAAATCTCTGTGAAAAGTAGACCAATCGAGATCCAAATCGACCGAAAACAAACAAATTAACACACGGAGGATAATAAACGGAGAGATCAAATCGAGGAGCGTAGGGAACCTAATAGAAATTATAAGATTACATTACAAGAGAAGCTACACGATGATCATACCGTATGTCGAGCTACGTAACCTCAGTGTTGAGGGATGTGTGGAATTGCGGGGAAATTAATTGCAAATGGCAATGGACGGTGAGGAGAAAAGTAGTTTATATAGGTGAATGAGATTCCGGAAATACCCCTGAAGCTGGCAGACGCGCTTCTTAGCTTTGTTACGTACTTTTTGTCAGTTTTTTAATTATTTTATTAACTAAAGTTTTCAGGTAAATTTATTTTTGAAGTTAATGAATCTAAAGTTTCGTAGGGCTCACAGAATTTGGCAGGCTAACACATGTTAGAGTTTAGACATTCCTCCACTCGCCTAACAATTTATTTAATTTACTGACTTAGATTTGACACCATACCTTCTAAAATACACAGACAAAATGCAATACAATATATGAACTTCCGAATTTTATTTCCTCTTTCAAAATATATAAACTTATCTGTAATGGTTAATAGAATGAAGTTTGGTATTTTATTTGCTAATTCATTTTTTTTACCGTTTTATGTATTGTGATCACTTGTTATCAAAACAGCGTTAGGGATCTCATATTTTACAAGTTTTCTTAGTACAATAGAAAATCTGCAACTGTCGTGAACTCGTTAATATATGTGTGCGTGTTACATTGGCAATATATTAAATAAATATGCGTATGGTACTATGGTGGACTCTACAAAACAAACTTGAAAACAAAGATGCTTAAAAATCCAGGCACACTTTGTTTTTTCTTTTATTGGTTAGAAGTGCTTCTCAAGCTATATTTCTATAAGAATAAAAATTTAACATAAATATGTTTGGTTGAAAATATAAAACAAAGGATAATTAAAACCAAAACTAAAACCGTTTAGACTAAAATCAGTCCATGATTGGTTTGGATTGGGCTTGGGCTACCCAATTGACATTCACAGATTGGATTCCACTATTCCTGGATTAAACCAAATTTGAAAGTAAGCGCAATTAATCAGCAGTAATTACGAAAATCTAGTAAATGAGTAGCCGTTACAAATTGAGCCTCCAAAGAAGTCGCAACGGTCCGCTTTTGCCCCCAATTTCCTCCTCTGCTCTCTCTTCTTCCGCACCAATTCGCATCCCCCACTCGAAAACAAACCCTAATTTCGGGTTCCTGTGAATACAAAACCCTGACACCGTACTGAATTGTTGATTCGCGTTTTATTTCTCTGTCCTCATCGTCGATGGATTCGACAAATTTGAAGATTGCTAAAAATGAGACTCTGCTGATGAATCCAATCAGGTTTGAGTCCAGGGCTCAAGAGAATTCGAGATCCTCGGAGAATTCGAATCCAAACATCTCACACGCGACTCCGGCGAGAGTCTCCGGATCTGTGCCTGCGAAGTCTACGAAGACGGGAAAATCTGCGCAGAAGAATCCGAAATCGAAGCATAATCCAAGCCAGGCGGTGTTTTCACCACGGAATCGTATCAGAGAGAGGAGATTCGTGGTGGTGAAGAAGAAATTGAGGAAGGAAGAGAAGGATTCAGCGTCTGTGATTTCAGAAGTGGACTGTAAGTGTGGAGCTAAGACCAATGCGAACATGAAGAAATGTGTTTGTATTGCATACGAAACTCTTAGGGCTTCACAGGAAGAGTTCTTCAATAATCGAAGAGAGTCGGAAGTAGAAACCGGAGAGCCCAGCCAGATTGTGGAGGAAGGAGACGAAGCCGGAGTTGGAGAATCCGATGAAACTGGGGTTACTTCGATGAAGAGGAGAAGAGAAATGGTGCTCGAAGAAGCGAGAAGGAGTCTCCCTGAATATGGTAAAGTGATGCATCTCGTTAAAGCATTCGAGAAGCTTACTTGCTTTCCGTTTGCAAAGGCAGCAACATTCAAGGAAGAAGGAAACAAAACGAAGGATAAGATTAAGAAAGCTCTGAAATGGGAGTTGCCTGGAATGAGCTTGCAGCAGCCTAAGCGTCCAGAAGCTGAGACAGACCAAGCCACATGGAGTTCTTCGTTTTCTCCTTCTGATTTGGTCTTAACAGCCACGAATCTGGGACTGGAACAACCTCATGCCTCAGTTTCTTCATCATGGGACAACAGGTAACCAAAAATAGAGATTTCATCTTTAAAATTTTTCAACTATTAGCCATTGATATACCGCATAACCAGCTCTAATTCGTCTGATTTGACAGCGTGAACTCAAATGGTGGCCGGAGGAGCAGAAGAAATGTATGTGTGTAGGATGCAATAGTTTTATCTTCTTTTGTTTCTATCAAACTGTGTTTTTTCTTACCTTTTTTCATGTATGCAGCATCTGATTTTCTTTAGTCTCTTGGTGATTATCTTTGCAATCTCTCTCCTGTTATGGTTGATTTAGTGATAAGTTTGACATTCTATATATGACAGAGCTTGGACTCCTCTGCTTCAATGGGAAGTAGAAGATTGAAGAAGAAGCAGATAAAGGTCACTTCACCGAAGCCATTCAAACTGAGAACTGAGGTATAAACCTGGCAGGTCAAATTAAGTTAAACATTATATGGGTATGATAGAATAGATTCGTGATCGTATACGTCTACACAGGAACGTGGGCGAATGAAAGAAGAAGAGTTTGCAAAGAAGCTACACGAGATGACGATGGAGGAAGAAAAAATGAGAATCCCCATTGCTCAAGGTCTTCCCTGGACAACCGATGAACCTGAGGTGAGAGCATCCTTTTCTTTTTACTAATATCAAGTTCTATCATACCAGATTATTTGTAGAATCGTTTGATGTTGATGTGGTTTGGTGAAACTCACTCAAATGATATTGTGCATGAAGTTAGAAAAGCTTTCGCATATGGTGGTTAACTAAACATTTCAATGTTCTTCTCTGCTTCAGGGTCTGGTTAAGCCTCATGTGAAGGAAATCACAATCCCAGTAGACTTGAAGCTCCATTCAGACATTCGAGCAGTAGAACGTGCTGAATTTGACTACCAGGTAAATGACCTCGCTACAGTTTCTTCCAAATCTTGTCTAGTTGAGAGTTATGCATGTTTCAGTTTTTAGTTATGACCTGAACTTGAATCTGCATAGGCAGAGTCTTAGTTTTCATGTCTTTCATGTTCTGAGTCTTAGTTTCCATGTCTTTCATGCTCTGATGGTGGATCCTGAATTCGTAACTAAGAATATGTATGATAACATCCAGCATCGTTTCATTGTATCAGATTGCTGAGAAAATAAACCTGATAGAGCAATACAAAGCAGAGAGAGAACGGCTACAAAAGGTAAGTAGACAATAAGAGACTCTCTTTGCTTCTTGTAAAATGATATGAAAAAAAGTTGACAGATGTATATGGATGATTCAGCTAGCAGAAGGAGAAGAGTTACGAAGGCTGAGGAAAGAAATGATCCCAAAGGCACAACCAATGCCATACTTTGATCGACCATTCATCCCCAAAAGGTAAATAAGAAGACTCTTAGATTCAGCTTGATGAAACATTACGTTGATGATGGGATTTATTGCTGTTTTTTTGTTGCCATTGAAGGTCGAACAAGCACCCGACGATACCTCGAGACCCCAAGTTTAACAGGCCGCAACGCAAGAAGATAAGATGTTGCAGTACATCGTCTTGGAGTGAAAGTGGATCTTACATGAGCGATCTCTTGTACCAGCAAGACCTCTGAAAAAGCTTGTTCACAATTCTTCAACAATAGTGTTTCCATGTCCATATTATCATCACTTGCAAAGCAAATTCGATTAAGCAACCAATTAGTTGCGATTTGCAAGTCTGTTCTTGGTTCTTTCTGTACACGTCACAGAACTGAGCAACTAATTGGATGATAGGCAGATATTGGTTCAAGTTTTTAGTTGTTGTTGAGATGAACAAGAGAAAAGCAAATACGAAACAAGATAGAGAGATTCACAAAACACAGGGAAAAGAAAAAAGAAACACAAAGATTGAATCGAAAAACACGCTCTATGCCAATGAAGCTAGCAGTGAAGTTGTATCCATCATCTCAAGTTGGGGAGGACGAGGCATGGATTCGATCCACCTTGGGAACACGAATGGGGAAACATTGAAGCGAATTCCACGGCCCCTACGAGAGTATGCTTTAAAAAGCCCATCCATAAGCTCCTCACAGGTAGACTGGTTCACAAGACAATGTTCAGTGTTGTAGTTTTGTGTGTGCAAGTTACATGACACCAAATTACGGTTATGTCGATTCCAGAGGTAGACAAGGTTGCGATCAAAGGGATTCATAGCCAGGGGTGTACATTCATCATCAAACGGGAGGCGGATGTCCCACACAAGTTGCCACTCTGAATCGTTCAACAACATCCAAATCTTCAAAAGGTTGGGAGGTAATGTTTTGATATACATGACAAATCCGGCGGATGCGGTCAAGGCCCGGTTGTGATTCAAATCATGATCGGGGAGAGGTATAACCTTACACAGGCTGGATTCACCATAGAAATCATGAGCTACAATAGCTGCTGGTACGTAGGGATCTGGTTCATCGAAACCACTCGAGTACATATAAAGCGTACCATTCAGACCCATAGCACGAGAGTGGGAGGGGAAGTAACGAGGACAATCAAGTCGCTTGCGCGTCCAAACGCCTGTCTCAGATGAGTACACACACAGACACAAACAATTCGAGGAACTGTCTCTGTGGGCTTTATGCCAAACCATCCTAACCACTTTGAAGCCCAGAACAACGCCGTCCTCGTCCACGCGAGTCACCAAACCAAACGAGTTAGATAAAAACTGATACGGAGGAGCAGGGATTTTAACCCACTGCTGTAATACCGGATTGCCCACATAGCAAGCATCATCATCAAACCTATACATAACAACCAATCCATTCGAACAACCCGCATAAGCAGTTCTACCTGATTTACTTTTCTCAACATAACGACCTAGAGACTCTGGAAGATCCCATGTCTTGCATCTATGCAACTTTATCAGCTCGCTTCCAAACCCCACTACTAGCGACCAACACGAAGACCTGTTTTTGTGCACAGACACAAACAGACGCCGGAAATACACAGATTCTATTGCCGATTTCCATGCTTTGCACACCGATTTGAATCTCCAGATGCTTCTCAATGGTAGCCTCGCCAGTATCTCTGTCAATATCGCCTCCGACACATGTGTTTCCATTGCAATTTTCTTTTGTCAATCACATATTTAGGGTAAGGATTTTCTTCTTTTATATATATATATATATATATTAATGGGGATTGTGATGCTTTCTACTGTATCTATTAGGATAAGGATTTTCTTCTTTTTTCCTTTATGCAATTGGTTAATATGGATGTATTTCCTTTTTGCATTAGTAAATGAGAAAACGAAATGCAAATTTAATGGGTGTTATTAGTTTATATATTTAATTAATTTATAATTTTATGTAAAATTTACTGATTTCTAATATATATATATATATATATATAGATATATGTTTTTCATCTGATTTTTTCCATCAAAACATTAGAATGATATAGAACAAAGATACATGGAATGATATAGAGAAATGATACAGAAGAAGGAGTTGTCGATCTGAAAGTAAAGAAGGGGCAAAGAGGGAACGAACCAATCCGGATAACACCACATTCTAAAGAGAACGGATTAGATCAAACTGGAAGAAATGCAAATTCCACAGAAATATCACCAAGTTTGGAGGTCAAACCAAAAGTTGAAAACAACGAAATACATATCACACCGTAAAGATTTTGGATATGAAACAAAAGAAAATGGCTTAAGTGAACACACCATACTGTAAATCTAAAAGATATAGAATCACCATTCTCCTTTACCACAACTGTTATTCTGGTCTAACATTCTCCTCTCCTTTGCGTTGTAGCCATTTCTTTGGCCTTAGCCTCTTCCTTCTCTTACATAGCCATTCTCCTTAACCACAATTTTTGTTTTTGCTTCGGTTTCTGGATCCTATTTGTTTCTATTTTTTTGGTTGTATATTTTGTAACAACTTTGGTTTAAAATAATAAAAGCAAACAATTTATAAGTAAGTTTGGTTTCGGTTTAACTAGTTCTCTGTTTTCGGTTGTGGTTTATTTGCTCGCCTCTAATGAATGTTACAAAACGTTATTTCATTTTACTCGTTGATCTTAGAGAGAAAAATGATTCATGTCAGGTTGATAAAAAAAAAAAGATCAATTTTGCAACATTAATAAAAGCTCACGAAGGGATAGATAAATTTATCTAGCACGTTCGATGATAGCAGATATTTTGTTTTATGCTATTACCACATACAGTTTGCTAATTTTATATATATGTATTATAAATATGAATGGTTTTACCAACGTTTTTAGTCAAACTAGCGCATATGTGTGATTCACAAGATAATAGTTTTAATTTATTTTTATTTTTAAAAGTTTGTTCCTTTTCCCCACAATTGGGGTTTTACATAAACCCTCTGGCTAACGTACACAACACAGAAACTCGCGAATTGAGAGAAATCGAATTTCGATCTTTGTTAGCAAACCCTAGACGATTCGCGTACAATATCGTGTTCGGTTAGTCATTTTGCTTACGATTTCAAGTTCTAGGTCCTGGGATCGTCAATTAATTACTGATCCTTGCGTGCTTGAAATCTGCAGAGACTGGTCGCGTACCATATCTTCTTCGGTTAGGATTCGTTTCACCATTCTGCTTACCAATGTCTATTGTGTACACAATTTGTGTAATTACTGATCTTTTGCGTGCTTGAAATCCATGAAATCTGCAGGCTTTCTTGAAATCTGCAGTCGCTTGCAATTTCTTCTTCGGGTAGGTTTCGTTTCACCATAATGCCTATGATCTGGTTTTGGGATCGTCGATTGTGTTTACAAATTCGTAATCACTGATACTCGCCTTCTTCAAAACTGCAGACACTGATCGTATCGCCATGGCTGAGAGTTCCTTCAAGCTTTCTCTTCCTCTGGGTTAGTTCCTTCGTCCCTTTAACTTTTCAATTTCCTTAGGTTTTGCGCACTAGCGGATTGTGACCTTCGTTGATGGTTCTGATTCGAACACAATCTTGATTAATTTTGGCTGTACAAGTTTCTGGTGCTAAAAATCTTGGACTAAGATAGGTCAGGATATTGAGTATGTGGTTTTTTTTTTCCTGTTTTCAGAGGAAAGGATAAGCCTCTGTGCTCGATTGAGAAAGAAGCACTCTGGAAAAATTCCTGTAAGCTAAACTGAGTACCTTACTCTTTGTTTTTTGGTTTTCTTTTACGTCTACTAATTGTAGTTACGCGTCGTTTACAAACTGACATTGTAGCTGGTGTTAGAGAAGGCTGAGCATAGTAATGTTCCTGAAATTGTCAATAAGAAGTGAGTAATGGCTTGCTCAACTCCCCTTTCCCACTTTGTGCTTTCATAATCTTGCTCAACACCTTATTCCACTTTCTTTCGTAGGCTTCTCTCACCAGATATTACCGTTGGCCAAGTTGAAGACATGATTCGTAGACACACCAATCTTGCTGCTGAGAAATCCATCTATGTCTTTGTCAGGAATTCAGTGTGTCCAATTGGTAATGCTTTGAACTCTTGACACCATTCAAGGTCAAAGTTTATGTACTTGCTGTTAACCCGGTTTTTTATTTATGAAAATAGTTGCGTCGATTTCTGCAATATATGAGGAGCACAAAGATGATGATGGGTTCCTCTATATGACTTATAGTGGAGAGGATTTGTTCTTTACAATGAAGACTGCTCTAGGTATTGCAGATTCCATCATACGTGAAAAAGGAACTAGGTATATCAGAGAGCTCCCTCTAAAATGGATACCCTACCTTGCAACGTTGGAAAAATTAACATCACTTTCAGAATTACACACGCGTGTGAAAGAAAGCCTTGAGGGTCTTCTTGAAGACAGGATGTATGCATTTTGCACTCTAATTACCTGTTTTGGAAAAGAAGCCGATCGTGTTTGGGTCATGAAGTTGAGGGCCTTCACAAACTTTGAGGTTCGAAGACACTTCATGGAGCTGTTGTTTCCTAGCAGCTTAGGAGAATCTCAGGAGTTCAAAATACTGGTTGATCGTTCTAGCTTCTTCGAAGAATCAGTAAAGCAAGTAAGCGAGGCAAAACCTTTGCTTTTCAAAGGTGCTATTTCAGTGATGTTTAAGAATGAGTTTGCTGTTGGAGACGGTGTGTTTCGAGAATGGATGTTACTCGTTTGCAAGGAACTATTTGATCCGAGTCGAAGCCTATTCAAACGGTCTACTGATGATCTTAGGAGGTTTTCTCTGAATCCTCTTTCCTATGAAGACGAAAATCACTTGGAACTGTTTAGGTTCGCAGGCCGGATCATTGCTTTAGCTCTGAAGCACGAAGTACAGGTCGGTTATCTATTAGACCCGCTGTTCTTCTTACAGCTACGAGGACAAGAAATTTCACTTGAAGATGTACTGGCATCTGACAAAGCGCTTCATCAAAGTTTCAAGACTCTTTTGGAAATGAATGCTGAGGAATGCGACTGTTTAGGTCTCTCTTTCGAAATAGATACTGAACAGAAGTCCGGAAAGAGATTAGCTTATCCCCTCTGCTTGAATGGTGAGAATGTGGCAGTCACAAGGAATAACAGAGACCTATACGTAGCACTACAAATGAAACACAGGTTTCAGACACAAATTGAAAATCAGCTGATGGGGTTTTCAAGTGGTTTCCAGGAGCTGCTCTCGGCAGGGGCCACAGTTTCAGATTTTTTCGGTACTTTGGACCTTCGAGACCTCGATTCGTTGTTGGGTGGCTCATACCGCGATTCCATCTCAGTTTACGAATGGATGTCATGTACGGTCTACGAAAATTTGAATGAAAATGATGAGACCACAATATGGTTTTGGAAGGTTTGTTAAAGTCTTATTTGATGGTTTTGGATGTCATGCACTGAGTTTGATTAATTTGATATAATTCTTTTTTTTTTTGTTTCAGGCTTTAAGTCAACTTAACGGGGAACAACGAAGGAACTTGCTCTATTTCTGGACATCAATTCGATTCTTACCCATGGGAGGGTTCGATGATCTCCCTATGGTACTCACACTTGCAAAAGACTACGAAGGTGGAGAGGATGGAAATCGATTACCGAATGCTCAAACATGCCTATTCACTCTACTACTTCCCCACTATGAAAGCTATGATCAAACCTTGAACGCAGTCTTGCGTGTTGCACAAGAGGACGTAAGTCTAGGTTTTGGTGAGTTGTAGTTTTACAACGGACACAAGAAGATAAGATGCTGCGGTACATCCTCTTGGAGTGAAACTGGATCTTACATGAGCGATCTCTTGTACCAGTTATTGTTTATTTGCTCTTGTACAAAAGACAACAACAAAAATTAAAAATTTCTGAACATTATGAATGAATTCTTCAGCAACGAAATAGTTCTTAAAAGTAGCGATAAACACTAAAAACAGCACATTGGCATCAAAAGTAGAAGATGGAAAAACAACATTCAGATCTTCAAGGTTCAACTGCGATACGTCCAGCAACCTGGTCCAAGTCCCGTTGCCCAGTAGAAGTAATTCTTCTTCCACTGAAAGGAACAAAGAAAGCAGATTGAAACAACCATTAGCATCTAGCACAAAGATACAAAAGAGATGATTTGGTTTTAAAGGAAGTAGTGATTATGTTACCCTTTGGTGTCAATCTCAACAATGTTCATTCTCTCCAACTGCTGAAGGATGTGACGGGCAATGCCACCGCTGCTTTTGCAGAAGTGTGGTGGACGACTGCCGTTTCTCTTGCTGCCACCGTAGATTCTACGGAAAGCACCAACACCAAGACCTCCCCTGAGGGAAACCTTCCTTGCCATGGATGCTTCATAACAAGACAGTATTATAAGATTGCAAACTCTATCTGAGTTGAGAGATGGAGACACAAGGGGAAAAAAATCTTACCAGCCCTGATGTAGTACCAATCTTGGTCATATGGGGCAAGCTCCTTCAGCTTACCGGTTTTCACAATGTCGGTCCATGTGGGAAGCTCGATCTGAAACGGACGAATGCATTACGTTATACACTAACGAAAAACACAGACTAGTAGTGACCAAAATAAAAACATACAAGATTTTCAATTGATCCAATAGAGACTATAACTGGACAAGAGACACCACACTATAAAATTCAAAACATTTGGGCACCCTGAGAAACACAAACCAGAAACAGAAATGCCCTAAACAACGACAAATCTAGATTTGAATATAGTTCCCTAAAGATACTGATTTCAATTGATCCAACAGACATGATAATCTGTCTTTGTTATTCAGAAGGTTGAGGTAAATTGTATGATGAGATCTAATTAAGGCATTTCCCACAACACAACACTATAAATGCAACACAGAGAATATACAAATACAGAGTGAACAAACGGAGAACAGAAATGTGAAGACGGGTGGATTCAATTCCAGAAAAGGGTTTTGATTTCCGCATCAAACAAAGCTAAAAAAACATAAAATTTTCCAAATTAAAACACAAGAAGAGTACTAAACCACTAACCTTGCCAGATCGCTTGAGATGAGCAGCGTAAGCCTTCACGAAGTCATGAGGCGAGACGTCTTTCACAGTTTTACCAGTCGTCATAGCTAAAGATAACAGCAGGTTAAGGACGAGAGATGAAGAAAGCACTGATCTTCGTCTGGGATTTTGCCCAACGCAGCTCTCTCCGCAAAGACTAGGGTTTTCAGTTCTCCTATAACCAAGTCGATATATATGGTCATTTATATTACCCGTTCTACTAATAAACTAAATTGGGCCCAAATTCCTCATAGAAGAAGTGTAATGACATTGGGCCCAAGATCTGTCTCATTACTACATGATGAAACGACAACGTCGTACTGCTAACGGGAAAACGTCAACGTTTAATCATCGCTTAACCACTGGCTATTAGTTCGCATCTCGAGCAGTCGTCTCTGCCATTTTTGGGCTTTCAATCAAACCCTAGAGAGAAAGCAGAGTCACCAGCAATGGCGATGAAGAATCTTCTGACCTTAGCTCGCCGATCCCAGAGGCGTTTGGCTCTGAATCAAGCGATACGAGCTTCCTCTTCGGTTTCAGCTCTCGATTCGGCGTCTTCCGCATCCCCGGCGGCTCAATCCCCTACGCCGCCAATTCTCATGCCCTACGATCAGGCGGCCGAGATTACGAAAAACAAGATCAAGAAGCTCGAGAATCCGGATCAGAGATTCTTAAGATACGCATCGCCGCATCCGACCCTTGCATCCCACAATCACATCTTGTCAGCACCGGAGACTCGTGTCACCACCTTGCCCAATGGTCTACGAGTCGCTACTGAATCCAACCTCTCGGCGAAGACGGCCACCGTTGGAGTCTGGATCGACGCTGGATCTCGGTTCGAGTCGGATGCCACGAACGGCACGGCTCACTTTCTGGAGCATATGATATTCAAAGGCACGGAGAGGCGTGGCGTCAGGGCGTTGGAGGAAGAGATCGAAGATATCGGCGGTCATCTGAACGCGTACACGTCGAGGGAACAGACCACTTACTACGCTAAAGTGATGGATTCGAATGTGAACCAGGCGTTAGATGTCTTGGCTGATATCTTACAGAACTCCAAGTTTGACGAGCAGAGAATTACCCGGGAGCGAGATGTCATCCTCAGGGAAATGCAGGAGGTATTTCATCATTCGTCTTGTTCAAAGTTTCAAACTTTCTCTTCTTTCCTCAGTTTATCTGTTTTTTTTCCTCTGTTATTGATTGTTGGGCCTAGCCATGTGTTAATATTTCGTGTGCGTTTTGCTTTCATTAGGAGATATTAGACTGTTTAGGAAATGCAGTAGGTGTGTGTATCACTCGTCTGTTTAAAAATTTAAACTTTTTGTTTGTTTCTCCTCCATTTTAGATAAAAACACCCAAGTTTCGAAATTGGAGTGATTGTTACTATGCTGTATGGTTTAAGTGCTTCTTAGATTCATCTGTGTCTGACGAAGCTGCGCTTTTTTTTTTATAATTGGTTTAGGTTGAGGGACAAACCGATGAAGTTGTTCTTGACCATTTACATGCCACGGCATTCCAATTCACACCTCTTGGAAGAACTATTCTGGGACCTGCTCAGAACGTCAAGTCGATCACCAGAGAGGATCTACAGAATTACATTAAGACTCATTACACAGCTTCCAGGATGGTATAGCTTTTTTGTTTCTCCTTTCAATTTTCGTCCAATCACATATTGAATTTGTTTGAATCCTTCTTATGCTGTTTCATCCAAAATGTTTTCAGGTGATTGCTGCTGCAGGAGCTGTCAAACATGAGGAAGTTGTTGAGCAGGTGAAGAAGCTATTTACCAAGTTGTCGTCTGATCCAACATCCACTGCTCAACTTGTTGCCAAAGAACCTGCTAGTTTCACAGGCTCTGAGGTAAAGACACAACCTTTATGATTGATGGTTCCTTTTTCTCTTGATGCACTATTTTCTTCTTTCTAAACTTGTAGCCCATTGAAATTCTTGTCAGGTGCGAATGATTGATGACGACCTACCCCTTGCTCAATTTGCTGTTGCCTTTGAGGGAGCATCTTGGACAGACCCAGATTCCGTTGCCCTGATGGTTATGCAAACCATGTTGGGTTCATGGAACAAAAATGTTGGTGGTGGCAAACACATGGGGTGAGATTTTGCTTTCTGGCTACAGTGTTTGCCATAGGCTTACTTTTCCAATATGTTGATGAATACTAAATGTCTATGCGCAGTTCTGATCTGACCCAGAGGGTTGCCATTAATGAAATAGCGGAAAGCATAATGGCATTCAACACCAACTACAAGGATACTGGACTCTTCGGCGTTTATGCAGTTGCTAAGGTCAACAACTCATAGTTGCTTAGCTGTCGTCTCTTTGTTGAATTTCTCGGTATAAGCAGTTGGATTGCCTCCTATTACACATCTTTTAACATATAGTAAGTTGCTAATTTTTCAGGCCGATTGCTTAGATGATTTATCATATGCCATTATGTATGAGGTAACCAAATTGGCCTGCCGAGTTTCAGACGCTGATGTGACACGTGCACGGAATCAGGTCAGTCACCAATGTGATATGTTTGAAGTTGTTGAATTCTCTCGCTCTTTTTTTATTATATAACTCACATGTTTGTGGAAAATTTGAAATGCCAACTAATTTTGAAATTTCCTTTAGCTGAAATCATCGCTGTTGCTTCACATGGATGGAACCAGCCCAATTGCTGAAGATATTGGTCGTCAGGTATGATATCAATCATCTTGCTCAAAGATAGCAAACCGGAGCATTAGTAACCTGCAAAAGCATTCTTATAAAAACTTGCTGATCCTTGTGTAATATGCAGCTACTGACCTATGGGCGTAGAATCCCAACCGCTGAACTCTTTGCTAGGATCGATGCTGTTGATGCCAGCACAGTTAAACGTGTTGCCAACAAATATATCTATGACAAGGTAAGTTCTCTCTCTGTCTCCCTCTCTCTTTGTGATCTTGGCTTGTCTAGAAAAGAGATTTGGGGTCAAGAGTGGTAACAAAGTGTTAAAAACTCAAACTTTTGGGGGGTGTAATGCGCAGGACATAGCAATCTCAGCGATTGGTCCAATCCAAGATTTGCCAGACTACAACAAGTTCAGACGCAGAACCTACTGGAACCGTTACTAAGGCTCTGAAACAACAACGGTCACAGAATCCCAAGGTTCTCCCACGGGTAGATTCCGTGGGCGGATGGAGCAGAAGAAGCTGATGCCTGGCTTCATTATTTTTGTACTGTAATTTCCCATCATCTCTGGTAAAAATAAGTGTGTACCTTTACTCTTTATCTCTCTACAGGAAAATGCTAGAGATCCTCTGTTTTATTTTTATTTTTTCTTTTCCTCATAATTTTCCCATACACACTAATAATTTGCTGGGCGTTTGTTTAAAACTATAATTGGAATCATTATTTCCTCTCTTCTGCGTTCCTCTATATTTTAGGTTTATATGTAGTATATGTATCTTTGTGTTTTATTTTCTAAGCGTTGCGATAATATGCATTGATTCTGAATTTGAATACATTAATCTTTAAAAAAAAGTTGATTTAATTTTAAAAACAATATTAAAACTTTGTTAATTCACTTTGTAATTTGACCCAGTTGACAAATTTGTTAAGATTCTCATAAGAAAAGCCATCTTTTGCAACACTTTTCATCAGAGTCTGTTTAACCATGATAGCTCGCTTTTTATAATCTCCATTGGCTCTCATGACCTCATCGATCTTCTTCTTCACCTCTAACCTCGGAACCACTCCTCGTTCGTCCAGTTCAATCCCTAACCCAATCTTCCACACATCGCATATATATGCTTTGTTGATAAATTGGTCTGCAAAATAAGGGATGCATACAAATGGTATACCGTTTTGGGCTCCTTCCAAAGTTGAGTTCCATCCACAATGACTCACGAAACATCCAATGGCTCGATGCGAAAGGACCTCACGTTGTGGAGCCCATCTCACCACTTTGATCCGATCCGACCCGGCTTCTATTGGTGGTTGATCACCGCAGCTGTTGACCCACAAGACCGGCCTATTGAATCCACACATAAACGTATTAGAGTAAACCGGAACCACAAATCCGGTTATATCTAAATCCTTACCTCTTGGTAATCGCTAGACCGATTGCTAGCTCTTCTAATTGAGCCTTGCCCATAATCCCAAAGCTCCCAAACGCAACATATATCACCGAACCGGGAATTTTCCGGTCCAACCAATCAAGACAATCCCGGTCCTGAGGTAAAAAGCTTCCCAGTGACGTGGACTCTTGTTGAAGACTATGATGAGCCAAACCAATGGGCCCAATTGGTAATATTTTCGGGGCCACTCCAAACGCTGCCGTTTCCAGTTCGTACACGGAGTTGCATAACAACCAATCCGTTGACTCGATTGACTTATTGTTTTGAAGCATAAGTTGGAATATGTTCCTCTGTGAATCTTTGTTCTTCAGACAAACCCACACAAACTTGTCTGTTTCCATCTCTGGCATCCCCGGAGATAGTTTAATTGCCTTTCTTACCTTCGGTGTCCCTACATATATAAAAAGTCTATTAACTTAAGAGCTGGTCTAAAAATTAAAATTAATTCCAAACCAAATGGCGAAAAACGAACAAGACGCAAACGAAACAGCTAAAATAAAAACTGAACTCAAACCTTAAATTTGAAACTCATGGAAAGGTTAATCTTACCATCATAATCAATGAGACCATCGTCGACTAGTTTCTGAATACTAAATCCAAGTACCATAGACGCAGCCGCGGCGGGACAAAACGCCGCTCGTCTGATCCCGAACTTAGCCGCAACTTCAATTGCCCATCCCAGGCTCTGATCCGCCACAACGCAGCTAATGACCGCACCGCCGTTATTTTCTGAGATCATCCTCTCGATCAATTCCTCTACTTTGGTCGGCATAAAACGCAAAACCGATTCCGACAACTTCCCAGGAATGTTCCTCTCTTCTGGTGAATCCTCTAAACCGTCGGGGATCGAAACAAGTTTGATCCGATCCCCCACATAATCATCATGGGATGATTTGGATATGGAATTGATGATGCGGTTATGGTTAAACTCGGTGTTTATGAATGTAATTTGGATTCCTTGTTGTGCAAGGTAGCGTGAGAAGCTCATTAGAGGAAGAACATGACCTTGTGCTGGGTAAGGTATTACCATAACATGAGGCCTTCCCATTTTTTGTTTGTTTTTTTTGTTGGACAATTGCATTTAAATCTGATTCACTATAAAGGAAAATTTAGAAGATGAAGACACAGAAGAGAATATTGAACAGAAACAATTACAAGTATCTTTTTGAAATTATTATTTAATATTTTGTCGTTTTTCATTAGGAATCAGAACTACGTTGATACCTCAAGTTTGACTTGTATTATTTTTTAACATAACTCGGAACTTGATTTAACCATCTACAATTTTGGATTTCGTTTTACGTTACAGACATTATGCTTACCTTCTTCCCTCTTTTTTTTTATTTGACAACGTCGTAATGACTTATCTATATAACGGTTAATTTTATATTTTTCATGCTCAGATGAACAAAACTGAAAAACTAGTGAAGTCCTCGCTTTAACAGTATTCAAACTGAACAGATTGAACACAATCAAACCATAGAAAAATAATTAATTACTCGATGTCCTTAATAGACTAGACTTTCCCATCTCATAACCCAAACTTTACAATTGAATCCCTCTCGGCATGACCCTGAATAATACAATCTCTGATCTGGACTTGGATTTTCTAAGCCTTTGGAAGTGGCTTGCCTCTCAAGAAATACTTGAATAGCTCAAAAGAAGCACGTGGCTTGAACATTGGCACCTCGTGGCCTGCTCCTCTCACCGTCACGAACGTTAGTCCCTCGTACACTTCTGTCCACCCTCCGACCTAACACCACAATGTAGGTTTTATTTCGATGTTTATCGTTAAACCGAAGATTACAAAACAAGAACCGGGGTTGAGTTATATACCTGTTTCTTGACATACCAAGGATACCAGGAGACTTTGGTATTCAAACTAAGTCTGGCTAGTGAGTACCTAGTCGCCGTCACCGGTACAACGGAATCGACATCGCCACTGAACAAAAGCCCAAAAAAAAAAACGGATTAACGATTGATTATATATTTCATGGTGATATCTTTGAAAACCCGCAAAATCGCAGACAGACCTGAAAACCCAAACCCTAATCCCACCGGCAATCATTTCCCGGTATATAGGTAGAACCGATGAGTCTGTGTCGTTCCAGTTCCGGTTTAGTACCTCACTGCCAACAAAAACATTTTCTAAATAAAACCGAGATATTCGACAAATTAAATTAACATGATCTCAGTTTTGGTATGAACCTGCAAGCTGTCCATTTATACGGAATCTTGGTGGTGTTGGCATGAAGCGCTTTCTGAACATCAGGCCGGTTATAATAGATCTCTGCATATCTCTCGGTACATGGATCATACCCAGCTATTTTCTTCAGCACCTACTCCCCACATCAAAAACAAAATTATGCAGATGAAGCCATAGGTAACTTGTACTAATACTTTTAAACAGCCACATTAAGGATCGCGGAATGTGAATAATCATCAAAACGAACCAATAAAGCAAGCCGATAAGAAGTTAGGTTATTAGTTTGTTAATGTTTCTTCAGACCAACATATAAACCAAAAGGAACATAGATCAATTTGGTTTGGCTTCAGTAAAAAGTCTCTCGAATTCAGGCGACTCCAAGAGTCCAAGCCAAGTAAAACTATAAGGACAAAATCCAAAAATAGTGAACCAAATCCAAAACCGAAGAACAGAGGAAAAAACAGAGGAGAGAGGCTCTTACGGAGTGTGGAAGATGAGGGAGACGCATACTCCGGCGATCGGAGGAACCACTGAATTTACCGCCACCGTCACTTGACTTGTTACATGGCGGCGCGTAGATGTTGTACTGATCAATGTTGCCAAACTCCTGCTCCATGGCGTAAGAATAAAGCGTTTCGCACTCATCAGATTCCTTCTGGCGACTAAAATCGCAGGTGTTTATCAGCTGATGATACGTCCTATCGGAGATCATCGCGTGGCTCCACCAATACGACACCGTTCCAAGGTTATCATAGTGATTGTCAGTCACCGCGTTTCCAACCTCCAAAACGCAAACAGAAATCGCTATGGTTTTAAACGCATAATTTCTATTTTCGGTAATGGAAACAGAGGATTTTGATTTCGATTTACCATGATTCCTTTGAGGTTGATCGGATTCTTAGATCGTTTGTTGTAATTCATGATTTCTCTAGCAAGCTGAGGGACATAATGTCCGGCGTAACTCTCTCCGGTGATGTAAATCTCACGGCGGTTGTATCTTGGAAACCGACGAAGCCATTGAATAAGAAACTGAAGTGAATCCTTCGCTGCAATACAGAGAAACAGAGTCACTATAACCGAAAGCCGGTTAAGATAAACCGTGATGATTTAGAGGTCTTGGATTTTGATTTAATTTTACCGGTACGGATATCGCCGGTATTGAAGAGATCGGAGGAGCGGTTAGTGTAGGAAAAGCCGACGCCGGCGGGAGCTTCGAGAAACAAGAGATTGGCGAGTGAGTTCCACGCGAACTTGTTGAGATACAAACCGGACCCACCTTTGCTTATCCTGAATGGTCCAATCTCCTCCGACGCGCCGTATGCTACCGACGAACATCCCGGTCCTAATCAATAATATTGCATACAAAAATATAAATATCACAAATAAATAAATTGTAAATTCAATTCAATAGAACACCAACTCCTAAATAACCCTTAGAAAACATTAATTGTAACGTTCTGTGCAGATTTAATAAACAAGAATAAGAACTTGGATAGAGTTTGATAGAGCTTGAATTTAAGGGGGGGGAAAGAGAGACCAAAAGTTGGTTGTGTATTTAATAAGCGTCTCAATGCTAGTTTGAAAATAGCATTTAATGATTTAACTTTTTCAGGTAATTTTCTCTTTTATATACTTAATCATCTAGTGTTTAGAAAATGCAAGGATCTAATCTACCCACTGCATGCATGATAAACTTAAGCATTACGATATCATATATGATAGTATATATACATTTAACATTTTTGTAACGACAAGTTCTAAATGGTGAGTAATATGGGGTCGAATAAATGGTGAGTCTCCAGTAGTAGTTAGGGCATTATTCCCATGGCTAAGTAGGCCAAACCAGAAAAATAGTATTTAAATATTTATGAAAATAGATAAAAGAGTGGTTTATGAATAACTACTATTAAATGAAACTTGCTGAAAACTCATTCAAGAAGTGTGTCAAATTAGTTGGTGTGCTAAGTAGATCTAGGGAAATTTATAATGTTACAGAGTAAATTAAATTAGTTTCTACAAAAGACTAATAAATAAAAATAGATAATGTTTAGTCGTCAATTACCTCCGTTGAGCCAAATTACGAGAGGTTTGGAGAGAGGGAGGTGAGAAGCTTCAGTGAGCCAATAGAATAGTGATCTTCCGGCGGATTTATCGACGGTGACATAGCCGGAGAACTGCTCAAACGTGACGTTAGGCTGACCGGGAAGTGACGTAATCCGGTCTGCCTGTGCTTCTTTACCTCCCCCTCCTATTTGACTTCTTCCTTGAGATGTCGTTACGAGTATGGCCAAAAGAGTGGTGAAAATTACGCATTTTGCCATCAATGGCCAGACGAAGGAGAAAACAAATGTAGAGTGTGTCGGAGACTTTTGAGATTGGCTTCTACAGTTCCACCTTTAGCTCGTCTTAAATAGAGAGAGAGAGACGAACGGAGGAGAGAATATTTAATGACATGAAATTGTAGTAATAATAAAAAGTAGAAAATATTGAAATGTAAAAATAACGGTAGGAAAACTGGAAAACTAAAAAGTATGATTCATTTTAACCTTTTTTTTGTTCAAAATGATTCATTTTAACCTATAAACGTGAAATTTCATCAGTTTGGTCATTTTGTACTACTACTGAAACTTTAAAATTCGTATGGTTACAATTTTAATTTTATTTCTTTTAGTTCGATTTCTGTTGCTAAATACATTACAAACACTTAACTTTTTCGCCAATAAAACTCATTGGAGTGTTACATTTACAGTTATTTTTAGCTCTAAAATTGCAATACTGAAAAGGAGCTCCTTTTAACTTAGTTTCCTTGGTTATTTAGGTTGGAGTTCTTTTGTTTATTGGCCGTAGGTTGGGGTTTACTGGGAAAAAAGGATAAAGAATAGCGATAAAAGGGTGATGGTAAGAAATGGCCCACCAATATTTTCAGTGGCAGTAACTTTATGAATTGGAAGAAGATACAATGATGACTTCAATGACACCACCAGCTTGTAATAGTAGATACGTTATTTGATATGACAGAGCATTAAATCAAATCGTGTGTATTCATATCTGTATACCATTACCACATCTCCACATGTATGTACTGATGTTAAACTAATGTTGGTTACTGCAGTTTCTCTATTACAAATCCTGTTAGTGTTTTTCAAACGCTAACGAACGGTATAATAAAAACATTGTGGTTTCATTCAGTTGCCATAATTCATAAATCAAACAAGCAAGAGCAAGAAATAAATTTTTTAAAAAAAGTTAGAAAAAAGCTGTATTTAATACAGAAAAATGAAAGAAAACTGAAAACCAGCATAAATAGGAACTACGATTCCGGCGATGCAATCAGCTATATAACTATATAAGAAAGGGTGCCAGCCATGTAAAAGAAATTTCAGATGAGGGTCAATGATCCTCAAAACTGTAAAGTTAAATTTCTCTAGATGATTTATTCTTTTCTCTTTAAAAAAAAAAATTATTTTTTGAGAAAAAAAAATATATAAAAACATACAAGAAATGTTTTGCTCAACAAAAAAAACATGCAAGAAATGTATAAAACTGATAAAATTTTGAAAAGTTGGACCCATACAAGAAATTGATGTCTCGATGTTGTAGGAAAAGTATTCTCTCTTTTTTCTACTGATAAAAAATACCTACAACTTTGACCATCTTTTCATACGTCAGTACAATAATTTTTCCCATCTGTATTTTCTTTTATTAATGATATTTTTTTCTTCTCCAAACTTATAATACTTTCAATCTCTCGTGTTTATTCAACACAAGGAAACTTATAGGTGTTGGTGTATTATATATTATTGGATGCGACAAATGATTTTTGTGAGTCAATGTCTACAGGTTTTTTATAACTTTATGTGATTTATGAATGCATTTGATAAATGTAAATTTCGACTATTCTGGTTAAACATATATATTAAAAAAACAATATATATACATACCTTTAAGTCTTTAACGTACACGCGAAGTTACTGGAGAAGAAGCCATTAGTTAATGCGTCACAATGTACACTGCTTCGTCTCGTATCAATATGATCATGCTCTTTTGGATTTATACAGATTTCTGAATAAATAATACAATATCCATTTACGTATTCAGTTTAAGCTGCACACCAATATTCAATAAAAGCTACATAAAAAATATAAAATATCACTACAACAACTTAACATTAACACTATTCGACCACGCTTAACGCTACATACAAAAAATGTAAAATAACGCTACTCGACTTTAACATTAACTCTTAAGAAAAGAAAAATACTCAGCAATCAGCGAATCAGCATGACTTGTGTGTTTACTGGTTAATTGTTTTCGTGATTTAGTTAAATAAAATTTATATTTCGCGTTTGTTTACATTAAATAAACTCTATTTTTGGAAAAATCTGACAAGTGCTTTCGAAGATTCTATTTCCGTGCTTACCAATATTTTTATAAAGTATATCTAACGTTGTAAATGAAAAATTGAAAAAATGATTAAAGTGATGGGATTTAAAGAAGCACAGGAGTAGTAGTTGGCAAATGAGATAGATATTAAAGTTTCATAATAATGACTCTTTTCGAATCTCTATTTAAATATACACAAACCAATTTGTTTTTTTTTAAAATGTATGAAATGATGAAATAACAGAGTAAAGAGTGAGGTCGAATAGTGTTAATGTCATATCAAGAAACTATGCTTACGCATATTTTGTCCAACAGATTCAGAGTTTGTGTCAGTCTTTCTTCCTTCTTCCATTTCTCTTTCTGTGACGTTTTTAAGGACATGAAAGCGGTGAATCTCTGCTAACCTCACGTGCCGTTTACAGTCGCTTATGTCACTGTCCAATCATACGTCGCTGTTCCTTCAACGTCTCTGTGTCCTCCTCAGCCTCAGGGCCGCATATTTACTGGACCTTCCTATTGGGCTTCGCCCGATTAAGGTTTGAATTGCATTGGAAACCTAGGACTTTATATTAGAGATAGTCATCATTTAGCCCAAAAGGCCCAAACCCATTTTAATATGGTTAAAGCAAATGTATAATACACTTGTTTTACGCAAAAGGAAAACAATCTTCTAAAATGTAAACTAAGATTCAAAGTTTATAAAAATGATTTTTTTCTAAAACTCAAAATACCTTTACACATTCCTTTTTAAAAACTTTGCAAACGGTCAATAATCACTAGTACACAAACAACTGTACACATACACTACACAACATAGATTTTAGATAATGCAAAAAATCCGACCGTTGCAACCCCAATTTCCAATAACGGTAATATTTCCAGCCATTTACATAAACCAATTACACTCAAGTTCTTCGTTCCACCCAATTTTCTCTCTAACTTATTCCTCTCTCTAATGGAGTCGCAACAATCGAAAATCAAAACACCACTCGAAATCGAACCCGACCACCATGACATCGCCGTTTTAAACTCTGAATCGCCGTCTCAGCCGCTGCCGGAAACCGAGCCGAATCAGGAATCTCCTCCTCGAGCCTCCAGCAACGAGCCAATGAAGAAAATCGTGACTCCGGATCGTCTCAGACTCCCTGTAGCTTTCAAGCACCCGGAGAGGTAATCTGATTAGGTGAAACAACCGGTTTAAAGCCAGACCGATTGGTACAGAAACATAATTTGTAAATTTTTTTCTCTCTCAGATACCGAAGTCCAACAGATGCAATGGTGTCTCCGGTTACTAAAGGTCTTCTCGCAAGAAGCAGAAAGGCTTCCGGTTCTCTTATTCCACCAAGCTTTAACTTGACCAAGGTCAATTTTTCATCTTTACCAATTCAAAAATCCGGTTTTATATAAGCTAACAGTTATAAGCTAACGGTTATTTCATTCATTAACTTTCGCCGCTTTGCACATATTGTATCAGATTCAAGATCTACGCAAACCGGAATCCGGTCTATCATCTGTTGGTTGCTGAAGACTTTGTGGATTTGGGGGCTTGAACAGAATAAAGTTTTGCATGTTCTGTATTTTCACTTCCTTGGACGTCCATCAATGTATTTCTTAATTTTCTTATGCTCGTGTAGTGTTGATTAAGAGAAATTGATAATGTCTTGGATTTCTAGTGAAAACAAAACTAAGCTGTTGAATAAAGTTGATAACAAAATGTTGGTTTTCTCTCAAACAAACAGTCTGATTAAACCAAAATTTATTTGCCTTCTAAAAATAGTGGGCAGTATTAACAGAATAAACATTGATTATTCATCTACTTATTCATTTCACTAGAATTAAATCAAGTTTGGTCTTAATCTTGTTGTAACTAACCCCTTAGTTTAGTAATTAATCCGTTCCCGCTTTCATAACTAACAATCTCAGCAATCTAAAAACGAACAAACAAACAAAAAACTGCATTGAGGCTTTTTTGTTACTCTTTTAAATTTTGTTACATTGTATAAATATAAATAAAACAAACCCTCTTAAGTTCTATTCTTAATCATCTCCCTAATTCCAGCTGCGATTCTAATCTCATTCATAACTTATCTCAGAATCTTCTTCTATCAATTCGTGTTCTTTTCGATTAACTCTGTTTTCTACAATCAGACAAAGACAGAGGGCTCTGTTCTGTTCTTTCTTTCTTTTTTCAATCATATAATGGAAACGAAAACAGAAAGCAAAGAACAACAATGGAAAGATTCGATTTCTCCATCCTCATCTTCACGATCTTCATCAATAACATCTGTTTCTTCAGATGGACACTTTGATATCCGACACTTTCCTCTTCCCAAGCCATCATTGTCTGCTTCCGAGGCACAGAAACAGAGAGAGTCCTATCAGGCTTATAGTTCCTCCGTCAGCTCTTATACCGGTTCGTCATGGTCCTCGAGGACCTCGACTCACCAGAACCACCTTATTGATCTGCCCGGTTACGATCCAAACCGGATTCCATCTTCGGTCTTCTCCAGTAAACCGACTAATTCGACTGAATGGAGTATAGCTTCTAATGAATCGTTGTTTAGCATCCACGATGGGAATTTTAGCATTTATACAAGGGAAGATCATGGATTAGCTTCAGCGTTAAGATTGGCTGATACACCGAGATTTGAAGAAGCATATCAAGAGATAACCGAAATCATCCCGGTTCCTCTTGCTCCTCCGGTTAAGAATCTCACAGAACCTGAGACAGAAACGATATTAGAGAACAAACAAGATCAGGTCGAAAAATCAGACTCTAGAATTGATGATGATGATGAATTGGAAAAAGAAGAGATGACTGAACTCAGAAGCGACGATGAAGAGGAAGAAGAATATACGATCGAAGCGGAGGTTATAGTAGAAATCGAAACCGAGAAACCAAAAGAAAAAGTAGTAGAAGATGTGAAGGAGAACAAACCAGAAGATTCAATCAGTACAATTTCACATTCCACAAGCATTTCTTGTCTTTCAGACATCAGCAATAACAGCATTTGCTCTTTCGCATTCCCAGTGTAAGTCGTAGATTGCAAAATCCTGATTCTTTACTTGTGCAAGAAGAAACCATCGAAACCCTGATTTTTTACTTTCTTTGGAATTCATGCAACAGATTGCAGGAAGAGGATGGAGTCAACGAAACGCCGTCTATTGAAATCAGAGAGAACGTTTCCCACAAGCGAAAACCGGAGTATCTGCTGCCTCAATCGCCGAGGCAACCGGCCCAACCGCAGCCTTATTCAGAATCTGGTACGCCAACTCAGTTGCAGCCGCAATCACAACGACAACGGAAGGCATCGAAACCATTCGAGTCTCAAACGCAATCGCCAAAAGCTTCGAGAAACGGTTGGTTCTCGTGCTTCCACTGTCCAAAGCGCAGGTTATTCAAGTAGAGGAAGCTTTTGGGGTTTGCGTTTAAAAATATTCTTCTTCTTATGTGTAATTTGTATGGAGGTAGTTATAAACTTGTAAACCAAGAGATCCAAACCGAGTTCCTTAAGAATCGACACCAGATTTTGGTCTGATTAAGTTCGGTTACCGAATGTTGTGAACCGGCCGATGGATGATATAACTCTTATGTCATGGTGATGCATACAAACAAGGACCACATTTCATTAGTACATTATAGATTTCTCTAGATACAGTATATACGTATTTCAAGTAGTAGCTAAAAGACATAATTCAACAACAAAATAGTTTTTATTTATATAACTCACTTTATTTTTATCCCCATAAGTGTGGTTTGTGTGTTGGTACATGTCAACATTAGACATTTATGTTTTAAGAAATGACATCTTTTTGCTTTATCTTGAAGTTTCCTTTAATTATATCCTTGAAAAGAGGAGATCCTGTCCCTTTTTCACTTTACAAATACTCAATTCTCTATATATAGATGGTTGCTTTATGAAAAAAGATGATGTGTTCAATTTGATACTACCACAGTAACATAATTTGTTTCTGAAAAACATATTCTAGCTCCTTCTTATACAATAGAGGAATTATTAAGTCGTATTCGTCTCCACCAATTTTAATCATACAAAATGCAGTGTGGATCCGTTATTTTAGGTCAAACTCCATACTTCTAGATCAATTATTTAACGGTCACACAATTTATTTTTCAAACTCCAACATTTGATATATATACTTTGTATCGTATATTTCCACATATATAGGTTTTTTTTGTGTGTGTTGGCATGGTGAACTTGTCTTTTGCATTTTAATCTTATGTTTTCTAATTTGTTATCTATAATAGCACTACAAGACATACAGTAAATTCATCTCCAAATCGGCCGGTGAGTTTGGTGCAGCAAGTCAACACGAGACACAAATGATCTTCCTTGATCATATCAAGACTAAGAGATGAAGTTTTTTCAACTTATTCCTGATACAAAACAATCTGTTTGGTTACAGTCACTACAAGAAAACATCATGAATCCTGATGGAAATTTTGACCAAAGACTATTTCGTCAGGAATTTCTGATAAAAATCTGATCGGAAATTGACGAAATCTGACAGCTTGAAATTCCGACGACATTTCCGACGGATTCAAACTAAATCTTGATGATATATATCCGTCAAAAGTTCTGTCACAAAAAAAACAACTGTTAATATAGCTGTTGTTGTAACGGTTTGAAAATCAAAAAACTTGTCGGAAATCCATCAGGATTCTGTCACAATCTCCGTCAGATATTTCGTCAGAAAAAAATCCAACCGTTAGTAATAGTCGTTGGTAATATAGCCGTTTTAAAAGTTAAATAGACGTCAGGAATCCGTCAGAAATCTGTCACAATATCCCAAGAATCATTCTATAAAATCCTTTCTTCCCTCATTGCAAACAATGGTGTTACCAAACAAAATCTTATAAAATATGTCTTCTCCAAATCATTTCGAGTATTTTAGATCATGGATGGACAAATCTCCGCAAGATCCATTGACGAGAAAAATTTCAGAAGAATTTGCAGAAGGTCTCAAGCAATTCATAGATTTTGTCTCAATGCAAGACATCACCTTACAATCTGGTAAAATGTTCTGTCCCTGTATTAAATGTCAGAACTATAGATTTATTAGAGTTCATTTAGTACAGAGTCACTTATGTAGGAGAGGATTTATGCCGGGTTATAAAGTATGGTATTCACATGGGGAAAACTAGTTTTGCAAATGGTTAGCAAAGATTTGGCCTTGGCTTGGGTCAAGGTAAGCGGTTCTGCATGCTCACTAACTTCACCGTTGCGGTTTGTTGTTTCTTGGTACGTATGTCTTTTCAAAAGCTAGGTTCACGTGGACATGATGTTTATTATGACGATGGTGCAGTTGAGAGAGTTGTAGATTACCTTGCTCCCAAGACAGCAGCAATGAGTGACAGTGTGCTGTTGATGTTCGCTGGTGTGGTTGCAACTAAAACAGTCCGTTTTCTCAAACGTCTCATTGGTATAAAGGTAGAAGATTCACGTTGTCGAAACTGCTATTCAAACAACTAATCAAAAACGTGGTCAAATATATAGATTTTTATACCTTTTGTTGACTATGGGCACGTTGGATCATTACATTGCATACCTCGATATTTGATGTAACTTAACATAGAGAATATCTAGAGAGTATATGTTTTATGAGACGAAACATAAAATGTGAAAGGATAGTCTCAACTTACGTCAAGAAAAGAAGCCTTGAGCGTCTCAAGCAATTTTGAAATTACATCTTTAGTTAGGATGTTTAGATAAATGAAAATATCATCATATGGCCAATAAAATGTCAGACTTTTTAGTTTAAACCAAAAGTATTACATTTTTTCCAATAGGTGTGAGCATTTTCATTTTTCCAGGAAATATATGTTTTTTATATCTCAAGTTTTACTCAGAGATCCCTACTTTAGTTTTAGCTTGTATTTGTGATGTCACCTATAATTTGTTAGTGTTTATCTGTTTTACTTTCTAAACCATGCTAATCTATTACATTCATTACTAATGGTGTAAGTCTGGGGAAAGTGATGTTGTATACATACATATGTATTGTCCACCATATTCATATACTGTACATCTGTAATAAATGTTAGCTTCAAGATTTCAGCATTACGTTGGTCGATGAGAGATTGATTCGTCTTGGACATCACTAGTAGAGTTGAAATATTGTTACATTTATTATGATTCAAACATATGTTATTTTATTGATTTGAATACACAAATTAATGTTCCCTCAAATTGAGTGATATGGTAATCTCGCATCTACCTACTGTTATCAATCATGTACCTATTGCGATTTGATGCGCTGAGACTACAAATGTTAGAACTTTTTGTTTAAAAAACATGATTTATTTTGTTATTATAAAACTCTTTTACTATAACTAATCACAAAATGTTTCTTCGAAGGTATTAAAGTACAAAAATGGTTTGTTTAGCCAATAAGAAACAAGCATGGTGGACCCTACTCTTTCGTTCAGAAAAGATTTTTGATTTCTAAACCATTTAAGATTTTTTAAGAAAAAAAAGAGAGAGGAAGAAGAAAAAAAACGCGTCTTCCTCAGTGACAGTGTTGAATTCTCATCTTTCTCTCTCCTCTTTTTTTTGTTGGTTGGCTTGATTTCATCCTCTCTGCTTCATCTGTTTCTCTCACTAAAAAAGCTTCTCATCATCCCCTAAATTAGGGTAAAGGGCTCGGGCCTCGGATTGTTTCGCGCGGTAAAAGCAAGGATCTTTTGCTCGTCAATTGCAAATTAGCAGGCCTCAAGAGGTGGGTTTAGGGTTTTGTGTCAAAACATTTGGGGATAAGTTACGAAGATGACTTCTTTGCCTTCTTCAGTGATCAAATGGCGTTTTTTCCGCAGACAGATGCCGACAAGCGTGGTCTTCTCTCTCTGGTTACTCTGTATCGCAACCTGTCTCGCCGGGAAAAGCACTGTTTTTGCGGATTCGGACAAATCGGTGCTGCTTCGTTTTAAGGAAACGGTATCCGACCCTGGTTCGATTCTCGCTAGCTGGGTCAAGGAGAGCGAAGACTACTGCTCCTGGTATGGGGTATCTTGCGATTCGACATCCCGAGTCATGGCTCTTAACATCAGCGGCTCTGGAAGCGATAAAGGGAGCTCGAACCGTTTCAGTTGCGGTGATATCGGTAAGTTTCCGCTGTATGGGTTTGGTATTCGAAGGGATTGCGCCGGAAATCGTGGAGCTTTGGCGGGGAATCTGCCTTCTGTCATCGTGGGTCTCACAGAGCTTAGGGTTCTGTCTCTGCCCTTCAATTCGTTCGGCGGAGAGATTCCTGTTGGAATCTGGGGAATGGAGAAGCTGGAAGTTCTTGATCTGGAAGGGAATTTGATGACCGGGTCATTACCTCTTCACTTCACTGGGTTACGGAATTTACGGGTCATGAATCTAGGGTTTAACCGAATTTCAGGTGAAATCCCCAAGTCTCTGCAGAATCTGTCCAAGCTGGAGATTTTGAACTTAGGTGGTAACAAGTTGAACGGAACTGTTCCTGGCCTCGTCGGGAGATTCAGAGTGGTCCACTTGCCTTTAAACTGGCTTCAAGGCACTCTGCCTAAAGATATCGGGGATAACTGTGGAAAGCTTGAGCATTTGGATCTGTCTGGTAATTTCTTCACCGGAAGGATTCCAGAGAGCCTGGGGAATTGTCGTGCTTTAAAGTCACTGTTGTTGTATATGAATACGTTGGAGGAGACTATCCCTTCAGAGTTTGGGAATCTTGGGGAGCTCGAGGTTTTGGATGTTTCGAGGAACACTCTTAGTGGCCCATTGCCCCCAGAGCTCGGGAACTGCTCTTCGTTGTCTGTTCTCGTGCTGTCGAATCTGTACAACGTGTATGAAGACATTGACAGCATCAGAGGGGGATCAGATGTGCCTCCAGGCGCTGATTTAACCTCGATGACGGAGGATTTCAATTTCTATCAAGGAGGGATTCCGGAGGAAATCACCAGGCTTCCGAAGCTAAAGGTTCTTTGGGTGCCGAGAGCTACTTTAGAAGGGAGGTTTCCAGGAGATTGGGGTTCTTGTCAAAGCTTGGAGATGGTTAATTTGGGCCAGAACTTCTTTAAAGGCGAGATTCCTGTGGGTCTTAGCAAATGCAAGAACCTTCGTCTTCTTGATTTGAGCTTGAATATGCTTACCGGAGAGCTTTTCAAAGAGATATCGGTTCCCTGCATGAGTGTCTTTGACGTTGGTGGAAACAGCTTATCGGGTCTCATCCCTGAGTTTCTCACCAATACCACAACCCATTGTCCTCCTGTTGTTTACTTTGACGGCTTCTCTGCCGAATCTTATAGCAACGACCCTTCGTCTGTTTACATCTCCTTTTTCACCGAGAAGGCTCAGGTTGGAGCTTCCCTGACTGCTTTTGGAGGTGATGGAGGTCCGGCTGTGTTTCATAACTTCGCAGACAACAACTTCACTGGGACTCTCAAGTCCATACCACTTGCAAAGGAGCGGCTGGGAAAGCGAGTCTCTTACATATATTCCGGTGGAGGGAATCGGTTGTACGGGCAGTTCCCTGGGAATCTGTTTGATAGCTGCGACGAACTGAAAGCTGTTTATGTCAATGTAAGCTTCAACAGGCTCTCAGGTCGGATTCCTGAAGGACTCAACAACATGTGCCCTTGTCTTAAGATTCTTGATGCTTCGTTGAATCAGATCTTGGGCCCAATCCCGTCGAGCCTCGGGGATCTAGCTTCGCTTGTTGCCCTTAATCTGAGCTGGAATCAGTTGCAGGGTCAGATACCGGAGAGCCTCGGGAAGAAGATGAAGGCTCTGACGTTTCTTTCGATTGCGAATAATAACCTCACGGGTCAGATTCCTCAGGGTTTTGGTCAGTTGCATTCCCTGGAAGCTCTTGATCTCTCTTCGAATTATCTATCCGGCGGCATCCCTCATGATCTCGTCAGCTTGAAGAACCTCACCGTGCTGCTTCTCAACAACAACAACCTCTCCGGCCAAATCCCGTCGGGTTTCTCCACTTTCGCGGTTTTCAACGTCTCCCTGAACAACCTGTCGGGTCCGGTTCCTCCAACCAACGGATTGACGAAATGCAGCCGCGCTCTCGGGAACCCGTATCTCCGGCCTTGCCATGTGTTTTCTCTGACAACACCGTCTTCGGATTCCCGAGGCCCTACGGGAGATTCGATCACGCAGGACTACGCATCTTCCCCTGCTGAAAACGCCCCATCTCCGCCTTCTGGAAAAGACGGATTCAACTCGCTGGAGATTGCTTCCATCGCGTCCGCTTCTGCGATTGTCTCGGTTCTCATCGCTCTTGTGATTCTCTTCTTCTACACGAGGAAATGGCACCCGAAATCCAAGATCATGGCCACCACCAAACGGGAAGTCACTATGTTCATGGACATCGGAGTTGCTATAACCTTCGACAACGTCGTTAGAGCCACGGGGAACTTCAACGCGAGCAATCTGATCGGTAACGGCGGATTCGGAGCGACCTACAAAGCGGAAATCTCTCAGGACGTGGTCGTCGCCATCAAACGCCTCTCGATTGGACGGTTTCAAGGCGTCCAACAGTTCCACGCGGAGATCAAAACTCTCGGGAGGCTTCGACACCCGAACCTTGTGACCCTCATCGGTTACCACGCGAGCGAAACCGAGATGTTCTTGGTTTACAATTACCTCCCAGGAGGCAACCTCGAGAAGTTCATCCAAGAGCGATCCACAAGAGCTGTAGATTGGAGAGTGCTTCACAAGATCGCTCTCGACATAGCTCGAGCTCTCGCTTACCTCCACGACCAGTGCGTCCCACGGGTTCTTCACCGGGATGTCAAACCCAGCAACATCCTCTTGGACGACGATCACAACGCCTACCTATCGGATTTCGGGTTAGCGAGATTGCTCGGGACGTCGGAGACGCACGCAACAACGGGTGTGGCGGGTACGTTCGGGTACGTAGCGCCCGAGTATGCCATGACTTGCCGGGTTTCGGATAAAGCGGATGTTTACAGCTACGGAGTGGTGCTTCTCGAGCTGCTTTCGGACAAGAAAGCGCTTGATCCGTCGTTTGTCTCGTACGGCAACGGTTTCAACATTGTGCAATGGGCTTGTATGCTGTTGAGACAAGGGCGGGCGAAGGAGTTCTTCACGGCGGGTTTATGGGACGCCGGTCCGCACGATGATCTCGTCGAGGTTCTGCATCTAGCGGTTGTTTGTACGGTGGATTCTCTATCTACGAGGCCGACAATGAAGCAAGTTGTACGGCGGTTGAAGCAGCTTCAGCCTCCCTCGTGTTAGCGATTTGATTATTTTTCAAAATGTTTATTATTGTTGAATTTTTAACTCTTGTAGACTTGTTGTGTAGTAGTTAGAAGAAGAAGAGAGTTAATTTTCCTACGGTTTCTCGAGGGTAAAAAGGACATTCGAAGGGGAAGGCATAGGAAGGTTGATCTCTCTTTTAGGGAAGACATTACATAAGAGAGCGCCTCAAATATTATTATTGTAGCTAATTTGTTTTCTTTTTTCACTTGTAAATTGTTTTATGTAGTTTTGCTGGGTATTTTTAGGATTTTTTTTTTTGATAAATACCCTAAAAACTCTATCAACACGCTGAAATATTTTTAATATATATACAAATATTGACTTTTTAATCATTTTTATTTATAAAAAAATAGCAATTTTATTATGTAGATACATTTCCTATGGACAGGCCAACTGAGTCAGTGAGTCACTGAGTCGTGCGTGCAGCACATTTTGGTATCGAATTCAACCCATGATTCGAAAACTTCCTTGGTTCACTTCTCACTTTTTAGATCGAGTTTAGAAAGTAGAAACATTGTCTTAAATTTAAAATACCACGTTGATCAAAAGATCAAATGTAAAAATATAACCAGAAACAAAAACAAAAAAGTGAGAAAAATTCAAAACCAGATTGAGAAACTTATGCTTCAGCTTAGTCGGTTAAATTATTTTGACATGGTTACACTTTTAGGGGAAAAAATGACATATCATATAGTTGGGATAAATATAATCCCTAGAAACCTATGAACTAGATGGAAGAAGAAGGAAGTTTAACAACAATATGTCTAAGAGGGTTTATCGTAACCTCACCACCACCGTCGTCGCTGACGGCGGACACGGTGCTTCCGCCGTGCCTAACGAATTCCGACGGAGAAAGAAAACTGCCGTGGCAGACACACACTATCTTCACCTCCTCCTTGTTCCCTCCGTACCAATACAGAAACCCTTCCACTCGTTTCCCGTCGGCTCCGACATCTCTCGTCGACACACACGGCATGTCTTCTAGAATGTTCCTTGCCTTCTCCATTCCCGAAACTTCCTGATTCTTCGTCTTCTTTTTACCCCTCCCGCTGATCGGACCGGGGACAACAAAACCATCTTTTTCTTCCCTTTTCTTCGTTGAAGGAGGAACCTCAAACTTCATAAATGTCCTCGCCTTCTCTGTCTCGGCTTGACCACTGTTCTTTCCTTTTTCCGGAAGAGGAACTTGAAAATCCAGAAATGCCCTCGTCTTCTCCGATCGCCTCCTCTTCGTCTCCGCCTCGACCTCCATCTCCGTTACGACAGGCAGAGACCGCGTCCGATCCAGCTGGAACATGTCCGAAACATCACGCCCCACCGTCCGCCGCATGTCTCCGCCGACAGCGCAGCCGGATCTTTGTCCATCAAAGACGAAACCTTCCGGTATCGAAGAGGATCGACCCAATTCAAAACTCTTCCTTTTCCTCGATCTCGGATCCGTACCAAACTGACCATTCAGCGAAAGACCTAACGTTAGCTCAATATCTTTATCTTCTTCTTCTTCTTTCTTCATCGGTTCTTCCCGATTCTCACCATTCTCAGAGTCTCTGTGACAAAAATGGTTGCTTGTGATGAAAAACTTCTGCAAAAGATTGTTAGCAGATAGATTGGGGACTTGAACTACGACACCGTTTGGGCTTCTTATCATCTCCATTGATCAAATGAACCAATATCAAAACAACAAATGCTTAGCAAATGGAGTATCGAAAATTGAGGTCAGAGGAGTAGAAATTTGCTAGCTTGAAGTTTTGTTTTTTTCGATTTTACAATTTTGAGAGACACGATACAATTTTTACTTAAAACAACCACCAAATGCTCTACTATTATAAACTATAGTACTACAATTTGCAGTATTTTATATTTTCAGGAAAATCATGTTTTTGAATTATTTTAGAAGCATAGTTGACGATGTTGTACGGATTTATCTCCTTTAGTATATTTTTACACAAGTTGGCTTAAAATAATAGGAAACTATACCATAATTCCAGTTAATATGCCATTTGAGATATATTTTATCAACGAAAATAGATAGTGATTTCTTATTGACGGAAATATATATCGAATTTTTTTGAATTATTATAAATGTTATAATATAATGTGATATTTCTTTTTGGGGGTAACAGGAAAAGATAGACGACCACCCACCACGCCACGTGGAAAAGGGCATCAAGTGGGGGAGAGCTTAGCGTAGACGTAGGCTACTTGTTGATGTACAAGTTGACACGTGTCTAATTATCAACGTGCTCAACGACGACAATCACTTTATTGCCACGTGTATCCAGCCTGACTGGGCCCGACAAACGAAACAAAAACATTTTTCTTTCTTTTTAGCTAACATTAATAATATCACGCGCTTATGAGCTTCAACAATTCGGTAACTTTTGTGTGTCAATAGTTATCGATATTAATCAAATTATGTGTCATGTTTTTAATTATTTTGTCTTTGTGGTCAGATTTTGTAGTTAAATATAAAATAAAATAAAATATTCAGTGTTATAATTTTCATAAACCAGGATAAATAAGTTGGAGAGAACGGATGGAGAGGATCTCCTAAAGAGACGCAAACAATCAAGAGCAGATCGAGAAGCGGGACCCGCATAGTGGCCAAGTTGTAGTATTTTTTTTTTTTCCTCGTTTAGAAAAAAAATGTTAATTCAAATATGTTTTCCCCTAAAAGGTGATAAGATTATCGACACGTTTCACTTGACAGAGTACGCCACGTGTACTTGAGTTCATTACCTCACGACAATGTACAACCAAGTTGCAGGGACATGATAATATTAACATATAGCCAAGCATGGTCAACCAAGCGTAGGTTTTATTTTTGGTTTGTTTTTTTTTTTTTCTCTGGTTTAAAAAATGTTATTAAAATAGTATAAACATAATTTACTATGAATGATGTACTAGTATATACGATTCTAATAAATCTTTTGCTTATAGACTCATAGTTTAATTTATTAATTTCTCTCCCACCCTCCTACACCTCCATATTACAAACTAAAAAGCATTAATTTTCAGCTAAATAAAAAAGAATCATAAGATTTATGGATCGGGCTTTCGCTCATCAGAGCTAGCCCACACTGTATTCCTTTATTGGGCCAAAATCATATGTATTTGGACTTCGTATAGACATGGAAAGAAAACAAAGTTTTGGGTTTGTAGTAGTGAGGATTTGCTTAATATGAATATCAAATTCATAGAAGAGACTGAAGAGATATGGATTTCTTGTCCATTGGGCTTTTTATCATCAGAGGTGGCCCTCTACATTTCTTTTGTTGGCCCAATTTTTGGATCCAGGAAAGTACCACAAAATCAGAAAGAAGATACACACATATTTGGATTTCGTATATACAGAACGTGAAACCCAACATATGTAAATGATACTATTGATTAAGCACATCTAACAGACTAGTGCGCGCGCGCACACACACATGTGTATAATATACTTCGAAACATTTTACTTTTTTCATTATTTTTTTCTTTCCAAAACAATTGTACCAATAAAATAAAAATATAAATAATATCTAACTTAAAATATATTAATTAAAATTAAAGCTAACTATATCAAATTTTTAAAAATAAATAAAAATCTTAAAACATTATATATTCAAAAACAGAAGAAGTATATGAAATATACACATATGTTGGGTTACCATCATATGGATTGAGCATAGGGATTGGTGTTTGAGATAGGAACAGTGCATAGAAAAAGTGTATGTGGACAAGACATTCAGTAGTTATGTAATTTCTGATTCGTTTTTTTTCCCCAAAAACCGTCCGTATATTGTTAATTTTATATGCTTCTTACATTTTTCACATTCAAACTGTCACTTTCCCAAAATAAATAAAATAACAACAACAGCTACACTGAACTCCAAACTTTGTATCTAACGCATTTTCTTGCACAACATTAATGTTGATATCAAAATCTTGTATTAATTCAAATCAAGATACGAGAACTAAAAGTAAAATGGAAGATTGCTGGCCTGTTTCGGCTTTGTTCCGTGTATATCCTTGACCAGGTTTAGCCCTAGTTACAGAACTAATAAAGAGAGTAAAGATGTAAACTATATATATTGGGGACAAAAGAAAAGAGAGAACTAAATTAAGAGAGAGAAAAAGTGAATGGAAAAACTGGGGGGACCATTGAGTAAATAAATAACTCTATATCTCTTCTGTTTTCTTCAGTTTCTCTCTCGAGATGCCCAACTTCTTCGCTCTTCATCTACTTTCTAACGTGTATATATAATAACACCCTAATAAATACACATGTTAATATCGTTACCTTTTTTTTTAATAATAAATCGTCGCCTTTTTGTGTCCCAATTTTTTTTTGTCGGCTTCTGTCCCAATTTAATTTACAGCCATCACACTGTGTAGTATAGTATGTATGTATGTATACAAAAATTAAAAACCTTCATATGACGGGCGTACACAAAATATTCTACAATGTGTCAGCCACTCACATATACATTTCTGTAATGTATTCTTTTTCAGCTGGCTAGCTTAGAAATTTTATAGTGTGGAAATTCACCTTCACAAATCACTATCTACAACAATAACTCATATATTTGCACGTTCTTAATTAGTTAGTCTTTGACGTGCTTAGTTTTTTTTTTTTTTTTAACTGTAATACTTAATTAATCGTATTCATGGTTGTAGATATTAAATGCTGAGTCTATCTATCTATATGTATAATAGACGTCTCTGTGAATTTGATAAAGATTTTAATCTCTAGTGGAGGAAACTAAATTGTATACGTCTCGAAATGGCATGCGTACCGACGGTACCGTATATACCTTTTTTTCTCTAACGACCGTGATATTAATGATTGAGAAGTGTTTTATTTTTCAATATTCACGCATCCTCACATAATATACATTTTTTTTTTGGTGTTGCTATTGCTAACTTTAGCTTATACATGTATGACAATCGTCATAAAATATATATATACACATGGTTATACATATATGTATTAGCTAACAACAAGTGCATTACAATTTATTCGGATCATTCAAATTATATAAGGAGCTATATTTTTAGAATAATAAAACAATAGTTGTATTTTATCAAAAAAAAACTATAGTTGTATTACTTGTATATATATATATATATATGTGTGTGTAACATTTTTGAAATGGGTATATAATTATGTCCCATCAAATGTATCGTTTGGAGTAGACTCATTTTTTAGGATATTATTGTCGTTGGTCCTTCACATCATTAATTATGATTATCGATATGAAGTATAAAGAAGCTATTAAAACCCAATCTTTGTTCATGAGACCACAAACTTTTGGAGTCGGTGAAGTAGACATGACTTAGTGGATTCTAAGTTTGTAATTTCTCCTTTGTTCCCATCTGAATCTGATATCTTGAGATAAAATGATGATCATCACACTTTTATTTGCTCACTCCTTTGTTTTAAAATATATATATTTTGCTTTCCACTTCTATTTTTTCCTAGCCATTACTATTTCTAGTCTTGACCAAAATAAAACCGTCTTAGTTTATTTGGCTATAGTCTTAATCTTTAGTGTGTGTACGGATAAGTTGCAGTCCTATAAAGAAAATCATGTTGATAACTAAAAGACCAGTTGTTATACATAAGTACTTTCGTTTATTCTCCTCGAACATTAATTAAGTTATATAGACGCAAAGAGTTTAATGGGAATTATATATGTCCTTTTCTTGAACAGACCATAATTATATATATACTTCGCACACGGATCAAATAAGAATCTAACCCTTTTTCTGTTTACCAAGAAACTGCGGTCCTCAGTTCCGTAATCCTTTTGGGTCTGTGATCAGGCAGAATGATTTGTTTTCTTTTTAACAGCGAAACTCGAACATGAGATTTTGATGCACACTTCCTATACTTAATTTGATGAGGTTAAGATGAGGAATGTTTGAAATTCAAAATAGTGTATATTTAGCCAAGCATAAAAGTATAAACAATTAATTGCTTTTTTTTATTTTGCAGATGTTGTGTATATTTAGCCAAGCATCATACTGTAGATGGAAAATTGGAAATGTTAATAGTAGGTAACCTTACTTGAAATATCTACATACGTACAGCACTAATTAACCTACTAATAAAATCAAAATGTTACAACGGATTTCACGTAAAGCATTATTAAGTTAGGGTTAATTAAGTGATGTCTAATAAGTGTACTTGTGTTTGAAAAAGTAATGAGTCGTGACTCAACAAGGTACACGAGGCGTGCATAGGGTTATCCACAACCTTTTGTAATTGTCGATAACAGCATGCCCATTGACATATATACATAGGGACCGACCGTATATATATAGTATAACACACTATATATATGTGTGAGTTGCATTGCAATTCATACCCATGTACATTATCATGAAGCCTTGATTCTATTTTTGTCAATAGATTTGTAAAAAGGAAAAAAGATCGCTTAATCATTATAGTTTGGACATTTAAGATACAATTATACATATAAATTACTAATAGAGTACACTCTCCTTTTTTTTCCTTCATAACTACTAATTAGATGTTTTAATTAACAAGCTACTATTATATGTACAACTTCTTGTAAATTATTCACGTATACCTTTTTTGGATCTTCTTCTTAGCCGTACTATAATTGCCATTCAGATCAGATACGTGGGTGATAGATTATTCGAATTTTATTTTTCTCGTCCGTATATAAATTTGATATGATCCATAATAAAGATGAAAATGAACTTGACTGATTATTCAAAGCATTCATTATATATTTTCCCTTCGAGGATAGCGAAATCCACCACGTGGCATTAGGACATCCACTGCTTTTTTTTATAACATAAATACATAGTCGCAATTCTTCTGAATTTTGGAGGCTTATGATATTGGTAGGGTTCTCCTTATTCACTTCCAAAAGCATCTTCTTCTTTCTTATTTTCTTTTTCTTTTTCTTTTTGATATATTTTCATCATATATCATACTTTTAGAAAGAAAATTCGAATCACATACTTTCTTCTCTCTCTATATCTCATCCTTCTTCAGTCCCTCTTCTTCTTCATCATCTTATTACTCAACTTTATAGAACAGGAACAGCAAAACCCTAAATTTTATCTGTTCAAGCCCAAGACCGTACAGGTTTAGAAGCTCAGGTAAGAAAACATTTCAACTTTTATTTTTTGACCTAAGAGAAATAACTAAGTCGATTGAAGACAAAAGTTAAATTAAACCCCTTTAAAAATATAATTAACATTTTGTTTCAATTTTGTGGATTTCACTATATGAATCATTCGTTTAGAAAGAATCCCGAAACCCTAAAGGATAATATGAGGTTTAGAAATTCAAAACTAAATTTTCCCGTACACCGTCTAACGGATTTACACTTTTCTGTAGTAAATATAAAGATCTCGACAATAGCATAATGAATATGGTCCCTTGGAAAGATGCAAACGACGACGTTTCCGGCGGGTCTAGGCGTGAAGGAGAAGTAGAAGAAGATGCAGAAGAAGCCGTCGTAGCCACCAGTGGCAAAACCGCAATTACGAAGCCACCAACTTCGATGTCTTCTTCTTCTTCGTCGTCGTGGATGAAATCGAAGGATCCGAGGATTGTTAGGGTGTCACGCGCCTTTGGAGGCAAAGACCGTCACAGCAAAGTGTGTACGCTGCGTGGTCTACGTGACAGACGCGTGAGGTTATCAGTCCCCACCGCTATTCAGCTCTATGATCTTCAAGAACGTCTCGGCGTTGACCAGCCTAGCAAAGCCGTTGACTGGTTGCTCGATGCAGCTAAAGAGGAGATCGATGAGCTTCCTCCGTTGCCCGTCTCGCCGGAAACATTCAGCCTCTTCAACCATCATCAGTCGTTCTTGAATCTTGGCCAACGGCCGGGTCAAGATCCGACCCAACTCGGGTTTAAAATCAATGGATGTGTAGAGTCGTCTACTAGCCGTGAAGAAAACAACAAGGAGAGGGGAGAGAACGATGTCGTTTTCACAAACAGTCATCATATTGGGTCTTATGGAACCTATCACAATATGGAACATCATCATCAACAACATTCGAGTTTTCAGGCAGATTATCACCATCATCAACTACATAGTCTTGTCCCGTTTCCATCACAAATCTTGGTGTGTCCAATGACTGCATCATCAACAGCAACAACTATACAATCTTTGTTTCCATCATCGTCATCAGCTGGTTCCGGGACTATGGAAACAACGGATCCGAGACATATGGTAAGCCATTTTCAAATCCCATTAATGGCTAGTTCTTCATCTTCGACACCCCAAAACATTTCGACTTTATATTCATTGTTACATGGTAGTAGTAGCAACAATGGTGGCGGTAGTAACATTCATAACCGGATGTCGTCGGTCCAATTAAACCGGACAAGTAGAGGAAGTGAACACCCAATGTGAAATTAGATTATGGAAACCATTGATGTTCGATGTGTTCACAAGTGAGGGGACACATAACAAAAATAATAAGGTAGTTAATATTGTACTATCTTTTTGATTTTCCTGGTATATTTCTAAACAAGTTAATGTTATAGTAAATTTATTGTTGACTTGTATTTTAGCATGCATGTGCTCCAAGCTATATACATATTTAGCTTCCTCGTAGGATCTGAGTAAACACAAACACAAACACATTTCACAACATGAAATGTAATTAGTTTATTTAGGGCTCTTTGTATAAGTAACTGAAAAGTGAAAATTATCTATGTATAAGTAACTGAAAAATGAAAACTATGCATTAACATTCCTAGCAAAAAAAAAAAAAAATATATATATATATATATGTATCAAAACTTGAAAATGACAAACTACAGAAAAGATCGGATTCGTCGAGAGATGTCATAATAATGTGAAATCATTATAGTCTATTAGTGATGATATGTTAATCGAGGTAAATATGAGTTTGTGTTTCTATTTGACGCGGAGTGCATTGTGATGATGATTTATGATTAGCCAAGATTTTAATCCATAAATCCAGTTACCCAACCAAAACACCCTAACATTGTAATATACGGATATGTCATGTGAATCTAAATAATATAAAACTCAATGATCAGATAGAAAATTCACTGTGGATGGTTTGAGCACACAATAAGTGTCCTATTACCTAGCATTTTAGGTCGCAGTTAAACTCAAGATACTAAATTATTAACATGCCGTTTCCAGTTAAACTAATTTAAGATTACTAGGCTAAATGCTCTTGTCGTTTCTATATGTTAAGTACTCAAACAAATTTGTAGTATCACATGCATGCTCATCCACTACAAATGTTGTGCTATCGTATAGATACTATACACATTTATGATACAGCATATACAAATGTATATAGTGGGATGTAATGGGAGGATATATCATATATATATATATAACGAAGGGGAAATAGTTAATTAGGGGTAATAGAGATAAAAGCTGAATGATGGTGTGTACGATCTTTGATTGATTAGAGTGAAAAGGCTACCGATCCAATGCTCTGTGACTCTGTCATGTATCATCATACTTTCTGCAAAAAGCTTCCATGTCGATCTCTAGCTATCATTCATGTATGTATATATTTATTATATATATTTGAAAGTTTGCCAAATATATAATATATTGATAGTAACGAGATGGTAGACTAAATGCCTATTTTAACCAAACCGAACCTAGAAACCAATATGATTTTGAAATGGAATTTTCATTTGAATTATCTGGTATTACGGTCTTTCTAATCACACCGCCGTAATTGAAACCAAACTAGATTACTTTGAAGAAGAAAAAAAGAGTAACTTTTTATTTCATTATTGGACTTACTAATATATCTCGTAATAAGGCACTATTCATATGTTTCAATGATTAAATTGAGATTTATTATTGTGAGATAAATGAAAAGTTTTTTAAAAAAAGATTAAATAAAGAATGACTGATCAGATATCGGATTGAAAAACTCTAAATAGGAGCAAGTCAATATACTTAGACATGCGATATATATAAAATGTAAAGATTGTGATTAATTATCCTTATTTTCGTAACTTGGTGATTGTGATTATCATATATAGCCTAGTGATATCTTCCTTAACTTAACTAACAAAACTAGCAAGAATGAAAACAATTCTAATGGGTTTCTGTTTTTTCTTATAACTATTTTTTGGAAACAATTGGAGTGTTGATGCTTAATTATCTCCAAGAACGTTTAGTCGCAGCATTCTTCTGTTAATTTGCTTTGTTTTTACGAACAAATATCGTTGGTATTTGGGCCAACCTTCGAGGAGCCATCTTCTTGAAATTTTATTTGATATACGTAGAAAGCCCAGGAAGCCCTCTCGAATTTAAGCTATTTTAATTACATTTTTTATAAAGTTATTTTGTAAACTTTTGGTACTTACGGAAATGCCACATCACTTTAGGGTATTTAAGGAAATGTTCCAAAACTTTTAAAAAATGTAATTAAACGAAATGTTCCACATCACTTTAGGGTATTTAAGGAAATGTTCTGATATTTATGGAAATACCATAATACTTTATAGTATTTAAGGAAATGTCTCATAACTTTATACTATTCAAGCAAATGCCCCAACACTTTAGAATATTTTAATAAATGCCCCTGTACTTTTGATATTTACGGAAATGGTAGATTACTTCAGTGTATTCAAGTAAATACCCCTTAATTTCAAACTATTTAAGTAAATGTTCCAGAACTTTGGAATATGTTACGGAATACTCCCATTATTTCTGATATTTACGGAAATACCCCACTACTTTATAGTATATAAGGAAATTTCCCGTAACTTTTATACTATTCAAAGAAATGCCTCAATGCTTTAGAATATATTAAGAAATGCCCCAGTACTTCTGATATTTACGGAGATAGTAGATTACTTCAGTGTATTCAAGTAATGCCCCATAACTTTAAACTATTCAAGTAAATATCCTAGCACTTTGAAATATTTACGGAATACTCCCAATATTTCTGTTATTTACGTAAATACCCCAATACTTTATAATATTTAAGGAAATTTCCCACAAATTTATACTATTCAAGAAAATGCCCCAATACTTTAGAATATTTAAAGAAATGCCCAGTACGTCTGTTATTTACGGAGAAGCCCCCATTACTTTCGGGTATTTAAGAAAATGTTCATGAACGTTATACTATTCAAGAAAATGCCCCAACACTTCGTAATATTTTATATAATGCCCTAGTACTTCCGATATTTACGGAAATGCCTCAATACTTTAGGATATTTAAGGATTGTCCCATAACTTTATATTATCAATTAAATGCCCCAACACTTTTGTAGTATATTAAGAAATGGCCCAGTACTGCTGAGATTTACGGAAATGTTCAATTACTTCAGGGTATTTAAGGAAATGTCCCATATTATTAATCTATTCAAGGAAATGCCCCACTACTTTAGGGTATCTAAGGAATTGTCACATAACTTTAAACTATTAAAGGAAATGCCCCATTACTTTGGGATTTACAGAAATTTCGTTTCAGGGTTTCCCGCAGTAATTGTTGACATCATCGCTCTATGTTACCTATAAAATAATCCGATTAGTAAAAAGATGAATGGTGGCTTCTTACGAAAAAAGGATTAGCTTTATTCTTGTTTCTATAAAACTCCGTTGCTCCTCTATCAGTTAACGAAACTCTCAAAATCTAACACTTCTCCCACTCTTTCTCTTTCTCTTTCTCTGTATCTCTTTTTCGTCTCGCCTTCTCTTTGGATCGAGAGTGTTTAACTTCGAGCTAGGTTTTAAATCGTATTCGAATCCCCAAATTCTGCGCCTTTTCGTTCCCTAGTACTTCTGTAAATTTCCTCAATTTCACTTCTTCGCTAGGGTTTTTCCTCACTGGGTTCGCCGCCGGTAGCTAACGAAGTTTGTCCGTCCTTCTTCCTCGGCGAATTTGTTCCTTGGGGGATTTACAATGGAGAAAGCTTCTTCTCCGGTAAGCAATTAACTTCCCTTAATCGAATTCGCTTACTCTCTCGAATTTGGTTTGTTGCTTTTCTATTGCGGTCGATTGGACCCGATGAGTTTCTAGGGTTTCGCTGGGAACGAGTAATCTTAGTGACCGGAGCAGGATTGATCTGTCAGTAAACTCAATTTTCAATTGTTATTTTTTGCTGGGCAAATGTAGGAATTTAAGTCTTTATTATTTGTTTCTGGGTTTAATTCCAGAATTGATTCTGATGTTTTATCCTCTCTAATCATTGTTAGGTGTCAAAGTAGAGAACTTCGTGGGAAATGAATTGATTTTGTGCTTCTCAGAGGGATGCGTGTGGTGTTGGTTTTTCATTCAAGAAATGGTTCTACATGTTATGTTGGGTGAAGTTGTAAGAGACTTTGAAATCCTATGAACAATGGAGTTGGGGAAGGTGGAAGTCAGAGCAGAGAAGTACACGGCAAGAGAAAGCTTTTTCAAGGCAATGATTTTGCGTACGCCATAGCGAGAATGTCAGTGGCTCAGATTTGCGAGAGTGCAGAGATTAATGTGTACCAGGAATCACAGACACGCGAGGGCGTTAGGTTCAGTTCGTTTCAAGAATGCGCTCTCGAAACACTAACCGATGTAGCGGTTCAGTATATACAGAGCATTGGGAAGACTGCTCATTTGTATGCTAACATAGCCGGTAGAGTAGAGGGTAATTCTCTCGACATTGTTCAGGCACTAGAGGATTTGGGATCTGGTTTGGGTTTCGCTGGTGTTTCAGACACCGACCGTTGTCTTGCTGATTCCGGTGTAGTCAAGGATATCATTCGTTATACAGGAGAAGCGGAGGAGGTGCCGTTTGTTTATTATCTCCCTCGTTTCCCAATCAACAAAGAGAAAAGACCTGCTCCTAGTTTCTCTGAGGTTGGAGCAGAACCTCCAGATGAGCACATCCCTGTTTGGCTTCCAGCATTTCCCGAAACCAAATTGTGTAATGGATCCGAGGAAACTACTGTAGGCACAATCGAAAAAGAGGTTCCGAATAAAGAAAATGGGTCATCTTTGTTGAGTATACAGCATTCTTTCAATGGTGGTAGGGTAGAAGTTCTTAAATCCCCAAATGATGTTCGAAAATCAACAGAAGGAGATGAAGAAGTGGAAGGTAATCCGTTTCTTACCGCACCTCTTCGTTTCGTGGAGAAGGAAGTTTCACCTGTGTTTCGCCCTTTGGAGCTTTCAAATGATGTTGTTAGCATCGACCAGGTTCGTGATAAGCATATGAGCAACAACCGTCACATCCCATATCTTGAGGCATCGGATGAGATCAACAAGAAGAACAGGTTAGCCGAATCCGAGGATGGAGAGAAGAAAGGTGGTGCAAGACTACAACAAACTTTGGTACGTTTCAAGGTTGGGGCTCTAAAGAGACCTTCGTGTTTGGCAATCAACCGGAGCGTCCAGGAACAGGGGTGGTTTCAAGAAGGTGAAGACAAGAGGGAGAAGGAGCTAGAATTCGAAGACAAACGCGGAATTGTCGACTCAGATGTGAAATACTAGGTTTGATGTCATTTTAGAATTTGTTGACTGAACAACTTTGCATTCTGAGTTTAGTGATCGTTTGCAATTGAAGTACGTTACCTTTTAGGGTCACTTTTTTTACTAATTCAAAATGATGGGAGAAAGAGAAGATTGCTTGGCCTTTAGCTTCATTTGCTGGTCGCATATTATTCTGATTGACCAATCAATATGCTCTTAGCACTTGTCATTTTTATTAATTAGAGCTGTATATATATATGCTGGTTACACAGACAAGTAGGAATGAACCAAAGTTCTCCTCTGTAAGTTTTCTTCATTTACAATTCTAAGTGATACTCATAATAAAAATTAATAGAAGCAAACTTCATTAACCAAGTCTCTGAAAATCATTCTCTCAATATCTAACACTAAGCCTGGAGTCTCTCCTTCAAACCCCTTCAAGTTCATGCCTTGAGTTTGCAAGTCCTCCCGTATGATGACTTCCTCCTCGTCCTCCATAATACACTTTGAGCTCTTCTCTTGTAACCTATCAATCTCCCAACACAGAGTCTGCAGAAGTCGCTCCCCTTTTGATATTCTCTCCGTTGTTGTAAGCGGGTTTGCGGCTAACCGCGGTTTGGTATTGCCTTCTGCAGTGAACCTCTGAGCTAGAATCTCGTTAACGGTGTCAAAGACGAGTTTTCTCCTGATTTTCGCTGTCGAATTTTTCTGCTGTTGTCTGAACCCTCTGCCTCTGTTTTTGTTGTCCAGTAGATTCGCCTTGTTCTGCTCTAGGATGAAGAACAGTCCAGGATTGATGGGGAGACGCGCTTGGTTCAGCTGGATGCTTATCATGCTGTATTCAAGATCTCTTAGAAGCCCCGATGCCAACAATATCTCCGAGATGTACTTGTGGTCGCCACTTTTGAAGTCTGCATCTTCTTCAGGGAAGCATTCGAGGAGATCAGAGTCTGGCTGCGTTGGACCCCTGTTATTCTCAGGTAATAGTATGGATCTGCAGACGCCCGTGGGCTTGTTTATCCACACAGATTCTTCAGAACGTAGAACATCGTCCTCTGGTAAGAGAAGAAAGAAAAGGTTACAACTTTACTCAAACCAAAACCTTGTGAATCCATGTTGCTAATTGACATCGATGAGCTTGTGATCGCTGCGATATATGAACTAGTCACTAATCAATCTGAAGATATACAATAGACTAACCTCTGAAACTTAGGGAAATCTTCCTCACAGGGGACGGTGAATCCTCGTCGTCGAAGGCTGCATCAAGAACTGAAACGGGGCTCGGTTGTTCAACGGTAACTTTCAGAGGTTTAAGAGATGGTCTGTCTTGTTTGATTCCAAAGTCTGGACTCTGCATCAGTAAACAGAAGAGATTCAGTTATCTGACACCAGTGAATTAAAATTGAGAAGTGAAGACTCTTGAGAGAAACAAATCTGTTTCTTACCCTTTGTTTTGGCTCTGGGGAGTCACAGTTTCTCTCCAACCGATGTCTGCTTGTAACCTCGATGTCAACATTCGATCCCAAGCTAATGTTGTGGTCAGATCTTAGACTTCTCAAGTCACTGCTTGCATCGCTTAACCGGTCATCAGGTTGCTGAAGAGTAGTGCGAGATTTTATCCCCTGTTTCCTTCCTGGTGAGGCTGACTCCATTTGCTGCCTACCGAGCCGCCTTTGGATCTTGCCTGGCTCTGATTTTGGAGTTGTGGGCCGGGACTGCCCGAGCTTTTTGGGCTGCGTTCTTGGGCTAACACTTTGCTGCTGGCTCCTACCTGAACAAGAATCTGCCGCCAAAGCTTGCCTCGACCTTAATGGTTTTGGGCTTGTGCTCTTCGCCGGATCGAGTTGTCCCTTGTAAAGGCCTGCCCTTGGGGTTAAATCCATCGCGTTCTGCTTTTTTCGAGTTTGTCTGGGGCTGCCAACGTTGACATTTGGTAAGGCGGCGTTCTGTGGCAGCGAAGAGGTGGAGACTGGAGCTGCTGGCTTCATGACAACGACTGATGAAGTTTTAAAGTTGATGGCTGGAGATGTTCTAGCTGGAACTGGCTGGTGAGTTCTCTGCATCAGAGCTCTGTTATCTCTGCTTCCGTCCATCAACCGCTGCGTCTTCTCCATAGATTCAAGTATTTGCTTCAGAGCTCTGAGATCTTTTCCCGACTTTGTGAACTCCAACTGCGTAAGCCGCTTCTGAATTTCTCCGTAAACCGTCAGTGCAGCTTCGCCTGCTTTCATTTGCTTCCATGGAGCAGGTTCCATGGGAAACTTAGAAGCAGCTGAGGCAGGTATCTTCTTGATCGAATCAACGCTTCTAGACCTCTGTAGAGCTGTTGGTTCCACTCTGGACATTGGCCTTGGGGAGTCGCAAAACCGGTTTTCTTTTCTCTGCTCGGTATCAAAATTGTCTGCAGTGACTTCAAGACCCATCAGTTTGGCAACGACACTCGAACTCGATCTTCTGTGAATCATTGTTGCTGGTTCCTCCGGTGAACAACTTGATCTCCCGGCATCAGCTCTGGGACTCTTAGAGGAATTGGATCTACTATCCAATGACAACCTCGGTGTCTCTTTCAACTTCGGGCCCGTCTTGTATCCGTTGTTCCTCGTCTCCCTCTCATCATAAGAAAGCCGATGACTTTCCTTAAACTTCGCGGCCATTCCTCTTCCCTCATTACAGCTCCGAGATGGCGAACGCAATGATGATTCTTTGAGAAGCGACATGCTAGTTCTAGCTGAATTCGGCTGCTGCTGAGTGGAGGCTGCTGCTTCGTCACCTCTGCTTCTCATCTCTCTGTTAATAGAGCCTTTCACAAGCTCCTTCAGATCATACAGCAACATCAGGCCACCGTGGGGCTGTTCTCTGATCAGATTCTCACCAGGCTGGTCATATTGAGAAGCTGTGGTACTGACGTCTGCAGACGAGAAGCTGGAGGAGCGTGGGGAAGATGAAAACGAAGGCCTTGAAGAGGATTCGGAAGAGACTCTATGCTTTTCCTTTATTGCAGACTTCTTCTTCTTCTTGGTACTTCTCTCCTGCAATTATAAAAGTCTCTGTTTCTTTCAGGTTTTCTTTTTCCCGAATTCTCATTTCTTAGACATGAGTAAAAAACCTGGGTTTGGAATCTTACCGTTTCTTTATCACTTTCCATGTTAATTTCACCGACAAGATCTTTTCCTTCTCCTGCAAAAATATCTCCTTGTTCTTAGCTATAAGCATATTAACCAGTAGTTTTGGTTCTAGTGAAACTCCTCTGTTTCTTTGTGGTCCTAAACATTGAACTAAGATTTAGTAAGAGAGAGAGAGAATGTAAATTACCTAGAGTCGAAGACTTTTCTACATCGCCGGAGACGGCGGCTGGTCTCGCCGGATAATGTTGCCGGTAAAACACTTGAAAGATCCCATTCATGCATCCAAACTGTTTATTCAGGTTTGGGTTCTCATCTGACAAGTTATACAGAAGTTTTGCAGACATCTCTTCTTCTTAACTCTTATCTCAAAAAGGACAACTAGAAAAAGTTTCACAAACTCAAGATTTTCTTCATACTCTGTTTTTGCAATTAACAATGTCTTCGTCTTTTTACTCTGTTCTTGTTTTAACGATTTTCTCTGTGTTTGAAAGGAAGAGGAAAATAAGAAATGGAACAAGAAGAAGCCAATATTAAGGACAAGTTATAGCTTCTTGTGAAGTTATGAGCAGACAACAGATTAGGTTACTCGGTGTTTCGCTTGGAGGCTACCTTGAAGGAGAAAGAAGAGAAGGGAAAGAAAAAAAAGGTTTCGTTTTTATTTTTTTGAGAAAGAGGTTTTTATCTTTAAAGGCAAAAAGATACAACTGTCAAAGGAGGCTTTGAAGCATATATAATGTAATGAATGTTCATGTGTTAACATGTAAGTAAGATTATACACGTAAGAAACTTTTTTATTTCTTTTTTTTTTTTTTTTTTGACGACAGAAACTTTTTTATTTCTTTAGTATATATCTCTATTAATCTTATACTGTATGATGCTTTAATTATGTCAGAGCTCTGAAAATTCTGCTTGGCAAATAATGAGGGATCTGGTTCACCTCTTAAAGATGAAAGTTATGCTTATGCACATGAGAGCACAAGGCAACTCAGTATAGAAGAATTAAATGCTTTTTGAATTTCGGGAAAATGGGTTATATTTTAGATCCATTGTAAGAAAATGTTAGGTTCGTGTTTATATATTTATTTAATTATCTCAATGTGTTGGTATAAATCAATTATTTGAGTCATTTGGAAAAATAATTTTATTAACTAGCAGTTGATAGTTAAATCACTATTTCTATTATATAATTAAACGTACAGTAGATCATAGTTCTGATAATACTAACATCTATCTCTTAATAATAACAATAACAGCAATACGAGTGAAATGAATGCAAACAAAATTTTGTTTATGACTTATAAATATAATTAGCTAAGTTATACATATATATATATATATAATCAGCTAAGTTGTTTTTACACATCCATGTGGACAAAATAATGTAGGTGGGTCTTTATAAGTCTTGGTGCCCCTTTACATGTGCATGTGGAGTTTGTCAGAAACACACAGCATATTTTGGAAAATAAATCTATTTATCTTAAAGGATAAGAGAAATTATTATTTGTATTTTAATGGCAGCACAAAATCAAAATAAATTATTAGGAGAGAAAGTGGATTGGTGAACTGGAAGAAAGCTTGCATGGTCTGAGATTGGTGGGTCTTACAAGGAATTGTTCAAACATAGATTTTTTTTTTTGTCGACGAACAAGGATATTACTTAGTTATTGAAAGTAACTAATTTATATGGAAAACGTTTTGCTGATGCAGAAATTTCAATAGTTACTGATAGACTGTATAATAATGTATATGCAACTGAGTTAAACTGTGAAAGCAAATTATATTTAAAGTTTCTGCGTATATGAACGACCACATTTGTGAACTGTGAATAGCAAACAAAAAATAATATCTAGTGAATGATGAATTAAGTTTTGTAGAGATGCCACAAGTAGTATCAAATGTTCATTGCTTCGGAATGGTTATTATAAAACAATAGTCGGTTGCTTATGTATTAAACTACATGCTTAAAGATGATGTAATAACTTTTTGCATGTGAATTAATATATTAAAACTTAGGGAATCTGGCAAATAAAAATATTGCAGAGAATTATTATAATACAAAGTCGTCGTCTTTTAGTTTTTGTCTTGGTTGATTTGAGGGTTTATGTCCTTAGATGTACTAATCACAAAAAGCTTGTGGGCATATCACGTGCTTTGTTCCACAATGTGCTGTGAAGAAGGTGGGGTTTGTGACTTCTTATCTATTTAATTTATCTTCTATTTTTAAATGTTTTTCTTTCGTTCACATGAAAACAAAAACTAATTGATTTGACCTTGGAAGTACCAAGGAATATACTATTACACATGGGTATTAGGTTTTCAAATATTGTACCATAATCAATACATTCATACTATAACAAATCTACACTATATATTCATGGGTGTGTGCGGTTATTATTGCTCTTAACAATCGACTCTACTGACTACGAATAAACTGATGAATGATTCAAGGATTTTACTGTTAGTTTGTATAAATGGGTTCATGATTATTATTGCATCAAAACAATTATATTACATATAGGATGAAAAGCAAAATACGCAGTGTTGTCAAAATGTTGAATCGTTAATAAAATTGGTAGAATCATTTATAGAATTAAGTATATATGGCAATGAGTATATGAAATGCTCCAAACATATACTTCGCTCCATTAGATGAAATTAATCTAGATTTCGTAATCAAATAAATACAGGGAAAATAATAATAGAGAAATGAAAAAGAAAGACAAAGGGAACAAAATCACATGAAACAATTGTATAAGTGACTTGAGTGTTGGGGTTGATAGGGAACCAACTAAGCAAAATACATTTTCACTAATAATAATAATAATAATAAAAATAATTAAGTTCAAATTAATAAATAATTAGATATAATGAGGGTGTGTATTCCTTTACGTTAAGTTTCAATGTTCAATTTATTTAGTTCAATTATTGGCACATGATCCCACTGATCACCCACCCATCCAACATTTGCTTAATTTCACCATTAATTTCTGTGGGGTTCTCTACTTTGATTTCGACTGCCAACATTACATACACATCTTCGTATAGTTATATATATAACTCGATAGTTAGGTTCTTAGATACACATATAAATCCGGCTATATATATGTAGGTGAATCTTCGATTAACTGGATTATAAATATTATAATATGAAAAATACTTGTTTCAATTTAGTATATCTCATAAATTGATGACTATGAAGCATAAAGTTAAACGATGAAGCATAGAGAAAGTTAAACGAGGAGCCGAGTCAAGATTCCTTTCTTCATCATGATTATAACCATTTAACCCAAAAAAGAATATTATAATTTATAACGATTAGTATAGTTCGATATATAATGTCACATGCGACGGATCTAAAAGTCGGAAGACCAACAATAATATAAAGTTCCAATAACAATCCCTGTTAGTTATACGTATACAATATACAATGCCACATCGCTATCGGTCTTAAATTTGACGTTGGTCTTAAATTCTTAATTAACAGTCCAAAGTATAATATATTGTGTCTTAGTACCCAAAGATTTAATTATGAGTTCCATATTAGTTGATAAAAAAATGAAAAAATCCAAACCGAGTAGTTCTTGTCCTGGCTACACGATTTCCTTTTTTCTTGATCAACAGCTACATGATTAGATTACCATTAATGGTTATATTATATCTAGTGTTAGAAAAAAGGGAGAAAAAAATAAAATTACCAGACCAGTAGTATACGTAATTTTAATGATTAAATCGTGATAGTTCATATTTAATATAATTGTGTATAATCTTCTTTCATATTCACATGGTCATTTCATTCATAAAAATACACTTTTGTTTATATAATATATATAAAGCAATTTTGATCAAGGAAACGAGCCATTACCATAGTTTTTCGGTAAGATTAGTTGAAGATGCTTGCTTCATTGGAATGTACAAGTTAACTATTAAAGTGATCATAACCAGCTAGTGTTATATATACAACTAGATCATATATATCCATATTATATAGTTTATGAGATTTTCTAAAACATAATATCTTTACTATACCAATGTATCCACCATTTCTATTCGATTTTAATTAAAAGCGGGAAGAAAAACCGAAAAAAATGCCAAACTGACGTTTCATCTTATTTAATTTCGTCAGAGACGATTTAGGTTCAAATTGAATACATTTAACGCAGAAAATAATCAATTAGATTTTTGTCGAATTTGTTTGATTATACTAGCTTTAAATTATTCCTCGAGTTGTGCCAGTCATGTAATGGGGCCTTTATTTTCATTTATCTAAACCCATAAGGTAATTAAAGCTCACAAGTTCATGTACCTTGGAGTTTGTTTAGATTCTCCTTTTCTCGAAATTTCTTTAAAATAATACTTTCTTGACCGAAAATACATTGTGTTTGACACATAGAGAAAATAAATGGAATCATAATAATATGAAAAAAGAAGAAGAAGAAGCACAAACACTTTGCAAAACGGGCATAATACAGTTGCAAAAGATGAAGTATGGAAACCATGCAAGTATCATATGCTTTCTCTGCCAATAAAAATGACGACCACTTTTCTTTTTCCTATCTTTTATTCTCTCTTAATATTCAAAATGTGCTCATCATTTCGATGTTTTTAAAATTATACACATTTAATAAAAAGTTTGCAGATCATTTGGTATCGCAACTTCGACAACATAGTCATCGCAATAATTATGGTTAGAACTTAGAAGCATCATAGAGCTCCGCTCATTTTTTAAACCAAAATTACAAACTTTTTTGCTTTCTTGTTATATATGTAAGAAAAAACAATAAGCTACAGCCATTTTTTTTTTTTTGGGTTGGAATAAATTTAATAATCTATTTTCTAAAAAAAATATGATTACTGCGACCAGTTCATCGATATATATACTAACAAATGACGTAGTTAAGCAAGCTTTTATTAATTTTCTATTATCTACGCATACTTGAGAACCCAAAAGAAAAACGGTATGGCTAAATCTCTAAAAGATATAGGAATCATTTTTGATTTTCCCCTTAGACTATCCACGAGATCATTTACTTTCCAATAATTAATTTAAGGTCGAGCAGGAAAAGTTGTTTGTACTTTTAAAAAGAGGAATGGGCGCAAAATGAAAAGTAAAAGAGAGATTCAAAGCAGATTTTAAATTATTTTAACATGTCGTCATTGCCATCTTTCAACATCACTTAAGATCCTTAAAGAAGTCAACGAGGAAATCTCGTTCGTAGGATGAATTGATGATCGTACATATTCTGATGATGATCATACTCGAAGTCATGGGTTCACACACAATGGGTTAAAATTTTCTTCTTTTCTGTTAGAATTTTCTCAAAAGAAAATGCTTCTCATTCTCCTCTCTTTTTCTTAGAAATTGTCTTCTTCGTGTTTACCGATTTTTGAAGGTTATTATTGATATTTTTACAAATACTTTAGAGTTGTTTAAAAAAGAAGAAGGAAATAACTCCATTGCGGAGTGTTTTGATCTGTGATCCCTTCATTTCGTCGAACAAAATTTCCTAATCTGTTAGAACTCGACAACTTAAGAGTTAAGATGATATACATTTTATTACTATTTATGTATACATTAAAACAATGCATGGATCGAACGTTCTATGTCTATAAAACAAGAAACAAACTGAAGTTGAGATCGAAACCTAGTCTACTATAGTAAGTTAGCTTTGATAAATAATAATACTCCTCCATAGATGAAAACTTTCTAAAGTCGTTGATATATGGAGCTGCGAGGCTGTATTAAGTAAAAACTCTAGAAGGCCCATAAAGCCCATTATGGATTTACTTTTTCTCTCATCTCTCTCCCGTGCATATCCTTTTCTCCTCCTTGATTTGCGGCCAATCGAAGAGGAAGAAGAAGAAGATAGTACAGAGAGGTAAAAACTAATCCTTTTGATCTGTCTTATTACGTGTCTTTAATCGCCCAACTGTAGTCCAATCGGGATCTTCTGCTCATCTAAATATCCGATCTGATCAAAACAAACTTGGATACATTTTCAAAATTTCAGATCGGAAAAAGAAAGATGGGTAAAGCAAGAGGAGTGAATAATGGTGTTAATCAAAGCTCCCTCGGCTATCTCTTTGGTTCCGGGGAGTCTCCTTCCGCCGCCGCCTCAACAATGGGGACCACAACGACGACAACCACAACAACTACCACCGACGGAACCGGAGGGAGACCAGTTACGACCACGACGACCACCGTCACTGATAATAAGAAGACACCTGCGGGTGTTAGAGGAAGCCCTAATAACTACTTCAGATCAGAAGGCCAAAACTGTGGAAACTTTCTCACGGTGAGGGGTGCTTAAAGAGTTACATTTTGAGATTAAAAGAGTTGAATTTTCGATTTGGAAACTGATAAAACCCAAAAATGTGTCTTGTTGGTTGATGACAATGACAACAGGACAGGCCATCAACTAAGGTTCATGCTGCTCCTGGTGGAGGATCTTCTCTTGGTTATCTATTTGGAGGACCAAATGCTGCTGAATCTGGAAACAAATAAAGTTACTACTTTTCCGATTTGTAAATCATCAAATGTGTGCCTAAATCATCCTCCATAAACCTGGTGTGATTCTTTGTGATGGGAGGGCGATGTTTGAATTTCATCTCTTCTTGTGTGCTTGTAGAAAGATATTTCAGACAATTGTTTTTTTTTATCAGAATTTTTAAGAAAGGTTTCAAGTCAAAACAAGAAATGACCAAGGTTGCAAATCAGAGCCTTTTCACAATCTACTTATCGAATATGTTTCAATCATAAACTAGAAGCCGAGTCAAATCAATACCAGACTGTAACAGAAAAAGGATTGAACTTTCGGAACTCATATTCATGAACTTTCACAACTCATAATCATGCATTACGCAAGTCTAAGATTTAACATCGCAAAGCCACAAAACCAAGAAAAAAACTAAAACTTTTTAAGTCTAAAAGACAATTCCGAAGATAAAGGTAAAATTAAGAATGAAACTCGAACGATTCTCTGCCATGGCAGCGATGATCTAGAACCCTAGCTTGGTACGGCGCCAGTGCCTACGCTTAGAGTTGTACCTGTGTGAAGAAGAAAACAATGGAACTCAGTATTGAAGATTACAACTTACAGGGACAACAAAAAGCCTTGACAATCTAAATAGAGCAAAAACCTGATTTTGTTATCGGTACGGAGACGGATCCAACCAGGGATTGGTCTGTTCTGTCTCATCTTCTTCCCAAGCTTCTTCTTGATTACGAACGTCTTGTGCGACGGCTATATCAGACATCATCAAATCAATAAGGCGAAGAAAAAGTAACGAGGGAGAAAATTACGGAGGAGAGAGTGAAAAATATTAATATTTACCATCTTGACTCTCTCTCTATCGGCGAACTTGAGGTGGCAACGGTGACGAACCGGCGGAACACGGCGGCTCTAAAACCCTAATCTCGAATGTTTGATTTGACCGAGGAAGAAAAAACATTTTTATAAGGGTTGCGAATTAAAATCTCAATCTTGACCGTCGATTTTTCTTATGGGTTAATTAGCCGTCCGATGCTTAAACCGTTCATTTTCGTGAACCCGATCCGGTTTCGGATAAACTGAACCGGAAAAGATAAAATGTTGGATTAGGGTTGCTTTCTTCTTCTCTTTCGTCTCTCTCTGCTCGGCTGCTGAAACAAGTTTTAATTTCGGGCTTTTCTTCTTCAGCGCCGCCGGGAAGAGTGCAGAGCTAAGCTAAGCCATGACGACGATTGTTCCCACTTCCGAAGAAGATCCGTTTCTCGCTGTTGTCCGATTCACTTCCCAGCTCGCCTGGGCTGATGCTGGTCCCGAGGTATAACCACACCTTGTCTCTGGGGAAATTTGGAATTTCTATTCTTTGGAAAATTTGACCTGTTTTATATTACTTGTTTTCGAAGATCTGATTGGTGATGGATGAGTGATAGACTAGAAATTAGATTGTAATCTTTGCGCGTTGCTGCAGTTGGATTCTTTAGGGCTATAATAGTTTGTAATCTTTCATGATTCTGATTCATATGATACATTCAGCAATCTAAGATTAGTCTAGTTGAGCAACTTCCTAACGTATCGTTTGAAATTGTATTCTTTGCTCAGGCTGCAGAGCCAGAGATTACCAGGCTATGTAGAGAGGCTGAGGACTCAATAGTAGCAGAAAAGTGGTTGGAATTAGCTTCGTTAATGGTAACTTCAGCTGAATTGGTGTCTTCCAAGATATCTGAGAAAGGTTTGTGTCCCCTTCACGCAGTGCGTATCTTTTGTATGTTGCTCAAATACTCATTTATCAGTAGTTTGATGTGGTTTGCCTCTTTGATGCAGATCTTGAGTGTACCTACACCATCATTTGCAGTCTTGTCAAGAAGGCGAATAACCCTGACGATGTCCTCGAATTGGTGAAAGCCATATCTTCTAAGGTTGTTCAACAACCGAATGACAAAGCTTCGCTTCGTTTGAAGATGTATGATTCTTTGCAGCTTATATGCTAATGCTTTTATTAATAAATATTAACATACTTCTGATTTTTTTTATTTTTTTTATAATCTGTTTATGTATAGCCTCTTCAATCTGTATAACCTACTGGACCACCCGTATGCTCGTTTTCAAGTGTACATGAAAGCTCTAACACTGGCTGTTGACGGGAAGGTTACTGAGTACATAGTTCCTTCGTTTAAGAAGATGGACAACTTTTTGAAAGAGTGGAATATTGACATTAAAGATCAGAGGGAACTCTTCCTTGCCATTGCTAATGTCCTGAGAGAAAACAAAAGGTACTGATTTATAACCCTTTGCCTGCTTCTTTCGTTTCCTTTTAGGTATATAACAATAGCCTCATGGTTTTCCTATCAATATTTCCAGCTTGGTGAAAGAATCCCTTCAGTTCTTGACGAAGTATCTGGCGACTTTCTCCAATGAGGATGCTCAGGTCCTAGATGCAGCTAAGGAGGAGGCTGTGCGTGCAGTTACTGAATTTGTTAAGGCTTCAACTATCTTCCAGGTATCATATAATTCATAAAAGCATAATGTGATTTCAGCTCTGTAAGATTCGTCTTTCTTGTTCTGTATCTTGTTGGAAATTTCATCGGCGATTTTTTAAAAAAAAACTGCAGTGTGATTTATTGGATTTGCCAGCCGTAGCACAGCTGGAGAAGGATGCTAAATATGCACCGGTTTACGAGCTGTTGAAGATCTTTCTTACTCAGAGATTGAGTGCCTACACGGAATTCCAAAACGCAAATTCGGGATTTCTGCAAAGCTATGGTACTAAAATTAACAAGCCTTTTTACTGCTTTTACTGAAACATGAACTCCTGGTGAATCAATATCCGGTGTTTCGTAGGACTTGTGGATGAAGATTGTGTAGCGAAGATGAGGCTGTTGTCACTAGTGGACTTGGCCTCAGATGAATCTGGCAAAATACCTTATGCATCAATTAAGGACACTTTACAGGTAAACGAAGAGGAGGTTGAGTTATGGATCGTGAAGGCAATAACAGCGAAACTGATTGATTGTAAGATGGATCAGATGAACCAAGTTGTAATTGTCAGGCAAGTCACACACATCTTATAGGAGTTGTCCATTTGTTATTATATACATGTGTATGCAACATTCATAATATGATGGTATTGGCATATTTTGCAGCCGCTGCTCGGAGCGTGAATTCGGGTCAAAGCAATGGCAATCACTTCGAACTAAGCTCGCGACTTGGCGGGTAAATACAAAACTTCACTTCATTTTCATACTAAACATGTCCTGAATCTGATTAGTTTGTTTTCCTCCGTGTCATGTGTTAGGATAACATTGCTAACGTCATAAGTACAATCGAATCGAACAAGGTAACGGAGGAAGGTTCTCAGGCATCATCATCATCTACTGCAGCGATTCAAGGCTTGGCTGTTCGTTAAGAAGATAGAAAAACCGAAATCTTTTGTCTTCTTTAAAAGCTTTATTCTCTGCGTATTTGCTTGCAGAGCTTTTTAATTATTTGAATCCTTTGTCTTTGAAACAATGCGGCGGATACTTTTGCTCAACTTTTTGCTTAAAATGTTTCTTATTTTGAGATTACACTCTTTAGGTGCAGGTAGGTTTTGCGAGTGGGTTTAATAGTTGGACTGAAAAAGTAGTAATTTTTTTACTTGGCAAAGAACAAAGAAATAGCAAGCAACCGTTATCAACTGAACCCAGTGAACATGCGAAGAAGACAATATGTTTTACAGTAAGAAGAGTTACAGACAAGAGGAGTAACAATATTCTCCGTGATGAAAACAAAACTGCAGAAGAAGTTAAATTCTTAACACTAGATGATTCTGGACTCTTTGAATGGAGAACATAATCCCGATGGAGAAACATCGCAACAAGATATTCAAAATTCTAGATGCATCGTTGGGAAGAAGGAGCAGGATTTGGATGGATGTTGAAGAGTAGAGAAGGTGAAAGGATTTTGCTTCAATAGACTCCACCAGGACTGCATTAGAAGCAGAAGCAGACGCAATACTTCTCAGAGAAGCTTTTGTATCAAGTTAGAAGATCCGGGGTATACGATAAAGTCACTTTCTATGGAGATGCACCACAGACTCAGTCATCTAGCTGAACGTATCGTAAGGATATTTTGCTTTCTAGTTGAACCAAGGCTTTGCTACAACTAAGTTCATCAAGAGGAATGCAAACACTGAAGCACATAGTTTTGGTTTACATCACAAAACTTTCTTGTCTCTTGTATATCTGATGTATAGTAAACATGTTATCAAAGTTGTAAACTGTTTCCAGTAAAAAAATCAATCATATTGGCGGGCCAAAAATTGAAAGACTCTGTTACTCGACACTTGTCATCATAACGAATCTTTTGGCTCTAATAACAATCCATAAAAGAAAGAAGAAATTTGTAGGTTTATTTTTCTGTATTTCATTTCAGTGACATTCCATAAACCACAACTAAGCTTTTGCAGAATCTAACATGGTCAGAGTGTAGAGTCCTGTATTCTCGTCCGTGGTTCTTCTTACCATTGCCATGCGATCACGGGGAGGCTTGAAACCATGAACCTTACAAACTCCACCTTTATTCGGGTGGTACTTGTACCTTATGTAGAAAATTGCATTTCTGGATTTGAGTTTCTCATTTGGCATCTCCACCTTCTCTTGACTTTCTACCACTACCCTCACGATGACCAATTTTGACAGAGCAGGCTGCAACAAGAATTTAAACATGATTAATGTTACCAACAGAGCCACTCATGGAGAGTCAATAAAAAGAAAAAAGAAAAAAGAAAAAAGGGATCCACAACATTTTTAAGCTCGGTATTTGCGTTGAGGAATGCAAGTTTTAAGTATAGACGAATCCAGTCATATTTTAGCAACTCTGATTTCTTTACCTGCGAAAAGAAAACAAACACATCACTACTGGACTGTCATAAACAAAATCAAAGTGAGACTGCCAATACCTTACCATGTAATATCGATTATTATCAGTGAAAACATTCTCCGACGGCCACTCATCAGGCAACCTAACTTCTTTGGAATGATCTACCCGTCCACGATAAATATTCAAAGATTGCATGGGGTCCTCTACACAGATAATTACTACATTAAGCATATATAATTAAGGTCCAAAATAATGGTAAGTATGAGTGGAATTTGTTTTCATTCTAAAGCAATATTGCCTGATCGATATACAGTGTGTACCTGGTGGTTCGGGCTTAGGTCTAGCAATATCCCAAATGAGTTTCTTCAAGTCGCAGCGTTCTTCAACAACACAGGTCTGAAAAAGTGCAAGAGAACCACCACCAGCTGGATCCTTCGTAACCAAAGTTATATAGTAATATCTGTAAAATACTTTAGGTATATCAACGTATTTATCTAAGCAATAAAGCTCCAAGTTGGTCCCCTGATGACATAGATCAACATGAATTGAATAAGGGGTCATAAGAACCAACAATTTATTCATATATATATATACAAGACCAGGAGGAAAATAGTTTTTTACATGTATCATATTGTAATTATGAATCCCCATCTTAGCATAAAGAAAGAGGTGGGTGGGGTAATGATCATTGTTTTCCAACGACATCATACAATAAGATGGTTTTGTTTCCATCAAGTGCTCCACATCGAACCACTGTGCGATTCATATAAGATTTAGTTAGGGTTAGGGTTACGCTTGCTCCCAGTGAAAACTAGTGCTAGACTAGGTTTATAAGTGTCATTAAGTTTATGGATATATAAAGCTCAACCTTAAAAACAATGAAGATGAAAGACTTACACCAGAATCCGCCACTTGTCTCCAAAACTCGAAATATTTCTTGCTGTCCGTCACTCCAGACATCATCGTCGCGAAATTTCTCAATTTTGCGGCTGATGCTCTATAACGCTAGTAATGTGAAGAAAAAATAAATAAAAAGAATAAGTAGGTGGTTAGTTAAAGTGGTTTATATAGATGAAAGAGCAAAAGCCCTAGTTCTAGTGTATGGGCGAATTAGAAAATAAATGTTATAAAAGGTGGAAAACATAAAACATAAAACAAAAAGAGGAAATTTGTAAAATATTCTAAATTGTTTTATGTATGTTCTTAAAATTTAAAAGTTTGAAAAGTAACTTTTTTTTACATTGGAAATTACAAAACATAACCTTAATAATAAAATGAATGGAACTTCCTTCTAACTGTATGATAATTGATACCACATCTAATTTGCAATTTATGAAAGAACATCAAGAATATAATGACTTTGGCTAAGATGAAATAAAATTTCTTCTTAATTTTGAATCTTCGTGCTTAGCGTGAGATCGTTTCGAACAACATCCAACTTCTTCGGGCACATTAGAAGTCCAAAAGCTCTTTTGTCTTCTTCTTTCTAAGAAAAAATATACAAATATACTTCAACAGTAGTTTTGTTATTCCCATATATGTTCGGTCGAAGATATTTATGTATCATATACGTACATTAACGATTTATTTTCGTCTAATGTAAGAAAGACTTTCGGAGATCTGAAGATTTTATGACTATATCGAGAGTTTTTTTTTTTTGTATTTTAAACATTTATTGCACAAATGCAAATGATTCCAATACAATGGAGACTCGAGTTGGTTCATATATTTTTCTGCTCGACTGTTTTTAATTCATCAAGTGGATTTTAACATTTAATGAATTGGTCGGGGATGCTTTGTTTTCTATTGAATTTGACTAAACATATATCCACATTTTCTTCACGAACTATTCTTCTTTTTTGATTTTTTTTCGGAACCATAAAATTTACTTACACATTAGTGTTTGCTCCTTTGAGATATTGTCATTTATTAGAGGTTGAACAATCTTGTGATAGAGATTCGTTTTTTTGGGGGGGTTGGGGTCGGGATAGGGATAGATTCTCTTTCAATAAACTGAAAGGGAGAGAGGGAGAGTAATCTTTTTTTGGGTCAAAATGTTTACTTTGCGAGTTTGTGCAATGTTAAATTGTCACGTTAGGCCAAATCATATGGGCCTTATAAAAAGAGTAGACATTGTTGACTTGTACTGGAGTATTTATCTAATTGACCACTTAACCATGCTATTCACCAAGTAGAGACACCAAATTATAATCATCTCGTTAAAGGCCCATACATATAAATGAAGCCCAAAAGACCTAAACCTAATCCAACAACACATGTTACACCACGTGTAACGACAAAAGGAAGAACACGTGTATAGAAGAGATGACACATGTACCCTGCTCTGCCCCATGTGGGCCTTCAATATAACATGTTGGCGACAGATAAAAACGCGAAATATATACTAATATTTACCAAATTAAGATTATAAAATTATGTAACTCATGAGTACCAGTACACCATCATTTAAAACTCAATTTTACTCATTATTTCTTCTTCGTAACCGTCATTTTATCTTCCTTTTTTTTGTTATTCCCCTAATCCTTTTTGTTCTTCACCTCCTCTCGTCTCTTCTTCTCATCCTTTTGCAATTTGCCTTTTGGCATCTCATTACTCTTTCTCATGATCTAGTTTAGATTTCAAAAAATCCCACCAGATATTTTCCTATATTTGAATTTCCCTTCCATATATTCAGCACAAAATGATTTTAATGTGTATAACACGTTTTTTTAATGTTTTCTTGAGGAGACATTTCGTGAATTTTCCTCATTATTTCTTCCCGACCTCGCCATTTTTCTTATTCCCCTTACCTTTTTGGTTCTTCAACTCCTCTCGTCTCTTATTCTCTGCATCTCTTTTCTTCTTCATCTCAGCTTTTTGAAGTTGCCTTTTGGCATCCCATTCCTGCTTATCATCATCTAGTTTATGTGTCTTCAGCTTTTCAAAAAGTTTTGTAATCCTTTCTGCAGAACCATCAGCCAAAAACATTAATTTACTATATACATGTGTATGCAACATTCATAATATGGTATTGACATATTTTGCTCCGTGCTTTGTGTTAGTACCTTGAGCTGCGTGAACATCGAACAGATCACTAGGAACATCGAACAAATCATCACCAATGGTCCCTCTGTCAATGTCCAAACGAGGCTTAAGACTGCACTCTGCTGCTGATAGTAACAAATCTTCATCAAACACAAGTATTAAAATTCATAAGAACATTGACGAAAACATAAAAAGGGAAAGTTTCACCATCAATTTTTTGTACCTTGCGGTTTTGGAGATGAGTCTTGATTTTGAACCTTGAGCACATGATCAGGCTCATCGCCATTGGTCCCTCTGTCAATGTCCAAACGAGGCTTAAGACTGCACTCTGCTGCTGATAGTAACAAATCTTCATCAAACACAAGTATTAAAACTTCACAAGAACATTGGCGAAAACATAAAAAGGGAAAGTTTCACCATCAATTTTTTGTACCTCGCGGTTTTGGAGAGGAGTCTTGATTTTGAACCTTGAGCACATGATCAGGCTCATCGCCATTGGTCCCTCTGTCAATTTCTAAATGAAGCGTTGCCATGGAAGAATCCTCGAGAGTGTCTTCTCTTGCATAGAAGAGAATATAAGAATTCTCTGTTTGCACACTATCTTCATCGATTCTACTGACCTGTGAAAAAAAGGCAAAGTATATGGAAGAATGTAGATCCGCAATATTGTCAATAATTATAATCATGAAAGTAAATATTAATTCTTCCATATACGTCTATATATAGATCACATTTAAACCAAAGTTACTAAATATATTATTACCTCCGCATCGTCGAATTTATGCCATGCTTTGGGGGATGATCTCACATAAGAGATGTAGTGCCCGAACTCTACAGAAGTGCCCACATGCTCTACAAAAGCATAGAGATAATAATTTGTTGCATCTACTTGCCTATGCTGATCTCTCATGAATCGTTTGAGATCCAACTCGAAAGGGACAGTAACAGCCTTGCATATCTTCTGCATCTTCCCTTGGTTTATGGCGAATCTCTTCAGGTGTAGTGTCGCCACACGTGGCAGCTTATCCAGAAAGAATTTTTTCTCCTTTGAAACCGTTTTCTTACAATCATCACAGGAGAATTTCTCTTCAAATGTTTCCACTCGGGTAAACAATTCCAGTGCACTTGAAATGTTATCCACATCTTCAATTACCAAACTCAACCCAAGAGAATTTTCAAATGTCTCAGACACAGAACTGCAGTTGCAGCAACGAAGCTGAAAGAAGTGTGCACACAGTCAAAAATTAAACCAGAAGTTGCTAACATTGACTTAACTTGACCAAAAGTATACTTCTTACCAAACTGATGAGAACGCCACCAAACACATGCTGAACAATGTTAATCTCTTTCAAAGCGATATGCCTGATTTGATACAGAGGACAACAACACTCCAGATTGTCCAAAAGTGCCATTAGAAACTCATAAGCGTCTTCTTGTTGGTAAGGCAAGAAGCGAGTGGAAATACGATTCACATGGTCAAGAAACTCATCTGGAGATATTGAATCTTGTGATGTAGTGAGTGCCTCATGTATGTGGTTTCTGAGAGCTCTCAAAGCACAGAATGTTGGATTCTCACCTGAAAAAGTAGGAAATGATATTATATCAGATCTTGCAACCTCATAATAATAAAAAGAAAAAAAGAAGCCAAAAGTCTTACAATGATATGAATTAAGTAAATCCATGAGCAACTCAGTGTGAGTGAGACACTGTAGTGTAGAGTTAAGGTATGAAGCCTGCCTATCATTCCTTAATCCACTACCCTGTATCCAAAATATTAATATCACATTGGAAACTACAGTCAAAGAAAAAAGAAAATTTGAAACTAGAACATACCAAACCATGGATGCGCTTTCCTAAGTAATTCCACTTAGAAATTTCTGAAATAGCGTAACAGCAATTAAGCTGACACGCTAAACGGCCGCCAAAAACCTTCTCCACCATTCTACGATCAAATGATTTGGATGGTTATCAAAGTTGAAGCAATAGATGGAGACGAAATTCATCAATCACGACCTAAAAAAATTCATCAAGAATACATATGACATGTAGAGATTAGGATTCGAGTAAGGATTATCACGAACCTTATTATCTTCTTCGTGTATTTATTTCTTCGTCTCTTTCTTTCGTTCTTCTTCGTCTCTCTCTGTTCTTCGTCTGAGTTCTGTGTCAAAAAGTTGAAGCAACACATAGATACTAAACAAGAACAAATCGAAATTGATAAGAAAAAAAAAATAGAACAAAGATCGAAACTCATCGTGATCGATCAGAACAATTCATCACGACCTTAACGAAATTAAAGATTATCACGAACCTTATTTTCTTCTTCGTCGCTTTCGTTCTTCGTCTCTTTCTTTCGTTCTTCGTCTCTTTCTTTCGTTCTTCGTCTCTTTCTTTTGTTCTTCGTCTCTCTCTGTTCTCCGTCTGAGTTCTGTGTGAAGAAGTCGAGAAGAATGGGGGGAATGGAGGGTAATAAGAAAGAAACTTTGAAAAAAAACAAATAAAAAAAAGAAAAAAAATACACAGCCAATGAAAGAGCGACACCTGTATTTTTGTTTAAACCTCATTTTTTTGGCGATTTTGAGCGCGTCTGCTTCACGTTTTATAAAAAAAAAACCCAAAATCGGCGATTTGCTGTGTACTCTCACAATACCTCAGGGTTTAAAGTGCTACCAAGAAACAGAATCAGAAGCGCATGCTCGATGTCTGGTTGCAGAACGGAGAAGAATGTCAAAAAATTATATTCGGGTTGAAATTTAACCCGGAAACATTCGACCCGAGTAGCAAGGACGAGTCCTTGGAACTCCATGAATTCACCAAGGTAGCTTGGGAAGTTGGTAGAAAACTAAGGAAGAGCTGGAATCTGGAAAAAACTTAAAAGCTTTGAAGGAGGAGAAGAAGGAGACTGAGAAAATTGAAGCAGATCTCGATTTTTCTTATTCTAGATTTGCGATTGTAATCGTTATTTCTTTCTTTTTCTTTTAATAAGTAAAACTCAAAAAATAATAATAAACACATTTTTTTCAAAGAGCCAAAAGGAGTTGCTTTTTTAGTGGGAGAAGCGATTTATTTTTTTTGTGCCAAGTGTAATAATTTGACTTAATGCACAAGCCTGCAGTTTTTTCCCGAATTTCAAACACTCTTATACGCATTTACTACTATTTAGCGACTCGTATTTATTGTTTGCTTAGTAATCCAAGAATTATTACACACGTTGGTTTTAGCTGGGCCAACAGGCAACATATACGCGGCCAGTTTTAAGCCCAGCCAAACATAGCCGGAAGTGCTTGCTTTATAACGTCTGTTGCTAGTCTTGCATTGCAGGTGACAAAGTAAAGTTTATGAAACAACAACATGCATAATCCAGTTACGTAAAATCTCACAATCCTATCAAAAATTGACAGAAGTACAACCAAAATTGAGTCTACTTCTCCTGTTGAGATGGATCATGTGCATCACTGTCTTGGCGCAAATCATGCTCATCATCACCGCCGTGATCCTCATCTGATTCAGGTTCACTAGCATCATCGTCGTCATTGTCATCAACATGGCCATGGCCATGATCAGGCACACTACCATGACCAACAATCCCGCTAACTCTTCCTGACTTGTTTGCATATTCTTCAAGGGATGTTGAGGGAAACACATCACCAACCTTACTGCTATCGCTCCTTGTTGCAGCTTCATCTGAATTTTTCGGTTGGCTATCTTTGTTCATCTGTGTCAAGCAAATACACACAACTTTAGAACCTCGCACACTCTTCCAAGTAGATAGTTAAAACGGTGAATAGATGCAGATGCTTACAGCGCGTAAAAGCGTCCTTCGGTCCCTTTCCCTAGCATTCTTGATAGTCTGCAACAGATTCACAAAGTTTCAGTGGAAACCCAAAAGCAAGTTTTTTAAGCTTCCCTAAGCAGTAAATGAGACATTACAAGGTAGAAAAAGCAGAAAAAAAAATCTGTAGGCTAACCTCATCAAGCAACTTCTGTTCAGCCTCTACCTCGTAAATATCTCTGTGAGAAACGAACAATCATCTCTACATTAGCTCAAAAATTTGGCTAACGAACCCATTAAGCATCTAGCAGAAGCAAAAGAAAGAGACTTTCTACAATTACCTTCCGATGATTTGATCAGCACGAGAACAACACTTTGCACATACTTTTTGCTCCTTGGCACACCCTGTTAACAGTTTCATAGTATAACCCATCACTCTCAACTCTCGAACACACTAATATTATACCAATTTTCTTTAACAAAAGGCAGAGAGAAACAGAACACTAACCAGTGCATAACTTATGATATGCTTGACGAACATTACGCTTCGTACACTTCTGGCTGTACCAAAAGAAACAAAAGTTGTTCCTTCAAAATTATATCTAAAGAAAACAATCAGTTCGATTCAAATTTCAACAAGCGAAGAGGGTCATACCATTTGGTGGCTTCGGTAAGTGTTTTGTATTTGCCGTAGCGGCGTTTCCAAGCGATCTGCTCGCGACAGCGATGGCAAACTCCGGTAATCTCAGAGAGTGGTCTGAATCGCCCGCCGACTTCCTAAAAACCAGAAATTTCCGACAAGGTCAATGGTCTATGTACACTATTGAACTAGAATTCATTACAATAGCATAGAAAATTGATGTTTACGGTTTCGTTGATCTTCACGCCGGCTTTGGGTACCCAGGCGAATTTGTTCTGGTGCTTCGGTGGTCCCTGCCGTGAGCCCATATCTTTCTTCTTCGGAAGCGCGCGAGTTAAGAAGTGTATATAAAGCACTTATCGGATGAGTCGAATTCGTATAGAAGTATGAGCTGTGAGATAAGATCCCAGAAAATCGGAGCAAATGAGTCAGTATGTAAGACAGAAACGGCGAACGAAGGAAAGAAAGAGAAGCCTTTAGGGTTTTTCTGACCTTTTTATTTATTATTTTAAAATTTTAGTTTTGCAATGGGCCAACCCATTAAATTTAAAGCCCATGTAAATCAGCAACACTTGTGATATTTGTTGGGTCTTTCAATCTAAAAACACTTGTGATATTTGTTGGGTCTTTCAATCTAATCCGCTAATACCTTTCAGTTAGATACTTAGATGTTCCGTTTAATGATTATACGTTCATGTTCATGTAATATTTTCTAGATTTAGGGAAAAAAAGAAATACTCTTTTGGACTTTTCACGATGCATGCAAATGCAATGATCATACGCAACGTGCGTCGACGAGCAGCCCACGACGTATTCCAATGATTTTAATGGCTATGTAGCTGTTATTAAAAAGAATATATACTACTTGTGAATAGTATTATTGTATTCCGATTTCCGAGCTCTGGAATTCTACTAGATCCAATATATATAATAAATTAGTGAACAGTTATTATCCCTGTTTATTTTTATCATCAATGTACTTCAAATAAATGTATACTATATTGTATATACCAACTTCGGCTAAACCCTTAACAGGAATGTCACAATAAAGAATAATTTAAGATATACGGTCATAATATATACCTTCCCACATGCGAATGTTCCTTAGTTCCATCGTAAAGTATGATACAGTTTTAAATTGAATTTTATTTCGTGTAAAGAAAGCCTATTTGCATCCTGTTACTAATTAACACCTTTATTGATGTTACACTCCGGTCAAAAAGTATTAATTAGTGTTCGGTTTTTATATCTACCATCGTTTAATTCGCACACACGACTTTTTGTAGTTTGTTAAAAACGCACACACGACACTAAATACATTTATGTTAGTGTAACTACATCAAGTAAAACAATTGTTAGCTAGAGTGTCTCCTTTATAACGTTACCTAAACCTACATTTATTAGAACATTAATTAATAGAAAGCAATTAAAAATAAGATTGTTTAACTTAAACTAAAACATAATATATGTTCTTATCGTAATTAACAAATTAACAATCATCAAATTTGAAAATCTTGTATTTTTGTATATATTAAGGACTCCGATTGTGATAAGGATAGGGTTGTGATTATCATATTTTGATAAGTATGACTAGTTAGAGATATTCATATAACTCGAATTTCAGTCTCCCCACGTGTGAATGTGAACAATGAATAATCAGAGTAGGACTGTGTAAATCCGAATTCCAACAGAGCTTTAGAAAGCTTTTCGAACCAACAACGTGGGGCTTGACGGAGCCCATATAGTGACTTGCGCAGACGGCAAACTTTGGTGGGGTCAGAGTGTGTAAAACCTGGAGGTAACTTCATGTACACTTCCTCCTTAAAGTCCCCATGAAGAAAAGCGTTGTGGACATCCATCTGGTGGACCTCCCATCCTTTCGCCGAGACAAGACGTAGAAGACTTCGAACTGTACTCATCTTCACCACCGGAGCAAAAGTCTCGTCGAAGTCTTCACCTTCAACCTGATTATTTTCCATCACAACAAGTCTGGCCTTGTGTCTCTCTATTGTGCCATCAGCGTTATATTTTATCTTGTAAACCCATTTCGACCCAATAGCAACTTTACCCGGCGGAAGCGATTCAATATCCCATGTATGACTATCTTGAAGGGCTACTACTTCATCAGTCATGGCATGATGCCAAACTTTGTCTTTGATAGCATCAGAATATCGTTTTGGTTCAATGCCTGCAGTTACTGCTGCAAGAAACGCTTGATGGGAAGAGGAGAACACAAGGTCAGAGACATAATCATCTAAAGGATATGGTGTCTTACCAGAAATTGTTTCAGAGGACGATGAGAGGGGACAATGCGAAGCGAGATGGGGGTCTTCAATGCAGGCGGCGTTGTAAAGTACATAATCGTTTAGTTTGAGAGGAAGATTACGTACTCGCTGGTCTTTTCCTGTTTCGTTATTTGTATCCACAATCGGTGCTCGTGTTGGGGAAGACACAATATCTGGAGAAGGCAAAACTTGTGACTCAAGTAAACTTGGCACAATCGGAGTCAACTCTGGAACAGAGGATGGAACAGAATCAGAAAAAATTGCAGGTTCAGTATTAACGACAGAATCCAGGACTACTGGATCAACATCCTTGTATGAGCTTCCCCTTTCGTTGCAATCCATAGTTGAGCTCTCCACGGCCGGAGCACTGGCGTTGTCGGAGCTCCCCCTGTCGTTGGTATCCATAGCTGGCATCATTAACCAATCATCATCGACAGGAACTGCAGGAATTGGTAGATGCTGCGAAGATTCAGACGCGGAAGTAATAGGAGCTAGCATCGGGAATTCATTCTCATAAAACACAACATCACGAGATATCAACATTTTCTCGTTGTCTATATCAAAAACTTTCCACCCCTTCTGACCGGAAGGGTAACCAACAAATATACACCTGCGACTACGAGCTCCAAACTTGTCCTTATCTCTAGAGCGAAGATGAGTATAGCACAAACTACCAAACACTCTAAGGTGATCATACGATGGCTTTTGACCATATAAAACCTCATACGGAGAACAACCCTTAAGGACATCTGTGGGAGTACGGTTTATGACGTGAGCAGCAGTCATAACAGCTTCTCCCCAGAACTTGATTGGCAACCCAGATTGGAATAACAGGGCTCTAGAAATGTTGAGTATGTGTCTATGTTTGCGTTCTACACGTCCGTTCTGTTCTGGAGTCGCAACACATGAAGTTTGGTGAAGAATACCATTCTCACGAAAGTAACGTGATAAGCACATAAACTCGGTACCATTGTCACTACGGACTACTTTCACTGTTTTACCAAATTGCTTTTTGGCCATTGTGCAGAAGTTTGGGAGAACAGTGCGAACTTCTGATTTCTCAAGTAAGAGATATGTCCATACGGCACGCGAGAAATCGTCAACAATTGTTAGAAAGTAAACAGCTCCACACGAAGCTTTGATGCTATATGGACCCCAAATGTCGCAGTGAATCAATGCAAAACACTCTTTTGATTTATTAGAACTTCCATAAAATACTTCTCTAGTCTGCTTTGCCCTAAAACAAGTGTCACACGGACTAGGGATAGCAGGTTTATTCAAAGACGAAAACATTGGTAAAGACGATAAAACCGAAAACGATGGATGACCAAGCCTTTGGTGCCAACAAATCAGATCAGCCGAACGAACAACTGGACTTGCAACTCGATGAACCCTTGCAGCCATGACATCTTTAAAGTAGTAAACCCCATCTCGTTCCTCACCGGCTCCAATCAGGGTCCTCGTGAAACGATCCTGTAAAACACACAACGTATCGGTGAGAAGGGCAAAACAATTTGTTTGTTTTAGCAATTTGGACATGGAGATCAAAGAACAATTAAGATTCGGCACAAATAACACTTTGGTAAGAGTGATATGATCAGATAAAGGGAATACGCCCATGTGTGTTGCATATGTTTTATTTCCATCAACAAAGCCAACTGGGCATGGTGAAATACTAGACGTATTTTGTAGCAAAGACAGATCTCCTGTCATATGATGAGATGCGCCTGTGTCTAGTATGAGATCACCATGTCTACTCTTACCAATAAGTTTGTCGGAAGAATTAGCCTTTTCTGAAATTATTTGAGAAAGAGCCCTCCATTGTTCTTGTGTAAACTCTGGAAACGACGATGCATTGGAGGTGGTAGCGTGAGCATTATTCGCACGTGCTCCAGAATTCTTGTTACGGTCTGAATTGGAGCCACCTCTCCCACGACCTCCTCTGCCTCCTCCTCTGTTTCCACTGCTACCTCTGTTCTGAGATCTCTCTTCCCACCAATCAGGAAAACCCACTAATTGCCAACAATTCGCCTTGTCGTGACCACTACGCCCACAATGAGAACATTGAGAAGCACGCTTTGCAGAATCAGAATGATCTTGTTCAAGGGAGAATTCTTTCTTAGAAAGAAACCCCACAGCACCTTGTTGAGTTTCACGATCTTTAGCGTTGTTCAGGCGTTGTTCCTCACGAATGACCTTTGCATAGATCTCACCAATGTCAGTAGGACCATCAGAAGAAATAATCGCTTGACACATTCCTCCAAAACGAGCTTCATCCAAGCCCATCACAAACTGACCAATTTTTTCATCCTCTCGTTCAGTTTCATATTCAGTTGCTGCAGAACACGTACAAGCAGGCGTAGGCTGGTACATGGCAAGTTCCTCCCATAACTTGGACAACCGTCCGAAATAATCCACGACAGCTTGACCATCTTGACGACATGTAGCCAGCTGCTCCTTAAGATGATGTTTATGAACTTTGTTTCCCACTGAGAAACGCTTTCGTAAGTTCTCCCACAACTTGTGAGAGTCGGAGATGAATGTGACAGTGGAGCGAACCCGTGGTTCAATAGAAGTACGGATCCATCCCACTATCATTGAGTTTACCGATAACCACAACTCGAGATTCGGATCACTCATAGGCAGCTTTGGTATGGTTCCTTCAATGAACCCTAGCTTTCGTTTGGCACGAAGAGCATTGGTCATCTCAGAAGACCATTCATTGTAATTTTCACCTGTGAGGATCACTGACGTAATGAGAGATCCAGGATTATCTGACGCAAAGAGTGAGTACGGAGTGGCAGGTTCCGAGGTTCGATCGTCAAACGTACCGCTCTTGGACGTCGCTGAGTTGTCACCGTCAACCATGCTTGCTTGTTTGACACGAAAACAGCAAGAGTTGTAAATGAAAAGAGAAAGGTTCGAACTTCGAAATCCTTAAAGAAAAGAGAGAAAAAATGAAGAAAGAGAATTGGTCTCAGAAACTTTTCTGCTCTGATACCATGTAAAAACAATATACTATTTGGGAATGCTTTCTTATTCACAATCGTTGCCTTGTACAAAATATTTATACATACACACGTTGATTTTTATCTATACATATTTAGGAGATATCTAATACATTATATGAATATCTCTAACTAGTCATACTTATCAAAATATAATAATCACAACCCTATTCTTATCACAATCGGAGTCCTTAATAGTATACAACAAATATATTAAACTCGTTCTTTGCAAAGAAATTTAATGTCTATAACTCAAATTTTAGAAAAATAAATATTTTAAATTGTGTGTGGTTTAATCCAAAAAATCAGTTTCAAACAATTTTAACGGTGAAAAATAAATCTGTTGACACAAAAATTGAAAACTAAAGCTGTAATAATATATAATTATATCTAAAAGAATACATAAAGCTGTATACGTATATCTGATCAATTAATTAACTGATAAATTGATAATGTTTGCAAAAGGTACATGGATTATCCTTGAGAAGTACATATCTGTTAACATTTTGGTATAAAAAATATATCAACTAGACGAAATGATAAAGCTTCTATTTTTCCGGCAAATTATTTATGAAGCAATAAGACAAATTAATATTGCAACTCCGAATAAAAAGATTTGCCTCCCCATAGAATACGGAACATTAAGAGACAAAATAGAAAAGTCTTCACTTTCTCACCATAACAAGGGTAAAGTTCTTTTGACCTGTTGAACAAGTCTTTATCGACCACGTGTCAACCCTCACACAAATCCCTCGCACGTGCCGGATCTGTTATAAATTAGGAGCGACGGACTTCTAGTCCATCTCAGTTTTCAAACGCCGATCTCAAATCTCTCTCTCTCTCTCGAATTCGATCAATCATGGTTGAGCCGGCGAATACCGTTGGGATTCCGATGAATCACACCGCACTGTTGACGGATGAGCTCGATATCGTGATCCCGACGATCCGTAACCTCGACTTCCTGGAGATGTGGAGGCCGTTTCTCCAGCCGTACCATCTGATCATCGTCCAGGACGGAGATCCGTCGAAGACGATTGCTGTGCCTGAAGGGTTCGATTACGAGCTCTACAACAGGAACGACATCAACCGGATCCTCGGCCCCAAGGCTTCCTGCATTTCCTTCAAGGACTCTGCTTGTCGCTGCTTCGGCTACATGGTCTCCAAGAAGAAGTACATCTTCACAATTGACGACGATTGCTTCGTAAGTTTCCAGAATTCCTCTGTTTTTTTGCCAATTCTGATTATAGATCCGGTGTCAGCGTCTGTAGATTTAACAGATCTCAAAGTTTTGAAATTGAATTCGAATTCTAATTGTTTGGGTCAGATATTTTATGACAATCACTGTTTGGGCCTAGATCTATACATTCATCTGCTTGATGGTTCTCGATCTGTTTTTTTTAGAATTGAAATTGTATAGTCTAGCTTCGTGGGCACTGATTGTATAACCGCGCATGATCTCTTATGTTTTAGTGATGCCATTGTTTTTGGACAAAGCTTTTTTTTATCAATGTCATAACAGTAAACGTCACAAGAATCATCCTTGCATGTCATTGTCCTGCACACATTGTTTTGGGTATCACTAGGCAAAGAAAAGTCTAAACTTTAATTCCCCTCTTTAGGTATTTTGTGGGGCTTATCCAAGAATTGAGTTTTCAGTTACGCCATGAGTATAGCGCTGATGTTGCTTTCATAAATGTGTTGGTTTAATCACGTGCAACGTGTTGTTCGTCATGGTTTTTATTTTATTTGTCGTTGTATTTAAATAATCCTTTCTTGATTTTTTTTTATTATATTATTTTTTTGTGTTGTAGGTTGCCAAGGATCCATCTGGAAAAGCAGTGAACGCTCTTGAGCAGCACATCAAGAACCTTCTCTGCCCATCGTCTCCATTCTTCTTCAACACCTTGTACGATCCATACCGTGAAGGTGCTGATTTCGTCCGTGGGTACCCTTTCAGTCTCCGTGAGGGTGTTTCCACTGCTGTTTCTCACGGTCTGTGGCTCAACATCCCTGATTACGATGCCCCGACCCAGCTCGTGAAGCCTAAGGAAAGGAACACAAGGTAATCTACTTGAACATTGTTGTTCTTTCTACATTTATCTTTTGGTCTTCATTAGCTAACAATGCTTTAATGTTATCGCTGTAAGGTACGTGGATGCTGTCATGACCATCCCAAAGGGAACACTTTTCCCAATGTGTGGCATGAACTTGGCCTTTGACCGTGAGCTCATTGGCCCGGCTATGTACTTCGGTCTCATGGGTGATGGTCAGCCTATTGGTCGCTACGACGATATGTGGGCTGGATGGTGTGTCAAGGTACGCGTACCGCTTCTTAGATGTATAACGCATTTTCGACTAGATGTGTGTGTTTACTTAACCGGTGTATGTTGTTTAGGTGATCTGTGACCATTTGGGATTGGGAGTGAAGACGGGTCTGCCCTACATTTACCACAGCAAAGCGAGCAACCCATTCGTGAACCTGAAGAAGGAGTACAAGGGAATATTCTGGCAGGAGGACATCATCCCTTTCTTCCAGAGCGCGAAGCTCTCGAAAGAAGCTGTGACGGTTCAACAGTGCTACATGGAGCTGTCCAAGATGGTGAAGGAGAAGCTAAGCGCCATTGATCCTTACTTTGACAAGCTTGCGGATGCTATGGTCACTTGGATTGAAGCTTGGGATGAGCTTAACCCGGCCACTAAAGTTTGAGCAGCACCACCGCAGTTTTGGTTATTAGCTCAACCTATCATCTATCTTCTTGCTTCCCCCGTTTTGTTTTCTTTTTCTTTTCTCATTTTCCGGCGATTCTTCAGTTCGTTTTTTAAGTCGTCGGAGTTTATTTAAATAGTGACATGGTGTAGTTCTATTTAAGATGGAGACAATCTGTTCTTTGAGCTTTTTGCTTTTGTTTCAATAATAAAATCATTTATCCCTTTAGTTTTTTGTTATTTTTGCTTGCTTTGGTTTTCTGTATAATACGTTAGAAAGTTCGAAATCGATAGATAGTAAACAAATTCGAAAATCGATTGAGTTGAATCCAGTTGGCTTCTGCTGGATATCAAAAGGTTGGGAGAGATGATGGAGAGAAGAGATGATTACGTTCAGCAAATGAGTTTTTAATTGTTTTAAACCAAAAACATGATTTGCTATTGACTTATTGTTATGGGCCTTATGGCTTGAAAAGTGAAAACCGAAATCTTCTAATGGTTTTGGGTTTATGCCTCCATGGTTGTCAATCTGATTAGATGATTTATGAGGACATAACTAGAAATCTGCCTATAGTAATGGGCCTCATAAGCCTTTAAATGCCCCACTAGACACCATAATCCCGAAATTTGGATATCTCCTCTAGTGATCATCTTTCCTGAAATATTGTTATGAATCCTACAAGTATATTGGTTTCAGAAAGAAAAAAAAAGTTAAAAAATAAAAGTATATTGGTTTGAGAAACCCTAACGTTGACTATTCTTTGTTCTTTTTGGTTGACACTCAGTAATTTTTAACAAGAATAAATACTGTTCATTCTTATCATTGGCAAGTAATTTTGTCTAATCAGCCTAGGATGGAGTTAGATAGATGCAGCTCAAGAAAAATAATAAATTACTTTTGGCTTTCTTTCTCTTGTTTATTTAATTACTACTACTAAAATAATACCCAACTGAGGGAAAACATTTCATTGATAAAATCGTAAATATTACTAGATATCCGGTTTGTGATAACATATGGCATGTTGTAAAAATTACTCATTATAGTTAATGAAATACCCAACTGAGGAAATAATAAAACAATAATTTGTTCAGAACACCATACAGCCCGGTATATCGAATTCTGCGAATTTGAAAGACGTTCGCAACTTTTGACTACGGCTTTCAATGTTTCTAATGTTTGTCTGTTCTTATTGAGATTAGGATCACTTGAATATGCAAGAAGAAAAGGCTACGTACAAAGTGGGTTGATGACACGAACTCGCAAGAGATAAATATGCTAAAAGCCTAAAACTAGACTAGTTCATATATAATATGATAACTGATGGTTCAGTCTGTAAGTTCATATTATAAAACAAATACTTGGAAACCACATGAGTTCGTATTAGTGGCATCCACACCCACACAACAAGGCCATAAGGATTGAATCGGAGGACCCGCCCTCGTGTCCCAAAAAGAATATATCAAATTCGACATAAAAATATTAACATGTACTGTACTGTTTCGTATATTTTAATTAATTATGGTGCAACCTAAGAATTTTTAGCAAATCCATGCTTGAAAAGTTTTTTGGAACTATAAAAGGAGATGCTTTATTTAGAAACCCTAAGCTGAAACCAAAGATTTATTATTAACTTAAACTCCAATGTTTACTTTAGGGCACTTAAACTCATGAAAACTTCCCCGTGCCTCCTTGATTTCTTCAAGAGAAATCTTTGTCTTTTGATTTTATACTTCATGTCGGTACCGACTTTCTTGATTTACTATTTTTAGCTCATTATTTTCTATTCCATTTAAAAATACGATATTCTCTAATCAGTTTTACAATACTTCATTCTTGTAAAAAGTGTTCTGTTTCATATGCCATCTGAAACGGGACTAATAATATCAGTCAAAATTGTTATGATCGTTTTGCGATAGAGTCATAGAGGTGTGGTTGTCAAAATTTACAATAACTAAAGATATTGAAACTAGATAGCTTGGTTCTACAAAATCTAGATAACTTATTTGCAAATGGCCAAAACTTGGAGTATATTTTTAGTTTTTTTTGTTTGTTTGACCTATAAAAGTTTTAGTATTTTATTTGATTTATAGCTAGCATTAGCAATTACCGATGGGAAGTGACTTTTTGTCTTGCCTAGGGAATTGTCGGAAAACCCTAGCTTTAACTTTTTTTTCACGATTTTAGAAAAATATAACACTTATATATATATATGAGCTTCTTTACTCACATCAACTAAAATCCTACCTCTTGCTTAATATTGACATATTAAGGCAAAAAAGATGAAGAAAACAAACGCAAAATTAATCACACTCGTTCTAGGGTTTCTATTACTCATGATGATGATGCTTAATCTAACTCATGCGCTACAAGGTTTAAACGTTTTCTTCTTTTATTTTTTGATGTTTTGGGTTAGATGATGATAAATACGTAGTATATCTTTAGACATGTATATAAGTGTTGTCTTCTCTTTATTAGGAAGATGTTGATCTAAATGTCATATTTACATGTGTGTGTGTGTGTTTTTTTTTTTTAATTTGTCGATATATATATAACGTGCGTAAGTGTAGCTGATGTTTGCTTTTGAGAACTTACAGGTGGAAACGTAGATGTAAGTGGATCCAAATATGAAGATTATGGTCTTATGGTGAGCGGGAGTGAGCCTCTCTTGATGGGACGAAAGGTACACAAATTAAAATTTGAAGCAAACTTTGGTTAAACGTTAATCAATAGCTAAAATATTTTAAATACTTAATACTACAATCAGTAAAATCTGAATGCTAATTGTGGGTACATACAATATACCGATATACACCAAAAATACAAAATATAAGTGGGAGAGTTATTCGTATCATTAGCATATATTTTTCTTATATAGTAATCTCGTTTTGTATGGTTTTATCGCAGTTAAGAAGTTTAAAACCAATCGATTCTGGAACAAAGAAAAGATCAACGAAAGGTTCAACCTCGAGAGATTCAGCAAACGAAATGGAGAATCTGATGAGAAGCGACTATCCTTCACGTATGAAAGGGAGGAAAAGGACACCAATCCATAATTGATGATATATATACATGGTCATTAAGTAGTTTAAGAAACTTAGAAGTTCATTATGTGAGAAGAAATGTTAATCATGAGGCCTCTATATTTATATAAGTATATGTTACTTTTTGTTTTTGTTTGCTTCAAACATTATAATGTATTCTTACTTTAGGCTTTTATATATTAGAAATTGTAATATTCGTTTATAAATGCATAATGAGTAACTTCTAGTTCTATGATTGAAGTGTGTCAAGCTTTTATTTACTTATTATAACAAGAACCAACGGATTCTTGGAGTCTCTTGTACAATAAAAAAGTCCTCTCGATTCCTTCAAAATCGATGATCATTAGCTTTTAAAATTAGACGAAGAAACTACGAATCTTGATCCGAGAAACAATGGATTTAGTCTTAGATCATTTGTGTGTATTTACAGTCTTCCAACGGCTATATCGATTTTTAAGGGGAAAGCGATTGATGAGACATGAAAAAGAAACACGACAAAAGCCTCGGGACCAAAGGATAAGCAATTCGAAATCAAGGATCTTTATGTAATATAGTTATCATTTTTTTTTTCAAAGATATAAAATGTTGCAAAGAAATTGATAGAAAAAAAAAATCCTATTTAGTTTGTTTTTTTTTGTGACAATCTAATTTTATCCAAAACAATATAAATTTATCAAAAAACAAATCCACAAAAATAAAATATACAAGTCAACAAATACAAAAATTAAGTCAACAAATCCATTAAAAATATAAAATTTTTATTGGATAAAATTATTTATTAAAAATGTGTTTTGGCGAATACGTAGTTATCACAATAATAATAACAGTGATAATGTAATGAGTAACATAATTATACATTGCAATTTTTAGTTATTTAGCTACCAAAACTGCAAGCCCATGGATGATGATGATGATGATGGTGGTGGCAAAGGGCAAATTTGCAAACTTTACAATGAAAGCGTTTCAACCTTTCTTCTGCATCCACCGAAGCTCTTGAGAAATCCTCTGTACACCAAAGAACCCTAAACAACTTGTCATAATCTGTTTAAAACACCAATCAACAAGATTGATATATAATCCCCATAGAAGAAACCAAATTATTCATCCCTCCATCACCCTGCGAAAGCCGAAGATCTCCATCGGACAAGGGTGTATGCATCTGATCATTTGGTTGCTTCTAGTGAATTACCATTGTACTCGTGTAGTAGCTGAAGACATTCGTATGGATTGGCATAAAAGTAGTCTTCTTCTTTCGGTTTATTTGGAATCACTAGCCGTTTCTTGGGACCTCCCATTCTTGTAGCGTGAAAGGCCTTCACCGTCGTTGAGAACACTTCCCAGCTCAACAATCCTTCGTAGTATTCATCTATTAGGTTAACCAAGAACTTCCGGTTTAGCTCAATCGTCTTCTTGAACCCCAAAAACCTGTTGCGTGGACACAAAAGAATTAGCGAGCCATTGATGAAAAGAGACGTTACAAAAGAATTAGCGAGCCATTGATGAAAAGAGACGTTATGTTTTCTCCAGATTAGAAAAAAAAAAGAGAACAATAAAAATGATTCACCTGCGATGACCTTCCACGACTTTGGCCATGTTCCCGTAATACGTAGGAACAAATATATCACTTTCGAGAGAAATAAGGTAATCAAGAGCAGCCATCTGAGAGGAATGGTTCTGACAAAAACTCAAATCAGAGGAATCGAGTAGGGTTTCTTTCCTGACCTGTTTTGATCAACGACTGACCATGAGTGAAAGATTAAGAAGAAATTGAGAATAATAACAAGCTCTTGCATTTTGCTACTAACCACATTCGGAAAAACGTCTGTTAAAGCCTTGAGCCGCCTCTTACCACCGTATATTTCTCCGGCAGCTATGTAAATCTGAACATTACGGTCAATACCCAATGCGGATAGCGTAAGAGCTGTTTCTTCTGGAGTCAATGGGCAAAGGCCTTCTTTCCTCTTCGACTCTGAGTTTATCACTTTCTCTTTCCACCACGGATAAGCATATCTAAGCAACGTAAAGGCATAAACATCAATATCACAAAGCAAATAGCCAAATACTATAATACAAAGGAGGAGAAATAGTTTGCTTGACCTCATTCTTGTAAGTTCTTCCTCTTCGTAGCGGTTGCAACCATGGGAGCAACCAGAAAATGCCAACATATCCATTTCGTATCTGAGATGCAGAACCAGAAAGGGGCCTTTCTCCCTCAGAATCTTGACTACTCTTCTACCCAATTCCTCAATCTTTGGAGTAAACCTAAGCCCGTTGAAATTTGCTCGGCATCGCAGCTTCTGGATCTCAACAGGTAGTTCATTATTAGCAAGTCGAGTATCAGTCTTATTCAGATGTAAGACCTTATGCTTCTTCACCAGCGGAAGGATCTGTTTCCAGAGATTAGGCCATGAGAAGACATCCAAGACAGATCATAGTAAAAACAAGTTATTCTTGGTGCAAACCTGGTCTTGGTAGTAGGACATGTTGGACCAGCTGATAGGAGGCATGGTGTGGTACACTCCGAGCTCGACCCTTCTCTTAAGCCTTGGAGGAAGCTCTTTGAGTATACGAACCTCATCTCTTAAAGAAGTTATGAAGTGATCCACGTCGAATATGTCTTTGAACTCACTGCCCACACGAGAATCCGATCAACAACTTTGAGAGAGGTTATCATCAATCAAGTAGCAAGTGAGATGGGATGGCAATAATACCTTGGATCATTCCAAAACGAGGTCTTGTCGAGCTCCGGGACAATAAGTGTGACATTCATGTATCTTGCAATAGTGACCATATCACATATCTGAATATAAGAAAAGAAAAGAAAAACAGAGTCCACGAGTCACATCAACGGAATTACATACAGCTTTGCGAAATGAGAAGAGTTGTTGATAAGGATTCTTTAACAAAACAAAAAGATTAGTTCTGATCATCACCGCTGCTCGCATTTGGTTGAGTCCTCCATTGCAGGAAACCATAAGATAGCCATTGTTATGATATATCCCTGAGATGAAGAGAGAGCATAAGAAAGTATAAAAATTCGGCTCCTTTTAACCGAAAACAAGCAGTGTGATGAAGAGGGACACAACGATAATAAACATTCATAGAGTGTAGCGCAGTTAAAGGCTACAGAAGCAGAAAGAGACTTACTTTTAGGCGGGAGGGCGAGTTTCGTGGGAAGAGAAGACATTTGAGAAGGCGTTGGGAAATCGTGGTGAGTGAAACAAGAAGGCCAGCTTTTCAACAATCTTGGTCCCCACATCTCTCCCAAAGCCACCAAATGAACAAAACAACTCCACAGCAACAATATGGTCATAGCCCGAATCATCCATAGGCTCATACGAGACCTCGAAACCAGCGAGTTCTTGAGTTTCTCTATCTTGCTATCTCCTAGATACTTAACCTTCATCTCCCAGAGCCTCCTGTGGTATAGAAACTTCTCCGCTTTACACATTTTCAACTCTCACAGGGGAATTTCATCAAACACACTCAAGGCTTGATGAAGTCTAGAGAAGACTAATCAAATCTTCAGAGTCTTGCTCAGATTTACACACAAGAATACAAAAGGATACTCTTGGATAAGATACTTTCTTTCTCTCTCTGTGCTGCAATATTTATTCTAATTTGACATCCAGAGAAAAATGTAATCTCCACGCAAAACCAGGGAACATTAATTACTCCTCGAATCTCAATCAAGTCACCCACAAATTTCGCCTTAACACGATCCGATTCTTCTCCTCTTAGTCAATTAACAAAAAAAGAGAATTTTAAAGATTAATCTAAGCTTATGAACCGACAACTCTCAACCCATTAAAAATCTCACAATAAAACTACCAGCAGAAACCCAAAAATCAAATAGATCTCAATCCAATGTAGACTTGGGAGCTAACTCTCCAAATTACAAGGAAACTCTGCAATGGCGATCCTTGGAACCAAGTAAAAGGGCAATGCTTGTTTATTTTGCAGATGAGATTCTTCGTCCAGATCCGGTCGGTGATCACCAAAGACTCCGGAAGGTTCAGAGAGACTGGGAAGAGGAAGAAGAAGATCAGGACAAGAATGTGGAAAAGATAAGCACTTTCGAGATCAAAAATACAAATGAAATGTCTTTTTTTTTTGTCGGTAGTATTTTTGTGTGTGTGTGACCGTTTGTTAACCTTTTCTATGTTAGACAGTTGGAGCCACTTTTATATACAGCTCCCATCTTAATATACTGAAAAATACAAAAATAAAAGAAATATCGATGAAGGAAACAAATTTCACTGGATTCATACTGTATGTAAATTTTTGTATAGGTTCAAGTTATATATTACTTATAAAAATAACATGTGTATAGCAGCAGCCTTTTCTGAAAATAAAAAAAAAAAACAATTTTTATATTGTAGTAACAAGCATTCTGAGAAAAACAAATATCAAACCTTTTAACAAAAAAAAAAAATGTAATCAGTCTAGTAATTTCGACCAATGCTACGACCTGAATTTCAACATCTCGTGAACGTTGTATGATTCACCGATGAATACGTAAGTGTAAGCCGTAAAATAAACTATTTATGCTGTTGTGCTAAAAATAAACTATTTCTTAATTAAATAAGAATGAGATCCTTTCTTCTCACAAGCTACATACGGCGGAAAAGAGTCAACCTTTGAAGTTTGTTTGACCCAAATCATTAGTTAATTATATTTTAATCACCAAATCCGTTATTTTTATTTTTTAGTATTTATAGTACATACAGTATTAGGAAGTTTAGTAGCAAGCTTTCATAAACCACATCAATAAGTCTTGTTTCAACTCTCAAGACTCTCACTCTCTCAGACCAGTTCCTTCGTTAAATTAAACCAATGATGTAACCAAACTCAAATAATACTTTAGTAAAGGAAAAACAGAAACTAAACTTACATTCTCTTTTTTCTAAACTTAATTTTCATCAGTTACATTTTAATTAGTAAACTTATTTTAGCACCTGAATCCTATAACTCGTGCATATATTTATATGGATACAAAATCATCAACCCTCGAATTTTTTTACTTCACGTGAGCTATATAACTTTATAATATATGCTTTAGCAGACTCTCTATCATGGACAAAAAAATAGAAACAGAAATATAAATTTAAAAACATAGTTAATATGAGAATTGACAAAATTCACCAAAACAGAGATAAAAGACAAAGTCCCGTGACCAGGAGAGTTGCTTGCTTTGTTTGTATATTACTATTTTCTCAAGTTACAATTATAAGAAACGTCACATGTGTGCACTCGCAGACACACATTTTCCATATATCATCATTATATGGTGTATAACGATAAAGATTGTTGATGTATAACCATCCCATAAGAATCCCAAAACAAAGTTTATTACAAGTTAAATAAGATACAACATCAATTAAAAGAAATAAACCCGAATACACATAAAATGCATAAAGTACAAATTAAAGTTAAAATATACGCTGTCGACTGACAACGATTTTGTTTGTTTCGTGACACATAACAAATTTATGATGGATTAGTTTGTGGTTAGAGGTATAATATAGAAAAGGCCTTTAATATGAAAGCCCTATCCAACGAAATTGATGTCTTTAGGTCTCATCGTATACATATATTGCGATATGCCGATGCATGAAATGATTTTTATTTTTTATAATTAAAAAGTGGGTTTGTGTGTACGTAAAATGTGTTAGGTGCACTTAGTACAACGTGGGGTTCGCTATGGACGTAACGCGAGAGGCGATCCAATTAAATGTAACACCCGACTTGGATTGCCAATCAAGAATTAACTCAATAATGCTTTGTTTTCGAAGACACGTATGACGTATTCAATATTCATTAATCATTAGTCTGTATTTAGGGATATGAATGCATATAATATTATTGTTTCATTAATTTTTGTATTTAGTCGTGAGCCGTGTGACTCGTAAGGTTTGAGATAGAAACCTAAACTAATTTAAAAAATCCCCAGTTATTATGTACATATTGTATCGATGTTTTATGAAAAATACGTTATTATATATATACATCATACATTTATATTTGCATTCGAAAAAGTATTTTCTTTGACAAAATATGAAAGTTTGCAGATTTCCGTTATAAAATAAATACGTTATTATATATATACATCAACAATCTTGGCAGAGTAAAGTTGTCAAAATTAAGATATTTTGTTTTGCTAAAGAGAGAATACATTTATTTTATATTGGAAATCTGCAAACTTTCATGTTTTTTTATGTGTGAAATATAATTATTAACCAAGTGGTAATGGTCTAGTGGTTTCCACTTGAGGAAGAGTTACCCTGTTGGTTAATGCCAGAGATCGATTCCCTTCAAATGTGAAATTGCTACATTAATTACATTTGGCCACATAGATATGGATCCATGCTTTCGGTCCATTTGAATATCCGGAGAGATGATCTATCTATAGGCTGCATCTCCCCCAAATGATTAGTCTGGACCTTTCTGGGATATACCCTGAGTTATAAAAAAAAAATGTAATTATCTCTTTAAATAATTAATCGAGCTAAGAGTTTCCAACGAGAAATAACTTAGTGGCCCTTGCAGTTTTTCAATTTGATTTATTTGGTCACAATGGCACGAAATGACCCGCAGTTTTTAAAAAGTTAGTTAGAAGTTACTTATATGCATTTTAAGTGTTGATTCCATAAATTATGATCACCGCACCGAAAATTAAGAAAATTTAAATAAATTTATTGTTTGGGATGTTAACAACAATTAGAAAAGGACATAAATAAAGAAGAAAAGGAAATATATGATATCGGTAGAAAAAAGGACATTAACAATTAATATCCCCACGAGGATAAAAAAGGTGTGTCGGTTCCTCAATGCCTTAAGCATGACGTGCCATTCTCAAGTTTAGGCAATTATGGCTGTCTATATCTCTCTATATTTATATACAGTACATTGCGTGAATAATGAGAAGAAAAAAAGCATTCGTTCCCGTTTGAGTAAATTAGTACAACAGGCCTTTGAGATTTCCAGCATTTGTTTCCGTTTGAGCAGCACTTCTTCTAATCCGGCTGAATTAGATAATAGCCCACACTGTTCATGCAGAATTGCAGATGCAAAAAATTTAAAATGATTTAACAAATATCTTTTGTTTTGACCCAAGTTTTCAAATTGGGCTTCTCTAATCTTTCCAAAACTTAAGAGATATACTTCGATGAACGGGACACAAATCGAAACCAAAACATATGTGCGTGTGCGAGAGGGAAAACAAAGAGCAATATGTGCGTGTTTTGCATTAATAGCACAACAAAACGTGTCTCGATGTTTACAACAAGGAAAATTCTTTAAGGTACAAAATCAATCACAATATCAAAGACAAGAGACACACATAACAAAGAAGAAAACACGTATTATAGAGCTCTTCCTACTTTTTTCAGCTTTTTCCATTTCCAACATCGATCGCTGATCTCACAAACTCATCGCATTGAGTAACTCCTCCGGACAAAACATCAGCCAGAACGCCGACGATATCAAAAGCTTCTTGTAGATCAGTTGCAGAGTTGATGTCGTCTAGCCACGAGATCAATTCCTTAGAGAAGCCAACCATATCTTTCACATTCAGCAACTTCTCTTTCATTACAATCTCCCATGGTTCAAGCTCCACTCCACTTGATGTACCTTCTTTCTTGTTCGGTTCGACTTGCGCCGGTTTCTTTGCTTTGAAGAACTGCTGAAGCTGTTCTATCATACCGGTGTAGACCAGCATTGGCTTGACGATAGGGAGAAGTTCATCGCCTGTTAAGGTTTCTGCGTCTTGGGTTTTGCCTCCCGAACTGGTTGATTCCGCCGCACGACGGCCATGAGCGTGTTGCATGAAAGTATGGTAGATCCCGCGCTGGAGAAAGACACGACGGTGTTGAAGCCATGATTCATACGATTCCGACAGAAGCGAGTTCACCATCATGAACTGAACGGTTTCCTCGGCTCCAGTTGATGATAGCTGAGATCCAGGGGTTAAAGGTCGTGAGTCCCATGGCGGCGCTGTAGATGTCGACGATGATATGTAGGATGAAATGGATTTAGCCATGTTGGTGCGTTGCGTGGGACCCCCTTGATCAAGAAGATGACGGGCCATTTGGAACATGAAAGGCAAGAAACGGGAATTGCTATCTCTTCCTCCGCCTCGGCAATCCGCGCTAAAAGAAGCTCCCGTTGCAAACCGAGCCAGCATCTACAGACGTAGCAAGTTGTTAGCATATCACACACAGTGACAAAAGAGAATAGTAATCGCTAATCGAGAACGTTTTAAAACTGTATTTTTTTAACTTACCAGTACTATGTCATATGTCAATAGGCGGAGTCTGCTTCCGTCGGCTCGACCAAGAGCATTGAGGTTATCCCAGTACTGGTCAACGTAGCGAAGATACTGAGCTAAAGGAACCAAGGGACCTTTGACAGGGAAGAGAGAATTGCAAAGAGATTCATTGTTACGTAACATAGCTCCTTCCCATTCTTTCTTCGGGTTTTTGAGAGCAGCATCGGCCCTTTTTGCTTCTTGATGACATTGGAAATGAATGATGTTGAAGTAGCTCACGGTAGTATAAACGCATTCGCCACGCGCACTTCCCGAAGTGCCAACACCGAGATTCACCCGTTTGCTGTAAGAGTAGACTCCTAATAAATCAGTAGGTCTGAGTTTGTAGCCTTCTCTACACACCATGCAAGCCAGTCCATCCCCTTCTTCCTCTACATCATCAAAACCTTCGAGAATTGGTTGAGAAACCACAATCCTTTTACCGCCATCAGAAGATACCTCTTGATGCATTCCAAGGCCCTATTACAAAAGAGAAACTAGGTTAGCATTGTCACAAGACCAAATCACACAGTCACCATCCTTGCGAGAAAATTTTACCTTTAGGAGCTCCTGTCTCTTTCTTAGTGCACGGCGTCTCATTTCATCTTTGGTGGCATCTCGTAATGCACGGACTTTCTCTCCAAGAAATCCATCTCCTTTTCCTTCTTTATCAGCGAGTGTGTCTAACAAATTCTCAGCCCTTGCACCAATCTCGTTTTCTCCAGCAACTCCTTCTAAGGCATGAAGTAAGGGTAAAATTTCTCCCTCGTCTATGCATGTTTGGGTTGGCAAATGCCCCATCGACAATCCTCTCAGCATTGACAAAATAAGAGGCACCGAGGGAAGTTTTAGAGCCGCAAGCCATTCTGCGCTAGATTTGAACCCAGCCTGTCCTGTAACAGCGAATATTTCCTTGATGTGTTTGACAGCAACAGCTATGATGCCATTCTCCAAAACTATATCTTTTAACCTCTCTCCACATGAACTTGTCTTGAGAGATTCTGACACTCTTACAAAATTCTCCACAGTAAATCTCTGCTTCGCCACTTGCTCACTAATGCTCTCGTCCTTGGGATTCTCCTCATGACGTTGCTGAAGCTGATCAAATTCAGCCCAGTTTTGCAGGTAAGGGTTAAAATGCTCTATGAGTGCTTCCATCGCTGCAGGCTCACCGTATGTTAAATAAGGCAGAATTCTAGCAACCATCTCCGTGTTCCTTTGCTGTTTGTTTGACTTCTTAAGACCCGAAGGATGGCTTAGCCTTTCTAAGAACATGAGCACTATTTTCTTCGCCTGTTCCCAAGTTCCAGTTTCCTCGTTACTGACGGTCAAAGCACTTTGTGCAGCGCTGATGCTGTCACTTTCATTTGCTTCAAGAGTCAAACTCTCGACAATTAAGAGAATGCCTTCAGCTGGCTCCATAGCATCCACAGAAAACGCCCTCCTAGCTGTTTCAAGAAGTAAGCTTAGAGCTCCTAGCCTGAGTAAACCTCGCCTGTTCTCTCTAATCTTGCAGCAATGGTTTAGGAGATCAAGAACTGCAACCATCTCTTCTTGGTTGGATTTGAAGTCATCTCGTAAACTCTGCAAAGACAGCAATGTAAATTACTTTGCGATCTCAACCACTTTCTTTGGAATGCATTACATGTATCTTAGAAAGCCACTTTTATCATATAACTATTCTTCTTCTAAGCTCCTCCACGCTGTATCCAAAAGTTCACTAAGACACTAAGGTCTATACAGTGTATGATACAGAGAAATGAGAGGAAATGGGAGTATCCCAGTTTAAATCTCATTTTCTTTTATAGTTTAAGAAGCTTACCTTGATCATATCAAGTAAAATTTCCAGACCACCATATTCCCGAACTGCACCTGCTATTGCAAACTCAATCTCTGGATCTTGTGATTCTTCTCTATCTTCTTCCAATTCCTTGATCATAGGTTCAGTAGCTTCACCATCTAGTCCCTGCCAATATTTAACCAAACATGGAGCGAATGAATTTTCCAGCCCTTTCATTAAAAACAGAAACACGAAATGACTAGCTAGTTTTTTTCGGGGGCTTAAACAGTAAGGAAAGGCGAGGAAAACCACTCTTTGGCCTAGTTCTTCACCAAAAAAGGTTACGAACCTGAAGTCTGTATGTTACAGTCATGGGAGGACAATCCCTGCTAGGAGCTGCATTTGAAGCTAACAGTGCGGAGTTGGTCAGAGAAGTAGAAGGCTGATTTGATTTCTTCCAAACCAGCTCATAAACTTGTGCTACGCTCAGGTCTAGTGAAATAATGTTTCCTGCTACAAGCAACTCCATGCCATAGTCATCTTCCAGTAGACCTAACAGGTCCAACTGCTGACAAATCTTGTTTTTAACATCCCGCATCAGTGGGCCAATCTCAGCACTTGAATATGGATTCTTCGTCATTGATCCCCGGATAAACTCCTCTTGCGTGTGTGCCTTGTTCAAGATCAGCATATACACAGCCTCGGGTTTTGATGGGCAGATCAAATTACAAAGCTGCTCAAGAATAAACTGCAGATACAATAGAAATGGTCAAAACACTGGTCAAAGATATACGTTCAGTAGAAGATAAAACAATCGATAATTCCAAGTGATGTATGCTATGAAGATCGTTTCGAGGATACGAAGTTTGAAGCAATATCAGCTACATATGTTCAACATACTCCTAGTACTCAAACTAAGTGTATATATATATACACTTCGATCCAGAAGTCTAAAAAGAAGAACAGAACATCCCCAGACTGTAAAGTGATGAATATCTCCATAAAGAATCATATATTTTGAAGATGACACCGTGTGGTCAGAGTGATATTTCTTCTTACCAAACAAGTACGTCCTTTTTTCTCTACTGCATGGGTTTGTAGTCCAGAAACACACGCACGGATGAATTGTCGTTTATTTTCACTGCTTTCAAGTAGAAGGCCGTCAAGAAGATCTTTTAGGAGTCTGTTACAGTCATTTATAAGCTTCGTCTTTTGCACTATCAAGCCACGGATTACAATGAGTGCCTCCAGAACATGAGACAGCAAATTGTCTCTCATGAATCTGCCACACTCAAAACATTAGAGAGGTATAAAGAAGCATATGTAAGATCAATAGATTTCACGATGAGAAAATTACCTGGATCGAATATTTGGAACCTCTAAGAACTTTCCAAGGAGTTCTAAGAGCTTGTGGAGGGTAAATCCCTGTGAAATGTCTATCTGAAGACTCCTTTCTAGAGATTCAATGTTTCCTACCTCTTGGGAGATCAATTTACAGATAGTTGTCAGACAACCCCGAACAGTTAAGAACAGAAGTGCATCTTGTGTCTCGATCATTTTAAAGAGTAGCTCAAAGTATTCTGCGCTGCTTTCACCAGCTGCAAGCGTAGCAGGAAGCAAGCCTATCAGCAAATTGATCAGCCTGTCGCGCCTAGGTGAGCTTTGGGCAGAGAGTAAACTAATCAGCGTGCACATCTCTGACCTGATAGATTGAGAACATGCACTAAGAATTAGCTCTGTGACCCAAGACCCGAGCTCAAATGCCTGTAAACCACCTTTAGATGCCCTGCTAGAGCGTCGCTTCCACCTAAGAGTATATTTAAGTGCCAGGAAATCTGATCTGTGGGTTCTAGACTTTTGGCTAGCACCTCTAATTGACTGAGAGGCTTTGTATTGCCTCCTCACAAAGTCGACATATGATGCCCCTTTCTCCCATTCCAAATAACTCACAAGCTGGATACCTCGCGTCTTCTGAGACACATTCGAGTTATTTTCTTCGGTTTCTGACGAATACTTCAAGATGCCAGCAGCATTCTCGTCCTTTTCTTGCACTGCAAGAGCAGTTTTTCCCATCGTTAGATCTTTCTCTGTCGTATCTGGTTTTGGAGGTGTACATGCCACAGAAATAATCTTAAGGCAAGGAAGAATTATGTGCTCTGATATCGCAGGATGTTTAGCACCCAATTTAATGGAAGCAAATAATAGCTGAAAAACAAGGCGCAGCCTTGCCTCCCAGAATTCATCAGTGAGAGAGCAAACTTCTGAAAGCAACAGCATCTCTTCACGAGTGGCGAGTGCAATGTCCATGGAACGATGATGTTCAAGGCAGTACGTTATTTTCTTCTGTACCAGGTTGTTTAACTCACTCACTGCATTCAGATCACCCTCCGAGAAAGTCCCTAGAGCTGCCCTAGCTTGAGAACGTGCGGTTTTCGGACCTTGGTGAATATTATTTTCAAACAACTCAGACAAGATTCCAGCTGCAACAAGTTGCTTACTCGATCTTGGATGCTTCGACAGCACTTGAAGAATCTCAAGACATTGAGTGACAAATGTAGTGGCACAACCATAACAATTGTTTGGGGTCTTTGAGACCACACATCTTGAGGCACCAGATGAAAAATTTGAATTTTTCTGATGGAGGTAACTCATCAAAACTCGGCGAAGTCCCTGTAGCGTCTGTACACTTTTGCTGACAGAATCAAAAGCAGCTTTGCACTTCTCACCATACAGTACACCCAAAAGTGCGATTTTGCGGTTAATCTTGCATGAGGGACCAGGCAGAGACGCCATCATTTGCTGAACAGTATCCTTGTGCTGTGAATCCATTTCAGTTTCACCAATGCTTGATACTATCTTCAGAAGCGGCTTCTTGAAGCCCAAGAGTTGCTGATATCTCCTGTGAGCGTTTTCAGACTCAGACTCTATAGCAGCCAATCCCCTCTTCATATCTTCGTCGTTTTCCATATTATCAAATATGAAGCTTGGTTTTGCCATGAAATTAAACTCAAACCTCCCATACTTGCTATAACCACACTCGTTGCAAAGGAAAGAATCCAAATTTTCATAGTTAATGTTGCGGCATTGCCTGCACTGATAAGCATTCTCATGGCAGTTGCTGCAAATACCATGTTTATCAGTAACTGGTCGACTGCATCGAGGGCATTGTAATGGTTCAAGAGATAACGCCTGAAGATTCTCATAGAAGGAATCCAACTCGATCATGAAGTTACAAGCAGTAATAGGAATAGGAAATTCCACCTTCAGTTCAGTTTGGTTAAAGGACAGATGGCAACTCTTGGCACGCTTCCACAGTGACCAGTTGTTTTTAAGCTCTGATAAATCCGAGACAGGGCGATTGTTGTAATACAAGTTTAGGACCTTCACTGACTTGGACTTCCGTGCATCATGGACATTCATGGTCACGGACTGTATCGTATAACTCCCAGTACATTTCACGATGATGCGGTTATCGGTAAACTTTGTCTCAGATTTCAAACTTTCAAGCTTCATTTTGCTGTAAGGCACATCAGGAGAGCTACACGCCACACAAGGTTCGCTCTCAAGATAATAACCATCAAATTCCACAAGATTACTCAGAGTGTTGTATATACGAGAGTTTGGATGGTTGGCAATGAGTTCGTTCTGAGAATGCAGTGTCTCAAAAATGCACCTTATCACATCAGGGTTCAGGCAACGATCCACAAGCTCGTTAATTGCTTGCTTCGAGTTGTTCTCTGGAGCCTTGCCGAGCAACAACGAGACAAGTTCTGTGTACTCAACAATATTCTGACCATATACTGGCAGGTCTCTAACCTTCTGCAAAAGAGCTGCTAACAGACTTTCTTTGAAGGATTGTCTTCCATGATGCCACAAGCCATAAATAACAGACTTTGCTTCAGTGCGAACAGTGCTCGAATTCCACTCCAGCAGAAAGAAATCAATAAACTGCCTCAAGAGATCTCCGCCCTTGGCACTGAAGATATCTACCACCCCTTCCATATCCACATATGATTTGTCCAAACCAGAATCATGCCCATCTTCACCTTTTTTCTTCTTTTTTGAATCCACGGCCTGAGATCCTGATCGGTTTGAGCCTGTCACAACATCACTTGCTTCAGCTTTCTGCACTGAACTGCTCACATCTTTTCCTTGATAAAAGGCTAAATTGAGGAGTTTAAGTGTCTGGATAACAGACTCTTCCGCAAAATGGAATACGCCATTCAGTAGGAAAGACAGAAAATCTCCATGCCTGAGACAGTACTTCTGCCAGTTCCGAGGCCGTGCTAAAGCAACTTCAGCAATTGTAGAAAGCGACTTCACAATTTTTACACTCCTTTCATATGAAACATTGTTTTCAAAACCACCAGACTTTTCAACATGCTTGTACAGGTTTTTCACTTCATTGGAAAACTGCCATGAATCTCGGACACTGTAGTACTGAGTTTTGCTTCCGCAAAGATGCAAAAACAGCCTTCTAGCATATCTCCTAACAAAAGCCGTATGAGGGTTATTAATATAGCTGCACAGAACATCCTGGAAACCGTCCAACTTCAAATCTTTAGAAGAAGCATGCCTGTAAACCCTTTCCTTTTCCCCCATTTTCTCTTGCTTTTCAGGTCTAACCAATGTGTAAACTAAGCGAAACACATTCTCAAGTAACAGCCTGTGATAGTCCACAAATATATCTGCTCGATGGGCTTTGGCATATGAATCCGAAAAGAAGGGGGAATAGTTACCCGCAGGTAAATCTCTTCTGACTGTGAGCATGGCCCCACAACCAGAACCAGAGCTTGATCCACGTGCTTCAACATTGGCAGCACGGGACTTGAATACATGCACTAGCTGCTGAAGTATGTTCATCAGATAATTAACAAACTCTTGGTTCCTGAGGCAACTGCATGCTCGAATTAGCTGAGATGCAAAGTCATCTCTCTCTTGAACATCTAAAGAAGACTGAGACGAACCTACGCTGGAGCTCTGGACATTCCTCCGATCATGTACATCTGTACTTCCACCTGATCTGGAACTTATACTATCACTGCCAGGCTGGTGCCAACTCCGAAGCATCAAGGTGAAAAACATAAACACAAGAATCACAATTTCCCCAAAGGAAGAGCGAGTTGAAGCAGCAAACGGCTTGCTTAGATTGATTTCACCCAAAAGCCATTTAACTAACTTTTCCAAGCTTATTTCTTCGGGCTTTGAGCTATCCATGAAGGCTCCACCAATGGCAGATGATAATCTGTAGAACAATTGCATGACAGGTATAGCATGAACACCGGATGCTGTCTCCATCCATCCACTCAACTCTTGGAGAAGCTCAGAGAGAATTAAAGAATTTACGGCTCGCATTGACGCTGAGATAGAAACAGGATCGGTCACTGAGGCAGAAAACTCAGCAGATTCACCAGGTTCCAAGACATGGATTGAGGGAGTTGAAGCTTGTGGGACGCTACTGGTTATCGCCGGTAATATATTAATTTCATCTGTAGAGAACTGAATCTCATTGGTGTCTGCACCAAGTGATTCCACTTCTATTGGAATTGCTGTCATGGGATGATCCCGAGTGTGTGGTGGTGGTAGACGATCTGCATCTAACACTTCATAGCATGCCTCACATAAATCAAAATCCGGACACACTGTACAATGCCACCTCCTTCTCAGTATAGGGACAGTGGAGCAGCCATCACAGCAGTATTGAACAGATGAAGTTATAGAGTCCTCCTCAATCATGACATGCGTATTTCCACCAGCTGTTCTGATAGGCACCGAAGGAGTTGTAACATTCTCTACCAAATCATCTGTTGTCAACATTGTTTGCTTTGGGAAAGGAACCTGAAGTAATCTGGATGATATGGCTAGGCTGTAAAGAAACTTAGTTAGCACACTGGTGCATATCTAAGAGAATATAATATATAAAAACTTATATAAGAACACACCTGCTGGATGTTTGCACAGACTCATTAGGAAATAATATAAGTGCTTTCAGTAACTGAACAGCAGGAGCCACAGAATGAACCCCTGTAACCTTTGCTTGCGATGCTAAACACTCCGCATAGCTATAGATTAGTTCAACGGAAGACATCACGACATTGTTCATAGTTGGTGTATCAAGTGGCTCCGACTCCAAAATCCCCCATAGCACATGCATCAGATTATCCACTACTTCAGAACCTACAAAACAAATAAATCTCATATAAACAAAGCCATATAAATTGTAAGACAAACAGCCGCTCCAATTACCTTGTACAAGGATAGAAGAAACAAAACTGAGTTTGAACTACACGTGCAAATAAATAGACTGAAGGTAGTAACAGAAAGCGAATATACCATTCATCTCCAAAAACGCGGAGAAATTTGCTTTACGGGTCAAAGATATTTTAGACACCGCCCGCATCTGAGCATTGAACTCTTCAACAATCGAACCTCCAGTACCAGAAATTCCCAACCTTGAAGAAAGAATAGAGGTGACCTTGACCACTCCAAGAAGTCGCATGGTGTCTTTGACCTATAGCAACAGATAAATCAATGCCAAAAACAACATAATTTTTTTAAGGCATATCTGCGCTCAAAATTAGCAACTGAACATGCAATACTGAATTTCGTACGAGCATTACCTGATAGTATGTCTCCTTTTTTGGAAAAACAGACTGCAAAACACGGCAAGCTGCAGTTTGTAACAGAGTTTCCCTATCACTTTCGAAAATTGTCTCCAGTAGCTGTTTGCACTTGAGTTCGCTAAGCTCCACTTCGTACCGTGGCCTACAAACTGAATAAAAGATTGATAGGAGTTTAAGACCATCTGCGATAACTTGCTCCTCAATAGAAGCAGACTGTGTCAATGCTCTCTTTTTACTAGAGCCTGGAAGAAGCAGACCATGACCAAGCACACGAGCTTCCATATCTAGCACAGCATCCATTTTCTCTTTCCAGCCAAATTCATCTTTGGCACGACCATATACTTCAAGTGAGTCTATTCTGGGAAGTGCAGTCCCACTAGTAGTCGGCCCCACAGAGATTACAACATCTTCATCAGCTAGAAGTGACTCAGCCACCGTAAATGGAATGTCATACCAGCACCTCATGCCCTCATCCATCTTAATCGATCTCTGAAAAATGGTCACTTCTGAAGGTATAGAGCTTGCTGATGTAGTACCCACATGCATCCGGATGCCAACCATAACAATGTCAGGATTTGGATTGGATATGGAAATCTGAAAAAGAGAAGAAGGTAAGCGAACTAATATAGCTTAAGGTTCCCGAATCACAGACACAAACTATCCATCTAATCATACGGTCAAAATACTCTTTATAGTAAACATAGCATATATATAAACTTATCAAGAAAAAATAACTTGGGAAATCCAACCATACCTTGAAGCCCATGGGACTGGGGCTCTCAATAAAGCCATCCTCAGATGCCAAGCTTTGTTTCGCTCCCTCGGAATCACCATTTCTAATGGCATCACTACCGAGTCTTACATCTGCAGTAATGCAAAATGCCTTCTCAAAGAAATCCAGGGGAAACTCCGGCTTCGCACCAGCATAGGCTTTGTTGTTAAGTATCTTAGAACCCAACTTTTTAACTTTTTCAGCTGTGAAATTTGAGTAAGCATCAACTCCACTCCGAGCATGAGAATAAATCTGAAGGCTGCCATCATCATGCAGAACAAGACAGTGAACATTGTCTTTCGACAAAGGTTTGTATGCGGTTATTCCGACCATAGGGGAAGATGATCCTGTCGGATGACGGAGATTCTGTGCACATACCCCATCACCCCTCAGGGACACAGCTGAGGCAGCATTCGATTTCACGCTGGAGAAGCAAATAAATAACCCACTGCCACCCAACAACTCTTTCCAACGATGCAGTCCAGCCACCCTCTGTTTACAATCTGATTCCTCCTCAAACATTGCAGATGTTTCAGTTAAGGATGTTGCGTCTGAGCTAAGTCGACCCATAAAAGAACTTCCATCATGATAGGATATGAAAAGCAATCGATATGTAGGAGAGAAATAGACAGATGAACCCTTTCCGGTAACATCCTTTCCCATAATCTGAACGATTTCCTTAAGTGGTGTTACGCCTGCATTTCCACCCCAAGATAGTTCAAACCTGTACAAATTCCCTTGTTCTGAAAGAACAAGAAGGAAAACTCTCCCACGAGATGCAGCAAAGAGGGTAGCATCCACAATCATGTCATTTGGCAAGGTGAAGTACTGTGTTGGACTGATACTATCCTGGGATAGATCATAAATCTTCACGAATTTATTTGTAACAACCATCAACTGAACCTGTGAACCAGGAACCCAGTCTATACGCCTGATATATGCACCCTGCAAGGCAAGCTCAACAGCAAGCCTGTCGATGACTTCACCTCGATGATTCAAAGTAAGTATTTGGCAGTCTTCAAGGCCTGCAACAGCAAGATAATTCTCCACAACTGAGTTGAAAGTAAGATGCACAATTTCAAATCGAACAATATTCCTGGATAGTGGTTTAACATTGGCCTTGTCTGCATTTATGGGTGCAATTGTGGCTTGTCCTATTAGCTGTCCAACATCAAATATAGCAACTTTATCACCTTCTCCAACTGCAAGGCGACCCCGAATACTGACACTCAGGAGAGACTTGAAAATGGAGCCATTCGCTAAAAGAGCCTTAAGATCCTTTGAATTAGCATAGTCAGCTTTTATTTTCAAGTCGAGTGATCCACTTTTATATGCTTTTTTCAGCTGCAGAAGATCTGTGTCAAATGAAAGAACCTTGTCTTTCCCGAGATTGACCTGCTTATCTTTTGAAAGGCCAGAGTCTCTTTTGCTAGTGATAGACGGAAGTAAAGAAGAGAAAAGCTCCAGCACTCGGTCCTCTATGCCGAGCTCTTCTAGTAGCAGTGACATCTTATATTGAGTCTCCATAGGGATAGATAACACAACGTGATTTTCCTCCCCGAAACCATCTTCTTCCACATCTGAATCGCTTTCTGCAAGCTGATCTACATCCTCAGACAAGGGTAAAAGGGATTGAAAATTATTTGTACTACGAGCTGGAGCGCTTCCAGTGCCACTGAATTTTCGTGGCTTCAAGCACTGGCAGCTGCTTCCCCTAACACCTCCAGCTCCACAGTCACAGAAAAACCGACTTGATCGTGAATAGACAACACGGTGACCCCGGTGGCAAACTTTGGCACAAACAGAACAGCAACCTTTGGACACAGTAAGGTCACAGGTGTAACAAAAATACCAGTGTTGTTCCATGAAATTACTGCCACTAGAAGTGAAAGTACAGACTTTCGAGGCAAGGTATCTCTCACTATTGGCATCTTCTTCATCTTCCTTGTCTAAGCTGGCCACTTCACCATCAGATGTTCCATCATCTTCATCTTCATCAACAGAAGTTACATCGCATTCAAGTGAAATTGAGCTTCCTTCCTGATCCAGGGGGAGAGCCAATGTTTCAGACTTTTTTGCTGTTCCTGCAAGTTTTGGGACCAACGGACCTGTTGCAGTATTCTTGTTGCTCCCCAAGGACTTCCCACACGAACTCGTTCCATGACTTGGAGAGCGGTTACTCAACAAGGTGCCTATCACACCAAAAAGAAACTTCAAACCTGGAAGCAACTTCTCATCAGCAGCAAGCTTCTCCATCAGCATTATGGTTCTCTTTAAAACCATCTTCATCAGATTCTCTTCCCTTGCAAGTTGAAGAACAAAATGAAAATATGACATAGCCATGTGGATATCAAATGAGAGAAATGCGGTATCCAGGGAGATCAGCATGGCCTCGAATAAATGATTCTGTAACTCTATGGTCTGTAGGTCGTTAGTAGATGACACAAGACAATTAATAAAACTCATTGCTGCCTCTCTGAAAGGAAGAGAATTTCCTTTTGCAGTCTTTTTCCCATCAATTTCCTCGATGAAGGAACCCAAAAGTCTTCTCTCCAGCCACCCAGACAAAGTTATCAAATCCATGTCAATGAATTTTTGCTGTACTCTTCTCCTGAGATCGGGGGATATAGCCACAGACAAGAGGTCAACAAGGAAGTTAAGTACTTTCATATTTACTGATTCCAAGGAACAGCAGTCCAATGAGTCAATGAAAACAGACAGATCTCCACGTTGCAACTTATAGAATTCCCTTGTACGCTCAGAGACTGCATCTACACCAAGATAAAATTTGAAAATATCAGATTTCGAAGAATCCTTGCTTAGGCTGTCCATAACATCTACAACCTTGGTGATCACCCCTTCAAGCACATTGCTTCTATCTATCTGCTCAGCACTGATATCTCTTACAAACCCCTCCATGTCTTTCATCAGGAACAACTCCGTCAAATCTGGAATCTCCAACATGGCACATATATTCTGATGAATCTCCTCACATTTCCCATGAAAGCTTTCAAATACCTGATCAAACTTAATAATCATCACAGAGTTGAGTATCTGATGAAGCACACGAGCATCTGCCCCAAAATTTTCCTTTGAGTTGCCCAGCTTAAGCAAACCATCTATTGTCAGCACAATGCATCTTATGCTTAGAATACACGAAAGAAGAATCGCACTAGAAGTTTGAAGACTCGTGGGAAACCCATGTACCATAAATTCCCAAAACACTTTCCATAAAACACCCGAGCCTCTTCCATCACCCAGAGCATCCAGTTTTGACAAATAATACATGCATTGAAGATGAAGAGAATTGTCACCAATCTTCGCGTATTCAGCTTGGAAACTTCTACCAAATTGAGTGTGCTTGAGAAGTAGCAGAGAAGGCGAACTCTGACCATGGTGATTCCAAGTACTGAAAGTTGCAAGGAAAGATTTCCTATACACTTGTAAATATTTGCTAACCAATGATGAAAGCATTATCAGCAATTCTGAAATGTCACCAGCCTCCATCAAGCAAGAGAGTACGCCTTCTGCAGAAGCAATATACTTGGCGTCAACATATGTGCACTCCCTCCAGAAGGGATCAATTTCTGAACATGATTTTTTCTTGCAATAGCCCCAGACGCCACCGTCAAGAAAATACAACAGAAGAGAGAGCCAAGATCCTTCGCGGATAAAATCCCAACCCAAATCCTCAACCGCCTTTTCAGGTGCTGCGTGGAGCTTGTTTAAAACACCGATCAGAATGTTTCTCAACTCCATATTCTTCCCAACAACGTTGGAGTCGCCTATAAGCAAATGACTGGTGCAGATGAGATCCACAGTGCTATATATGTCCAAATTCTGGTAATTAACATGCAACGAAGGCTGACTGTCCAATGCACAGTTAATACGAGCAATATCCCAAGAAAGTATGAAAATGTATCTTTCCACTATCAGATCTTCCACTTTTCCTGCCTTTTTTCCCTTCCACAGCCCCAAAACCCGGGACAAAGTTGCAGATAAATCTCCACAATCCAAGTTCAGGGCTTTGGCAGCAGACACATCAATCTGAAATGTAGGAGGATGTGGGGAAAAGTCAATCATTTGACTCATCAGATGGTTGACTGAATCCTCTTCAGCCCATGAATCAGTTATGCCTCTTGCTACGAGAGACGCCCAGGACGATAAATGATCACCAACGGTTACATGCAAATTACTCCCACAGCTACGAATTTCCCTCAGTTTAGACCGTAGATCTAGCATTAGTGATGTTGGGCATGTGTTTGGATGCAACAACATATGGTGCAACAGCACTAATAACCTAGATATCAGTATTGCCCAACAGGACAGTTGGGGGCCATCACGTAGTCCTGACGGGGTATCAATTTTATGCAGACACGACGTGATAAGATTTGAAAATTTTGCCTTTTCTGCTTCACTTGATAGATGGAAAGCCATTAGAAGAATCTCAATATGGAAAGCAGAGGGAAGACACGCAGTCAAGTCCTTGACACTCGAGCCTTCAGCACATATTCCTCTTGCTCTCTCAGTAATAAAACTAACAAAACCATCATAAACTTTGGCTCTCAACTGTGCCCCAGCCAAGCCCGGTCTACAAAGAAGAGTGTGAGCCAACAGTGCAAGAGTCTTATCATTATAGTCGAAGTCACCATTCTCAACAGCAAGAATTTTCTGAAAAAGGTAGGACTCAAGAGAATCAGACAGAGCATGACTTCTCAAGAGATTGAGTAACAGCTCAAAGGCAACGTGTCCAGGTTTTCCTTCATCTTGGAGCATGCATCCACCATCGGAAGCCCTGTCTTCAATGCTACATCCAACTATATTGAGCAGGATATCAATCTGACAAGTGTCGAGCTTTTTACATCCATCTTCGTATATACTAGGAACCCAGTCTTTACAAAAAATGCACATTCTAAGAAAATTCAACAGTTCCTTTGCGGCTTGCAATGGTAAATTGCTGCTGACAGCAACGGGTGGTTGATCGTTTGGTTCTGCGGAACACAGAGAACGGCTACCCTCAGAAAACAAGTTTCCAAACAGTGCTTCATCGTCATGAGAAATTTGGCTTTCAACTTCAGCAAAACTGTTGGATCTTAGACTGGAATATGTTCTCTCCACTTTTGGTCGTAGTTTTACACCTTCAAGATGAAGGAAATAAACAAGATGAAACAAGTTGTCCACCCACTGACTTGATGAAGGAAATATCAATCTCATTATATCCTCGACCGTGAAGCCCTTGAGCAACGGGATCTTCTCCTGGCGAACATGGATATAAACAGAATCAACAGATAAACTGGCATTGTCGTAGTTGACTTCTGACTCTAAAACCCTCAGATCTTGGATAGAGTATGGCTGTCTTTTGAGATCTTGAATGAGCCTCGATGTGTAGATGACAGACCGAGGGAAGTAAGCAAGCGGAGATACCGAATTGCAAGAGGACACATCATATCTCCAAACTGAGGCATCTAGATTGTTCAATATAGAAGCTGATACACATGCCTGGACATTCTGAAAAACACTACTCTTGCCAAAAATGAGTTGGACAAGATTGAGAAATCCTTCCACCAGCGCTAGAGAAAGGCTCTCGATATTACCATCTGTAGCAGCGTGGTTAGTGAATTCAAAGAAAACCCCAAACAGCTTAGGCAAAGCATCTGTAAATGAAGCTACTGATTGTAACAATGACCCGTCGTTTTCTATGCTTTGAACATCTTTGGAAAGGCTTCCAAGCAGCTTCAGAATTCTTAAGCAGAAGGACAATTTATCAAGGAAAGCTTGATCAACCGTTTTCTCATCAGACACACTTGGTAGTTGAACAAGCTTTTTACAGACCATAATCAGGCGACTAACACAGCCAAGGTGAACAACTGCCAGGTGTCGAGTCAAGGGATTCAGGTTTCCACAGTCTTGCTGAAAAGAGGGCTTGGCTACTGACTGAGTCTGGAGATCAGATTCAATGCACTCAGACATCAGCGTAATAAGAAGCCTGTCAACTGGCTTCTCTTCATCTGAGCACCTGCCCCCTGCTTGATACAAAGATGATCAGATAAACTTGTAAGATATTAAAATATTGCTGAGTGGATTGGTAGCGACAATACCTTGAAAAGTACATTTCACAAGGCTATATAATTCCATATTTTCATGCTCAGCAGAAAATGTTGGCCACAGTTCTGCAGCTTCGGCGGGAGAGACAGGTGGCAATATATCATATAGTTTCTCACTTCCATCAAAAGAAGCAATCTCCAACAGTAATTCCATGTTAATCTGATTCACAACAAGCATTTGGAGAGATTACTAACGCAGTCGAGCTTGATGGAAACAAAGTAACAAAACAAGTTATTAGCCTACACATTTTTTTGGGAATGCATTGAAATCTAACCACGGGTGTAAAATTCTCTACAAGGTATGTAAATGCTCAAACAAGGTACAAAATAGGACCAACAGATAGACTTTACAATCATGACGAAGGGGAGAACAAATTAATATCCAACTACATCGACTTCTCTACGGAATCTCTATCACAAAATTGAAATATAGAATGCGGGTAACATGGCAGCACATTTAATAAAACAAAATAAAGAACAAACCTCCATTTTCAGATCATTTTGTCTAAAGTTTGACTTCTCCAAGAAGCTGAGAGAGAATTCCATCACCTCCTGGATGACACCCAAAACTATTGGTTCGACTTGGTTCACTGAGACACACCCAAAAAAAAAAAACAGTAAGGAAAATGATTCGAGGCCATCACTGTTTACTGCTTAATCTGGAAAAAATAAAGTAGCAAAGTTTGCATAGCCAAAAAAAAAGCAGATACCAAAGCTCACAAAGTGGAAAACGGAGTACATAATCAAACAATCGGCAGGTAACTGAAACCTCGATTTAGGTATCCAGAGTCAAGTTGGTACCTAGTAGAGATCGCGATAGTAGAAGGATCGCCTGAGATATGGAAACGAGGGCTTGAACCTGCGAATCCGACCAGGTCTCAAACCGTAGCTTGCCGGAGGAGTCATCATCTCCGCCGATCGGAGCGATTCCCGAGCGGAGGAGGAGATAGAAAGAACGGAGACCACGCTTGATCGAATCATCGGAGCGTATACGTTGAGAAAAGAGATCTGAAGATGCCGAAGACGACAACGAGGGAAGGGCGGTGTCGTCGAAGAGAAATCGGCAGAGATTCGCCAAGTCATCTGCCATCTCTGGCGAGGCGAAAGAAGGAAGAGTTCGTGAGACAGTGAGGAAAAGGTTTCTAGAGAGATACAAAGGAAAGGAAGGGTTTATAAGTAAAGAATCAAAGGCGGTGAAAGAGGACTCTGTGGAGAAGACGATGTTCCTTCCCCTTTGTCATTTTCTTTTCTTTAATTACTTTAAAAAAAAAAACAAATTCGGGTAACAATAGTCATTTCTCAGTATTTTTATTGGTCCAGCATTATGAAACAGTCTAATTTTAATGTTGCTAAACCAAAAAAAAAAACTGATATAAATTCACTGTTTTGAGGTCCAAATGGTCAGGGCAATTCGGTTCCGGTTCGATTCTCTTCGTGTGATATGTGTGAGTAGGGCCTGTCTTTCGAACCAGCTGAGTTGGGCTTTCCCGTGAGGTATTTGGGCCTTTTGCCTTGAGAATCTTTGAGTTGGACTTTTAATCTCTGTTTCTTCTTCGTTGACTGTTGCAGACTTTATTGCTTTTTTACAAGGAACATATAACCGGATTTTTCTTTCTGGTTTTTAATCGTTTTTTTATTCGGTTCAATTTGAGATTTGGCTCAATTTCATCAGCCGGTGCTCCGTTGATTGAAATCGGCGAGAGGGCGGCGGCGATGGGAGAAAAGCAGAGGAAGTTGCTTGTGTTGTATGCTTCTCAGACAGGAAACGCCCTTGATGCGGCGGAGCGTATTGGCCGCGAAGCTGAACGCCGTGGATGTGCAGCATCTATCGTCTCCACCGACGAATTCGACGCGGTATGTGGATCATATGGAGTTGAAAAGCTTGTTACTTTGTTTTGAATATTGTTTGCTATGCTTAATTATATGTGAAGCAAACCGATACAATTCCTCTGTTTGCTCGCCTAGAAAGTTGTGCAAGGCAACACAACAAAAACCCGATGATTGCTCATATGTTGCCAATAATGCAGCTGTTAGAAATTTGAGTAGTTATATTGATTGAGGGATTCCACGAACTCTCTAAGTTAGTGAAATAATAAAGGAGTTTTGCTTTTCAAGTTTAATCAAGTTACACCATGTGTTTTCTACAGAGTTCCATACCTCATGAGGAGGCTGTTGTTTTTGTCGTCTCCACTACAGGGCAAGGAGACCCTCCAGATTCCTTTAAGGTTCGTTGAAATTCCACTATATAACAAGGCAGTTTTCGTTGTTGTAGCTTAGTGTTCAACGTCTTTTTAACCATTGAAGGGATTTTGGAGGTTTCTTCTTCAGAGAAATCTGGGAAAGTATTGGTTGCAACGAGTTCGCTTTGCGGTGTTTGGACTAGGTGATTCTGGTTATCAAAAGTACAACGTAAGTGCATCTCTCACGTTATACTCCGTTTCACATCGTTTTTCAACATACATTTTATTCCCCATGCTGAGTTCTTCCGGTTTTTGTATTGATGTTGAAAAAAAAGGAGGCTTTATGGAAGAACTATATTAACAAACTCACCGTTATCTTCACTGCCAGAAATCTTGAGACTTGTCTGAATTAATTTTTCTGTGGCACCAATTCATGACATGATTTTCTTTTTCTGATGGCTTTAGTTTGTAGCAAAGAAGCTAGACAAAAGGTTATCAGATCTTGGGGCCACAACCATCATTGAGAAGGGTCTGGGAGATGATCAACACCCATCAGGGTATGGTACGGTTTATTAAGACAAATTAAGATTCTGTCAAAGTTGATCCTGCTTGTACATAACATTCATTTGACATCAATCAAATGAACCATTTGATAAGTTGAAGATATCATCTCCACTTTCTTCCTGATGCTATAAAGTTTCAGTTTTGGTGTTTCTTTATTTTCAGGTATGAAGGAACTCTTGATCCGTGGATGCTGTCATTGTGGAGTACATTATATCAGATCAATCCAAAATACTTTCCTAAAGGTCCAGATGTGATGATTCCTCAAGATGAAATGATTGATCTGCCTAAATATAGAATTGTATATCATAAGCGGGAGACACTGGAGCCTAAATTGTTGGCAGAGTCAGGTATACCACGCCCTTCACGTTTTTATAAGGGAACTTATGGAGTGGATACTTTGCTTCATTCATGTTAACTTAGGACTATGTTATGCTAATGGTAATTGCTAGAAATGTCAGTCTAAAAATGAATTTGAATGAATCTGGTGGAAAGTAGTCTCACAAATTTTCTGTTTTTATTGGCTCGTGTATGGAATTTCTCTTCCATCATGAAAAAAGGTTAAGTAACATTTTACCTTTTTTGCGGGGGTTACTCTTGCATAATATGCCTCTTATGTTTTGGCAGACATAATACAAAGAGCTCGTGGAATGTCTCCCGGAAAATTATCCAAGGACACAAGTAAACCAGACTGCTTTCTCAAGATGGTATGCACATCCTGTTGCCCAACATAAATTTTTTGTTTGTTTTCTTTTATATGTGCTGATTATGCTATTCCAATTTGCTCTATTGCTTTGAAACTGGTGGATTTGATGGTCAATATGTTTTTGTTAAAATATCTGATTTTTGGTGTGCATTATTATGCTAAGCCTAGATGTATGAAATTTCAATTCCTTCGCTTGCCTTAACATTCCAATCATGTAGACCAGAAATGAAGTGTTGACTAAAGCTGGAAGCACAAAGGATGTCCGCCACTTTGAGTTCCAGTTTTCTTCTTCTGTAAGTAATTTGCTATCACTTAGTTTAAAGGTCAACGCTAAATAAATTTTGAGGATGCAGTCTTATCCGTTTGGTCTTCTCCTCTTTTAAGACTATCGGATATGAAGTCGGCGATGTTGTTGAGATACTTCCAAGCCAAAATCCTTCAGCAATAGATGCATTTATAGAACGCTGTGATCTGGACCCGGGATCATTCATCACAGTAAGTAGCTCATCTCTATTAACACAATTCTCTCAGATTGTCTAATTTGGGAGTTCAAAGTAAATGCCGAGAATGAATTTACTATTAGGTTCGTCGGAGCGAGACGGAGAATAGTGATAAAGAAGTTATTACAGAGGTCCCTATCAAGCTTAAGACTTTTGTTGAATTAACAATGGATGTTACATCCGCTTCACCTCGACGTTACTTTTTCGAGGTAAGAGCCCTTCAAATCCTAATGCATTTGAAATTCAAAATTTTGAAGCTCCTTTTCATCTGAGGGAGATATTATAGTTGTGAGTTTATTGATGAAAACAAATATTTGATGGACACCCTTGTAATGTATCATCTCTTTTTCAGGTTATGAGCTTCTATGCAACAGCTGAACATGAGAAGGAGAGACTTCAATACTTTGCCTCACCCGAGGGACGGGATGACCTCTACAATTACAATCAGAAGGAAAGAAGAAGCGTACTTGAGGTAAAATAGCACAGGGAACATGATTTGTCTTGAACACGCATCAACTCATTTAACCCAATAAATCATATTGTTAATGCCTATGTAGGTGCTAGAAGATTTCCCTTCCGTGCAAGTCCCTTTTGAGTGGCTCGTACAGTTAGTCCCACCGCTAAAGCCAAGAGCTTTTTCTATATCTTCGTCTCCTTTGGCCCACCCTGCGCAAGTACATTTGACCGTAAGCATAGTATCATGGATCACGCCTTATAAGAGAACTCGGAAAGGTCTATGCTCCTCTTGGCTTGCAAGCCTCACACCTGAGCAAGGTTAGAACTTTGTTTCTTTCTTGACCATAACTGAATCGGTTTTTTTGTTTCTGATGCTTCTTTGTTTCTATTGTGGTTAGAGATAAACATACCGGTTTGGTTTCATAAAGGCTCTCTTCCTGCGCCGCCAGAGTCGCTTCCGCTCATTTTAGTAGGACCCGGAACCGGATGTGCCCCATTCCGTGGGTTCATAGCCGAGAGAGCCGTACAAGCTCAGTCTAGTCCGATCGCGCCAGTCATGTTCTTCTTCGGCTGCAGAAACAAAGACACAGACTTTCTGTACCGCGACTTGTGGGAGTCTCACGCAAGAGAAGGAGGCATGCTCTCTGAAGAAAAGGGCGGAGGCTTTTACACAGCGTTTTCTAGAGACCAACCGAAGAAGGTTTACGTGCAACACAAGATGCGCGAGATGAGTAAGAAAGTTTGGGATCTGCTCTGTGATGGAGCCGCTGTTTACGTGGCTGGCTCGTCGACGCAAATGCCTTCTGATGTAATGTCGGCTTTGGAGGAGATTGTGTCGGAGGAGACAGGAGGATCAAAGGAGATTGCTTCACGGTGGCTTAAGGCTCTGGAGAAGGCTGGGAGGTACCATGTTGAAGCTTGGTCTTAACTCCAACTCTCTTCATATGTAATGTTTTGATCCATATTTGAAGCTTTTGGGTTATTATTGTGACGTAAATTTATTTGACTTATTACTGTCATTCACATTAAAGAAATGTCCATTATACATCCGATAACAAAAACACTTCCATTGTTACTGATTTATTGTATTAGCACTTTGTTTGGACAATGACATAAAACAGAGTACTACTACTGTTTTAGCGGAAGTAAAAATTGAGAACATTTTTGTCAGATAATCAAGTTAGCTTTTTTACGGGGTTTTTTTAAATTAAATCCAAACTAGATGAAGAGTCAAAAATTCTTGAACTTGTAAGTAAGTGAAAAAGGAAACATGGGCTAATTTTGCAATTTTAGTCAATGCAAGAGTTAATATTACATGATTTTGATCAGATTTTATAATCAATGCAAAACCCTCAATTATGGTGAAAAGTTTAATTGTATTCAAAAACTTGTTTAATTGTTTTGGATGTGTGCAAATAACTCATGATATAGTTGAAAACAGAGGAAAAGATGAGCAAAATTGAGCATGCGTGAGTAACAAAATAATTATTCCGTCCTCCATTTGTCCCCTAAAATAAAAGCAGAGTCATTTAGCATTCGACAATTAGAAAAATTATACTACATCTTTCGACGCCTAAATCCAGAAAGGTCAACAGCAGAAAAGATTATTTTCGAACTGATAATCTAAACATAAATAAAATCATTACTATTTGTCCTTTGACTATCATTAATTAAGAAACAATGTTATTTTAATGGATGGAGTTTTTTTGTATAAGTTATATTTTTGGTTTTATTCCTAAACTCCATTGGCATCCAACAAAACTCTCTCACCCACCTTCACAACAACATCACCATCATCACCATCATCTTCAGTGTTCCTCACTTTTTCCGCAATCTTTTTTTTTTTAATATCACCGACGAGAAAGAAAAGAAAAAAAAAAGGAAGAAGATTCATTGAAGAGTTTTCACTTTTGAATTTCCTGGGAAACTGCAATTAATGATTCTCTCTATAATTAATTTAAAAAATTGAAAATTTAATCCTTCTTTCTTGCGTCTCTCTTACATCGGTTATTTGTTCATCTCTCTCTCTCTCTCCGCTGAGCTCTGATCGAAAAAGAAATCAATTTAGGTCTTTGCCTCTTCTCTCATCCCGGCACAATTCTCGATCAAAGGTTTGTTCTTTCATTTTAATCTTACGATCGTTTCAAATTTACTGGAAATGGGATGTGGTGATCATTCGGTTGTCATCGTTATTGATCTCGGTTGTTTTTTTCTTCTCCGGTAAAATTCCGCTGATTCACTCTCTCTGCTCAGTTCTTTGGATTAATCGAAATGGGGTTTTCCCCTTTTTGTATCTTATCTCAATTGAGTTTGTCTGTTTGTCTGTCGTAGCAAAGGTTTTGTCTTTTCTTTTTGAGATAATGTTTCGGAATTCACCTAACCTAGGGGTTTTATCAGATTTGGTGTTTGCATTTCACTTCAGTAAAACCTTGAGTTAATTTCGCGAGTGTTCAAAGTTCAGATCGAAACTCTCAGTTGCTGAGATGAAGTTGGTGCTTTATTCCAACACTTATCACATCAGTCTCTGCATCTGTGAGTTATTAAGGAATCAAACTCATCTTTCCATTGCAGGTGACTTGGAGATATGAAACAGTTCGTTAATCAGTTTTTTGGAGACGAGAGTTATGTTTCTTCTTAGAGGAACATTACTTAATCCAAAATACAAGTAGAGGAGATTTAGAGGAGGAGAAGATGGGATGTGTTTCTTCTTGCTTTCGGGTCCAAGACATTGATGAGTACATGAATCCAAGCAGCTCTGTGTATAGGAACTGTCCCTGCATAAGATGCCTTGCTCATAATTTCCTGAACCTGGTACGTTTGCTAGCATTTGCTCATATCATCAATCGATGCTTTTTACGGCTAATCTCAAATTGAAATTTGGCAGTATATCACGGTATTCGGAAGAGAGGAAACCCGCTCTCTACCATCTTCGGTTCAAACTACTGCATCGATGACTTCGTCTTCTTCGCACGATAACTTTCTTTCTGAAGCATTCCGTTCTACTCCAAGGCCTCTGCCTTATGATGCTGATCCTAGATACCTCCGCTCACTCGTCTCAAGACGGGACAAGGGTTCGAGTCATTCCCATGAGGAAACTGAACCTCTGAGAAGTGACAACGATGCGGATTCTGAATCTTTGGGATGCAAATGGGCAAATAATAAATCCATTATCTCTGGCAAAGATTCCAAGGAAGAGTACTCTGGTAAATCCAGTCTTAGGATTCTGAAATCAAAGTCTGCCTCTGACAACATGTATATACTGTCTGAAGATGAAGATGTCTGCCCAACTTGTCTTGAAGGTAATAGTAATCCTACTCCAAAGTTTCTTTAGCGGTTTCCTTCTTTCTACCTTGAGTATTTTATCATCCTTTTGGACTTTTTTTCTTGCAGAATATACATCAGAGAACCCAAAGATTGTAACGAAATGCTCTCACCATTTCCACCTAGGTTGCATTTACGAATGGATGGAGAGAAGTGAAAACTGTCCTGTCTGCGGAAAGGTAACCACTTTATTGTCATAGCTCTCAGAACAAAGTGAAACATATACTATATGCGTAGACGACAATGCCCTTTCGAAATTTCATGACATTTTTCAAGATTTTCTTATGGCTGTCTTCTGGTTTTATCTGGCTGAGAAAGATGTGTGACAGATAGAACAAGTGAAGCATATGTGCGTACGAGTATATGTTTTCGGGAAGTTCATTAAAATTCAATATCCTTGTATGCAGGTGATGGAATTCAACGAAACACCTTGACATCAATCATCGACCATTGTATCTGAACTGAAACCGGGGAAGATGACAAAGGCAATGCAGAGGGGATGGTTTGTAGATTTTGGCTCGTTGGTTTGTATTGTCATTTACAATGGTAAATATATGAAGCAAAAAAGGGATAAAATGTTTCTCATGTAAATAATAACTTCCGTGTAAACTAAGAGAGAATTCGATTCACAAAGGTTCACACATCATAAGTTTTTATCCAACGGTTGTCAATTAACAATGGTAAATATATGAAGCAAAAAGGGAGAAAGTGTAAAGGATAACTCGTGTAAAAATTCGATTCACAGAGGTTAACACATCTTCAAGTTTTTTTCAACGGTTACACAGAGAAATAAAATATATAACTACTTAGACCTAAGAAACTTCCAGAGGGATGAGGGTTGCTCCTGCTGATTAGTATTTGCTTAATAGCTTCCATGAGCCTTGTCTTCTCAATATCATCCAATCATCCAATCTTCCAAACTTGTCTGGTCTTCCTTCAAACTTGTCTTGTCTCTCATACATAGCCTTCAACTGAATGGCTTCTGTAGAATAACTTCTGGGAATTTAATGAACCCATCCCAGTTGACTATGGCTGCATAAACAGATCCCATACCAATAACTATGAAAATCCACTTCACAAGCACTTTGAAAAATCAAAGAAGACCAAAACCAATCAACTTTGCAATTTCAAAAGCAGCAGAAGATGAATCAAATTGCTTTAGTTTTAGCTTTTTCCTTAGTTTTGAAGATCAGGTCTGCCCTCTTTTGGTAGAAGAAAACAACCACGGGTCCATAGGATTCCTTCAACACAACAAACCTTTTCCCTAGCCACGTGAGCAGAACATGGACCCAATCCACCAGTAGACCACCGAACAGGGAAGAATCCATGGCCACCAACTCGTCCTTCGACTCTTTCTTTGGGACCTCATCTGGTTTCACATCATCATTTGGTTTCGCAACATCCTTCTTTAGGACCTAGGAGGGGACAGAGGTGTGCTGCAACTGATTATGATTTGCTTAATAATCTCTATATTGGCTTCAGACTTCATAAGCATTGTCTTCTCAATGTAATTCAACCTTTCCTCAAACTTGTTCGATTTCTTAGACATTCTATTTTGAAATAAAAAATATTATGACATATTGTTGACAAAAAATAGTATGACATATTAAAAATGATCTAAAAATGCAAAGAGAAAATCTTAACAATTATATTTGGTGGAAGACAACAAACAACATAATAGAATTAAGGGGGTGTATTGAAACTAAAAATTTAGAGAATTTGAAAATATTTGAGTTTTAATGAAATTTTAGGAGGTGTATTGAAACTAAAATTTAAAAGACACTGTGCTTATTTTAAAATTTCATGTTATTCAACTAATGATTTTTAAATGTTTTACCAAAATCTATGTTATTGAACATGAAATTTATATAAAACCAATTAAAATCACTTCAACATCTATGCTATTCATTCAACAATTTGTAAAGACTAAATCAAATCCATTGTTATTGGAAATATTTTAAATAGTAGATTTTACAAAATATTGAGTATTTGAAAATGATTTGGTGAAATTTGTTAGTTAAAAATATAGAAAATCAAATCACATTATTTTAGGTAAAATTTTATATAATTTTAATATCAAATCATATCAACTTCTCTAATTCACATTAAATCAATTTATATAATCCATTTATATAAAAGCCAAAGGTTTGAAAACGCATAAACGTCTATTCCCTTTCTGTGTGTTTTCAATCTACTAGTTTTGTGAAGTGGTGAAAAGAGAAGAGAACCAAAAAAAATATATTTCGGGACATTTTGTGTAAATCATCGTAAAAAGAAGGTCCTTGGGTGAAAATATCAGAAATATCTCTGAACTTTACGCGACTCGGCGTTCCCCGAGCTCTCGGAGCAAATGAACGAACGACCCTTATTGCTTCTCTCCTTCCCTCCGTTTCTTACACATTAACATCGCCCAAACGCTGCGAAAAGCTTCAGAAAAGTGGATTTTTTCAAAAATCTAACATTGACAATCGACGAGGTACGAGTTTTCAGATTTTTTTTTTTTTTTTTCTCTTGTTCTCTTAATTAGCTTCCCATGAGTGGTTGTGAATCGAATTCGCCTTTGCCTGCGGTGTCATCTGAGTTTGTGGAATGCTTGGATTCGCGATTGACTCTTAGAATCGTCATCGCTTCCGAAAAAGCGTGATTCTGTGCAGGATTCTTTCTGTGAAAAATGGATTTCGGAGAGATCATTGGTGAGGCTGCTCCTTGTGTGAGCATCCCAACAAAGAGCGCCATATACGTTTGGGGTTACAATCAAAGCGGACAAACAGGAAGGAAAGGGCAAGAGAGTCTTTTGCGTATCCCAAAACAGCTTCCTCCTGAGCTTTTCGGTTGCCCCGCCGGTGCCAATTCGCGGTGGCTCGACATCTCCTGTGGTCGAGAACACACAGCCGCGGTTGCATCAGACGGATCTCTCTTCACCTGGGGTCTCTCTCTCTCTCTCTCTCTCTCTCTCTCTCTCTCTCTCTCTCATCACCGTGGTTGAATCTTAGCCAAACTCTTTCTAGTTGCTGAAATCTGGAGAAGGACTCTCTTTCTTCTTCTCGTTTCAGGTGGCAATGAATATGGTCAGCTTGGGGATGGAACCGAGGTCGCGAGGAAACATCCGAAGAAGGTGAAGCAGCTGCAGTCAGAGTTTGTCAAGTTTGTGTCCTGTGGAGCTTTCTGCACCGCGGCTATAGCGGAGCCCCGTGGAAACGACGGCTCCCTTTCCACGAGCAGGCTCTGGGTTTGGGGACAAAACCAGGTATATAACACGTTTATTGTAGCTGAAAGTGAAACCAAAACTGTGGCTTTGATTCATGTGTTTCTCTTATGATAGGGATCAAATCTGCCACGCTTGTTTTCGGGGGCATTTCCCGCTACCACGGTATGTATCCAATCATGGAATCATCCCTACAAACTAATTAGCACTGGCAGATACTAATTTGCTATGATATATGATCATCTTTTAGGCGATCCGTCAAGTGTCATGTGGGACAGCTCATGTTGTGGCCTTATCAGAGGATGGCCTTCTTCAAGCTTGGGGTAAGAAAGCTTTGCTTTGACACATTTTGTTATCAAGAAATGAAAACTTGTTTGTGGTAGAATTATGATCTTGAGGTTTTTTTTTAATACAAAACAAGGCTATAATGAACAAGGCCAGCTTGGTAGAGGAGTCACTTGTGAAGGACTACAAGCACCTCGTGTGATCACTGCTTATGCGAAATTCCTTGACGAAGCACCCGAGCTTGTGAAGATTATGCAAGTCTCGTGTGGGGAATACCATACTGCTGCTGTATCTGAAATGGGCGAGGTGTAAGTTTCTAAAGGCCGCCTTTTCTTGACCACTTTGTGGTAACTAATTCTCTGTGCAAGCGAAAGTCTTTATGATGGCGATACATCTATATCTTATCACAACCTAGTAGGAAGCAGATGGAAATGCTTGAGGAAGCGAATGGATTCCTGACATTTGACTATGCAAGTCTCCTCCCCTTTCGCTTAGTCTCTTTCCGTTATCTTATTCAGTGTCCACTGCTTATCTCTTTCGTTGCAGTTACACTTGGGGATTAGGAAGCATGGGTCAACTCGGTCATGTTTCTCTTCAATCCGGAGATAAGGAGTTAATACCAAGGCGAGTCGCTGGTCTCGATGGCAAGTCCATGAAAGAAGTTGCTTGTGGCGGTGTACACACTTGTGCTTTATCTGTGGAAGGAGCACTTTATGCTTGGGGTGGTGGCCAAGCAGGACAGCTAGGACTTGGTCCCCAGTCCGGTTTCTTGTTTTCTAATGGAAGCGAAATGCTTCTACGCAACGTCCCGGTTTTGGTCATCCCAACCGATGTCCGGCTTGTTGCTTGTGGCCATTCTCACACCCTCGTTTATATGAGAGAAGGACGGATTTGTGGATGGGGTTACAATAGCTATGGTCAAGCAGCAAATGAGAAATCATCGTACGCTTGGTACCCGTCGCCTGTAGACTGGTATTAGCTCAAACATGTTTGTTTTTTACTCATTCAACTGCTATTGCGAAGCGAAGAAACGTAAAGGTTTGTGATGCAGACAATTTGTGGCACTGTTCGTTTAGATTAACGGGAAGCTCTGGTGTTGCGTTCAGGTGTGTAGGACAAGTGAGGAAGCTAGCAGCAGGAGGTGGTCACTCAGCTGTTCTAACCGATGCATTCTCGTTGAAGGAGCTGTGTGAATTTCAATTAGCAGATAGTGTGAACCTCTCAAATGCTTCAATGATTCAAGATGTTGCATTCCGGATGGGTTCCGAAGCTTTAGCCCGCCTCTGCGAAAGACTCAGGTATGCAAAGATTTGAAGTTTTTGGACAAAGTTGTCTGTTAATCCAAGTCAAGCAAAGCTAATCACATTTGTGTTTCAGGGAGCAGTTGCTTGATGGAGACTTTGCAGATGGTGAAGAAGTGTATTAGCAAGAGTTTACTTCTGTTGAAAGTTGTTACAGTTCATCCTGTATAATCATTGAACAATTGAAAATGTAGTAAACCAGAAAGTCCATATTTACTCTCTGTACCATTCTACTTTTCAGGACACACTGCTTCATTTACTGCCCTGTCTCTGTAATATCTGGATCTTGGTAGCATTGTGAAGTGTATAATCTCACTGTTAACTTGAGAGTTTATTATAGCACCCAACTGCATTTTGTATTATACAAAGATGAGATATAATAAGTAGGCAACCAGATGAGATCTGGTTAACGTTAACATTTCACACATTACAATCCACTTATATATATAAGCAAAGGTTCCAAAAGGCACAAACATCTTCTAAAACAGAAGAGAGATGTTGAACGCTATTACACAGCTATCAAAAGTCTTAATGCATACATAAACACAATTTATCACTATTCGTACTTATTCATATAATCGATCTCATCATCAAGAACCACCACTTGCATGCATAAGATCCTTATTAGGGGGAAGAAGTATCACTCACAGCATCCAGCCAGGGATGTAGCCGTTTCCTGGTTGGGACTGACCTTGCGTCGTTACAGCCATTTGCTCCGAACACACTGGGTGGTTATATCTGTTTGCATCACCCCAACAACATAGTTTAACAATCTATAATGAAACCCTTTTTTAGACCAATCTCTTTGAAACAAATACAATGTTGGGCTCAACCAAACTATTATTGATGTGTGAAAGGCAAGAGAAGTTGTTTGATTTACCCAATTTGCAAAGTGGGATCACATTCAAGAGATTGAAATAATCCTTGAGACTGAGCCTGATGATGTCCATAGGCAACATTCTGTTGATCACCACCTTCCCATGCCCCTCCTATGTGGTGACTTCTCACGCCGATCATATCTTCCAGCTAAACAACACACACAATTATTCAAAGTTAATCGTCATACAGCATTTGAAGATTATGAGACTCAAACTCATATATAAATGGGACTGTAGATATAAAGTTTTGATCTTTAATTAGAAACTGGAAGAGAGAGAGAGAAGCATCCTATACCTTCATTGACAAAGCTCTGTTGGCTTCGAGCAAGATATGCTCTTTTCCTTGAAGATCAGTGAGCTGGTCAAGCATATACTGCGTCTGCAAACAAAAAAGCATATTGAGGTACACGCATGAAAAAACATTTCATGTGTGTCTCTGTCTATACATAGAGAGAGAGAGCGGGAGAGATTCATGAGAACCTTTCTGTGTATATACAATGAAAATATTAATTTAATCACCTTGATGCAGCGAACTTGCTTCAGAGAGCCGTCTAGTTGACGCTCAAGCTGCTCTAGCTCCTTTGAATTCAAAGGTCCAAGGTCCTCTCCAAGTAGATTTCTGCAACAACATACACTTGCATCAATACATATAAATATACACGCACGTATCTATGCGTGAGCATTCAGATTAACGTATATCTATATACCTCTGCTGACGTTGCAGACCCTCATATCTACCTTTCAGCTTCAAATACTCTCTATAGCTGTTCTGAAAAACCAAAAACGCCAAGAAAAGAGTTGACAATGTTATAGACTCCTAACTAATTTTTTTAAAAAAAAATAATTCAAATCTGTGAATCTTTATTGAGATAAACTTTGCTAATTATAAGATGGAAGAGAGGTGGAGATTACACCTCGAGTTCTTTGGCAGGTTTGTTGTTGACTTCAATGGAGCCATAGCTACACTTCTGGTACCTTTCCAGTGTCTTGAGCATGCTAAAAGATCAAAACACATAATTAGGAGAAGAACAAACTATTAATTATTAAAATTAATGAATAACTAAGTAACTAACAGTTTTTTAAAAAATTGTGAAAAAGAAGATCTTGGCGGAATCCTTAATTGAAAAGAGAGAAATTAAATTCCTTGGGTGCTTAAATGTGTGCATGAAGTTGAGACTGGTTAATGCATGGATCCACAAATCATTCTACGTTGGATCTTTATATTTATTGAAATCTGTGAATCTTTAACTACTTTAATAATCTCTAATCAGACATATATATCTGTGTAGTAGAGAGACATCATTATGACAATTCAGTGACCTATAGATATTCGAATCTACACACAAAATTGACCCGAGGAAGAGATCTGATCTCGAAATTCAATAATTTCAAAACTGAATTATCTTTTTATAATCAAAACTTTGTAGATCAGGTTGAGAAATTGAACTCAAGTTTGTTAAAAGCAATCAAGAACCAAAAATCAAGAAAGATAAACCTCACAAGACTGAAAAGGAAAGATCTATACACAGATCTAAGAAAAGTTTCAGAAGTATATAGAGAGATCAAAAGTAGAAGTACTTGGAGGAGCTGCAGAACTCGTAGAGCTTGCCACGATTGGAGAAGACGATGAGAGAAACCTCGGCATCGCAGAGAACAGAAAGCTCATAAGCTTTTTTCAACAAACCGTTCCTACGCTTTGCAAACGTCACTTGTCTGTTGATTTTATTCTCTATCCTCTTCAGCTCCACTCTTCCCCTTCCCATTTTCCCCCCTAAATCCCTAATTTCTTTCTTTCCTCTTTTATGTATATATGTGTAACCTTATTAGGGTATGTAAACGTTTATCTATATACAGACACACACAAACATTACTTGGGTATTTGCTTTTTCTGATGAAAGATCTTATCTTTTGGAGAATAAAACCCTAGTTTTTCAAGAACAAGAAGAAGATGAACTGATCAGGGAAGAAAATAAAAGAGGAAACGTTTGCTTTCTGTTTTGGTTTTGATTTGATTGTAGGGTTTCTCTTGTTTATGCTTTGGATTTTTTTTCTTTCTTTCTTTTATTGAAGGGTAGTTTGTGTGTGATGAGATTGTGAATCTGAAGAAAGCTTTTGTGAATCTATAAAAGCTATAAAGATAAGAAATTTGTGAGGGTGAGAGAGATTATTAGGGTTTGGTGATATATCTGGTGTGTTTCATTCACTCTCTCTCTCTCTCTCTACTTCTTTACTCTTTCTCTCTCTTCCCTCTTTAACCAAAAAAAGTTAAAACATTCTCACACTCTCTCCCCCACGCGCGTGTCACACAGACGTCATTACTTTGCAATGAGTTGGTTCTAATTAAGAAAGTAATTAGTCTATGTTCTCTGATTATAATTTGCGTCTGCATATATACAGTACTGTGTTTCCACTCTTTTTAGGTAATACATACGCTATATTACCTGACTTCATCGAATAAATAGAAACATCGATACGGATATAGCATAACTCTACTACATATACAAAAAATTGATTTTTACAATAACGTGTGTTCGCCGCATATGTACCCTATTTTTTCTTTTAGCTCAACGTATGATATGTAGTTTTTTGTTTGTTCTTTATCATCAATTCAAATTGTGATACAAGAATCGTTCATTACAAAAGACACGTGTGTTATGTAGTGTACTTTTGTATATAAATTTCCAATGAAATGAAAATCTAAAAGATTGGTCCAAGTGGGGGGTATGGCGCGTGAGAGTGGGAATAGCATTGGCTTCTACAATAATACGAAAGCAGCTATCATCATTTTCTACTTCACAAGCTGCGGAAAAACCTCTCCTACCTTAATATGGACATGCATGTGTCGCGTTTCTATTGGCTCCTATCTATTGGACAAACGTTGAAGTTTCAGAAAAAAAGTTTTGTTACATTTTCGCTTTCTGTGTGCATATTATATTTGATTTCTAATGTGAAAATAAATTAATAATCTTTTTTGCAGTAGATTTATTGTTCTGTACTGTTTGTGTTTTTTGGTTTAACTGCTGTACTGTTCGTTTCTGCATACTGGATCATCATGCTTTGGGCATTAAAATTGTAATTAGGAGCGACAGATATTTAAAAAAATACTTGAGCCTAGTTTTTGTTAGTTTATTTGTTTGTTATTTTCTACATAATTTATAAATACTAGTTAAACGTATGGAAGTTTTAGTAAATTTTAAACATCTGTCGCCCCTAGTCTCACTGATCGTAATATACGGAACGAGTCATTACACATTATGTAGTTACACATTAACCATGAAACTATCGTGTAATTTTTTTTCTAATATACTGGTGAAGAGTAACTTTTGAAATCTATAGTTTCCTTTGGGCAAAGAATCTACCAGCAAATATCCTCAGGTGACGTAAGAAATCCGTACAATTTTACTTACACACAGCAAAAAGACGTTAAAAAATTATTATATAACAGTGAAAATACGCAACAAGATGTGTGATGGGGTCTGGACAGGTGTCGATATATAATTGCTCCTGCGAAAGCTTTGACTTTTGTGGAAGGCGTGCAGGCTGAGCCAAAGGAGTCACATTTCTTTTTTATTTAATTAAAAATGTACTATTATATTACTCCTAATCTTTTCCGGGAATTAAAAGTTGTGCTGTTTTCGTTCATTCCAATTCAAGAAAAGCTCTAATTTTTTTTCCATTGTCCTTGTCCGATCATCCTGTGTCCTGTATCTGAATTCAAACCGGGGAACTTGACAAAGGCAATGTTTTTGTAAATTTGGCTTGCTGGTTTGTAGAACAGTGTCATTTACATTAGTCTTAACCACTATTTACCACAAAAGTACTAAACCCAACTTAATGTGGTGCAAGTCCTTTGACACTTAATGTTTTAATAAATAAATCAAACGTATATGTTCGCAATGGCCCATTAGCTCAGTTGGTTAGAGCGTCGTGCTAATAACGCGAAGGTCGCAGGTTCGAAACCTGCATGGGCCAATCATGAATTTAATATATTTTTGTTTCCTAGTCTCATCCCTACCTTTTGGTTTTTTTACATTCATATCCGTTATCTTTGATTTCGATCATTGATGTCCATCCAAATTGAATTTTTTAATTAATTAATTATAAACAGGTGAATAGGGATTAAGTTCTAACCTTATTGGTCTTTTGTTTTTGGTCTCCCGCAATCTCTCTCATCTCTACTCCCTAAAAGCGCCATTCGCATACGAAGGGGATTTGGTTTTTATTTGATAACTCGTGTTGGTTGTAAGTGAGACTGTGAAGAGAGACTGACGATTAAGCAATGGAATCGGATCTGAATGACTATACCGTCATCAAGGAAGGAGAAGCTGAGATTCTCATGCACAAGAAGAATCAAGTGTTCTTCAATAAAGCTCAGGTTTCGGATTCTTCTAACTTCAGTAATGTTATTCTTTTCTTTTGTTGTTTCTTAAGTTAGTAGCGGAGATATATACTGTAGTATTCGATTGGTGTTTCTGTTCGATTTCAAGTGTTTACTGTTTTCGCTTTGCTAAGACCATTGTACATTGATTCACACTAATTAGCTGATGTCGAATCTGGTTTTGAAAGTTATAGATTTTAATTTTCATGGAATATGATTGTTACCCAGTCTCATTTTAAGTTGCTTACAAATCGAGAAACCTGTGAATCTTTTTACTTAATTCGGCTAATTTAAGTTGCTTATTCACCTGAGCTGTTTCACCTTTTGTCTTTATGCAATGGTTAAGGTCAACAATAGAGACATGTCTATCGCTGTGCTAAGGGAATTTATATCGAAACGGAAGCAAGAGCATGAGGCCAAGTCATCCAAAAGAAGTAAATCAGCTTCTAGTGAGAACAGTGGTGAACACCAAGTAGCATCTGAGGAAGGAGCTGCACGTAGAGAGCCGAAGCCACCAAAAGTGCTCGAGGTCCGTCTTCCTAAGCTGATGTTTGGTTTCATTGCTTTTCGTGATGATATGTGTTGCAGTTAGATAACTTTTTCTTGCACACTTCAAAATTTCAGGCTTTGTCTGCTTCTGGGTTACGGGCTCTAAGATATGCACGCGAAATAGAAGGGATTGGTCAGGTTGTGGCGTTGGACAATGACCTTGGTAATCTTTTCCGAATTAGATCAGAGGACTTGTGGAAATATTGGCTTTTCGTTTATCTTTCGGATGACTAATTAGAGTTCTCTTTTTTTGCCTTTTTAAAGCATCCGTGGAAGCTTGCCAGAGAAACATAAAGTTCAATGGCTCGCTGGCTGTTTCAAAGGTGGAGTCACATCATACCGATGCTCGTGTCCATATGCTTACCCACCCTAACGAATTCGAAGTGGTAATGCATCCCTTCTTTTCACATTTGTTGTCTTCATTTTGCATATTAGCCCGTTTAAAGTCTTGAAACTAAATTTTGGTAAGTAATATATGTTGTTAGGTTGATCTTGATCCATATGGATCACCGTCTATTTTCCTCGACTCGGCTATTCAATCAGTCGCGGATGGTGGATTGCTAATGTGTACAGCAACTGACATGGCGGTGTTATGTGGCGGTAACGGTGAAGTTTGCTATTCCAAGTGAGTCTCTTTTTATCTCTTTGAAGCATGTACTGATTATGCCTTTTGGCTAAACCCATCTCTGATGATATATATCAGATATGGTTCTTACCCATTGAGAGCCAAGTATTGTCATGAGATGGCTCTGCGGATCCTCCTTGCCAGCATCGAGGTTTGTTCATCATTTTTCTTTGCTATTTCACCTCCAATTTCAGATTATTTTATTACGTTCTTTTTTCCACCTTTTGGTTATTTGTGTTTTTGATGTAGAGCCACGCAAACCGCTACAAGCGGTATATTGTCCCGGTGCTATCTGTGCAGATGGATTTCTATGTTCGTGTTTTTGTCCGCGTTTACACGTGAGCTTTTCCTTGTCTAATCAAACACTTTACATCTCACTTACACAGATATTTGCCCAATGTTGTGTTTTTGATTCACTGAGACCTCAAAGCTTAATGAAATTGTCAGCTCGGCGAGTGCAATGAAGAACACTCCATTGAAGCTCTCTTACGTCTATCAATGCATTGGTTGTGATTCATTTCATCTTCAACCTGTTGGAAGATCTCTCCCCAAGGTATATGCACCTGTAGGAAATTTCAAACATTCTGTATGCTATCATATTGGAATATAGCCAATGTTATGGTTCTATGTGCGTCAATAGTGTATGTATGACATACTTAGTTCCTAAAATAAACAAATTTGGAAGTGACCACACATATATTTTACATCTTAACATTTTGGGCAGAACAACAGCGTGAGGTATCTACCAGCAATTGGTCCAGTTGTGGCACAAGATTGCAGCCACTGTGGGAAGAAATACAACATGGGCGGACCGATATGGTCTGCTCCAATGCATGATCAAGAATGGGTTACTTCGATTTTGAACAGTGTCACATCCATGAAAGACAGATATCCTGCTTATGACCGGATCTCTGCTGTACTCACCACAGTCTCTGAGGCAAGTTGCGGTTTTTGTGTGTGTTCAGTTATTCAGAATAAAAAGCGATTTCTGATTTTTCTCTATTATTTGTTGTTGTTTTCAGGAATTGCTAGATGTGCCTCTGTTTTTGAGTCTGCATAATCTTTGTGCGACGCTAAAATGCATATCGCCATCAGCTGCTATGTTCCGATCAGCTGTTATTAATGCTAACTACCGTATCTCGGGGACTCATGTGAATCCGCTCGGCATGAAAACCGATGCTCCTATGGAGGTTATCTGGGACATCATGCGCTCATGGGTAAACACTTTACCCATAAGACTCTGTTTCATTTAACCATCAAATCTTGTTTTTTTCTCTTGGGTGATGTTGTTTTTGTTTGTAGGTAAAGAATCATCCTATAAAGGCGCAATCGCCTGAACAGCCCGGAAGTGTGATCTTGTCAAAAGAAGCATCACATGAGGTCTCTTTTGCTCGCTTTCTCTGAATAAAACCCAATTTCAAAAGCTTGAACCTTTTTGCCGATACCGTTTTGTTTTGTGTTTGGACAGGTTGATTTTTCGCGTCAGGTTGGTTCTATGAGCAAGGCGCAGGCGAAGAAAGTGGCTCGGTTTCTGCCAAATCCAGAGAAGCATTGGGGTCCAAAGCTTAGGGCTGGTCGACAAATCACGAGCAAACATGTCTCTCTTATTGGTCATGAAGCAGTCAATGGTCATCTTAATCAACGCCATGAAGAACTAAAAGAGGACGAAGAAGCAGAGCAAGGAGATAATAATGTCCAAGAAGAGCTCGATCTCAAACGCCAGAAAACAATAGAGGAAATTTCCTTGACATCATAAGACGAACCACAAAATGTTAACACAAGAGATCAATTTCTCGTCTTCAAAAAGAAGACTTTTGCCTCTTCATGAAGAACTCTGTTTTGTTTGTTGTTTTTCTATTATCATTTTTGGTGTAGTGACGAGAGTTTATTATATACCCACTGATTCATTCTGTTTTTGTCTATTATTTTTCTCATCTATACTTTATTGATTTTCTTTTGTGGATTAAAATGAATAAGTCAATTGTCAACAACAAACAACCAATCCGAAGCTGGGGTCCAATGGTCATAGTGGGTCCCACTCCGTTTGCCTACGTAAAAGACATGTTTAGCAGTAGCACCGTTGGTCTTGTTCTTCTCCTTCAACCTCAGGCACCAAATAATAATCACGAAAGGGTTTCATTTCACCGTATATCAAACCAAGCTCGCCGTAGATCTCTTCCCATCTAGGATGGGCCCTGTCTGCGATGTGAAACAGGTGAAGCTCGTCTTTGAGCTCAACCCAACTGCAACCAGGCTCCTTCTTTAGCTTAAAGCATCTCATCCTTCTCCTCAAATCCGAAACTTTTTCCCACATTCCTGCATCTGCGTATACATTCGACAGAAGAGTATAAGCTGAAGAGTCTTGTGGATCCAATCTCAACAGAGCAGCGGTTGCTTCTTCTGCAATCTCTACATTGTTTCTATGTATCGCGCAGACTCCTAACAACGTTCTCCATATAACATCGTCTGGTTCCAATGGCATCTCTCGAATAAGCTTTAACGCTTTCTTCACTTTTCCGGATTTGCCTAAGATATCCACCATGTTCGAGTAATGAGGTAGCTGAGGATCTAAGCCGTAGTCTCTCTTCATCATGTAGAAGTACTCGAGTCCTTTGTCGATTAGACCCATGTGAGCGCAAGCTCGGAGTATCGATATGAAAGTCACGTGATTCGGTTTCATGTTTTCGAGTATCATTCTCTCAAACAGCTTTATAGCTTCCTCTCCTCTCCCGTGATGTGCATACCCGCAAATCATGGCGTTCCAGGTCACGAAATCTCTTCTCGGGGACTTCTCAAACATCAATCTTGAATCACTGAGATCTCCACATTTCGAGTACATGTCAACGAGGGTGCTGCAGATATACACATCCGATTGCAATTCTTTCTTGATGACCTGAGCATGAATCTGTTTGCCTAATCCAGCGGAAGCTAGATTCGCGCAGGTGTCAAGAACCGTTGCATAGGTGAACTTGTCAGGAGCTATGCCCGAATCCATCATCCGGGTAAAAAGCATCTGAGCATCCTCGCTCTGTTCCTTCGCTACATATCCCGAAATGATTGAATTCCATGAAACACACATTTCTTGCAGCCTCTTATTGTGCATCTTTTCAGGCTCTTCCATTGTCCCAGGAAGAAACAACCGACTGTGTATCTTCTCCGCCTCTTCTATCATCCCACACTTTGAATACATATCGATCAAAGAGCATCCAACAGAAGAATTTGAAGTCATTCCTGATTTGACAACGCTGGAATGGATCTCCATACCGTAACCCAAAGAACTACCAGCGCAAGCTTTCAATACGCTCCCAAAGGTAAACTCATCAGGTTCAACCCTGCAACGGAGCATCGAGACAAAAAGAGAAAGCGTTTCACATCCTTTTCCGTTCTGCTCATGCGCTGCAATAATCGCATTCCAAGACACAGCATCTCTTCTTCTCATCTCGTCGAACACACGAAAGGCTTCATCCAGAGCTTGGCATTTCCCGTACATGTCAATGGCAGCATTTGCAACGCAAACATCCAGAGATAAGTTGCTTTTTATCGCCAAGCCGTAAAGCTGAAGCCCCTCTGAAAGACCTTTCACCAAGGCACAAGCCCTGAACACTCCTGATAAACTTATCTCGTCGAACCCAAGACCCGACAACATGAGCCGGTGAAACACCAGTAGAGCTTTGAAACCATGCTCTTCCTGCGAATAACCAGTGATCATTGCGTTATAAGATTGTCGATTAAGATTCTCAGACTTGTCAAACAAAATTTGAGCATCTTGCATATTATCACACTTTGCGTACATATCCAATGTCGCCGTTCTCACAATACCATCTGCTGCAAAATGTGACTTTAAGGCATGAGCATGTAACTGACCACCTAATCTCAATTCAGATAACGCAGCGCATGACCTCAAGACGCTAGCGTAAATTGACTGGCTCACTCCACCACCGACCTTCTGCATCTTCTTGAAAAACACCAAAGCAAGGGACAACAAGTTATTCTGAACACAACCCGCGATTATAGCACTCCAAGAGACCGAGTTCTTCTCTGGGATAGCTTCAAACACTCTAAGCGACTCATAAAATCTCTTGCATTTTGCATACATATCCAACAATGCACTTGCAGCGACCACGTCAGTATCACAACCCACTCGAACAAGAATCCCATGAATCTGCATTCCTAAATTGCTTTCCTCTAAAGAGGAACATGCTTTCAGGATAATGGCAAAAGTTCTACCGTCAAACTCAACACCTGATCTCCCCATGTCGAGGAAAATCTCTATAGATTTCAAGCTCTCACCGTTCTGCAGATACCCAGAAAGCATTGAGTTCCATGACACAACATCTCTCACAGGCATCATATGGAAGAAAGAACTCGCTTTAACCATGTCATTACTCTTCGCATAACAGTTTATCATTGTGTTCCAGGAAACAACATCTCTCAGCGGCATTCTGTCGAACAACATAGAAGCAGAAACCAAATCTCTAGAATTTGTGTAAACTTGAAGCAAACAATTCAACACGAATGCAGTCGGACGAAACCCAGATAATATCATATGAGCATGAGCTTGCTTTCCCGGCTCCAGCGCCCCTTGCTTGGCACATTCCTTGAAAACAAACGAAAAGTTGGTATTGCTACTTGAGTTCACTTGATTCACAAAATCCGTAAAATAAGAATATATTGCAACTCTTCTGTATGGATATTTCTCTCTCAGACACCCATGGAATGAAACCACTGCTCTGCTCATCCGCAAGAATCTGAGATTCTCCGCCATAACGAACTCAATCTCAGTGGCGGGATCGACAATATCACACAACTGATTCGGTTCGGTTTCGGTTTTTGAAAACCGATTGAGATCGAATTTCAACTAAATTGATTTGTAACCCATCAAATGTATATTGACTGACCGTGAATATTGATAACTTTATTAGATTAAATATCTTGTAGAACAAACTCAAAGCATCAAGTCGTTGTAGTATAGTGGTAAGTATTCCCGCCTGTCACGCGGGTGACCCGGGTTCGATCCCCGGCAACGGCGCACTTTTTGTTTACGTCATTGCTTTTCTCCAGTTTTTTGTTTTTCTGTGGCAGAATCTTAATCCACCAGCAAATCCCTGCAATTACACGTCATCTTATTACATCCTTTGTATATACAAAGATCATACGATTTTCCCTCTGAATTTTCCTATATTTGTTTTTAATTATCTCGTAAACTCAGCAATGGCGTCGACGATGCCCGTTCCCGCAATCAACCTTGAAGAAGAGGCGGAAGGCGGCGGTGCAGCCGTAGGCGGTTCCATTTTCGTAGCGGATGGTGAGGCTTCGAGCTTGCTCGTCTGTTACTCTCCGTTCGACGAAGACAGGGACATCGATTGCAATCCTTATTTCCCTTTCGCAGACCCGATATCAGATTCTGGGTCAGGTTCTTACACGGATTCAGAGCCCGATCCGTACATCTGTCCCATCGATTTCTTCGATCGAGAGTCTTCCGAGGTTGACGCGACTGAGTACTTGGAATCGGAAGGGCTGGCCGCCGAAGATTTCAACATATGGGGCTTTTATGACCCGAAGGAAGACGAGGAGGAGATAGTTCTGGGGACTAGGTGCGTGTCGGGATCCGGTTCAGATCAGCAACCCGGTGACTCAGGCGAGCAAGGGCTTCGAGTGACCGGCATCGATTCAGATTCCGATGATGAAGATGGCGTGTTCGGTTTAACCTCCGGGGAAAATGACTCGGTTGGTACGGATCTTCCGCCTGTCTGGGATTACGCCTTGGGTGAGGAAACAATGTCAGCTGATGAAGAATGGGAGGAGGCGATTAACTGGACGATTAGGGGTTTGAGTAGATCCGAAGATGAAGAAGAAGAATCGTCTTCACCATCAAGGGATGATGAAGAAGAAGATGCACTGGACTGGCAGGTTTTGTTAACTGTTAACAATGTCGTTAATTATATCGAACAAGCCGAAGGAATCATGATAAACCCTGGCGATATCGACCCGAGTTATTACCTGTATCTGGCTAGTTTGGATGAGAATCGTAATGGTGATGAAGATGCAATCCTTGCGCAACTGTTTGATGTGGGGGCTGGGATCAGGGGAAATCCTGCAGCTGCCAAAAGGGTGATTGAGGATCTCCCAGAAGTGGAACTTAGAGTGGAAGAAGGGAACATGGTCTGTGCGGTCTGCAAAGATGAAATGGCGATAGGGGAGAAAGTGAGGAGGCTTCCTTGTAGGCATTGCTTTCATGGAGACTGTATTGTGCCTTGGTTAGGGATACGGAACACTTGCCCGCTTTGTCGCTTTGAGCTTCCTACTGATGATCTTGACTCTTGAGTCGGGTAGGTTTAGTTAATTGACTCTCAAGTGTTTAATATCCGCTTTGTTTTGTGGTAATGCCATCTTGTATATATTCCTTTCTTTATGAATCAGTAGTATCATGTTAAAACTTTGAAAGCCATATCTTGCATCCAAAAAATTTCAAGTTGGCCATACAAGATTTTCATGCTCAGTCAGTGTCATATTCATTGTTGATTTTGTAACAACTGGTTTTAATATTTGTCTAGGTTAAGATCGTCTCTTATATACAGTATTGTATGGCATCGTCGTAGAGGGCTTGTCCGGGTAACCATCTTTTGTAAGACCTAGAAACAGAGACAGACAGTATATGAGAATTTTGGAATGTTAGCGGTTTTTTTCTTTAAATTTGAACAAAAGCCAAAATTTGGGAATGTATGTTTATAGTAATAAAATATTTTCAAAATTGGATGAAATAAAGAAATGTTTACATCCAAAATTAATGGATTCTCTCTTTTGCGTTTTAAGATATCAAAAATATCGAAACTATTTTTTTCAAAATTTTGGGAATTGCATATTGTTTTTATGTCTCTAATTTCACTATAGATCAATTATGCTCACTGGACCCGAAGATCGGCCTGTTATCGTAAAGCCCATATATTGTACATAGGAAAGAACAAGTTGGTGTCAGAAAATAGTATGAGGGTGAGACTGTGATTTTGGAAAGGCTTAATCGTCTAAACTTAAATAAATGACTGATATAAAAGGTGTGAATGTAGAATATGAAAGTTTAGCATTGTCAATTGATCGCACCGACGCAAAAGCTTTGGTCTCCTTCACTCGTCACATTCTTCTCATTACACACTACTATTTTTTTTTTTTTTTTTTGTATTTAATTTGTTTGTTACCTCTGCATTAAATTAATTGTCTATTAAATTTCCTTATGATTATTATAGTTAACGTGTTTTCTTCACTAAATGTTTGAGATCTATCCGTCACTCTCCAGAGGTTAAGTCAGTCATCTTCTCCTTCGTCTCTCGGGCAAGCAAGAAGCTCACCGACGAATCGAAAAATCCCGATCTGGATAAACTGACCGTTAAAGGTGAAGTGTATCGGTAGAAATGGCGGTGGCCTTCCGTGGAGGCCGGGGCGGCGTCGGATCCGGCCAATCTACCGGACTTCGCAGTTTCTTCTCGTACCGGATCTTTATCTCCGCCTTGTTCTCTTTTCTCTTCCTTGCCACGTTCTCCGTCGTCCTCAACTCCTCTCGTCACCAGCCTCAACAGGATCATGTACGCGTCTCAATCTCAGAGCTCCTTCATTTCTCTTGTTTATTTATGCTTTGATTTGTTTACAATCCGGTCAAATTTTGAATGAATCGGTGGTGATTCTTCGAATCTGAGCTCCGATTTAAGGATTCGTGGTGATTGCTAGTCTCTGATTTGTTATTCTTCCTTGGTTTAGACATTGCCGAGCATGGGAAACGCATATATGCAGAGGACGTTTTTGGCTTTACAATCGGATCCACTGAGAACAAGGTTGGATCTCATACACAAGCAAGCGACTGATCATCTGACACTGGTGAATGCATATGCGGCTTACGCCAGGAAGCTGAAGCTTGATGCTTCCAAGCAGCTGAAGCTGTTTGAAGATTTGGCTATCAACTTCTCTGATTTGCAGTCAAAACCTGGTTTGAAATCTGCCGTCTCTGAAAGCGGCAATGCTCTCGAGGAGGATACGTTTAGGCTGCTTGAGAAAGAAGTGAAGGATAAGGTGAAGACGGCGAGGATGATGATTGTTGAGTCGAAAGAGAGTTACGATACGCAGCTAAAAATCCAGAAGCTCAAGGATACAATCTTTGCTGTCCAAGAACAGTTGACCAAGGCGAAGAAAAACGGCGCTGTTGCTAGCTTGATCTCAGCCAAGTCGGTCCCTAAAAGTCTTCATTGCTTGGCCATGAGGCTTGTAGGGGAGAGGATCTCAAATCCTGACAAGTACAAGGACGCTCCACCTGATCCAGCCGCGGAGGATCCAAGTCTTTACCACTATGCTATCTTCTCCGACAACGTGATTGCTGTGTCAGTTGTGGTGCGGTCGGTTGTGATGAACGCCGAGGAGCCATGGAAGCATGTCTTTCATGTGGTGACCGATCGAATGAACCTTGCAGCCATGAAGGTCTGGTTTAAGATGCGTCCTTTGGACCGTGGTGCCCATGTTGAGATCAAGTCTGTGGAGGATTTCAAGTTCTTGAACTCTTCGTACGCGCCTGTCTTGAGGCAGCTCGAGTCTGCCAAGTTGCAGAAGTTTTACTTTGAGCACCAGGCGGAGAACGCAACGAAAGATGCACACAACCTCAAGTTCAAGAACCCAAAATATCTCTCGATGTTGAACCATCTCAGATTTTACTTGCCAGAGATGTATCCGAAGCTGAATAAGGTCTTGTTCTTGGACGATGACGTTGTGGTGCAGAAAGATGTGACTGGTTTGTGGAAAATCAACTTGGATGGCAAGGTGGTAGGAGCTGTTGAGACATGCTTTGGCTCTTTTCATCGATATGGTCAATACCTAAATTTCACTCATCCTTTGATCAAAGAAAGCTTCAACCCCACTGCTTGTGCATGGGCCTTTGGAATGAATATAATTGATCTCAATGCTTGGAGGCGCGAGAAATGCACCGATCAATACCATTACTGGCAGAACTTGGTAAGTCCATCGTGATTAGTGATAATAACGCATGAATCTTTCTTAGTAACTTAGGCATATCAAATCTCTCTTGTTGATTCTGTTTTAATTTCTGAGCAGAATGAGGACAGAACTCTCTGGAAATTGGGCACTCTACCTCCGGGATTGATCACATTCTATTCAAAGACGAAATCATTGGACAAATCTTGGCATGTGCTTGGGTTGGGCTACAACCCGGGAGTGAGCATGGACGAGATCAAAAATGCAGCAGTGATCCATTACAATGGAAACATGAAACCATGGCTTGACATTGCTATGAACCAATACAAGTCTCTCTGGACTAAATACGTCGATAACGAAATGGAGTTTGTGCAGATGTGCAATTTTGGTCTCTAGAGAGAGAGAAAGAGACGGACAAAAAAAAACCCCCGAAGAATGAAAAATGTCAGACAAGAGGTAACCTCGAGTCGAGATATGTTTCAGCCTTTCGGGCATTCTTTAACTGATACGTTTATCTTTATATAGGGTTACAAAATATTTTGCTTCTTCTTCCTGTCATAGTTTTGTTCTTATTTTTATATTGTAACTCTTCACAGCAAAAGCTTATCCAATCTACAATATCTCTCTTTGTTGTCACTTTCATACTTTTCTGCCTAAGATTAAGAATCCCATGTCCTAAACTTTTAAATTGTTCCCCTTTTAGAATGGTCTCATAACTATTTATGTGCATGAACTTGAATTTGAAGGTTCAGTAATTTCGAATGTTAAAGATAGCTTTTCTAATTGTGTCACTTACTTGGGTCAAAGCCGGCGTCAATGTTCTAAGCCGGACAAAAACTAAATTGTTTTTTTTCTGTGTCCCGAAAGAATAAATAAAATCGAATGTTATGTAAAAACGCTTTTAACTAACAATTTAAATTTACCAAAATGTTTAAAATTAAAACGTTACAAGAATTTAGAATGGGACTAGGGAACATAGAAGGTGTAATATTTCTTTAGAAAATGATTAAACGCAATAAAGAAAGGATTCCAGTATATGATGATTTGGTTACATTTATTTTTAATCATGATGATTTACTTTATAAATTAGTGGAAAATTGCTATGTATATGATCAAACTAAGAAAAAGTAACAAGGTATGAAAAGAATATACTGTATTTTTTTATAGTTTATCTATTTATAAATAGGATCTAATAATATATAGGGGAGAAAAAGAGAGAAACATCTACCACCACCCACCTTTTCTCACCAAACGCAGCAGAGTGGCCAATTTTGACAATTACTTAAAAAGAAAAGCCAATTATTTCTCTTTGGTGCGAATCAGACCCTTCGTTTGCTTATATATCTCCGATACAAACATTGCCAGTCTCTCCAATTTTATTACCGTGTTTCAGATCTTTCCTGGAAAATCTCAAATCCACTTCGGAAAAAGCAGGTTTGTTTCTCCGATCACGCTCTCCCTCTCCATTCATTTTTGTTTTGGTATCTGATTTTCCCAATCGTTTTTCGATGATGTGTGTTTTACTGATTAGATGATTCGAAAATTTGATTAGGAAAATTTCGGAGAAGTGATTAAGTTCTGTGTAAGCGAGGGTCCCACCAGCATTTTTGTGTCGTGATCTTGAATTCGATTGCAAATTCTCATTATAATATTGTGTAGATCGATTCTATGTGTACGCTTTGATGATCGTAATCTTTTTTTAGATCTGTAATAGTCTTGGTCATGTTGATTGAACCCAAAATTTGGTAGTTGCATGCATCGATTATGTGCTAGAGATTTTGATACCTGGTTGAATCGATGGGTTTTATTGTCACTTGACGCAAAGTTTGGCTTTTGATCTCATCACTCACCTCTTTCAGAATTTATATATGTAGCTTAAGGAGATGTTTTGATGTGTCTTTCTTAGATTTGAGATTTGTGTTTTTTTTTTTTCAGTAAGAAAGAAGACAATGGCTGTTCAACCAACTAGAATAGGTTTAGCTGGACTGGCTGTGATGGGTCAGAACTTAGCTCTCAACATCGCAGAGAAAGGCTTCCCAATCTCTGTCTACAACAGAACGACTTCCAAAGTCGACGAGACCGTGGAACGAGCTAAGAAGGAAGGGAACCTTCCGGTTTATGGCTTCCATGACCCTGAGTCCTTTGTCAAATCGATCCAGAAGCCGCGTGTTATCATCATGCTTGTCAAAGCTGGTGCGCCCGTTGACCAGACCATCAAGACCCTCTCTGCGTATTTGGAAAAAGGTGATTGCATTGTGGATGGTGGTAATGAATGGTATGAGAACACCGAGAGGAGAGAAAAGGCCGTGGCTGAGAACGGCTTCCTCTACCTCGGAATGGGAGTTTCTGGTGGCGAA